CCGAGTAAACGGAGTGAAGCATAGAGTGGAAGTTCTCTGCAACTCATTTTCAAAGGACTCAACAACGGCTGACATTTCGCTTTCCTCCGAACACGATATAAGCTCCGTTTTAAAAAATATTTCCACGACCTTCCCGCGCCACTGATAAGGTCAGATATATAACTGTTAGAGCGGATACTTACTTATATAGTCACTCGATCTACCAAAGTCTCCTCGACATCTCCCAGAAAGTATCGAGTCTTCGAAAAAGCCTAGTCTCTCAATCGCAGTCTGGCGCAGTCACGATGAGTTCGAAGAAAGAAGAGAATTCGATTCAGGAGAAAATTGAACAGCAATACAAAAACCTTTCCGTGAAACTCTCTCAATTAGATGGCGAAAATTATACAACTCTAAAGCTAGTAATTGAGCATCTAACACGCGTGGCGAAAGAAGAGAAATTCAACTTGATGGGTCCAGAGAATCTTGGAACTGTTTTTGGACCGACACTCATGCGCGCTCCAGATGATAAGGTGCCATTTCAACTAATTGATGTTTTCCTAATTATTACTAGGGACCGATGGGATGTCTCATCGACGTTCAAGATCAGTCTCGTCTGGTAGAAATCATGATCACTCAGTGCGACGTTTGCTTCCCATCCTAAAGCCAACATTCTCTTTGCAATCTCCCTTTCTATGGCTGTAGCTCCGACAACCTCTCGCAACCTCATTTTTACGATTCCCATCCCTTCTTTAATGTCAAATTACTACAAGACTCAAGATTTTTCCTATTCCAAAATATACAATGCCGCTTCAGCTCAATCTGATCCTATATTCGCTCTTACCTCAAAACTATTCCCTCCGTGGTGCCATTTCGGTTCCCTTATCATTTACAATATTCAATTTGTATTCTTCCTTTACTATCTATGCAAAACTTACAATTCAGCAAGCTCAGTAGACGAAGATGGCCTCAAACAAATTTCTTGCTCAAGACCCCTCTAACATTTTTTTCCAGTTCTGTCTTCCTCTCTTTCACGATATAACTTAGCCTTGGTGCACGATTCCCCTCTGCATGATTTTGCACAACCTCTCGTTAACAATCAATATCAAATAAAGTTCAAGAAATCTGTTAAAAGATCGTAAACTTCCAATTGCAAAGAGACGACGTTTTTAATATTGTATTTTACCAGAATGGAAAGAAATGCAACAAAAACAGTAGAGCTGGTTAAGAAATCTAAGGGCGATAACGAAAAATTAGCCGCCCTCTTAGTCTGTAAGTTTAAACTGCAATACAACTTCGCATAAATTATCTTTTGCTTAGTCGCAAAGTCTTCTCCAGAAGATGAAGGAATGACCGAAGAAACTCTGACATCTCTGGTAGACAGCGTTGGTTTCGCTTTTTACGAACGCATCGTTAAAGCCTCGCTTGTTGCAGAAAAGTACGGAGAGTTCACACAGATTCTCGGCTCCATCTTACTACAAGATAAACGGCTTGTGAAGCGAATGGAAGATCTCAAGCTTATCCGTTACTTTAATCATAATATAACGTCAACGGAAGCGTTGGAGTGTCTTTTGAATATTGCAATTTATGATGGTAGATTAATTGATAGGAAGATGTTCGCAAAAGGCTTGGGCGCAAGTAGTAGTAGTGTTCTGCTTGTAGAACAGAATCTTGAGTCCACTAAAAGCTCTCAAAAAGGAGCTGCCATTTTCTGATGACGACCAAAATTTGAAGCTCTTCCATCAAATTATCCGTTTGATTGGATTAAGTGACGAGTTATTCGCCGTCTTTGAGGAGGAAGAAAAGGCTACATTTTTGAACATATTGGATCTATTGGAAGGAGTTGACATTGAAGATTACAAGGAGCGACTCTTTCTAATCTTAATCCCGATCATCCATAAAATGAGGGAAGTGGCTTATGAAAGTACTAGTCGCCGTGAACAAGCAATGTCTATGTTGGCGAAACTAGCTCGCAACATCGGGCTGCCGAAAGTCAGCACACTAATAAAGGTTTGAGAATATATATTTTAAAAATTGATAAATAGCTAAACTTTTATTAGCAAGAGGAGCTTGAGCTGCTCATCCGAATGATTATGATCGAGCTGCAGCATTCGCTTGTGACATATAAAGAGGAATCCGCGAACGAACTGGTCGACAGCAATTTCAGCCTCCATAACTATTTCATCTTTCTCGTCCAATATTTGGATATTTTCGGTGATGAGTGCAAAGACGAACATCAAGTGATTCTTAGTCGTTTGACTGCGGAGATGATGCAACGCATTGAGAACGATTTTACAAGCCTGGTTGCTATCATATCCTCTGTTCAATCTTTCACCCAGTACGATCTTATCGTCAAAGCCACTAGCAAATTTCTGGCGACCTGGCTTGAGTGCGACTCTCGGTAAATTTCATCTACTTATCATCCATCAATCAAGCTTTTTAGGGCCGCGAAAAGTTATGGGATAGCTGAGAATTTAGTCCTATTAGTTCGCAGATGGCATAAGCAAGGAGAAATAGTACTGATGGAACATTTACTGAATGGATTGTACAGAGCAACGAACTCGGATGAAGCTTGCAAAGTGTATTTCACGGAACAAATTGGACTTGCAGAGTTCTGTTTTGAGTTGCTGAAGAAACCATGCTCAGAGAGGACACTGTTTTTATGCAACGAAATAATTACGGAGTACTTTTCGTACTTGGCGTCCGAAGATCTAAAACCTCACGTTAGTCTTTGCCAACCGTTAAAGTGGTCATCATTTGATTCAGAGAATGTGGATAGCTTTTCCCGTGCTCTTGCTCAAGTTCAACGTCTGCCCCAGTTTATATGCTTCATCGGTTTTGAAGCTTTTCGTGTTGGAAGAAAAGAGCTTCAACATGGAAGTCATGAAGAGCATAATCAGCCAGCTCAGTGGGGCTTTTATTGATGGCATGTTGCAAAAAGGCTATGAAGAAAAGTTCCCCATCGGAGTACAGCCTGAGGGTAACAGAGAATATCAGCTTGTCTGTTGAGAAAATTCATTTAGTTGATATTCGGTGGCTTCGTGCGATGAAGTACTTGGTACCTGTAATAAGGAAACACCCTTCAGTTGGATCGTACATCAAAAGTACGAACTGGATCCGCGAAATTGAACGCTTCCTTCACGTAAACATGCTCGGAGAAGCGACTGATCAGCGGGTGCTTCACGCTTTTTCCAGTTTACTTGAGCCCGTTATCGGCAACTTAGATGAAGACTAACTGCGACAAGGAATTTTTGTTCCCTGACTACACTGAAACTGCCGCTGTACAAATATCTTAAAACTACAAAGAGAGCTTATAATTGATCTTTTTAGATAATGACGACATATATTTCGGAATCGGGGTTTGTTAGGGCTCTTTTCCCTAGCAACGTATTTGTTACGTTCGCCGGAAGAGTGCTTAAACCAGACGCCTTCCTAGCCAGTGGTATTTTTGTCAATGTTTCCGCAAGAGTTCTTGGTGGAAAGGGAGGATATGGTCAACTCCTCAAAGACTTCGGAAAAGACACGAAGCTGTCTAAAAACACGAAATCACTTCGTGATCTATCTGGTAAATCATTTAATAAAACACACCAGCCTTAAATCACTTTGAGGAGATCTCAGTAAGGACCGTTAAATATGTACTTTAGGGCGCATCATTCGTGATATTGATGACATAGCCGACTTAAAGAAATGGATCAAGTCAAATCCAGAACGCCTAGAAGCTAAAAAAGAAGACAAGCTAAGACGACTTAACAAGAAGCTTGTTGAGCCGAAGCATCAAATGGACAACTCCTATCACTTCGAACAAAAAGAACTTATCGAGGAAAGACAGAGCTCTGCTTTTGCAGATCTAAAGCGCAAAAACGAAAAAGAAAAGCTCCGAGAAGTTCCAACTAAGAAGAAAAAATGGTACGAATTAGACGAAGACGAAGAATCAAAAGAAGAGAAAAGGCCTATCAAAGATGTTAAAGACGTTCTGTCGCCTTCTAAGCTAAGAGTAAAGCAGCTGAAGGAGCGAATGGACAAAGAGTCAATAAAGCTTTTTGGAAAATCAAGTACCGAACTTGATAAAGATCCAGCAGTTGTACTTCAGGTAACACTCTACGCATGATTAATGAAGTGGTTAACAATTTTTTCAGAATGGGTCAGTTCGGGTTGCTACCAATCAAGTGAAATTGGATGAAGAGGCACCTATTTGGGACCCCCGCTTCGACGAATCTCAAGGTGCGTCCCTCATTTTTTATTCAAATATCATCTCATTCTCATAGACCCTGTAATACTGAAAGAGCTAGCCATCGCACATAGAAATGAGATTCACAGAAGAGAACAGGAAAAAATAAAGGTGGAATCTGAAACGACGGACAATAAAAAATCGATTTGCTCGTTTGAAGACATCGACCTCGAGAAAGTCGAATCCATCGATGCGTTACTGAATTACTCACTCGACCATTTGAAATTCGCCCTCTCGACGCGCAAGCTCAAATGTGGCGGCAACTTGCAAGAACGTGCAAAAAGGCTTTTTTCTGTAAAAGGTCTTACACCAGACCAGTACCCAAAAAAAATTCGGGCAAAAAACTGAGCTAAATTGCCTTGCTTTTATTCTCTCCAATTTCCAATATTCGTCTGCCTACTGAATTTCCGTTTCAATAGCTTCTTTTTGGCAATCATGGCTTTTTTAGAGGATGTTATGAGACCATCTTATTTCAGTGTATTGGGCACACTGTTCGCCTTTGATCATCTGCTCACAGAAAATTTAACGGAGTTCAATCTTGTGAATGGAATAACGGATGCAAACTCGAACTGCGATCCAAACTCACCGCTAATACCATGCGCGTTTTTGCCTGACGAGCTTGTTGAATGCAAGCTCAAAATAGTGAATGTACTTTGACTTGCTTTTAATGAACTCACTTAATTTTAAGCGTGATACTCGAGAGGCGATAGGTGAAACACTCGGGTAAGAGAAGGAAACTAATTATATTCCCATGCTTATACCTCTCTAGGTTGAATGAAAGCGAGACTGCTATGGAAGCTCTGCCGGAATATTGCCTCGAAAGCAATTACATGAACTCATCTTTTGGTTCGCAAAATTACCAAGATGTAAAGCGCGTGTGGAGCGAATGCCAGCCAATTGATGATAAAATCAAGTGCTGTGGCCCACGTCTCTTCTACCGCAAATTGCCCTGCTTAAAATACACACACGACGAAGATGTAAGTCTCCGTTTCGAGTCACTCTTACTTTGTAATGTTAGGGAAACTGCCGTTACAACTTTCCCACTGCCGTTATACTATCTTTGTTTCTTGGAATCGGCGGAGCTGATAGATTTTACATGGGTTTAACGCCTACTGCTGTCGGGAAACTTTTTACGCTTGGGGGTCTAGGTAAACGCGTACAATTTCATAGGTCCTTACTTTTTAAGGAATCTGGTGGATAATTGACTTGATTCTCATCCTCAACGGAGGCGTAATGCCTGCAGAAGACTCCAGTTGGTGTCTTAATTACTGAATACACGAATTCTTCCTCCTTTATGATCCTGAAATGAGTTACTTCAATAAAAATAGGAGAATACTTTCTCATAAGTTTTTTCATAGAATGGACACTTTGAATTCAATCGAGAATTTGCCGTCTGAAATCTCCGAACCTGATGCTGGGGGTAAAGTTTTTTTCCCAAACGAGGATACTTATTTTTAAGGTGGCGGAATGAATTTCCGTTTCAACGCACGAAATATCGCTGTCGACTGGCGCCAAGTCAGTCTGATCGACATTGATAGAATCGCAAGAGAAATGGACATTCCAGCTCTTCAACAGCATATTGAACTCGTAACTTTTGCAAAGCTTGATTCACTCTACGATATTGATCCTCTGTTCGTCAAGCTTTTTCAAATTGCGCAGTACACTCTCGAGTATCTTCTTCATTCTCAGGTAGCAAAATAATGCCAGTAATAGGTCAGGGACAAACCAAACTTAGGACTTCTTGAAAAACAGTATTCGTGAAGAACAGAAGAAGAACGAGAAGGAGAAAAAGAAACATCTGGCGACATTGAAGGAAATCGCTACTCTGAAAGATCAAATTAGCGCTTTGAAGAAGACGAATAAGCAGCGTCGTCAAATGAGTACGTAACTGAAGATCTAACTTGTGTGAGATTATATTTTAGTCGCTGACCAACAGAGAATGATGCAAGTCGGTTCTCATTCTTTCTACAAGTGTCCTGTCTGTCCGAACCGCTCGTTTATGAATTCAACTTACTTACAAGGACATCTCGTCCGGCGCCATCCCGAGCACGTTCACTACATTGGAGATGCGGTTGCACATACAAAGGTTTGTATTATGAGATATCTAAACCGCGCCATTACTCGTATATTTAGCTTGTTACCCAACAACTTGAGAGTAAATTGTTCACGATGGAAGAGAGGATGGAGCAAGAAAAGCAAATTAACTTGAAGCTTCAAGAAGAGAATAAGCGACTGCAAGAGCGACAAAAAGAAGAGCTTATCGAAAACCAAGATCAAATTCGACAGGAAGAGCGACGAAGATACGAGCAGAAGCTGCAAACACTCGAAGAGTCCTTTTCCGGTCATATTTCGCAGTTCAAGGCGAATGAGGGTATCTACCAGTCAAAGATTGCTGAGCTTGAGAGCAAGAATAAGTTTAATGAAAGACGAAGCGACACAATTGGAAGCATGGTTGTGGACCTTCAAAATGCAAAAGAGCAGATGACCGCTAGCTATAACCAGAAGTTCCAATCGCTTGAAGACACTATGTCGAGGCAAGTGCAGCAGGCCGTCCAGGTGATATCACCGCCGAAGCCAGTAAAATCTGAGCCGAGACAGCCCGTTCGCGAAGTCCAAAGTAATTCCGTTCCTGACGGGCCCCCTGTTGATACCACAATGATTGATAGGGAAGCGGAGTTCAAGAAGCTCCTCGAACACTACCGCCCTCAGGTTGAGACAATGTTCCGGGGTGAGATGGAACGACTTGGAGTACAGCGTGGGGATACTCTTCTTACAGAATCGACGTTCAAGAGAAAACTTGAAGAAATTCATGATTTACGAAGCCGAAAACAGACAAGCCGCCCCGACTTCTATAGCTTGCGTTCACAGATCGAAAACGATCTCAAATCCCGCGCTGATAGAGCCGAGAGCAAAAGTGAAGTGTCCATCTTCGAGCAACGGAATAATCAATCGAACACTAGTCAGCTGAGCTATCAGGCTTCAATCGCCTCTTCTTCTAAATCTCCAACAAGAGCATCCAAATCTACGCGTGCTCCCCTTCCACCGCAAACGCATTCACAATCGAGTGTCTCCTCGAGATCGAACGCTCCCAACTCGCCAATAAAACCTTTGCCTCGCTCACCGAAATCGAAGCCTGCACCTCCACCTCCTAGTCAAGAACAAACATTTCAGCGCCCTCAGTGGAGCGATGAGAGCCCATCAAGTCCTGGCAAGCCGGGAATGACTTCCACTATGCGACAGACAAACGCTCCTGATTCCAACAACTCTCCGGTGAAATCATCTGTAGAATCATCCGCTTGGGATAAAACGGAATCAGAACAACCGCAAGCTGCGAAAGGGATGCGACCTTACGTCGATGTCGTTAAATCTAGCGATGTTTTTACTTCAAACGACGGCAACGATCATCACGATGTAGCCACAATTTCAGAAAAGACGGAACCGAGCACTGACTGGGATGATGAAGAGTCCTTCGGTGGAAATATTCAGTCACGAGCACGTAAGTGACAAATTTCTATTTTTTCGTTGACTAAGTTTCACAGAAAAAATCGAGAATAAACTGAGCAGCCGCTCTAGCCCTCCAGCAGGAGGTGTTGACGTCACTGGCGCCGAACGTACTCAAATGATTCTCGAGGAGCTCGATAGCGACGATGACGACGATATCTCAACTGAAAATTGATCTTTTCTTACTGTATTTTTCTATTTTTTCAATGATTTTTTTTTGTTTTCTAGTACTTCCGAAAGATTTTATTTTTTATTCAAAGACACTGACGAATAAATTTGTCTAGTAGAATGAACCCTCGTTCCAATTCTTCTCGAAATACACAGGACACTCTTAATGACTACAAAAAACGCATGAAGGAAGATCTAAAAAGTCTAAAAGAAAACTTTCTGCGGATCGTTGAGGCGGCCCGGTACGAAGAGCGCTCCCAATTGAGTAAAACAACCGCTAGTTTATACGATACATCACAAGTTCAAGGTCAGAAATATAACTGTCATCAGAATCTAACATAGAGTAGTCCGAGCGGCGAAAATCGTTCTTGCAGGAGAAAACCTCATGAAACTGATTGCAGAACTTAAAACTTTCCTCGTAATCTACGATTTCCCAGCTATCAACGAAAATCTTAAAAAACGAAATAGCGCCCTTGATGAAGAGGTATGTTAGCTAAAAATTATTAAAGCTAATCCTTTCCATTTTCAGACGAAAAAGATCAAGTCGAATCTTTTATCAATCCGCGAGGAACTTGGCGATCAACTTTATCCAGGCGAGGATGAGTACTACTCTACCTTGCGTCCGCTAAAGTCCACGGTCTATTCGCAACCGGATACGGAGCCCGAAAACTTCATTCAAAACGGGCATAGAAGTAACCTTCCCCAACCAATGCAAAACTATGTTCAGATCGTTGATGATCCTATGTACACTAGACAAAACGCTTGAATCTGTAAATAAACTGCTATCCTGCCACAAACCTTGCAAGATATCTTATGTTTCATTTTTAAGTATGGAAGGGGGCCGCGCAAATGGTGAAAACGGTCTCGTCAGTAGTCTCGCGCTGTTGCCCGATCCCCAAGAGCATATTTGCTTCGACAAGAGTGAATTTATGCGTGACAATCACCGGGTCGAACAATTCGTCTCAGACTGCAGGAGGCGTGTTCCACTTGAAAAACTGAGAGAAGACCTTGAACAATACTTTCGCCTACTAAAAGTTAGTTTTCTTATACTTGAGCTCGAATTCAAACCAATATTAGACTGCCATGGTTGACCTTATTAACAAAGACTACGCTGAATTTGTGAACTTGTCCACAAACCTTGTAGATCTTGATAAAGCTATAAATCAGCTGAAACCTCCCCTCACTCGAATCAAAAGCGACGTAGAAATTATCGCCTCTGAAATAGACTCCGGACTCTGTCGAATAAAAAGCCTTCTGGAACGAAAGAGAGAGATCCTGTCTAAGAAGCTACTTTTGAAGCATATGATCGGCCTACAAGAAAAGCTCATGCTACTGGAGACAAATGAAGCGCTCCCTCTGCGTACGAATATATTGTAAACTATTTATGCTAAAAGGTATTTAGACGAGTCCGCAGAAATTTGGAATCAGCTCCAGCATCACTCTAAAAACACAAAAGGAACCGCTTTAGCTGCAGAGCTAACAGACCGCATCTCATTTGTTGAAAGTCGCTTCCTGGATCGACTTGAGAACGCTTTTATTGATGCTCTTGGTGACGAGAATCTTGATAGCCTCCACATGATTCTCTGGTCCTTCTCCTCTATTGATAGAGCATCTGTCGCAGAGTCTCTCGTCCGTCAGCATTTGTGCAAGCCCTACGTCAAGCAGTGCTTCTCCGAAAAGACAACCAACGAACTTAGCCAAATTTTAAACTCACTGCTCGATCTTGTTCCAACCTACATTTCACCTCTGCAAAACGTAATCGACGGCAGACACAATGAAAAATCACCGATCTACGGGTTTGATTTCATCACCAACAGGTTTTTTTAAATTTCAAGTATTTTCAATACGTTGTCATTTTAGTGTCTTTCCAGAAATAGTATCCGGCTTACAGCGATATTTACCTAGTCTATTTATCCCCTCCGAAAATGTTCATGATTTCCGTGAGCGCTACATTCTATCGATGGACTTTCTAGATCAGCTGGAACGTCAGTGCTCGTCACAGTCTTCCGTTATACGCCTTCGTAGCGAGCAAAGGTACTATCGAGATGTTGATTTTTCGTTACCCAATTTCAGTTACCACACGTTCCACTCTTCTTTCTCCCTTGAAAGCTATTTTTCAATTGTTTCCAAAGAAATCATTCAAGAATGCGAAGATGCCTTTAAATCTGATTTACAACGTGACAAATCAGCAGATGCTGTTTTTAATCTTGTAATTACAACGAGGTATAAGTTGTACTTGTTCGAGCTCTTTAATTTCGAATCGTAGGATAACGGAGTTACTGAGAAAGTGCCTCTCAGAAGATACTATGTTGCCTCCTGCCCGTCACAATTTTTTCCTGCTTCAAATTCAGATCATCTTCCGCTTCAGCAAGTGGGCATCTGTGCAAATCGCAGTTTGCTCAGACTATGGCGAAGATATTGATTATGCCTCGCTTGTCTGTCTACACGAAGATCTATTAAAATTGAGCACTTTTATTCCAACTCTCTTCCAAATAGAAGATACAGTTAATGAGTCCGAGACCATCTTCTCCGCTGCCCACGACGAGATCAGGAAACGTATAAGCGAGTCTGTCACTCTCATAAGAAAATACGTTCAAGATCATATAATTGGTATTGTAACTTGAAAACACAGTCCGCCAAAATTGAATCTTTAGCTCGGTGTCTACCATTGGTGAAGTCGGTAAACGACATTCCTCGTCAATATCGAAGGACGCAGAGAGTGCCGCCAACAGAGGCGTCTCCTTATATTCAGCAACTTTGCGCACCAATAAGCGATTTTTGTGAAAAATGTCCTAATGTGAACAACTGGACAGAAACTCTCTACGATAGCATTGTGGTCGAATTCCAAAGCACCATTGTTGACGTCTTAGAAGCTAGCCGCAAGATGGAAGCAAGTTTAGCAAAATTGCAACAAATGCGTAAAAAGCAACAGGGTAAAAACGATGATGGACTTAGTGATGACGAAAAAATTAGGAAACAAATTCAACTTGATGTTGAGTCTTTCATTCAAAGGTTTGTCACTAGTTTAGCGTTAATTGCTGATCTAGAATTTAGGTTCCGCGATCTTGGCGTCCCAGAGACGAACAAAAACGTGCAAAGTCTTCAAGAACTTATTAGCTTCTGAGAAATTCTGTATAATTCTGTGTGACCATTCAAATAATGCCTTATTAGTACGGTGCAATATCTATTTAACTACATACATTCAATCCCATCAAAGATGTCTATATTATTAGAAAAGTATGAAGCGCTCAGAAAAGCTCCGTGAAAAATGCGAAAAAGTCTCACACGGAGTTCTTATGGAAAAAGATCCAGCGAATGATGGCAAAGGGCGCACCATCAGAGAGATACTCGAAGCAGAAGCGAAGGCACTCGGAGCCGTTCCAGAGGATATTATTCCAGACTCGTGTATCACCATTTTCTACCACATTTCATTCTTTCTTGAGAGCGATTTTGATGAAAAGAAACCCTTTGATACTACTTTCACATCTAGGTACAACCAATTGGCTAGTATCATACTACCTCTTTGCAATTATAGTCCTTCGAAATATCGAGTCGGCAAACAAGAACTCCCAGGCCTCGTTTCCTGTCTTCTTCAATTATCCCTCGGCGACTCTTGCTACGCAATCATTTCTCCTGAAAAAGCGTTTGGAAAGATCGGCGTTCCTCCGAAAGTCCCGCCAAACTCAGAGCTTTTCTTTCAGCTTGAAATTATAAACATCGAATCTAACTTCATTCCACGCTTCTTGGCTCATCCGCCAGGCATGACTAAGTGCATCAGTCGCGAATACGTCTTCCAAGAAGTTGTTGAATTTGCGGAACGAGCCAAAGCGACAAAAAACCTGCCAAACCTACAGGTTTGTCTTCACTTTAGTTCCTTCTGTCTACCGCTCATTGCTTAGAAATCAGTGACCGTCATCTCCGAGCTTGAGTCTTCTCCCGATCGAGACCGAGAGCTTATGATGAACATCCAACGAGTAATTATCTTCGGCAAGAAAAAGCTTCCAAATCAACAGCTGATCAAGCACGCGAAAAACGCACTTGCCCTCAACCTACCCTTAGACAATCATTCCATCGTAAACATCTCCCTAAAGATTCGATATCACTTGATGGACCTGTACACTTGGAAACACTTCGATGACTTCAACAAAGCGCGAGATGTTTATCAAGAGTTTGAACAAAGATGCGAAGACCAGGATTTTAACTGCATGATAAAATTGAGTACAAAAGAAGATCTGGAGAAGATGAAGAGGCTCGTTGAGAAGCGATACGAGAAGTACACGAGTGGCAATTATTTCTTTGCCGGAAAATGATAGAATATCTTCATCTTTGTTAGTTAGAAAACTGTCTATTAATCACTGCCCCTTTTAGCTGCATTCACTGATCTAGGATGAGCAAAAGCTCTAAGTTTCTACAGATGATCAGAACCCACACTTGATAACTGACAATATTTTTCTTCATCATACTTTACATGATATCTATTTAGATACGGATCCATAAAAGTATGGATACAGAAACACGGAAAATTCCCAGACAATTAAAAAATAATTCTTTGGGGGAAGACCTAGAGCTGCAACCGCCTGGAAACTCCGATACTGAGACAGAAAGTGCCTCTGAGACTGGCTCCTGGCCCGAAGCAAGTGATGTCGAAAGAGAATGGGTTTCTGAGCCCGAAAACGCAGACTCTCTCTCGGAATCAGACTCGGACACTTCCGACGAGTCCGATGATGACTTGGATGATGATGATCTTGCAGGACGTGATGAATTTTCCGAAGAAAATATTCGCCAGAACTTTCAATTTGAAACTACTGGCGATAAGATCAAATTGTTGAGTTTGGATGAGCTGAGAAGATACGAAGAAGGACTCGGACCGGAGGATCAGAATTATAAACATGCTCATCTGATCGTTGAGGAGCATTTAGCGGGAAATGAAAGAACGGAATGTCATGTTCGGCTGGAAATAGGAAGCGCCTACAAACAGATAAGGTATGTAAATTTTACATTGTAAAACACTTTCAATCTTGAAGTTTGTCTCCAATTTTGTTTTTTTATCGAATTAATCTAGAGATTACGGCGCCGCGAACCGAAAACTACTCGATATTTACACTCGGCGTCAGAAAAGAGAGCAAGAAATCTTCGAAAAATTCGAGGAAAAAATAGAAAGGTCCGAAAGACGAAGAATGAAGGAGAAGAAGGAGGCTGAAAAAGAAATCGCTCTTCTCGAGCTTTTACTTCTGAATAAAAAAGCGAAACTAGAACGAATTTCTCAAGAAAACTACGAAAGAGTCGTCGCAAAATCAACTGCAGAAGCGTCTCCGCTTGAGACGGATGCTGAGAGAGAAGCTCGGTTGGCACAGTTTATCAATAATAGTGAAAACAAAAACGACGCAGCTTCTGATATAGAAGATGAGGAGGAAAGTGACCCAGAAAGTGGTACAGAGGTAGAAGTAAACGACCCTGACTTGAAGGTGCAAGATTGTGGAAAGGCTAAGCGCGAAGACGACGATTTAGAGGAAGATGAATACGAAGACGGCCTGCCCTTGAAAGAAGGCCCCGTTCAAGACCAAATGATGCCGGAGCCAGGACATGATGAAGAAGAAAAACCGCCAGAGAAAGAGGAACAAAATCAAATAAGCGATGCTGTTCCTGAAAGTTTTGACATGAATTCGAATAAAGAAGAGCCTCCAATACCATCCCAGTTAAAAGCAGAGTTTTCTGGCTTCAACCAGCACGAACACGATCTCATTCGGTCAAGTAATGAAGGTTTTGAAATTAAAATTATTTACGAATTTTCTAGTGACTCGACAACTTTGCGAAGAAAGAAGCAGAGCCGGCAAGAAGAACGATACCCCAGGAACTTCGGACCCAGTAATCATCATAAGCGACTCTAGTGATGAAGATGCACCCATTCTCATCAGCGATACGGACGAGCCATGAGAACGCCCCTAAACGTATGGGTCAATTATTTGTTGATTCGCTAACTACTTATAATATTTACAGCTGTCGAGCTACACCAGAAGAACGGAGAAAAGAAACACGTCAGGAAAAAACTATAAACTTCAAAGTAAAAATTACTTCTCTCACTGCTAAAAAAGCTCTCTCACTGTCACTATTTTTAAGGAAGTTCAAAAGTGTTATTTCGTGACTCTAAATTTCACATCTTGCCTTGCAACATGCAACGGTCCCTACACCCGGTACTTTTTCTAACGGAAACGAACTAAAAAAAAACTAGTAATAATAAATATGGTCTCCTCCATCAACCACGTCTATATTATTAGAACAGTATGAAGCGCCCTGGTCTTCAGTCTAAATCGAAACGGACAAGCGTTCGTCTGCGAGAGAAGGTCAAAAAGAAGGTTCGCGACCACAATCGCAAGCAGCGAAAGTATGAGCGAGAACACGCTAAAACTAAGAAACAGCATGTGCCCAACTCAGCACCCTTCAAGGACCAAATCTTGCAGGACGCGATCGCTTTCCAGGAGCAAAAGCGGCAGAAAGTTTTGGAGAGAGTGAGTTCATTATATTCCTTCTAGACAGTCAAAAGTTTCTTAGAAAGAGCGACGAAAGGTGAAGAAAGGAAAGGCAAAGGCCGATACAATTGCATCACTGATGAAGGATGTTCAAAACGCCCAAACTACTTATAACAAGAAACAAGTAAGTAACCATAATCATGATATTCGATTGGGAACATGGGGATTTTCCGCTGGATATAATTGTCGAAACCCTGCCTTCTCTCCACCGATTCTCCGGAATCATGGACAGATCGTTCGGGCATCGACACTAGCAGTGATGACGGATCCCACATTCGCAGTTTCCACGCGAATAATTCACCCCTCGCACGGGTGCGTTCATGTGCGGAAAACTTCCTTAGATGTCTGATGCGCTCTAAGACGGAGCAAAATTACAAACCGGAAAGCCTACGGGCTTTCGCGATTCTCAATTATTTATACGATCTAAACGCTTCTTATAGGCAGTAAGGGACCAAGTAAAAGCAGAAGCATATGAACAAGACAAGAAAAAAGCTGCGTGGTTTAGGCGTGAACTGAAGTATGTAACAACAAACGCGGATGTTATTTTGGAGGTTCTTGACGCTCGAGATCCCATCGGATGTAGATGTCCACAGCTTGAGTCGCAGGCGCTTGCCAATGGAAAAAGAATCGTGCTCGTCCTCAATAAAGTCGATCTCGTTCCTAAACCAGTGGTGAAAGGCTGGCTCGACGTTTTAAGAAAGCAATTGCCAACTGTCGCCTTCAAAGCATCTACACAAAAACAGCGCCAGAACCTAGGAAGGGGTCAGAGTGCATCAGGATCCACTGCTTACGGAGCTGACCAACTCACGAAGCTCCTCGGGGCATTCGCTAAGTACGCGTTTAATATTTAACGATATTTCAAAAGTTATTAGAACCAAAGGAATGAAAACTGGAGTGACAGCTGCTGTTGTTGGTTTCCCGAACGTTGGAAAGAGCTCTATTATCAATACTCTTGCACGATCACGTGTCTGTCAAGTATCAGCCACAGCGGGATCCACCCGTGACACGCAGGAAGTCCACATTGACAAAGCAGTGAAGCTTCTCGACTCACCCGGTGTCCTTTTTGGAGGATCTGGTAAGCGAATGGATCCTATGAAAATTCGATGATTCTTACCAAAAACGAATGAAATAGAAATGTTATGTTTTAGCTGAAAAGCAAGCTCTACGAGGAGCTCTCTCAGCATCAGCACTCGCCGATCCTGTCGATGGTGCCCTTGCCTTGCTCAACAGATGCGATAAAGTCGCCTTAGCTCTGCACTACTCAACGAATCACACTGATAACGGGCGTTCTTTCTTGGCGCAGCTCGCGATGAAACGCGGACTTGTGAAGAAAGGTGGCATTCCTGACTGCGAAAAATCTGCGCGTCAAATTCTACAAGACTGCCAGAGAGGAAAGTTCTCGTTTTACACGAAGCCACCAAAAACTGCCACTGCCGAGGAACAAACTGTCCCCGAATTCCTAGATGCTAAACTAGTTTCTACAATGAGGTAGCGTTTCAATGTGTTTCTTTTATGAATACTCATTTTAGTGAGGAATTCAAGCTTGATGGTTTGGACGACTGGATGGAATCGAATGATATTAATGCGCCAACTTCCGGCAAGGGCATTGCCTTGAGCAATGATGGCTTTACCGAGCTAGAAGGTAACACCCCAGTTTCATTAGGCTAGTACGGAGTTTCTATTTAGAAATGGATCCTGATGATGATAATGACGAAGAATTAGAAGACGATTCTGAGAGCGAAGGTGAAGAGATGGAGGAAGAAGATATGGAGGAAGAAGATATGGAAGAAGATATGGCTGTGGATTTCCCAGAAAAAAAGACTGTTAAGTTTGGCGGCGTCTCGACCAGTAAAGCACCGACTGATCTTCGACAGCGACAGAAAATGGACAAGAAGATTTTGAAGAGAAAAGACAAGTTCGAAACGAAACTGAGTGATTCTGTTGAAAAAGCTCTAAAACTTATGTAAAAACAACATGATTGCTATCATCTTGTGAATAGATCTTCTCAAAAAATCGATTTAGAATGGCGAAAAAGGGCAAAGGGAAGGGTAAAGGGAGCGGAAAAGGAAAAGGTGGCGGCAAAAAGACAGGCAATGAAAGAACCGATTTTCTTGCTGTCCGAATAAGTAAGCTAAGTTTAACATAAGTTGATAATTCTTCTTTTTAGGCCTTCGCGAAAAAGCATTAATGTCGGCGGAAAACCAGTGCAACGACTTTCAAAAGCAGCTGGATACATTGGAAGATGCTCGATCTGAGGCGCAAGCCGAAAGAGACTGCAAGGTGACAAAGTTGCTAAAAAGGCTTCATGTTTCAGACGATGAAAGGTAAGGTTCATTGATTATTGTTGATTTTATTAGGTATAATGTAGATCGGGAGCTCTTGATAGCCTTAAAGGCTGTGTTATCGGTCGAAAAAATAACCTTCGGGATGCAAATGAACGACGAAGACGTGAAATCGAGGAGAAGCTCGGTCGATTACGTGAAGCAGAACTCCGCAATGCACAGTAGGCATTCTATATTTATAAAAGAATTTAAAACTGCATACTTTGAGGATTCGCAAAGACATCAAAAAGTGGCAGAACTTCCGCTCCTTAGGATCTAATGATCAGAAAGCTGCCATCGAATCGCTACTGAGTAAAATTGACGATCAATCCTACAACACCAAAGCAATGAATCATTTTATTGTGAAGCAAATAGAAACGTCGAAGGATGATTCGAAGAGGACAAAACACAATTTGGAAGAAGGTCGCAAAAAGCAAGCGGTTACAGATGCTATTGAATGCATGCCTACTTCCGTTCACGAATGTCGAAAAACAGATCAACTAAGAAAAGTAGGCTTTAATTAATTGAAAGAAAAAAAAAACGTTGTGACAATGTAGCTTGTCGACTGGCAGCAGCTTCACGTCGATGAAGACAAGCAAAACCTTCGAGACATAAGAAACAACATGAAACTTATGAAGAAGGAGACGGAAGAGCTTCGTAAGATAAAATTCGAAAAGCCTGAAAAAATCGGTCTCCTTTTGGACAAGCGGTTTTTCTCTTGATTTCTGTACCAGTTTGCATTGGGCCATATACTTTTCTACGCACCCTAAAGATATATATTTTTCTAGAAAATAATTGTTAAATCTTGGTAATTTAGAGATGAATGTGATATGAATTACGACTACGGCAATGCTTTTGGCAATTATCATATAAATGGGCCTCAAAATAATGGCTTTCTCACATCGCTTGTAGAAGAGGAAAAAAATGCCCAAGTAAGTCAATGCGACTGTTTTCTTGTGATGATTTTATAAGGTTTCCAATGGATGGAACTGCCAGCCTGACCAAGCGCAGTTTATTCAAGACGAATCGCTTTACAATCTGCTCCAAGAAGATTATCAGCAAGGTCAATACGCTTGTTGGGATGGCAACTTTATCCCAGAATACAATTATCAGCAGTATACGAACCAATATCCCAATGACTACTACGCCAACTATAACTCCACTTATGCTCCAAACGATTATAACTACCCGTCTTATTCTAACCACAACTTCAATCAAAGTAATGACTCTCAGTTTTTCGAGTACAGCACCTCTCAACAGTGTCACCCGCAATGCTACCCGCAGTCTGACCCGAATCAAAACTCCTTTATGAACCAAATGGAGAACCCATACAACGTTTACTACATGGACAACAACAACTATCAAAACTATCAACAAATGGATATGGCGAGCTCGCGAATTTTCGAGCAACGTAAGATGCCAACGCAGAAAACATCTCATCAAGAATACTCTTGTGAAACGTGCCAAAAAACTTTTAAACATCCGTATCTGCTTGAGCGACACATGAAGACTCGTGATCATCAAAATATAAAAGACTTCAAATGCGAGTTATGCAAAAAGGCGTTCACACAAGTAGGCCACCTAAATCGCCACTACAAAATCGTTCATCAGAAACTTCCATGTGACAAGGAAATGTCGTTTCGACATCATGGTATGCCCCAGCTTACTACAATCCTCCAGCGCTCGCAGAAGAAGAATACTCTTACCGACGTTATTAAGGGTTTGATCGAGCTCTTCGAATGTCCAAATTGCAACGAGATCTTCCAGAAATATGTAGACTTTCGAAATCATCTTACGACCGCGCATCCAGAGCTCAAGAAGTTCCCTTGTCCACATAGAGGATGCAGCCTTCTTTTCGACAACTTGGAAGAGACCACTCTTCACTTCAAGGAAGAACATCCGAACTCAGAAGTCGAGAAGAACTGTGGCCCGCTGAGATGTAATATCTGTAGACAAGATTTTACTCGTTCGGATTCACTCAAGAGGCACATGCGCAAACATGAGGAAAAACGACTCGCATGTCCTTTCAAGGAGTTCACAAAATGCATGCGTACCTTCTACAGACTGGACGATCTCAAGCAGCATTTAGGTAGGAGCAAGCATGTTTTAATTGTGAACCACAGTTGAATAGATGATCACAAAGACCCGAAGTTCAAATCGGCAACTCTTGCATGTGACGTTTGCGGTAAACTGTACAAATCGCTCAAAGAGTTAGAAAAGCACAAGACAACGCATCCGAATAAATTCAAAGCGCACTGTCCTAAATGCTACAAAGGCTTCAAAAACTCTCATGGATTACGGTAAAGTGATTAACTTTGTTGAAATTAAAACTGTCCATAAAAGGGTGCATTCTTGCCCGGTTACGAACGAAAGAAAAAAGAAGAACTCAGTGCGTATGAAAAGACTCCACCAGAAACGAAGAAAAGAAGCGAAAGAAAGCTCGTAAAATTTTCTAAAACAGCTGATCAACTTCGCCAACATACTGCCATTTGTTGTAACAAACTCATTGTAAATAATACTTTATCAATGGAGATATTTTTCATTCACGTTCTACAAATTAAAACTAGTTAAATTAAGATGATGTGATGCGGATGAATTTTTCTTGGGAATATGCTTTGCCCACGAATTTCGCCCCCTTCATTATTTTGGTAAGTTTGAAAAGAATATCGTTTTATTTTGTTCCATCTAGATATCGTCTGCTGCTTATATTCAAACTTCGCACATCCTCTTTATTATCCTGAGTTTCGTTGGGGTCTTTCTCTTTCTGTATTCTCTTCAAGACGCACTTCTCTATCAAGCTAATTTTCCAAGTCAAGTATGAAATTTCTCGAAACAACAACATTTTAAGTTTGTAGGCAAGAAACTATCATCCAAAGCCAAATTCACCTCATGAAGTTGTAAATTTCGGCCCCCGCCAGAGGCTTAATGGAATTCTTCTCAAATGCGAGTCGGGCAACTGTCCGACCATCGTCTTCTGTCATGGCAATGCTGGCAACTGCTCGAACAGGGGACAGATCGCTGAAGTTATGCGTTCCTTGTTGAAAGTGAATATATTTGTCTTCGACTACTCAGGCTACGGCGCAAGTCGCGGGAGACCCAGCGAGAGCAATCTTTACGCCGATTCCCAGGTTATTCTTGCTTTTTTTCCAGATGAGCTTTACATACAAGTTCAGGGAGCGATCGACTATGTCACGAGCCGATCTGATCTACGTGGGGATGTCATATTATTTGGAAGATCGCTAGGCGGCGCTGTGGTGATTGAACTTGCCACACGCCCAGAAAATGAACACATCAAAGCTTGTATTGTGGAAAATACGTTCACATCAGTCCCACTTATCGGCATGTCAGTCTTTCCCTTTCTATCACCGGTCATAAAGCTATTACCGATGTTTGCTGTCAAGGTAAAACGGGATTAATGCGACAGTAAATTCAATATTTCTCTCAGAATAAATTTCTCAGCATAGAGAAAATTGAAAAAATCACCATTCCGATTCTTCTTATCTCAGGCCGTGACGGTAGGCATCTCGTCACATAATTTTTAATGATTAAAACTCAGACGACCTCGTGCCCCCGCAGATGATGGATCAACTCTTTTCTCTTTGCAAGGCGCCGAAGAAAAAATATGTCAAGCTGCGTGGTAATCATAATACAACGTGGACGACTGCTGGATACTTCGATCAATTAAAATTATTTATTAATACTTTGCACCTTGAGACTGTGAAACCATGTAGCCTCGATTAACTTTCAGTAATTTGGAATTCCATAGAATGCACCAGTTGTCGTTATGACGAACTTGACAGAAATCGGATCGGAACTTCATCTTCCGTCGGGATGGGAACACCTCACCGTATGGATTAGCGCGTGTCTTACGATGCTTATTTCTCTTTTTCATATTTTGAGGTATCTTTCCAATTTGTTTTCTGATCTCTAATAAGCTCTCAGTCATCTAAGACAATACAACAAGCCCTCCGAGCAGAGGCTTATTGTACGAATCGCTGCTGTCATACCGATCTACGCCCTTACTAGTGCAATTGCTTTCTCTGCTCCAAGTTACTCTCTCGTTCAAGCTGCCATCCGAGACATGGCGGAAGTAAGCGTTTCTCGTCTTCTGATAGAAAAGATATTTTAGGCGATGGTTATCTATTCTTTTTTAACGCTCCTTTACTCTTATCTTGGCGGCGAAGGTCAGATTTGTAATGCTTTGAATGGCACCCCCATTTACGGAACTTGGTTGACCTGGACTTGCTGTTTGTCTGGGATTCCTTTTTCTGGTCAAATTCTGCGCTTCAGTAAGCAATGTGCTCTACAGGTAGTGTTTCCGCTATGGCCTATAGTAAAGCCACTGATTGGATTCCTAGTTCTGCATTATTCGGCCTGTTGTTTCTACTCTTGAAGTTCTGATGTACAAGTTGGATGTTTACCCTTTAGAGGCCCCTTACCAACTCCATGCCGCGCCTCTTTTCGTTACGCTTGTCTATAATTTCGGTCACTAAAATACTACATCTTAAACGAACAATCTGGTGCTTTTAAGTCTAATCACTATTTTTGACCGACTTCAGCGTTTCTATCTCCTTTGCTTTGTACGGCCTAGCGCTTTTCTACATCTGCACGAAAAAGCTTCTTGAGCCTCACAATCCTGTGATGAAATTCGTTTCCGTCAAAGGTAAATAAAGCTCTTCGTCATTCCATTCACAAGAACTTAGGCATAATTCTTGTATCGTACTGGCAGAATTTGCTAATTGCTATTCTGTCTCAAGCTGGAGCAATTGACACTCCTGGCTCACTGCAAGGTATTCTCATTGCGATCGAGTGTGTTCCAGCGGCGATTCTTGTTCTTCGTGCGTTTCCGGTTGCGCCTTACACCAAAGAAGCTGTAGATGCATCCCCACTTGACTCGATGACTGGCAAAGACGTTAAACAATTATTTGGTAAAAAACTGACCCATAGCTAATCTCGACATAATTATTTAGTCTCAGTCCAAGACACAATGAATCCAAAAGATATTTTCCAAGATGTCGTCCACAATTTTAGTTCGCGTTATAGAGGATATGCTCAATATCACAATGTCCAGGTAACTTATTTAATTCGACCCACTCTATCCAATCTTTAGGTCAATGAACCTCTTGCTGAGAACGACAGTAGACTAATGGACTCTGATGAAGAAGCCTTGCCAAACTAACAATGCAATAATTTTATGGGCTCCTTCAAAGTATTTTATGGTTGGAAAATGTATAACAAGCCATAATTTTCTTTTTAACGAAACTAAGTAAAGAAATTCTTTTGCCACCATTTCTGTGTTCACTGTACCAACCAATCGCTCTTTTCTTCAAAGCATATTCACCTTTTCTGTCGGTAATTCAACTTTCAAAGTGGACTAGTTCTCAAATATATATTATGGATAAAGTGAAAAACCGGCGATATCACAATGAGAGCCTCTTTTGCCTCCTTGAGGGCGTTTTACCGAGGAAACCATGACTCGTCGCAATGATGGTTTTATTTGCAGGGGCCACGTCATCAAACATTTAAAAATATAATTATTGTACGAGCATTTCAAGAGATAGACTTCTAGAGCAGCTACCCGAAAAATGAAAATCTCTGTTACAAAGGTCAGTTTAAAGGAGCTTGTCCTCCTTTGAGCGAGACTTTTTAGCTTTGGAACGGGGAAGAGGGTCGAGGAAAGTACGACTTCGAAATTTCCACGGACGATGAGTTTACCAATGTTCGAGTAACGGCAGATTTTTTCAACGATCCAGCGCCGCCCAAAGAGCCGGGATATTTGATGGGTAGGGTTTGAAGTAGACATCAACAAAAAACGATACTAGCGAACCCGAAAAAGGCTTGTGGGACTTTGAAGTAGCAGAAATTTTCTTTCTCAATTCAAAAACAGAAGAATATTCTGAGTTTGAGTTTGGACCGCACGGGCACTTCCTGGCGCTCAAATTCAAAGGGGCAAGACAGGGAATTGATATCGACGAGAAGTTCGAATTTGCTTTCTCTTCGCAAATCTTAGATGGTGGAAAGACTTGGACAAGCACTGCTCGCATTCCAAATCACATGATTCCAGAAGGAGTCGATAAGTTCAACTGTTATGGGTAACATTACAAACCACGCGTTGATTTAAAAGAAATTAAGCATCAACGGAGTTGGCGACGACAGAAACTATCTTGCCTTTTCTTCCGTTCCTGGAAAAGAGCCTGACTACCATCGAATCCACTGTTTCGCTCCCTTCAGCGTTTAAAAAAACATGCGACGCAAAATGAAAACGCAAATTGTCTGCCTTTTCACGCGAAATATCCTGAATCAGGATGAAGTTAAATGAATAAATGAAAATTTTTGATACTCTATCTTATGATCAATTGTAGAAGTCAGCCAGAACAATATACGACGCAACTTTAAAATTGCTCAGCAGACTCGCGGGGTGCGCGTCATTAGTTACGGTTTGGGGGGTTTGCGTCACTGGTTACGGTTGCGTCAATAGCTACGGTGCGTCAATAGTTACGGTTAAAAATGAGTCATAGGGACCATAGCAATTGACACACACTTTAGGGTTGGCATCAACCTTGGTCGGGTTTGCCGGCAATTTAGAAAATAACAAGAATCTGAAGCTATCTAGGTCTGTCCGAACGAGAGTGTGGTCGCTTTTCGCTTGCAAAAAAAGGAATAAGTAACATAGTCGGACAATTTTTATTGGATCAAGGCTAAAAAAGGTATTTTTTGTATTGGAATCATTTTTGTAAGCCAAAAACCACCACATTCTCTTTCCGACCGACCTAGATAGCTTTAGATTCTTGTAATTTTCTAATTTACCGGCAAACCCGACCAAGGTTGATGCCCACCCTAAACTGTGTGTCAATTGCTATGGTCCCTATGACTCATTTTTAACCGTAACTATTGACGCACCGTAGCTATTGACGCAACCGTAACCAGTGACGCAAACCCCCCAAACCGTAGCTATTGACGCGCACCCAGACTCGCGTCCTCTTTGTTTGTCTTGTCTTTTGGAAAAAAAACGAAGACCTTGGGCACGTCTGACCATGTGCGAGAGTGGCCACGTTTAGTTTTTCTGTGTTGAAATTGCACCCTCTCTTTTTTGTCATAATTAAAGAATCGCCGCGAAAAGAGAAAAATGTTTTTGAAATAAACTCAGACTCTAACATAATGTCGATTTGATGAACTTAACTGTTAATTTATCGTTCTACTTTGTTGCTTTTGAATAGCCGCGGGCGTCAAATTCACTTAAAAAATCGTAAATGATCATCAGATTTGTGATTTAAGAAGAGAATAAGCACCAATGAAAATCGGATATTCGTGGCGAGGCAAGGCGAAATAGAACGAAAACAAAAGACTTTTTACCGTCTGTGTGCGCCGCGTTGCACAGAAAAAAAGAACGACGAAAATAGAGGGTGAGTGCGACAGGGCAGTGGCTGAGCATCACGGCGTTTATCGCTCATTTGATTTTCTCAAACGAAACGGCAATTAACTCCCTGGTTCAGTCGCCGGGTAGAGAAAAGGATAACGAGCGATATAAAATCGACATAAAAATGGCGGATAAGTATGCAGAGATGGAGCACAAGGAGTATGCGAAACTGGTGATGGCCCCAGGCGAGCAGACATGGTCGCAGAAGATTCTTAATTTTGCAAAAGGAACTACCTTCAGCGCCGTCCTAGTACTAACTGGAATTAGTGGGTATGTTGTTTTCTTCTTCCCCGTACACTTTCCGCATTATTTCCTTTTCTACCAGTTATTGCTTTTATTAATTATGTGGACAGTAGGTTCTACTTGATAACCGAAAGTTCTTCTTAGTGGCGGACTCATTCTGCCCGATCAATATTTTAGACTATTTCACTCGTCATACGTCTTTCGAGTTTCTCCTTATTTAGTTTCACTTACGCCTTCTATGTGTGTGCTGTCCTGCTTTTGCTTTCGCCCAAGCTTCTATTTTTCTTTTTCAACTTCGTCCAAGTCACCTGGAATCAAATTGTAGTCCTTGGCCTTCGGTGTTTACACAATTGTTCTTACAAACATTACGGAGGTGATAAACTAGTTTAATGCAAAGTCAGGACCTCTTTTTAAGAAACTTTTCGACCAAAAGATAAAAAGATTCTTATTCTCGCCAACCACCGCACAAGAATGGACTGGCTTATTATTCTGAATTTTCTGTACAATCACGGAAAAGTTGGCGGTCTTCGCTTCTCCCTCAAGGCTCCATTAAGGTGGGTGAAGTTTCTGAGCTGGAGTAGAGTTATGATTAGATTTGTACCTGGAGTCGGGTGGTTTCTTTCCCTCGCCTGCCACGTATTTCTGAAGAGGCGGTTCGAAGACGACAGGGAGCATATTCTGGATTGCTTGGAGCTTTACTCTAAGACAATGGACAACGGTAAGCCGATTGCATACCTTCTAAGCCCAGGCCGAGTTCATAATTCAGCATTATTGCTCAATCCTTAGACATTAATTGATGCATATTTTATAGACTGATTCAAACTTATTTTCAGTGTCGTTCTACTTCTTCCCCGAAGGGACGGTCTATTGGCCCGACATGATCCGGAAATCGAACTCATTCGCAAAAAAAGCCGGCGTCGAACCGCTTTCTCATCTACTTTTGCCTCGTACAACAGGCTTCAAATTTTTGATGGAAAACGAGGATAACTTCTTTGATGCCATTTACGATATAACGACTTCCTACGAACAACATATACCCCAACACGAGCCAGCACTCTTCACCGGTTGTATGCCACCTGTCACAAATGTCGTCCTAAAAAGGTACTTTTTTACCATTGAAAGAAAGTGTAATCACTATTTTAAATAGATATGAAATAGCATCTGCCAAAAAAGATCCAGAGCGATTTTTGGAGAAAATTTGGCGCGAGAAAGACAAAATGCTAGATGAACATTTTGCCGACAAAACGTACTACGACAATCAGCAAATTCTTCAGCCATATTCGACCTCAGTTTTCGAAAACGCCGCAAAATGTTTTGGCGTTTTATTTTGGTGCTGGCGGACTTTTGTTCACCTTACCAACTTCTGGGCTTTTTTGCCTTTTCTGACTATCGCCATCGTTACCACGATTTTTGTTCAACAGAAATTTTTCTCGTTATCCTACTGCCTTACTAGAATCCTAAAAGCTCAACGATTTCTGCGATGGAAAAAGATTCAATAATAAAATAACTAAATCAAAGAATATCTTAAGACTCAGAATCCTTCTCTTGAGAATGCTATTCAGTTTAAAGCTTTTTGATTCAAATCGTTTGTCGTTCATTTAAGAATATTATCAGCAGTTTCATGAGATTTTCCATTTTGTCAACAAAGGTAGCAGAGCGGCCGGGTTTATGATTAAGCTGATTACATGTTCCTCGAATTTTCAGCCTTTATTCTTGAATCAAGTATCTTGATCTTTTAAATCCCGCAGACCAGAATTGTCTGATTAGAGATTTCTTAATGGTCCTGTCTGTGAAAATTTTGAGTTTCCGATGAGAAGGTATTCTTCGGAAGGGAAGTTACTAGTCACCGTATTAATCGCCGGGTGGCGCTGTTGGTCTTACTCGTGCTTCGTTTCTCAACGTATAAAGCAAGCAGGAATTATTTTTTCCATTCATAATTTGTACTTCTCCAGTTCCTTTAGCCTGCTGAGTTTTCTTGATTCCACAGAACATGTCGAAGTCGTCCTCTTGCCGTAAACAATCTCGCCGAATGATGCCAACAAACTTGTGCGTCGAAGAGCGTAAACAAGCTCAGAGAATTCAGTACTTGCGAAAGCAATCCGACGAGCTTTTTAACATCTTCCGGATTCTCCTCCTTGTCTTTATCTGCTTCTTATGCCTTGTGCTTTACTACGGAACTTATGTTCTTCGAAGAATTCGTCACTAGAAAGTGGAATTTCCTCAAACTGTATAAAAATAACTGCCATAAACTAAAATCTATCTGCGATTTATTCGTCAATACAATACAAAGATTCTTCAAGTCGATTATTTTGTGATGATGATATCTTGCTCGTTTTATTGGAAGAAGCAGTTAAAAAATGATGTCAAGGGCTGAACTACGCCGCTTTCGTTTTCGGCTCTCGGGACTAGGCTGGTTTGGGAGGTCGCATCCTGCTGCGCATTGAGAATAGAAGACATCGCCAGGATGGCAAATCGCTATCTTACACGAAAGTGTCACTTCGGAGGCGTCTTTTGCTCCCAAAAACTCAAACACTAAATTCTGATGCGCTGGCTTTCTTCACACTAGTCCTACCTATGTATGAAAATCTTGCTCGGAATGGCACAACAACAGGATCTAGCGAAGCTGCCTTGATATAGCTGTCGAGGCATTGATCTTCTATCACATTATAGTGTTTTTCTTTTGCTTTGTCCCAAACCGTACAGTCCGTCACTAAATTAAAATCAGAAAATCGCACTGGGTAAATAATTTCGGAACAGGCTGACGTGAATTTACGTATGAATTATTTACCGATCTGCGATTGACAATGCCATTCATGATGAATAATTACCTGTAAACTGAACTCCTTCAACAGCTCGGTCAAGTCTTATATCGAAAAACATAAGTTCTCCAGTTTTAAAGCCATCATTTGCAACAGTACTGTATGTTGAGTCGGAGTAAGTTTGCAGCTTGAAATCGAAATTGCCAGTGCCTCGACTAGATCCTTGAAAATTAGGATTATGTTTTGTCGTAAATACTTTTAATATAACCTTTGACGTAAGCTGGCTCAACAGTGACTTCACTGTCAACATCGACAACAGTTTGATATGCACATGCAAACTCTAACGTTACAACAGAATGTGTTCGAATCCAAGCTCCCGATTTCGGATCCTGAGCTCTTCCTTTATTGTCGTAAAGCGTGTTAATAAACAAAATGTGCTTATCATCGACTTCTACTCGAGTTCCACATCCGTCCAGTGGCGCCGTTACCATAAAATATTCTTCGTTGACATCAACTACGTTTCCATTTTCCATGTTGCAAGTAGGATCGGCCAACTGGAGTACTGACATCTGCGAATAAAATGCCTTCCGAACGAGGACCTGAATAAAATGATTAACCGATTTCTTGATGTTTAAACTGGTCTACCTTCATAGAATCACCATCGCACATGATATCAACTTCGCTGTCTTTAATCTGACAGTTTATTTCAGTGTCGTCGAGCTTCATTCCTTCAGGACAAACGCATGTGTTATTCAGACACGAATGCGAGCAGTCAAGTTGCGCGCAATCTGCTTGGTGACACTCGAATCCTGGCTCGAGGTTATGGCAGATTTCATTTCCAGAGCAATTGTGTTGATGCTTCTCGCACTCGTCAACGTCAGAACAAATAATGACAGAATTGTTAGAGTTTAAAGGCTCAAACTCGTATCCTGGCTGACAGGAGCACTGGAAGGTCGGTTCACTGGGATCTCCAGAAGAAATAGCGGTACAATCAGCCAACGATGGACAGTTGTGGTTACCATGCGCGCACGGGTCAACTATTAGCAGGATTAAAATTATCAAAATTTAATTAATTAATTGTCAATATTGAATTGAATATCTTAGGCAAAGTTGATGGTGATTAGTGATTTTCTTATTTTATTCCTCACTGGTACGCACTCTCCGCTTGCTGAAAGCTCAAAACCAGTCTCACAGAGGCACTGGTAAGTTCCCGGTAGATTAGAGCAAATCTCTGACTCGTGACAGTCATGAAGCATTTCAGTACATTCGTCAATATCGTCACATGCGTAATCATCAACATTCATCCCAGTAAAGCAGTTTTTGCATTCGAAACCGGGGGCACACGAACAAGTGTAACCACGAGGAGTAATTCTGTAATATGAATTGGTGCATACCGAGTTAACTGGGCACAAATGGGTGCCTTTATAAGGTTCAGCCACTAAAATTTCTCTCGCTAATACTATGAGTTCTTATTCGTTTTATGGCAGCAAACTATGAACCTCTCCTAATTGACATTCGTCATAATTTGTGTTACGATCCATTTCGCAGGAAAAACTGCCAATTTCATTATTGCATTTCTCGTCAGCGAGGCAAACGTTCACGCGGAAGGAGCACTCGTCCACATCCTGACAAATAAACTCGCCTTCATCCATGATAAATCCGTCGACACAATTGCAGTCAAAAGAGCCATTTGTATTGACGCACTCGGAGTGAACAGGACAAGAATCAATTTGACATTCGTCAATGTCGTGGCACTCGCCAGATTCTTTTATAAATCCCTTGCCAAGTTTTAAATTGATTTTTTGTTTTGAGGACCAACTATGTAAATATGGCACCACATAGAAAAGATCTTAAATAATTGAAAATAAACTCTTTCCTTATCACACTCGCATGAAAAGCCCGCGTAATTATTCACACACGTGGAGTGCTCAGGACAATCGTGGATCTTAGCGGCACACTCATCAATATCCGAACATCCGCAGTTTCCAGAGCTCTTTCTTGCAAGTATGAGTTTTTCGTCATCTAAGTATATCGGAAAACCCGCTTCGTCTGGGTTTTTGTCAGTCAAGAAGATATTTCCTCCAAAAGCCTCAAACGTGTCTAGCACGCGTGGAAAGTCGTCCCAGGCAACATTATAAAGGATGTGCCCGATTGATCTGTTCTTGGTGACATTTTTTAATTCAGCGCCTTGATTATGTGACGCCTTTTTAAAGCACAGGTCGAAGCTTGAGTCTGAACATTTCTCCAAATAACTATTCATGGGTCCAGCCGAGTAGAGAATGAAATCGAGCTCGTCTAGAATTTCAGTGCTCGCGATTACGTTATTAAAAGAATCTGTAAGATCAACGCCTTTTATAGAGTCAAGAAAGATAAATACTATCATAAGCACCTTTCGAAGAAGAAAAGATTTCTTGAACCTTGACCTACAAGAAGACCTTCTTTGCGAAGAGAGTTGACGTAATGGCTGGAGAGTAAATGCTCTGAAACCAATATTCCAGTATATTTCTCAGGTTGAATATTGTCGGAAAAAATCCATGTCTCGCCACCCTTGCCTCGAATCTCCTCGGAGCATGGATTATTTGGAACGGTGAAGATGAACATGGTCTTTTCGAGAGAGAGGTTCTTCAACAAATCATTGCAAGACTGATCTTGATGAACGATGAACGGGAATTTGGCTGGACCGCAAGCAATTCCAGATCCTTTTTTGGTTTAAATAAAGTTGCCTAAAAATCCGCTTTCTCGATAAAAGTGGATCATGTGTAGGATTTTAGAAACCGTTTCCTTGAAGCCCCTTGTTGCAAAAGCATGAATTTTCTTCGCAATGCGCTTCACTTGAACAAAGATCGCAGATGTGCTGGGAGCAAGTGATTCCGTCACCGTCCCAATCATCAATACACATGCAAGAATAACTTCCGGCTGTATTCTCGCATTCCGCCATCAAATGACATTCGTGACTGCCAAGCAAGCATTCATCAACATCAACGCAAGTTTGTCCCGACGATTCGTAGCCACTTTTGATTGCGTTTAAATTAGCTTTATCAATTCTTATCGATAAAAAAAAAATTCAAACAAAATCTTCTCTAATTAATTTTCTCTATATAAGACACTATCCTTAGGCATTCACAGAAGTATGATCCATCGTTATTGAAACATTTGCTATTTTCTGGACATTCATGCGTGAGTTCTACACACTCATTGACGTCTTCACAAATATGTCCATTTCCAGTGTAGCCTTCGTTACAAGTACATTCGTAAGAACCGTGAGTATTTTTACAGATAGCGTTAAATGCACATTTGTTACTGTCCATCCTGCACTCATCCGCATCAACACATCCTATAGAATTTGACTTTGAATTATTTCTACGTGAAGTTAATTTACCATTTCTCTCATTTTTGCCAGATCCAAAAAGACCTTCTTTACAAGCGCAATCAAAACTGCCGATAGTGTTGATGCAAACAGCTTCCGAGTGGCAGAGACCTAGAGAGCACAAGGTATTGATTAGTTTAAAATATAAAAAATACCGGATTCTCGTCGACATTCATTGATATCGACACACTCTCCAGAGGAAACTTTCTCAAATCCAGCGTCGCAAATACAATCGTACGTGCCCACCAAATTCTTGCACTCCGATTTCGGGGGGCATTCGGCCAGCTCTTCCGCGCATTCGTCAATTTCAATGCAATCGCAAGGCGTCTGTAGCTCTTTATGGTCAAGAACCAGGTTACTTATTGCTCTAAAGTAACTGGGTCTTAATTGACCAGTCTGGGTTGAGTCAGTTATAAACATCCCTCCGCGAAAATGCTGGCTGTTAAGGAATAATCATAGAGTGAAGGATTGCGTGGAATAGATATGATTAACATATTTTAAACGAAAAAAACATGAAAAAAATGGAAACATGTCAGACGGAAGAGAGCAATTCTCTATTGACGTAAATCGGTTCTTTTTTCGAAAGCTACCGTTTTATATTTTTCCGCAACGCTCATGAACGATTCCCATGATCCTGTAATGACTACCAACCGCAGTCGTAAACCCTGATGCTGGAACTTCGAAGATCATTGAAACGAACTTCGGAACTTTAGACTTGTCTGCTAACGACACGCTCCATTGGTACAAACGGTCGATATCGTCGCTTCGATCATGAGAGCAGAATGGACCCTTTCCATAATGGCCGCAGCTACCATCGAAGTTCTCCATATTTCCGCGATAGAGGGTTATCATATCAGCGGACTTCATGAAATCGTCGAAAACAAAACAGTCTGATAAATCGACAGCAACTTTAAGACCAAGAGATTTTGCGAGTGTCTATAAATAAGTATTTTCCACAATTTCAAAAACAAATATCAAGTAAAATAATTCTTTAGAAAACATGGTCACCATCATTGTACGTACCATAGTTATTTTAGTCTCCGAGCAAGGCTCCAAGTAAACTCCCGAAAATCTGTTTCTGAAATTTGAGCTGATAAAGTTCAGCTTGTTAACCGCGTCTTCTGCTGTTGTTGAAAGACGAATGTAAACATCAACGCCCTTAGTGAGTATATCGTGCATACACGGTTTCCACTTCCCAGATGGGTTGTCGATTATAACGGAAGATCCAGGTATTTCAGCGATCGTTAACCAGTAATCATCTGTGCATTCACGCGTCTTGTCGTCGAAAGACGGAATCAAAGATGGAGTCATCGGGACCATGAGACCGTCAGTCGTCGGACATTCAACCCCAGTGCCCTTGTATCCAGCTGGGCACAGGCAAGAATCTCCGTCGCAATCCGCAATCGAAGTGCACGAGCTACATATGTCCTTTTGTGGAATTAGACTGGAAACGCTTGCCATGCTACTCTAGTAGACGCTTCATAAATCTAAATGTCAAAGGTTTGACTCAAAGCGGTAGTCGAATCCGAGCCTGAGCACAGTTGAAGCCGTCGCCTTGAAGATCTCCTAGACATTCACAAAAGTAACTTCCGTCTGTATCCGTACATTTGGCCATTGGGTGACACCGGTCTAAATATGGATGAAACGACGATACGTTTATTTTCTGTATATAGCTTAGTATTGAAGTAAAAGATATTTTCCCTTTCGATTGATATAATCTCATATATATTTGAGCAGTGTAGCAGCCTAACCTGAGTCATTTGCGCATTCGTCGATATTGACACACTGATCAGATCTTCTTTCGTAGCCAGGATTACAGTTACAAGTGAACCCGCCTAGCACATTTATACACTTGGAGTTCTCTGGACATGACGCTGTACGAAGAGCGCATTCGTCAACGTCTTGGCATCCTTGGATACTTCTACCCGATCCTGAAAATCCGGAATCGCAAATACAAGCAAAGGTGCCTTCGAAATTGACGCAGTGGGAATTCGCGGCACATAAGCTTTCTGTGGAATCGTTGCATTCATCTATGTCTTCACAGATTTCTCCATCGCCAATAAAGCCACTGTTGCATGTACAGTCAAAACCCCCAACGGTATTATGACAGACTGCATTGATGGAGCATTTATGGGTTCCAAAAAAACACTCATCAATATCAATGCATGTCATCGAGCCTTCATTTAGGATTTCCGCGAATCCGGCCGAGCAAGAGCATCGATATCCTCCAGCAATGTTTGTGCAATCTGAGTGACTTGGGCAAGTTGATTTTCCGGTAGCGCATTCATCAACATCTCGGCAGCCACAGTTTGAAAGTTTGTTCCTCTCACGAGATTTTTTTAGAACAAGATGCTGAAGATATTGGAAATACGATGGTCTGTATGTAACAGAGTCGAGTTTTTGATCAGAGATGAAGATACCTCCACCGAGGTCACCTTCGAAATGCTCGTCGAGTAAAATTTCAATGTCTTCCATGGGAATGTCGAAGAAAAACGTTAAAAATTTTCCTCGATCGACATAATCGCCTGTTGGGTGATATAAATAAAAGTCTATATTACATAGATGTATTATCATTTCGATAAAAAAATGATGTAAAATTGAATATTTACTTCTTTCTATCACCTCTTTTTAACGGAGTAAATGACTTCATTGATAGCATTTGCACCCAGTCGACCTTCTTTGCAGAACGGACCCACACCAAATTCTCCACAGTCTAACATAAAGTCATCGTAACCGCCCTCGAAGACCACAATGGTGTCGATTTTTTGGACTGTATTAATAGACCACAGTTGTCCATATCCGAGTATAGATATTTTGAGCCCAAGGCTACGGATATATTCAAAAATGACGTCGAATGAAGGATCGTCAAAGCCCATTTCGGTATTCTATTGAGGATGAAACATATTGATGAAATATTATCTGCACTGTTCATTCTACAGCAACACTGGCAAATTTACGATCGGCTTTTAAATTGTTTCCCCTTTCCGGATTTTTCAGATGAATTCCGGATAGTCTCACTGGCGATGATTCCGTTATAGCCACTATTTCTTCCATAATATTTTCGATAGAAACGTCTGAAACATCGACAGTGACAAAAATCTGAATTTTTCTACGCGACACTTCATCCAAGCACGGTGAGTCGGAAAGAACACTGGCGTCAATAAAAACGCAGTTATCATCGTCCGATGCTATTTGACTCCAGTATTCATCTGTGCACACGTCAAAATCGACTGAAGATGGGGCGACTGAGGACGGTTAATTTGCATTCTGAGCGCGGTATAACATGTACGCACGTGTGCTTTTCTGAAGGAAAACGAAATTTTATCGATATCTTACATGGAAACAAATTATCAACCGTTTCTTTCACTGGAATTGCAAGAGTATTCTTAGGACAAGAATATCCAGACCCGCTAAAGCCAGGTGGACAACTACACAATCCGCTGTCTTCGCAACGTGCCTGCTCAATGCAGCCAGAACAGATGTCTTTTGTGCAGCTAAATCCGTTCCCATTCCACGAAGGCTCAATACACTCGCATTGGAAGCTTCCGACTGAGTTGTTACAATCGGCCATCAAATGACAGGGTCGCATCGAGCACTCGTTAAAGTCTTCGCAGTTTTGCCCGTCACCAACGAATCCATCTTTGCAAGAACAAGTATAGCTGCCAACTGTATTTTGGCAAACTGCATTTGGACTACATGTGTTTACACCTATGCACTCATCAACGTCTTCACAAGAGAACCCGTCGCCTTCGAAACCATCAATGCAGGAACATGCGTAATGTCCTTCGATATTAATACAGGTGGACATAATATCGCATTTGTCCAATTGTTCTTGGCACTCATCAATGTCCAAGCACACACCAAGGGGTCCTGGTCTGAATCCAGCATCGCACTCACAAGAAAACGAGCCTTTTTATTAATACAAGACGAATGCCTAGCGCAGATATTTTTATCTTGACACTCGTCAACATCTTTGCACATGAAATTGCCAGATGTATCAATTGAATCAACGTATCCCTCATTACAGCTACAGCGGAAACCCCCGTTCATATTTGTGCATGTAGAATCATCTGGGCACGGCTTGACCATTGTGACGCATTCGTTTATATCTTTGCAGCCACAGTCGGAGAAGTCTACCTCCTGCGCAGTAAACGCCAGCATCTCATTATTAAGTCGAACTGATTCGTCGATGATGTCAGAATATTCTGTCGGCAATTTGTCTGACACAAAGATGGAACGCGGAGAGCGGAATCGCAGTACATTTTCGAATAATGAGTTTATGTTTGTCCCATCTGCTTCGTGAATAATTGTTCCAAATCGGGTCCGCGAGATGAATTTTCTGTCAATAGCAGTAAGAATTTCGCTAAGAGTATCTTCGTCTTCGATGCAGAGATCAAAAATACAGTTGTGACGGAAGTCGAACTCACTTCCACTGAAGGTGATCACCAAATCGATACTCAGTAAAGTGGTGATGTCCCAGGCGCGTCCATGGCCATTTATAGCGATGAAATGGCCGCTATTTTTTAATTCTCGGAAGATTTCGAGAGCTTTATCGTTCCTATAATCGTCGAATTCAAAATAGAAGCCATCAAGTTCCAACTCAGAAGCGAGTTCTTCTGCAACTTTCACATCCATAGTATCGGTTGAGCCAAGAACAATCGCACCTTCACTTCTTACCAAGGTAATACAGGGTATCCAAGATTTGTCCATATTTCGTAGTATAAATGCAATGCCTTGTTTTTTAGAGACATTTTTCCAATAACTCTCGACAGTGATATCAAAAAGTTTTGATGAAAAAAATAAAAAAAATTATAGATTTTTGTGAGTAACCACTAACTGTCAGCACAGAGATTGTCTTCGATTTTCGGCGAGCTCGAAATGGGAACGGGATTTACGGCTGTCGGACAGGTATAGCCTGAGCCAGAAAATCCTGGTGAACAAGAGCAGTCTCCATCTTGACAAGAAGCACTGGCGTCACAAAGTTGACAAATGTCCTCCTCACACTGGCGACCGTTTCCACTCCAGCCAAAAGCACATTGACAAGAGTAGGACCCTGGCGTGTTTTGACAAATGCTCATAGAGTGGCAAAGATGAGCTCCACTTCATTAGAGTTTTCTAAGAACCGTCAGTTTTAAATAGTTGAATATTTTTAAAATAATTATTGTTTGAATGCATGTGCTTGAGAAAACTCTGGCTTGAGCATTCGTCAACGTCATCACATTCTTCGAGACCATTTCCGCTAAACCCAGGGAGGCAAAAGCATAAGAAGCTACCTTCCGTATTCAGACAGGCTCCATTTGACGCACTGGAATGGGCTTCACTAGAGGGAAGTGGAATTATTTCACCCATTTTTTTCATTTTTATAGTCGATGATAAATCTTTAATATTACAAATATTAGTATAAACTTTTCACAGTAAAGATTAATTGATTTCTTTTAGCTATCCGGTCATAGTATTTCATTAATATGGAAAAAAGCCCTAGCAAATGGAATCGAGTATTGCGCACTCATCCACGTCCTCACAACTTTCACCGGTTCCAGTGAATCCAGTTTCACAAGAGCACGTGTAACTTCCCAAGGTGTTTTGACAATCCGCGTTTTCCGAGCAACTTTCCGTATTTATACAATCACTTTTGCAAAATTGGTTATTTTGAAGACTGCACTCATATGAGTCATATGTAAAAAAGAATTAAAAGTTCAAAAATAATTTGATAATAATTAAAAAATAATTTTCGATTGTAAAAATTCCCTGTGAATTTGGCGCTCACATTCTTCAATATCCACACAGCTTTTGCCGTCTCCTTCGAATCCGGGTAGACATGAACACTGGAAACCTGGCGACAAGTTAACACATTCGCCGTTAGCGGAGCAATCATGGAGTCCTAGAATTTTAAAAAGTAATTGTAACTGCTCAAGGATTCTCTTATTTGAGAATCTTGAATGCTTACCAAGTGAGCACTCATCCAGATCCCGACAAAGACCATCCGGCGTCAAGGCAAAACCTTCATCGCAAACACAATCAAAGCTACCAACATTATTCGAGCACTATGCGAAGATTCTGTGACAGTGAAAAAATGGTCCTTCTACCTTGGAGTTTAGTGGGCACGGATTGCTATCGCATTCATCAATTTCGTGGCAGCCACATGAACTTGTTTTCCTCTGGGTGTTAATTCTTTTAACTTCTTCTAAAAAGTCAGGCCAATACTCCGGAAGCTGAAACGTGGCAGCACGCAGCCCATGGGAAGTCACAAACAAACTCCCAGCGACAGACTTTTCAGCATCTGCGATTACTTGACTCACCAGCCGCTCCGGGACGTTTCTAAAGATATGTCAGTCATTGCCCATTTTTGGTCATTTCACTTTCCAACTTTCTATCGAGAATATCACTCCGCTTAGTATTTGATTCAGATCTTTTCCTAGATCTTTTAGGAAAGTATCTTTGATTTTGAACTAGTACCTGATTATTGCACCGAATTTCGACCTTGAAAATAGTCCGATCTCTACCGCATTTTCAATCTTTTTCAATTCTTCTTTGGTGATTTGATTTTGTCGACAGAATGGTCCTCGGGAATGTCCTGCAAAACAATTGAGACCAAACTCCGCCACTGGCGCATCGAAAATAACAATAAAATCAACTTCTGTTGCAAATCGAATGTCCCAGTTGTTGCTTTATCGGTTTTAAAACGCTTCTAACTGAATCTGATCTTTCATTTTAGACCCGATGCCTGTATCCGTCGATGGAAATTTTGAGCCCAGCTATTCGACATAAATCAAATAATCCTGACCACTCTTCAAGGGCATAAGTAAGAATCTCGTCAGTTTGGAAATGGATTCCGGTCAACGCGTCGCCAAAAGCGATAAGCTCCTGGATTTGAGACAGAATGTTTTTGTTGTCTGATAAATCAACGCGTTTAACATGGACAGTGGCATATACTTCCGCAAAAGCCTGGGTAAGAAGCTTAATGCAAGGAACCCATCCTACAGAAGCGCCATCGAGTATAACTTTTCGCTCGATCATCAGTTCTTTAGCAATGTCCGACCATAGGGGATCGATGCACTCGCTTGTTCTAGGACTTATGATCGGCGGTGTGTTTATTGGAACCACAGCAGATGTAGAGCTTGTGCAAGCGATGCCGTTTCCACTAAAACCCGAAGAGCAAGTGCATTCCGAGCCAGTGCAAGTAGACCCGGCTGCACATAGAGTGCACAGTTGTCGCTGACATGTTGCACCATCGCCAGAGAAGCCGCGACGACATGAGCAGGCAAAGGACCCATCTGTATCCACGCAGTCAGCCATTTCATGGCAGTTATGAATGCCAGTCGCGCATTCATCAACATTCACGCATTCTCCTTGGTTCATTTTGTAACCAGAAAGACATTGACAAGAAAATGATCCGCTCGTATTCTCACAACTCGAGTTTTCCGGACAAGGCTCCGCAGTGCATTCATCGATATCCGCGCAGGATGTTCCGTCCCCAGAAAATCCAGGTTTGCAGATACAGCTATGCCCACCCTCGAAATTCTCACAGGTGGCATTTTCATCGCAAATATTTTCCAGAGCACACTCGTTGAGATCAGTGCAAGTTAAACCATCCCCGACAAATCCATCAACGCATTTACAAGAAAATCCGCCATTCATATTCTCACATGTTGCATTCTCATCGCAAACTGCACTGAGACATTCATCGAAATCTACACAAGTTTCTCCGTTGAATGTAAATCCATCGATACACTGACAGTTGTAACCTTCGCTGTCAATGTTTTCACATGATCCCTCTAATCCACAAATATCTGGAGTTTCTTCGCATTCGTTGATGTCTTTGCACCCGCAGTCTTGATTTCCCTTTGCTCCAATTTGTCCTTTTGCGAGATCTTCCCAGTAAGAAGGTTTCTTCTCGCTTGTTTTTCCAAAATCTGACGCATAAACTGATCCAACGTCATCTCCTTCTGCCAGGGAAAACACATTTTCAAGATGTCGCCGGGGGACATTGAACACTATGGCTCCGATCTTCTCGGGACCATAGACTCCATTAGCGATATTTTGCTTGATTGACATGGTCTGCGATGTTCTAGTCTTCGCGCCACAAAATGGACCTTTCCCGTGTACGCCACAGTTGGTACTCATCTCATTAAAGTGTCCGATAAAGACGACTGAGAGATCAGTTGCCGCCACTGTATTCGCGTCGAACTGAATACCTGCGAGTTGTAGGCCTACTTTCAATTCTGCACGGCGAGCTTCATCAAACGCTGAAGTAAAGTGATCCTGTGAGAAGCCTTTCGCGCCAGGATTCATAAAATATGCGCCGTTTACTTTTCCTCCGAATTCACTAGTTATCTGCTGAACTTGCTTCGTCAGATATCTAGACAAGATAAAACAAGCTTAACTGTAGTTATGAATACCTCTGTACCTTTTCATATTTGAAAAAAGACTTTTTCTAGCGTTAACCTGTTGATAGACATCCACACCATTATCGCGCAATAATCGTATACAAGGTAGCCATGTACGCGCGGGAAACACAAGTAACACAGTAGCTCGCTTCCCTAGAGCTGCGATTTCCGCCCACCACTCGTCTATACATTTACCCGCTTTGAGTGAGACAAGAGGGATGGAACGAATAGGAATAATAAGTTTTTGCTCCTCGCATTTCGTAGCGGGACCACGGGTTCCAGGGGGGCAAATACATCCTTCGCTTGTGGAACTGCATATGGCTCCACTGCTGCATTCCTTGCAAGTATTTTTAAAGCATTGAGTTTTACCGTCGCCTTCGAATCCTCGCGCACATGTGCATGTAAAGCTTCCAAAACTGTTCGTGCAGAGAGCATTTTCCGCACAAGCATTTTCGCTTGTACATTCGTCAATATCATTACAAACAATGCCGGAACCGACAAAACCTTCTTTACATGAGCAAATGAAACTGCCAGCCGTGTTTTCACAGAAAGATTGGGCGGCGCAGTTATGCAAGGAGTGCGCACACTCATCAACGTCGACACACTGATCATTTTTTGACTCGAATCCAGATGCGCATTCGCATCTGAAGCTGCCTTGAGTGTTCGTGCAGATTGAATTCTCGCCACAAATGTTTTTATTTTCTGCGCATTCGTCGACGTCCTGGCAGACTTTACCGTTCCCATCAAAACCAGAGGCGCACGCGCAGATGAATCCGTCCACTGTATCAAGACAGTCTGCATTTGGCGAGCACTCGTGTGTTCCTTTAGTGCATTCATTTATTGTCAAGCAAACGCGGCCATCACCATCAAATCCAGAGCCACAGGAGCATTCAAAGGAGCCCTCAGTGTTTTGGCAAACTGCATTCGAATGACAAATATCCTTCTGGCACTCATCAATATCTTTGCAACCACATCTTGACTGATCGATTGCTTTTCCATTTGCAACACTTCTTTTAACTGCATCTAAAAGTCGTGGGCGGACTGTCGAGTAAAAAGGCCGTTCTGTTAGCCAAACCCTGTCGATTTTGAATGTTTCGGAAAGAGCCAGCACAGATTTGACATCACGCACATTCGCATTGTATGCAATGATGGCGAAGACATCTTTATTTAGCTTTCCTTGATTCAAAGCTATAACCATTTCAGAAATCAAATTTCTAGCTGCTCTCGTCGCGCAAAATGGTCCTGGGCCGCCTTCTCCACAGCTCTGGGTAAATTTTTTCACTGGTTCTTTGAAGACCACAACGAGATCTATTTTCTTTTTAATCACGCATTCAATCGACCATTCGGCATCTGATGCTTGAATCCCAAGTTTTAAATTCTGATTGCGAGCGTTTTCCATTGCCTCGTAGACCCAGTTTGTTTCAAATGTTCTTCCTGGATTCGTCAAATATGGATTAACTTTTCCATTAAATACCCTCTTTAGGTTGTTAAATTTCTTTGTTATGGCGCTGACAGGATCATCCATGCTGCCTCCTTTTGCGTCAATCTTTGCATAAAGTGTGATTCCTTCTTTATTCAACAATTCAATGCAGGGCATCCATTTCGTGGAGTAAATTTCAAGGACAACAACAGCATCCTTCATTGTGGAGATTTCGTTCCAATACGCATCCACGCACCGACCGCCACGGATCGTTGGTCGTTGACGTATTGGTATAATAAATTTCTTATCATTTTTTGGCGCATTGCAGTCTTTTTAGGGGCAATAACTTAGCATTTATCAATTTTTGACCGCAAAGACTTTGTATTTAGATATATTAATTATTCCTAAATACACGTCGTATTGTTGCATATATCCAACTTGGATAATCTAAGCTTAAAAATGAGATTGTTCACCCTAACCTTGGCCATTTCCATCGAATCCTGGTTTGCACCGACATGCTCCCAAAATACACTCCGCTTTTTCGTCACAAGTATCGAAACAACCGATGGCGCGAGCTCGACCAGATAAACCAAGAGCAGTTGAAGGATTAATGCACGTGTAGGATCCATCAGTATTGACACAAATCTCCTCCTCACTCTGACAAATTGCTTCGTCTGTGTCTTCCACAGAGCATTCATCATGGTCATAGCATCCACATTTAGGCCAAAGTCCCTTCAGAGAGTAAGTCAACTCCATAGCCATTTGATCATCGAAGTCTGCTTTGTTTCCCGCGTTTATATCCGCCGAGGAGACGAAGATTGATCCGATGTTTTTAGCTTGAGCTGCCCTAAAAACTCTTTCCGTATCAGATGGCAAAACCGAATAAAATATGCCAGCTAGCTGAGTTTTTGAAATTAATCCACGTGCGATCGCGGGCATTAGTTCAGAATCGCTATCACAGAAAACGCCTTCCGTTTTCTGTTCGCAACTTATTATCCAATCTTTTCGGTGTCATAAACATGATTTAACATAGGATAGCCGTAAGATAAATACCAAGTAGTTTGAATGCTCAAACTCTTGTTAAATGTATCGGACACCTTCCATTAAAGTTTGCAAAGAAGAGAATTACTTTATCAGCTGCTGGAATGGGGTTTCCAATTGTTGTTTTGAGCGATCCTGATAACAGCTTGACAGCTTCTTTTTGTTTTCTGACGTCGACAATCACGCCAAGATTTCGCAGTTTGATCATATTCACCAGTTTAGCAAACATATCTACGCCGCCATATTGATCGAACTGGTTATTTGGCGCATTTGACAAGTAGATGCCGTCAATGAAGTCACCATAAGTGGCCAGAACTCGCTCAAGCTTTGACGCAATTATGTTGAATGCTTTGAATCCGTTCCAGAGCGATTCATCGTGATATATTTTCACACCATTTTCTTTAAGAAGCTGGAGACATTTGGCGTACTGATCTAATGCATTGACATTCAGATCAACCAATACCGTTGTTGGAATATCTTCTAGGGCTAGGTTTCCAGCGGCTATCCAGAAAGGGTCTTCGCAGTTCTCTTCGTCGCCAAATGATTTTGGTCGATTTAATGGAAAAATAGAGTCACTTTTATCGCACTTCAAGCCTGTTCCGAAAGTACCTTCGTCGCAGATGCAGCTCCCCTCAGCAGAGCAAGTTGTTCCCTCCACACATTTTGCACATGGATCTGGAATGCAACCATCCTCATCGACTCCATCGCCAATCATTCCTTCAGGGCAGCGACAGGCAAACGAGCCGATCGTGTTGTCACAAGCCGCAAGAAAATGGCAGTTGTGTCCATTAATTTCGCATTCGTTTACATCGACACATCCACACTCTTCGTCTTGTAAGAAATTCAGAAGCATAAAATCCCAGTAAGACGGGCCATGACGATTGGTTTCAGCGCTGTCGAAATTACTGACGGATAAGATGCCTGATCCCTGAGAATTCGCCGTAGAAAGAAGTTCTTTCATTTCTGCAGGTTTGACATCGTATATAATTGAAGCGAATTGTGAACGTTGAGCCTGCCCACGAGCTATTCTCCTCATGATTATTTCAAAAGTCGGCTTGAAGCTGTTTTTGGCTCTGCAATAAGGCCCCACTCCAAGGGTTCCACAAGCTTCGGACCATCTCGCATAAGATCCTTCGAAAACGACGACGAAGTCCGCACGATAGTTTGCATTCGGATGATTTAATAGCTGTAAGTTATTTTTGACATGATTTTTATGGCAAATACAATTATCTTAAAAAGCTCTCAAAAAATTTCTTGGCGTCCCATGTTGCGTCAGAAGCGGAGATCGCTGCTTTGAGCGACCTTTTCATCGTTTTGATAGTATAAATAGAGTCCCTAACCAGCGACTCTGACAAGTCACTAGGCGGTGAATCTAAATAGAACCCATCCACATAAGCTTCATAGATTTCCCAGAGATCATTGATTTTCGAGCGAGGATCGACAAAGCCGAATTCCATAGAAACACGTAGATAAATCGTTACTGAGGAGTCTCTTAACAAGCCTAAGCAAGAGCGGTAATCGTCGACACTTGCAGCTAAAAAGGGATCAACAATGGCGTATCCACGGGAGCCCACATCTGCAATTTTCTTCCACGTTTGTGAGATACAAGTTCGATAGCTATCTGTCTCTGGTGGCTCGTGATAAATCGGTAAGAGCACATCAGGTCTCTGATTCAAGTTTTTGACCGAAAACAGTCTAGAGGCTGATCTCCAGTATATCCATTGGCGCACTGGCAATGGTTGCCTATGCATTCACTGTTTGTTCCACAGACAAGACAGTCTACTTGACGTGCGGCGGCGAACCTTTTTAGCCCCGTAGACCAGCTGGCAAGCTCAGTTGAACCATTAGCTTTTTATGGTTAATTTTGACGAGAAAAGCCAATATTATTTAACTTCCTTAATAACTCTGAAAAGAATAAACCGATCCTTCATGAATAAAGTTAAATGCCAAGAAAAAGGTAAAAAGACGTCTAAAGTGCAATTTGCCTAACGTATCAACTCCCATGCGAGTTGCAATAATGACGCCTATCTTCAGTACATTCGATCTTCTGTTTCAATCTCTGCAAGAAAAAAAATCGAAATCGCTATTTAAATTGCCGATATCACTCTCAGCGGGAGATTGATTAAATCTCCAGGAGGAAATGGCGCCACTCGATGGCGTTAACGGTTGAATTTCCCCTACAAGCGACAGGCAAAGACTAAATTATCGCTTGATGAATATAATGGTGGAACGAGGCGATCCGCAAATTTCACGCCAATTCTAATGCTGCGGATTCCTAAGCAATAAATCCAGGTTACTAGAAGTTTCCGGCATTATATAATGAAGGAAAAATTTTTATACGATACACTTCAGTAAATCGTTTTTCTTAAAATATGTTCACTTTCGAGAAGACCGATTTTGATATGAGTCAACAGAACCGCAGTTTGAGATTTACGTTGTCTCTAGAACTCATGTTGTTGAGAGGGCGTCACGCCACATAGCAGTCAGTCAGTATTCTACTGAATCTGAGAAGGTCCGACACGGCATCTTAAAAAGTAAGTCAGCATTAACGCAATTGAAACTCTACTTAAAAATAATTTTTAGTCAAAATCAAGACTCAGCAGAAACCCCGCAGCTGAAGACTTTCAGAAATGAGCGAACCGGTTTCTGAACCCGGTTTCGATTTGTTGAAAAAGTTCAGAGAAATTATGAAGAGGATTTCCAATTTTCTTCTTGTTCCTGCAAAGGAACTTGTTGCTGTCATTACTGTCAAATCAGAATCTCAATCATCAATCCACTGTGAAACCAACTGATACCTCACCAAAAACCTGAATAAAATCAATTTCTTATATAAACAGATTCGCGATTTTTTCTTGCATTTCGTTCATGCAGGTTCATATCATATTCAGTTGATTAAAACCAGAAGAGTCGTAGAAAGAACTGTATAGTGGTAAAGATAATAACGTCCGATTTCTACACAATCATCCCCGTCAAAAGAATACCTGTCAGGCAAGCGTATAAATCCCGCATGCGAGGCTGACAAGATACCAGTGTTGCATGATGAAGTTTTTTTCTTTTTTAGGAAAGCGGGCACTTTTGGCTTTATTAGTAGGAATCACAAGAAGCCATATTGAAGTGTAAAATTAAGTGATAATATTTGCCCGGTTTGAAAGTATCAATTTCTATGGCCATTCCTGACCCTTTGATTTCTCAAGCTGATCGGAAACTATTCCTCCTGAATAATGCTCGACAGCTCAACGGAGGCGATCATACAAAGGTTCCGCAAAATTATCGAAACTACGTGAATTAGTGAAAAAACAAACAATTGTATTCTAGAGAAAATTAACCTATTAAAACTAGGTTATGGTGAAGCGAGATTCCGGAGAAACGGCGTATCGAAGTAGTAATGGAAGAATGAAAAAGCAAGACCAGGATGAACTCGAGGAAAGTTGTGGCAAGAAATTGATTATTTTTGGTTATAAGAAGTTCTTGCAAAAACTCTTTCAGCAATTAGGAAATGATGGAATTCAGTATTTCAAGGCGATCACGGACGATCTTTTCACATTGCGATGCTTCTGGGAAATTTTGACTGTTTCAGAAATATCGTCTCTTGTTTGAGCCATTTTGTATTGCACATTTAAATGTATTCTAGTGCGATACTTTCTTTATCGATATGGTGGAAGGAACAGAAGAATAGATCATCAAAAAATGGTCGAAATTTTCTGAAAGTTTATTGACTTCAGTATGAATATTCTATTCAGAACGAATAAAGTTGAAAAGGAACACCAGAACACGTAACAATATCTTATAGAATTTTACTGAAATTAAATCTCCCTCTTTTTCGGTTTCGTGGAATGCTTTATAAAAAGCGACAGCATTTCTTTAAAACCGATTCCTTCGAACGTCCAAATCTAGCTTTAAAAAACAAAATAAACAGACGACGAGGAGAATCATAAGGAGAAGGAGCTGTATATGAAGATTAATACTATCGCCTATAAAGAATACTAGCGTAGCTACACCAGACTCAGCGAAATTGAAAAGCATGAAAGCAGCAGCAGCTTCGCGGTCAGTTTCTGTTGTAGCTTTGATAAAGTTCATGAGTTGTGCATTGAGCAACGCATCGCCAAAGCCGATGATGAATGCTGCCAGGTAGAGAAGTTCCACTGAGTCAAGGATTCTTATAGCTTATTTGAGTACTACAAATAACCAAGTAAACCCGATCTATTGGCTCTATGAAAGCGATCGTTTCAACGGGTTCGATGACAGCATCAGAGGGAATGTTCAGCAGAATTATGAGGAATGCAAATACTTTTTCGACGTTGTCTTGAGCTTTTTACTCTGAGCTAAATACGCTCGGAATTGAATGTTCACATCTTATCACAACACGGTCCTTCGATAATGAGTCCAAAAGCGGCAATAGGCCCACGTCGAATTTTCTCAATATTTGATGCGAGTCCAGAGAGAAAGGAGCCCGTAACTTCGCCGATTCCAACGAAGACAACAATAAGTCCAGTAAGTCTGTCCGAATCTGCACCAAGTTGTTTTGTATTAGCTACAGCTGTCGGAAAAATAGTTTGAAAAAATGCGAGTTCGAAACCAATGTAACAAGTAATGAGGAAAAGCATGCCAAAGTGGTATGAGTACCAGAATCGGAAGGATTCTTTTATGCCGCCGAACAGATGTCTCAACTTTTGGCTCGCCGTTAAAGTTGACGTGTCGATGCAATTTTCCGGCGTAACTGCTAAGGATTAGATTGAAAGCCAGGAGACTTGTATATTTACCAGTGATGGTTTTTATGAAACATAAAGCCAAAATTCCAATGGTGCCTATTCCAACAAGCAGTATAAACAAAACGACCCGTTCATGTGTATCAACGAATTCCTTTCCTTGCCATGCAAAAAATACGTATAATGTTCCACCAAACTAAGGGAAAATATAACTTTCGAATCTCAATAAAGAAACCTGTGATAGCTGGTAAAGAAGCCAAAAAACAGAAGTGTTTCTGTCAATTGTTGTGTTATCTTAAATTTGATCAGGCTTATTTTAATTTCGAGATAATACTTGAATTAGAAATCACGATTGCACCCTGGCCGACCCAAATGAAGGCCCCGCCAACACCGGAAATAAATGAAAACAGGTAAATCGAGATCGGAGTGGGGTAAATGTAACTTCCCGCCATCATCACCGATAGCACTGAGCCAAGAATAACCGAGGATTTTTGACTCAGGAAAAGTAAAAAGCCTGGCACAAAGAGCGCCATCAAGGTCGTCCCCGCGTAATTAAGAGCCATTCCAACATATCCAGAGATGTGTGCTTTGATAATTGAATTGCAGAATTATTTCAGTGAGTACCTTCATTGTTTTTATTATAGGAATCCAGAACAACCTCAGAAACTGCTGCCGTTGTCTTTTCAAATTGAAAAAATGGACAGTTTTCAATCTAATTTCAGTCTATCTAGCTTCTCTCTAATTTTCCTGATAAGCCGTGTATACAAACAAAAAACCAAGACCAAGAAGAATGATATTCCGATCTTCAACTTTTCTAAGCATTCTCTTTGCTTTAATCTAAGTTTTTCGCACTCTGTGAGCATAAGACAACACTGTTTATGTGGCCATTTTGAAAAGATGTTAAAAACGACAGAAGAGAGTAGTGGGATTTTTACGTTCCACCTGGAAATTCTTCATTCAAATTCGAGCAGATCCTCACCCCTAACGGAACCCCCAGCTAGTCTCTTACCCAAAACACACGCCCAGATTCTCGAGATATTGAATGGCTCGAATGATAACCTCTCTAATTTTCACAGAGCGGTCTAGGGAAGAAACGTTGTTGCCGATGGAATTCAAGCAGCTTGACTCAAGCTCGTCCAGAAAGTGGAACAGTAGCCGTGTCACTTACGTCAGATTGCTCAGCCTGCAAGTAACCTAGATATCTATTCTATTTATTCTGTAGATAATTATCAAATATAACTTCTTCGACACAAGATATCGTAAAATACACTCAACAGCATAACTTTACGAATTTAAATTGCGACTTGAATAGGCGATTCGCCTATTTTTGGAACTTTATTGAATAGGTATATCTTTGTTTGACAGTTTTCTGAATTCGCTGGCGTTTAATGAAGTGTTGTGGCAGAATTGGACTCTTGAAATACATTTCTTTTCCGAATGAATATTGTTAATTTTAGATATAGCACAAATAAATATATATTAATTTAAAAAAAACGCAAGTTTATCAGTGAAAGATGAGAAAAATAAAAAAGTTAAAATTGGCAAAAAGGTAGTGTCGGCTTCTTACTCGATCCAGTAATCAGGGATCGGGAGTTCCCCATTGTTGTTTCCATTCAGATCCAACCCATCAACATCATAGGGATCTTTCTCAGCCATCTTCTGGATGAAGCCTTGTTGTTCGATTTCTTTGAGCACAGCGAGGAAGTGTTTCTTCTTTATCCTTTTTGCCTCGTCTAGTAACTCATCTAAACGATTGTTATTATTATCCGAAAATATCATTAATAATGTTTCTCAATAACTCGACAATAAGCCAAGACAATAAGCCAGACTAAGAAGTATTCCAAACTTTTACATACCGATGGATAATAAGAAGGCGTGACTATTACATTCATGCAGAAGCGCTGCTTCTATCTGCTCTTGCTCGTGAGGTTTAGGACTGTAGGGAAGCTTCGTTTGCGTGAAGAAACAACAGTCGTCGCAAGATACAACTCCGATATCATCAAAGATCTTTTGATACTCTTGCGAGCAAGACAGCTGATTAATTGTTACATACATATAAATTATTATAATAGTGACCTACCTTATACATTATAAGCATATGATTGGAGATGAAAACCCCCCGATGGGATCTAACGTATGAGAGCTCAATCTGATACTCAGTCTTAAACTCGGGCGACGAACACTTGATCGTGTAGATCGAGCACTCGCTACCCAAGGAGATGACTTCTCTCACTTCAGAGGGATTGTTGAGACTCATCTTGCCTTCAGCAAGAGTACCGTGTAAGCTGGGAAGTTCGGCCGGCGGATTTGTATTTGACGCCCGACGATCGGCACATTGACGCGCGTAATCCAACATTATCTAGAGTGAGTTTGTAGACTGACAAGTAATCTTTGTCCTACCTTGGTAATGTCGTAATTAGTGTCGCAGTGCAGAAGATCAACGACATCTTCTCTTCCCCGCGCGCTGATTTTTTTGATGATTAGATCTGGCCTATCGTCCGTGAGATTGTGCAACCATGTCACTGCTTTATCGTCGTAAGATCCTTCATATGGGCCAATATTGTAACACAAAGCCAAGGGAGGCTCAGCCATCTCATCATCTTCGATTTCTAAAATGAGCTCGCGGGGCAAATCCAATACTTGGCCATAATCGACAAATAAAACTTCCACATTCTGTGGAATTTTCTTTGACCATCCTCGAATTTTTGCGCGACTCCAATACTTTTCTTCGAAGCACGCGATCACAGGCATCCCGGGCAAGATCTCGCGACGATCACAAACTTTGAAATCCCCTTTCATAACTCGTTCTCTTATGGTGGAATCCAGGTTTTCGCGGAGCTCAAAGTTTTCAGCCAAGATCAGCATTACCTCAAGATTCTTGATTTCATAAAAATACTATAAATATTAAAAACTTACCTTATTCCTTTCAAAATGCGTAAAAGTCCCGATATGGACGCGTTGGCCTTCTTTCATTTTGTCCTTTACTTCCGGATATCTTTTATTCTTGATTAAATGAATAAACTCTTCGTTCTCAAAGAGGTAGACTCCATTGGACGACTCAAGGCTGGGGTTCGACGTCGGGAAAACATACTCCATCTCACCAAGGACGTTATACATATTCTCTCGAATGAACTGCATCACTTGTGCTGTGGTCGCACGTAACACCCCTTTTGTGTATCGAAAGTATATCGCGCCAATCTCATTTTCGGGGACGATGACAATCCCTTTTTTCGCTGCGACTTCAAAAGCCGAGTGAATGCTGTCGGCGTCTATCTCTTCGAAAAAACTGAGGTATCGAACGAGCATTGGATGTCGATTCTCGTCCGAGTATCGGTCTGGACCCTCCAGTCTTCTATTGCTCAAGACAGACACAATGTCTCCGTGGGTGCTGTGAGATTCATGTCGTCTAAGTGACAGAATCGACTTGCAGACTGATGCACATGTGATACCCAGTCCAAGAACAGTTGTTTTCACGATGTCCCAGCGAAATATCGTCTGCATCATCAGATCTAAGTCGTCCACATAGAAGCCTGACTTGAAAGCCTAGAGATATATTAGAAGTCAGTCGGCACTGTCTTAAATTACCTCAACGCACTGATCAAGAAGGACAAGAACGTCACGGATGGCTTTGTTCTTGTCTGTGATTTCCTTCTTCTTGGAGATCAATTCTTCGTGGGAATATCCCGCGTGATCACACGAAATATGTTCGACGCACATCTGACGGTGAAGTTCAAGGCCAACCTTGAGTCTGTCGGAAGCAAACTCATCGTCGCCGTGAACGTTTCTTAAATCCTTCGCATCGAAGAGAGCGATCTGATAGCTATGGTAGTACGTCTGGAGGAAACTGAGAAGCTTTTCATTTGGTTCCGACGGCGAGGTTGTGCCCAATGGGAGATTCTCGTTCCAGAATTGATCGTAAAATTCTCGAAGGTTCCTACAAATGTAATCATTATTAGACTCAGGATGGAATTATACCTCATCTGGATGCCGAAGGGATTGAACATTAATGTGATCAGCAGCTTCTGTTTCATAGGTAGCAGTCTTCCGTATCGATTTCGCTCGACTGGAGATCCAATCAAGGAAAAGTCAGGCCTGAAATACCAAGTACCGCAGTTGGGAAGAGGATCTTCCAAACGTGCAACCTGCGAGGAGGTTCTACTGCGTGTGCTCGGTGGCGTCCGATAAGAGCTTCCCCGATTGTAACCAGATGAAGAGGAACGCACCGTGAATCGATTCATTCGCCTCTCTTCTTCTTTCATTCTTTCTTCTTCGCGCATTTTTTCCAGGCGCCTCATTTCCGCCTCTTCCCGTTCTTTCCGCAAGAGCTTCCGTTGCCTTTGCTCTTCTCGTTTTTCGATCTCGGCGTCTGTATTTCGCTGTTGCCGTTTGATGCTTGCTTTCCTGCGAAAGTATTCCGCTTCGCCATACGTTTCGATTCCGATCCAGTCATCGAATCTTTCTTGCGTTTCGAAAATCATATCTTCTTTCAAATAGTTATCGGGAGCTTTCTTAACCCAGACGTGTTCAGCGTAATTCAAAAGCTTATTCGCTTTGTCTGGATTGATGAAAGGTTTTCGATGCCGAAATGGGCTAGTAGCTCTTCGAAGTTTTTGTCAGTGCCAACGAATCTCGTTGCACGCACTAAATGTAATGTTATTAACTAATCCGAAGGGTTGATGACTTACAGCATCTCCAAGGAACTCGGTTATACGTGCTCATCTGTCGCAACGCTTCAGATGCAAGAAAAAAGGGCTGGTTTATATCGAAACGCGAAGTGTCAATCGGGAACTGTGGTGGTCCGACAAACTTTTCGTCACGATCCGGAACAGGATCGGGTTGAGCAGCGTTTCTGCGGTCTCGAAGGAACGGTCTTATGCGTGGAATGCCCGCAACAGGCGAATGACTGGCAGGTTGAGGCTCGTGACGGGGAATAGCTGAAGTGTTGAGATTTGGAAAACGATAGTTGCGAACTGGCGGTTGTGGGCGAGGAGCACTGGTAGGCTGACGATAGGCAGTCGGGTTGAAGACCGGAGCATTCGACGAACCAGATGTACCTGTAGAGGGGCTGGGAAACCGAGGATTAGGGAATCGCAGATTGCGACGGGGAGTTCCCGGGTTGTACGCACTGGCAATTCCGGAGATGGACGGTCTAACAGCAGCTGGCCGAGGTGGCTGATTTCGACCATCAACAGAAGGTTTCGGTCCACGGTATCGACTCGTATACATTCTGAAAGTAGGAAGTCAGTAATCAAACACGTACAGCTTATCGTCGCCTAAAAACTGCTGAACCTATCAAAATTGACGTAACGATGGAAAAAGTAGCGTCAGAACGTCGACTCTTTGTTTAATTTGTCTGACTTGATAGGTATTTAAGTGACAAAACCATTCCCCGTGGGCTAAAATTGAAATCAACAATACTATGCGTTTTCTACCAGCATTCCTTGCTTTTTCCCATGCCTCGCGTGACCCCAGATGCCGGAATAAAATGCCTACGTTTCACGGTAAGAAAAATCGAAGTTCTAGAGACAAAGCATTGTAGATGCACACATTGATGATAACAACGCCTATGTGGAGAACTCTGCTGGAGCGCTAGAAACGTGTTTTACTCATGAAAACCTAAAATATTGAAAATTGACTGAAAAAAACACGGGCAAAGTGTCTTGCATAAGCGGATACGCAGTTCACAAGCCACGGCTGCTTTTTCAAGCAGTGAGCCCGACTGGACAAGTGTCTGCCGAGTTCAGAAACCATCGCTTGTACAACCCATGGGCAGACGAGGACGGATGGCTTCAATTTACGAGACTAGAGCTTCGATTTTACCCTCTCGGCGTCCCCAAGGTAAAAAAAAATCTTGAGAACGAAAATGATTAATCTTTTTCTAAGATCTACGATTATCATCGCTTCCGCTGCAGCGCAATCTACACGGATCCGAACACAAGGGAACAGTATCGATGTACAAGCGTCTTCCCTGAAAACGGCCAACCACTAAGAGTGCTCAATGATAACCGCCCTGATTTCCACATTAACACATGAACAATTCAAGTCACGTGAATAAAATAAACAGAAAGTTTTGAAAAGTGATTGATAGATTACTAGTTGCCCATTTCGCTTACCTTCTAAGTTATAATCGTTTACACTGTATGTTTACGAAGAACCTGGCGAAAAAATCTCGTGGTGGGAAAATATCGCGAAATGAGTGGTCGATAGGTCACGCTTGTGGGGGCGAAAAATTAAGGCGTGGGCGGCTTCAGAAAAAACGCGCCAAGTTCAAATTTGTCAGATTATTCAGAATATTTCAAAGATGCCATGTATTACAAAATCTGATTTATTTCCTGTCAGGGCTAATAATGTTGCAGTGTTATAGCGGGATGGGAATGAACTATTAAATTTATCCTATTTCTTGGTTGGAACAAAACGCGATAATTCATGCGACAGGGATGTGAGGGGAGCTTAGTCCAAGTCCGAATCCTCGTCTGTTGAGAAGTTGTACTTCTTTGTCGCTCGTCCGCGGGAGGGTTTGTTTCTGGCCGCCAAATTGAAGGACTCGTCGGCATCTTCGTCGTCTGAACTTTCGAGAGCAGCCTTCTTTTTGGAGGCAGCTTTGGCAGTTTTCTTCTTCGCTGGAACAAAGTCGTCTTCGGAATCAGAATCGATGAAATTGGACGAGGCTGTCGTCTGCTGGCTGCTTTCGTCGATGGTCGACTGACTCGACTCTTTCGCGGCTTTCTTTGGCTTCGTCGACGCCTTTTTGAAAGCGTCAATAATCGTCCCTTCATTTTTTTAGACACAAGAGAACCGCGGGTTGATTTTTACCTTGTTTTTTGGCGACTGGTTTGCTCTCAACGTCCGAGCTGAGGGCGCGCTTCTTTCCGCGGCTGCTCGGTTTCTTCGCAATGACTTCTTCGTCACTACTTTTGTCAGCGTTGAAATCGAAGTCCTCCCCATCCGAGTCGTCATCGCTGTCGGTTTCCCAGGGATTCTTTCCTTTCGCAGTTTTCCTGATCTTTGAAGGAGATTCGTCAGCCTCTTTTTTGACCTAGAAAGTTAAGTAATAATTAGAAAAGAAATGATTGTGCTTACTTTCGCTTCCTTCTTGATTTTTTCAGCCTTAACCTTGGGCTCTGCCTTGACCTTTGGTTCTTTTTTCGCCTTGGGTTCAGATTTGACTCCAGAGCGCATAATCGTCTTCTTTCTCGCCTCGCTTATTTGAGGATCGATGTATTCTCCAAGTTGACTTGGCTCGATACTCGTATCTTTTTTGCCTTTGCCTTTGGATTTTCCAGAGCTGCTGCTCTGCTGCATCTTCTTGAAATCCTCCTGGATCTTGTCCAGCGATTTCTCAAGGTCAACAAGATCTTCTTCCCAAAGATCAGTTGGAGTTTTCTTTTGAGCACGTCGAAGTCATGCTCAATTTGACCCTTTTCTTTAAGAAGAGCCTCTTTCTTCTCAAGAGTCAAGTTGTAGATCGGCATACTCAAGAGATACTGGTAATCAGATTTCGCATCAGCACGATCTTGCTCGTCGAGATTTTCGTCTTCGTCGTCTGAGAGAGACAAATTCTGCTCTCTTTTAACCTTCTTCTCCCAAGCCTTGACTGGATCTGAAGCGTAGCCTCGCTCCTTAAGCGTAGCTTCGATTGCCTTCCGCTTAACATTCATCACTGTGATTTTCTTCTCGATATTTTCAAGAATAAATCGAGCACGGTTGGTGATGAAATGCACTCGTGCTTCCATCTTGTCCAGAAGGAATGAGTGTCTCTTCTTGTAGTATGTTTTTCGAAGCTCGAAGTGGTCTTTAACGATAGCCGTGGTATCATTGTAGACAGTCAGTTTTCCAAGATGGTTGAAAAGAACCATTGTATTTGTGAAACACATCGGTTTGACAAGACCAAAATACTCGTGGAGACCTTGCTTCCTCGCCTCTCGCATTTGGGTTGGAGAAAGTGTAACGATGAATTTGACTCGGTCATGAGAGCTGTTGTTGTCGAAATCTTCGATCAGTTTAGGCAAGTCCTTGCCTTTGTCATCCGTGCCTCCTTGCATTTTCATGAGCTTTTGCTTGTAGTCGTCAGTCCAAACTTGAGGTGGCAACTCTGTGATTTCGACAACGTCTATAATCTTTGATTAATTCACCTTCATGCATAAGAAAATATCTGACCTGATTCGAGAAGCGCGATTTCGCCAAAGGAGACAGCCCTGCCAGGTGCGAGTATTTCGATTTTTCCTCTGAATCCTTCGTAAAAAGGCGTAATTTCAAGAGGTTCTTTGCCGCCGATCATCCGGCGAATATTCTTGATGCAATCGCGGATATTATGATTGGGGATGTTTGTCGACCAGCCAGTTCCAATACCAGCTGAGCCATTTACCAGTACCATGGGTACGATTGGACAGTAGTGGGTTGGTTCTACCATTTTGTTATCGTCATAGTTTCTCTTGAAAAGAGCATCATCACTTTCAGGGTAGAGCTTTCGAGCGATTGGCCTAGTTTATGATTAATATATTGGTACTTTAGCACTTAAAGTACTCACGTAAGTTTCGTGAAAATGTAACGAGCAGCGGCATGATCTTTGCCACCAACACGTCGAGATCCGAACTGGCCAAACGGCTCAAGAAGGTTCACATTGTTCGCACCGACATAGTTTTGCGCTAGTTTGATGATCGTCTCCATTAGTGACACTTCGCCGTGATGGTAAGCCGACATTTCAGAAACGGCACCGGAAAGTTGAGCCACTTTTACTTTCGACTTGTCGTTACGTTTAAAGCATGTCCAGAGAACTTTTCTTTGGCCAGGCTTGAGACCATCCGCGGCGCATGGAATCGCTCGAAGACAAGATTCGTGCGAGAAGATAACGAGTTCCTTATCGACAAAGTCTTTGTAAGTGACATAGTTGATCTGTTCCCGATCGTAGAGCGTAAGTTCGTCTTCGCCCGCTTCAACTCTGATAAGATTTTAGTAAAAGCATAAAAACTAGCCTTACCGTCGCTCAACTTCTCCCATGTATTCAGTAAGCCATTCTTTTCGATCGTCTACGAGATCACGAGCGAAGGCCATCTTGATGCGCTCGTCGCAAACCGCACCTGAGTAACGAAAGGGTATGCGATGACGTTGAATATCCTAAATAAGGAGCGTTAAAACAAATCCATTCCGTTTAAACTCAAACCTGGAAATATTCCTTGAATTCTTCGGGCCCTGAAGTACCCAAACCCTTGTAGTACTCAACACGGTAAGCGTCAAGATTTGGCACCTCGCGTTGCCATTTGTTGAACTCTGGGAGAGAGTAGAAGTTCGTCTTCTTGCAGTTAGGCTTGTTCTCATCTTTCTTCAGAAACACTTTAACAATAGGTGTGATGAATTGTTGCACAGTCGGTCCCCTGATCATGTTGGGCCAGAAGTGATGCAAAAAGTTGATAATCAAGCCCTTAATATGGGAACCATCAACATCCTGATCTGTCATAATCATGAGTCGACCATATCGAAGCGACTTCAAATCGTCGTTGTTGTCGTACTTCTTCTTGAAGTCAAAGCCCATCGCTTGAATGATGTTTTTGATTTCTTCGTTTTTCGTGAGCTGCTGATGACCAGCTTCACGAGCGTTGAGAAGTTTACCACGCAGCGGGAAGACACCGTAGTATCTTTTGAGATCAGCCATCGAGCTAACACCAGCCAAAGCAGCAGTCTTGGCGGAGTCTCCCTCAGTAAGGATAAGGGTACAATCCTTTGAACGAGTTTTCCCTGCTTCTGGAGCATCATCTAGTTTGAGGATTGTGACCTTTTTCTGCTTCTTTCCCCCAATCTTGCCTTTCGCCTGGTTTTCTTTGAATTTCATGAAATTAGTGATTGTCTCGACGACACCGGATTTTTCTACTTTCTTGATGAATGCGTCGGAAAGAATGGGCTTTGAGCCGTGTTTCGACTTGACAAGGGTGAGAGTTTCTTTCGTTTGCGAGTCGAATGCAGGGTTTTCAATCTGTGAATTAACGAAGATCCAGCAATGAGACTTGATTTGATGCGCTTTGACAGCGAGGCCACCCTTGTTCTTCTTGTTGACCGTCTCCTCAAGCTTTTTAACGAGTTGGTCGGCGACGACGTTGACGTGCTGTCCACCTTTGCTCGTGTTAATTGAATTAACGAAGGAGACATTTTGGAAGCCAGTGTCCGAAATAGCGAAGCCAACATCCCAGCGACCCTTGGCTTCCTTGTTATCTGGTTTCTCGTAAATAAGCGTGACTTCTTTTCCGGTATCCAGGAGCTGCCCTTTGATGTACATGTTGCAGTAGTCCTTGAACGGATCTTTCTTGTTAAATCCAATGCGCTGACCGTCGAGGAAAACGCTCACGCCCGGAGTTGTTCCAGCAATATCATAGGCACGCTTACGAAAGAGAGACACCATGTCGTTCGAGAGATGGGTCATCGCAAAGCGCCCCAAGTCTGGCGTGAAAGTAATCTTCGTATAATCATCCTTTGAAAAAGACTTGATAACGGCGTTCCCCTTTTTCTTCATGTTTCCGGTCCAAGTAACAGTCAGTCGCTTCCCAAGATTTTTGTTGGCAGTTTCGACGGTGAATTCCTTGGAGAAAATATTACAGAGCTTCGCACCATAACCATTTCGACCACCAGTTGTTTTCTTTTCGCTCTCATCGTAGTTGGACGAAGTCATCATATGACCGAAAATGAGCTCGGGAACGTAGACACCATGCTCTTTGTGGATTTCGATGGGGATACCCCTTCCATTATTGAGCACAGAGATTTTGTTGTTTTCTGTGTCGATGTCAACCTGAAAGTTCACCTTGGACGACACGTCGAAAAAACAAATTTACCTTTATCATGTTCTGATTGGGATCGCGAACTTTGTTGTCGGCGGCGTTGACAAGGATTTCATCGTAAATTTTGTATAGAGCGGGGATGAACTCGATTTCTTTTTGAACGAATTTCGTCGTTTCTGAATCGAAGACCCACATCTTCTCTTTCGAACTCTCAACGGAGCCGACGTACATGTCTGGCCGAAGCAACACATGCTCGAGGCTGTCGACCTTCTTGTAAGTTTCTTCAATTGTCTTCCCCATGGGCCTGAAAAGAGCAATTTCAGACTGGGAAGACTTTCGCTTGGCGAGATTTTTCGGTACTACGGTTGGCTATTTCACGGTTGCAATCAAGCCAAAACTGGCATGTTCTAGAAATCGAACTCTGGCGCATTCTCCCGATCGGAGGCGCGAAAATCAATCAACCGGATAAGGGGATTCTAGGGTAAGTATGGGACTTGATTGATATTTAGTTAAAAGGCGCTTACACATATTTTCCTGCTTCATTCTTGTGCAGATTACGTAACGGCCTCAGAACAAGGCGGACCCTTCCCAATTTAAGCAGCTGTTTCATACTCGATAGGCAATTGCATATCTAAGTGATTTTAGACTCCACGAATGATTTTCAATAATTTTCCAATAAGTCAGTTAGTTTAAAAGGAAGCTTAAGAGCGTGCATTCTGTAATTATTCGCTTCATGCAAGTGAGTGTTTCAAAAAATATTATCAGTGATCTTACCTCTTATGTAGAAGACACCGACTCGATCACCACTAGGTTCTACCGATTGACTAAAAAGAAATTGATGTTAACTAAAGTTGAACGGAACAGAATAGTAAGGATTGGGTAGGAGTACTGAACAGGCAAAGGAGAATTCAATCGATGGACACGAAGATGCTATACCAGTAAAGCTTTTTTTCAATGAATTCAGGCAACGAAGGACGAGAACACGGATTCGGGGCATTGGAAATGTTTATCTTTAGGACTCGGGAACTTTAAAGAATAAAGTGTAATCACAGAGGACGATTGAAGAAATAGAGAAGAAAAGATCTGATGAGCTTGACTTAGTTTTGGGGGTTTTCATTGGAAACGAGCGGGTCGAGTTCTTCGTCGTCTTGGTCGGAATGAATGATGCAGCCTGCGAAGAGAATCGAGGCAAGCTGCAAAAGACATGTTGTGGACAAAACAATGGCGAAGACATTGACGTGATTGGAGACTTCGTCTTCGAGCTAAAATGACAATTAGCAGAAGCAAAGACAACAACGATCTCTTACAGTGTAAGCGCATCCTTGAGTGAAGATGTTCGCTTCGGTAGCGTTTGTAATTCCGCAGAACTCCTCGTTGACGACGCAGCAAGAGTCAGGAACCGCAAACTCGCCAACGAGCGTCAAGTTCTTCTCTTCCATGATTTTCCTAGTTTCGTTTTGGAAGATTCGCGCATCCTTTCAAACAGTTTAGTTTTCTTCTGTCAGAGGGAACTTACTTTGTAGTCTGTGGAGTTGTCGACACCGCAGCAGTCGAAATCAGTTTGAATTTCCTCAAAGGCCATCTCTATGGGCGGCGACCAGGCAGAGATGGCGGATTTCATCCCGCTCTCAAGGTATGGCAGGATTTCTACTTTGTACGCTAAATTATCGATTTGCGAAGAAACGAATAATAAAAATGGTAAATTACCGAGGGCGAAAATTGAAAGAAGGAGCTGGGCGGCAAAGACGACGATTAACAGGGCCAAATAAATTCGTAACAAGCCTTTAGTTATTTTTTTACTAGTTTTTAGCTCAAATATCGATTTACCTCGGTGAGCCTTGTATGCAGCTGCCCAGCCAGCTACGGAAATGAGGAAAATCGCAATCGAAGTAGCAAAGAGAAACTCTAGAACAGGCTTGACGTCGACGATCTCGAAGTATTCTCTATAGGAAAAGTCGGACCAGATGGCGGCGGCGAAAAGTCCGCCCGAAAGGAGGACGAAGACGGTATTGATCGCCACAAGGAAAAAGCGGAGCAAGTTTATTCCAACTTTCATTTTCTTGGTTTCTGAAACGAGATTTGAATCACAACTCGAGCAGTCTGACTCGAAAGACGTTTAATCCCAACCTACTCGCTATCCACGCTGCTCTTTTTACAGCAACGCTATCTTTTTCAAAAAGGAAATCTAGAAAAAGGAGAAAGCCTTTTTCATTCGTAGCAAAATGCCGATCAAACGCATTTTCTGTCAAAATATGATACTACCGTTATTTCTATCTCTAGTTAGTGATCTTCATAAAATTTGTTTTCATTTTATGTACATTTCTATCGGCGATTCCCAGAATTTCGATGTTGCTTCTTTCTTTGATTCTAGGGCGCACACTGTGAGTCAGCTCTGAATTGAGTTGAGTAAGCGCCTGCGGATCCGAACGCGCGGAGTAATATCGCCCGGTGACTAATTTCAGAAACCCCACCGAAAATAATACAAAGCACGCCGCCTAACTCAAATTATCAGAGAATTATTTCTCAAACAGAAAAAATCTATATTAAATTTATTTTTGTTTTTAAAATCATAGTTGCATTCTTCTCAAGCCAAATTTTGCAATGATTAAAGTTTTATTGATTTTACCGATAATTTTCTATCAATAGATATTAAAATACAATTTAAAGAACTGTAAATATACTCAGCATTTGGTTCATTTTTGCTTGAACAAAGAAAAAGAGATTAATTCCCCTCAATTTCCATAAAAATAGGTGCGACGAGAGCTAAAGTATAATTTCCATAATGACCGGGAAAATAGCTGCGGAAGTAACTTCGTTTTACGAGCAACATAATAGAGAAGAGAAAAAGGCCGAGAAAATTGAACAGTTTTGGGGAAGCAATAGTATCCAGTTTGAAATTAGTTCCTTTTTCAAAATAATCATTTCAATAGCTCTTGACCTTTGTGTTCGCCTTGAGTCTTTTATCGCCTGGCACTCGATTAGCTGTTGGAGTGCTTCGAATTTAGTCGCATTTGTCTAATATTAACGCGCGATAAAAAACTAAAAACTCTTGGTTTAATGAGGGTTCTTTTCAGATGAGAGCGTTGTGGGCTCTGTGTCTGCTCCACTTGTCGGTGGCGATAGACAAGGGGAAGAAAGATGTGTCGATCGACAGGGCGACTTTAGTGCGCGTGCCGACTCTGCTCTACAAAGACACTGAAGTCCGTCTTCTAGCAAAACTCAACTGCAGAGGCAAAGATGCCGAAGCAGGAAAGGTAGGGCTATAATCAATTCGTTCCTCGTCTTTTATCGCGTGTCAAGGTTGAAGTCAAGTGGGTTATGCGATCGACGGACTGTTTGGACGAGTATATGCACATGACGAAGTCGGACGTGAGTATCTGGTACTTGCGCAAGCCAGGAATGCGAAAAGAAGATGGCGGGAAAGGGGTCTACCAGAAATTTGAGGAGACGATCAGTTGCAATCAGAATCACCTTACTGACCGATCTGACGAGCCCTGGCAGCCAATCGACCAAGTATTCAACGAGAAAAAGGAGGAAGACGCCAAAACTCGCAAGCGGCGAGAAGGCGAAACCGATATTGACGATACAGGAAACTCGATCTCTTACCGACCCAGTCCGCATAGCTTGGGTGATCTGTCCAAGATCAACACAATCACAACTACCGATCGCGATGCACAGGTTAGTCTTACCAGGTTAGTCATTCCACAAGCGAACCTTTTCTAAGTTCCTGCTCATCATCGGCGTCACTTTTCTCGACGATGACTCGAAAGCGGATCTTCAAATTAACTTCCGTGGTCCAAAAGGTTATCTTTCAGCGGCCGAGTACCCCCTCCGTAATTTTTACCTGGTAAGGTGATCTCGAATATCGAGGAACTCATGCTTTATCTAGACCATGTGCATTGTTTACACTTCATTTGCGCTCGTGTGGTTGCTCTTCTCGTCATTAAACTACACTGACCTGCTCCGAATCCAATTCTGGATCGGCGGTGTGATCTTTGTCGGCATGATTGAGAAGGCTGTCAAATTCGCAGAGTATGACAATGTCAACAAAACTGGCAACTCTATTGCTGGTGCGGAGAAATTCGCTGAAGCCGTCTCTGCCTTTAAGGTACATTAACTCCTGCTGTATTCTTTATAATCATGCAATATCTTAGCGCGCTACCGCGCGAATGCTCGTCATCATTGTTTCTCTTGGTTTTGGCGTAATCAAGCCTCGCCTTGGACCGATGCTTCACAGAATCGTCGGAGTAGGCGCCCTTTTCTTCATCCTCGCCTCAATCGAAGCCTTCATTCGCGTCGATTCCGCCTTCCATGATATGGGCAATCGAGCTCTAATATTCACTGAGGTACTTCTATTAATTTAACTTCTTAATTCGAACGCGTTATAAGATTCCCCTTGCGATTTTGGACTCGATTATTTGCTGGTGGATCTTTGTAAATCTACTTTCCACAATGAAGACACTGCGCTTGAGAAGAAACGTCATCAAGCTTAAATTATACAGAAATTTTGCCAATATTATTATCTTCATGGTTCTTGGTAGGTGATTTTAGTAACTTATTGCTTCTGATTTGATCCCTAGCCTCTGTGATCTTCATTTTATGGGATATCAACGAGCATAGAAGCAAGAGCTGTCTCAAGGTTGTTTTTTAATATACTATATACTAAATATTACAAAATCTAGGCGTGGGACAACATGTGGTTGAGAGATGCCTTCTGGCATATCCTCTTTTCAATTATTTTGTTTTCAATCATGATTCTCTGGAGACCAAGCGCAATGAATCAGGTAATTCACCGTAGAAACTCCCTTCCTAAATCTTCAAAGCGATACGCATATTCTCCACTTGTCGACGGCGTCGACAGTGACGAAGAGGAAGAACCGAAAGTACAGCCCGCAAGAGACACAGTGAAGCGACGCGGAGAGCGAAAGAAGTCTGAAACGGTAGATCCAGAAGACAAAATGGTAAGCCTCCGATACATTAACGTTGATAACACATTGTCTTTCTCAGGAAGAAGATTTGAAGTGGATCGACGAAAATATTCCGGAAACAGTGGCAGACGCTGCTATTCCGACAATGCTTGACTCTGACGAAGATGTCGTCGATGCGAAATACGAAATCAGTAAAATGCAATAAAAAGAAACAAGAGCTGCTTGGTTTCGCCCTTTTCTTAACCGATTCTCTCTGCCGGGACATTGTGCTCTCTACGCTTTTCAAAACAACACTTTCAAATATTTATATCTATTTCTGTTTTATTTTAAAATAACTTCTGGCTGCAGAAATGCACAGATATGTATTAAAAGCCATCTTTTGCCGAACTTCGCTTCCCGAAAATACAATATGTACATGATAAATTTGACTTACACAATACAGTCTCATGAACATGACATTCAGTTTTAATCTTAGTCGGAGATTTGTTCTATTTTCAAAGATAATCTCTGTTTCACCCCTCATTCTTCTATTCAAGCCTTATTCAGTTCTTTTTTTTTATTGACTCGGAAAAAAAGGCTTTCATATGTTATTTCCGATATCATGTAAGTATCATCCTCGAAGCAGGTATTCAAGACACGGCCACCAAAGTTCACGATATCCTCTTGAACATTGAATTTCAACTCAATCTATTTCTTCCAATATATTTTACCTTTTTTTTTCTTTTCTTTGTCTGTGGCAAAGTTTTCGCAGAACAGGGGGCCCACCGCCACATCAAACGTGCGAAATCGTGCCTTTATATTCTTATTCATATGCTAATTTATGTACAATACTAGTTCAATAAAAACAGGTAGCAACAAATACGGTAGTGAACTCTTTGTATTCTCCTATATACAAGCTTCTTTCAATCAATATTCTGACAAAAAAACGTTGATCCTGGAATTAAAATCATTGACAGATACTTTCAACAACGTATATTGCGTTTGGCTACCATAAATCTCTGTGAATTTTCATAAATCAATGATTTGCGAAAATTTCCGCTGTTGACAAACTGTTGAAAATATTTCAATAAATTCCAGTACAATTAACTCTCGTTTACTATCCCTGTTTGCAAGTGAATATTGTCCTTATCAGACGGTCTGATAAGGTCCTTTAGTCACGTCCGAATCATTTTCTTCAAGATTACCTTCTAGAGGCTATGACTGGTGAAATCAACTCGGCCTTTGATCCAAAGGAGATCCATGACCGCCTCAAGGATATGAATCGTTACAATCCAGAGAATCAAGTAAATATTACGAGTTCACACTGTTGGTAACAACTTTCAGCCTATTCTCGAAGAGTACGTTCTTCAGCAAGTGCGAGAAGGCACTTACGACTTGGACGCGAATATGGCGCTGCTGAAGCTTTATCAATTCTATCCGAATTCAGTTCGGCACGAGGTAAATCAAGAGAGTGCGACCTCATTCACCTGTTTTCTCCATAGATTGTTTTATACGTTCTTCTGAAAGGAATGATGGTTCTTCCCGAGCCCGACTTTGTCATGTACAAGGCCCTTCTTTCCAACTTGAACGACGATGACATGGACCAGAGCATCAGAAGATCGCTGGGTAATATCATTGATTGATTTAATCACTTTAATTCCATTAAAGAAATCCACAAGCTTTTGGAGCAATGCAACTTCCCGAAATTCTGGGAAGCACTACAGACTGAGCATGACATGATTGCTGAGTTTGCTGGCTTCGAAGACGCTATCAGACATCATATTTGCGGTGTCATCACCCACAGCTTTCAGCGACTGAGGTTCGAGAATAGTGATAACAATTTTAATAGGATTTCAGCCGAGATATCGTGAAGGAGTTCCTCGGTCTCCAAAAAGACTATGATTTGAATGAGTGGATCGAGCGATTTGGATGGTCAAGCGAGCAGAGTGTTATTTTTGTGGCTAGTCAGGAAGATAAGGTCAAGGTAAATGCCTCTTCGTTCGACTTGATGATAATAGATGGGTATTTCAGTCGAAGAGTATCGTTGAGAAGGTCGATTTATCCGGTTTGGTGAGCGTAATGCGGCTTGGTGCTCGAAAGTTAGGCAATTAAATATAGAATTCATATCTGCCCGATTCCTTCTGTTCAAAAAACAACCATTGAAATACTGCTCAAACAGACGAAGAGTTGGCATGAGGATAGCTATGAAACTATAACACTATAATTAAGATCGGGTCGATATATAATGGTTCACGCTTCGGCGATTTACATTTTGGACCTGAAAGGCAAAGTCCTCATCTCGCGGAATTATAGGGGAGATATGCCTTTAAACATCATTGATAAGTAAGCGCTAGCTTAATATAAAGAGACCCTAGATATAACTCTAGGTTTCCTAAAATGATAATGGATAGAGAAGAAGAGGGCACACTCACTCCTGTCATGACAGACGATGATGTGACCTTCATTCACATCAAGTGCAATAATATTTACGTTGTTGCCGTTACACAAGGTAAGTCGTATATAACCACGTCAGATGAATTTCTAACAACGATCAAGGAAATGCCAATGTGATGTGTATTGTATCATTTATGCACAAACTCTGCCAAGTTTTCGCCGAATATTTCAAAGTCGTCGAAGAGGAATCCATCAGAGATAATTTTGTTATCGTTTATGAGCTACTAGACGAAGTGATGGATTACGGGGCACCCCAGTTTACTGATTCAAAGGTCCGCAACATGTTTTTTTCTAAGTCCTAATTTTTTTAAGATTTTGCAAGAATTCATTACACAAGAAAGCCACAAGTTAGAAGTAACCGAAGTAAGGCCACCATCAACTGTAACGAACGCCGTGTCATGGAGGTCAGAGGGAATCAAATACAGGAAAAACGAAGTCTTCTTGGACGTGATTGAGTCAGTCGACCTGTTAGTTTCCGCGACTGGAAATGTTCTCCGTTCAGAGATTGTTGGTGCCATTAAAATGCGCGTTTATCTGTCGGGAATGCCTGAACTACGATTAGGTACTCAAACTACTCGGAAATCATATTTGTAATGAAAAAGGTCTCAATGATAAGATCCTCTTCGAATCGACTGGAAGATCAAAAAAGAAGTCCGTTGAACTAGACGATGTAAAATTCCACCAATGTGTGCGTCTTTCGCGATTCGATAACGACAGAACGATATCGTTTATTCCTCCAGATGGCGAGTTCGAACTGATGTCGTATCGTCTTCAGGTAGTTGACGAAGCTGGAGTTTGATTTTGAAATTTTCAGACTCAAATTAAACCACTCATCTGGGTAGAAAGCCATATTGAGAAGCATGCTCATTCGAGGGTAGAAATCATGGTAAAAGCGCGATCGCAGTTCAAACGCCGCTCAACAGCCAATAACGTTGAAATTATCGTCCCGGTGAGTGCAGATTAAATTTTTTGGCGCTCGTTTTGTTGCATCTCAACTATGTAATATATAGTCTATATTCCTGTAGGTCCCATCAGATGCTGACTCGCCGAAATTCCGGACGACGACGGGGAGTTGTAGATGGTTGCCTGAAAAATCAGCTGTTTCGTGGCAGATAAAAAGCTTCCCGGGCGGAAAAGAGTTCCTTATGCGCGCTTCCTTTGGACTTCCTTCTGTAGAGTCTGACGAGATCGAGGGAAAGCCGCCAATTCAAGTATGAAAAAGTGCTTATAAGCAAATAACCTCTCAAACTTTAGGTTAAATTCGAAATTCCATACTTTACTGTTTCCGGCATTCAAGTTCGTTACCTGAAGATTATCGAAAAGTCCGGTTATCAAGCTCTTCCATGGGTGAGATACATCACTCAAAACGGAGACTACCAGCTCCGCACTAACACATAGTATAATTTTTTAAAGAAACTATCCACATGATATCTATATCATTCTGTTCTACTTATTTTTATAGTCATATTAACTTTAATTCTCAATTTTGTTGATCAGTTTTTGTTATTGCCCTGGTTTTTCTTCCACCAAAGCGTATCCTGTAACCTATTCTAGTAAAATGACAAATGATTCCTGTGCAATTATCCATTTATCCTCATATCGGTTCCCTGTTCTTTTGAAAGCTCCTCATCAATCTTTAGTAAAGAAGAAGAAATTACAATATTATATAATCTACTCGAGCAATACGTAAAAAGAATCAGCTATCATACTCCCTAGAGCTTCTTAAGATCTACAGTTTTAATTCAACTTTTTCCCTATGTATAGTTTTGAAGAGTATATTTTTGAAATCGTCAATTGTAGTTCTCAAATATGCATATCAGAAAATACAATCGTGGAACTATCATGTACAAGTTCTTATCTTAATGACTTATACCGCCTTTTCGGTTATTCTTTTTCAACTAAAATTCTTCATTTTTCGCAGAAGTATGTCTACGGAAAATATTTATGTTCAGAATCTAAATGTACAGTTAGATCTCGTGTTTTTATGTTCCGTTCAGATGGTCGATCGAATCATCAGTGTTCCAAATTATAAGAATACTTTGCTTGACATCTTGAACAAGCAACGCTGCCCAACAACGCAAGATGAGTTCAAGGAATGGGATAACTGACTTTCATCGCTCGCCCTTCGAAAGAGCGACATCGTTATTCTTATGAAGCAAAGCACCTGTGATGTGTACATCAGACACTACGACTCTCATGACGAAGCAATTTACTTAGCTCATTCGGCAGTGATTACCGGCAGTTCTGATTTTTTCAAAGAACGATTTCTGTCAACCAAAATGCAAGCAGCAGATGGTCGACGAATTATTGACCTTCCCGATGAACTCGATAGGAGGTGCATCGATAGAATTTTGGATTTTATGTACACTGGGAAGATTGCTATCCCAGAAAAAAGTTTTGAGGTAGAACAAAAATGTTATCTTTATCTTTATTCATACTCATTCAAGCTCCTAAAAGTCACGAAATTCTTGAATATCAGATCCCTGAGCGGAGAAGTCTTCGATCAAATACCAAGCTCCTACGAAAAGAACGTCTCCTATGCGCCATCTGCAATCGACGTTTCGGATTTTATTAGCGAATACGCTCACCAGATGATGAGGGAGGAAGAAGCTCGCATTCAAAAAATGATTCGGGAGAAGAAACCAATGAAAAACCCGCGAGTAGAAAGAAGATCAAGTTTGATTGCCGACGGATTTAAAGAGTGGACTTCACTCGCGCAGAACGAGGAAGTGAAAGAAGCGTCCGAAAAACAGAATGAAGTGACACTTCCGCCGGGAAAGACTGCTATATCTGTTCTGCAGGAGATGATGCAGAAGAGGGGCGCTTCTGTTCCTATTTATAAAACTAAGGGTGGAGCCGGACCGCCGTTTACGATTGTTTGTCAAATCGAAGATATGAGGTATTCCGAGCAAAGTTTCTTTTATTAAATTTTGTAGTACTGAAGCCTCGGGAAACTCTAAGAAAGAGGCGAAGCATAGAGCAGCATCATCGATGCTGAAACAGCTTCGCGAGAACGTTAACAGAGCTCCAGGTATAAGCTGGAAAGAGGAACTTTAAGCATTCTTTTTCAGGCGCTCCCACTCAAATTAGAGCACTGGATTCGTCGAAGAGTCACTCTCATGACGTGAGCGAAGTAGAACCAGAAGAGTGCTTGAATCCGGTCGGCCTCTTACAAGAGTTGATGCAAAAGAATGGGCTCCCAATACCAGAGTACACTCCTGGTAACGAAGGATGTCCTCCATTTTCGTGGCACGTGCGCCTACCACACACTGGCCAGAGTTGTACCGCTTCTGGTAATAAGAAAGCAGAGGCCAAAGGTTCGAAATTAAATAAGTTGACTTTGCTTGCTTGGTGTGTAGGGAGAAAGAAGTCGGTGACAAAAATGGAAGCCATTTTTGCCAGTCGCTAATTGACTGACGAATCGTTATTAATGTTCGAATTGCATTTGAAGTGTCAAAGAAAACTTTTTTACTTGAAAATGAAAATGAGCAACTCAGGAAACGCTGCTCGTCGGATGATAGCGCAGTTGAAGGAGCATGGACTTCGAAAGCCAGATAATCATAGGCAGTCCGACAATCACGAAGTTAATCGTCATCCTGTTACAGAGTTGCAAGAGTACCTTCACCAGCGACACATCGCGCCTCCAGTTTATCAGTATATTCCACACGATGGAGGCTATGAACATTTGAAGGAATTTACATGTAAATGCACAATTGATGACCTAGCTCTAGAAGTAAAAGAGCGACGGAAAAACCAAAAGATCGCACGCAAAGCAGCTGCCACTCAAATGCTCAAGGACTTGCTCAAACAAGCTCAGAGTAGTTATTATTTTAAACTGCATGGGTTCAAAGACACAATTGTAACCTTCAGTTAGTCCCCATTTGATCAAAAATAAGCTAATACGACAAGAGCTCGAATGCACAAAACAATTATCGAATTGATAACTTGTTGGAAACACGAATGTGGACGCTCATTCTTTTGTATCAATTCGATAAGAAAGCAAACGAAACAAAAACGATATGAAAACGCCTGTTCCTGCAAACCTGGATCACCCAAAAAGCGATTTATTCTCCTTCCCTAAATGCGTTCGGGTCCACGGTGCTCCTGATTTATGCATGTCGTTACCGCCTCGTCCAAAACCGCCGATTACACTCAACGAATTTAAGGCGAGTATTGGGACTGTCAATCCTAGATTCGGATCTTGCAACATATCAGGGTACGATCTCAGAGTTTTAGACAGGAAGCAGACCAAATTAGATAAAATCGACTGCCCGACAAAGCATCTTACTCAGTTGAAATACTCCAACTCGTTCCAAAATTCCTCAAAAGTGCTCTCTTGTCCTCCAAGTATCAAGTGCGAAATATCTGATGAACTCCTAGCCTTACTTGACTCAGAAACTCCAGACTCGCTCCTTTCATGTCCCGAGCAATAAACGAAAGTCGACTGCGACGTGATTTGTGTTTTTACAAGTGAATATGTATTTTCTTACACTATTGAAGTCACTTGACCGAATGGTACAGATTGAAGGGAGCCGGAGACAGCTTTTACATTCGCCACTTCCAGAACGAACTTGCCTTCTTTATACATTTGCCCCTCGGATGTGAAGTCGTAATGCCATCCAAGAGCTGCCCCACATAACTTGCAGTAAACTACAAAGACGAGTAAATAAAATAGTAATGAGAGTCTACGGGCATCATTGGTACCTAATTGAACAATGTGCTCTCCCGTCAGCATGCGTTTCTTTGTTTTAGCTCCTTTTATTACATTTTGAACGTTCTCGAATAGAATTGCTGGCCCCGACCGTCCTCTTTTCAAGGGTCATCTCAGTGTGCAATCGTTTATTGGTTTCACTCAAGACCTTTTCCTAAAGTTTCTCGAGATCAAGTCGAAGTTTGTCGCCACAGGCGTCAGACATTTTTCATTTCGGCATTGGTAAATAACATTTCCACTTAGAAATTTTCATTTAAAAAATTGAATTGTTTAGTTCACACTTACTTGAGCGCTTTTATAAACTTTACTCCCATTTCCTGGCTAAAAATGGGATAGATAGTGATGTTAGCCTAGAATATTTTATGGACGTCTTGCTTTGATCGCCTTAACTTGTTATTAGGCTCTAGTCTCGAGGTATTATGTCTCGGGTCAGCATGAAGGGCAAAAGTGAGAGGGAGCCAAAAAGTACCTTGCCATCAAAATAGTCGCGCTCTAACTATGGAAATCAATAAAACTTGATAATAGCTTCACGGCGAATAATTTCTATCAATCATTATTATTCCGCGATTCCCCACGCTAAGGCCAGAAACTGGTCTCTGACAGTTTCAGTGTTGCCTATATTTAATATAAATATTTTCAGACTGATAAAAAGTTAAATTCGTTTTAAAAATCCGAACATGATGGAGAACCCTCGTAAGCGTCCTCCTATCAGCACAATCACGAATGAAATCAAACGGCTTCGAGTTGGCGAAATAATTACAGCAGTATACAAAGACCAAACATTCAGTGACTCGTGGTCAGATGACGACTCTGTCGATTTTACGAGTAAACCACAAAGACCTAATTATGCGGAAAAGATGTCTGTAGCCTGAAAGAGCGTTATTAAACATTTGCCAAGTTGTTCTGCCCCGCGGGTCCTGCTCATAGATAGTTGTACCGTCAATGAGTTCTCTTCTTACTACTCAGTTTACGTTCTCATTCCAAATTTATATAACTGTTTCAATTTAGTCTTTCGTTTAAGAATGAGAAATGAGTGACCAAAACTGTGTTCACAATTTAAGCCTCGTCGGACTCAGTAGTTTGAGTACCATCGCTAAGGAACTGCCAATTCCTCGTCAAAATGATTCCAAAAAAGATGAACAAAAGCCACTCTTCGACTCCAAGTCACTGGAACACTCGGACGCTGAGCTCGTCGGCGAATTAACAGGTAAATCTTCAAACGATAGCGTGATCTCTATTGTTAACTTAAAGCTGCCCTCGATAACGTACGAACTTCTTTCTCACTCAAGCCGACTATACATGATGAACGCAATTTTGATGCCGTTCAAAACATTCCTCTCTTGTCAAACGTCGTACAGACTGCCCCAAGACTACTAGGCAAGCGATCCCAATTCCAAACATCTTCCCATCACAGCTCAGCGAAAGAAGTGCGAGATGACAAACTGGCTAAGAAAGAAAAGAAGGAGAAGCGCAAGAAACACAAATCAAGGGACGAAGACAACGAGAGCGAGACGAAAGAAGAACGACGTGCGCGACGTGAGAAGCGCCGCGCAGAAAAACGGGCCCGGAAAGAATATGACCAGAATAATCAGGAATTAATGGATGAAACATCCAACTCTTCCATTTCATCCGCCTTCTCGGACCTGAAACGGCAAAGAATGAGCGCTGAGCCTATGGATACAAGCATACACAAAGAGACTATTATGGAGAACTTGCCGGAAGATGCGAGTGCGTGCACTCTCATCTTCGATGACAAAACAAGAGCGCAAGTGTCTACCATCAAAAGTATAACCCTCCCATCTGGCGACCATGTCAAGAGCTTTCCCAGTCTACGCATTGGTCAGAAAGTTGTGTCCATTCACCCAACGAAAAAAACTCTTGCTTCCTGCACTGTTTGCCGAGAACTCCCCCGGTCGAAGGCAAGATCGGACAGAGAATGCAAGCCGTTTGTTGTAAGCCTGAAGAAGCTTGATGATGATGATGTCAAAAAAATCAAAGCCAAAATGGCGAAAAAGTAAGATTTCTTAATAATTATTTCTAGAATATTATCTATTGATGATTTTCCGCATGTGGCACTCTTTTAGTTAAAAAAAATCATGCGTCTAAGGTTAAAATGTGATTTTGTTTTTACAAAAACTATAAGTAACAATAAATATTACAGTTATTAAATATATTTGAAGGGAACGTGCAAAGCAGCGCGAGATTGCTGAAAAGAAGGAAAAGTCACGCCACAAAGACCTAATGCGTGCTTTCCACGAAAAAGTGACAGATGAAGAAATCCATGCTCATACCGATCGCTTCAAAATTTTGGTTGATCGTGCACTTCAAGTTTACGCGAACGTCAATAACGATGTCGAAGATGACGAACAAGAAGAAGCGCTCCTTCTGGACGAGAATAAACTAAAGTCTATCCTTAAGGAGGCCGCCAAGCTGAAAGAAATCGACGCTTATGGGGACATAAAGAAGAAAAGACTCGCACGAATGTGCCAGTTAATGGAAGTAAACATGCGTCGAGGTTGTCGACTTGCCTTACATGTCGTCGACGACGCGGAACCAAAGCACAATGGACTTGGCCGAGAAGAACGTCTTCAGGCGATAAATTGCGCTCTCGAGGCCGGTCTCTCTGTTATGTATGTTCTCACCGCGCCGAAAGTCTCTGGATCTATTTTGTCAGATAACGTCATCGATAGAGTGATCGAGCTGTGTCGATTTCAGCTTCAAAACTCTATCTACCCTGAATTTGATGTTGTGTACCGGCAGTCAGGCTACAAGATCAAGACTGACAAGCAAAAACGAGCTTCTTCTAAAAAGTTACTCAACGATCGGGTTCGATCATGCGTTTGTTCACCCGCGTTTGTGATCTTCTCGCCTTGATCGGCGAGTTCGCTGGCAAAGTTAAACTCATGGACCACATCATCAACAAAATCGCCAAAATGACGATCTCTCCTTTCTTCGTGGAGAACATACAGCAAATTCAGCTCTCTGCTATAAGATGCGCGACGATCATCTTCTCTAAGTATCCCCAGCATCGACAAAATCTCGTCATCGACATTCTGAACTCGCTTGCTCGTCTTCCTACGTCTAAGCGAAACTTGCGAAATTATCGCTTGAGCCATCTCATGGATGATGAAGACGATGAAATTCCATGCATTCAAATGCTCTCAGCGTTGGTCTTACAGCTTGTCCAGTCAGTCGCAAAGATTCCATCTCCAATAGAGTCTGATCACCGACAAACGATGCTCCAAGCGGAACGCGAAAATGAAGACATTGATGAATTGCCGATTTTAAGTTCTCTGGAACTTGCACAGCAAATTTCCTCTATGTTTTTAACAATCTTCCTTGAAAAGATTTCTTCAAGAAAAGAAGAAATAGACTTCCGGCCGCTTTTTGAAAATTTCATTCAAGATCTGCTAAGCACTGTCAATAAGCCGGAATGGCCTGCTGCAGAGACGATTCTATCCATTCTGGGGCGCTTGCTTGTTCACAATTTCATGAATAAAAAGGTTGAAATATCCTTGCGAACGGCGTCTCTTGAGTATTTGGGAGTGGTCGCCGCACGATTGAGGAAAGACGCTTTGACTAGCCAGTTAGATGTGGCCGAGGTTCGGCCGTTAGTTGAAATCGTCGATCATGGCGTTGTCGGTATCGAAGGCGAACAAGAAAAGGATCTACTCACACGACAACTGCAGACAATTGTTATTCAACATCTCAATTCCGGTCGCAAAATCGACAGTGCTATGGAGTTCAGTCTCAATTACTCAATAGCTACTTGGGTTCGAGATATCGCAGACATGAAACACGATGAAGACGTTGAATCACTCGAAAGAATCGGCTATCGGCGTGAGCATGTCCATAAGCTGATCCAGTTTCCCCACAAAGGGTCTCGAGCTCTCATATGATGACATATGTATTATATCTCGCTATCTATCTGCCAATAGATCATTCAACCAGTCCTTCGATCGGTACCTGCGACAAATCCTTTCAGTGCTCAATGAACAAGCTGTTCAAGTACGCACGAAATCTCTCAAATGTCTAACTGAAATCGTTACTGTCGATCCTGGCATCCTTTCACAAGAGGCGATTGCCAAATCAATTCGCTCGCGAATGGAGGATACTGCTACTTCTGTGCGTGAAGCCGCAATCGACTTGATCGGGAAATTCGTGCTCACTCGCCCAGAAGTTGCCAATCATTATTATAAGATGCTGACTGAACGAATTCTTGATACTGGTGTATCCGTTCGAAAACGAGTTATTAAAATATTGCGTGACTTGTGTCTCGAAGTCGAAGATTTCCCATACACTGCGAACGCTTGCGTCCGCATGATAAAACGCGTAAATGACGACGAAGAAGGAATAAAAAAACTTGTCTTGGAAGTATTTTCAAAATTGTGGTTCACTCCAGTTGACCAGGATCATCGCGAATTCAAGGCAAAAGTTTCTGCAAAAGTAACAGTTGTGATTGACGTAGTCGCGAGTTGCCCAGATGTTGAGTGGCTACAGGATTTGCTCAAGGGGCTGATCAAGGGCAACAATGCTGATCTCTCGCGAGACGCCATCGAAAGTTGCCGACAAATTGCTGATTGTGTGTCGAATATAGTTAAAGAAGAGAGTCTAGAGGAGAAATCTCGGATGGTTGCCTGCTTCACAACAATGTTGCTGATTGCAAATGTAGAACCGACACTCATTGTACCTTACGTGAAAATTCTACATCCTTATCTTTCACGAAAACCGACGACTCAGAGAGATATTCAAATCCTTACCAAAACCGAGAAGATCCTGGAACTCTGCTTGCCACTCATGTCGCATCCGTCAAAAGATTTCCTGAGTTCACTGGAAATGGATTTAATGAAAATAATTATGTTCTCGCACGAAGTGGTTGCTGAAGGCGCGATCGCTTGCCTTGGTGCTCTTGTGAACAAAGTTTCCAAACGTTATCAACTCGTCTGGGACATCTTCAAGCGCTACTACTCATTTGTCAAGAAGGCAAGCTAACTCTATTGTATTCAGCTACAGCTATTATATTCTTTAGGTAGTCGACAGTGATAACATTGAAGAAGTCATGGCTGGATCAAAGAAGTGTCTTTTTCTGCGCTCAATTCGAATCATTGGATTTTTGCACAAAACTTTCGACTTCGACAAGAAAGAAATATCAGCCGGCTTGGATATAAAAATAAAAGCAGAAACATACGAAAAACTGCTTTCATTAGTAACCATCGAAATGCTTGACCTTCAGATGGCCGTTCTCTCCGCGTTAGGAATGCTTATGGTACAGGAACCCAGCTTTATGCTTATGGATATGACCAAGGTAGATATAAAAAAATAACAACAAAATAACGGCTCATTTTTAAGGCTCTCTATGACGGAGTGCTGAATTCCGAAAACGAGAAGCTCCGTCATGTTGCCCTTCAAAACTTCGACAGCTATCTGAAGGAAGAAGATCGTCGAATAACCGAGCGAGAACAACAACAGCTTATGGAGAAAGAGATCAAAGAAAAAGAGCGAAGCCGTAACCTTTCCTCCGAGAAGGATAGCGAACAAAAAGAGGAAGTAAAAGAGGAGAATATTAAAGAAATGGAGGATGTAAGATCCTCACAGTCTTCAGCTGTTATACAGCTCTTTTTAAAGCAAATTCAAGTGAGTTATACTTGAGTAAGCCATTTCTAATTCGCGATTTCAGGACGCCTATATTTCAACCGAAGCCATTGTTAGAAAAGCCTGTCTTTCTGTAGTCATCAAAGTTCAAAATCAAGGCTTGGTAGCCCCGATGGGACTCCTGCCGACTCTCATCGCTGCCTCTGCCGACCCGAAAGTTTCTTCTTTACGAACCTCTGCTGATCACGTTATGCACGAGATCAATAAACGTCAAAACGTTATTTACGTAGAGGCTCTTCGCGGCCTCAAAAAGGGTAATTTCGCTAATCGTAAGAAATACACGACATGAATTTTTCAGCCTTTAAAGTTGCGAGGGTTATCTCGTTCGGGTCGCTGATATTCGACGACGAAGAGGAGACCCCAATCTACGACGATAAGATCCCACGAGGTTACTTGAACCTCGAGTATGGAAAAACAGCTTCCTGCTGTCACCTGTATACTTTACTGAAAGAGAAAAAACATAAACGGGTATGATAGTTTCTTTTAATAACAAAGCACACAATTTCATAGGCCTTCATTACCCAACTTCTATCCATTTTCGATGACCATAAATCACCAATGGATTTACTTCTGTATATTGGTAAGAAATCAACTCGATTTCAGCTGACTAACCATCATTTAAGCGGACAATCTTGCGTACTTTCCGCATACAGTGATCGAAGATGTGTTGTTTATCATTAAACACGCAGACACAAAAATCAACGGCGCAGGAAACGATCTTATCCATACTTTCGAAAAGGTAATTTGTTCTTGTCAAGAATGTCATACTATTATTTTATCCAGCAACTGGAACCAGTTGAATGTATGGAAACCGACAATCCGAACGCAAACGATTCGGACTCAGACTGTGATCCAGAAGACGAGGAGACGGTTGCCCGTGTGAAGAATCGACTACCAGGATCAGCTGAAGTTCTTCATTTTCTGCGCAGGGCACTTTCAATTTTTATGCTGCTTTGGCTGAAGATTTACTTTAAACAAGCGTTCTCGATCTCAGATAAGAAAATTGACGCATACTCAAATGATTCCGCTGCTGTTGAGTCCAAATCAAAAGTGAGTAAAGAAGTTCTGCACGTACTCAAAAATGATTTAGCCTGCCTCTCGAAAGTCTGGGCCTACTTTTGAGCCACGCGAGGTAATAGAATACCTTGCGGGTCAATATCGAAATGGAGAATCAGAAGAAACCCAACTCATGGCTGTAAAGATGTACTTCAAGCTCAAAAAGCTTATGTATGATTTTGATGAAATTTGCGACTCATCTGATGAAGACTCAAAACCCAAAGGTAGGCAACAAACTCTAAGAAGTGATACTCATCAAAAATAAGCCAAAGCGTCGCTCACCTCTCAGTTGGAGATGGAAGCAAAAATGCAACAAAAGCCACTCCAAAAAGCCAAAAGACGACCTCGATTCCGATCGTGATACTGATGGAGAAGAAAAACAAGTTCAGGTGATAATTATTGACATCGATTTCTTTGTGCATCGCCCTCTTAGATTTTGGACAAAGCGCGAAAGAAAATTCAACAGAAAAAGACCAAGGGTACAAAGAAAAAACGCAGGAGAAGGATAGAAGACTCAGACTCTTCTGGATCTGATTTTAACCCTTACGGATAAGTTTCTACCATATTCACTACTGCCGAGCCACAAAAACCATGTTACATACACTTAAAATAAATAAGAACAGAAAATTGAGTCCATTCCATCTCTCGAAAAATGACCACCGTGGACCAACTTTTCGGAGAATTCTGTCTATGATTGTTGTGTGACAGTTCCATTGTTAACCCTTTGTCAAAGGGCCTTTGAAAGCAGGAAGCTTTTATTGCATGCAAATATTAATATTTTATTTTGTTAATTATTTCATATTATCTCGTCAGTGATGATTTCAAAAAACTTTTTGTGGGGCCGGAAATCGTAAAAAAACTGCAAGTGCAGTTTTTTTCAGCTGGTCAAGACGAGTCGAATGATGGGTCTAACTCCTGATAATTATAAGGATTGACCGGTTTACCGGCTGGTTACCGGAAAATACGTTGTCACCGGCCGTTTTTGTTCTAGAAGTGATAGATTAATGTTTGACACCGGAAATTGTTCCTTATAGTCAGTTCTCCTGCAGGCTAAAATATGAAGGTTGTATCAATTCTCTGAAGAGAGTTATCACTAAAAACAGTAATTTTTACTAAAATTTTGTTGTTGCTGCACGTTCCTAATTTCTAGTCCCATTTTTGCCAAAAATAGTATTTTAGTGATAACTCCCTTCAGAGAATTGATAAAACTTTCATCTTTTAGCCTGCAGGAGAACTGACTATAAGGAACAATTTCCGGTGTCAAACATTAATCTATCACTTCTAGAACAAAAACGGCCGGTGACAACGTATTTTCCGGCAACCAGCCGGTAAACCGGTCAATCCTTAGAATTATCAGGAGTTAGACCCATCATTCGACTCGTCTTGACGAGCTGAAGAAAACTGCACTTGCAGTTTTTACGATTTCCAGCCCCACAAAAAGTTTATGAAATCATCAGTGACAAGATCTTTTCAGTTGAAAAGATTGAAGGCTGCATAAATAATATGAAGCATCATCAAACATCTTTGCAATTAGGAATCCGAATTTCGGACCCTTGGTAAAGCATTTTTGACAAAGATGGATAGATTGTCGACCCTCAGCATGCGTAATCATGTGAAATACCAGTCAAAGGAAAATCTCGTTTTGCTGGAACGCATGCGCCAACCTTCTGGAATGCGATGACCTTTGGAAAATCTAAAAATAGTACTCGCCACCGCAAAAGGTCAATTATGCTGGAGTATAAAAGTCCAGTGCGAATATCATAAGATTCTAAGAGCAGTAACTGATCGTTGTCAAAATGATTTCGATCTTTATAGCCCTTTTCCAGGGTGCTCTATGCGGTCTTTTACCGACAAACCTCAAGTGCCGACGGGAGAATATTTTGTGAGTTGAAGAAGTCCTAGAGATGAACACGTACTTACTGATATATTTTTAATAGGAATGATTTACCAGTCGCTGATCGAGAGCAAATCAGAATAATTGATGGACAAACGGCCGAATTCGGAGCTCACAAGTGGCTTGTTAATCTCGAAGGAGTCCGATGCGGTGGAGTGATTATCGGGGCCAACTGGGTTCTGACATCAGCGAAATGCTGCGCTGGAAAAACTCTAGACCAACTGTTCACCGTCGCCAACGACTGGGACTCAGACGTCTATTATGACTCTGAAACAGTTCATAGGCCAGATAAAATAATCATGCACGAAAATTGGGACCCAGTAACGTAAGTTGGACAAAGCGTTGATTTTAAAATTTAAAAGTTCTGATATATTTTTCACATTTTATGGCCATTGGTGATCAATGATTGGTATCAGATAGTCATTAATTTCTATGATAGTGACTCCGACAACATTTGCCTTCTCCATTTCGACAATCATCACATGGTTGTGAATGGGGTCCTTGATGCAGATATAGCTTGCCTACCGGAGCCCGACGTGAAGCTCGAAAAACCGCAAAATTGTGTTGTCGCTGGCTGGGGATGGTCTGGTAGCTCCTTCGAAAACAAACTGCAAGAAAAACTGGTCAGAGTTATTCCGGATAATGTTTGTCCACGATTCGATCCGAATTTCACCAAATATACAGCAGCTCATTGTTCTGGAACAGGCGCCTGCGTTGGTGATTTCGGTGGACCACTTATTTGTGTAGAAAAAAACAGCAAAACTGGAATGAGTGAGCCTGTAGTAAGAGGAATCATGAGCCACACCAAAAGCTGCAGCAATCGTCCAATGATTTATACCGATACTCAAGGGTATCTCGACTGGATTCGTGAGAAGACAAAATTAATTGCTGCCGCTGATTCCGGAACGCGTCCAACTATCACACCAACGACAACTGACAGACCTTTAACTGCAGCCCCTGGTGGAACACTTTTGCCCAACGATGTTCAATGCTCGAATCCGATCGACGGGATCACACGAATCGTCGGCGGTCAAACTGCAAAGAACGGTGAATGGGACTGGATTGTACAATTTCCACAAATCGGTTGTGGAGGTTCAGTCATCGCCAAGAATTGGGTTCTGACGGCTGCTCATTGCTGTAAGCCGTTTGCTCTAAGCCAATTGATGACAAATTTTGGCGATCACAATATCGGAACCTCAGCTGACGCCAACTTCTTACTTAGGCCAATTCTAAAAATTGTTCACCCGAATTGGAATTCAAAAACGTTTGATAACGACATATGCCTTCTTAAGTACAGTAATATCCCGTACTCTGACCGAGTAGCCCCAGCTTGCATGCCTAAACCATGGGATGAAGATCTAAAGCCAGGGCAAGTATGCTTCGTCGCTGGTTGGGGAAAAGTGGATGAAGATAGTAATCGACTCAATAATGAACTCAAGGAAGCTGCTATTATGGCTATTGACCCAACACTCTGTAATTCTGGTTGGGGACTGTCTAAGAGAGTGAATCCAAATACAATGATGTGTGCAGGAGACTTGCGTGGTGGTACAGATTCATGTCAAGGAGATTCTGGAGGGCCGCTGATTTGTATGGACGAGAATAATCAGCCTGTGCTCAGAGGCATTGTTTCTTGGGGATTCGGCTGTGCAAGATCTGGAATGCCCGGAGTATACACGAAAGTTACACACGCTCTTGAATGGGTGCACAAAGAGATCGGTGTGAAAGTGCCAACAACTGCCAGTACATCCTCCCAATTTATAAATGTCGCGCAGACTGCATTACCAAAGGATCTTCTTTGTCCTATTACAAACGATGTTGCAATGGCTGAGAAAATGAATAATACTGAAGTAGAAACTGACCTTATGAATAAATGGGCAGGTCTACCAGCTGAAATGGCACCAAAACTTGAAGGCTTTCTCCCAACAGGAAAACTTGCCGGAATGGTGCCAACAAAGACAACAACGACGACAACGCAGCAATCTACTGTAGCAAATATGGTGAATAAGCCTCCAAAACGAGGGAAAAAGAAATGGAAGAAAAAAATGCTTGCGAATAAGCTTGGAGTATCTCGATTTTCAGAAGACGGTTTCGATGATATGAATTTTATACAGCGTATCGTTGGCGGTTCAATTGTTCAAGAGCGACGAACATGGACGTTCCTAACCCGAATGGAGCGCGTGTCAGCTTCAGCAACAATTCTCAACATTCACTGGGTTCTCACTGCTGGTCATGTTTGTCATGGGTCAAGAAACGATCTATCAAAATTAGCAGTTACTTTTGCAGAGCGGGATCGATCAATGACTGAGTTGGCCGAGTTTACACTTGTCCCCGATGAAATAAGAATTCATCCAGAATTCGATCCTGATCTTCTCAATAATGATGTATGCCTTATGTTCTTCCGTGACATCGTCAGTTTTGTTAAAACTGGCGACTCTGTCAGTACGGCTTGTCTCCCTACTGATGACACTGACGTTATTCCTGATGGTCGCCGATGTTTCGTCGCTGGATGGGGCTCTCAAGATGAGCAATCTGCGGCGCAATCCGACTTCTTGCGTCAAATAACAGTCGCTGTCATTGGTGGTGAGACTTGTAATAAGGAAGAGATGTATGATGGCGAGCTTGACGAAGCTTCTATGTTCTGCGCCGGGTCACTGGATGGGGCAGTCGACGCCTGTCTTGGTGACTCCGGATCCCCTCTGATCTGCGTTGAAAACAATACACCAGTTCTTAGAGGAATGGTCTCATGGGGTTTCGGATGTGGTAGAGCCGGCTTTCCAGGCGTTTACACTGATGTTACTAAGATGTCGAGATGGATTCTTCAACAAACATCACGTAATATCGACACTGAGATAACAAATCCTGCCCTTTTGCCTACTAATTTGAAGTGCACTACGCGCATGCTCGATAGGAAACGCGCTACAAATAAAAAAGACAAGGAAACTAAGGGATATAACATTGATAAACAAACGAAGCAAGGTGAAATCGATGAAGCTCTCAGTCGAATTGTTGGTGGAACGGTTACGGAAAAAGGAAAATGGAAGTGGATTGTTCGACTTCCCACGATCGGTTGCGGTGGAACAATCATCGACGATAATTGGGTGGTTACTGCTGCACATTGTTGCCATCCTGTGAAAGATCATAATAATTGGGCTCAAATATTGAAGACTATCGCCAATGAATATGAACAGTTTGATGTTAGTGGCGATGAAGTTATACGTATTCCAGATCGTATGATCATCCATGAAGGATTCGATTCGAAAACACTTGACTTTGATATCTGTTTACTCCATTTCAATCAGCCGTTTCAACTTGACAACGACGACCGCATTGATCTTGCTTGCTTAGCGAACAAAGGAATTGAACCCATTGATGGACAAAGATGCTATGTAGCTGGTTGGGGAGCGGTTGGTGAAGGAGAAGACCAGTCTCCTATCCTTCAAGAACTGTCTGTGAATATGATTGACAGAGAAGTGTGCAATTCAGATGAAATATACAGAGGCGCTATAAAGCCATCTATGTTCTGCTGTGGCCGTCTAGAAGGAGGCTTCGATAGTTGTCAGGGAGATTCAGGCGGCCCACTAATCTGTGTTGACAACGGAGAGCCTGTTTTGACTGGAATAGTTTCTTGGGGATTTGGATGCGCCCGTAAAGGATTTCCTGGTGTCTACGCTCATGTCAGTAAGCTCGCAGACTGGATACACAGAAATACCTTCGGAACTACTGCACCAGTTGAGTCATCTGATATCGCCATTGGGAACATGGCTCTTTTACCTTCTGATTTACAATGCAACTCTCCTCTTACCCGGGCAGGTGAAAAACTGGAAGTAAATAAAATCGTCGGAGGATCTGACTCAACCAAAGGAGCTTGGCGTTGGATAGTCAAATTGAATAGAATCGGTTGTGGAGGGTCCATTCTGAATTCAAATTGGGTAGTGACTGCTGCTCACTGTTGTCATGCTGTCAAAGACTTCCCAAATACGCTTGATCTATTATCGTTTACTGTCAACGAATTCGACACTTCAACGTTTGAAGGAGTTGAAAAAACATTCACGCCTAGTGAATTTATCATACATGAAGAATATGACCATCGGAATATTAATAACGACATTTGTCTCCTTCGAACGTCTGAAAATATTGACCTCGACAATCCAGAGGTTGATCCTGTTTGTATCTCTACTCGCGAACCACCAGTTGGAAGAAAATGCTTCGTTGCTGGTTGGGGCGCAACAAGTGAAGGCGGTAAATCAAGTGCTGTACTACAAGAAATCCAGGCGGCTATACTTGACCATGATTTATGCAATGGACCTGATGGATATGACGGACAAATCAATAGAGAAACTATGATGTGTGCCGGAACTATGGCAGGAGGATTTGATTCTTGCCAGGGTGACTCCGGTGGACCTCTTGTTTGCGTTAGCCCTGGACGTGAACCTATTCTCCAAGGAATCGTTTCCTGGGGTTTCGGTTGCGCTCGACCCAATGCACCTGGCGTCTACACAAGAATGTCGCATTACGAAGATTGGCTAAGAGAAAAAATTTCATCTGATTCATTTACTCCTGATGCTGAAGCTCCAGTTACTGAAGCTCCAATAACAACCTCATCCACACAAGCACCTACAACAAGTACAACAAATGCTCAGACAATGAACGTGTCCCCAAATATTTTCCCAGGAGGAACTTGTCCCGTCGTCAGAACTCAATGGTTATCAAGAGGCGTTGGGTATTCATTCACTGCTTCAGATTATGAACGGGCTACACCCTATTTAAACCTCGTACTTGAACGTGGATTTAGCGCTCCGCCACTTCTCCCATCTGGATTCAAAATGGAAGAAGATACTAACTTCCGTCAATTTAAACTCCCATCTTTTAACTTCAACGTGAGACGACGAAGAGAATCCGAATTCTTGGTTAGTCGACCATCAGTCAACCTGGTACAAGCAAAAGACTTTGATCTTGACTCGTTATTGGCGGAACCAATCGGAGAAGAAATTGGCGTTGTGAGTTTAAAGCCAGCAGTAAGTGGATTACCAACAGGATTTTCCATGAGCCAAAATGATCCAACTGATACTCGTGGCAGTAGTATGATGGATCCTGTCGTTACTGTTGTTAGACCGGGAATGCCCGCCGGTTTCGGAGATGAAGATTCAAGTATAAATGATCAGAAAACATCATCACTTCCAGGTATAAAACGAAACAATTAAAAATATACCATACTAAATTTAGTAGTCCCTGTATTTTCCGGTGTACCCGCTGGCTTTGAGCCAAGTAGTGTCGAAACAGAAAAGGGTCTGATATCTGGCGTAGTTGAAGCTGATGATGGCAGAGACGGAGATCGAATTGTTGGTGGTCTTGAGGTTGATGAGAGTCGAAAAGAAGCATGGTCATTTTTAGGTAAATATTTTCTTTCTAAAAAAATATTAATTTGATTTCTAGTCCATTTTGATCGTGTTGGATGTGGAGGAACGGTTATTGCCAAGAACTGGGTATTAACAGCTGCGCACTGCTGTCAGCCTGTTCTTGATGCGACTTCTGATCCGGCAGTCCGTAACCTCTTGATGAGAACAATGCTCAACAGGCTTAACAAATCAACAATCAAAGGAGAAGCTGTTATTCCGAAGTCAATTAATTTGCATCCAGGATGGAACAAGGGAACTCTGGAGAATGACTTTTGCATGGTTGAATACGATGATGATCTCTTTGAAAAAACTACAAAGGTTTACATTTTCTACGTCTGACTTTTATAAACTTATTATAGGCAACTTGTCTCCCGGACTTAGGCGAGCAGGTTCCATTTGGCAAAGATTGTTTCACGGCAGGCTTCGGCCTCTTGCAAGAAGGTGGTGCGAGCGCTGAAACAATGAATGAGCTGAAACTTCCAATTCTTGCAAATAGTGTGTGCAATCATCCCCAGTCTTATAAAGGGTTCATGAAAGAAGACTCTATGTTCTGTGCTGGTCATCTCGAAGGTGGTAAAGATTCTTGCCAGGGCGATTCTGGCGGTCCCCTGGTTTGCCTTGATGAGGGAAATACACCTGTACTTATTGGTGTCGTTTCATGGGGATTTGGTTGTGCCAGACCTAACTTCCCAGGCGTTTACGCGAAAGTGTCGCATGCTGCATCCTGGATCGAGAGTTTCATTGGTCGATCTTCCACTACTACAACATCGACATCGACTACAACAACATCAACTACTACGACATCAACTACTACGACAACAACGACAACTACCTCAACTACGACAACAACCACTTCTACTACCACAACGACATTAATAGCAATTTGGTCAAATTGGGGTGAGTGGGAAGAATGCACGGAGCACTGCGGAGATATTGGTGGAATCCGATTCCGATTTCGCGAATGCGAGCAGGGAAAATGCTCAGGATCATCTCTCGACTCAGAGCTTTGCAATGTGCGCCCCTGTCCTCAATGGGGATCATGGGCTGAGTGGTCGGATTGCTCTCAATCATGTGGCGGAGGTTTATCAGTAAGAATTCGTGAATGCCAATTCGCGGAGAACCATCCTGATGGTTGTAAAGACGGCCCTGTTGCTCAAGGAAGAAAATGCAATACTGATGATTGCCCTACTACATCAACAACAACCACTACGACAACAACCACAACAACCACAACCACAAAGACAACAACGACAACGACAACAACAACCACTACGACAACAACCACTACGACAACAACCACTACGACAACAACCACTACGACAACAACCACTACGACAACAACCACTACGACAACAACCACCACAACAACAACCACTACAACAACAACCACCACAACAACAACAACCACTACAACAACAACCACTACAACAACCACAACCACAACAACGACTACTACAATTTTGTTAGAAGAGTCATTCGACGATGTTGTTATCCTGGAAGAAAGTAACAAATTTGATGAAGACACACCGAATAGCACAACTCAAGAACCACCAACTACAACAGTTGCGAGCACCAATGCATCAACGACAATAACAACGAGCTCCACTAAATCGACAAAAACGACTAGCACTTCTACGACTACTAGTTCTACAACAACCTCGACTACAACTACAACAACAACCTCCACAACGACTACGACCACATCAACGACTATGACTACGACAAGGACCACGACTACGACTACGACCACGACCACGACAACGACCACGACCACGACCACGACTACGATCACGACAACGACCACGACTACGACCACGACAACGACTACGACCACGACAACGACTACAACCACGACTACGACCACGACTACGACCACGACAACGACTACTACTTCAACGACCACTACTCCCAGCACCACGACAACAACAGCGAACAACGTCAAAACTAGTTGTGGAGATTTCATTCCTGGCGAAGGCTCATTCAAAAATATCAAATCTAGCGGAGGATCCTTATCAAGCATTTGTAATAGTAACATTTGTAAGAACTCGTGCACTGATTCTAATGAAATGCTCATCGGTCCTGAGATTATCAAATGTCAAGTGAAGGGGAAAAAGAGAAAGATCATGCCAGCAAAAGGTGTAATCAAATGCGTCGAGAAAAAGGATACTCTATGTGGAAACCTCGCTCCGAAATTTAACTTTGCTCCTGGACATGAGGGATCTATTTCATGTGCTAAAACTGGAAAATTTGAAACATGCACAGCAAAATGCACTGATCCATTGCTCGCTGCGTCTGTACCCACTATTCTATGTAAAACAATCAAACGAATCACGAAGTTCATTCCTGCATCAGCACCTGGAGGAATCAAATGCCTGGGTATGACAGTTAGAATTTTTTATGTTTGTTATCATAACCTTTAGCTCCTCCACCAACTAAGTGTGGACAATTCGCACCATCGATCAGCTTCCAATCGGGTAGCTCTGGTTCGATTGGAGATTGTCGCCAAGTAGGGAAAAATCAAGTTTGCAAAGTACAATGTGATGATGAGACCCTCGCTCCATCAATTGATGAAGTTCAATGTAGAGCTGCTAAGAAAGGAAAATTTTCTTTCTTCCCCCGAACAGCAAAGATATCTTGCAAAGGTATAAAATGGTTCAACAGAGTAGATTTCAGTCACAAATTCAGTTCCACCACCACCATTACCAAAACACGTACATGCACAATGCGGCGATATCTTCCAATTGTCACGATATACTCTGGATAGAAACAGTCTTGATGCTCATTGTGACAAAACACAATGTATTTTATCTTGCTTGAATGCAGGTGCAACTATGAAAGCGACCCCTGCAAAGCTCCCTAAAAATAATAAAATGGTGATCAAGTGCGGCAAAAAAGGATTCGCACCGAAGAAAGTTAAAGCTTCATGCACAGGTGGCTCTCAGAGAGGACTTGGTCTTGTAGGCGGTTTTGAAGATTATGCTTCAACTAAAGTCCAGGATACTACAACTTGCTTCAACTCTATTTATGAGAAATACGGAGGTTCGAATAATTCTAAGCTTTTGAAATCTAATAATTGTTTCAAGTGAGAAGAGAAGAAATTGTTGTGAACTGCACGGGGAATAAATGTCTCGTTTCCTGCAAGAAAAATGGTAAAGCACCAACACACATTTGGCCCGATGGATCTTCATCTCAAAGATCACTGTTCGTCTGCAAAGGTCGATTCTCCTGGTCTCCAATTAGAGGCCGAATTGTCTGTTAATTTTCACTTATTCTTTACCTTGTAAATTCCAATCGTATTTTCGACAAGAAAAATCTAGGAAATTTTTTTCCGATTCTGTAACTCTCATTCTTATCAATAAAATGACTACCTTGCCTGAGGCAACAGGTAAAACTTCATAAAATTATGCATTGAGTATTACTCAATGAGTAATGAATCATGGATTATGAGTAAGAAAAGGGAAATAAGAAGGGAAAATGGGCGCCCTCCCGATTTAACATCAAGGGAATATTTAACGATGCTGGCTGAACATTGTTTTTAAAATTTTATTATGTGAGAAAGCAAAGTTATTTTATTTACAAAAGACGCGAAAGCGTCCGCAGCCAGACTTTAGATAACGACAAATATTTTTTCACATTTTAAGAGACTTGAACACACTGTTGAGCCTTACCTTTTCAATTTATATCTAGATTCAAGTTGGATCATTCAAAAGTTAAAGGTTAACGTTTTTAGAAGTACAATGCAAGAGATTACCAAAAAGATAAGGGTATCTAAACCACCGAAGATACAATTACAGCGCCGGGTACCCGTAAAAACTAAGGCCTGGAAAGAAGGTCAGGTAAGTCTTCATATTTGAAGTATTTTTAAAATTTTTCCAGGTTGTCGAGAGGCGTCAGCAACGCGAAATAATCGATCTCACTAGCCTCGATGATGAGAATATTATAGTTATATAACTATCCTACCTTTATGGAAAAAACCACCTACAAGTTTGATGAGTCACTCAATTTTAGTGTGACTTACAGCACCATTCTCGAAATAAACAAAAATACAAAAAATTCAAATTTATTATACTAAAGAATCTGCAGATAATTTAATAAACGAGACGAGTTAAAAAGCCGCGGAACAGAATTTGGGAAAGATAGTGTGATGGGGCGAGTTATTTGTTTCAGGTTTAGAAAAGAATGGCACATGAAGTTTCTCAGACAGATTGGGGAACTGATTTCATCATATTGATGAATTCATCGTAGTCCAAAGTCCAGTCAGTGTTTTTGTCTCCGTCTCGCATGATCTCGTCAACTTCCCAGTCCTGAAAAAAAAAATAGATCTTGGTCAATAATGGACTAGTTTTTACCTCAAACTGTTCACCAGTAGCAGTAAGAGCAGCCTTGAGTTCGTCCCAGTCAATCTTAGAATCAAGTTTGGAGTCAATAATTTTAAAAGCGTCAGCGAGTTCTTTCTCTGGTCGCTCTGGAATCTTTTCTTCCTGCTCCGCTTCCAATTGCTTGACCATCATAAGGCAAAATTCGTCGAAATCAATAGATCCAGAGCTAAAAGTGTGGTCAGCAAAACCCAGTCATAAGTCTCCTTGTTATCATTCAAATTAGCAAAAATCATTACCCGTCGACATCGATTTCTTCAACCATTTCTTTGAGCTCTTCTGGGGTAGGTGTTTGGCCCAACATGGCGAAAAGTCGGTTCAAGTTGTTAGCAGAGATAGCATCCTCTTCTGGATCATCGACGAAGATATCGAAGGCAGCACGGAACTCGGTTTTTTGTGCCTCCGAAAGGGAGGCGATCTTAGCCAGATCCTCCTCATCCATCTCTAAAAAGAGCGTTTGTACCTCGTTTTGAAGAAATTCTATATCAAGATTTTATTGGAGTTAAGACCCTACAACGTGCGCTTCAACCAGTGAGTTGCAAGGTTATCTCTTAAGTATTTTCAGGTCTAACAGATTTTTATCTAAATTATAGGTATAATTGAAATCTATCCAAAATGACGATTCTATAAATATCTCGTGTGTTACTTGATTAACACGAAAATATAATTTTCATTCATAGAGATCTATATTAAACGCTATCGAAATTTGCGACGATCCTATAATTTTATTTCGGCGTGTATATTACGCACAAATCATAGGCCACATATGCTTGCCGCACTAACATAATTCATGTTTTTATTAAATGCAAACGTTTGCTTTTATGGAGAAACGTACCTTTTCTCTTTCCTGTTTTTTGTTAATAGACCCTGCGAAAAAGGGTATTTTAGTTTTTGGTCTCTCTGGATATCACGCCTGTTGAGGAGTTAGAAGAGCATGGAGAGCGATAATCATACTTAGAAACTTTGCACTCAAGGACGATCTATCTCAACTATTTTGCGCAAAAGGTGCATTTATTATTTACAGCATATTGTCAAATTTGATCTTTCAGCTTCCAAAAAGCTCTGTTCCTAACAAAGTGGACGTTGTCCGAATTGAAGTTTCAAGAGCATATCCTGCTGATACGAGAGAATCTCTTGGAGAGATTGATTTTTCCATAAATAGCTTTTTTATAAAAAGATGATTGTCATAAAATATATATCAACGGAACTACTTAGTCAGACTATGGTGTGTGTGTTCGTGGCATACTTCGGAATATTAGACCATATCGGTGTTGAGGAAAGGATTTTATTTTAATGATAAGGAAGGAATCGCTAGCCTTATCAAATATTTCATAGGCGCCACCTATAGTAAGTCTCCGGCGCCCTCTGAAAATTCATAAAAAATCGCAGCATTTATTCCCGGTTATTTTCATAACTACCCCGCTTATCTTTTATTTGTACTTTTGTAGAGATTTTTATATATTTGATAACTTCTGAGTTGATTGACCGAAAATGAGGCTTGCAGGTAAATTCGACGACAATTCAATGATTTCCGAACTAATTTATCTTAGTTGCTGCTTTTGGTCTGGGTGTACTGAATGCTGAGTTTGGCGGTCTGCAAGAGTATATGCTTGAATATGAAGAAGCCACAGACTACGAATATTTTAACTATGAAATTGAAGAAGCAGAAGAATCGGAGGATCTCTGCAAATTCAGATCGTTGGCTGAACGAGGTTCTGTTTTTTTCACTGCGAGATCATATAATGCAAGAGATAGAGAAAATGGACAAAAAATATTTGATGAGATTCTTGAAGATATCTCAAGAATCAATGAAGGAAAGAGTCTCAAAATATGGATCTTCGAAAGAATAACTTTTGAATCATACTTTTACTTGTTAGCTATCTATTAGACGATTACTAATCGTCGATTAGTCTTGAACTCGAAAAAGGGCGCAATCTGGATTGTGACTTGAAACTGTTTCCATGTTCTTACGTCCAGTTTCCAAAGAATGAGGTGAGCTTGAGATAACTTGTTTTATATGAGGATGAGATTTCAAAGCCTCAGATCCCTGACAGAAAAATATTTATTCTTGATGACGGCAATCTTTCAGTGTTAGACTCTACCAGTGTAACAGCCGCCAGTCGATTTTTATTCAGACTCTCCTGGTAGACTTTCCTCTTACGTCACTGTTGAGAAACTGTCATTTTATTTACTAAACCGTACTTTCCCACTAAAATCTTTCAATCGTTTCACTTTAGAAAGTGGTTGGCACCGTAAAATTGCGTACGGATAGATTACAAGGGATCAAGGAAAAGGCATTGCCTTACATTATGCGACGTGCACATTAAATGATAATATTATTCAGGAAGCTTGTCAATTAGTTCGACGGTTAGAATCATTGACTGAATACATATCAAATCGCTGCCCTTCGGTAACCTTCGGCGATCTGACAGCACTTAAAGCCAGCTCCGAGCCAATGGAGCGCCCCTGTCTCAGCTCATCGGAATTTCTCGATGATGGAGAGCTGCGCCAAATGAACTCAGCTTTCCGGATAGAATTCGCAGCACCGATTCGTGATGTTTTGACAGAAGCAACTGCAAAATACAGACAGATGCTGGACAACTTTCGAACACACCGAAAGCAGAATGACATTCGGAAAGAGCGATACCACGGTTTCATAGAAGAAAAATCAGAGCTTGCGCGAATTGGCAGCATTGGGAAAGGAATGCTGGGCGATGTCGGGATCTCCACGGAGTCGTGGATACCTAAGGATGAAGAAGATTTTGACGTTAAATTCTATTTGCAATCGCTAGAAGAAAGAAATGCAGAATTAGAAGCGAAAGCAAAGAAATTTGCAAGGAATTGGTTTTTATTTCTTTGACGAAAGGTCTTAAACAAATCAAATACCCTCCTGTGAATATATCCTAGCGCTAGTTATTGATAACGAGTCCTAGCTTTATAAGCGGCTTGAAATATTTGATTAGTTGAAAGAGTTAATATCTAAATAGTGAACGTATAAGAACCAGAATCCAGATCACAGTTCGAGACAAGCAACGGTGGATCCTGGCAGAAGTCCGATACCGCAGTCAAGCGCGTCGCAGCTGTGTCGAGCTCTGGCTTCACCCCGGCACAGGAATCCTCCAGAAATGTTGCGTCATCTCGATTTAGAGGCAGCTTTTCTAATTTTCCTATGAAACATGGAAAGTCTGTGAGCATACTCGTCCTGGCGACAAAAGCGCCAGCACCTGAGCCGACTAAACCAGTCTGGGATGTTATCGAAGATGGTACTACAACTGTCACTGAAGCTTGGACAACAACAACCTGGGCGGCAAATACTGATAAACCATCTCCCTCTTCGACAACGTCTACGACGACAACTACAACTACAACAACATCGACTACAACAACGACGACAACTACATCTACAACCACGACTACAACCACAGCGAAGAGTACCACTACAACTACGACGACCACAACCACAACATCAGCCAGCTCAACAAGTACGACAGAGTTTGAGCCCTCGTTTGAGTTCTGTCCACCATTGCCATATTATCCTGAAAACTGGCAGTGTCGAGGGGAAGATAAAGACGGCTTTGCTTTTACCAAGAATACAGTTTGTGAGTCAAGTTGCGCTAAATTCAAAACAAAATGCGTTTGCAAAAAAGGCAAAACTTGCGGCTGGCAAAAAGAAAAGGACTTTCCGGAATGTGCATTTACAACTGCTGATCCAAATGTTTCGACAACCGTTCAAACCACAACTACTCCTCAACGAGAAGTTTGTCCTCCACTGCCTTACGAAAATCAAGACGGCCTTTGGGACTGCAAAAAAGACGCGAACATCGACAGGCAGACTTGCAAGATCACCTGCCCTTCAAAAAAATATCGAGCTTCATGCCAGTGTCGAAAGGTATTTTTCAGCATCAATCTTTACCCAACATTCTTCAGGGTTCTTGTAAATGGAACTGGTCCGGCAAACTTGACGGCGGTGGAAGTATTATTTTCCCCTCAGAGTGCGAGTCCCTAATATCTGGCACAACTACAACCGGCCCGAACACAATCCCGACCACAACGTCAACCACTCAAACAGTGACTGCTCCTGCTTCGTGCGCTGCTCTAGAAGAGCAGGACCACTGGTCTTGTTCAATGGAATCAAATCTGAACAAGCAGAAGTGTTCTTTCGACTGCGAGTCAAGAGGAAAATTTAGAAAATACACTGCTGAGTGTAAATGTAAAAATGTAAGCTCCTGGAAACTTCATGTTACGATAGTTATAACTTATAAGTTATACCTAAATTGTCAAACCTGCATTGATTGTCACTCGAATTTCCAATTTAGGGAAAATGTTCATGGAAGGGAAAGACAAGTCTGCAAAAATGCGAGAATTTATCTTCTACCAACGACACGTCAAATGTTGGCATTACAACGACAACCCCAAATTTAGCCATAACTACTGTGACGTCGAGCGAAACATGTGCTGCGCTTCCAGAAGAGATCCAACATTTCAAGTGCTCAAAAATGGATGGAAATAACTTCGTCCACAACTCACTTTGCAAGGGAAGATGTAGCGGAAGAATGAAAAGAATAACTTGTTCTTGTCAGGTAATGTCTGAAATTTCGACTCTAAATAAGGATCTACTCAGTCTGATTTTTTTATTGTTATTTTGAATCCTTGCCAAAACAGGAAATAATGTTTCAATATAATTCAACCAAAGCGGGAGTAATTAACATTTCAAGGAGAATTCGTAATCATGGCGCCTTATATGGAACTGGAGTGAGCTTTTCGATTCCGTGATGAAAATAACATAAAAAAAGAATCTATTTACTGATAATTTATGTGATATTAACCTTTATTATAGAACCAGATATGCGAGTGGTCCGACATTGATCCCATCTGTTTGCTCTAGAGTCGAGACACGAATCAGACAACTTTGATAATTTTACACTGTACAATACAAATCATTTCTACAAATTTGTGGTAGTGTTTCATTATTAAAATATTCTTGCAGGTTACAAGAAATCAGAAGATACAGGGACGTCTTCTTCAGCTAGATATTGATTCGTAGGAGATTGATTAGATCCACTGATAAAATTCGGTTGATAAAATTAAGATTGAGGTTAACTAAAAATTTGAGTCGACGAATCTAATCGAGCTCCTACGCATGATTGAGGCCGAGTTCATTTCGATTCGATTGGAGAGTTCGAGGGAAAACTCCGATGAATCTTCTATGTAAGAAATGGTTTCTAAAGATTGGTTTCTGATAAATTTGTGTTAACTGTTTACCTGGTTCTTCCGCAAGATCAAACTTATATCGATAGCTAGCTTTGTTGCGAACGTCGAAACCAAGCCCGTAGTCTTTACAGTAGTTGGCCAGCTTGGGAGGGAGATGAATATTCTCCTGCTTGCCTCTTCCGCGCATCTGTGGTAACGACTCGCGCACTGATCGTCGCGCAAATTCCTAGCATGTGTGCTCGTATTTAATTTAAACAAGTATATTATAGCAAAATGCCTAATAAATAAAAGGAATTTTACCTTTAGCGAAAGCGGGTTTGATTGGAGTCCATTGACATATCGCATCGTTACCTCACAGTGACCCCGAATGAGGATACTTGACATGATCTGACTTGAAGCAGAAGGAAATTTAACTTTTTGTCTAGCCTAAACCCTAATATACTTTATATTATATACAGAGAACACCCAAACTTTATGACTGTTATTGTGGATATAAATCAAGGACCCAAACCCAAACGCAGCTTACAATCGGGTAGAGACGCGATTGTTCTCCGTCTTCGTCCCGGACTTTGTTGAGACCTGTAAACGCTGTTCCCAGCCATTGTCCATCCGCGATGAATCCCAGTGTTCCAGCGTCCATATCAAGTACACATAAGAATTTCGTAGGCACAATGAAATTCGTATCGTAGTCGTCCAGCGGAGGATAAGAAAGCTTATTATGGTTCTCGCCGTCGTTGTTATTTGAACTGTAAAATAACCGTTATTTTATGATAAAAAAAGAAAGAGCCAACCTTGCAAGGCAAGCAGGAGCAACAACCTCACCATCATGACGGAGTGCGTTTCTCCCCAAGTCCCACCCCCATGTTTGGTTACAACTTCCAACAAGCGCGCAATATCCGATCTTGAAATATTTTTTATTACAAAACGAAAGTATTTTTTCTGAATCAAGTTTTGTTAGAAGGCCATTTGAAAATAACGTTATTTTCGTAAGGTGTACCTCGTGAAATCTTCTAACTCTTTGGGCTAATTTTATCAAAAACGATAGGAAAATAAAACGTTTTACCTTTCGAGTCGGGGCTTTTTCAGTAGCGACACCGACCACAGCATGAGTTCCGCGTTGGTTACTCGTCCAAACAATCTCCCAAATGTGAAGGCCTTCTCTATATCCATACTTGCCGCGCGCACAGTCTGTCGACTGCGAAATCGGCCGTCGGTGAATCGTCAACGCGTCCGACTTAAATTCCTGCTAATTATTTGCGATTACAGTCTTGTTACTTTTATGTAGATGTTGATTGATTTGTCCCACTGGCTCCATCCGAATTTCTTCTGAATTTCGACAGGAGCATCCTCAAGCTCCAGAGCATGCTCGACACTGCCGCGCGTTACGAATAGATCTTGAGGGTTATTGACGCCCAAATAACATTATTAAAAAATTCAAGCAGAGTTGTAACACACGCCGATAAGGCATCTTTTGCGAGCGTCGTTCGTAATTGCGGGATGACATGCTTTGGGAGGGTTTAATAAATCCTTCCATTCGCAATCAAGAATGTTACGTTACTAATTCCGTCTCCCATTCCTATCCCCGCGCTTTTTGCCGCCGATGGAAGCGAAAGATGCATTTCTATGTGAAAAGATGACTCGATATTAAAGTAATTCTGAGAGGATAAGATAGAACACTCTCGAATGATCGATGACGGATTAAATCGTAACATTTCCATCTAGACAGGCTAAGAAGATCAGCTTCTCCTCTCAGGAAAATCTATGCGCGACAAATGGGAAACACAAACGATGATATTTATGATCGACTCTTTTTATAGAAGATTAGTATTTTTGGCTAATGTCTATTGCTTACAGTTATCTTTTGCTTTTTATAATTATTAAATAATATTTTCCAAAAAAGCGTTTAATACCTTTGCCGGCCACTTAGTACGTTGCCCATATTCTGGTGATTATTTCCGTGAGGTGTCGTGCAGTGAAGAACTCAAAATAAAAACGGAAAATAGAAACTGAAAAGTAAAAAAAAAACGTGTAAGCAACGCAAATCTCAAAACATAAATGGAATTCATTGAAAAACAACCGCTCGGGCCAAACTGATTTCGCGCTGCGTAATAATCGCAGATCAGCTCTGTTTTTCAACGGTCGTTTGAAATCATATTTTCAAGAACTCGCTTCATTGTTTCACTGCTGATTTATCCCAAACCATTTATGAGTAAAATAGGATTGGACAATCCAAGTTGGTAAGTTTGGAGAGTGATTTTTAGCCGTCGTTTGATAAATATTAATTAAGTAATCAGTACAGATGAGGTTTTTGGATAATCGGAAATGATCAATCGATTTCAATTTCGAACTCGTCTTCTCGGCTGGAGTTTTTTCGATTTTGTAATTAGTCGTTCAAAATGCATCCGTCCGACGATCATACTGCTCACTCCTTTGAATATATATTAATGTGGCGAAATGATATTTTGGGATCAGTTCTTGGCAATGCCGCGATTTGAACAAAAAGAAAATCAATTATGTAGTCTTCAAATGATGCCATCACTGAGCACCCAACTTCTGCTGAAACCTGGAATATGATTATTTTCGCAACTTTCTGCGATTCGAATTCGGAAGCAAAAATTAACAATATCGGGAAGGCGATAAGACAAGTACCTCGGGTGGTACCCGTGTTGACAAAACCCTCTTATCCCAAGCAGCTTTTATAATTAACCCTCGATAGAAGGATGTACGCTTCACGATAAGGAGTTCGTGAACGCATATCAAAGCGATTCTTCGGAACTAGATTTCTTTTTTCACCCTTGCTGTTATTTCAGCCTGTTATCCCTTCTAAGTAAAATCATCCCGGCTAACTTATCCTAGCATTACTTTTTCCTTTAAGCGTTTTCCTTCATAGCAGGCGTCTTGACTGTAAGCAGATGTGTTGATGGTGATTAACTGTCTGGGTATAACAGCTCGAAGTTTCGCGAGTCCATTACGACAGGATGATGATTTCTATCATCTCCATCAGCTAATTTTCATCTGACCAGCAATATCCGCAGAGCGTTGGTTGTCTAAAATGTGCGTGGCGGACTTAGACGATCTGGCTCTCAGACCTCATGGAAGTTTATATCAGACGTCTGAGTTTAGAGCCTTCGGGAAGTATTCATTAGCTCACTAGACATATTCTTATTCTTCTCGAAGATGTTTTCGTGACTCTTTTCGAACTTGAGAGAGCCTTACCCGATGACTGGGTCCTGACCACCAAACAAAAATTAAAAAAAAAAATATCAAAGTTAGCCATAACGAAATGATCAGCCGATTTTAAATATTCAAATATATTATATGTATCAGTTGAACTCATTGAAACACAACAAAACTATTAGTATTCATGGGAGGCTCCCATTGGGGTGGAAAAACTGGCATGAAGAAAAACGTTCAATGGCGTGGTTCGTGCTGTGCTTCATCGTTCGCCATAAATTTCCACGGAAAGTAGGGTCTTGTCGTCTTAGCCAGCGCATCCGAACTGGAAGCTTTCCGCTGAGAGATTAATTCATGGCTATTTTAGTGCTAGGCTGAATCAAAAACCATCATAAAGACTGTAGCTTTTTACAGAGGAGAATATTCAACTAAGGTTACAAGACAGACTTTAAGATTTCTCTGTCTAAAACGTCTTTTTCAACGAAGACGTCAAAGCGAATTGGCTAGGCCTTCTGAAAGAAAGTCTAAGAGTCAAGAGGAAAAAGCTAGGGTGTTTTTTACGTCTGAGTGGTATCACCATTAACCAGCTTCGTGTCTAGGATCGGTGGAGCTAGCAGACGCACGCGTTAGTCGTCTTTGCCTCTTCTCTTTGACGGTGAGTCAGTAGTATCGAACTAAGCCTATAGAATGCAGGATGGGCAGACCTTGCGACTGCGAGTTCCGGTCCAAAAGTCATCATCTGGTCTGGCTCGAAGTCGTTGAACTCAGCTTATCGACCAGAATTCGCAAGGGCCAGCGGGCTGAGTTTACATTTATAACTGACGAGAACGCTTATAGCCTGTAAGTAATAGCTCGTAATGAACTTGTGTGTTTGTTAGAAATGGGGTTTGCTGATATGCGAGATTGAAATAAGCCAGGCTTGGTACAATGAAATTGTGAGCACAATACTGCTTCTGAAGTATTTGGGCACATCTGCTCAGGTTGAGCAAGGCGCAGCTCCATGGGAAATCGGGGGACAATTACCTCTGTAATCCCCTGTGATTATGATTTCAAGTTGTGTTTCCCGGCCCCATCGAGCTATTTGATCGCGCTCACTTCCACAATAAGATGCAATCCACATTTTATCTCCTGGCCACCTGATCAGCTATCTTCTGAATAGACTGCTAATGACTTAAAACAATATAGACGCTAACCATTCCCAAAAAAGACTTTTTCTTCGTTTCTGCAAAGTAATTTATTCCCTCTTTACTGCGATAGTATCCTGAATAAATTACAAATGATCGTCGATTTAATATTTTGATAGATTCGGATTCATGTAATTTTCGGACGTCATTTTTTAATATGATATTTATCATATTTCCTGGTTCCTTTAAAAGGAAAAAATTGAAAAACTTTTCGCGAAAAAATCATATTCACCCGTGTTAATTGCCCAAGATATTCATCTTCTAGGCCTTTTATGATAAAGCGGTGGAAGCGGTTCCGCGAATTTGCTTCAGCGAAACTATCTTTAGCGACTTGAACAAAAGCTCAAAGAAGACTCATCTTCGCACGAGTTGAAAAAATCGCGCCGCTTCCAAGTCTGACAATTATATAATTATCGAACAGTTACAAAATTAACGAAACAATAGCATCAAACACGCAATGCTCGACCGTGGCAGCGTAAAGATAATTAAGGCCGCCCCGCGGGTGATTTTTATCCTTTGCCAATTTTCTTCAAGTCCTAACGCTTTCCGATTATGGAACCTTGGCTTGATCAACACACTCACTGTGAAAAAGTGAGCTTCTTCAGCGCAGTAATTTATACACAAATGCGTTAATTGCGAATTCAAACGGTTATCTAATTCGAGATTATTATTTTGATCGGAGAGCAAATTTTACGCATCAGCTGCGATGCGCTTGCGGATCTGTCTTGCTTTTCTGGATATGCACTTACGAAATATCGAAAATAAAATTTTACGAAAGAGTATTTTCAAAAAGCAAGAAGAGGTTGATTTGAAGTTTTGAGTTGGATGAGCTTTACTAAAGAGCAATCGAGGCAATTTTAAGAAGGATAAACATCAAGGAAATGGATCAAAATTGTTTTCGCAAAAAACTTGTGGAACCTCTCAAGAGTGAATCCCGTCGCTTTGTTCAGCCCGGTCGGCGGATCAAAGACACTTTGCGAAGCTCATGTTCCATGAGATGTTTTTTCAAAATTAGATTTTAACTCTTTTCCTACAAACATGAGCTCCTTTGCATCCCCATCAATCGTTTACTTATTCATTAGCGCTGTTTGTGACGATGTTTAGGAAGAGATCAGTGCGATCAGCCCGAACCAAATGAGCCCTTTCCTGAGCATTTTCTACACTCTAGCTTTTTAGTTCTTTTCGCTGAACTCGACCGGACTCATACTTGCTAGAGCGTAATTTTGTCCTTTCAATTCATCACAATAAGCAGTTTTGGCCTTTATCTATCCATTCGAATAACGGCGAGAGCGAAACGTACAGATATGAATTAACTTAAATGTATTCTATCGCGGTGAAAATCCGCTGAAAAAATATACTTGTTGAAAAAAGGTTCAATCTTTAGTATGTTCCTTTTTATGCGGTCTAATAGGGCTTTTGATACAGCTCCGTGACAAAAATGTGTTTTTATTCAATTACAAATTTTCATCTTTTATGTCCGCTAATCCGTAACCGGCTTTCAGGTGCTGAACAATAGTTTTAAAGAATATCGCAGCTCAGTTATTGTAAAGTTATCCAGATGTAAAATTAATTCAAATAATCTCACTATCATGGCTTAAAATATTGACTTCACGCGCGTATTAATGGCGGGGGAAGAGGATATTGATCATGATTATCCTAGAAATATAAATTTAGACGTGTGATGAAAGATTACAAAATTCGAACATTCGAGTTCTATTAATTCCGCCTAGCACGCTTACGGGCGTATCAAGTCGCGGGTGTTTGTGTGGTAACAGCGCCGCAGGCGTGTCGACGCGCCACTAGCGACGGCTTCCCTTTTTTCCATATAAAACTATGATTATCTGAACCGAACCTTACTTGAAGAGGAATACGTCTAAGCAGACAGGAGTTTTTCCTTCCAAACGCGAAATCCAGATATCGATGTTAATGTCAGGCTACCAAAGCCACCTTACTCCTTTTGCTGGTCTCGTCCCTTCTCTACTCAACCCATCTTTCCAGCAACTTCCACCTTCACAGCAGCAAATGGAAAAAATAGCAGGTATCTACAGGCAACCTAGCGCTATAATTTACTTATTTCTTTTAGACGCAATAATTGAAGCGAGATACGGCGGAATCAGTGGCATGCGAAAACAACGAAGATCGCGAACAGCTTTCACCGCTCAACAACTTCAAACTCTTGAACGCGCATTCGAGACAACTCAGGTAAAAGCCAATTATTGAACCAAAAGTAAAGGACGTTGTTCAGTATCCAGATGTACTTACTCGCGAGCGACTTGCTCTTTGCACAAACTTGCCAGAAGCGCGTGTCCAAGTTTGGTTCAAGAATCGAAGAGCCAAATTCAGAAAAATGCAAAAAGCTGTCGAAACTCCAGCTAAATCCACGAGCCCGTAAGTTTGTTTCTGTCATGCCTGCCTTGACTTTAATTCTCAGAAAAGCCGAATCTTGTGAGCCCACCAACGAAAACCTTTCAGTCAAAAACGATGACTCTGAAGCAGACACAGAATTCAAAGGATCTGGTGAGTGATTTCGTTAATATTATTCGCTCGGCAATTGTAACGAAGTTTCAGAATTTTTAACATTGCTATTTTAGCTGACAGTCCCGAAGAGATCCCTAGACCAAGCCAAGCTGTTAGCCACTCCATTCTCAACATATTTTCCCAGACAGGTAATCACCTACAGCGGGACACACATTTAGCTCACTTTCCCTTCTATGGTAAAAATCCTAATACGGTGAAATTTAGAGCGCTACCGATCCTCTCTCTACCGAAATCATCTTCCTAGTCTGGCTACTGGCTTCCCAACATTTCGGCCAGACTTGCAACTTCCTCTTCTATCTCAGTTCGCATCTGCTCAGAATTATTTGTCTCAGGTAATTTTTAACTCCAAACACTTCCCGGCCAAACAGCATCGAAGGAATAAGAATCACTGCTAACAAAAAACTTAGATGTCCCGACTTCCACTGACTACTGAGATGAGTACCCCATATCAACCGTCACCACGACTTATTTCATCTGCAGTTTTTGATGAAACCCCAATCGAAGTCGTCAAGAGCGAGCTCGTAGAGTGAGTTTTTAAACATTTCACAAACTCCTGTATCAGATTCGTGACCCACTCGTTTACTGTTATTTGCAGTCAGAATTTTTCTGAGATCCGTTTCGTTTTTACATTTTTATATTTGTCGACCGACATTCCTCTTCCTTTGCATATTTAAACCTTGAAAACGTATTTTTAATTCGCCTTCGCTGAAATAATTACTCAATACATTTGAAAAAGAAACTGCTTCTATTAGAAATAATATATGTTGTCATCTGCCAGAGAAAAAAATTAGAGAAAGCAACAGCATGAAATTTTTTTCTCATCTTCGATTGTAGATTGATTGCACTCGTGAAGTTCCTCTTTTGAGCATTAGATAAATTTTCTGACTCGATTTTTCGTCTCTATTATTTTTAATGATTTCCTAATTGAGATTCAGTTAGCTCGGGTACGGCGCTGCTCGTTAAATCGGCGATTGCATTTATTGTGTCTTCGCCAGGCTGACTCGGGTAGAATTGGAGACTCATGGTCTGCTTGGGCGCTACTTTCATTCTAAAAATTCGATCTCTATGCAACTCATCCCATTTAAGATTACGGTACTAAATTAACAACGCACCTTGAGCTCATTCGTCGCAAAGATCTAATGCTCGTTGTTGACTTCTTTGTTCTCGTTGATGTAAAAAGATCAGGCTGCGAAAGCATTGTGCTAAAACATTTCAGTGAAAACAAGTCTCAAATTCAGAGAGTCTAGCCCTAACCCTGCTGGGTTGATATTGCTCCGAGAGTTTCTTGTGTGATTCATTTTGAATCTTTTATTGAACTCACAAAGTATTCAAAAATTAACTCTTAACCTATTTATTCGCTTACCTTAAATCTTTCTCTGATATTGTTTTGGTCATCGTTGTTATCATCTTTTCCTAGAGTTCGAAAATCATTTTTTCTGAGATTTACCTATCATTCTTACAGTTTCTTTTATAGCGGTGGACGACATATTATTTTTCTCTGAGCATCGATTTCATATTAAGGATGCCACAGATATGTTTTTAAAAGAAAGTTATCTAGAATCCTCTTTTAGAAAATGCTGGGTGAGACAAAACAAGAGTGCACGGAAGATCTGGTGTTTGTACTTTATTTTTGTATATTGAAGTACTGCGGTTTCGATATATATAAACATATTCAAATTATGAAAAAAAACAGACTGCCTTATGAAGTTTGAAGAAGTATCCGCTGTAGGTCTAGTTAGGTTCAGAAGTTTGAAGAGTATTCTTTTCAGTCCCAACCACCAATAAGGTTCTTGGCTAGATTAAATGTGTAGCCAAGAAGGGTAAAGTCGGAAGAGTAATGCTGCACGAGGTTTTTGAGTTCTGACGGGTCAAGGGTTTCGAAAAAGTAGCCGTACAGTTTCGAATTTTTGTTACGATGCACAGTTTCTGGAGAAACCAGCTCTTTTGAATTGTCAAGACGTCCCATTTTTGCCATAAGATATGGTAAATCTGTAAAATTAATTACAATTCGAAAATATCAACAATCTACCTTGATCGATGGTTTCAAGTTTGATGATGTAATCGTACTCGATATCACATATTCGACATGCATTTAGTTGAGCCTCAAACATATCCGTCGAAGTCGCTGATTAAAGGTATAAGTCAAATTCGAATTTGAAACTATGAGAGAAGCGCTATAATTTATAGGCTATGAACTGAAAGATACCGGCCTTGGTCGACCACAGCTTGCGCAAGTGAGTTGAGTGAGATTTGGTATTCATCTTGAGCATCTTTATTCAGATTTCTTTCTAGCATTGGATCTTTCGGCGGCTCGCAGCTACGACAATAATGATCGTCCCACACAGAGACAAATCTCGTCAGTGGATGTCTCACAACAACGAACTTCACGACATCGCTGCGCGTGAGAAGCTCATTCCACTCCGTGATTTGGACACTGTCCTTCCAAGACTTCAATTTCGCCCTTGCTTTCATGTTGAATTCGTCGTTCGGATGATAAATGTCAAGGATAGGTTTCTCAAATGCTCCTGGCGGAGTCATCTGTTTTAAATACTCAAGCGTCGATTGCAAGACAACGTGTGATGCAATCAAACATACACGCCAGTGCTAGCGATCATACGTCAGCTACGACTACAAGTTTTGGAAACCCTTTTCAAACCACCAGGCGGATAGAATCGTGTTTCCAGATTGCGGGGAATACAACCAAACACTCCTTGCGGTTCTTGTCCGTCTTGCCGTGGTACTGACAGATCTCCGATCACATGTTTCCACATGTCTGCATTAGATGTAGATGTCCGATTCAGCTGGACGCAGTGGGAGGCCAACTCGTGTTTCCTCTTGTGTGCGGTTATAGATCATCTATATTTTTTCGAATCGGCGACAACCTTATCTACCTTATTTGAGGTAGATGCTACTAATAAGCTCATATCTAGATAACACGACTGTAAATTGACGGAGTAGATACCTTCTAAGCCGAGAAAGTAATCTATAACATGCCCTTATCGAATCGCTTCTCTAGTTTTTCTCGATTCGGAACGTTAGCCAAAAAGTCCACAGAATCGTTAGCGGGGCTTTGATTGAGTACTGGCACCGACCATTTGGAAATAAACTTCTTTGCGCTAAACTCAATCAGATTACACCCAGCGCACGTTTACGCTAAAAACTTACCGAAGACTTTCATTGTAGACCCTTTGCGGGAGGTTTTTTATTTTTTGATCCAAGCCTCGGTCAATTTTTCTGCCATATGGCTCAATAGCAATATTGCTAAATTCAATCTAGCAGTAAAATCTATTTTGCTAATAGACATTCAGCCGGCCCTGAAGACAATATACAGTACCGCGAAGACGAAGACAATATTAACTCGGGTTCTCCGTCTCTTCTAACGGTTTCGAAAAATTCCTTCTCTAATTATTAAACATCGCGTTCCTATTCTAAGCTTTCGTTTTTTCTCAACCGTTTACCAGATTCTCACTTTTCATTTTCAACTCTTTGTGGTCATTTTTGCCATCCCGAAAGAAAAACGGGACAGATGTCAAAGAAGGACAACTTCTTGCTTTAGTTGTAATTGCCCATTAAAATTATAAAGCATTCGAAGCCGCGGTATGGTGCCGCCAACGCACCCGACCGCCCACACGTTTACACCACCACATTTCTTTAATATTCAAATGATATGCAAACATCCGAAGGAAGCGCGCTCAAGAATTAAACGTATACTTCTTTACAGGTAATCGTTTTTTATTAATAGCCCACGAGTTTGAAAATATAACTGGTTGATTTCGATGTTTTCGTTCACATTGATGAATCTGAAACAGGAGGTAATTGGGGTTTGCAATTGCTATCTGCATCTTCTTTATCTTGATAGTTGCAGAAGAGAGTTATTGAAATGACGACTCCAAGGACGCTCAGAATTGATAGTTAGAGGAGTGGCCATTTTGTTTATCGCACGAGGTACTGTGTAAAGGCTCGCTCCTATTTCCTGTTCCGACTCCAAGCTCTACCCACTGGATTCTCTCTTTCATCTCTTTATTTTCATTGTTGGGCAAAGCATCCTCATGCCAGGGATTGTGCGAGCTCGTGCTATTCGGCGTTGGCGAAGCCGTCGGGCCTATTTTAGCGAAAGAAACGAAAGCTTCGCGATGAAAGCCAGACCAGTTCCCGCGCTCTGCTCCGTATCCAACACGCGTCCTGTAACTAGGCTTATCCGGCCAGAGAAGATCCCCGTAGTCGTCGATGTTCTCAATAAGCGTGTTAGGCATCTCGATAGTTGACGAGAGCTCGACTTTAAATCGGTAAGAAGGAGGAAGAATGGAAGAGTTGCGACGGACGATGTCGCTTTTTAAGACTTTTTACTCCTGACTGCGTAGACTCATGTGAGTTCGACTCCCAGATAATCAGAAAAAGCCTTTCCTTATTAACAAAAAAGAGAGCTGTGTTCTTTCGATGATAATCTCTGAGGGGTTATCTGAGCATAGCCTGGCGGACTTTCCATTCGCAGTCTAAATAAGTGATTGCAATTGACCCTGTGATTAAGGTTGTAATGCCGCTTACGATCATTAAATTTACGCTTCGACATATGTCCCGCTCTACGGGCATGTCCCAGTTCATAAAACTAATCTTCAGATTTTCCGAAGACGTGACTTGCCATTGGCACTGCGACTGCACAGGAAAATATTCTGGAAAGGCGGGACTCTGGATCATCACAGGCTCAGATCCAATTCTATCGGAAAGGTTAAAAACACATTACTTTGGGATCGGGGCTCACATCAGTTGCTCGCTTCCACAATGCGACAGTAGTGCCTCTGATATTCTCGTCAAGAAAAAACTCTGAAATTTCATCTATTAGAAAGGCCCTAGCTCTAAATTTCAAACTTCGACATTTCAAATAGATGAGACTGAAGAGGGACATTATTTAAATGCAATGCAAATGCTCGACAAGCATGAAAATTTATCGGGAGAGTGATATTTATATCTAAGGATTTATCTAAAATTGATACGATATCAATGATATCCTGAAAATGAACAAAACTTTGATAAGAATCATTGATGCCCATAACTATACAGTTATTTATGGAATTTGTGGACATTTTTTGTCCCCTAGTTTTCTGAAAAATGTCCACAAATTTGATAAAGAGCCTCGAAAAAAATGTCCCAACGAACTTGTTTAAATTTTTTCCTAGAAAGAAAATTTGATGATTTTTCTCAAAAAATAATGAGAAAAAGAATACAAGATTGAATCTAAAGACGTAAATCTAAACAAAAATTAAGATTTTTGACGAAAAACAGTTCTTTGCAGATAAAATTGGCTTCAATTACGAAAGTAAGACCATAAATTTAGAAGTTAAAGATATCAATTGAGAAAAAATGTCCACAAATTTGATACCCTCTTTTTTTGAATATGTCCCAAGAAAAACCCTTATAATCTGAAAAATGTCCACAAATTTGATGTCCACAAATTCCATAAAAAACTGTACTAATATTGAAAATTAAACTATTTTCGTCTTTTGCCTCAAATTAATTCAATTTATCCAACTTTTCGGATGCGATTCGAGTGTCTGTAATGTCCATCGAATAAAAATTTTCTAGAACCTTGAAGCTAAACAATAAACACTTATTTTGCAGGTCAAAGGTCGCCGCCCGGGTGGCTCACTGGTTAGAGTGAAGGACTCTGACCGGCGAAGGCGCGGGGTCGAATCCCTCCGTGAACCAAAAAACTCACACCTCGGTAAGGGCGTAGTCCCTGAGTTTCTCCCCTGTACCGGACGAGATCCGGCGGGAGGAGTTTTTTGCCGAATTAACTAGCTGATTGCGTTAGCTACACTTCAGTGTACTTATATCATTTTTACCCCTAGAATCTAGATTCTGCTAAAACATGAATACAGACTAGACAGCGTGTCTTCAACTTTACTGTAACTGGTTTTAGATTAATGATAAAGAATCTGATTATGAGTGAATACACGGTCGATGCAGACTTATGCTTTCGGCAACTTATTTTGGAAAAATGGAGAAAGACCCGGCTCGTCTCAAAAAGTGGTCGGCGCCGCTCTCCGAAGAGACTTTTTCATTTCGAGAATTCTGAGAAATCGTGACAGAGAAGCTGCATTTTGATTTGTCGGCCTGCCGGAATCATCATTCAGAGAGATATTTTTATTTCGTCAGATCATGGGACGGACCAAAAATAAAACACGGGAAAAGAGTAAATATCCAGGTTTGTGAAAAAATAGATATTCAACTCGCTTACATTGATTTTGGAAGTTACACCCCTGAGAGCGATTGTGCGAAAAGTTCCAGCCGAAGATAGAACGGTACCAAAAACCGAGTGCTGGGCAGAAATCAAATGGGCACATGTGAAGGAGATTTTCTCGGTAATTCATCGCAGAAAAGCTTCTTCCCTTTTCAGAGTTATTTAGCAATATCTCGAGAGCGAAAATGCCCAAATCATCTTCCGTTTCGACCCATGTCACTTATTCACAGACAAACAAATCCTTGCTGTCATTACTGAATATCTCTATCGACTCAACAAGACTGAAAAGCTTAACAGGAGCTTTTTGACGACTTCGAGATTTCTTTCGCTGCTCTTCCTGGCGATCGAGTACTTTGATGAAGGCACCAACGGAGTAAGTAAAGTAAGCTCTTTTAATTTTGAATTTTAACGACTTTTAACTGATTATCTGAGAACTAATGAGCTTTATCCAGGTCATGATCGAGCAGATCGCCGAGAGAAAGTTCAAGATCGGTCGAAAACACCTTCACCGAGCGAAAAGCGAGATCTGGAGGAGTTTAGACTTCCGACTTGATGTTTCGCCCGAAAAAATCGACAAGATTCTTGATCAGATGGGAACAAATAAGGCCTTCAATAGAGAGCGCGCCGTACATCATTCGTAAGTTCTTCTTGTTTTCAGAGCCGATTTTCTAACAATGCTTTTAGAGGAGTCAAAAGGCTCGAGGACGATCAGCGAGCCTTCGACTTCTGGATAGACAATCCTCAGGCAAGGGTCCTCCGCAATCAAGAACTACTAGTTTCACACGAGTCAATGAGATCCTTTCAAAGAAACGCTGCGCAGATTGTAAGAGAAAGCAACAAACCGTTAATGCCCACGATTTATTCAACAATTCGGACATTTACGAAGCTCGAAGCAAGGATCAATTCGGTTCAACCAAAAACATGTGCGTCTGGAACAGCTCTGACTGATAAGCTCATTTGTAAGCCACTGCCAACAATGTTCCAAACTGAGATTAGTACCACTCACTGTACCACAATTTCCCACTTAAACATTTGGAATAAATACTCCTTTATCAGATTTCCGCTCTTTTTCTTTCCCCTTTACTTTTGCCCAAAATCAGTCTCTTACTCGAAATACACTCGATTTTCCTCCGGAGATTCGGTTGAACTCAGTTTCCATAGTCACGTTTCTTCTCGAGTCGACAGTCAACTTTTACTTTATCGAGTTGGCTAGTTAGTTTACCACTTTATACGATAAAAATGAAGACGCCAGATCTATTTTCCTCGCTGCGAAGTGTTCTTCTTTGTTTTAAAAATGGAATAGAGAAAAGCGATCTAGAATGGCACTTTTTCGACATAGCTATGTTTCCAAATGCTAACGTAGTTTCTAATCGCACTAAAAGAAACCATTTACGAAACAATTCAAAAGTTGGTCTAAATCTTACCTCCCAAATTCGATCTCTTGGATACGCCGGCATCGAAGACCCACGTTTTCTCAAGGATACCGAGGGGATTATGGTGAGACGATTTTTGCATCGACGGCACATAACTTACGTTCAGATGATCTGCTACGAACGCTATTATGGGATTCCTCTGCCCATACAACGGCCTATGTATAATCAGGGATACAAGTTAAATCATGTAATACCGACGATATCAGATGGTTGATGAATGTAAATAACATTCTCGGGGCAAAATCCTAACCCTCAGGTTTCTTGTGCTTATGTGAAAGCCTGTGCTCTGAGGATTCGAATGGTATATAATTCTGGGGCTGAGTCAACGGTAATGACGTCATTATGGATAATTGAAGGGCCGTATGGGGTTAACCTATAGCTACCGCTAATTTTTAATTGAATATAGGAACCTATATTGATTTTGGGCTCATTCGAAAGCGCAGCTCAAAATCTACTAGCGGGCCTACAAATCTGGGTCAACCAAACGGTTTTTAATTTTTGACCACGTGGTTAGGTTGCTCTAGAATTTTTTCCCCTGGGAATTTTTCCTCCCGCATGTGCACCGCTAGTAGATCTCGACCTGTTCTTTCGAATGAGCCCAAAATCAGCATACTTTTATCAGCAAACTTAAAAGTTACAGGTGTCGGTTGTTTTCAACCAATGACAGAGGCCCTATGACGTCATTTCTGATGACTAAGACCCAAAACCTATACCATTCGACTCCCCAGATCACGGGCTTTCAGAAGAGCACGAAAAACATGGGGGTCAGGATTTTGTCCCGAGAATGTCATTTTCATTCATCGGTTAAAAAAGGTGGCGACAATGCCAGGTTAACGACTGATATGATCGGTATATTCAAATATCTGTAGCTGATCTTTGACTTATTTATTTATCCTCTAAAAGTCTTATCAACGAAACTGCGGGCCGAGAACGGAGCAAGTCTCGTCCCCGTTATTATACCAACGGAGGTACAAGAAGAATGGATGACACGATCAAACGAGAAAGAATTCGACCTAAAAAAGATTTGAACGCGCCGAATAAAACCTCATCGATTTCGTCTGAAGAAGAGGAAATTCTCAAGGAACTCGAACGAATATTTCATCCAGAGAGATTTGACGCTACTGGATGTCGAAAAGCAGATAGTAATCCATTCGAATACCGTGGACGAAGCAAGACTACAAAATTTTCCTCCTGAAAAATCCCTCCTTGTTTGATTAAAAATGTTCTGAACGGACCCTGTTTCGAATAAATCCAAGGCTAAAAATTTGTGTTTATTTGAAAATTCTTGCAGATATAGTTCTACATGAGCAGACATGGCTTCTCTTTCTTCTCCTTCTTCTCTTTCTTGCCCTTCTTTTTCGACTTGTCAACCTTGGCTGTCGGCTCTTTTTTGCGAGGTCGTTGCTTTTCTACACCTGGAAAGAGAAGACGATCTGATGTCTTTGGACGTGAGATAAATGTGCGAGAATGCGCTGGTTCAAGAATGAGTCTTTTCGGTGGGCTGGCGAAGGAACTTCTTGAGTGCTCTCTCTTCAGATCTTGGCCCTTCTTGATAGGTTGGTTTAGACAAGTCTTAGCTGAACCGGCTGAATCCTCGTCAGATAAGCTGTCCGGTATAATAATCTCGTCCCTACGTACTTAGACAAAGGTGGTTTTAGCGTAGTCTTACCCGAAGTCCCCATCTTCGTCGTTCATGATTGGATAGCGTCCCTTCCTGTAGATTCGATCGCTATCGACGAAGGCTTCAAATGAGTCTTCCTTGAGTTCCATCACAATTAAAAACTTCGCTGCGGTTCTCAAGGGTGCATTCGTGTCGCGATTCACGTAGGACTTTTTCGACTGCCATTCTTTCTCCTTTTAAAAATTAAAAAATTCCTTTAGAAATAAATTACGACGAACCTTTATTCTTATAATAGTGTGCTTGAATTCGAGTTTCGTAACATTCTTGAGCTTTTTGAAAAGAAGTCGTGCGAACAGTAATCGAACGTCGGTGATGAATGCTTTCTTGACACCACGAATACCGAGTATCCCTTCTGTCCAGGGCTGGATATTTTGAAATCAACAAAAATCTCAAACCCCGAAAAGAACATGAATCATCATTTCATCCATTTCAAAAATGCAATCTCAGAAAATTTTCTGTCTGAGATCTCAATTTTCGATTTTGCAAAAAAATGATATTTGAAATGCTGAGATCTCAATTATCTCAGAAAACTGCGTGAGTTGGATACACGCGTTGAAATGAAATGAGATTTGAGATTATGAGATTTCAAGCATTTCAGACCGATCTGAACCAATCACAAGTCTTGCTGTAAGCCCGCGACGTTTGTCCGCGGCCCTTGCGCGGTTTGCAAAATTTTGAGATTTGAGATCTCGAGATCTCAGCAATCTCAAGAATGGAAAAAATATGACGAGGGAATTGCAATAATATTGAAATTTGAGATTTGTTGAGATGGTGCAAAATTTTGAGATAGAAATGAGATTTCGCACAAAAATTGATTTGAAATTTTTGCTGATTTCAAAATATCCAGCCCTGCTTCTGTCACTGGGTTACTGTGCAATCGAAAGAGGGTTCTGACTCGGTAAACCTCTTAAATTAAAAAAAACATATCCTGTTCTTTCTTGGTCCAGCTTACCATTATTCGTTTGTACGTAGCGAAAGTCCTCCGGAAACTGAATATCTTCACTCAAATTTAGCGCAATCTCGCCCTTCCTTGATCTGCTCATATCGATAATTTACTGTCCAAAAAAAAACAAAACACCGAAAGTTGTCGAGACTTGATCTAGAGAATTTTCTGTTTGAGACGGAAAAGTCCCGCCCGTCTATCCGCCAAGCTCCAAAGACTGCTTCATCGAGGAAGAAAGGGAAGTAGCATGGATAAAATTGACAATAAGGAGGTTTATTCCGTGTAAACAGCGAGAAAATTGAAGTTATGAATTTACATAAAAACGCCAAAAATAGCGTTTGGAAGATTTTTAACGCCAGTGAAGCGCTTTCGTTATTGTGTTGTTTTTATCGTTATAATATGTATTTTTGTTGATTCTTGCATATTCACATATTTAAATAACAGAAACAAACTTCTTCAAACTGAGTCTCAGACGGAAAAAGTTGAGCCTCAAACGTCGTTTAGGAACTTTTTTCTTAGCTAAAAAGAGTGTTTTTTATATTTTCCGAGAGAATATTATATTACCTTGCATCTAATTTTTTCGTCATCGTCTTTGTAAGTGTAGTCCCCGTGCGGATTCATGATCTGGTCTTCCTGAATGATTATTGTTGATTTCTATTTTGGGCATTGGTATTTCTGACCTGGTATAACCGATGGAAGTTGGAAACGATCGAGGGAACTGGAAGAGCGATGCATAAAACTCCACAGATGGCACAGAGAAAGCCGACGACTTTGCCAGGCCCTGTTCTTGGATACATGTCGCCGTAACCGACGGTGGTCATCGTCACAATCGCCCACCAAAATGAGTGCGGAATCGAGTTGAAATCATTTTCGCCTTCTTCGCAAAAGAAGACGAACGTCGCAAACAAAACCATGGATACTGAAAGTGACGATAAGAAGAGACAAGATTTAGATAAGTGCCCAACTAACCGATGAAAAAGAGCATGAGAAAGCTGAGCTCCCGCAGAGATTGTCGAAATGTTTTGATAAGCGTGTTGAGATTGCGACTGTGTCTCGATAGTTTGGCAATCCGAACTATACGGGCCAGTCGAACGACTCGGAGAACTGTTAGAAACTTGCCATCTATTCCCGAACTGTAATATAATTTGTGAATGACGAGTACCAAGAGTGTGTACTTGCCTGTCCTCTTCTCCTTCTGGAACGCATGGAATGGGACCATTTGTGCCGAGGCGAATGTTAAATGTCATCACGAAATAATACGGCAAAATTGCCACCAAATCAATTATGTTCATGAAATCTTTAACTTTTAACAGGGTCATATTAGTTTAAGCGTTTTAGTAAAAGCTAGATCCAAAAATAGACCGTTCTCGAATGGCCATCGTCGAGGAGCCGCATAAAGCCTGAGAATATACTCTATCGTAAAAAAGCCGATACAGGTGGTCTCAATAATCCAAAAGCCGAATGCTTTACTAAGAGATGTTTTATTTATCTTTAATGCTTCTCGGGTAGATTACCTCTTTGGCGACCAGTCTTGATGTCGGTATAGAGTCTCGTTTATATTGCTTACTGATTCGCACTCAGACTGAAAGGCCGGGAGAGTTTCTAGACAGAATGAAACTGTAGAAACAAGAATGAAGAATATAGACACAAAATTTACAATCTTCGCCAACTTGCTCGTTTCTGGCTTCTCAAAGACGGCCCAGACTGCGTTTCGTGAATTTATACAGAGCGTGCGGTGCTCGACCTCTATTTTATCCTCGAATTCATTTTCCAAAACGTGATGTGCCAGTTTGAAATAAATAACTTCCTCCACAAAAACTTCTTCAGCCAGGGTTTATATAGTCACAAGCGGAAAGCGTCTTTAAATAGAATGTTGAATAAAAACCCCTTCCCATTGGGACGTCCAACGGTCTGTACAAATTCATATCATTCTTCTGGTAAAAATACAAAATAGAAGGGAAGGACGGAGCATGTCTATCAAAATAATAAGTCTCCACACCGAATTCATCGACTTCGAATCCATCAGCGAGCGAATGATCCTCGAGCATTTGGAAAAGTCTTGAATCCTTTCGCTTTGCTGAAATACGATTTCGATAATTTTACTGTTTCCCGTAATACCGTTTAATAACTTACCCAGCGTATTTCTTCTTGTTTCGAAATGACTTCCGGACACATTTATCTTTATTCTTGAGGAGGCATTTCCACTAAGCTGCTCTACTATTTCTTTCATGGCTCAAAAGAAAAATGCTGAAATACTCGGAATGGAAGTATCAAGGAACACGAGATATCAAATTTTGGCTTAAAAATTGTGGGATTAGTATCCAAATCCAAGATTATATTTCGCTATTCAATCAGCCATTTCCCTAATCCCGCTCTGGGCAATTCTTGAGGATGCCATTTTGCTTTCTCTGTGTTTTTCATGAGTTTGTTTAAAAATAAGAAAACCCCGAAGAGATTTTTTTCTGCTCGTGACTCTGTGTCCAGTGCTGCCGATGTATTCAGCGACCGGGCGGTCGTGACATAATCTCAATTTTTGGGATTTTGAGTCCTCCCCGTTAGCAATCGAGCAGTCAGTACTTGTTGATCGATCTCAGACTCACTTTATCAATGTCAAACACAGGCCGAGTCCACGCTTATCACAGAATTCATTACTCGTTCGAAGCTAGCAAATTCTAGCGCACGAATATCAAGACTGCCAAGTAAGCAGTGCTAACTGGTGCGACTACACGAAAACTCGTGTTAATTAACTAAAGCGGATTTTTGCTTGTAGAGAACGACTCAATAAACTCTTTCTTATATTTGTTGAGATATCTATTTATGCTGGGCGTTCTTACTGAACCATTCGCAGAGATCTAAACATTCAAAGAAACGGGAATGCTTTTTAAAAATATCCACATTTTCCACAACATTATGTATTACGGTAATACTATTACCTGATGCATGATTAAAGTTTACAAGTAACGCATATTTTTAGTTTACGATATCGTCTAGATTGCGTACACGACGTACACCAGAATTGCGGTCTTATAATTCTCTGATTTTACGGCGCTCCGCACGCAAAAAGAAATCACCGTGAATTTCGAGTGTTTGCGCAAACTCTGATTAAAAAAAAACGCTTAATAACTCTTATTTTTTGGGTGCTGAGAAACTTTTTGGTACCGAGATCAATTTTATTTATGGCGGGAAGTTTTACGGCACCGCGGACGATCTTGATCCGCAAGGCAATCAGAAGAATGCGAGGTTAATTTTAAGCTCATCTAGACTTCTTAATCTCTTGAAGGTATCCATCAAAATCAGGAGATTAATACGAAGATTCTGATTTTAAGTTTCTTGATATCTAATATCATCAACAATTGCATTAAACGCTCTTTGGGTAGGGTCAAGTCAAAGTGTCAATTAAAAGTAATCATAAAAATTTAATAAAAGGAGCAGGTAGCCAGCTGCTCCTGTGTTCTCCGGAAATGCCCACGATCCTGGTATCCGGCCTGTCATAGATGAGCTGAAGTTCCGAATTGCCAATTTTTTGTAGTGCTAGCTCATCTCGGTTGCTTTGCGAACTTTTTGGGATATTCACATGCTATTCTTATCGCTGAGTTCAAATAAAAGAAATTGAAGATATAGGTTTTTGTATATGGTAGTTGATGAGAATAAATCAGTGATTTGGATATCAGAAAAGGACATTTATTAGTTAGGTTCGAAATCATAAAGTTAATTAACACATTGAAGTCTTTAAAAATTCTGTGCGACCTTTTAAACATCGACAGACCTATTTTCAAATAAAACAAGACTGGACCAACATGATCATCAACGATTTATGCATCCCATAAATACCGTAAGCCGCACGCCCTATGAAAAAAGCGCGATGGGATAGCCGTACCTCGGGAGGTACGTCTTTATGTTTTAGTGGTTCTGCGGAAGTCGATTAATTCCTTGAAGATCGCTTCACCGTCCCTAACTTTTACGACGTAGCTTATCTTCGTTTTCTACTTGCGTTCAACACTTAAAACATCCTCTTTCAACTCCCATTACTAAGAATCAAATATTAAAAGAGTCATTATTCTAAAGAACCAATGCGTTTTGAGAATAGGAATATCCGGTACTTAGGCACTCTTTCTGCAGGAGCGGTGTAGTCGACGCAAGTTTCTCCTCATCAGCGGGGTACTCATTGCTCAATCCATTCATCACAGTCTGCGTCTTTACTTTTCCTCGGTAGGCTTTCTCTCTAATGTCTCTTAATTTGAGTTACTCTTGTTTTATTTACATTTACGTCCGGATTTTATTGGTTTGTGTTTTTTAAGGTCTTTTATGTTTATGCCCGTCTGATAAAAAATAGAAATTAGAGTGAAATAGCTAAAGATCGCTCTTTTTGAAGTAGCTCTCATCAGTTCGATCATGAGCACTCGGCGGCTTTCTTGTGAATTTTTTCCCGAAAAAAAAATTGTAAATCTTTATAGGTCACATGTATTCGTAGGGGTTGTAAGAATTTTTGAAAACCGGCACTCCTACACACGTACCGATTGTTGTAGCACGCGCCATCCTCGAATTCATGGCTTTATCTCGATTTTTTCTTATTCGTTACTTTTTCTTTGAAAAGAATATGCATCTCTACGGGCAGAGGAAAATTGAGAAAAATGTCAAGAAAAGCCGAAAAGAGGAATCTTCAGATGCACACCCCATCGATATGGCAAGTTTACGACAAAATTGTATCCTTACTGGAAATCGAAAAAGTCATCATTTATCAAAATTGAGCCGCAGCATAATCATTTCATTATTGAGCAAGTTATCAAGCCCTTTAAAAATAAGTTTTGGTCTTTTTACCAATAGTCTTTGAGAATGAATTTCGAAATTAAAAGATTAACTAATTGCCTGAAAAGTTTCTGCAATTCTGAAAGTTGATTCTATCAATAGCTTCTCTGGAGGTAGCGACGGTCGGCTCATCAAGTTTAGCAAGTACGCTTCTGATAGCGCAAGACGTTTACGATGGCAATATAAAAATTCGTAATCGTGATAACTTCTGCTCTGATGTTCACTAACAAACTCCATTTTTATCAAGACTCACATAACATGCCGGACTGAAGTCAAGGGGGAATCTACTATTAGGCGCGAAAAATTTGAGTTCCTTTTTGAATATGCCGAAAAACTATAAAATCGTACTACGCTTTTACGGTTGAAACGCACTAAACAAAGATTTAGACCACAAATAAAAGGTCATTTAGTAATATAGAGAGCAAGGTTTCCTGGAGGCGACTTTCGCGCAGTTTTATAATTCTGGAAATTGTGGGTTGGTAACTTTAGGAGTTGTTCTAATATCATTATAGGAGAAGTTCAAAATTCTTGAAGGTAGAATCTTAAAAAAAAAAAGAAATCTATAACATTTAAAGGCTTCCCCTTCTCTCGGTCTTTTTACACTTATCGTGCTCACAACTCTTCTTGACTGCGACAGAAGGAATCATTGCAATTGACCTGATTTCAGGAGATTCTTCTCTAAAACTGCGTTTTTATTATTAGAGTATCGAAATCATATCCTTTGCTGTCGTTGCTTTCTATCCTCTCCGAATCGTGCGAGAAATGATGGATCAGTTTCTTTATGGTTCGTTAAGAGTACAATTTGACTCATTTTACTGAAATTCCCACTTGGATATCTTTTATGAGTAGGATGTGGCTTTTCACGCGAGCAGATATGCCATACTTTTACGAACTAACGCAATTTAACGATATATTTGACAATTTTATTTACAATGAAACAGAAAAGTCCAAGATCAGCAGAAAATGAGAAATGAAAAGTACAATCAGGAAATATTTTCCTGTCGTTTTATCTATAAAAAGCTTTTAAAAACGACCAAAACTTACAATTTGAATCAAATACTCAGCAGGATCCGAGTTGCTTGATCAATCCATCGCAGCATTCATTTTTTCGAATGTCGTAAACGTTGCTATAAACAAGTTTATACATAATTAAAGTTCTTGTTTCAATCACGTACTTTGCACAGCAAGCCCGGCGACCTCCGAAAGAATTGAACGACTTGACATTGGGGAAATCACCGCAGCAAATGTCGTGTGTTCCTTTGCTGGGATTGAATGATAACTTTCTAAAATATATACGTCAGTCGAGAAATTTAACTTAAGTTGGACCTGTTCGGACGAGCTTGATTCTTTTGCAGCTGCTCCTCGTTGTTGACATCATCAAATGCGAGCGATTCAAGTTCCATTCGAAACATATCGTTTTGAGGCATCTCAACATCACTGCTTTCCTCATTTGGGTCTCTGCTACTACGTTTACAATGTCGCTTTTGGTCATAATTGTAGCCCAGAACGCTTAATATCTCCTGTTATTTCAATGCTAAGAATTCTTCTAATACCGGGACTGATCAAACGAGTCGATGTTGCGTACCAATCCATTTACAAGTTTCACGTCGCACTCACATGTTGTCTTCTGGCAGTTAGAAGCTTACATCAATGTTAGAACGGATCATAATAAGAAAATGCAATTCTCACTTGTCAAAATACAGGACAGTTCTCCATTTGTGACATTGACTCCGATCGGGTACATTTGTGAAAGAGGGTCGCAGAACTCTTCATCATTCTTCAACGGGCTGCACAACTCTATACTCAAAATTTCCTTATCTTTATTCTAAAATTATATCTAGAAATATCTCTGAACAGCCCTTGAAAGTCTTCTCCAGTGAGACACAGGTGCGACACTGATGCCAGTCCACACAGCTTCTGTCAAGAGGGTCCTTAGCGGCGCCCACGTTGGATGAGCTTAAGATCTGTTTCCGGTTCCACAACTATCAAAACTAGTCGGTGGTTCGAAGCTCAACTAAACTTCAATTCGTCATTGAAGCTAAAATCTGTCCCAAACGAGTAAAATATATGGAAAGAAATTGAAATACAGTTGTGTTATCATTTATTGGGATTCCTGATTTCTGGAATCCGGCCCTGACATTGACATCCATATTGGAGGAAATCTTTGGGCATTAGGTTTATTCTCTTCACGTAAAACTGATAGTAAAGCATATTGTAAAGAATATCGCGAGTATCTCCGAATTTGAAGAGTGAATTTGAACGACTAAGTTCCATTTTCAGTGCTTCTTGTTCTTCTGGGAAGGACACTTGCGTGATATACTCATCCAGAGGCAAAATGTCTTTTCAGGGCTCAAATATTTCTTCTTTTGCTTTGATTATTAAGTATGAGGTCAGTGACACCCAGAATTTTAGCGTTAAAAAGGTTCATTTAAACCGATAACTTGTCCAAGTGACGCAACAAACAAGCACCCAAGTGCAAGAAAGCTGCTTCTCTTCATGATAAAAAATCTCTTTTTTTTTTCTCTGCTGATTGCGGCTCCCTCTCTATTCAATGGAGCACTCAATTTCTGAACGTCTGCTAAGTTTTGTTCGGAGCTAGCGCGTGTCCGGAAACTTCTAACCGGTTGGTGGCGCCGACTAGACATCCTCATCCAATATATTGGTGGTGGTTTTTTCGCGGTTTTTCACTGATTTCGAAACAGATTTAGTAGAATAAAGTCATCACTAATTGCCGACCGCGACATTATCGAATTTTTAGAGATTTTTTGCAAAGATTACATTATGCCTCTACTGGGACGAATTGGCTTTACTCATGACAAAAATAAAGGCTCATAAATTTTCGCTCTTATCTTAAAAGTTCAGCAGCATATTGAAATAACACGTCACAGGCATTCAGCGATGTGTTCTCTAAATCTCGCCAGTAACTAAGAAAACGAATGATTTTTATCACACACCTTGAACTTACTACTCTCAGCGGGATGTTGGAGGTTATAATTTCTACCTCGAGCACCTTGTTATAAGGCGTAGCTTGGCGCCATCTGTGTTCGGTATTCTAAGTAAATACGGCGGACCTGAGTGAAGAGCAATACAAAATTGAATGTGACCGAAAAATATGTATCTCTCAAAAGAAAATTCGACGCTATAATCGACAATGAAACCTACCTGGGGCAAAATAAGTTTCGCCGTCATGTTTTGGAAGAATGTTCCGAGCTTTACCTTGAGCTTTTCATCGAAAAGAAAGAAAAGCAAAAGAAATACGAGCACGAGTTGAAGGTCTTGCAAGACCGTAAGATAAGGTCATGGGATAAAATCATTGAGATCTATCAACATCTGGAAATCCTCAAAACGGAACTGATCGAAGAACAAAATGATTACAAGGAAATCTGCTTTTCTATTGTGAAGCACGTGAGCTCTGTCATCGGAAATCATTCACGCTGGCCTATCACTCCTGATGAAGATGACGAGGAAGAAACTCCTAGGGACAATTTTGAAACAACCTCCGAGGACAAAACTGATGAATACACCGAAGGCGATACAGAAGAGAACAAAGACGACGAGCTATGAGACTCAGAAGTTCTTGGTAAGAACCTCTTTTCTTATCGTATTTCTTATGAAGCAATTTTATACCTGTCCTGCAAAAAAAAAAAGCTTAAATCTTTAAAAATAAAACATTTATTTTTATTTTTTCTTTTTTTTTTTTTTGCTTGATTTGTGATCATTCATATTTATTAGGCATTGCACGGCAGAAAATTTTTATGATAAGAATGAAAAGCATGTTAGAAAGAAGTCATTGGAAGTTATTTTGGAAGGCTGAGGACAATTTTCAGGGGAAGGCTTTTTAACAAGTTCAATTTGAAGAGAGATAATTCACAGAGGCAAATAAACGGTAAAGCAAGAGAATGATAAGTTGGCTTATGAACGGGTCGAATTAGAATTTGAAGCAGTGAGGATTTATGAGTTCGAAAAGTTGCGGAGATATGCTGGAGCAAAGTAGTCTTATATGATTTTTTAAACTCCCGCAAAGTTTTCCCAAAAGTCAAAAATCAAGATAATGGGCTTATGTTACTGGGCTTATTGTTTTCCGTACTTTAATTTAAACAAAACGAGCTGATTCAAACTGTCTGAAGTTGAAGACGAGGTTCTGTGCTTTTGCGTAGTTCCATATGGCGGAGTGTTTGTGCTAATGCACAGTATTGGCAACACAGGACCAAACACATATCTAAAAATTTAAAGCAGAGTTAAATTCAATGAAATTACCGATCCATATATCATTGGCCACTTTTAAGCCTTTCTGGGCTAACATGGTGAAGCGTCGTCTTAGGAGAAAGATTTGCAAAAGCAGAGCCAATTCAAAAAGCGATTCCAAGAATGAAAAAGCCTCGATCGCTCTCCATTTGGATTTGCCATAATCTTCGTAATACAAGATTGGAAGCGAGACGGCGTCGGGTAGAATAAATTCAACAGGGAATCGACCAAGGACTGACCAGTGAATGCACATAACAACAAACCGCGAAAACAAAACAGCCAACCCAGTAACTATGAACCGCAAACCAGGACTGTTGATATCCTGTGAAAAATAGGTTTTCGTTGTCCTTAATAATCCTAATTCGATCGCGGTAACACGAATTTCGACTTACTTCCATGCTACACAACTTTTAAAGCCGACAAAGCTCAAGCAGAAATAAAGAAGGTATCTTCTATCGTTTGGTTCGAAGATGCCAATTTCTGGCTCCTCATCTATTACAAATGGTTAAAAAGACCACTAGAAATGATTGCTACCAACACGGCTACTATCGTAAATCAGCACATGTGAGCTAACCTAATTGTAATTGATCCGCGAAGGTGGGATCTTCGGTATGTATCGGGATTGACAATTTATCCGCTGTTGACGGTTCAGCATTTTCCAGCGGGCTTTCATTTTTTAGGACTTCATTTGCGTCTTCTGATAATGGTTCATACCCTGGCATTCTCGACTAAGAAACAGCAGAAAGCCCTATCTAACAGTCACAAGATCTGAATAGGGACATTACGCATTCGCAAGGGAATAAATGTTCCCTGACAGAAATATTTGGAAGCGCTAAGTTACAATAAGAGTTGCACCCAGCCACAAACTCGTTGTATCTAATTTGGATGATTCGGATATTATATAGAAGAAATGACAAACAGATTACAAAAATATATTTATTTTAGTGAAAAAATATAAGAGAGTATAGTTTGAAACAAAGAACTTTTGCATGTAAATCAACCCGAAACGTTCTCTAGCTAGTCATGCTTCCGATCCTGTCTGACTCAACAGTGTACCCGCCGAAGTCAGAAAAGTGTCCGCGTCGACGCTTGCCACCGCTGAAGAAAAGTGAAGCAGGCAAAAGGTCATTAGGGTTGACGCGTCTTACGTAGTCTTCCTTTGACGTTGAGGTGTCACCTGACGGATAAAACGTAACTTTCTTGTAAATCTGAAGATAAGTCACCTCTATTTGGTACTTTGACTGGGACAGTTCGCTTTGGGCTCACGATTGTTCTCGAGATGATTTTGCACCCACCCATGAATGCGTCTTCCATTTTTACACCAGGTTTGTAGTCTCTTCCTTTGACAAGTGCTCGGTTCTCGTTAGATCCGTAGCCCCAGACCTAGGAATAGTTAAGACATGCCTATCAAACACTAGTTCAAACCTTCGGAAATCCTTCTGCCTCCCAGTAAGTCAAATTCTCTTTTCCAGACCCGTTGCTCTTTTGCTCAGACCTAAAATGAATCTCTTGAGTAATATAAAAGTGTGATTAAAGTTAACGTACGCTGTGTATCGTCTAAAGTCCTTCATAGTTGTCGACTGGTAATCGGCAGAGGGAAACACAAATCCTTGATCTGTGTTTTTCTTTGCCTTCAAGTACTTGTGCCTTGGGATACCGCTGACGATGTGCTTTCTGGAAACTGGATGAGCTTGGTAGTTGTCTGCATTTTCTGAAGTTCGGTCAGCCATCGTGAAAGTGCGTGTGTGATGCTGATTCAATACCTAGACGTTCTTTAGAAATGGTTATTATGAGATTGTCTTGCGTCTGATGTATTTGACATGTACTGGATTCTTCTTGAGGAGGGAGCTTTTTGGTAGATTGGATTTCTAAGTTCAGGAATCGACGCTTTTTTGTTATGAAAAGAGCCAGATGTCGTTTCGAAGCGTCGGGCAGGGTTAAGGTGCTCTTTCAAAAGTCCAGCAGGCAGCGGATCGAACGCGCGCTGATCTTAATAAATATTCAGTAGGGAAAAACTTATACTACTCACGGAATGATGGTGATGGAAAGGAGTTCACTGGTTTGTAGTAATGGGCTTTCCCAGTCGATGTCAGATGCAAATCGGTCCGGCAACGTTCGAGTCCGGCATCACGCACCTTCATTTCAACACCGAATCTATTGATGGACCGACTCTAAAGAGAGATGATAGATTGGAGTTAGCACGCGCGAAGGCGATATTTTTTAGATTGCACTCGAAAGAGATATTCACATAAATAATTTGTCAAGAATGAAGCGACCTGTACAGCTTTTAAAAAGCAGACTGGAAAGAAAAAGCAACATTAATTGTTATAAAGATCGGATTTAATTATAAAGTCCTAGAAAATGTTAAAAGACGAAAGAAAAGAGGGGGTAGTCACAGCTTGAGTCGGAAGAGCTTTCTAAAATATACACTGTTGGAGCCAGTTACTTATTATTAGTGAGTACCTAGTTGTCTGTCGTCTTCTTCTTCTTTTTCTGAGTCGGTCTTTTGGGGAGGCAGTTCATGTTCGATCTAAGTTGTTTACAGTACTCTACAGAAAAATCGCCCATATTTTCTTCATCTACCACAGTAGAAATTTTTTCCTTCTCCGACGTCAACTAAAAGCAAATGTTGTTCTAGAGATACAGCGAATATTTATCAAAACACATCAGATTTGAGTTCAACAATACTGGTGTACAACAAAACTCATACGAGGAGTGCTTATCAATAACTTAATTCATACTGAATAAAGGGCAAAAAGTAATTCCGCAACAGGGAACAATAATAAAGCTCTAGAAACATAAATTATGTTACATAATTCATATCGATGTTACCCTTATAAGGACTAGCTTTTCACTTGTCCACTTCTTTTTGCTTCCATCTTTAGGCATTGGCCTGTCCTGTCCATCGTATGGCTTCACCGACATTCGTACAGTCCCCTCTCGATTGTTCTGGAACATACGGTTCATAGAGTGAAGGAACTTTTCCCTTTCGACAAAGACCATTATCGGCAAAACCTCTGAAAAAAGCTTTCCTTTGAAAAAGAAGTAGAATGATGAAGAAATTGTCTCATTGAACTGTACATAGGGAAAGAGTTTGGAATTCGGAGACACAGAGTCCGATTATAAGTGAGGGCCAATAAAGATTAATCAATCTCAAAAAGGTGAGTAGTTACAGTTGGATCGGCTGTCCCTGTTCTCTGGATCGCACGAAACGTAGCAAAGCTGTTGGATGGCTGTTTGCTGCACAGTTCCGCGAACCGTTACATTCGCATTTATATGTATTGTTAGTGAAAGAATCTAAATAATTTCATGGAATTTCTTCTTAAAACGACAACTAGTACCTTCGTCGCGCCTACTTGGCACCACTCGTAAATCCACTGAAGATGATTCGACTGGTCGAAGATAATAGTCGTTGTCACATTCTGCCAAGATTCCGTCGTTCTCGACGGTAAAATGTGAAACCGCTTGTCCTTTACTTTTCCCACTTGAGATGTCATAAAGCTGACGGTGCCGTCGGTCGATGTCAAGTTCGCATTCGAATAGTTTGGGTTTTTTGCTAACAATGGAATCGTAAAATTCATCGCCAAGGAATTCGTTTCAGGATTAAAATCAGCGCCCGTTCGTTCCAGCTAAATGTTTGCGTGACTATTTCCCGGTTGAAGATTCTATTTTACCCCGATCATGTTGATTTCGACAGGCCTTGGCATCATAAAGTAGACAAGCATACCGGCGATGAGACCACAAACGAAGACCGCGCCGCTTATTGCAAGAGTAACATACATGGCAGTCTTTTTTGGTTTGAGCCTATCGTCGTCATATGGAATGAGCGCCACAAGTTGTTGGGAAGTCGAGCTTTTTTATGTATAATTCGAAAGTGAAAAAGAGACACCACCTGGATATCCTGCCAGTGCCTTGGCAAGTGGGACAGTTAACGTAGTCTTGAGTGCCGCCGAATTCTTCGTAGCTAACCGAGTCGCGCTCGTCGAATTCGGCGATTAAAGGGCGCTGATCGCCTTCGCCTGTAGACATAAAAGTGCGGGTTCTTAAAAGGTTCCTGTAAAACTACGTGAGAATTAAATACATGTTTAAATGAAGGGCAGTGTGAGGATAGGTTGAGAATAAAGATACTAGTGGCATTTTCTGTCTAAAATTCGCATTCCTTCTTCTTCATACTGTTTTCTGCATATCCAAAGGTCGTTAACAGTCGCTAGCGAGGACAGAATTGATGCTCCAGTCCAAGAGCTGCGTAATAAGAAGTTAGAAATCGAAATGAAGAAATTTCAGCTTACGAAAATTGTCGTTCCCACTCGATGTGAGAGCTTTTGCTTGAGTTACTAACTCTGAATTTGAGTGTGGGTGCGTTCTTCTTTTGCATCTCATATATTAATCGCTCTCCATAACCTTCAATCAAAGTGTTCCCACCCGCCAATATACATCCAGACATGAGTGTTGGTCGCAAATCAGGATCACATGAGTTTACACTTGCTTTCACAAGAGAAGTTACGCATGATCTATCATCTAGAATAACTGGTCTTTTTTCTATTGTCGAAAATGTTGACAGTCACCTTGCGGAACAAAAAGGCTTTCGGCGATCCCCAATCTGTCGGTACCAAAAATATGTGTATACCCTGTAGGAAATTCGTACTCTTTCACAGTTTTATTTTCTTGGTTATCTTCGAGAACATCAGCTTGGGAAACAGGAATGCTGACGAAGTGTTTAACACAGTCCTCAAGAAGTTGTTCTTTCTATTAAAAGTTATTAATTTTTGATCAGAGAAGTCTCTTCACCTGTTGGCTGAGCCATGATCTGCTGTAACACTTATGGGTTTGCTTTACAAATTTAGGTTTTTCTCCAGGATGAACTTTTTCTTTAGACTCTATTTCCTGTCGGACAGCTAGGTCGATGCCTTTCTTCTCAGCGAAACGTTCAACGCATTTTTGAACATATTGTGCGCCCATGTCGTTTTGTTTTATCGATTTCTTGAGTACCAATCCATCAATAACAGGCACGACAGACGTATGCGTTGCCCCAGAATCAACAACTAAGGCTGTTGACTTCCCGTTTGCGAAAGCAGAACAGACTTGACTCTTGGCAAAATATGTAGCCGGGATATGATTTTTCTCGAATATGAGCTCCGCCAATTTTTTTCTGTCTTCTGGCGGAGCCCAAGCAGCTTCTGTAAAGAGAAACGGTAACTCCGCTGCATCTGCATGCGCCCAGAAGAGATGTAGTGTGTAGCTAAGCATACTATCGAATAGGTCCCAGTCTTTTACAACTCCATTCTCCATTGGTCGGCCGATGGTAATGTTGGGATCCCGGACGTATTGAGCCGAGTCGCCGCAATAGCGATTTGACTTACCATCGACTTCCACTTCACCGACAAAATTATATGGTACATGTTTGGGCAGTTCTTCTCCCGAGTATCCAGCCCTCAATTATAAGATAACATCAAAACAATACGAATTATCTACCTCACAGTATGCGAGCCAAAATCGACAACAACCGACGTACCACTGTCGTTGTGGCTTAAAGGACGACTCATTCTGAAAGAAGTAGTGTTTTAAGCATAGCAAAAATACTCTTTCTTCTTCTGCGGTTTTTCAGATTCCGCCTGGTTATCCTGAAATTAGGATTCCCAAAAGCAAAACTCTATAAATCGAAGAAGCGTTCTCTGATATACACATTTTCCTCTGTTTATTTTATATAAAAATAGAATATATATCAAAAATATAGTTTCAGAATATAGAAAATAGGAGATATTACTGATTTCCTTTTCAGTAGGAAATTTTACTACAATTGCTGTCCCTCGAGCATGCCTTTTCCAATTGTGCGTATAGCTTCTGCCTCGTCTTCCGTCATCTTTGTGAAGATCATTTTTGCATCGTCTGGGAAATGTTCCGCGAGAGTACCGAGAGAGCTGGTTATTACAGGCGTTACTTAAAATTTCAACTGATCGCAAATTACGACGTAAGCGATCAAACCAGATGGTATACGGATGGCCAGCGTTGATAACGCAAGAGCTGAGTTTTTCTGTGTTTCCTTGTATTTGACGCAAGCTAGCGTGAGTAAAAGTCTCCCGATAATGCATTTTTCGACGAGCACTTTTTGAAGATGTTCTTCCGGGAAAGTCATCAGGATTTCATCGATCATCTTGACAGCACAGGCCTGCCTTGTCTGAATTTACGATTGGACGGCATTAACAGCCCTTTTTACCTGACGAAATTGATGGTAATCCACTCTTCGCAGTCTATCATTGCCTTATAAATCGCCTGGTAAATATGCGGAGCAATATCAGTCTTCAGAAGGTCGAGAGCCAAATGACGAGCTTCGTAGCGAATTTCTCCATGCATCGAACCAAATCCGTATTGTATTAGCGGCGCTGCTATTTCTTTAATGGGTTCCACTTCGTACTGAACAGAGCGTAACATACGCAGCGCTAGATGAACGGCGCCTGGCGAGTCACATGGAAGAAGTGCGATAAAAGCCCGATACACGTGTGAAAGATACTTTGGGTTGCCAGTAGAGATACCCACCAACAACTTGTGGCTTTTTTCAACAAGTTCAGCATTCTCGGTCACTGCCAATGCTTCGCAGATAACGCGAATGCAACCGGATTTGCAGAGAATTTCTGGAAGCAGAATTAAGAACAGATTGCCGCCGGCAGAGGATGCAAACCTTTCGCCTGAATGCCGTTTTCGGAGATACACTGCAAAAGATCGACGCCTTGGATTCTGTCTTCATCCGATGTCTTCTTCAGGGAGATCATCTCTAGCACGGTTAAGATGGCGGCTGAATCCAGAAGCTCGTCAACAAACTCGAGTCCACCGACTGGATGAATAAAGCGACTGATTGCGATGAGAATCATTTTACAGTTGCCCTTCGTATATCGCATGCGAAAGTTGGCCACTAGTCGGGCGAACATTAAATGCGCGCACGAACCCAGCTCATTTTCAATGTCTGCTGCTGTTAGATCCTTTGAGATGTTGATAAAGCGCTCCACTGAAGGTCACTATCTGGAGATTAGATTTACAATTCTCGACCGTGTTGATTCGCTTCAAAAAAGCTCCAAAGTTACGAAAGAGACCATTCCTTGAGTATGTTTTTTCTGTGCTCGCCAGTACTACCATCCCATCTTTCAAGAATCTCCGTCAATGTCGTCGGCATTCTTGATCTGTAATAAGTAACGGATGATCAGTCAGCTCTTTTCTATTAGAGGAAAACAGAATCAAAGACAAAACCTCGTTTAAACGCATTGGTAGTGTTTGTCTCTGCAGACCATGGCTGTCGATTTCAAAGGACTCGAAATCGACAGCCATGCTGCAGACGATGAATTTATTGAGTGGTAAAAGCTGTAATTTTAAAATCATGGCTAAAGAAAAACTTTGGATTAGCGGTGCGTTCTTTCGTAGTTATTCTTGGTATGTTTTTACAGTTGAATGTTGGTTGACACTCGAAAGTTTAAAACAGATTTAGAACAGACTGAAAATCTGTTGCGAGTCCTAGTTTTGTAGACAAGTTCAATTGTGGTGAGAAGGCCACGGACCAGCCGTTAGAAAAGAATAAATAAATAATCGCTAATCACTTAACCAGGGAACAGAGCAGAGGGAGTAGGAGGTGATTTAAACTTAAGCAATAATCAGTAGTGATATTCGCGTACCAGGAAAGGAAATTCAAAGAAAGTTTCACCTAGATAGGTGGTCGAATAAGGGCCGCGGGGAATCATCGACGGCAAAATAAGAACTACAGTAAATGAGGTACCGGTGACAGATGAAGATCCCGCCAAAACTAATTAGGAATAGATTGTTAAGGCTAGTTCCGCATTTTTATATCATCTCCACTGAATTTATGAAATGTCCAAATTTGTCAGAGGAAGCCGTTACAAAATTAATAACATCGAGATATGTGAAAGAGTAAAAATAAAATCTAAAACGAATAAAACGAAGATAGTTTTTTTTAATAATAAAAAAAATAATTTAAAAAAAAACGCGCGAAATTGTTTGCAAAATATAAATGAGCAAAAGACGGAAAGCTTCGCTAGATATATATAAACAAAAAGAAAAGTAAGAACAAAAAGAGAGTCAGTCAGGTCAGTGATGAAAAATGTAAAAGTGGAAAATGTACGAATAGATGTATTATTCTAGTTTTATTTTCGGGGAAAAAGGAGCTTTTTGGGATAAAGGCACGTAGGGAAAAGCCATCGCTAGAATAGGAAATGTTGAAAAGAACCTCTGTCAATAATTAATAAGCTCGAAATCGCAGCAGGAGAACGACGACACTACTTACAAAAACGTATTTTGTATAAAAAATGAAGTATTAGGAAGCATGGAACTCATGTGTATATTCACTTGTAGGGATGTTAAGACAACCAGGCAATTTCGAGACGATAGTCGAGTTCATTAAACGCGTTCGTGAGACACAGCCACATACTGATAATAAGCATCCGTACGTTTGAAATTAAAGTTTTAACCGAAAATCATAACCTTAAAGCTGAAGTAACCGCCCTGCGGCTATGCGTGAGGTCCAGGAGCAAAATGATCTTTCAGTGAAGATATGCTGTATACGTCGACAAGAGAGTTGTTTGGCTGTTGAAAAGTAGTATCAATGTATATGCTTGGGAAGAAGAGGACCTGCAGATAACCAGTATGAGTTGCTATTGATTTGCAATCACGAATGTATAGCTACGAGAAACCCAGCTTGAGAAGCGTCTTCAGGACTAGAACTAGTAAAATGCACACCGTCAAAATATTTACAAATTACAATTTTATGAACAGAACGATTCCTAGTTGAGTTGAAAACAATATATTTCAATAGATGTTCTTCAATGGGAGTGCGTTTTGCGCTCTTTACGCATTTATTAAAAGAGAATTGCTTTTGTATAAGATCTTTGATCGCTACTTATTGGTATTGTCAATTAGCAAAAATTCTGGTCCAGAATAAATTATTCGAAGGTGACGAAATAATTGACACTAAAAATAATGAACTTTGAAATGCCTTGTCGAAGGGTGTATTTCGACTTCTGGTTTGATGTCGTTGTTACAAGTAAGACGGACTTGTGTGGTAAGTAGTGTAGTAGTGATAGATTCAGTAGTAGAGAAAGGTCTGGTAGAAGGACTGGATAGGGCCATTTTTGGGGGAGGCTGATTTGATTCGAAGTTGAAATTTGAAGTTGTAATCAATCGAGTTCCCAGCAAACCATATCATACAGTATGATATCCGACTTGTTGTTATGACATACAGGTTGTTCACATCATTTATCATACAAGTTCAGATCAAGAGAGTGAGAGAAAGTGTTTTTTTACAGCTGCAGCTGATCTGTGATTCTGGAGGCAATGTTCTTGAAGGCAACTGAAGTACCAGAAATTCGCTTACAGCGAACTCCGTTCAGGTTGAGCCGCGGCAGTTTGCAGACCTGAAATAGAACACCCTCATTCGCCGTCTTGGACAGCTCAAGCTTACCTCCATTTCCCATTGAACTACGTTGTGATCTCTTCCGTCACCGTGAACGCAGAATAGAAGGAATTGTTCGCGCTGTTCAAAGTCGCAATTGTTAGCCTCTAACGCCTTAGATACAGTTATAATCTATCTTTGCTGAATCGTTCTTACTCGTATGATCTCTTTAACCATGTCAAAGGGGTCCATCGAGCTTGTTGTCTTCATCGACCAGGTGAATCTAGAAATATTATTTATACTTCTATAGTAATAGCTTTTGCCCCCTGTAAAATATATTTTAATGATGCATTTCCGAGCCTTTATTCCCAAGACTAGACAAAATATACTGTTCCGCAAAAACGCTGTCTCTAGGAACTACTTATCGAAGATCGAGACAGTGACTTCTCGTTTAAATGTCTACAGACTCTGATTTATGTTTTTTTCATGCGATGGAAAGATACTGTTGAACTGGGAAAATACGAAGTCTATGAACCTTAGCGATCGTGGCTTGGCTCGCCTATCTTCGGCAAGAATTGTATTGTTTCCTCTGTACGAGTTTGTATCGGAATTTCGGTCAGCATCAGGAGTTTGTGAGCTGCCTCTGGGAGTCGGCACGCCATAGGAATGAGATGTGTTGTGCCCCACTGAGCTCGTATTTCGCTCTGGAGGATTCCTAAAACGCCAGTGTTACAAAAACAAAAAGCTCTTTAGATTCTCCAGCTGCTTCGAAGCTGGCTTGCGGCTGATCTTAGGTCCCGGGAAGGCGCATTTAATAATTAAGTTAAGCAGTAAATATGATCAAGACTTTAAACGCTTCCCAGGACCAAAATCAGCAAGCAGTGAGCGTTAGTGATGTGGAAATGATTGAGCATTGAAGATTTAATGAGTTATTTTCGAAATTAGGTCGAAAATAAACACAAAATAAATGATATCCTAAACTGTAGGTGCATAAAACTAATGGTCATAATTGATTTGACTTTTGATTGCTTAAACAGTAGTATTCAGTTAATCCAAGTCCATGCATAAGTCAACAAATTAAAATTTTAGCTAAATCGACGTAGACAGAAAGTCTCATGCGCATAAAAGACCTAAAGTTAAGAAAACAAAAAAATTGCGCATAAGTCATCAGTCTTTTTTCGAATTAGGGAACGGAATCAGAAGTAATTCAAAATTTTTCAAATTGATGAAATAGCGCTTTGTAGCCGATGAGTGTAAATCTAGAATGGCGACAAAAGTAATAACTAATGATTGTTTGGATGTTCAGCTTGTGAGTAACCCATGACGGGAATTTACCTTTTATGTTTTTCACGGAGCGATTTTCTAAATTTTGTTATTTTCGATAAGCAAAATATAGGAGTTTCGGAATTATCAAGTCTTTACTACATAACAAGCCCCCTTTATCAATTCTTATTATATTTAATCTTCTTCAATCGCTAGTATCATTTGCAAGACAGTCGTTAATACGTATCCAGCGTGGTGTTGCCCAAAGGTAATGTTACATTAAGCATTAGATGAAAAATTTATGGGGAGCGAGCGTAGGCATCCATTTCGAATGCAGCTAGATTTTTACTTTGACACAGTTTACTTTTGGAATATACGGGATGGAAGGTACGTACCGCCTTGATAGTCGATGTGTAAGTGTTTTGAAGAAGGAATGTCCATGAGGTCCGGCGTTGACACCTTGCGATACGTGATTCGATGAACCTGCTCGAGCGTAAATGTAGGAACATCAGTGGCGCAATTATCTAATTACCTGATGAGATGTTGCCAGTCGGCTTTTGCGATCGTTCTTTGTGAATGTTCCCCGTAATCGTGTGGCGATTCTGGTCCTTTCGATCGAATGGCCCAGCCGCTTTGGGCTCCGGAGAACGAGAAGTCGCGTGGTGATCCCGCGGTACAGCAGACCTTAAACAAACGCTCATAACAGGAACCTCATAAAAATATTCAAGCAAACAGTTGTAGCGCATAAACTTACGACGGTCTCTGAGAAGGATGCCGGAAATCGCCTGCGCCCATCGACGTGTGTGTAGTCGACGGCCGACTACTTCTGTTGGGCCTTGACTGATCCGGCCTTTGCCGAAGATGAGTGTTTTCATCGCCAAAGTGCTTCGGAATTTCGGGTTCCTTAACGATTCATTAGCAAACTCATTATTGAAATTTCGAAATACCCTCGAATGCGGCCTTGGTTCCTTTTTCGTCGGTTGCTTTTCTGAATGTGATCTACCAAGTCCGGTATTTTTGCGACCTGAAAACGAAGTTCTTTGGTTGCCCGCCTATGAGGATAGTTTTACTTGATGCATGTGATTGTGAATTTGCTCGGTTGACTTGTTTGTTCGCTTTTGGGTCTTTTGGTTTGCCAGCACCAGTACTGGTAGGCGAAGTCGACGGCGAGGCGGCCTTCTCAGCAGTGCCTTTACTCGTTGCACTGGCAGGACGATCGCTATCGTCGATCTAGAAAACTTGTATCCACAGAGTCGATGAGTAAAAGTACCTCAGGTTCTTTGGTTCCTAGTAACATGTATGTAGCGTATCTTGCGTCGTACATTCGATTGACAACAGAATGAATGATTTCTTCGCGATTGTATCCGTATGTTAACATTTTTTCTGGAGCAGAAGTTATCTTTTGAAACGAGAAATCGGCTCTTACCTATTCTTGATTCATCTATAGACTCATTTGGATCAGGCTCGACGAAAGGCTTCAAAGGGTCTTCTTCGTGTTTTATATTCATCCACCTTTCGTTCATAATATTACTAAGTACACCTCGTTTCAGCGGGTTCAGGACAAGGAAGCGTTTGAGGAGGTTTTCGCAGTCTGTGCTCATGTAAAAGGGAATTCTGTATTTGCCGCGGAGGACGCGCTCGCGTAGCTCCTTCAGATTCTGGCCGTCGAAGGGCAGACTGCCGGAAACGAGAGTATATAGGATGACGCCAAGCGACCAGACGTCGACCTCGGGGCCATCGTACTTTTTGCCCTGGAAGAGTTCGGGCGCGGCGTAGGGCGGTGAGCCGCAGAACGTGTCCAATTTCGTTCCAGGAGTGAATTCGTTTGAAAAACCGAAATCAGCGATTTTTATGTTCATTTCGCTGTCGAGAAGTAGATTTTCGGCCTGAAACAAAATAATAACGCGCGGTAAAAATGTCGAGTTACCTTTAAATCTCGGTGCACGATACGTTTCTGGTGCATGTATTGGACAGCGGACACGATTTGACGGAATTTGACACGTGCTTCGTTTTCCTTCATCTTTCCATGTGCAACTAGGTAGTCGAAAACCTCGCCGCCGTTGGCATATTCCATGACGAGGTGAAGAGTCTCCCGCGTTTCAATCACTTCGAAGAGTTGAACTACAAATGATTGTTAGATTTGGGGTAAGGCACGGGGCTTCAAGAACTCACCGACGTGAGGATGGTGGAGCATCTTCATTATCCTTACTTCACGCATCAGTTTACTCAGGTTCGTCGTTGACATCTCTTTTTTGTTGATGACTTTAATTGCGACATCGCGACCAGTCAGCAGGTGTTTGGCAAGCTTGACTAAAAGAAAAAGTTGAGTGGTGTTCTACAATGTCGCCCTTTACCTTTGGCGAAGTTGCCTTTGCCGATGGTTTTGATAAGCTTATACTTTCCGATGTGGGCGTCATCGTTAGCGTGAGACCGTCGCCGTCCGCCATCCTAAAATACGTTAAATCTAAACAGCAGCAAGATCAGCGTGCCAGAAACTCGAAAACGCAAAAAAAAATCACAAAAAAACAAACTGATAGTCGATCGTTATTATTGTCCGACTGTTCTCTTTGCAAACCAGTGGTACAATCTCTTGTTGAGTCTCTTCGAGAACGGATTCCTCGGATTGCGATTGCGTGGTTAAAAACTTTTGGTTAGAGTATTTATTGTGAGCGAGGCCACAGAAAAAAGTTCTCTCCGCATCCATAGCCATGTAAAAATGTTGTACCCTATTCACAATCAACTTTTTTATAATCTAGAGAAGCTTCTTCAACTTGTTTTCGAAATGAAATATCATTCTCAGGGTTGACTATCGACGAATGCGAATTGTTCCCACGAAAAACCATCCGCCAAGTATCAGTTCGATTGAACGAATCGGCTCTCAGAGTGAGTCAAAAGAAAATTACAGAAATCTTACAGAAAATTGAGAAACGCATGCAATAAAGGATGCAAACAACTAGAGTAACATATCTTATTCCGACCATTTCCGAGTAACGTTTTACCTGTCGATCTTCGCGCAAAGATGATGTCCCGCGACTATTTGACATAACCCTGACGGGTGTGTGTATTTGTAGGAACTTTCACTTTTGGGTTTCCAGGCTAAAACAAGCTCAAGTTAGTCTCATGCGGATTGATATTGCATCCAATGATTGAGTATTGCACAATCTGTGATTGAAGTGATCAGTAGGGTTTTGAGAAGAAATAACTATATAATTCAGGCTTGTGTCAATGTTGAAATTGCCGTTGAGTTTGTCGCTTCAGTCAGACTCGGAATTCTCGGACAAGTCGAGCCCAATCTGTCCGAATTGCAGGTCTCCTTGGTTGGGCTTTCGATAAATTGACAAAAACTAGTGACTCAGAGGAAAATATGTTCAGATAGTAAAATGTCATCTTTTCCTGGAAGGTAGTGGAATTCGGTGCGGCGATTAGGTCCTCCAGTGGATCAGAAGCGTTTGAAGTCCCGTCGGAAGAGTCGTCCGATGAGTCGTCGGAATCTTCAGACGATCTCTTATCTGAGTTCTCTTCATCAGAGCTCTCGTCGCTCGTGCCAGATGTGGTCATATCTGAACAGATTTGTCTCCAGCTTTCTATCGCGCCCAGTCTCATGTTAGCGGAACGAAAGACTAACCAGATATAGGCATGTTTTCTTTGCCGTTTGAAGGGAAGATTATGTCCGGCGGGGATTCCACATTCTTCGGCGTAGGATCGCGGGAGTACGCTTCTTCTTCTGAAAATACTCGTCATTTGGGCACGTCGATATGGGTTACTGGATGGAGTGTAGTTTCGATAAATTGAAAATTTAATTTAGAGGATCCATTACGAACCTAATTTTAATCGCTTGGGCTCAGAGCGATTCGAAGCCTGATCGGGTGTCGGCACGCGAGGAGTCTCCTTATCCTTGAAGTGGATTTTTTCAATGACGGTTTCTCGTGTCAGCCCGACCAGACTTTTGGAAGTGACTTTCTCCAGCGTGATCTGTCCGGTTTGCTTATCAACGATGATCAGGCACTGCTTCCCCTCCTGTTGCCGAAACTCCCCTAAAATATATTTAATTAACCACTCAGAGCTAGATAATTGTTTTAAAACCGGAAAAGACGATAGGTTCATAGGAATCATCTTTCTTTTTTGGCAGTTTTATGTGCAGCTCTCGCTTCTCAGTGTTGATTTCTTGTAAAAATTCTCGTTTTAGTATAATTCTAACTTCCGTCGCGGAGAAAAATAGACATGTCCTCGTCGTGCTACAACAGAATCTTTATTATCCACGATTAAGAAGGGAGTTCCTATGCACTCATAGCGAGTAAGAGACGAATCATCGGGCTACTTTGTCACCTAGCTAAGGCGAGTACAAAATCTTATAAATTTGAGTTATGTAATTTAATCGTTGCTGAAGCTGAGTTTCGTTGAATTTCTCGTGTCGATGACCTTTGCAAAATAATAAATTTCGGCCAAGTCCATCTACCAGAGTTAAAATAGCTCCTTGAAATAGTAAATAACCGAATCGTTTGATTTATGCGAGTCATCCGAGGTGATTTCTTTCGAAACAGAATAGAAACTCTCGTCTTAAACAGAGAGACAGTTAAAGTTGACTGAAGATGACAAGAAGACGCGGATTATCAAACTCGTTTACTCGCTCACAAGGAAGTATAAATAGGGGAAGGAGAAACAACAGAGAACTCTCAGCCCTTCCGAAAATGCCTTCTTTGTCCTTGATGATGGATGTGGGGACGAACTTTTTTGTGACGATGTGACATTGGCTCTTCTCGTAAAAGCTTTGTCCAGCTTGTACGGCGCGTTCTGATTCAATAGGTGCGAAAACAAACGACAAAGTGCAGCGACGACACCTTGGACCGAGATATGGGAGAGAGAAAGGCGCATTTCTGAGCGAATACATAAAATTCAAAGAAATATGCGTTATTCTGTTATTGCGGCTCGGGGTGGCGCTGCTGCGCATCGGTGCTCGCCGCCCATTTTCCTTTTCCGTCCCAAGGAAACACCATAATAATCACTCTCTGCTATTAACAACTGCTCAACGCACTCAGTGTTAAATCTTCAGTAAAGACGGGAAAAGTGCTTTGAGGCGCGCGAGCGGGCAGAGCAGCTCGTCAGCCGACCAATCACGCCTTAGAACCCGACACCGAGCAGCTTGACGCAAAAGCGCAGCCAATCTCAAACTCCACCACCACCATCAACAAATAGGCCCCGCTTAAATCCTGATCAGCTGATCCCTTTCCCCTCCCTCTTCCTTGCAGCCGCGCGCTGGTACTCGCCCTCGAAGAACCGTCGCCCAGACACTTGCTAGACAGATTGACTCATTGCAGCCCAGACCCAGTTCACTACAAACAATACACGTTCCATTCACTACTGAGTCTCGAAAGTGATGGGGAGAGAGCAGTTCCCAAATATATTTTTAGCAACAGTCTCTACAACGCGACTCCGAAAAAAGCCACCGTAAACCTCTTTTGTCATCAAATAATGATTCAGGCAATTAAGATTAGCTCTAATCAATTAGAGTAAAACAAATCGAGAAATGCGTGTAATAAAATTGGTGCTTTCGACAAGCTATTTTGTCTGGACTGGCGAAGTCTAAATCAAAAAGAGACAATAAGTAGCCCGAAGATAAGATGGAAATGGGCTAGCGCAAAATCAAATTGATTATCCTGTACTTTCTAAAGAAATTCTAGCGACAGATAAATAACTAGAAAGAGAGTGCTCCTGGCAGAGATTAGTAAATAATCTCGCTAGATTAGTACGTGCGTGGCGCCATTCTAGCATCGTTTCCCTTTCTTTCCCAGCGCAATAAATCGAAATCCCCAAACTGTCAGGAACATTCATTTTCGACAATCATAAAAAGCAACGAACAATCAAATTACCTTCCGTTTCCACGTCTGATCGCCTTCTCCTCTTCCTCAATTATTTTCTTTGCGACTCGACGTCTTCTTCCATGATCTCTATTTTTTCTCTTCGTGCATGTTCCAAATCAATGAATTGTTTCTTTCTTATCATTTCTTTCACATTTCCGCGATCAAAAAAGAATAAACAGTTTGATTTTTGCACTAAGTCCAACTTTGGGAGAGACGCTTTGCGTGGGTGGGGGCCCTTTGCGCCCGAGGGCAGCGAGCGGCGCAAACTCCGCCGCCGCGAAAAAAATTACGCGGATTTCGCGAAATTAAAAAAGAAACGCGCGTTTTCGCCTCGTCAGCTTCGTCGCTCTTCTGCCTCGACTTGGGAAATTTATCGCCAATCGCCACCCAAAGCAGAGATTTTCCCACGAGCTCCAATCGCCGCTTGACAAATTCGATAAGCAAAAGGATTCAGGATGAAATTGACGCTTCTGAGCAAAACAGAAGCATAACTAACTAAGAGAAGAGGGGAACAATGGCGAAAACGGGCAAAGGGTATTTTTGACAATGCTCTTATTTTTTAAATGCTTCATTTAAAATAGGTACGATTATGAAACCCTTGATGGAAAAACGCGATATTCGGAAAGCAAACCATCGAGGACATTTCTAGCTTTGAACGGTGTTTTATTCTTGCTCGCCTTTTGCGCTATTAGCAGATCATTCGGACACCATGCTCGGAAGGAAGCTGGAATTTATTTGCCACCTCCTCAGCAAAAAATGTAAATTTTGAAATAAATTTTGAATTGACAAAATCACATTAGGAGCTACAAAGAAGTCCTCGCTTCGTTTTCACCGGAATGCCCCTCGAGCAGTTCGCTTTCTTCTGTAAGCTGGAATTTGACATCGACGGAGAAGCCGGCTTTCGAATTCTTCGCAATGAAGTCACACGATCTGACGATTCTTGGGCCGAAGTCGACTCTCGTTCAAGAGTTCACGGAGGCGATGGCAGCCGTTTTAAGCGAGCCCACACGCGAAAGAAGGCATGCAGGAATTGTTCATCTTTACTTTCGCAATAAAAATGATTCTTCCTCGATTATGATTTTTATGTACTATATTTGAGAGCTTTTATTGTTAACCCGTTAACAGTAGGGCAAAATGAGGTGCCCTGTTAACGGGTTAAAAAAGTATTAATCAATTACTCAATCTAACGATCTCCAATAAAATTGATCAACCGCGCAAAAGCTCACCACCTCGACAAGCTTTTTTACTGGACGAAGACGCTTTCTGTCTTTTCTCAGAGCGAGTTTCTCCTTCCCTCGATCAAAGATTCCCAGTCTTCTTCAATCGTCAGTCCCGATCTTTTCCTAAGAGCGTCCTCGCTGACAGAAACCCTGGAAATTCATTATGACGAGTCGTTGGAAGTCCCGATTTTCATTTTACGCGGTGGGGAGCTTTGGATGAGCGCCGTTGCTGGCAATGGCAAACTAGGAGTTCAGGCGCTCGTTCAAGCGCTTCTCCAGGCAATGGAATTTGGAATGAAAGAAACCGGCTAAAATTTTTATCTTTGACGATATAATTTTTTGACTACAAAGCACGTTGTTATAACTTCGATAACGAGGTCTTGAGTAATTATCGCTTCGGTAGTCGATGAAGAGGAAAGCTCACGCGCGCATTCGTAGCAATTATAAAGCCGAGAAAAGACGATGGAGCTGAGTCCGGCCGGTTTTATCTCTTCTCCGAGGATTCTTCAACTGTGACTTGTTCCTGCGCGGACGCGACACTATCCCACACAATAACCGATTACCTTGACGCCAATTCACCTCTTCCCCCGCCCTGCAGTGGCTGCGAGAACCTTTCAAAACCATTCGTTCAATTTATCATGCCGACTTCTTCAGGATTTAGCCTCGGCCGAGATCCAAATACGAATCCGTTACTTGTGAACCAAAATTGCCAATTTAATTAATTCTGATTAATTATTGCCACGATTAATTCTCCGCATGTTCCTTACTTCTTCAATTTTGCTTTACTTCTAAAACGAATGATCCCTAATATATTTCTAATTCGAGCTGTGATTGAAACCTTCCTATCTCTTGATCAATTCTGTGCCATCGCCAATATTTTTAACTTAGTTTTAAAATTAGCCTTTAAATTCATCGATTTAAAAAGGTTTTTAAGAGAATTTAAATGGAGGGCGAAAGTATGTCTTTACTGTCCTTCGGTTCGCACAAAGAAAGAAACTATGGAACAGTCAGTCAACGCGCCTACCTTGGATCTGCAATGGGAAAAGCGAAAGAAGTGGATCTCGTCGACTACGCAGTTTCTGAAGGTATGAGTTTCCCTCGTCACTCTTCCCACGCTATCGTTCAGGCGAGACAATCACTGGCGTTGCGATCAAATTCTCAACTTCAGTCGAAGTGCTAAAGAGCCACAATCGCTTTCTTTGCTACGACCCAGAACTCACGTCCGGAAAAGTGATCAAAGTTCCACTTCTAAGGGGCCAGAAACAGGGTCATGAAAAATTGGTGGATTCGTGGTGGATTAACGCTTCTCGCATTTCGCGCTCCACTGCGCCGCTGGGGAGTGAAAGCAAAATCCACCGCGGCCCGGTGGATAGTCGATCCACCATCCACCAGTGGATCCACCGGGGCCGGTGGATCTCGAAAATTTTATATATTTTTCAGAAATTTATTGTCTTCATGATAATTTTATATGAAATAAGAATGCTTATTATCATTTCCAAAATATTTTAAATTATTGAATATCAAGTATTACTTTAACAGTTTTTTTTAAGACTGCTCCTCAACTGTGGAGCGGTTTTGAGTACCTTAGAGTCGAGATATTTTGAATCTCTCTTTTGGACCTTGTTAAAGAAGGTCTGTCGTGTGTTAAATAATGATTAAGTGACAGCACCATCAGTGGTGGTGGAGAAACCAGATAGTCAAAATGCACTAAAATCATAGGAAAATTGACGATGACGTCATTTCTCCACCACTAACATTGGTGCTGCCACCAAAAATAATCAGAAATACTTTTACTGATGTGCGGAAGACCTCTGCTCGATTAGAACAAAAGTCTATAAATCCTCGAAATTGTTCTCAAAAAGGAAGCTTTTCGCTTCCAGGAATATATTTGTGTAAATCACACGGTATTATTTGCATCTGATTTCGGACAGTAGGTCAGAGTGCACCCACCGAGATTTTGGCGAGCTCTATCACTTTCGAGTGACCCTTTAGAGTGCGTAAAGCACAAGCGAGGAAATAGGGCGCTCCAAGCTTGGCGCAGGAATGAACTACCCAAGGTAAAAGTGAAAATCATCCACCGGGCCGCGGTGGATTTTGCTTTCACTCCCCCGCGGCGCAGTGGAGCGCGAGGTGCAAGGAGCGCTAATCCACCACGAATCCACCAATTTTTCATGACCCTGGCCAGAAAGCCATCCAGTCGACTGGAGCTGCTGATAATTCAGCAACGAAGAGTAGAAAAGACGCTTCCGTTAAAGAAGAAGTTCGCGACAAATCGCTGAGCGATTTCTTTGCTTCAATCGACTCCAACATTAGCTCTGGCAGAAAGCGACTCACCAATTTCAACGAAGACCTTATCAACAGGCTCGAGGAATGAGCTTACTGTAATCATGTTTTTTTTTTCGTTTCTTCTCGCCTTCAATTACGTTTAGTTTGCAATATTCTAGTTCTTTGATAAAAAAAAATACTTTATATGTCAATGTTTTCACAATTGATAATATCCTGTTGTCATCCTTTCTTCATTCGTGTCCCTTTTCTTCATCAAAAATCCTATTTACCTAATATTCCCTGACGCTTGCTTTTTTTAGAAATGGATCACTTGTCTAGAATTATCAATCACGGGCTGACAAAGGCGTCGCAGCAATATGCACAGGAACTCTACGATTCAGAATTCACCCGAGTCAATCTTCCGCCTCCTCCTCTTTTTCCAGTTTTGGACATTTTCACTCCTAATGGATTTAGTTCCAATTTCGGACTCGAGCAAGGTAATTTCAGGCAAAGCTATCGTTTCCTGGTGAATCCTTTTTTCGGACAACGGATTCAAAACATTCGTATTTAGTTGTCAAAAGAGTGAATGGCGAAGGTGCCGCGAAAAACCGAGAAGAAAATGAAGAAATGGAGACTGATTGTGATTCTGATTACTCGATGCATTCCATTTGTGCGAAATGCCGCACCGATTTCGCTCCGTTCTTCATTCAGCAGAAAATCGACGATAAAGTAGGTATGCAGTGACGCAAAATCCCACGGCCCGAGCCCTATTTATAGAGCTCCTTTGTCGAGATTGTCACATTCGCTGGCGAGAAGAGCAGGACAGAGAGAGAAAAATCAGCTTCAAAATGAAATGATAGACAAAGTAACGCGCTACATCGAGAACATAAAAATACGTGAGGACGAAATTTTCAAAACGAAGGAACGACTCACGAAGAAAAAGCAAGAGTCCAAGAGTGTTTCCAGCGACTGGACAAGAGCAATGTTTCTTTGCCAAGGCAAATGACAAAGCTTCTACTAAAAGAGTCGACCGAGCAACAAGTATTTCTTTGCGAAGGTTCACTTTTATTCGTTTTTAAGGCTGAGCTTAGTAAAGAAGAGCTAACGAAAATTGTTACAAAACGCGCGCTGGAAAGCCTTCGGCAGCACTTCGGAAAATTTGCGGCTAAAAATAATGATCCGATCGTTCCTGGATTGCACGAGCAAATCAATACTATGAGTGATTTAGAAAGGTTTATAACTTAAGTTAAGCTAAAGCGTTTCCTACTTGCTGATATATTTGGCGCTTTTTTTTCTCTCATTGCACACTGTTCTCGTTCATTGCCAGTTTTAGCTTTCGCGGTTTTCATATTTTTGAATACGCTCGTGCTATTATGAATTTCTAAGGATTTTATTGTATTTGAATTTAGAATTTATATGCAGAGAGTTAAGAATGGGCTGCTAATTCGCAAGATATGGAATCGTTTAGCGTTGACGAGCTGGATGAGCTCAAACCTGTCGAGAGCTTTTTGATCCCGACTGATGACTTTGAAGTTTCTTCTGAAGCTGATCATGAACTCAACGATTTCTCAGAGGAGACCGAGCTTGAGAAGATCAGGGAAGCCTTCCTCATAACGGAATGCGAGGTAGAAGAAGACCTGCTCAACATTTCGAAAGTGAATTATGCTGCTCGTCTGGCAGAAGTGCTCCCGTCGGCGCGAATCACTTCCATCGCAGCCAGTGAATCTTACCTGATCTTGGGAACTAATCTTTCTGACGTGCTAGTTTTCGCGCAATCAGACTTCGAACATCTCGGCACGATCTCAAACGCGAAGGGAAATGCTGATGTGAGCGCGTTGGACATTTCACATGACCAGCGTCGGCTGCTAATCGGCTTTGCAAAAGGACAAGTGTTCATGTACGACTTGGGCAATTTCAAACAACTGAGAAAGTTACCAAGCGACTGCCACGCGATAAGAACTGCTCGAGTGCAGCTGCTGTCTTTTACGAACGAGCAGAATATTCAAGGCATTTGCTCCGACTCGAGTTCTGTAAGTATGCTAGAATTCACGAAGATAATCACCAAGCGAAGCACGGACGTTTTCCAACTTGTCAAAGGAGAAATGGTGAACCCACCAAGAATATTCCAATCTTATGAAGCGACCTCTCCTCTTTATCGCCGCCCTCTTATGGCAGTACTAACGCCACAGAAACTCATAGCTCGACCAATTTCGAAAACGCTTGAGAACTCTGATTTCGAGCTCTCCTTTCCCCATCTCACGCGTCACCACAACGCACTCTACGCTAGCTGGCATTTAGGAGAAGAAAACGACCCTGAACTGATACTTGGCCACAATCAACAAATAACCATCTTCCGTTTCGCCCAATTCGCTCAGTGGGTTGTGTTGCGCTCCATACAATTAGATGAAATAGTTAGTTTCGTTTCTATAGTCCCGCAGACCTCGCTGAAGCTGGTTCTTGCATCTCCAGACTGTACACCTCCCTATAAACTTTACATCTACAACGATGAGAGCCCCACGCCGATGTACAATAAAATTTGCGATGAGAACATTTCTCTCAAATCATTCAGCCCCTACGTAACGAATAGCAACATCTTATTCCAAGACAAAATGGGCGATTTATTCTCCGTTCGCATGCGTGACTGGAACGAGCGAATTGTTAAAATAAAGAACAAGAACTCCATGAAGGAAGCCGTCAAGTTTGTTTTGAGCCTTGCGACTGGCCAGATCAAGGAAAGGTTACCAAATGGACCATTTCGTTTAGCTGAAAGATTCTGACAACTGTGAGTAGTCAACTTGCAATATTGATTTTTTATTAATAAAATTTGATGACCATTGATGAAGGGCGTAATCGGACTTGGCGATGCATTCAAAGCTCAATCAAATATCAAATCTGCTCTTGTGAAGCTGCTTCCAAAGCTGATTGAGAAAGAGCTCAAAAACTGCGAAAACGATGACTACTCAATAGCGACTTTTGTTTTGGCGGCATGCGTTCGGTCAGATTTACATGAATTTCTGAGTGAATCAATCGGAGCGGCTGAACAACCCGTCGTGTCTATAGTTGAGCTCTTTGCGCAAAAAGGAAGCAGTTCTAGAGACGTTTTCTTTACGGCTTTGCAGGATATTGTGAAAATTGGCGAGTTTACAGCGATTCGACCGTCTCTTCTCTCGCAACTAATAGCATGGATGGACGAGAAAGGAAAAATCTCAGAATTTACGAAGCTTATCCGCTGTGTCGACCGAGAAAGCCTCAATGTCAACGAATTGCTCCGACTTTTCAAAGAGCATGGCTGCTGGGAAGGAAGAATCATACTTTATAATTATGTTCTTGAAAACTTTGAGGAACCTCTTCAATTTGTTCTTGAATCAAGCGATCCTCCTAGGCAAGGTTGATTTTGCGTGGCTTTGTGTCAACATACATTAAATCTAAAGCGCAAACCATCATCCTTCTGAATAGTTCACTTTTATCGGCCACGAATAAGTACTTATCTTGTTGTCTGAAAGGAGTTGAATACCCGTCTAAAGCGCCCTTGGATCAGCCCGAAAAAGTTCGCGAAAAGGTTTTCACCCTGCTGTTGATGGAATATGTCAGTAGCGAACGCAACTACCCGCTTTTGAGAATTTTGTTAAAACGTGTGGGCATTAAATTATTCAAGTCGCTTGGAGACTCCATCGAGTACCTCAGGTAGTGGGCTAGAGCGCCTTGGAAATAATTATATTTAATTTGATTCGATGCTAGTTCCAAAAAGTCATGTTACATGACTCATGTATCTTTTTTTATTTCAATGTTTTTTACAGAAAAACTGGTAGTTTTTTTTTTACTTGAAAGTGTTGAACGGCGGCATCTAACTACTCCTTTTTTGTTGAGATATAAAATTTAATGTTCATTACTTTTCGCCTGCTAGCCGCAATAAAGAGATCAAGAGGCTCAAAAACTGATAGATGTATTATTAAAGCTGACGTCGATCGTTGGCAAGAGAGAGCGGGAACTTGTTCTCTTGTTCTTGGGCCAGCAGATCGCCAAAAACGCAAAGATACATGTCGATAAGCTGCAGATCGATGAGATTGTCGATTTTCTTACAAACAAGTCCGGTGATAACATGGAAGAACGAGAGCGAATTTGCGAGTTACTCTACGACTCTGGGAAATTGAACCAAATGACACCAAAAAGAATACAGCGTCTCATGATCAAAACTAAGTTTTATAGGATCGGGACACATTTTAAGTCGAACAAATATAGAAAGATTAGAAAAACTTTGAAATCCCTTTGAAAGAATCGCTCATAAGATAGCATTCAAAAACGAAGACTATGTGAGTGCGATGATGGCTTTGGAGAAGTTTGAGAAACCTAGAGAAATCGTCAGATATATTGAACGGGTCATGTCATCACTGACGTACGATGGCTATTTTAAAGCCAAAGTTCTCACCAGACTGTCCCTTTTATTTGGAGAAGTTCCGTCTGAAGTTGTGACGTTGTGCATTACATATTATGGAGAGGAGCTTGCCGCCATTGCTTCAAACTTGAGTGACGACGCGCTACACGATTTTTTTCGTGAGTGTTTCCTTCCAACAAGAGAGCTTCCTAGAAACTCGCCATTCTTTTTACAATACATCAAGGTACATACAAACAATTAAAATTATATACCGTTAGTACTGCTTCAAGTAGGCACAAATAATATTTACTAAATTTAGTTAACTTAGCTACGCTTTTTCTTTTTTAACTTCTAGCTCCTTACTTTAAAAAAATTGTTAAGCACTTAATCGATTCAAATGCTAGCGAACTGATTGACGTCCTCACCGAATCAGGAGATGCTTTAATATTAAAATTTATTATTAATTTCGTGTACAGAGTCGAAGTCGGGTCATCTTCGATAAATTAAGAGCACATGAAGACTTTGATACGGCATTGATTGAGCCAGTTCTTGTGACATCTTCTAACAAGAGCGCTAAAGCGGTGCTCTATGAGAAAGCCCAGAATTACGAGAAGACGAGCGAAATTCTCCTTTCACAGCTCCGACATGACAGCTCTAAATTTTCGAAAAATCTCGACATCTTCTTGGCTTTTGTACAACGGACGTCTTCTTTAGTTCCACCATGTAAGTTAATTATCACCACACAAATATACACTGCGTTAATCTTGCAGCTGACAGAGAACGACTCTTTCTCGCCGTTTTTGATATCTTCAACGATATGGAAATTGAAGACTTGCAAGTTTACTTACCGCGTGCTTTTTGTGGTCTCCTCGGACATGTTCCAATGTCAAAAACAGTTCAAGCTTTCATTGCTTTCTTCAATTCTAGCACATTTGATGGTATGTACACTTTTTCTGTAAATGTGCACGACGATTAACATATCTTTCGTAGATGTGCCCTTTGGTCCGATGAAGCAACTTGTTACTTCAATACTTGACTCGACAACGAGGGATGTTACGAATCTGGTACAGATGAGCCGCATCTCTGAAAGTGGACGCTTTGCGCAGCAGGCCGAATTAGCCCAAACACGGAGGAGAGCTATTGTTGGCGGATTACCTGGTGCGACTTGCGCGTTATCTGGGGATGATCTTGGAAAAAACTCTCGAGTCCTTTTCAGAGAAGGAAGCCAAGAATACTCATTCGATGCCATCAAGCTGGATCCGGAGGAACACCCCTCTCAATCTATTTACGGTAAGAATGATTCTTCTCGTATTGGATGTTGACGAAACTCATTAAGGTCAGCGACATCGCAAGCTATTTCATGAAGAAGGCCTCTCTTACGAGCTAGGAGATTCTGTAATTCAAGAAACCCCCCAAATCGAGGCTGCCTATAAATTCCTCCACTACCAATTCAGTTCCATTCGCTAGCATTTTCTAGTTCTTTCTTATTATCTGCTTTCGTCTCTGATTCTTCAAGTTCACTTCAGAATTCTTCATCCGAACATACCTATACAAAAACGTTTGCACAATGCGTGCAGATAAAATATTCAACTACCATATGATATGGTCCATATCATTCATTATACTATTTGAGCGTCTTTTCGTTTAGATGGAAGATGGGAGTGATGAAGCGCAGCAGCGGCTGACTTGGCTGGAAGAACAGACTATCAACAAGTTGCAGAAGCATTTTAAAGTTAGAAAGAACAATGAAATTCTCGCAAGCTATTCGGAGGAGATGTCGGAGCTCAAGTGCTGTCCATTGCTTGCTGTGCAGTATATACAGTTATGCAAAGTGGACGATGCTAGGTAGATAAAACATATACGGCAGTTATTCACTTTGTTAAGATTCCATTCTATCTTCCAAGACGTGAATGGAAACTACGACCACTTTACCAAATGTGCCCTTGAGGTCGAGAACCGGATGAATTACTACAAAACGGCGAGTGAGGATACTGCAGCGTTTCCGCTTGTCCACAAGCGTTATTTTAAACGCTCGAAAGATCGCGAGATCAAAGACCAGGAGTTTCTAGGGATCAATGTGCACATACAGAAGTTCACGCTGGAGAACAGAGTTTGGCTTACTACATCTTGTGGCGCCGCTGCCGCTCATACAAAAGGCTTCCGCGACAATGGTCTCTGGAATATTATGTCTGTTGCGAAGCTTGACACGGAAGAGGAATTCGGCAGCAAAATGTTCAGTCTCACCTATGAGCGCCACTGCAAAGGTACTTTAAAAAGTAACGAAAAAGGTAAAGTTTATTTTTTAGCTAGAACTGCGATTGTGAACCTAAAAGAATCGTGGGGCGACGTCACAAGCGGCCTCCAGCAGATGCGCTCAGGCGAGGGATGTTTAGACGTGTTCATTTCTCAGTGCCAGGTTCTTCTTCACAACGTCCGCCAGTCTATCATCAGCGAAAGCGACGGTGGTCTTGTAGACGAGGTGAAAGAAAGCGCGATGAAATGCGTAAGTCACTTGCGCAACGCTCGCCAAGCGCCTGACGAGAGTGTCTTTCTGACGGAGGCAAAAACGAACCTTTTCTCCACCTACTCCAAGTGCCTTGAATTTCTCGTCTTTCGCGCATTCTCAGTTCTCATCACAGACTCGGATCAACAGCGCTTAGACAATGTCTGTTCGCAGATACTGACGATCGCGACAGCTTCTGTTATGACAGGCAAGGCATTCGTGCTTACATATCTGACCCTTATTAGTGGTGGCATCCCGAAACCTCCAGGAACTCAAGGAACTGCAGAAGACAGGTCTTATACTAAATTTTGAGTCCCTTCTTTCCGAGAGCGGCAAGGAGACGGGTATGCTTGCGGACTACGCATTTGCTGTGCATTTCTTTCTTGAACATGTTCGATTCGTCCTCAGTGCCGACATCGTCGAGTTTCGCATAGAAGGAGACCGCCAGAGCCCACGAGTCTATGTCCCTGTCTCCCAAGAGATTCTCCAAGGGTCAAACAACGTTGTCTTCAAATGTGTGCCGATTATGTTCAACATCGGTATCAATGAAAGACAGGAGCTCCAGGACATTCGCAACAAGCCTTCTCCCCTGATAAATGCCATCAATAGTTTTAGTTTGAATAGACTTTATCATTGGATTGGTATGTAACTGATCTACTCCACCGTTTTGATATTGTGTTCAGAGCTTCATTGCGAGGAGCAAGCAAATGTGCTTCTCAACGGTCCATTTCAGCAACTTGCCGAAGAGATCCGACTCTACGAGACGATGAAAAAGAAGAAAAACGTAGAGATACATCGCATTGCTGCCGAAATTACCCGCTCGCTCAAGGGAGGCCGTATTATCAACTGCAAGTCTGGAAAGGACCGCACTGGAATGGCGGTCACTCTCGAGCAAGCGAGGATAATTCGGAGCGAGATCAGGTAGGGCAGACAATTAGCGACTCTGCTAACAGTTTTCAGCATTGATGACGCTCTCTACAAACATTCGCTCAACGAAATGAGGTTCCACGGACTGCGTCGGGACAACTGCAAAAAAAACCAAGACAAATACCTGTACGCCTTTCAAAAAGTCCAGCTTCTAACATTTCCAAACGAATATGTCCCCCCTAAGGGCTCATACGGGCATGCCGAAACATGAACCTTCTAAATAGCAAAGATACTAACCGCTTATTAATCATTCTTACCTTATTTCTTTTCCTCCGACTGTTCGCTACCTATTATTTCTTCAAATTATTCGAGCCGCAACCATTCATTTCCAACGCAAAAGTCCTAAGTTTCTCAAAAGTGTGTACTTCTACAAATTTCTCCCTGTAGAAGTTCTGGTCTACGAATCCGAAACGCGTGGACGACTATCAATGCCTAAGAGCGTCAAGCTTTCGATTTATTTTTTCTCATTAACATACTTTATTTAAAATATATTTAATAAATTTATCTAACACTAATGTTCATTGCATTTGTCGCACAGAGTGTACTATTTTCTTCAAACATGAATACCTTCACTTATACCATGTTCTACTATGAATTTCTCGCTAAAAATTGAAAATATCCTGTTTATCCCATTTTTTGCTTAAGATTATTATGAATCGCTTGATCCGAGCTTCTCATCGCTTTTCGTCGATCGGTAGAAAAGATGCTTTTCGAATATTGAAAGTGAGTGAGCAAGCAAATGCAGAAGAGATTCGTGCAGCCTTTCTAGTTCTCGCAAAAGAGCAACATCCTGATCGAGGTGGAAACCACGAGGACTTCCAAAAGACTGTCGAAGCGTTTGAGGCAACGAAAGTTAAATCGGACAGCGAGTCGGAAAATGTACTGAAGGAATTCTACACTCGGCAGGCTGAAAAGGCGAAAATCAAACAAGAAGCGGGCAATGATCTTATCTCGAAGAAATACGAAGAGTACGTCAAAAAAGAAACGAAAAAAGGGACAAAAGCAGAAGACATCCTTTCCGAAGAAAAGTACCGAGACAGGGTCCATATAATGGAGCAGAATGTGAATCGAGTCGGCAGAATTGTTGTCCTACTGTTTATTATTTATTTGATTAAAACCAAATTTCAGTAATAAATTCATTAATAAAGCTACCCAAACTAAATTGGTTATTTACAAAATCAATTTATGCTTCATGTTTATTACAGCTAAAGTATTGAGTTGCTCGGAAGAATAATTTAATCAGGCGAAATCCTTGAGGAGTATCCTGAGTGTTGGATCATCGCAAATATCGAGAGGTGTTTTTCCTTTATGCCCACAGGAGACAGGGTCGGCACCACTTTTCAGAAGGCGTTTGAGGATACGTTCATCGCCAGTTCTCACTGCATAATGCAGCTGACTATCATTCTTGTTGTCGGGTGAAAACTTAAACAGAAAAATCATTGATAGCAAGGATGATAATATTTTAGTCGCATTTATTTCGAACAGAGAGTAGTTGAGTTTTACATCGCGTATAAATTGGCTTATTGTTGGCAAATCAGTTTACCTGAGAGAAGGTTTTGCAATTGACATTGGCACCGAGCTCAATCAACTGCGCCGTTTCCATCTCGCGTTTCAGAATAATTGCATCGCGAAGCAGTGAATCAGAAAAAGGAATGAACAAGCAGCGCGTGTTTGATTAATTCTGGCATATTTTCCTTTTCCATTCGACGTTACAGTAACTACCGCGTGCTTTATATATCCCATGCCTAAGATGTACTGCTTGTCCCAGTCGTCATAACTTTCTAGTTCTTTGATCTTGAGCGCCCAGTACTTGTTCTCTTCTTCGAAGACATCGTCGCGCGAAGAAAAGCTCGAAGCCCGATCCATAGAGCTTCTACAGCGACAGAGACCGTCAGAGGACAATGTTGAGCTTAGTCGGTTAATGTAGAGCAAAGGTGGTGCACGCTCCTTTCGATACGAATCTCGTCGCTCTGAAACTAATCTAATTACGCCGCAAGTTAGTGAATATTTGACGGGTCAGCTTTGGCAGGACTAACACTAAGTCGTCTTCGCGGTGTTTTTGTTGGATGCTTTATGTTTATACTTATAACAATGTTAAAACTTGACTAAAGGTCAAATTTAAGAAAAAAAAAACATTTTAAATGAAAAAATTACTTGACATTTAAACTAAGAGCGACTTTGTAAATATTCAAATAATATGTCGTGAGAAGAACATGTAAAAAGGATCAAATAAAAAAGCTCATCTACCTGATCGTGGTGTTTCTTCTATTTGTCCAGCGTCCGTTAAAAGCACTGATCTTATGGGCTGGGTGTTTTTCCTTCCCAACGTTAGATTTCCCATTATTTTTGCTCAGTTTTGGAAGTGCCAGCAGAACTTGTTTTCTCTTTGCCTTATTTCTTTTTCAGTTCTGAAACGGCTTTAACGAAAAGGTTGATTTAACTTCTCTCTGCGCCGTATCGACTTCTTAAAATCAGAAACGAAAACGCAAAGGGACCTCTACCGCCGTCTATTATGTTTTATTAATCAATCTTCAGAGCAAGATCATTTATTTCGGTGCAAACAAAATTATCATTTTCATTATTCATAAATTTCATTAAGTAAATTGAATCGAATGAAAATTTCCTATTAAAGTGAAAGTTATTACAATCCTTTTCATATTACTTTGATAAAAATTTTAAGTTACCTTGATCTCGTCTCTCACTCTATTTCGAAAGTATCGAGCAACATTAGTTCCTTTTGAATTTATGTAACACCAGTCACCTGACAAGTGAACACCTTGTGAGCTGCACAACTGCGACTTTTCTTTTCGAGACTCACACCTTATTCCACATGGTTTGGTTTAACGCCATCATTTAGCTTTTTCCTTATTTCTAAATTGCTCCTTGTTAACTCGCTAATTGTCGTCAGAATAGTTGTCATTCATAAATTGATTGCTCAATTATAACAACCAATTTAAAAGAAGCTACGCTAGATCATTTACAGTTTTACATTTCACGGAAAATATGATGTTTTTTAGTCTTTTTCAATCGTTGATGGCAGTAGGTGAGAAAGAGGCATTTTCAACTTTTCATTGAAATTGAACCTATTAAAGAGATAAGAGTGACAAAATCTTCCCAGAAAGAATACTGTCCGACTGTGTATACATTTGTTGGCCCTGTTGTATCCGGCTACTTTAAACGCACAAGCTACGATTCTTTAGAGGTTTTAGAGGACATATACTTTCATCTCACATGACTTTTTAGTGGACCGAAGGGCACGTTTCCCTCAATAAAACAGAATCCGGCGTTTGGATAATAAATAGTAAAATATCATTGCTCCACTTTTATGAAATTTTTTCAGAGTCTTCAATTAATTCAGATGGATTCGAATCTGAAGTAGAGCTGTTGCGATCGAAAAATGCAGAGGCATGTCCACCGAGAGAAGTAGGCGCATGGGAGTGTGGAACGAATACAAACTGTGAATTGGAAGATATCAGAAGACACACGAAAATCTACGCGAAACATATTGTCGTGGAAACTGATTCGGAAGTTATGAGCCAAAGCTTTGATTATTGTGCACCTGCATTAAATGAATAGAGTTTAGAAAATATATGAAAAAGATAATCTTCCACCTCAGTGATTTTCGCATGAAAGCACAACTTTGATGCGTTTAGTTTTGTTATTGAGGTACTAATCTTCTAAAAATTTGATTTCTCGTTCAAGGAGCGAGATAAAGCTGATCTAAAGACTCAAAGTTCTTGGGACTTCGCTGCGAGCGCGATGGATAATCACAACTAAAGTGCGACAAAAGAATTGCAGCAACAATTTAGTTGAGTTCGATAGCTGAATTTTTATTTCAAACAAAGAAAATCTTGTTGCATCCTTCTTCTTTGCACGTCTTCGCAGCTCCAGTCTCATTTCGATAAGTGACTTCTTTTATGTCAAGCGTGTGAGTACCCAAGAAGCAGAGTCCATGTTTAATCGACTCTTCGTAGGGTCCGTTTGTACTTACTCCAGCTCCACAGGTAAGGCATCGGTAGAATGATTTCTTGTCATCACGTCGCCTCAACACCATATCACAACTCGGATGTGGCAGCTCACAAGATTCTGAGTCGCTGCTGAACTCTTAAATTTTCTATTTGAATTGATAATAGTTTGCAAAACGAACCCTTGTGGCATCTCACACAATGTCCCCATGAACTTTTCTGAGTTTTCATGTTTCGACTTCCAAACTCATTTACGTTCTCTTCTATGATTTCAGTGTTTCTTTTCTCAACGCTTTCTTGAAATTTGTTCTTTTTGATCAGTCCAAGCGCTGCTGATTTCGGAAGAAGAGTGTCGACGTGCTGTGATTGCTCATCAAGAATATCCTCGTAAATGTTTTTCATTCCCTGATCAGGAAAGACGTGCATGGAAAGATTTTGGCTAGTAAGTAAAGCTTTGGCGAACGAAAAGATGGAATACCTGTATAAGCTAAGGGCGTCGTATTCAGTTGGAACATCGGTTGCGTCATCATAAGTACTTTGGGAGTCTTGCTCATCATTATCATCGTCCGGAAAGAAAAACTCCTTCTCTGAAACTTCTGGGTCTTCTGCTCATGGTTCGAACACAATTTTATTGTAAAACTTAACTTATCAAGAACCCTTCTTTGGAGAAAAAGATGGACTTTTTATAAAAGCTTTCTGATCTATGCATTTTATCGAAAAGAGGAAATTCTTCGTAAGGAAAAAGCCGACTCAAGGCCTCAAGAAAATTCTCTAAAAAAGATCAGCGCTAACTGACCCCATCAAAATTCATTCTTTTGGGGTCAAATTAGCGATGACCTTTTCCTTCTTCTTCCTCTATCCGGGTTCGCAAATAATCCACAAGCTTCACAGGATTTGTCTCGCGCATGATTCGAGCTAACCGATTCGCGAGGTAGCTTTTTTCTCTTCCGTCGAGGTTTCAATTCGAATTGAAATTCTAACGGAAAATGAATTGGTATTATAAAAGCCTTTCCTGGACCCTTTTTCGCCGCTTATTCCAACTCGACCGGACACATGAACACCGCCAATTTGGCCAGAACGCTGGCAGTGTTTTTTATCTATTGCGATTTCCACGACTGTTTCCTTGTAAATTGGAGTTCGAGCGCGATTTCGCCTTGCTTTGCGTGGATTTAAACGAAGACTGTTGGAAAGCTTTGAATTATATTTGATGGAGTTTCCTTTCATAAAAAATAAACGATCTATAGGTACTTAAAGCGCATTTCTTGATCTTGGGATAACCTCGACCGGCAATTTATTTCTGGAGCAATAGCCACTTGAATCTCTGTCCGATTCCATCTCTTTTTTTTTGTCTAGAAATTTGAAAAAAATGCTACCACTGCTGCTCGAAACGCGCGGTAAGGAAGCCTGCCAGAATGTCCGATTTTTTGAATAATTTTACATAACCCTCTCATTACAATAATTAGTTTCGACTTTGACCGCTTGATTTTCTTTCGCATCTTTTAGATCTACAGTTTATCTTATAATATCTTCGGGAAATATATCAAAGATTATCTTCTGCTGTCTGTTTTTGTCGGTAGCGGCGCAACGGAGCTCTAGAGCGCCTCATGTGTGGTAAGACAGCCCTCGTACAGTAGTTACTTCATCATTGATTGGTCTAAGTTTCACTCACACGACCTAAGAATAATTTTATTTGATTCTATTTTTGAGAGATGACTTCAAACATGGACAGAGATATTTCAGCATTCTTCAAAGAAGCTGCGAAACTCCGACAGAAACACCCTCAGCTGGACATCACCATGATCGTACGACGGCCCGATCAGAAGATGCCGATCGTCCACAAGGACAATCCCACATCCAACCCGATCGAAAAGAAGAAGAGAAGTTTCGAAGCAGAACAATGCTCGATCTTGTCATTCGTCGAAAGGAAGAAAGGTAATTAGTAGAAATAACTTAATTTATTAACTCGTATTTTAGCGAAAAAAGACGGCGACGATATTTTTGCGAAGACGGAAGACATGGAGGAAGAAGGTAAGTTGATGCATCTTTGATCTAATCATAACGAAGTTTTTCAGATTTGAGCGTCCTGGATTACGCGAACCCATTCGACACTCAGAGTCAGTCACAGCAGCAAAGCCAACAGCAAGGTAAGGACATTCGATTTTCCTCTGATCATCTATTTTTAGGACTCGAAAGCTTGGACTTCGCGAATCCGTTCGAAGATTCGCAGTCCCAGCAGAGCCAAGGTAAGCCAAGGCCGATTGCAAGGATATAAAAGTAATTTTAGATCTCTTCGCAAGGGACGAATTGGACTTCGACGACTGATCCCACTTCATGAAATGGTAAGAAATCAGCTAACTAATAACTTGAGGATTTTTCCTAAAAATTTCTCATTCATATTTTCTAGATCCCAGCACTTTCCTGATCCTGCCTGCGCTTCCCTTCCCCTGCCTCTTCCTGATCCTGCCTGTGCCTCCCTTGCCCTGACTCTTCCTGCCTTGTATTTATAATAAATTGAAATAATTGTACATTTTGTCGTTTTGTGATATTTATCAGGCGCTTTTTTTTTCCATATACGGTATATGATATACCTTTAATAATCGAAAACTAAGAAGGCTAATAGATTGATACAACTGCTGAATTTGAACAGTTAGTAGCAAATAATTATTCAGAAGAGTTTTTCTTTTATTTTTCGTTCATAAAGCATACGATTTCCTTCTCATTCCGCAGTAGACTTTTCGCCTCGTTTCTTCCGAGAATTCCTTCTAGTTGCAACCGATCAAACCTTGAAAACAATTATTTTCTAAGTTTTGCGAGTTTCTATTACTTGCTGCAAAGAACTGTAACGTCCGAAAATGATGGGTCGATTATAAAGTTTGAAACCTCCGAGTAATAATGTGGGAAAGTTGGAGGCTCAAAGAATATCACCCTTGATACTTTTCGCTGTGTCACTCGGTGAAAAAAATGTCTTCGCTCGGTGAACACAAGCACCGGTCGCTCGCCGCTTTCAAACATCTTCTTCGCTGTTTTGCTTCGACCTGTAGAAGTTTCCTCTGTTAGGCACACGTGTTCAATTTTGGATTCCGTGAGCTTATCACGAAGCTGAAGACAAGGATCATTAATTTTGAAATTATTGTCAAATTTTACTTACGACGTAAAAATGAAGTGTATTCGGTATGTAAACTAGGACGTTCTTGATCTTCGCTTTGGATATTTCATTCATAATTTTCATGAAAATCTTGTAGCGATTCTGCAAGACTTCACCCATGCTGCCCCCTTCGACTTTTCGGAAGATTTGAGGAATCGGGAGAGCAACATTTTTAAGCGCTAGAAGTGAGGATACTTCTTGAAGTCGACATTCAGCGTACCCTCGGTAATTGAAGCACAGTTTGGTCATAATTGCGTCGAAATTTAGATTTGGAGTGTGGCTCAAGAAAATCGTTTGTCTAAGAGAACATAAAGCTTGCTAGCTGAGTGATTACAGAGATCTTACCTATAATATTTTGAATGCCCCTCCGCAGACCATAGTTTGACTCTTCCGAAGTCGCAATCATGTGCTTTCTTTGGCATCAGATTGAGATTTTTGAAGATGTGAAGAAGATGTGAAATATTCTGCATGAGAATATAGTCAGCATGTTCGACAACGACGATCTCGATTGAGCTCAAAAAGTCGTACTCCTTGCGTTTGTCCTCCGAATCATCGCCAATTACCCGCTTCAAGCCAAGCGGCGAGGCAATGATCACGTCAGATGCATAAAAAGGCGTGTAGAGCTTGAGCTGTTTTGGCGTGTACGATAGACCCATTCGAAAGTGGTCGTCAGAATTTCCGCCAAAGATGCGTTTAAACTCGTCAGGTCGCTTCTTCTGCTGGAATTCCTTTTCTGCCTGAAGATCGTGCCCGAACTCTTTTAGGAAACGTTTTCGATAAGCCACTTCAAGTTTGCCGCTAGGGGGTGTCAGAAGTCGAATCATTTCATCAACGATCTTCTTCGCATTTGACCTGCACTATACTTATCTGTCGGCTAGTAAAATAATCTTACCTGAAAGGAGCGATAATCAAAACTTTTGGCTTCATCAGTTGCTTGTCTCGTATGTCTACAGAAGCCTTCTCTTCCTCCGTCATCGTAGTGAGTTTCAGCGTATTATTTCTAACGAGTCGATCAGATTTCATCACGTGATTCAGGACGTGCAAAACGTAAGGAGATAGAACTTTTCGACTGGTAGCGGGGCAGTATACATCTATAAAGACATCTTTATCAAAAAATGGAAATCAGCTGATACCTTTGTATTGATGAAAAGAGAAAATAGATCTCTCTCTCGATCATCCATTTTCCTCATATTGCGTTGAATACGATCTCGAATGTGCAGCGTACTAGGATCATCGAAGCATTTTACATCCGGGAGATCTATATTTCGTGGTGCTTTCAGGGTTGTATGTTTGTACACGTTGAGGGAAATTTTCTTGGTGTCGTAGGACTTCTTGTTGGACACTGATTCTATCTGCTTTCCAGTGAGATCTGTGTTCAAATGTGTATGCCACGTGTTCTCCGCCTCGATAACTTCATCGTCGACCTGGTCTTCGTCCTCTTCATCTTCTGAAAAGTCGGGCTCCTCGCTTTCAGACTCATCATCGTCTTCTTTCCTTCGCTTGAGCAGATCGAACAGTTCATCTTTCCCAACTCGATCATCGATTTCAATTTCTTCGTCCGACTCAGAAGAGGTAGGCGACTCTTCGTTGGCTTCATCTTCTTCTACTTTCTTACGTTTCTGTTTGAGGATATCTTCATTTGTTTTTGGAGCTCTTGCTCGAATAATATCGCGTTTGTACGTACCTTCCGCTTCCGAGGGATATGCAATGTTTATTCTATGAACATTTCAACTAGGCTAGTTCTAGTCCCTTCCTTTAGCCTTCTCTACCTCGAGTTTTCGCTGCGCACCTGCAATATCTGCAGGATGCATCTCACCAAACTCCTTTAGGTGCTTCAAATCTTTCCGATTAACCTGTTTCGGTCTACTCTTCCTTGACGACATTCTAATATCAAATTAGATAGACCAGATTTATTGCGGATTTGTAATTTATTATCGTTACTGGACAAGACCGAGCTCAATTTGAGTCAGCTAGCAATCATAAAATCGCAGTATTTCTTTCTAATAGAATAAATAATTATGTCGATCTCATTAGTGGATGATGTCGAGTCGGTCGCAGATGTAGTCGATCATCTCCCGTGGAGTAAGCAAGTAATCGGCCTGTAAAGTCAATTACTTTTGGAGAAAAGTATTTTATGTACCTGTTCGACGGAGATTTCAAGGATAAACTCTTCCTCGATCTGAAGGCAAATTTCGGTGGTGTCTAAGCTGTCAAGTCCAAGGTCCTTATCTAGAATTCAATATAATCATTTACAAGTTTCGAAAAATCGAACCGAATCGAGAGTCAAGGCTGAGTTTGCTCTGGTCGATCTTATCGAAGCAGCTGAGAACGTAGAAGACGCGATCGGAAACTTCCTATCAAAGATTAACTCGTGTGAAATATACGGTTTGCTTGCCTGGATGGAAGTAGCCATGGGGGAGACGAATCGGACAGAAACCTTCGGAATCTGAGCTACAACAGCCTGTCGAGAGAGCATGGAAGCTCGGGCAGACACAGAAAGGCCTCGAGCAGCAGTTCGGACGACTTTGAACATTCTAACGACTAATCTTAGCCTCATTTTACGACGTTTATATAATTTTGAAACGCTCCCTTTTGATGAAAGAAGTTTTTGTAGTTTTTTATTATTATTAATTTATAAACAGGAATATGTTCATGGCTTGACTAAACAAAGATGCTAAATGAGGCAGTAATAAGAAGCAGACGAAAAAGAGTCGAAGGAAAGGGACTAGAATTTCTCTCTCGAGCATTACTCATCGAGAGAGCCTACCGCCCCCACACTTGAATGTATAACAGAGATTATCTTCTTTAGCGTAAGAAGACTTTCTATGTGTTTTCCATTTCCTCGACAACTTCTAATTTATCAGAAGAGAGTTCTTCAGGAGTCGTAGATTCCAAATCTTTGCCTTCACTTATTCCCTTCTTTTTCATGTTTACTGAGGTAGATTGTTTAGTTGGGAGAAACGAGTATCAATTAATTACTTTTATCCATGAAAGCTTTTCGTTTCTCGAATTTCTTTTGGGCTTCCACGTTCAAATCAATGACATCCTCTGGTAGTCTATTGCCCCTTTCTCGACATATCGGTGGAAGAGATGGGTCATCTTCGCCACAACGATTCATTGGTTTAATCTGGCGAATCGAGGTCACTTCTCGTTCCAGACGCACGCAACGATCGGGTCCAAACGTCGCATTCAGGAATGACTTCGCTGCTTTTGCTTTCGCCAATTTTTCCGAGATGCCCTCTCCTGGGTAAACTTGCTCAGGATGTTCTGGTGGAGTGTAATAGAGCGCAACTTTCTTCAATAATTGTTCTTTTGAAGATTCGATCACCCAGCGGAAATTTATTTTTCTTTCTGTAAGCTGAGCAGTGGTTGGTTTACCATTATACTTGGGCTCCTAGAAATTTTGGTTAATAATTCGCGTATTGTGCTCTTTATCACCTCAACAATCTTGAAGGCAGCGCGAGATTCGGCATGACCTTTGGAAATTCCAGTTGCAGTGGCTTCAGTTAGTTTAACACCGTTTTGCTCGACTGAAACTCTGACTCTGCAGTACATTGTCACCGGACAATCTGGATCACCAGACTCAACAGTTGTGGTGACTGTTCCACCCCTTTGCGAAACTCTGTCTGTAAGCGTTACCATGTGATTCTGCAACTCTAACCTAAGAAAATGACTAAATTTATGACATCAAATAATATACATACGCACTATCACCAATTGATAAAACTGGGTGAGTTTTTAAACAACTTAAAGCCGCTGACTTTTGGGCGTTGGTCAGAGTAGTCCCTTCTCCGACGAAACGATCCAGCGACGGGAGCGTGAAGGATACACGGAAATACTTTTGATGGTTTTCAACATGTGAAAATATTTTGCTATCACAAATTATAGCGACAATTGAGCCCATTTCCTTAACTTCATCATCATAATGTTCAATTTTCCAGTTCATCTTTCTTCCACCCATGTCTTGCAATTTCTTATTCATCGAAAGTTTATTCTTAATAATCTTTAGCGGATCGCAGTCTGCTTCTTGCTCCAGAACGGCGGTAAGAAAAGGGAATTCGGATGAAACCTCTTCGAAAATATTCTGATCGTCAATTGGCTTTTCACCCGTTCCCTTGATCGAGAAGGTCTTGCCGTAAATGCTCCACGTTATCATATTTGCGTCGTCAGGAGTTGGTATCTTCTGCTTCAAGCTTTGAAATACTTGTTGAAGTAAATTTCGATGATTTATCGTTAAATTTTTGTGTTTTTCGGCTGCGATCTTCTTCGCTATTTTCCAGATATGCCTCGTTTCGTCGTTGTAGTTTGACAAAAACTCCAGCGATGCCAAGCGTTGAGAGCCTTTTTTCGTGAAATCCGAAGCAACGAAGCTTTCGATAGTCATGTCGCCGTTCTCTTCTGGTTTACCAGTATGAATGGTGCAGGTCCAAATACTGATAAGAAATAATAAGGCACTACTTCCTCTGAAAAATTAATACCTAGAATCATGATTTGGTTGAACAGCAAGATGAACGCCCTTGCATAAGCTTTGCACAAGTCCATATGCACATATGCCAAAAAATGACATAGGCTCAGTTTGGGCCAAAATAGAGTTGTTGTCAAGTGCCGAAAGAAGCGCACTATGTTTTGCTGTTTCAAGATTTTTTCCTTGTCCAATGTGATCAGTTCCATCAGGTAAAAGCAGATTCACTACTAGTTTGTCATTGACTGTTTTGTCAATCCTATCAAACTTATATCGACCCTGGCAGCGGTGTTGAAGGAAGAAAGACATAGACTTTTTTGCTCGTGGGTTAATTGGAAAGCTCGCAGTGTCGTTGAATGCGGTTGCGACGTGCTTTTCTGCAATCACCTTCAGCTGGTCATCGTTACCGTCAAAGATTCTAAGAGGCTGTTTCCTTGCAATTTTGGCAAGCTTCTCAAGCTCAATATCAGACGACCGTTTTAGTCCGCGCTGTACATCAGTTTGTCCATAAGTAACGTCAGGTGCCATTCCAGCGCCATCACCAAGCCACGCAGTTGTGTCCACTTTGCGAAGCTCTTTCGGCATTAATAACATTAGATAAAGATGAAGTCTTTTTCGTGCAAGCTTCTTCGACCATGCTTGGGCTTGGATTTTGAAACCTATTAAAAAGGTCAGATATCATTCATAGAATATGTAACATATTATATGTTCTTACCTTGAACGGTAACTTGTGATTGAAAAAGACGAGGGGCAACTTCAGTTTCAATCGGATGAGACTCATCAGCCTTACAACGGACGGCGTTAACGAGCTCGTTCTCCGCTTTTCCTCTGGCTTTTGGTCGTTCTTTACTTGGCAAAGGATACCAAAAGGCATGATCAAAATCGTGGACATCTAAAACGTGCTGGAAAGTGTAGCATAATTTTAGAGCACCATCTCGGCGTGCTTGCGCTCGTGTCTCGCCAAAGCCGTGAATTGTTTCGCCGTACGCCTGAAACGTTGCTCGATATTTTGGCGTTCCCGTCTTTGCATTTGGATTGAACTCGATAGCTGTGACGACTGGCAGTCGACAAAAAATATCAGTGGGGTCGTTGGGCAGGATAGGTATCAGCAGAGGTTGATTCATCGGGATTCCATCGATTGAAAAGCCAGTCGTACAGACCCCATCGAAAACGTCCTCCTCTTGTCTCGTTAGTACTTGGTCAACAATAGATCTGTCTTCATAATTGTAGTAGCACATCATAGTTTCTTGAACGAGTGCCATTAAATTTCCGCCTGGCTTAAGCTGATCTAGAGGAATAGCGAGCGTTGTTTGATCTTGTTCTTTCCAGTTTCCTTCATAATGAGGAGTAGGTAGTGCAGAGTCCCCGCACTTCCAAGTTTTTCGTCCCCTCGGAAGAAAGAGTGAGCTTGCTTGTAATCTGTTTCCTACTCCGAGACGCTCATTAAGGAATTCAGTCTCATGGATATTGTCTTGTTGAGGGAAGATTGGAACTTCGTCAGAAGCAAATGACGGCGCGTTTTCATCTGCCTTGCCGTACTGACGATTTCGAGCGATCTTACGATCTCTGATTGCTCGCAATTGAGCTGCAGCAGCTGCTATTGAGACTTCCATTTTATGCGTCGGATCAGCATCGTAGGGCAATTCTTCAAGTCTCATTTCTTAAAAGTAATCGTAAGCTTGTGGATCCAGGAAAATTTCGCAGTGATAGAATGAGGTGAACATAAATTTCTCTAAAAATATTCTGTCAGTGGAATACACGATTTAGCGTTTTTTGCTGATTTTGTGCTTGAATTTGCGCTTTGAGTTGCAAGACTGATTTTCGTTGCTCTGGCGGAAGCATATCGATCTGCTGTTGACTGAGCTGTAGCACTTGATTTACCAGCTAAACAACCGGTTTGTCTCTAGAATTTCGATCCGAATGTTACCCTATTCTTCTCGTCAGGATCTTCAACGGGCTCGCTCTTCACCACGGGAATAGGTTGCAATGTATCATTGAACTGCCTTCCTTGTGGTCTCTCGCGTGGATCTTGATCGAGTCTAGCAGCTGACATGGATGATGCTGTCGGCTGATCCTCTGGAGGAGGCGTTCCAGCTATGATACGTGTCGATACTTAAAAGCTAAAGCAGATCATACCTTCTTCTAAGAATTCTCTCTGAAGTTCTTCTGACATATTTGATTTGCTGAGATCATCAAGAGTCAAGTAACGACGTGGCCTAAGCAAGGAACATAACATTTTAAAGTAAACATGCAATTATCTCACTGATATCTTGCTTCTCTACGGGATTCTTCGGTAGCACTTGGGTGTATCATTTTCATCGCTTTATCTGGAGGGACAATACGCATCGCAGTCTGCGCTTGTAGTAACGCATAAGCGAGCTGAGGCTGATCTAACAGAATTTTTCTAGCTTCAACTGGATTCTTATATATAACTTCTTTCATCTGGAGAAGAAGGGTATACATTTGTTCAGGAGAGATCGAATTCACTTCTTGGTTGGCGAGTTCTTCGGCAGACATGGGTGCGGGCGCCTCAGGATCAGGAATTTCCATCAAGAGGCCCCGAGAAATAGTAGCGACTCGAAGATTTCGTTTATCAAACTCACGCGAGTTCAGCGTTTCTATTGCTTTCTGCACTGATTCGATATCCTAAATCTAATGTAAGCTTGCAGCTTATACAGAAGCTTACCTTGTACTGCGCAAACCCATAGGTCCTTAGTCCTGTATTTCTGTCCCAGACCATTTTAAAGTCCACTAAAGTGCCGGCTTCAGTCAAAAGTTCTCTAATTTTTTCATTTGGTGTTTCGCGATTGATGTTTCCAACGTAAACAGTGTGCGCCTCCCGCTCTGGATCCCCGAGTAGTCCGATAGGTGGCTCTTCTGGGTTGTCCGCTGCGATCCACATCGTTTTCGCTGCATTTCCAGACATTCTAAAGCAATTCGGATTAGATATTGTGCAGCAACCAGATCATTCTATTTCAGCAGAGCTCGAAATCATCCTGTTCATCGTTATATGCGTTCAGTTTCTCTCTAATCTTAGACTTGTTTCTCCACGTGATGAAGTCTTCGTGCTCACGTGAAATTATTCGGGCGGGATCCAAGCAAATGTCTGGTCCGATGCGCACATGTCCTTGTTCGATAAACTCTGTTGCGATCTTCAGCGTCTGTGCCATTTTTAGCTTCATCATTACGACGGGCAGGCGACGTCTGCAGAAGGCAGACGCTGTCACCTTCTCTGCCTCTTGTAAGCTCTCTTTCGTCGAGATGAGTCCGATGCTTAATCAATGTGTACGAACAATTGTGAAAAAAAAACACTTACTTGTAGAGTTTGTCGAGCATTTTTGTTGTCGCGTATGCTCGGAACTTGTCGTTCTGTGGCAGGTCTCGGATGCGTCGGATTTGCTCACGTACTTTCCTGAAAATGACTGATCTAACTGTGCTTTCTAGATGGAAATTTTTACCTCGAAAGCTTGTTGTAGAGGGTATACTGCTCTCTTTTTAGGATCCGGTATTTTCTGATGATTTTGTTTTCGTGTTCGTTGGCGGAAATTTCCCAGTTGTAAAAATTTACCTTCTTCAGCAATTTCTTCTCGTGAAACTTAAGCTTTCTCATTCTAAGACGACTCTTTGTAACAGGTAGTATATTGATATTTGAAGCAGATTGTGCAGTATATTAGACGATATAAGTTGTAACATAGCCAAGAACTGTGTTTCTTTAGAAATATAAATAAAGTAAAAAGGTTCTTCGAAAATTCTAGAACTATAATGCCGCTGATTCTTGAAAAAGACAGAACTATCAGTCAATTCAAATATGTCACTAGTAAAAATTAATTTGCAATGAATTGCAGGCAGTATTGGGAAAAGCCAGTAAAAATTCTATCTAATTGATTCAGCGTCGAAAAATAGAGCTCACTTTCTATTTTTCCCGGTTTTGCTCGGAGACAGATGTTTGCTGTTTACAGAGGCGGATTTCCGAGGAGAATGCGCCTCTTTGATTGGAGTGACGTCTTTCGGAGTCGCTGCGACGGTCGCGCTGACGGACGCCTCGGAACCGATACGATCTCGTATGTTCTTCGAAGAAGTATTTCGAGGCAACTGCTCGTAAGGGTCCACCAATTTTGCTAATAATTGGTGATGAATTCTTTCTGTTATCATTACAACAAGGGATTACTATTTTATTTAAATAATTTTGAGAATCAATAAATGAACTTCAACATTAACTATGCTAGAAAATTGACTCACGTATTTTTGGAGACTTTTCATTGAACTTGGTGACTTCGTAAATCTCCCGAAGAGTTCGGACTGATGCGGAAACGAGCAGCAATCCAACAATTACCTGAGAATATGTTTTTATTTATATAATATATAAATATTTATATATTTAATACATTTTTTCGCTAATTAAAAGACAAACCTTGCAAAGGTAGAGATTGGCAAAGACCGCAGCAAGTATTTTGACGGTAGCGTAATTGAACTGACTGCTATTGCCACCGTAAACTTTGAAGGACAAAAGCGAAATATGAATTATAACAGCTGCTAGGGGTAAAGGAGAGTATGCCATTCTTCGACTAAATTATATTCTTAGCAAAAAGTTATTGCTCCCGATTTTTGTACCTAACGAGATCAATATGGTCAACTCCGTGCTGGGGATTCTTTGACTTGAGGAATTCCTGCGTCAGCGTTTTCCTGTATTCCGGATAAATGTCTACAGTCAGACCGTTGAACTTGATGATGAAGGCGTGCTTCATCCAGTCGATGAAGAACTCGGCAATGACGATCATCACCATGTAAGGCAGAAGATCGTAGCTCTCAACAATGTTCCACTGGTGCTTGAAACCCACGGTCAACTTCATTCACTTCTGTTACACGTACCTGGGACATATTTCGAACCAAAACGATACATAAGAGCCAAAATAGATGAAAACGTTCTCGGACATCAGCACATGCCACCTATATAGACGTTTTAACCAGAAAGAGACGAAGAGAAAGGTTACTTGGAACAGATAGTTCTTGTCGAATCTTTTAAAGACGGACCCTTTCAACTCGATGAAATTGTTCGACATCATTATTATCAGGAGAACTTTGTTGTGCAAATTAAAGGCGACATTGAGTGTAGTGGCTTGTACAAGCATTACTAAAAGACGCTTAAAAAGATCTCTCTTGGACTTATTCTTACTGAAGCTATGTATGAACATATAAACAATAGCGATGAAGAAATGTAGAATAACTCGGTAGAAGGAGCAACTTGAAATCGTATAAAATAGAGTATCCATCGCATCCTACCGAAAAAATGCAATGTTTATCTTCTTACCAGTTTACCTGTCCGATTGACGCAATTAGACGTTCAGCGACTTCAAGCATATTGAAGATAATGTATAGTTTGAGGAGTTCTTGGCCTTTGATCGTGTGGTAAATTACTAAACAATGTGTAACAATGGATAAAGCGTCAAACGTTACCCGAGGGATTAAAATATACAATAGGTGAGAACCAGCAGCAGCAAGTAACTGCTACTAAAAGAAGACGCGCAACATCCATCATTTGCGCTTCGGAAACGAACTTTCGCTTTGACCCGAATATTCGCGTGAATGGCCATATCAATGCACGGATAATGGCGAGGAAGCAGCGAGTCGGGATAATCGTCAGAGTAGAGAGAAGATTATCGCAGCAGCAGAGTAGCCCGTAATACATAAAAGACTCAAGCTTGCCCATGATTTTCCAAAAGACGTAGACATTTTCCCATCTTTCTCGATAGGAAACACTTTGGTTGAGTGTTTTATTGCGACTAAATATAGTTCTTGATTCATTCAAACTACGGCTTTTATACCTAATTTCGCCCCAAACATAATTCAAAAAATTGAGGTTGTGGTCAATTTCTAAACTGCTTTCTTCATAATTTTCTGATTCTGTCGACTCCTCTGTTTTCAGATCTTCCATCAACAAAGGGACTTGTAAATTGTTTACTGCATGAAATTCTGAAATTGAACACTTTTAATCAAACGATAGAAAATGACATTGACAGATCGATTGAGCAGAAACGGGCAGTTTTCGGGAAATGAGGAAATTAGTAGGGTTGTCCTGGTTGGAAGCCTGGTCGAATCATGCCCATTCTCATCCCTTGCATTCCTTGCTGCATCATCATCATTCCAGGGCGCACTTGCATCATTGGAACCATGGGGCGCATCATTCCCATCACTAAACAAAGGTAAAGGAACAGAATGCTCTCTCAAGATTACTTGGTCTAATGGCAGCGGTTGCCATTGGGTTGAATGCGGCGAAGCCACTGGGGATCTGTGTCTTTGGCATCTCTGAAATGTCATGTTACTTTCGCTCGTAAAATGAAAAAGAAAGATCTTACGAGAGCGATCGACAATATTCTGGGTCTGTTTTTCGAGCCACTCTTGGTAATAGGTGCGCACATTATCTTTGTGCTTTCGTCCAGCGTTGTGAGTTTTTCTGACAGAGGGCTACGTAAAGTGTTAGTCTAAAGTTCTCTAAAAGCATCTTGGCTTACCGAGTCATGTGTGAGGAAAGTGTCGCAGTAATCACAGTAATACTTTGGCATTTCTTTTCTCCTCTCAACGATTTACAAGTCTACAAAATTTATCATTTCTCGCGATAGGAAAGAATACGTAATTGCACATATTTATTGTCGGAATACTACAGCAAGTTATAATATTATAAATATATATATTATCGAAAAGAAAACACCCAAAGAAAATAGTCAGTAGGTAAATACAAATTGTCGTCGGTTTTTCAGTTATGTCGCATAACTTATGCGGATACATTATGATATATAACAGTATTTCATTGATAGAGAAGGCGGTGGGGTGTAAGAAACAGAAAAGAAAAGTAATGTATTCTAAGCTATAGTTTGTTTATTATATAAAATATATTGTTTGCTGAGACAGTTGATTCAGAGATGAAATGCAACAGTGAGTGATGGCTGATGTAATGAACGAGAGGAGCATCTTGCTTTGGAACATCAGTAAGCTTTCAAACTTCTTGAGCGAATGGATCTGGAGTCTCTGGAGCTTTGCGGAAAGTGGCATGCCCACCAATGATGGTAGCTTGAGATGGTCGTATTTAAAAGACTTTAATAGCTCTAGTTCAAATACCTGTGGCACCTAGAGTCCAGAAGAGGGCAGCTCCAGCACCAGCGATAAACAACAAGGGAGCGGAAATAACTCCGACAAGAGCGTATCTAAAAAGCTTGACGCAGTATTCTTTTGAAACATTACCTGTATTTGCTTGGGACCTCTTTGCCGGCTATTTGGAGGTTTTGACCTTCATGCTTCGATACAGTGTAGCTTCCTAAAACGAAACTTAAAAACTACTCATATTATATTGCATACCGATTCCAGAGACAGCCAAGGCGATAAGAAGAAGTGGTGATGTAAGAATACAATAAGTCATGAGAACAAGGAAAACGATGATGTAGTTTGACTAGCGAAAATGAAGATTATTTTAATAAATAGAATCGGAAACCTGGTAGTGGGAGACATTCTTAAGAGCCCGTTTAGTCCACTCCTGCAGCCCAGCTGGTGCAAAGAACTCCTTCTGTTCAGCGAATTCACTCCAAGGTCTTATTTTCTCGCGCTAAAATGTTAAAATTTAACATAAAAGATGTTTACTTAACAAACCTGAGCATTGACGACATCCCTGAGATTGCCAGTAAGCGCGATGTTACTCCAGGAAGCCATGGTAGTCTCTTTCTTTTCGGGAATAAGTGGCGCGTCAATGTCCCCAGAGACGTCGACTGTTGTGGACATACAAACTAGAAAATAAAGATCGCTATATTTAGTCCCAACAAAATACTTTATTCCACAACAGTATTACATTTGAAAGGCGAATGCGCATCGATTGATTAGACTCCACTATAAATGAACTTATAAATGCGAGTTCTCGTGGCGGTCGCTCGCGTTTCGCTTTGTTCATTTGACAGAGTCTGATATGTGTAGAGAATCGAGATTTTGCATTTTTTAAAGTGGACGTTAACTCTGGATACGAGAAACAATATCATCAAGACGTCTGCTCAGAGAGGTAACAGAGCGCACAATAAAATCAGTTTTGAACTATTGAACTTACTGACTTCAATAAATGACGCGAAAAATCATTCAAGATGAGATGATTTGAAAAGTGGGGTTGGTTCTTTCGATCTCGCTGGAAATGATAGTATTCGTGCAATACAGTAAGGAGTATCGGGTTTCGAAAAATGAGGAAGATTAACACAATGAAAAGAAAAGAAGAAAGGACGAAGTATTTAAGAAGATTTGTTCTAATATTCTGTGAGTTTGGTATGGGCATCCAGTCCCTGACGAACGACATTGAATGTCTTTTCAGATTGCAAACGCATATCGTTGATTTCTGCAGAGAGTTTGTCGCTCTCCCCTTTCATCTAGATAGAGGATACACATCCAAGAAGAAGGTACATTTGATTCACCTGATTTACAAAATTAAGTGTTTCCGTCAATTGCATGGTAGAAGCAGATTCTGTGGGTACCAAATTATATAAATGCGCTGGACTGTGGCGCAAAACTCCCTCCGAACCAGTAGAGGAATCAGACTTGTGATTAAAATGATGGGGATTTTGCTTGTATACAAAATCTGGCGATCGTGCCCGACGATCGCCGTTGTAGTGATTATGATGTGCTGGCTGGCCAACCGGCGGCGGATAAGACTGCTGACTCGATAGCGCTTTCTGGAATATCATCAGCTGACGATCTTTTTCGATCATTTCATCGTGAATTTGCAGGGAGTACTTCTCAAGCTGTTTGATTTTGGAATCTTTGTCGCTTATCGAGCAATGGAGCAAGACAATCTCCTCCTTGAGACTTTTCACTAGAATATCGAGCTTTTCGTTGTCTTCACGAAGCTTGTCGGACTCTGCCTTCATAATATGCAGGTCCCGTGAAGCTTCATCGAGCTCTGTTTCGATATTTCTTCGTAATTGCCGCTCTCTACAAGCAATTTACTCCTGATCAAGTCAAAATTGAGCATCTCACCTCAGTAAATGCTGTCTGTCATCTTTTCGACGTTCGTTCTCTTCTTTCGCAGCTTCTTTCATCTGTTGAAGTTCGATTGAAGGGGCTTCCAACCGCTAAAAGCATGAAAATCATAGATTTTCGGAATTTTATGTTACCTGGATGAAGTTGTCGTGATTTGTTATGCATAAATCAAGTATAACTTGGCTAATATGCGTTGATTCCGTTCTGAAAACAACTTCTTCTGCGCGTTTTTCGTCTTTTTTCTTCGCCGACGTAATAAGAAAACGAGTCTCTCTAGAAAATCATGAAAAATTTGAAGTATGAGTTAAGTTACTTGAAATTGAGGTCGGAGATAGATGTCCACTCGAACTGTTCGACATGTTGAATGAGATTCTTTGGGTTGTAGACGTTGATACCGCGAGGCGTGATCCCTAGCACTTGATCACATTCCATATTGTCACGCTGGGCATCGAAGTAAATAATTCCAAAGTTTCCGCTGCGCTTGGAAGCGTCCTTTAAAAATTCCAGCTTCGAGTCTTCAGGTGTCATCCCCCGATTCTCAAGAAAAGCTTCGAAGATCAATTGCACCGGGTTTCCATGTTGTTCTTTAAGCTGCCGATCTATATCGTCAGGAAGAAGCTGACCCTTGGTTTTTTGGAGAAACCATCAAAAAGTTATCTATTGAATTAAGAGTCTAAATATTTGAATTCTTCCTTCAAGAAACCTTTCCTTGTCTATGCTCCTTGACTGCAGCTGCTCAATGAAGAGTGAAAATTTCGTTTGCATCTGTGAACTACACTCGTCAAATTCCTCAAGATCGCCAATTTCGACTGCAAGTAATACTTAGGAGCGTTAATAAGAAGTTCTTACCTTGAGTGATAAACGCAGCCAAAAGAAGAGCGATATCCGGGTCGACGTGAAGCCGTCCGCTAAGGAAATCATCTTTTATCTGCAATGGTTAGCAATTGCGCTTAATGATGTGTGTGTCTTACTTGAAGATAGAAGAGGTTTTGAGTGAGAGGAAGCACGATTTCTTCTGTTACTTTTTCAGGATAGAACTTCACGCAGAAGAAAATCACTATTGACTCGTTCGGTTTGTTTTTGTTGATTTGCTTTTTCAGTTCGGTGCGTATCTCTTTGTCTACGCGGAGCCAGTTCTTTTGACCTTCTTCCTACAATATCTTATTTAAAACTGTTTCAGTTCATTAAAACCTACCAGGAAGGTCAATCCAAAGAACCATGTTTCACGAACTGATAGCAGATTACACACTTTGTCGAATATTTCGCGGACTTTCTTTTTGGGGTCAGCAGGAAAGCTTACTTCTTCTTGGGCATATGTCTTGACAGTCAGGTTGAGGGAAGACCTGAACTGAGAAGGAAATTATGCTACGATCCTCAAAGTACCTTCTGCCTTTAAAGAAATTCATTTCTCCGCGATTGCAGAGATGGAAGAGATTGCTGTCCAGCAGCTTTCAAGAGTGAAATAGCCGATAAGAGGCAAATTTTTGAGGTTAGTTCCTGCTTCAATGAAGATTTCTTGTCCTACGAATTCGACACGGCCGAGCTCGACACATTGTCTGAAAGCCATCAAATGCCAATCAAATGTCAACAAATTATATTTCTTTTTTTCGTCGGTTTTTGACAAACATATTCGATAAATTTATTCAGTTTTTCGCACCAAAGAAACTGCTGAATAGAGCAATAGAATAAAGAACAAGAAGGGAATTAACTAGAAACGTCATTTGTCATTTGTACTTAAGTCCTGTGAAAACGGAGACTTCGATCATTGTAGACATCAGAAAAGAAAGACAGAAAATATGTATTGAGTATTTTTATAGTCGGAGCTCTGGGGTCAATAATGGCGACCGACTGTTTGAGGAATAGAATAATGTGGCTGTTGTTGGCAAAATTGTTGATTTCTGGAATGGGCCGGCGGAAGAGGTTTGATGGAGAAAAGTTCGATGTAGCGATCACCGATGCATTCTTTATCGCGCTTTAGTGCGTCGCTTTTTTCAGGCGCAGAAAAGAACGCTACTTGCCCTGCGCCGGTAGGACCCTTTGGTCCAAGCTCCAGATGAATATCGAGAATCGGAATGGGATCGAAGAACTAATCGACAATTAATAAACCTTTAATATATTGGCTTAACTTACGGATATAATATCTCTGGCATGCACGCGAAAAGGCAACCCCCTCATATGAATCATGTAGAGATATTCACCATTAGGACCTATGCCGTCGATTGGCAGATTGTGTGAGGAAAGCATCATCAGCTCGATATATCGTTTTCCTAAAAGGTGCTCGTCAACAGAATATCTCAGATTCAAGGTCACTTACCCATGCATTCCTTATCTTTCTTCATCGCCTTCTCTGCGTCTTCATGCGTAGCGAAAGCAACACTAACAGCAAAAAATAAATTTTTGATTTATAAAAATCTGCACCTCGCTCTGCCAGTCGGTCTGTGATCAGCTCCAATTTCAAACTGCACTGCGGATATTTCTACATCTTGACCAAAGAACGTGCGCACTTGTTCTTCAGTGGCTCGAAACGGAAGCCCCCTCATTTGAACAACATGTCGGTAAACTCCGTCTAGACGCGATATTGATCCATCATCCTTTTTTGCAAGTAGTTTACTTACCAAGGCCGACGCCGCGGAGAGAGGAGTTTCGCCGACAATAATGCTCACCGTTGCACTGATTGTGAAGACGCTGGCTAGCCTGAGACATTTCCGCCTTCGTCGCCTTGAAGATCTCAATGTAGCGTCTGTCTAGGCATTTTGAAGTGAACGAAAATGAATGAATGAAAGGTAAGCGAACCAATGCACTCTTTGTGCTTGAGCAAGGCCTGCTCCGCATGCTCATGTGACTTCAACTGAACGAACGCTTCGCCGGTATTGCGACCACGCGCATCAGTAACCATCACAACGCCATGCGACGGAATATCCAGTTCACGGAGAAAATGTCGAATACGGTCACTCGTGCATTTGTATGGTATCCCGCGTAGTTTAACTACATTCTCCCAGGGCTGGTTCGCCTCACTCAGTGGGTCCATGTCATTTTATCAAAAGATTGAATCCGCGCATCGGAGGAATGCAACTTTAGTCCGCCAAACTCATGGACCCTTTCCTGACGCTCGGTTTTTTCAAGAACGTAATCCATCTCCTCCGTTGTTGCCTTGAAGATTTCGATGTAGCGATCTTGAAGAAGCGTTCTGTCCTTGCTAAATATATGGGCGTACAAAAGTGATAATGGATGGTGCCCTACGTCATAGCCTTTTCTACATCAATATCAGTTTCAAGCTCGATGTACGCTTCGCCGTTCGGCCGCCCTTCTTTTGTGAGCGTAAAATGTACGCCCGCCTCTCCATTCACGATATCTACAGTTTCCGCGAAAAATTCGACAACTTCAGCGCCACAACACGAATATGGAAGGCCCCGGAGTCGAATTACCCTACGAGGTAATCGTCGCTCCAACCGCTCGGCAATTGATAAAAAGCGCTCGTCCGACATTCAATTAGAATTGTCTTAAGGAAAACCTACAAAATATCGTCGGCGCTGAAACCACATACTTCAACACCGCAACAGAATATAAGTTGATTGTCTCATGATAATTTTTATTGAGTCTGGTACTTTGATTTGATCAGAAATCTGGGACACTGCTTAAAATAAATACATAGATGATGAAGAAAGGACATGGTTGAAGATTAACAAAAAGAAGGAACTAAATCATATACAGGGTCTCCACGCAAAACTTAAAACATGTAGCAGTCTTATGAGTTTCAATGTTTGACACTTCTACCCTACTAGTACGCAGAGACCCTGATCATACAGGAATATGTTTGCACTCTTGAAAAAATGGATGAAGGCAAAAAATAAAAATTAGCAAATAAACATGAAATCATTGAAATCGGAAGGATACTCAAAGTTGGGTCAGGTTTTGGCATTCTGGTAGTATTCAATGGAAAGCAAGGATTCAAGGAAATAAGTTGGTTAGATAACGGAAAAGTTGGCAATCTCGCCTAATCTCTATAGATACATTTTCACATAAAAAGTACGCTTATCTTCAAGGAACTTTTTCTTAGCGCCTTGGTGAGAAGCTGCGTGAACGACGACGGTTTCGTTCTGTAGGATAAACAGGTTCTGTACGATGGATAAGGCCAGTGTTCGGTAACTCGTGGCCTAAAAAGGTATTACTTTTGAGTGTTTTTCTATTTTTAACCGTTTTGCCGCTTCCAATAATCATAATCATCTTGATTGTGAGAAAATTTACATTCTCTGGCGCTCCACTTGCATCCTTTCGCCTCTTTTGAGAAAAAGAAAACACAGGGCTTTCGTTTAGCATCTAGCGATGGAGATCGCCCTCTTGACCGAGAACGAGATCTTCCTGGAATATATCTTCCTCTTCTGTATCCGTTTTCAAAGTTTCTCGAGTCTCTTTTGTTTAATTTATATTAGGTCAATGCTAAAGACGTTTACCTGATTATAGGCGATTGAGAACGCCTTCGTGAGCCCGATCTTCGCGAGCCCGACCTTCCTGACCTGGATCTCCTCGAGCGCGATCGTCGCCTGGAAGTCGACCTGGATATCTTTCTTGTTATCGTTCTAATCCTGGATGCTGCTCCGTTTTGTTCTCTGGAGGCGGCCCTAGCGTTTCTAACAAGGATTCCTCTAAATCAAGACTCAAATGAATCGAACCTTTCAGAAGACTGTGATCTAGTTGCCGATATAGCTGTCGAGCGCGACTCAACTGATCCACGAGACTCTTTCACTGTCATCGTGATTGTTCGACTAACAGTTTCAGGACTACTTTTTCGTTTAGTTTTGCGTTTTTTCGGTTTACTCTCTTTCCCCTCAGATCCGGAGGAACTCGCGGAAGCGTGGCCATCTAAACGTCAAAAATCAAATCGCATATAAAGTGGAACGTAGTAAGTGTTAGTTAAGTAAAAGCATTAAATATGTTTCGTTCTTTAATCTTTAAAACTCGCCATTCATTTCGGCCCACCAGGTGATCCGATCGTTGAGCTTGATGCCAGTAGTGTTTTTACGATCTTCTTTTGACGCCTTGATTTTAGCAGCTTTGAGTGCTTCTGGCTTTCCGAGGGTTTTTTCGTTTCTTGAATCAATTGTTCATTTCTACATAAAGTACCCATTCCTCGTCAAGTTCTTTATCACTCTCTTCTTCTTCATCCCCTCCGAAGATAGCTTGGAGCAGATTGCCCTTGGACACAGTGCTAGCGCCAACGATAGCATCAGGGTCTTTTGGTAGTTTGGATTGATCCACATGAGAGAATATCGTTGTGAATTCGGCCTTTCTGTGGAGAACTAGCTGACGACATTTGCTGATAGACATATTTTGGTCCACAGTTCGGGTAACATTATCGCTCTTTTTACGACTCTTCGACTGCTCTTCAGTTCCTTCAACTGTCTTTCATGAATACTGAGACTAACGAGAGTACCTTTTTCAAGCGGAACCCTTTAGAAATTGGAACGAAGCTAACTCCGCTTGTTTCCTCAAATACATTTCTTTTTGTCGTCTTCGCCTGCGCTTCTGATTCTTCTGACGATTCCGAGCTTGACGACGAAGACGACGATGTACTCCGCTTTCGAGACTTCTTCGCTTTCTTTGGACTTTTTATCGGTTTTCTTTTCTTTGGAGATTCGCTCACGGACTTTACAATGCTTGGCGATGGACTGAAAAATGGGTCTGAAGAACTATTCAGGACTAAATCCAGAAAACCTTCGTGATGGAGATGGTGATCGTTTTCGCGAGGGAGATCTTTTCGAAGTTAAACTTGATTCCCGACTTTTACTTTTTCTCTTGGGCGTGAGGGATCTCTTTCTTTCGCTTTTGGACCTACTTCTTGACTTACTCCTCGATCGAGTTTTTGTCCTAAATGAGGATTAGCGTTGAACAATTCCGATAATAAAAGTATATCAGCCGCTGATAATCAGCGTCAACGTATAAAAATTGAGTCGGGCTAGAAATTCGCTACGCGGTTAATAACTTACTAGGCGGAATCTTGCTAAGTAACTGACGCGCGTACGAGGTGGGGATTCATAATCATAATAATCAACAGTAATACTCATGAAGATAATGCGCGGTAATGTAATCGCGAAGAGCCACTGGAACTTTCCATGGAATAAGATAAAGATTCAACGCTCGCGAAAGAGTAGACTCAGAATCATTCAATCGGCTCCATATAAGTAGTAGCTCCAGTGCGAGAAAAGTAATTACCTCGGGCGGCGGATGCGCTCATAGGCGCGCTTGATACTTTCAGGAAGCTCTTTGACGAAGCCCCGTGTTGCTCGGGCGAATCCTTGCGGCTGAAAGCCTCCTGGACGGATCGGCGAAAGGGAAAACGATCTTTCTCGGCACTGAATTCTCATCTTAGCTTCCTTTCTTTTCTCAAAGAAGCGATTCGAATGAAACGTGAATTCGTAAATTATTCATCGATAGCGCTTTTGTAACTTACTCTTTGCTGGTTGTATCTGGACCTGGAACGGGAGATGCTTCGCGTGAAAGAGCGAGAACGAGATCTGGATCGTGACCTTGAGTACTTTCCAACCGGTTAGTAAATAATTACGCAACTAGATCGACATTGGATAATGAAATGGAGAATGCCATGGAAGTAATAGATAACAAGTTCCATTTCCATTATAAGAGCAAATTGGCAAGTTGCTGTTCATAACTGGTTCCTTCATTTTTCGTCGCTCAAGACTTGCCTTTCTCTCTCTCTTTCTCTGCTTGACTTTTATGGGCTAGAATAGGGAATAAGCTGAGCGTTGAGCTTGGCGGCAATTGGAAAGGGCACAGCGCTTTTCTCCACCTTTCGTCAATCCAGTAATCAAAACAGCTACACAAAGAGCAAAACCACAAGAAACAAATAAATTCAACCAAAACAACGTCTTCTTTGCAATTCTTCTGTTACGAAATTCTCTGAAAATGGAAAACTTTACTTAGATTGTAAAGCTCAATTATGTTAGATGAAATTTTCTCCGCCATTTTTCTTACAACTGAAAATTGGTGATTTTCCTCAAGCTATATCTTATTTTATAATAACAGATGAAAGATCAAGTCGGAACCGCTTATAAAGATACGTTCCTTTCTTTTTCTCTAATAAAGAAGACATGAAAATTGTGCATAAGGAGTCTCTCAAAGCGGACTACGGTAGCGAGGAATTGTCTGTCGCATATTTGAACGGGAAAAATGAGTCATTCGGTGGCGAGCGCGTCCAATAACGGCGAATGTTGAGCGCACTCTGCGGCGCCTTTTCCCAAAAAGGATAAACGATTTATCAAATTGCTCTATTCAAAAATTTCACTAAGAGACACCTTGCAGAGGAAAGAAGGACACTCGTTGGGCCCGCGTTTTTATTTGTTTGACTTCTTCTTAGTGATCGCATTGTCATTTTCTTTTATGAAAAGCCTACTGTGGGCAATTACAATTGAGTGATTTCGCAGCCAAGCACTTTAACGATGTGGATATTGTCGAATTCAAAATTTGATTTGTGCGTCAAGTGGCCATTGATTTTTTGACCAGGGTAATGCATACGAAACTGCCATTCCGCCAGATATAGCAGACATTTCCATTTTTATTTCTCAAACAAAGAAACGAAGACGTCTGAAACGTCTGAAACGTCTAAGACTTCATTCATGTCTTCGAATACCATTTTTATTTGAGCAATTTGGTCTTTCAAATTTTAGTGATTAACAAGAAAGAATAGTCACACTTCCCGGCGAGTGAAGAAGAGAATGAGTTTTAGTACCTCAACTTACGTTATGTTTCATTCGCTTTACTCAAATGAATCACTTTTTTGGCAAGGCCATATCCTCGCGCGACCACTTACGAATCTATTTGACTTGTTGGTTGAATATGAAATGAGCTGGTCTTTGTTTGATCATGATTATTTCAGCATTGCGCACGCGTGACCTTTACCCTCTTTTAGGGGTCAAAAAATTTCTTCACCTTCATGACGAAAGTGACGAACCCTTTTTGCCTAATGTTATATATCATCATGATTAAAATGATTCGCTGTGGTAAATTTATTGACAGAGAATTCATTAAGACTGGGAGGGAGCTCGGGACACACTCGCGCGTTGTTAGAAGGAAGTGTTTGATCGCCGTCGCTGCTATTCTCAAGAAATCGGACGAAAGAAACGTTCCACTCTCGTGATCGTGGAAAGATAGAAAGATGGAGCCAGACTCGATTGGATTCGACCAGTCGCCGGAGCTGGCGCCATTCATAGACGAGATCTTGCAAGAAGGGAACAACTTATTGAATTCTGCCAACGATCCAGGAATGGGTTCAAAGTACGCGATTGATTATTATAGAGAGGAAGAAAAATAAGGAACCTCTTGTGAGACATGGAGTTTCTTTTCGAAAATGCACACGAAGAGCGTTTTGGCGGTCAATCAACGAACGAAGGAGAACGCAATTTAGGCACAATTTACGAGTCCGAGACGCCTGTCTCTCAGCCCCGAGGTGCGTAATTACCTCATTGCACAAGAATATAATACGCGAGCGTCTAGCTTTCCACAATTACGACGCGTGCTCGATGGGCAGCAATGACAATCACTCGCCCTCATATATGAGTGGGTCTCCTCAATTTCGAACGACGGCGATCGAAGAGCTCACTCCCATTGTATCATCGCCTAGCTCGTCTTCCGATCACTTTGGATCACAAGCGAGCAACAGCCCTCCTTCGCGAGCTCAAGGACCGCGTTCACTTGTTTTCACGCGAGCGAAGATGTCCCTTTGATATCATTTTTGCACAATTTCTACGTTCGATCTCGTTTTATTTTATTACTGATGAGCGCGTAATAGCGAAAGAATATTTTGGCCCGATTGACTCCGCGTATCTCGAAAATATTATTCCGGTGAAAACTGAGATCCCATCCGATTCGCCGAAACAGATCCTGTTCCTACAAGTTCCAACGAGTTCGCCAGAACGTACGGCAGCCCAAAACTCAAACCAAGGTGCAGTCACAAGTGACACAAGTTCAACCGTTAAAGTTGAAAACGGCAATACAACAGCCTCAAAACGTCCCAAAAAAGTTCAAAGAAGTAACCAGCACAACGTGATTGAAAAACGATATAGGTAAGAACACCATGATCCATAGAGTACGCATTCTACAATCTTTTTCAGACATTCCATCAATGATCGGATTGATGATCTGCGAAGCATTCTCAGTGGAAAAGAAGGAAAAATGTCCAAATCGGCGGTGCTACGCAATGCCATTGAAGAGATTGAAAAGCTGCGCAAGAGAAACAAGGTTTATCAAGATATAATGTGTTGGTTTTAATATTTTTAATGAAGCAACTGGAGGACGAAATTGTCGAGTTAAAAATCTCGGAGCAGCGAGGATGGCTCCCCCGAACCGATGCTACGCTTTGGACAAGTGCGCTCGGATGTCTCGAGGATGGTGTTTTGTTTCTTCGGCATTTTATTCTTATTCGTGCCGCTAACTAATTACTTCGACATACCACAATTCTTGGGCTGTCCCCAGTCACTAAAGGTAAAGTTATTCGGCAAGGTAATATATCAATCGCAAACTGTAAGGATGTCTCGCATGTGATTCCGGAGGTTGACCAAACTATCAACAATGTCGCTGAAAGAGCGAACGAGCTCGTACAGAAATGGACTGCGATTTTCATGTTCGTTTTTATAAACGGAGCGATCTTCGTCTATTTCATGTACAGAGGGCTGATCCAGATGGAGCCGGTGACTCCGCATGACTCCTCGGAATATAAGCAGTTCCATACTTCGTATACACTCGCAGTACGGGCGTTTCAAAACAACAACTTGGAGAGGGCTCAACATCGTGTCAATTACTGCCTCAATACACTAGGTAAAGAACTACTGAAATCAACGAGGACTATTCTCACTTAACATTAGGGCGTTTCCGTGCGCGATCGTCGCTGCAAGGGATAGGATCCATTCTCTGGTGTTTGATCCTATACGCAAGCAATAAGCTCGGCATCAAATGGTTCGTCTGCTGCCTGGCCTCAAAGATTGGCTCCGATGAGCACCGTGAGTCGTCCAGTCTAGCTTCAAAAGCATTCTCGCTCACAGCGAAGATAAGTTTCGCCAAATATGACCAAGAAGGCGTCTCGAGATTCGCGCTCCTCTCTTACGTCGCTCAATCAATGCTTTTACTCCAACAGGCTGGCGACAAGATTGGACCCACCGAGACATGTGAAATCTACATCCAAGGTTATTTAAAGTCTTTTCAGAAATAATCAACTTTACTAAAGCTTTGGCGATTATTCGAACTATCTTACCGCAATTCGTGGCCAAAATCTTTGATGTGCGACTCCTGAGACGAATCAAAGCCCTTTCGAAGAAAGACATAGACGGAAAGCTTATCTGGGTGACAGACCCAACTGGGATCGATTTTCTCGAAAATGAGAAGCTCTTGAATCTGGATTCGACCTTCACTTCGAAGGCGCGTTCGATGTGTGCTCTTGGTAATTGTGCATAAGCTTCTTGATCTAACTGGCAATATTCAGAACGAGTTAGCAGCGCATACCGCAGCTACTTATTCGGATTGACCATGAACAATCTATTCAACAGGTGCGAAGTGGACATCGACACCATTGTTCATCAGCTTGATCTTCTCCAGAGCTGCAGCAGAGATGGTCTCGACCCGCTTATGTACTTTTTCACGTCTGTTATCCAATGGGCTCTCATCCATGTTGACCATGACTACATAAAAAAGTTAGTTCGATAGTACGTCGAAGAAGTATAACTGAATCTTCAGTTTCCGTTGACCGACAAGCGGAAGAAAGAACTGATGGCTACGATCGAAAACACGCCGCCAGAGTTAGGACAAATCAACTCAGATCCCGGCTCCTGTCGTCTTGGAGTAGCAAGTTTCCTCCTTTACAAAGGTACGCTAGCTTTAGATTTCCCGTCCAAATAGTGCAATTTGCGAGCTAGAACGGTCTTGTTTAGTTTTACAGTTGTCTAATCCCATTTAGCGTCAATTAGCACTCTGTCTTCCGAAGATCTGCTGAACATGTTGGAACTTATCAACGTCCGCCTAGAAAGAGCTTGTCAGGGTAAGTCTGGGTAATATCTAAATAGAAGCACTGCTCTAAAGCTACTTCCGAAGGTCATATTTAGCGATAGAAGACTAATTACCTTAAGGATTAATACTATCTAAGAACGGTTTTCGACCGCGCAAGCTTATCAATCGCAAGTCCATTACTATGGATGCAAGCATGTATTTTGAATTTTTATGTCAGTCACCGCTAGCCTGGATTTGGATAAATACGCCCTTACTTTTAGAATACGTAAGAGCATCATTCATGACTCCCTTAAAACTTATTTAGCATTTTAACTGATGCGGAACAACCGCGCCCATGTAGCGCATCTTTTAAGTTGCCGGAAGGTCCTTTTCGCTCATACAATATCCTTCAGAGTTCGGGAACGCATGTAAAACAGATCGCGTCACCGGTTTGCAGCTTATTGCTTCTATCGCGGACCTTGTTCTCTCACTGGCTACGCAAACATTGCCAAGTCTGGAGAAGAACAAGGGCAAACTTATGGTAAGTTGATAGTTAAATTTCCAGTCCGTTGACCGATCATCCCAGATTATTGCCGAGAGAATGCGCGATACGTCTGGTATCATACGCCACGTTAATACATTTCTTCAACCAAAAAAAACTCGTCTTGGACGCTGGGAGAGCTGCATCGCAACACTTACTTTTACCAACCCTGTCACCATTTTTGAGCGCACGAGTGTTTACGGAACACAGAAACCAGTTACTGAAAGTAATTCGGAGTCAGACTCCGATCAAGGGCAACAGACCACTGCACAGGTATAAGAAATCCAAGATCATCCGTACTAACATCGTAACCCAGACTTTAGAGACTGACAGCTCAACAGGAAGAGATGGTGCGAGCGAGCTTACCGCCTGCGTTTGCCGCCATACGTCTGTAAAAGAGCCCGCCCGCTAAACACATGAAGTCATATTTTTCGTCCTTTTCACCGAAGCGCGTCAACAATTTCCCGTTAAATACTTAAGGATATACTAACGCTTTATATTAATTATCTTTCCTAATATCTTTAATTATTATTGTACTTTTCTTCTCAAAACTCCTCTCACTCTCCAGTCAAATCAAACAAATCCCTCCAAAACTCCGACAATTCTTCAACACAACTTTAACTTCTTTCTTTTAACTTTTTTTACAGAAACGAACGAAAACATTAAAGAATGCTGACTGTCTTAATTTTGTCTCTGTCTTGTATTGATAAAGAATGTCGATTAAATCGAATGTCACGCTGGCATGACAGCAAAATAACCATACACTCTATATTTTGTACCGCTCTATATGCAAACTATAGACTGTTGACTTTCGCGTTGAATTTGCATTTTGGCAGAATGGAGCAGGTGGACATATCAATCATTGTCCCTATGTTTAACGCGGCTAAGTGGGTTTCTAAGTGCTTCAACTCTATCTTAGGTTAGGGATGTTTATGCCACACTGTTATTTTTGAATGCCGCAGCATAAGAACGAACAAATCTAACGAAAGATACAGTACTCGACGCAATATACCCGCATTTATGTTCTTTTCTTATATATCAAATTTACTATACACCCCTCACCAAGAACAGACCTTCGAGGGTTCTCTGGAAGTAATAGCTTGGGATGATCACTCTGATGACGGCACAAGAGAGCTTGCAGAATCTTATGTTACAAAATTTCGTGCAAAAGGATGGTCTCTCGTAGTTTCTTACAACCCAGAAGCTAAAAGTCCGGAAGGTCCCGGAATAGCAAGGAATCGAGCGACGAAAATTGCCAAGGGGACCTATTTCGCGTTGCAGGATGTAGACGACGAAATGTTTCAGAATAGATTAAAGATGCAGTTCGACGCTGCTGATGAATTGAAGCAGGTTTCAACGGATGGAGCGGAATCATTTAAAAACGTCATGATTGGAACTCAGATTAAACGTGATCCTGAAGACTCGACAATTAGGCAACAAAGGTTATCATGTGCTCGCTAAGAAATAAGGACTTTTAATAAAATGATACTGGGTTTGTAATAGTGACTTAAACCTGTAACCTTTGATAAAGATATACCCGTTGGCTGAATACATTATCGGATCAACTTCTAGGGCAAGCGTTTTAAATATTAGGCAAACAAAGTTGTTTTGGTAAATGTCCATATTTAGAACTTTATAAGATACTCGTGTTCTGACGTCCCATGGACCAACTATAGCAATGATAACGGCTTCGAAAATTCAATGTGATTCTACCTGATATCATGATAGGAACTTCCAGCCCCCTCCCACACCATGATCCCATGTGTGGAGCCCAACTGTGGACGGTCATGCCTGAGTGAGCCCTTGAATGGATGATAAGTTATAACAGTTCGTTTTTGAAAAATTGAAAGCCAAAAGTAGCCAACATGGTTCTTTCATCGGTCGGTCTATGAGCAACAGAATGGGCTCTCAGAAAAGGGTCGCGGCTTTCCAGAAGATCAAGAATTCCTTTTGCGTCATGTTTTTGAATTTTCCGGAGCAATCAAAAGAATTCCAACACCATTAGGCACGGATATTTTAGCGCATAACATACGTATAACACTTCTATACAGAAAACGCCATCCCTAAAAAGTATTATACAGATTTCACGATGAATGTATGAGCCTTGGCGTATCAGAAAAGTCGATATGGAATCTTCGACTCCAGTATTTGGAAAAAGAATATTTGACGAAATGGAAAAGTTTTACAATCTGGTCCGCTGGAAAACAAGGACGACGGCTTTTTCGAGATCTCTCGCCAGAAGCTCAAGAAAAAGTAATCGCCTTTTGTGACGTAGACGAAAAAAAGATCGGAAACCATTACGAATATCAAGGTGCGCTTTCAACTTTGTTTGTTGTGGAAATAGTTACTGCAAATGGCTAAGTAAGGGTATGAACCCCTAGAGAAAATTAGGCTTATGAAACTGTTATCTTGTATCAATAGTTACGACCGGACGTTACCGTAAGAAAAGAGCATTGATAAGAATTATCACTGATTTAAGCCTTTTAACACGTTTATACAAACGAGGTTAATATGGCTCCTTATCCCTCTTTAGAGTTGAAAATGCAACCTACAAATGCATGGACCGTACAGTCTAGTGCCAGGACAAGATCTCAGAAATTGAAATAGAAAGTTGAAGTAACGGACAAGGTCAACTATAGAACGTGATTTGAAAGCTGCTTTATAGAAACATCGAAGCGGCCGAAACCGAAGATCCCGATAATTCATTTTTCTCAAGCAGTGCCGCCTTTAGTAATAGCGTTGAAAACTGATTTGCACGAGGGAGGGCTTGAAAGAAACATTGATTCGCTCGGTCTTTTAGGACTACGGAAAGGACTACGTGCACTTTGGTTGATTTAGGCCACCGTTCTCTTATTTGATAAGTCTGCTTTTGCCTACATATAATAAAAATTAGTATTGGTCTGTCACATGTTGATTCTTGGAAAATGATTTAATAACATTTATTAGAGATATTAACAATCATAATGCTGAGTGACTCAACTTCAGTTGATTAACCAAGTTTTCCTTCGGAAGCCTTTTTAACAGCTTGATGTGCAGAAAATATCTGAATAAAAATGTCATCCTATTAGAGTCCAGTGTTTTTTTACCATCGAGTCAACCATTCCAGCAACTGTGAAGGTTCCACCGACGATTGCACAGACTGTCGTCAGCAAATGATAAAATGGTTTTTTCTTGAATATCATTATTTTATTTCCTTGAGGTGCTTCTCAAACCTTGTGAGTGTATTTTACAGTAATGGGCGCAATTTCGTATCGAAACCAAATAGCAGGTGTTCCGCGGGTATTTTTAAAAGTCTTCGAGGTAACTAATCCGTAATACGTAAGGATCCATTGGTTTTTGTATCGGTAAAAAAACATGGTAAATATTTATAAAAATTGAATAGAACGTAAAGATATTGTTTTTTTTATGATGCGTTTGACTAAGGGTACGGGGCCCGTGGCGAGGCTATTACAACAGTTAAATTCCAAGAAAAATAATTGAGTTCTGTAAAAAATTTGAGAATAAGGTCGAGTTATGTTTTGTGTCAATCGCAAATGATTCCTGTAAAGTTTGTCCACGTTTACGAAACTTTTGATTGAAATCTTGCTCTATTTGGCCAGCAATGTGCATATGAGATATAAAGTTCGATGCGGATTTGTACCTGTGTATTGATAACCGAACTTTGTTTGTCGTTTGTTGTCAGTATGAACCGTAGGGACTATTTTCAACGTGTAGTCGTATGACAACGCGGCTTCATTTTGTGTCGATTTGCCGGCGAGCGTGGTTTGATTACCAGGCAGCTAAAATATGCTCTACCCGTACGAATAAATAATAATAAACGAAACTCATGGTCAGCCTCAAAATAATTCTTTGGTTTTTATGTTTATCAAAATGGTGCGATAATCATAACGCGAAATAAACGGTTTTTCGCTTCTAGTTTCGAAGGAAACTTTCCCTCAAAGTGCTCGGATATACTGTTCCTTAACGAAATACCTCTAAAGCTGATAGATCTTCGCCAAAAAATAGTTTGTTAATTTTATGATTGAAATCATGAACTGAAGAGAGTTGTTATTTCTTCTTCGGACAAGTTATTTCTGAAATATTAAAACTCTAACTGGTGGCTGTTTCTTTGAAGCGTGTGTTGAAACGTGAAAATTTCCAGGAACTTTGTTCACGTAAAATTCTCCATGAAAGCGACAGCCAGTTTTCTGTGCACTTTTATTGATAATATCTGTTTTGCGCGTATTCTTCATGTAACCCACTTCATGTCGCCCTTGATTATCCTTAACGGGGATCGTTCATTTTCTACTTGGTATACCATTCTGATTATGTAAAGCTCAATTCGATGCTTCTATGGATCTCGGTGTATAAATTTTGCTTTGATCCCCTCAGACCTGAATGTCGATGCCGAGGAAGTCACAGGCCATGTTCGGAATTTCAAGATCGACGATGACCGGAATGGTCGCACCAGTTGTTGGGTCGTCGACATATAGCTCCGAGATAACTGAACCGCTTATTTTTCCCCAATCGCGTAAAAACTCACCTTCTTCTTGAAGAAATGAGAGCACTTCCGAAACCAAAAGAAAAATAATAAAAAAGGTCGAGAATATAGAGATGAGTGCGCCAGTTGTTGTTGGCTGCGTCAGGTCTTTTGGCAATTTACGATAAATGTCAAAACGCTTTATGTTCATTTTGATTTCTCTGAGTTAGTAACAATCAGAAAGGAATATTTGGATAATCGGTGAAATTTCCAGCCTACACGGGCATGTTTTGGCAACGGGAACCCGGCGCATATGACATTTTCGCAGACAAATTTATTTCTCCCGCTGGTTATTATGATTTTTTTAAATGTATTGCTATGTTTAAATTTTCATTTAGTGTCATTTACTTTAGCTCGAAAGGAATCAGAAGTCTATTGCGAGTTGCTCGAAGCGAAACGGCGAATGTTCCAGATGACCACAAATTTTCATAAATAGCTCAATGAGAATTATATTTGGAGGAAAGGTTCATTTCTGGCGTCTTCGGCGGCCACGAGTTTACAAATCTTTTCCCGTTGCGTAATGCAGCACTGTGAAAACTCCTGGCATCCCGCATCGCAATGGATTCGATCAACTTTCGAACAGAGAACTCAACGATTGAGTGCAATGAAGATTTTCACGCTGCTATCGCTGGGAGCAGCTGTTCTAGGCCAAATAGAAACTCAAGCAAAAAATGAAAGAGATGAATTCATGGGCTCCTATTCCAGTTTAGCAGAAGACTGCGGAGATACTCAAGGATGCAGCAACATCGATAAAGAATTCATTTCTGGCGAGACAGACTTCAATATTACAGGAACGATTAAAATGACGCGGAGAACGAAAATAGAACTCTTCACACTTATTTAAAAAGGGCGCAGAACACTCGAAAAATTCTTATTTTTAAACATAAAATTATATTTTAAGAAAAGTGCGAAATGAGCGAGATCTCTTGGCACAAGTAGGTTAAATTTTAAAAGAAACGTAATTTCCCCAGAATATGAGTTGTCCTTTCTATTTTTGTTGAGAATTCAAAATACGCCGTTGCTTGAAATCCTTATTGAGACGTGGTCAGAAGAAAACGCGCTCGGCTTTACTCTACTGAGTCAGTAACCAAAACAAACCTTTTGAAGAGTGTTCGTCAAGCTTTGGAAAACTTCAATCCAAAAGACAACGATGTTGAACCGGAAAAAGGTGTACGGCTCAAAGGAAGGAGTTCTCGTTATTTTTCTACGCTCGTTTCTACAATAATAAATTGAACCCGTCCTACCTTAGCTTACGCTTAACTTTTATCCTTTAGAAAAATCATCGTAAATCTGTATGAAAATATTATTCGATTTTTTTATGCGTATTTCGTCGAAAAGGAAGCAGAAAAAAATTGCTTCAAGACGATCAGCAAAGAAAAAAAATAGTCTATCAGTACAAGTAAACCATCTTTCAGTAAGTCATTATCTTTCGAAAAGAAGTACTCATATGTGGCGTGCTAGAAACGTGCTTGAGCTCCGGACAGGCTACAAAACAGTCCCACGTTATAAAAAGTTCCTAGTCCGGATGAATCCACTAGATGCAGTGAGATTAAAAAGTGCTGGCGCAGTTGGTGCTAGAACAAATCACGAAGGACCACCACTAAGCTAAGGGATCAAAGGCAACTCAAATTAGAACTAAAGGGCGTCTTAAATTTCATCATGATATTTCCACTTACCATCTGACACAAAATACAAAGATTAGCGTGAAGATCCATTTGAAAGTGATTTAGGAAGTGATGGATTGAAGACTATATTCATTGTTGAGCATATCCTGTCCGAAAGAGGACTTTACCATGTCCAGGAAAAGCCACATGCTGAAAAAGGTACCGAAAACTTCCTAGCTAGATGTGCGGACTTCCTTTCGAAAACTGTGACTCTAAAATTACGTGGGATTTTAGGCGGGATGTCATTTACATTTTACTCAAAGCCTACTGGACCATTTGTGGATTTGGTATACGTTTGCAAACTTACGCGAGAAATTCCACGATGGTCTTTGCTAAAGAAACCATGTGACTCTTCCTCTGGAATGGCATACGGATATAAAGGTAAAACTTCCTCTGCAGCAAATTAATTTCTGGCGTAGAATAGTTTTTTGAAAATTCACACGTCTTCAAGCGTCCCTTTCAATGAAAGTTGTAATCCACTTTGATCCAGCACAAAACCCGGTATTTAGCTTACGTATCATTCTCACCTGTGCCTGGATCGCCGAAAATCACGGTGGCCAATAACAGAGCTGTCGGAATGCCTTTTGGCACACGCGCTTCTTACGAAGGGCCTTGCTGCTCTGGTCAAAAGTTCCAAGGATTTGAGCCTTGTTGTCTTTATCGACATGATCCGTTTGAATTTTACATTCCCTCCGGGTTCTCGAAATGGTCACAATGGTCAGCATGTACCGCGTCATGTGATGGAGGAGTTCAAACAAGAACTAGAAGTTGCACTGGAAAATGCTCGGATCCAGCGGAAGAAACTCGTGCTTGTGGCACTCTTCCGTGCAATCCAACTGGTTGGTCGCAATGGTCTGAATGGAGCGAGTGCTCAGTCACCTGCGGTGGCGGAAAACGTCTAAGAGATAGAACCTGTCTAGATATTTGCCCAAACAACCGAAACTACCACAAGGAGGCGGGAGCATGCGCAAACGTACCCTGCTTTATCAAAAACGTTTGGGGGGAATGGTCTGAGTGGAGCGCTTGCTCAGCGACATGCGCAGTTGGAAGAACCCAAAGGACGAAAGTTTGTCTTGAAGGACCTTGTTTGACGGAATCCTCGCAGGTTGCTCCTAGCGAGTGGAGAGAATGCATGGATAAGTATTGCCACGGGTGGAGTGAATGGAGCGAATGGAGCGGTTGCTCGAGAGAATGTAGTGGCGGCCACAAACTGCGGAAGAGAACCTGTGATGGGGGAATCGTCGGACTTCAAGGCTGTCCAGGACTCGATGCCGAAAGAGGTGTTTGTAATTTAGAAGAGTGTGATCCGACCCATGAAGATTACTATGACTACAATGACTTTGGCATACCGATCGCATATGATCCAGAAGAGCTAAATGGATTCCAGCAAGATTGCCTTGATTTCCACAACTTCTACCGTGCACTTCACAACTTACCGCCTTTGTCATGGGACGTAGATCTTTTTCAATCGGCTAAACTATGGAGCAAAGAGCTTGTGGCTCGCGCACCAGGAACCCCGAAAAATGTTCTCAAAGGAAGGACGCCGAATTGGCCTCACTCTTTTATCGGTGGACAATTTAGAGCGGCAGACGTTGGAGAGAACATTGCATGGGACTTGAGCAAGGATGGTGCAGCTTGCCGCGATTCGGTCAGTCGCTGGTACAGGAACGAGAAAACTTTTATTGAAGCACAAAATTTTTAATTTATGATCCCAAGTAAGCGCCCTTGCGTCCTTTGCGTCAGTACTTTAAAGTAAGCTAATGATACTTTAAAATAAGCTCGTAAAAGTGAAATATTCTATTTCAATCCGCAGACGCCCCTTCAAGGCCGACGCGGCGATGACCCTACAGGGCATTTGACGCAAATGCTTTGGCGACAGTCGACTACAGTAGGATGTGCTCGAACGATGAAGCTTATTAAACAGCCAAAAGGAAAGAGTTCTCATTATTATGCCCAATATAATTCCACGTAAATACAGCCGGTTAGTGAATATTTTCTTAAGAAATTGATGAGTTGATCCGTTTCGCGAAGAAATCTTTTTATGATTGCGTCAAAATTCTAAAATTCCACGTTTACTTGTCAGAAAATCATTCATCGACAATGTCGATTCGACAATGAAGAAAATAACTAAAAAGGATTTTTTTAATTCTAGTAATAATGAAACTCTCCAAGGTACTTATCCGAAATACCTTCGATCGGGGTATACGGTTTGCCATTATGGTCCTCAAGGAAATATTGTGGAGACAATGCTGGACAATTGGAGCGACCGTAACCCAGACTATTGCTCGACCTACGATAACGAAAGAGGAACGAACCAATGTGCTAATTCCGGAAATTGTCAGGGTCTTGACGTCTCCACTCGTTGCGGCTGTTGGGAGCGTAAGAAGCTCAACCCAGTGGTGTTGACACCGTTATGCATTGGCAAATGTCTAGTGGAATGCGCGAATCAGTGGGGGTCTGACAACTTTTACCCAGAAAAATGCATTGGCGAAAATTTCTGCACCTGTACTAAAAGTGGTGCGCTTTGCAAATGAACTCAACTCGAGATTCAACTGTACAAAAATTACCTTATTCTTCGATCGACAAGGTTTTTCGTTGAAATGAAAGACTGAATATCCTTTTCTTTCCTGTTGCTTGAGATTACAGTTAAAACTTACCTAGCAGATATGACTTTTTTCTAAACGTTAAATCTGATCCTGCAACTTCTTGACACAGACGTTCTTGTTCCGAAATCGATTACAGGCTTTGTCATAACACCTCGTGCAACTCGAATAAGGTTTACTTTGAGTCCCGAATCTTAATGTGACATCACTTTGTCCAGAAGAATCGCCAAATATTATTGAAGTCCTTGCTAAATCGATGTTTATGGGATGCAAAATGATTGGATTCAGAAGATTGCGCATTGATGTTAGGAACAAAAACCTTGTACCGTTATATTAGTAACGATAACATTCAGCTCTTTGTTTTTCTGATCAATCAACATTGCAAAAAAACCCCTGGAAAGGTGTCGATATATATTTTGAATGGTTTTCTAAACTTTCCTGCTAAAGTCAATTTTAAGGTTCAATTTTTAAATTTTCGAGATACGTGTCTTTGTCAGTACGATGTCAAAGAGACAACCTATTGATAGGGTCACTCTACTCCTCTATAATTTCTAGCTTTTCGCGTGGGAACTCCTTTGAATCGACGTAATGAAAAGCCGATGCCTGCTCCGCAATTTATACAAAAATAAATCAATTTCAGTTATCAAAATCCGATCAAATTGGGTTGAGTTTAATTTGTTGATTTATGTCTAAGAGGAAAGAAATAACTGCAAGACAGAGTTGGAAAATCCAGGAAACGATTTTTCGTGAATCGCGAGTGCAGACTTTGTATTTCTAACTAAGATTAAACAATCTGCTCTTTTATTTTCAACGACATTGTTGAATTATCCTAGTTTTCAATATGTTCTTAAATACGTTCAGTTGTTAATAAGTTACAAGATGATTTTTTGGTCTATTGCCGCAGGGAGCAGCAAACGATGGCTGTAATTTTGTCCGATTTTTCCTCGAGCACTTCTTGATACAGGGGCGTGTTCAAACAAAGAGCCCATTAGTCACTGCTTTTGACTTGACGCGGTGAGACAAAGAGAATTCCAGTGGCCGAAGAAGATGCAGAAACGGCTAGCGAAGCGTTTCTTAAAGTCCTACGTCTCGGCGCGCGCCAGTGACCCCCTTGTAGGATCCGTTCAAAACAAGTAAACAGAAATAATAGAAGTCAATCTTAGAAGTTTAATCGTTCACTAGCGGTTAGAATGACTTTTTTGAACAACTTTAAAAGGTCGTACCATTCCACAGGTATTTGAAAAATCAAATTTACATTAAGTACGTTATGGGATATTTTGAAAAGAGTCGTAGACGCTCGTAAATTATTGTAGCAACAACGAATCATAACCGAAAAATTTGCCGACCGCGAAGTTTATGTTTTTCACAGGAACGGGTCCATGTTGTTTTAACCGAAAACGATAGAGGCGAAATAATGTTTACCACCCGAGCTCAAGTACTAAACGACGCTCTACCTTTGAAGATTTCGAAGCTAGAACAAATCGGATAGCGGCTGGGCTATTAGGAAGGCTTTATCTAAACGTAATTACCGAAAAAATGCGTTGGCAAAGCCATTATAAGCTGCTGGTCTAAACCCTGGCGAGTGTATCGGAATTTGGGCGCCAAATCATGAAGAATGGATCGAGGAACGGGTTTCCATCTTCAAAAGCTATCAAAATGAAAGACAAAATTAAAAGAAACCGCAAATAAGACGCAATTTGCCGCTGCCAAAGCTGGCCTTATCCTCGTGAATGTTAACCCATCGTACAAATCTGCCGAGCTAGCCTACGTTTTGCACATGTGCAAAATTCGCGCCCTTGTTTCTGACACTTTCTACAACCGACAGGTACTCGTTTTCTATCTGAAACGTCATAACAAGAACAAGGTTAAACCACAGTGGTCATAAGCCAACCGTCGACGTTTTTCAAAACAACTGTAACATGTCTTGAGAGTCTTGTGGGCGTTGTGGCGAAGAAACAGCGAACAAATGACCACTTTAATTTATAAAAGCCGTCTGCATAAGATACATTTATTCCGTTGAAATTAAAAACCTCGACCAATACTAACGTGAAGCTAGCCATACGAAGAGATCCTGACAAAAACACTGAAAGAAAACCCACAATTATCGGATCAGCTTAAGTTCGTAGCATTCATTGGACAGGTTAGCTATCATGTAAAAACTGAGTTCTTTGAATCGAAAACTACTGGCTATAGCCGGTACGAGATTTCGATCAAGCAAGGCGAGAAGCTGGAAAAACAAGATTGACCTTTTTAAGAATTTTTCCGGACTTGCAAACGTGCCGACGTTTTCATTCGACAACTTTCGAGCTGACCAGGACAGAGTGAGAAAATATTCCGTGAATATTCGATTTTTATCAGCTAGAAACATGACAAATTTTAAACTCTACAAAGGACTCTTCTTATCTCAATGAAGTTGAAAATATCATCCAGTCTTTGGATAGCGAAGACCCCGTAAATGTTCAGTTTACATCTGGGACGACAGGAAGCCCAAAAGGTGCAACTCTTAGTCATCATAATGTGCTCAACAATGCCATCCAGGCAAGCTCCTCGGAGCGAATTCAATCCACAGAAAACGACGTGATTCTCGTCAACACGCCTTTCTACCACTGTTTCGGTTGCGTGATGGCCAATCTATTCATGCTCACTCGCGGATGCAAGCTAGTCATTCCAGCGCCGACCTTCAACGCCGATGTCGGTCTCGAAGCCGCCCAGACCGAAGGCGCAACAGTCTGGTACGGGACGCCAACGATGTTCGTTGATTTGCTAGGTTTGTCTTGCCACGTCAAGAATTGAAAGCGTGTCATTTTTGAATTAAATTTTTCACAGCAATAATTCTTCAGCTTCTCCGTTACGTTCTACGTTCGTCGCGCCGAAGGGGGGAATTAGAGGCCTCATGGCTGGTGCAGTTTGTCCCGAACAGCTTCTCAGAGATCTCGACGAATATTACAGCTGCAAAGGAAACGATTCAAATCTGATTTATTCTATTTTTCAGAATCTGGTTAATCAAATACGTGAAAAGATTAGCAATAAGTATTTTTTGAAGACTCACGGTTTCTCAGTATCTTTCAGATGTGTGCTTTTAGGAGCATAATTAACGAATAAGGTTAGATATTCCTCCCAATGTGCAGAAGATTTTGAAGTTAACGCGCAGATCAATAAAAACTGCGCGCGCGAGAAAGCACCATAAAGAGCTTCTGCGCTAGGAAAGTTGCTCCCCTAATTCACGCCATCTCGTCATTCAATATTCCGCAATTCCTCAGAATTGTGTACTTCCACTGCGTTCGCGCTGGGAAGCAACTTTTGTAGCAAACCGCCTGGCTGTTATCGAATAATGACACACCAGAATTTTAGCCGGTTTGCCGTCTACTCGAACTCTTAGAAACGGAGCATGCTCCTCACGGAAAGGGCTTCTTGAGCTCAAGCCACGGCGAGCGCGTTCTACCCAAATGGATAATTATTAATTACTAAAGTAAATACAAATGCTCGTCCAATTAAACTTAATAACGTTCCATCGAATATCATATTCGGGATATGTTGAAGTTAGCTTTAAAAAGCTTGAGTAGCGAATCGTTGGTAAGTCTTCGTCGCTTATGGAACAACTGAAAACTCTCCAATCACGTTTATGACTACTGCGCAAAGCACTTTTCAGGTAAATTCATGTTTAGTATTTTGGATTTTTATGGAAACTAAAGATCACTTTTACGTTGTCTTTTTGGTGTAATATTGGCAATATTATATTGCACTTGAACAGAATAGGTGTGACAAAGGAGAAACAGTTTGAGATTCTCATGTTGTCAAATTTAGCAACGGACAACGACAGTCGGATGTGTGATGCCGCATACAGAAGCAAAGCTAGTAGAGCCTGAGACAGGACGAACAGTCGAAATGGGAGAAACAGGAGAAATGTGCATTCGTGGTCCTTGCGTGTTCAAAGGCTATTTCAATGAACCAGAGAAGACTGCGGAAGTGGTAGACAAAGATGGTTGGTATCACACTGGCGATTTGGCTACGATGGACGAAAGTGGTTACGCAAAGATTGTGGGAAGAAGCAAAGACATGATCATCCGAGGGGGAGAAAATATCTACCCGGCGGAGGTGGAGGCTTTTCTGCTCAAGCACCCAGCCATTGCTGATGCACAAGGTGAGCGCAAGTCACAGATTATTCATAAAAATAAACTTTCATCTTCCAGTGGTCGGGGTCCCGAGTAAAAGGCTAGGAGAAGAAGTGGCCGTTTACGTTCGACTTGTAAACGGGGCTGAATTAACTGCTCAAGAGTTGCGTCAGTTTGGCCTGGCAAATATGACACACTGGAAAGTGCCGAAATATGTCAAATTTGTCGAAGAATACCCCTTGACTGTTACTGGCAAAATTCGAAAAGTTGAACTGCGAGAACAAGCAAAAACTGACTTTGAGCTCGATGTTTGAGCAAATCTTGAAATAAAATTTCAGTTCTGACTCTTAAACCTCAATTTATTTGCAGTACTCACGACCGTTGCAAATTTAAGCGATAGCAGTCAACAAGCAAGGAAGACGCTCATTTCAAAATATGTTTTTTTCTTTATAGTTATGCGCTTCGTAAGGGCAAACTCAAAGGGAGAAACTCTAATGTGAGAAATTCGTCATTTTCTGAAGAAAAGTAAACTGCATATTTTGTGGCTCTTCAAGAGAATTTCATTAATCGTCCAATAAGTGAGGTGACTTTAACTAATCTTAAGCTTGTTAGTAGCCAACTAATTTATAATAAAAATAATCTATGATGATTGACAATTTTCGTTATTTTACTGAAGAAAATAGACTATTTTAAAAAGTCCCCTGGTTAAATTAAAATCAATAGACTATAGCTGGGCTTTCTTTGATGTAACTATAAATATTTAATGTTTCATTTCTAAATTTCTTGCGAAATGTGGAAGTTTTGAAGAATAATAGTTTACCCTGCCAGGGGTAAAACAACGTGTGAGTTTTATATGCAAACTTTTTCCCGCAATCAGAAATAATGAGAATGTGTATTCAAAAATATGAATTCGAAAGTGACAGAAATTACGTTTTTTTGTGAATTAGAATCGCGCTCGTGATGCAAGGGATTACTGTCTGTGTTTCACGATGTTAGCAAATTTCGTGTTAGTTTTCTAATTTTTGATTATTGTTCTTTCCTTGATTAAATAATCATCTATTCAAGTAACGATACTTCTTATAAGTCATATTTAAGGGGGTCGTCGTGAACTTATCCTTAGGTAAGATTGAACGAACGTTCAAGATAACAAGATCCAATCGGTGCTAACACAGATAAACAAAGGCAACATTTGGTTAAACGGGTGACCTTGGCGTGAGCTCGGATTATTTTTCTTACGTCGTCGAAGTCTAGCGTTAGGGAAATGAACGTATAAGTGACGCTATACCGTTTAATATACCGATCTAGGATAAGTTCACGAAGGTGATCAAATTAAATTCAGAAAAAGAAAGCACTGTATTCAACTCCTCAATCTCTTCTAGAAAGCTTGACATGATTAAAAGCACTTCCTTGAAAAATTGGGCCGGTTAAGGCTCTTGAATTTTTAAGCGTCCGTTGAAGGCATTTTTAGGATGATGCGGAAGCAACTCCCGCTTGGAACCGTTCACGAACATCCTGCTGAGGATCCAGCTTACGTCACTCCAGAATTGCTCAGGATTTGATGCCCCAGATTCATAAGATAAGATAAAAACCTAAATCAGTACGGTACTGTTATCTTTGTAATCAATGGTTGCTGACTATGTACCAAACAGTCCATAAAATATATACCCTGAGACGTGGTTTAATATTCGATCTTCCCAGCCACGTATGATTATACACTCAGTCAAAACGATTCCGGAATTTTCTTGTCAAGACGGCAGTTCCACCAGTCGGATGCACACCGTCGGGTTTCATGATAAATTATCGTTATTGGAATCAATTTTGAAGTCACGAAGACAAAATAGTGGATATAATTGCACAAACAGCAATTAAAGGAAAAGTTAATTCAGTAGAAATTTACTTAGGTGTTACAACTCACAATTTAATTAGTTTTTCAAAAGCGGCGATGAACACAATAATCGAGAACCAGCGAGTTCTCAATCTGATCAAGCCTCTGGTTGAGCACAAATCGAAGAAGAAAAGACAGCTAGTTCATCCTTCTGAGTTCGAAGCGATGGACTTTTCAGAAATCAAAAAGAAAAACGCTAGAAAATTGGATTTTGGCTTTCGATGGAGCGAAGATGACATCAGCGAAACAGAGAGAACAATTTCAGGGGGCAATTTCGCTCCAATAAAAAGTGATGGATATGCTTCTTTAGCTCTGTTAAAGAAGGACTTCGAAACTGCTTCTGAACTTGAAAGTAACTGGGAGAAGGAATCGAAATGAACGGGTCTCATTGAATTTAGTAAATCTTCTATTTTGGCTGAAAATATCGAGCTCTATTAATAAGATAAGGAGCTCAAGACATCTTGCGATATGAAAACATTGTCAGAATCTTACTTAGAAACTTTTCTTCAAAAGTTTATTGATGCGGAGTTAGGCGAAGGTTTTAATAATATCTTACATAACTATTCTAAATGCCAGTAGATATCATTCTACCGCCGGTCGACGTTATAAGAAAGCGCCAGAAACAATCGCATGAAAGTCCGAATGGACAAAATTCGGGTTAGCGAGATAATCCCGAATCAGATAGAAATGATTATTAATTCTAGCTCGCCGACGCGGATCAATAGCAGCTTCCAAAATCAGTAGCATTGCGAAAAAATTGGGTGATCAAACAAAAAAAGTAGATCAAAAAATCAAAAATCTGCGAGACAAAGGGGAGCGTGATGAGTTTGACGAGCTCAAACACTCCTTGTCCTCAAGGAGCCGGTTTGAATATGGAAAGTTGTCTACTCTAGTTTCTGTGATAGCGGAATTCTATCAAATGATTTATATGCGAACCATGAGTTAAGACGTGGAAGTATTGCAACAGCTAGTATGAGCAATGTTGGCCAATCAGTTCAACACGCTACGAGGTATAAAACTCTATAAACTGCTATCTTAAAAATTCTAGCGCGTCTGTAAAACGTGCTTCGTCTAAATTGAAAAACTTGGGCCAGGAACTGGTTTAACTCACTCCATCAGATTCTCCAGCTAAGATAATTCCATTATGGAATTGAAATAATAGATGGCGAAAAAACTAATCCAATTTCAACCAGTCACAGGGATTGGGAAAGGGAATAACCAAAATGAAAAAAGACACCACCGAAGCGTCCTCTAATTTCAAAGCCAAGTTGAAAATTGGCTCTGAAGAACGAATAGGTCAACAATTATTAAGGATAAATTTGATTCGAGAAAGAATTTCTTGTCTTTGTTTACACTCCGAAAAAAGATGCGAAAGCAATGTGCGAACTCTTCGTCTTTTGCTAAAACATCGACACAACTTTTTTCTTTAAGAAAGAGATAATTTCCGAAGTTTTTTTGAATGGATAAACTAAAAAACCTCATTGTTGATGATGACATTGGTAAATCAAGTTAAGATTCTTCGACAGCTAAATTTGCTCCCTAGACGAACAGGATAAACTTAAAACTAGAATGCTCATACAGGGAAAAACGTTAAAACGGAAGCCATCATTTGCACTTGATCCTAATGCCGCCAAAGACGTTCAAAATGCTTTGAACTCAAGACAAGATTTCAATAAGTTTCTATAGCTCCTATTTTAGAACATGAATCGGGCCATTTTCAGATTTATCTCTAAGGACGTTGGTACTCTCGTGGTTTTTAAACGACCCACAAGGAAGGTTCAAGGGTATCTAAGCTACTTTGGAAGTTTCCGAACCACAAAGCTCAAAAATACTACTTTTAATGAAAGAGAATGTTCCGATGAATATTTTGAATGCAACTAGTTTAAACTTATTGAAATCATAGTTCCAGCGGTCTTAGTTCTTTGGCAGATTTATCATTAACTGGGGGAGAAGGACAAACAGACAGTAGGAGCCGGGGATCTGGGCTTCCATTGACGCCCCAGAACAGTGTTGACCTTAGTGAAGCCGCTTCTAATAAAGCATCGACGAGTTCACCAACGAAAAACGAAACTCTTCTGGAGATCAGGTTTGTGTTCAATTAAATAATTTTTGAAGCTCATTCTTTTAAGTGACGACGAGAGCGACATCGATGACGCAGATGCACAATTCTTAGACGACCCAATTTTAAAACAATACAAGAACTCTTTCAAGTAGGCGGTTCTTATAGAACAACTGATATCGTATTTAGACACATCGGAAACGATCCAGATAACGTGCCGATTTTCATGCTGACGGCTCGAGATTTGCCAAGCGAGAAATTGATAAATTACGAAGACATTAGTAATCGTCTCGCGGATTACGCGCAAGAGCAGCTGGCCACCTTCGACAACCCGAACTACACCATCTATTTTGTGGCTGGCATGGCGAAGGGCGAGCATTTACCCTCCGTAAGTGACCAATTACGGCATTAGATAATGCAATCTCTTCTTCTAGGCGAAAACGTGTGAGCGATTGCGACTTCGATGGACATCCAAGAAAACTCTTAAAAAATTCTTTTTCATTCATCTTGGAGTGAAGAACAACATTTACATAAGCAGAATAATGGCGAGTCTGAGGTAACAGGCAACTCAGTTACTCGTTCAAACTGTCCTTTCAGCGACGAGACGAAGAGTAAATTGATAAAATGCACTAAAACGAAATCGCTGGAGAAATACGGGCATAATAGCAAAATTCACCTGCCGGTCGACCTCGCCAACTTCGATAAAAATGTATAGCTATATCCATTTTTTAGGATTTTCAAATGCAAGTAATTGAATAAATCATTATCTTCAGCGAAGAATGGTCTAAGAGAAGTCGATCTTTAATGTTAGGGCACGTAAAATTTCTCAGCTGCGGTGTAATCTGCTAGAGATAGAGACTAATGATCGTCCCAATTTTAGATATCAAACTATAATTAACCTTAGATAGCGATGCAGTATTCAGGAACGATTAATGTCTCCAGAAGTTGAAAATTTAATGTTTTTAAAGAAATTGTCATTGCAGTGCCATATTGACGATAACAGAGTCTTCTCCATAGCTTCTTTTGCGACTCTCGCATTCACGTGACATCTAAAGAAAATCGTTATTTCAACAAAATAGTCAAGAAAGGGGGGCAGGGCAGGGTTGGGGCGAACCTGGGTGAGGGGAACTGTTTGAAAAGGGACTGACCACGCATCCTACTGATTCTCGAGGAGCTTGAAGTTGGTGCGAAAGGCGGAAATTGGCGGAACCCTGCATTCCCGAAGATGATCTTGGTCGTTTATCAGGGTTCGAAAGGAGCTCTCTTGAATATAAATCTTGTCTGTAACAATTCTTAACCCTGGCCATAGGCGCTTGGCGAATGAGAGAGATGACAGGACTAAAAAGAAAGTAAAGAGGCAGATGTAACATCTGAGATGTTCCAGGAAAACGACGTGAAGACGCCAGCGACGTGCTGCTCTTGCATAAATAGGAAACTCACCCTCGAGTGCGGAGTGTATTTACGACTGGGCATTGGGCTCACGCTGAGGCTGGAGCGAATGTCCGTGTAGAAAACATTGGCGAGTATGCACACTACGATTGCAACTGTCTCTTAGTTTGGAATATTTTTCTCTGTTAAAAAAATGAAGTCGAAATGATAATTTATAATAATTTCAAATAGTATTTCAAACGTGCATATCAAGGCAGACAAAACGACGATCCCGATGCTTTCCAGAAACGTGCTAAAAACTTGCTTGTTTATGACTCTCTCAGACGAAAACATATGAGTATCTGTATAAGTGGAGCCGGGGAAATAGAAGCGCATCAATATTAAACTGAATTAATTGGCCCATCAAAAAGGTAATTATCTTTTTCCGTTCATGTAGATCTATGTGTATATTGCGCGTTGAATCTAATGGAGAACGCACTTGACAGCGCACAGTAGGTCTTACTGAATAGGTAGGAACAAAGGAAACTTTACGTACATCTGCCATATCATCTGTCGTTTCGGCGTTCTTAATTAATTCATAACTTTAAAAGAAATTTTATGAATTCTTTCCTTCAGTTTTCGTGTTCTCGTCAAATACTGAATAGGCGCGGATTGCCAACTGCTTGCAAATGATTAAGCCGATTATGTCGGATGCCGCAAAAAATGAATCCAATAAAATCTACCCGGGGAACCGGGGTTATATCCACTAAACCTCCTTTGCGAGCAAAAGAAAATCCTGTTAGAATCTCTGGTTGCTTCTTTCTTAACAAATTCAATTGAGAAAATTATGTTTTCTTTTCTCTTAATTTGATTCCGAATTAATTATTCTTTTTGCATTTTCGTACAGGAGAACGAGTACATCATCTAAATCATTCATACTCGAGTAGCAAAGAGTAACGATGTGCGCCAACTTTCTGCTCGAATAATTAATTTCGCCATTTTAGAATTCGCGGCATCATTCTCATTCATTGAAACATCTGATTCCAATAAGCATCTTTCTGATATCATAAATTTTCAATATGGCACATAAGTAAGCTACCCCTAAATCATGGCAAGAAAAATGAAATATCTGATGGAACATGAATGTTTACGCAACGTTCTTAGGGAAATAAATGCATGATAAAAACTTCTAGAGCAACTCGCGAGTGCCACCGCGCGCGCCCGAGCCTGAGTGATGGTGGTGGAGCGCCGCGAGAAATTCGGAGCTGAAAAAAAAAACGTCGGAACTCGATCATGCATTAGCACACATAAGAAATCGAGGTGATTTTCGGAAGTTATAGTCGCCTTATCTTTTTCTCAATTCCACTCTGACTAGAGATTATTCGAAACAAAGAAATCAACGAAGAAAATAGATAAAAGAGAATAAAAAAATGAAAGACAGCTGTGAGCTCGGAGCCTCAGGTTTGAAATACTGCACAAATTCTAAGAGTTAATTAGAATTAATTTGATAAAAAGAGTTTTTCCCGTTACGCATTGCCCTCTAAATGCAAAATAAACAAATTGTTTACATTATGTAATGAAATGGTTGAATTTTCATCTATCGCCTTTAAAAGTTTCCTTATTGCAAAATTTCAGTTCGCGTCTTTCGTCATGATTGGAAAAACATGGTTATCTTTGTCCTTTCTGGAATAGTGTTTCTCTTTTTTCTCCAGCTAAGAGAGCGTTCATCCCTTTATCTCTTGCTCGACACGACATCTGGAGACCTGTTTCAAAGTCCTGTCACCACCGCCAGAAGTTCCAGTCATCATCTGAAGTTTAGACCCGCTATCGACGAAGGAAAGGATCTTATCATAATTTCCCTATTAGCGCGTTTAAAGTCAGAACATCACTTATTTCTCATGCTTTTATAATTTATGTTTGAAAAATCTTTAAAAGAATCTCTGTATGACGAGGAATTCATCATCCACGAAAACGAGTTCACGTCAACTGTCGAAGAAACTTCAACAAACACAGCCGCAACTGCAACCACGACAACGATGAGTACAACAACTACGACAGCATTGACGACTGGTGTTGTTGAGGAGAATGAGAACTGTCCTGTCAGAGATACTGCAACTTGGGACACTCCAGTTGAACCCATCTACAAATTAAGAAACGATAGATTTTTGTGAACGGGATGAAAACGGCAAAGCAAGATTAGTTATTTTGAGTAACTACTTTTCTGTTTTGGGTCGCTCGAAATAGAGAGGCGTCGCTTATTCCGGTCTTAGTAAATGGAGCTTTACTAGGAGTAATCCGTAATCAAAGAATAGATGATTAATTTGGGAAAGTTAGAAAACGTGCTTTGAATTTGATCCAGTCCCGAAGCTAACGTTGGAAGGATTAGATTATCCCGGATAAAGCACTTCTGCACGAGGGCCAAAGCGGAAATCAGATCAAAAGCTCCGGTTTCTTTCGCGTTCTTACCAAAAGTTTTTTGCGCAAATTCTTTTTGCCAAAATTCCTTCATTTAATTATCCTCTGGTCAAGAGATACGGTAAACTTTTCACGTATTCATTTACTTTCAGTTATCCATTTTCAGTTGCCAATAATAATGAGTCGAAAAGGACACTCGCCTTATTTTTTATCTAACATTTCATCCCGTAAAAGTACACAGTTGGAGTAGCCGGCCCGAACAACCAGCTTATTTCTTTGCGTGAGATGGTTTTCACGGCCGTCAAGCTCAATAGATCAATTGTGATATCGCCTTTCTTCAAGCATGATATTGCTGATCCGAGTTCTGAAGGAGATGGAGTCGCGCTAGTTCACCCGTACCTCCGAATCAACATCCAAAAACTCAGGTAAGAATAAACGCTGTGAAAATTTGTCAACCTCACTTTCAGAGAACTCGTGCCCGTGTTGAGCACAGAGGAGTACAACAACACATGTCCTCACTTTGATGCTATCTACAACGTCGGCGGCATGTGCAAACCAGAAACGGTGAAGCGCTTCAAAGCGTCGTGCGTGTTTTTTGGCCAAGAATTTTGCAAGAACGAGAACGGCGAAGAAATATTCAAACACGGATGCAGCAATAAATTGCTCGAAGACGAAATAGTCCAGAAGTCTCTTAGTGAGTGGCCTCTCCCTCCTCAGCGATCATAATAATTTTCAGCGTACGATAAGCCAGACTACACTCCGAAAGGAGCGGATTCGTACAGAGAACGATGCGCCCTGCTCGCTTTTCCTTACAATTTAGTTAATTTTTGGGGAGCGACGAAGAAAAAGGTGAGGACTATGAGTTAGTTAAACAAATTGTAGCGCATACGGGGCGGCCTCAATTCGTTGTTGATCTCGCTCGAGCCTTCCAGAAGCAAGAACTGAATGGAGATTACGTGACTCTTCACTGGAGGTAAAAAGAGTTTGCCGATGAACTTGATGTTATTTCATTTTCATTAAATTAGCAGTTAACTAACGAAGTATTTCAGATACAACTCCGGCGACTGGCTTCACGGAACTTGTGATAAAAGGAAAGGTTTAATTATGGAAACAATAAGCGAAAATTGGAAGTAACAATACCCGTAAAATTAACCCACAAAAGGGAGAAAAAGAAGCTCGATGACATCTGCACACAAATCGAGATGATGAAGCGGCCAGAAATTTTCACAGCGGTAAAATTACGTCAAAAGGATTATAAACTCACTTTACCTTGTTCAGCAAATTTCCGCATTTATTGACAGCGTGGAAGGTGTTAACAGCATCTACATTGCTTCGCCACCATCGGAGACCGAAATGCTCAACAAAGGTCGCGCCTTTCTCGCGAAAACACGGCCAGACATCAAAGTCGTCCTTCAATCAGAAGTAAGAAATGGGAACGAGGGAAAACTTTGCTTTTACGCCGAAACTAATCCAACCTTTCATTTATTTAAAAAGATTATCTTACGATAGCGCTTTAATTCGCTCCTTTTTTTACTAATTCCACATTTACTGAGATCGATTAGTGGATCAGACAATGTGAAGGGTAGATAAAAACGAAATCTTTGCACTAATTGAAAAGTTTTTTTTTATTTGCTATTTTAGGTTATCCCGTTCTTGAAAGAGAATTTCTTTCCAGAGGGGTGCAAAACGCACGAAACCGAAAGCTGGGACCTACTTTCGCTCACCGAAATGGAAATAGCTGCTGACTCAAGAATTTTCCTGAGCTCGATTGGGTCCAGCTGGTCGAACAACATTAAGATGGAACGCCAACTGCGAGAAGTTCACAAAGACGACGACGGAAACAAAGTCATTCTCCCCACCCTGTGAAAAGAAGAATACGGCCCTTTTTTGTACATTATCGAACTGCTGCTCAATCAAAGAATTATCTGAGATAATTTATCTCCCTTCAGAATATCTGCTTATTTATATATCTGTTTTACGGTTGCTCATTTGCTATTGGAGCCCGACTTAAAATAACAATTGACAAAGGTTGATCTCTTCAACCTAATACACTGCTACACAATCCCTTTCAGACCTTCTGACTGTACATTTATGTGAAATATATTATTATTTAATATATAACAAGAAGCGTGTTTGACTTGACTCCTCCATGATTTCATATTTACAAAATCAAGCGCAGGGGTAAAGAAGTGAATGATAGTTTATTCTTTGTATTTTTGACTGCAGATTTGGAATCTTGAAAGAGGCAGTTGCGGTGAAATGCAGATGATAGTTTTAGTTTGATCTCTTCAGTTTATCTTCGTGGACCGATGAGTCAGTTGTTCGGGAGAAAGTTAGTTGGGAAGACGTTTGATGACAGAGACGCGGACAGGCTTGCGTTCGTCTAGCTCCGCCTCGATCTCGTGCTGCTCGATGACGAGGAGACCACCCGACTGGCTCAGCTGGCTCTTCTTTCGCTCAATGATCGAGTTCATGATCGTCTGTAGATGATCCCTGCGCATGTGGTCTGTCAGGCAGTCTCTGTATTTAAATCTCCGCCAACCTATGGATAAAGTTAAGAACGGCAATTTTCGACGATTACTCAACGTACAGAATTTGCATTTGAGCGGTCTTGCGGAAGGTGTGAATTTCTCTTTCGTTGGGCTGGCAGTCTTCGACGACATCTTCTGCAGTGGACGGATTTCGACTTTGAGTGGTTTTATTTTTCTTATTCAGAGGTTTCTTTCTCAGAGGTTTTTTAAGGGAAAAATGGTAGCATAAGAAAAGGAGGGTCATTTTTATTCAACAAGTTACAGCATAGTGACGTAATAGGCGAATACCAGCGGCCAACGAAGTGTGATTGGCTCGATCCCCTCTTACGTAAGTGATAGACTCGGAAATCTTTACATAATGAGTGGCGAACTCGATTTCGGGGTCATCAGTAGCTCGCTGGACTGGCGAGCTCGAGCCGCTCCAGCGAGTCTCTTCTGAGCACCGCCCGGCTCAAATAAAAACAACCGATTCTACGAAGAAAATTTCTCTCGATGCCTCTGAACAGCAAAAAAGCTATGTCAAGCCGCAGAAAAGTTGGGTCCTTAAGGGTGTCCCCAACGATCGAGGCCGAGACTGTCTAATTCGGTGACTCAAATTTTTCTTCTTATTTAGGAAATTCTGATTCCGAACCTTTTTTCAGATCTTCAATATCTTATCTACTTCTCGAGATATGGCTTTTTCTATAAGCGCGCTAATGCATTAGCCTTCGATAGAAATGCACTGTGAAAATGGCTATTTTGAAATTCTCAATTAAGTGTAGCAAATTATATATCTCCTGAAAGCTTGAAAAATTTCCTTTCTGCTGATACCATTTTCAAAAAGATCCGATGAATTTTACTTATTGTAAGAGCGCGCCAAAACTCGAAAACACCTACGCTTTGGCGCCGGAAAAGGGGATTAACCTACTTATCGGTGGACAATCTGAGCTCATGGGAGCCTTGTTGAAGGATCGAACTATGTTCAAACTGAAATTCGGAGAAAAAATCAAGCGAGAAGAGCCTTAATATTTGGTTCAAATTTTGTTAAAATCATCATTTTATATATTGTATATTTATATATGCATTTGATATAATTATAAAAAATCTGTCTCGATTAATGCAGAGAGAAGTGTTCAAGCAACATAATTCTTTTCGAAATTTGAGATTTGAACGAGTAGATTTTGAGAAAAACGATCTCAAAGTTACCCGAGATTACAGAAGTCGACCTTCTTTGAAGCGGCGGTAGGGGATTAACGGATCAAAATCTACAAAATCGGTCTCGATTAATGCAGAAAGAAGGGTCCAAATAATAATATTCAAATTGATTTCTTGTGTAAAAAGTATCCGTTTAGTAGAATTATTAACTCAAAGTTGATCCTGTTTCAAAAAAATCGTTGGGGACACCCTTAAGGGGCGGAGAAATTGCATAACAGGGACGCAAACTCTTACAGAGGTCATAAGAAGGTTCATCCAAATCTACTGGATTCAGATCGGAAAGCTTATTCTATCCGACACACTTGAGAATAGGAACATAATCGAAAGTTAATTAAAGTCTTCTCACGGATTTTTTTCCGGCCATCGAAAAATACCGATAGTTTCGCACCCACCGCCTCTCATCAATTGAAGACATGAAAGATAACCTCTTTTCTTAAAACCGTAGCTTTGAGCTCTTAATCGGGGTGTTCTCGTTTCAATATTGAAAATGCGACTCGCCCGGATCATTTTCGAGATGTTTCTTAGGTTCGTCAGCAATTGACCCTGTTTCGGGTTCGAAAGTAAACCCAAAAGAGCTAATTCTTTTCGCGTAAAGAGTTCATTTCCAGATGTTATTGACAGGCTTGCTATTGACAGCGATCCAGTGATCTTTAAGTCGGAAAAAGGTCGTGGTTGGGCTCAAGAATTACGTCGGATCGACCGAAGTAAGTTACGTCAGGTTACCTGAAGCTGTTGCGCGATGAAGCTGCTGTACACCAATTGGCCTTAGTCCAAAATCTAAATTTATTAAGGAACCGAAAAATAGTGTCACGCAGCCAATTAACACGAATTTGCTGTACTATCAAAAGTTTAAATGGAGATTCTTACTCGTACCAATGCACATCTACTAGTAAATCAAGGTTGCCCAAAGATTAAGCCTTACAGCCTTCTTATAGTTGCTTGCACCGGTCAATATAGGTCCCAAATAGTGATTTCCGATGCTAAATGATCATTTTCAGAAACTGTCCTGGCATCTCAGCGACCTAAGACGCCGTCTCTGTCAAAGATAGAGACACTGTCAGACAGCCTTTCCTTGTTGATTTTCAAATGATCTTCAAGCTTAGATACAAGAATGAAGAAGCAAAAGTGTGAAAAAATACTTTATTTTGTGCGAAAAATGGAACAATGTTGATACAGCGCAGGTGAAAGAATGTTAGCGGGGAGGGGATGTGAGCATTGCCAGAACTCTACCGAGGTAATATGAGAAATATCCAGCTACAAATGCGAAAATAAACAGTTTTAAATAAACGCTTAAATTCACCCGAATCATGTTCTGAAATTAAGAGTCTCTAAAAGTAAAAATTGAAAAAAGGATAAAAAGAGTGCTTTTTGGTAAATAAAAAATAGATTGCATTTTGACAGTTATTGAAAGTATTTCGAGATAAGAGAGCCGATGAGGGCGACGACGATGCAGGACCAAACGGCAATTTCGATCGTTGTTGCTCTTCGAAATTTGGTGAGTTACGAAAAAGTGTACTGTCTTTACCTTTCACGAGTCATTCCTCTTCTTTTTTCCTCGGCCTGCTTTTGCATTGAATTGAGACTTGCTCTCATGCGGTTGATTTCAGCTGCCATTTGACGGTAGTCTTCTGAGAATTCGCATTCTTGTTCGTCTTGGTTTACCATTCTATTGAAAATATTGATTGTATGAGAACAAGGTAAAATTTCTTTATAGATTTTTGTAAAGCAAAACTTAGTTTCAATTTCAAATAGTAATTTTAAACAGCATTAGAAAATAAATCTCTTTCTTGTTGCCGATTTTGTTCAGTGTGCTTTTTCATTTTTCACCTTGGTAAATTTATAACATAAATTCAATTATAGAGATAATAAAGCGAGAAGTAAAAATTTACTTTCCACGATTCTGAATAAGCAGATAACGTGAATAAGTTAGTTTGAATCCGAAAGCAATGAAATCAACGAAGAGAACCCCAGCTGAGAGTTGGTGTGATTCATGCAGGCGCATTCATTACTAAATTTATTGCAGTCGAGTAAGAAGCCAGGGCCATCGCCAAAAAAAGCAACTCTTTTTTCGAGGCGACATTCCAGTGAATGCGCGCCACTGCCCGGAGCAATCATCTTTCTGAGTCACAATGGATAAAAAAGGCGCTCAAGCAGCTCGATAGAGCTACAATGGATCGTTAAAATCTTCAACTTGGGCTGTTCCGGTTAGATTTTTTATTTTTATTCCTCAAAAGTACTCAAAAACGGTCATAAACAAGCTGGTCGCGCTATCCAGATCACGAATCTTCAAGGAGTAAAGAGACAAGATAAGAAAGAGAGAGAGCGCCGAGCGAAAAAAGCATGTGGGAGAGTTATGGTCGCTGGGTCTTACTCCTACTATCTTTGAAGACAATACTTGCCAGTTCTACTTGCCAAAATGCTACAATTACATCTTGCGAAGAGTGTATGGCAGGAAACCTTTCAAAAATAAAATTATTGCTTTAATTTATTTGAAAACAAAAGACTTTTTATAATTAGAATAACTAATAATTAAAATTATGAAATGTAATAAAGTGGATCCCGATTGCATCTGGTGTAGTGACCCTCTGGACGAGAACGAATTGAAAAAAGTTAACAAGGTCCGATGTCGTTCTAGAAACGCGCCCGGAAATTGCCGGACATTTATCCAGCCGAAGTCGGACACGGACTACATCGATCCCATGGAGCAGTCTCTTATGCCTCGTAAAGTTAACATAACCTTGAGAAGAAATTTCCCGTATAATGTCTCTCTGGAATTCACCCGGCCTGAGTATGCGAACATTGATCTATTCTACTTGTTGGACCTTTCACGCAGGGATTTCACGAAATTCAAGTAACCTAGAAATTCTGCAACCTGGCTATGCTTACTCGCGAACTGAAGGTGAAAAGTTTTTGTCAAAACTATTTGAGTGTCTTCTAGAGAAAATTCTTTTTTGGTTCTTGACCAACTTATTTATTTTTATGTAAAAAAAAGTTAAATCCAACCAAGACTCCATGCAAAAATACATGAATTATGTGAAAGAGTTCTTTCCAACGCTGGTAGATCGTATGAGGGTATTCGCAGTCGACCCGAACAATGATGACTCCCGAAATGATGACCAATTTCGAATTGGCTTCGGTGCTTTTGTCGATCGCCCCGTCGCGCCGTTTTTCTACGATCATCCAGCTCACATTAAGAATCCTTGCGCCAGAGACGGAAATAATCGAATATGCAGTCCCACTTTCACCTTTGATATTACTTCACGACTGACGTCGAACGTAGAAAGGACGAAGAAAGATCTCACGTCGATGAGCACGTCAGATAACATTGACCCGTCTGAAGCGGTGCTCGACGCAATTCTTCAAAGTATTCGTTGCGAACGGGACAGCGGTGTTGGGTGGCACAGCGGCGCCTTCAAACTTCTTGTTGTCACAACCGATGCGTCTTACAAAGCAGCGGGCGACGGCCTTATTGGTGGACTCTTCAATGCAAATGACGGTCAATGTCACAAGGGCGCAAACTGGCCCTTTTATGAGACTAATATTGATTATCCATCTATCGGCCAAATCTATGAAGCCGTTGAGGGAAGTGGAGTCGGAATTTATTTCCTGACGATTCCAAGCAGCAACAATCAAGTAAATCCTCTCGACGCATACAAGGAACTTGCGAAAATCTTGCCAAATGCTGAAGCAGGCTTATTGTCAAGCAACGGAGGCGAAAATGAATATGGGGAAGCTATCGATATGATTGTCGCCGCGTATGAAAAAATGGCGGAGAAAGTTCTTCTCAGAGGCTCTGCAAATCACCCTGATCACTTGCACGTTGTCGTTTACAAAAAATGCGGAAAAGATGAGGATTACGTCAAATGCGAAGGTAATTGATGGAATCAGAATCAAACTGATGTAATTTAGATATCAACAAATGCCTCTGTGAAAAAGTCGCAAAGAAAGAAAAAGTAAACTTCATGATCGAATACACTTGGAATGAAGACTGCCCAGAAGGGGACTGCATGCCCTTCGAACAAGAGTTTTCTATTTTCGGGACAGATGAAACAACACATGCAGGAATTCACTTCCTCAATCACTGTGACTGCCAAGGTGATAGCAACCCACCATCGTATATAAAATGTCAAAATGGAAAATATCACTGCGGAGAGTGCGCGTGCGATGAAGGGTTCGAAGGAGCGTTGTGTGAGTGTGCTGATTCTAATGACATAGCAGAGGACCTTGAACATTGTGCACCACCTATAGGTAAGAAAAACCATCATCAGCAAGTCACATATTTCTTGCTTTCAGAAGACTTCTTGTTAGAACTCAGTCTGTGTTCTGGAAAAGGAACATGCGAATGCGGGAAATGTGCATGTAACAAGGAAGACACAGGATTTAGAGTTGATGGCGAGTTCTGTGAGTGTGATACAAGTGTTTGCCCAAGCACGGGCGGTATGGAATGTTCCGGACATGGAACTTGCGATTGTAAAAGCACCCTTTGCGCCTGTGATGAAGGATGGGAAGGCAAAGATTGCGCTTGTAGTAGCGAGTATGTAAAATTTGCCCACATTCGTGAATCATAATCACTTCTTATGACGTTGAGTTTAGCGTGAGTGGCTGTATGGTCGGTGGCGTTGAATGTGCTGGAAATGGAGAATGTGAATGTGGAGTTTGCAGATGTAAACAAACCAGTTTCGGATACTACGACCCCAACGATAACTGCCAAACTTACATTGATACATGTGATACCATTCAAGGTACAAATTTCTCTATCAACATCAGACAGGACAGTTTCCATAGATTGTGCACTCTGTCTCTATGCGGCAAAAGACCAAAACTCTTTGGAAGATGGGAGTGATTTCGTCGTAAGAGAAGAGTGTGGTAATAAATGCCCCGATGATTTCAAAGACTTGCAAATGAGGAAAGATGGCTCCTATGTTCTCAAGAATGCACCGCTTCATTTTACTGAAGAGTCAAAAGTCCAGGAAGAAGGCAATGATATGCAGCGATGTACATATATGACGATAGTCGATGGGGAATCCTGCACATTAGAGGCCTTTATGGGTAAGATTTTCCATCTTGGTGAAAACTCCAAATTAATTATTTAGCACGAAAGAACGATGACGAAAAGACCGAATCAAACATTATTATTGGAGCTCCAGATTGCAATTTGTTCCCTATCAATGCAGCTTCATTAAGTATTTTGGTATTCCTTGCCTTTCTGGTAATTGGTTTGATTATCTTGCTTATTTCATGGTTTGGGATCTGGTACTACCGAAGGTCAGTACACATCAATTATCATTTTTGAAAATGTTTTCTCAGGAAAGAGTATCTGGATCACAAGAAAGCGCTAGAGGCGAACCAGTACAAACAAAATCCACTCTACACGGAACCCGTTACAGAACATTCCGCATTCTAATAACGACCTCAAAATTAATCTAAACTTTGAAATTGAGTTGATCACTACTGTAACTGCCTGAAACTGCTATACCAGCATGGTGCTGTAAAAAAACAGCACAAATTCTTATGTAAAGCATTCACCTTTCTATCTTCAAATAAATCAGCACTTAACATTCTTTCCCTAGAATTTTGCATCAAACAGATACTTAATTCTATCAAGACGCACGTCTTCAAGCGTAAGAATTTATTTTAATAGGTGAAAGGAGAGATCGTCCCCAGTTTCTATATACTCGACTTTCGCAACCCTCCAGTGATTCCAGTGCAAATTTCGATAAATAACTTTCTCCGGCCTACAAGCAGCAATCGTCGATTTAATCGTAGCGATACCAACGTTGACCCCAGCTGTTATATCCTGGGATACAGAAGTAACAAAGCCTATCCCATTGAAATCGCCGGTAATCGGCTTTTTCGTGTCCAAAACTGAATACACATCGTACTCTGGAACGTTTGATGGATACGAAGCAACAACAGCGAACTTCTCCGGTCTTCCCCTTCCATGAGCGATGAGTCGAACTTGTTTTATTGGATCTCCATCATCAATTTTAACCCCAGGAGGTGATGGGAGAGAGCGTTCCACATTTTCAAGAAGATTAACGCTCAAGAATTTGTTCTTTCCTTTTGGCTTTCATTCGGGATGAAGTATAAATATTTAATCAGCAGGGCTGCGTTGGAAATTTATCCCGCAGTAGATTATCGATATAAAGATTCTCCCTTTACTTTCGCCGGTATTGAGTGTCTATACGCCCTAGTTCAGCCTTGATTACTTTCCTTCCTTCCTCACAATCAGGGAAGTCATCGGGGAATGTTAAACTCCCACGGGCGCATCTGTGTAACTGCCAAAGCTCCAATCCTCCCACATGCCCATCTGAAGAATATTTAACATCGTAAAGTAAAATCGCAAATTACTTTTTGACATGATTAGTTCGGTTATGAATTTCGTGGCATTTTCATTTTCCATGTAGGCGATAACATAACCCGCTTGTAACTCTTGATCGACAACTACTTTCGAGTTCGCACACATCTCTTCCGCAAGCGTTCCGATCAGAATCATTCTCGATAGATTCTTCTCCTGTTCGTCGTCCCTTTTTTTGATGAAAGAAAAGTCAAATCCAACTGTTCCAGGCACTTTTCCAGCGCAGATTTTCATGCAATGTTTGAGCTTTTTCTCAGTAGGACATAGAGGAAGATGCCATCCAAATTTAACAATCATGTGAAACCGCTTAGCAAACCATACATGTGTGGCAAGCCGACTAGGCGTGTTGACGTTTTCAGATTGATTCCCTTCTTTGAAAAGTAGTTCACGCTTTGCAAGCTTTCTGCGCTTGTATGATTTCAAACTGAATTAAATAGATTCATAACATATTCCTTAATAACTCATACCCCGCTCGTTCAGTATACTCGTTCGTCACAATCAAAGTGCGGACGCTTTTGGGGAGCCTCTTCAGATTGTGAGCGGAAGCCCTTCGGCGCTTGCAGCGGGAAATACGTTGCAAAGCAGACCTTGTTGATGGTGGATCGTGAATTATATTCAACATTGCTTCAAGTTCACTTCTTCTTTTTTCGACAAGCTGAGTTATTGGTATTAGATAATATGTTTGATCTAAAACAAACCTCAGACACGTTCAAGCGCGCGTCAGAATCCTCCTCGACAATGATTGAAGCTGGTTGCTTCAACATCTTTGACATTTTACGACGAGCTCGACCCGTAAGCTCCTTTTTTCCATCTCCAGAACTACTTGTTTCCATCCTTTCGACACTCATTCTGCCAGTGAATATATTCGTTTACATAACGAAAAATATATTTAACAAGGTCGAGTTTATTTTCGGAATGATAGGAACAATGAAGTCAGTAAATTGGTAATCTCGCAGACAGGTATTGGCACATATCTTTGAATAAGATTCGAGTATTATTGTTGCAGTGAGTTAGTAGAAAACAAGTGCAATAAAGGTGTGTCGAAAGGGTCTTGCGGAAATGGACATAAATTCTGCACCTCCTGCTTAGATGTATTCATGACCCATGGATTTGGGACGGCCGTAGTCCATCGGAGGCTGATAGGCCGCATTAAAACTCCTGTTGTCGTCTTCTTCGTTGAGCGAGGAGTAGCCGTTGCAGCAGAAAAGAGCACCGCTGACAATTCCCAAGACCATAGCGGCCCATCCTAAGAGAAAGTTTCATAATAGCAAATGACGTTAAGAGAATATATTCTAGACTTCATTCTTTTGAAAACACCGCATCGACGTCAATAAACGTCTGGCGTTAAAATTGAAGCGTTGCATCAGAAACTACCAATACTCCAGTAACTTGATTTAATGTTCTTTTCATCCCGATGAAAAAACTTACCAAGGAAGAGACACTCCCCGTAGACGAAACGATCACCGTTATTTCCATAATAGCTTTGAGAATAGCTCCCGCGAACACCTTGGCCAACGTATCTATAGATAGAATGTTACAAGATGCTTGGAATTTCAACGACTTACGGTCCTCTCGATAAAGGATTATGAAATTCATAGAGCACAGATGATGCAAACCAGCTAACAGCAACGCCGATACATATTCCAGTGAGAATCTGCATAACGCCGGCAGCAAGCATCTAAGGTAAAAATTAATTATTTAACTTATTCGAAAGAGTCTATAATTACGCATTTTTGCTTGAGTCCAGGTTGATCCATACCGACGGTAGTGCAATCAAGACCAATAACAGACGTAATTGTTGCGCAAAATCCGAAGAAGAGAGAAATTATTGTAAGTGCACGGGCGCCTTGTAATGACGCCGGTAACCCGATAAAAAATCTGTCGTAGGCATCACAGTTCCAGTTTCCAGTGGCCAGATAAGTGCACTTCGTCCATAATCCTATATAGAGCACATGAGATAACCCTTACCATGGAAAAAAATACCTGAGCTACGACGGATCGTTTCGATAACTTCACCTTCCAAGTCGTTTCTTCGCCAGAATGGAAGGATGCAGGCAATCAGGGTAATGACGAACGTCGTCATCGTCAACAGCAGAGCAATAATTTGCACACCCGAATTTCCCATTTTAAAGTTTTTCCTCTCTCACTAAAACTAAAATAATTTCAAGTTTAAACTTAGCTAAAACTAGACTGGAATGAATAGCCTGCGAAATTGAAGTTGGACAGAAAATCGAACGATTAGTTGAAAACTTTAACCCAAATGCGATAAGTAGCGGGTCACTTCTAAGCCTGTATATTCTGTCTTTCAATACATATACACGCGCTCTTGTCCCACTTTTGGGAGGATCATCTCTTTGACTAATACAGTGGCACTCCAGTAGCCATCTAGGTAAATTTACTCACAGAATCTCTTACCTGCAAAAAAGGAAGAAAAAGCAGATGTATAGCGAAATTGAATAATGCGCACCAAGCTTGTTCTAGTTTGGCGCTGGGCCGTTCTACTTGAATGCACCGCGCTCGTGACACCACCCGCGGTGCAGTCACCACCACCAACTGATTCGCTTCTACCGCCAACGAAGCGTAAACGAGGGCGGCGCGTTCAATCATTCTTAGTTCCGTTCATACAAATAATTTCCTTGAAAAGAATAAATGCAGCTATTTTATTGCCAGTACTTTATTTGAAGAATAGATTATCGAAGGAAAGTTATATTTTTACAGTAAGATACAAGAACGCTTTCCTATTTCCAATAGTAACGTGAAGTAGTAAGTTGTCATTTTGAAAATCACTTTCTTTGCCTGGAGCTGTGGGTAATGCGATTGTTCTTTGGATGAGGAAATTGAGATCCGTCAGATAATAGTGGAGAAGGGATGAAGGGACTAATCCACGCAACGGGCCAGTTTAAACCGAAAATCTCGCGCATATTTTGAAAGACTCCAGTGCGGTATCGCTCCTTGTAGGACTCTGAAAATATTGTTGAAAAATCAGCTACTTGAACAAACAACCTTTCTCTCGATTCATCTCTGTTAGAGTAATTCCTGAGACAAAACTTTCTGAGTGTAAAAAGATGAGGTAGCAAGTATATCCAAGGGCGAAGAGCGAGATCGTGGAGACAAAGAGGACGAAAAAGTCTTCGTGCAAATAGCCGACAAGCGCAGCTGGAATGGGGGCGAAGAAAGAGACGAGAACTTGGATTGGATTTAGAAGCGTCGTTTTGAACAAGAACTCGAGAGTGATAAAGTTGGTGTAGACCAACGCCAACCAGGTAAAGAAAAGCAGCCCGTAGAAATATCTTGAAGAGAGCAGTTCAATAATGGGAACCGAATAGGGTATAATCTCACCGGGCGTTCGAGTATCCCACGCAGTTTCCAGCAAAATAGCAGTGATGGTCACGCTTGAGGACGCAGACGCGGCAAGTCACGCAGTGATGGGCTCGATGAGGACGGTAAGCTTCGCATGTGTTGCATACATCCCATCCTTTCGTGATGTGATCATTCTCTTGAAATTAATTTAAGAGAAGAAACAGGTTGCCGTTACCTGTGAAAATAATCTTCCTGGGGGTTGGGTCGGATAAAATTAACTTCCATAAGTTTGAAAATACTGAAACCAACAAAAAATTAGTCACAATTTTGTGGAAGCGCAGCCAGTCGCCATCGAAAAGCGTTGCGTCTTCACGAGATACTAGCCAGTAGATAGCTGGTGCAGCAATATGAAACACGATGAACATAAATAGATTCATAGGTTGACGCCATATTCGTTTCCACCATAACATCTCTTAAAGTTGCTTCTTAGTTTTCCGAGTAAAATTAACAGCTCAAAATGAAATAATAATCAATCGTTAAAAAATGAACAGTTATGGGTCTCATTCGATTTAGTAGAAAATAGCGTTGTTCGTTTTAACCATGGCGTATTGGTAGTGTTCATTAAAAATATTATACAAAAATAAGCTTTCGCGCAAGATCACATGTGAAAATAGGGAATAAGAAATGATACAAAAGAATATCACGTGGGTTTTATAAGAAAATCAGTCTAAATCGTCCTCTTCGACGGGAATAAACACCGATGACGACGGAGTGACGGCACTTTTCTGGAGATGATTTTGGTTCATTCGGCCTGCCATCTGGAGCTGCATCTGATATTGTTTTTGCATTTTGGCCAGCGTCTCCGGGTCAGGCATGTTCGCTGGATGTCCCTAAAAGGTCAATGGAGTAAATAGAAAAAGAACTGAGTTAAATTACTTTATTACTACCACAGCATCGATCTTGACAGCCAGATCCGCTACTACCAGCAATAGTCATGGCAGTATCTTTGAAACTTCTGGTTTTGAGGAGTGTCCCAAGAATCACAGGTGTTCGAATAATGATTTTTCGGACGGGATTTCTTTTTGGGAGTGTGATCAAAATTGCTGCGATTACTGCGCTTATAAAAAAAAGTATGTGCCACATCCTCACTGAAAAACAGAAATTTAATTGTTTTCAAGGAAAGAAAAAACTGAAATAAAAAGGAATGAAGCCTAGAAGGGAACAGTGGAAATAGGAATATTGAGCGAGAAAACGTTTTTACAGAAAGAAAAAAATATTGAAGAAACGAAAAAAATTTATAAAAGTAAGCCAAAAGCGAATTTGAGAGAAATATCATTCATGTTCTGTGGAACTTGCGCGTTAATGCAAATAAAGAGTGATTTTTTATCGACTTTTCGTCCAATAACCCAGTATTGAAGAAGCCCGGAACCCTTTTTGAAACCAGCATTTATTATGGCACCAACTTCCTCATCTGAGTTTGATGATTTCTCGAGAAGTGGGCGCATTTGTTCGATAGTTGATCGAAAGTTGGCGAGCAGCTCTTTAGATGGAATCAAAAAATTGCCCTCAGTTTAAATAAATTATGATGCAACTGATGCATAAACATTTAAAACTTCAGAAACAACTTCTTTCCGTTCCTTGTGACACATAGAGTCCAACCGTCTTTGGTTGAAGAATTACTCCAGATTCAACAAAGCACGTAAAGTAGGAGATTCCATTGGGTCCAGCAACAATCTGAGTGCTAGGCTCATGAAAAGTTTTTGCTTCGTTGCCAAAATGAGTGTGTAATTCTCCAGCATTGAGAGGCCCAAGCATCGATGCAGTTGTACTTCCTGACTTGTATGAGCCGGATTCGCTACATTTATCGAGTCAAACGACGTACTACTCTTTTTGTCAAACCTAGGCGGCGGAACAGGTTTCGAGAATTTCGAAAAGAAAGAGTTTTGTGATGGCTGATTCCTCTCAATATTTGTATCCTTTGTTGCATAGAAATCGTCAGGAGAATTAATCCAATTGAAGAGGCGCTCATTGCGAGCAATCACTTTAGCAACCTGTCGGCATCTACGCGTGATCATCGGGTCAACAACCTTTGGAGTAGTACTTGCTCTATCTATAGGGTAAAATGATTCCAAAAGAGCGCCAATCGTTACTGTGGGAAGGCCTGGGATGTGAGGCTCGTGTTGAACCATCACCAGCGCATAAGAGCGTCCCTCGGGTTCTTCGTAGCCAACAATTTGACTTGTTTTGGCGCGATTATCCAGGAAAACCTCATGGCAGACTAAATTATTCTTTGGCTTCTACTATCTCTATCAGTAGGTACTACTCACAAATTTCGTCAGGCTCAAGCTTGACGATGGAGTGCGCGATACAGATGAGCCGTTGCTCGACTTGCGAAGAATGTGAACGGACCAGTAAATTATTTAAAAAGCAGCACGACCCTATTACAAAGTACTTTCTCCGAGGATAAAAATGATCAGAAGTTGAAATTGAATCAAATTCGACAGCATCGATTTCTGCAAGAGCTGCGTCCAAGTCAACGTGTATATCAACTGTAAATTGCTATGATTATACGGAGACCTCTTACAGAAGTGAACAGACCTGGCAACGAAAAACCATGATTCTTATATTGAAATGGCCAGTTCCGTCCTGCCTGATCCGGCTCAGAAAGATTATGGCAAAAGGAGTCGAAATAAGCTGGATGAAGATGCCCTGGTAGGTAAAGGAAGTTAGAGAAATCTCGTAGGGATTTCGCGGCTACTTGACAATCTCGCTCGGAAAAGTGGACAGCAGACAGCCATATATAAACAGTTCTGTTTCCTTCATTATAGTTTAACAATAATCGAAAGAAAACGCGATGACGTACTTCGACATGTCTGGTAAAAATTACATGTTAAACTTTCCCAGATCGGAAGAACGATGCGTAAAAGGGAATCCCAAAGGCTGCGTTTAACTTCGTCACGGGAGGGAAAGCAGTCTTGCTCGTTTCGTCATACTCAGTGCCACTCGAAGTCTCACTGCTCTTTGAAGCAGACTCGTGCGTCAAATTTATTCGCGTTATGATATCTAGAAATGAGTAAAATGCTAGAAGCGATTAAAAAAATTACCTCCTATAGTCAGAATAGCACCAGCTGATCTCGCCATTTTGGTTGTCTTCTCATTATCTGGATTCAAATAGAGAATCCTATCAGGAGACTCAGCATGGGAAGACTCCATCAAGGCTACCACCTGCGTCGGACAAGGTGCACGATCTTTCTTCTTTTTTGGCTTGCGTTTCGATTTACGTTCCATCTCCTCGAAAGAAAGCCGCACGACTCCAGAAACTTTCTTCATCCACATATCAGCAACAGGATTTCCGTCAACAAAGATCAGTAAATCACCAGGCCTCAAATCGTTCCCGATTAATTCTCTACTGACTTCGCGATTAACGATGAACTTCTTATCATTAAACGACGAGTCGGAGTCAGTGTCTGACTAAACTGAAGTTAATACCGCTCTTTGGAGTGAATGATTACGTGTTGGATAACCACTGTAATTCCAAAGGCGTGGAGAACCTCTGATACGAGCGCCGGGCCATTTTCCACTGGGAGAACAATTTCTTTCATCTAAAGCTAAAATGTTACTATCAATATAGCATTTTAGCTAAATGTTTTCAGTTTTTTAGGAAAAATTGTACATAGCAATTTGTCTTTCGATAAAACGCCGCGTTTCTTGTATTTCTTCAGATTCATCTTGAATAAAAACGAGATCGCTTGCAACGAAGATTTTCAGAAGAGACGCTCTTTTTACGTGGAACTTTGCGATCGGTTCAGTAACACTTGTATCAACAATTGTAAGAAAATATTCTTACGAACCAGCCTGAAAATCAACGCTCTCATCGCCACAAGAATACATTAAATCATCAATAAATTTGCCCAGCAATTTTGAATTCTTGGGCATATTAGGCAAATCAACAATCATACTCGCCCGTGCTTCCGCCCAGTGTGGCTTAAATGGCAATAACAAAGCGTATCGTAGTTGTAACGCTGCCGTAAGGTTGTTGCTCAACGTTGAAGGAAGATGCGTTTCATTTATCCAGCTGACTGGAATTTCGCCGATTTTTTTTCCAGCCAAGTAGTCAAGAGTCAAGTCGTTTAAACATATGCAAGTTTCGATTCCCAATTCAGCAGGCGTCATCATACTAGCGATGGCCGGACTAAGGTATTTAAGATTATGTTGCGGTTCTCGAATATGGCACATGCCTTAATTTGGTTTCTTTTGCTGCGATATCCAACGCCTGCTGAGTAAACCCGACACGCTTAGCCTGTTGAATCGCAGCTGCACGAAAAGCCGCGGCCATTCTAAGGCGATGTTTTCGATTAAAATTGTTTATTTTTTCATTTAATCCCTGAGAGAACTATTAAAAAGACTCTGTTTCAGTTGGAAGACATGGTAATTCGAGAGGACTTCGTGTAGGTGCACATCCTGAGCGTTCGGTTGTCTCAATTCTTATGCACTTTTATAAAGAAAGAGTTCTCTTGACTGAGATTAGGTTTTTGATAGACAGAATATGTCTCCGATGGATTGTTATCCGTTCGACGGTGAGAAGAGTTTTGCGAAGAATGGGGAAACTAAGAGTAAACAAACTGGCAGGTCAGGCGCATATTCCACAGGTCCACTGGCCACTCGGGGGCTTCTTCAGCGGAGGATTAAGGCAGTAAAGATGGACACCACGGTCGCAGTCGTCACAGAAGAGAAGCTTGTCGTCGTTTTCGTCAAGTCCGCACCTATATTTAATCATCAAACAGAGAAATAACGGACAAAGCTTACTTTGAGCAATGCTTGCAGTCCTGACATTCCCATAGATAACTAGTAATGTTTTTAACGATGTTGGAAGGTAGATTCATGCAAACTTAAAATATATTAGAGAAACTCGAAGTAAGAGCCAATCTTACAAGGATGCCCAAGACGTTTGCAAGGGCCTCCGCACTGCACCAACATCGACATATCTTCAGAGGATGCTTCTGGCCCGTTTGAGCAAACATCACACTTTTAGTGAGAGTATAATATCTATTTCAAAGAACTTCACCTACCTTTCCGTAATTGAGGACGTTGTTGAACAGACGTCTTTGATCAGTACTGGTTGATTGTTTAGCAATAGCCTCTGGATGGGCTTTCCGCATATGATATCCAAGAGAAGATTGATGCAGAACTCTCTGAAAATTGGTAAGTTTGCTACTGACTCTTGTCAACGCTTACATGTCCACAGATATGACATTCATGCTGGGGCTCGTACGCTTCGTAATCATCATCGATGGAAGGCTTTAGCCGAGAGCGCTGATTGTCATTGCTCAAACGAGTAGATCGGACCGAGGATCGTCTAGAAGGAGGCAGTTTTCTGCCTCCAGCTGATCTTCTTCCTTTGAACTTGAAATCTTCATCGCTATCACCTTCTAAATTAAAAATATACTTTCTTTCTTGAAAATTCTTCTTTACCATCATCTTGCATATGAGCATCATTTAATTCTGGTGTATCTTCGAATATTTTCCAATTTGGGAGGCAAGTTACTCCATGTTCAGGGTTTTCCGCCAGCGCTCTTGAGGAAGTCGGGTCCTTTCGTCGTCTCCATCGCCGCTGGGGATATCTGTACGCTTCAGATATGTTATCTGAGAGTTCACGCAGACCAGCAGTTCGTTCTTCTATCTCCACCTGTTTTAAAATGGTAATATTTCCGCAAATTAAGCTCTTACCTGATCAACATTCGTCTGTGAATCAAAGTACGGGATCCGGGACCGTCTATTTTTCGCCAGTTGAGAGTTCCAATTTCTGCAGCTTTGAAGGGAGGCTCGATACTTGACAACGTCCTTGGACTGATTATTTTCATCTTTCTGCTCCATTTCAGCAGAAACGCTTTCTTAATAGACTGTGATATTAGCCGATGGAAAATACAATTTTTATATAATTTTGAAGGCATCCAAGGGAGTTTGAAAAAGATAATGGAAAGAGCAAAACTGAAGAAGAAATGCAAAAACAAGTGCTCGCGAGGTTTTGAGCTGTTTTAATAAGAAATGAATTTTTGGTGGATAACGATGACCCGTACCCCAGACAATGATAACCGCAAATTTTTGCGAATTAATTTTTGGTACGATAACTGGTATGGAACATAAGCAAAAGAAAATTCTGAAGATATATAGGTTTAAGGTGAAACATAATGATAAATAAATGTATAACAAGGTCAACTGAATCTGTTGAAAACTGAGAATAACAGATAGTTGATTTACGAAAGAATCTGGTTCCATGAATAAGTTAAACATATTCGGATATAACTGATAAGCCTTCAACAAGCTGAACAGATACTGGCCTTCCATGAACAATGAACTTCTCGATTTAGATTTTCGGCAGCCGGGGTCCGTTGAATGCGGCGTTTGCGGCGGCTAAACGCTGCTTGTTTTCCTTTTCGTAGTCGAATTTACAAGCATGTTCTTCGGCGTAACGATGTTTCGAACAATACTGCAGTCCACACCTCAATTTTATAATGACGGGTTTGTTTTGTGAGGCTTACTTGCACTGATACTGCTCGTGCAAGGCAAGGCGCTTGCCACATTTGGCACATCGTGGCCGATGTGCTTTCGGTGGCGGCGGTTCTGGGATCAATGGAGGAGAGGGCTTCAAATTCAAAGCACCAGACTCGCCTCCAGTCGTGTCGGGATCAACGCGACTAGGAGCGAGTCCGTAACGCCTCAAGAATTGGGAATGAATGTTGGAAACGGGCATAACGGGTGGATAAATCGGCGGCAAAGAAGTGAGCTTTTCTGCTTTCTTAAAATATTCAAGGGAGGAAAAATAACTAGTTGTGTCTTTTTACCTGCGCCTCACGCGGAAAAGCCAAAGAAGGAAGACCATGCTTTTCAGAACGACGATTTTTCATCTTTGAACGCAACATTTGCATTTTCTTTAATAAAGTAGAAATATTTAAATATAGTTAGAATACCTGATATGTTCTCCGATTCTCAAGCGCCCGCATAGAATCTGGATTTGAGTTAGAGACAGTTGCTTGTTGCGGTTGTTCGAAGGGAGTGGAAGTTGTTGCGGTTTCGTCATTTGTAACACTGACTCTCACGAAGTTAACTTTCTCTCCGTCTTTGACGAATAGTACAGCGAATGCGTTCTCTGTTTCTGTGAGTTCATCAACCGGCACACAATTATCATCTGGCTCTTCATCCACCAGTCTGCCAAAAGAGTCAATCGAATTTCTACTCTTTTCTAACCTGGTATTAATAGGTCCTCCTCTCATTGAAACAACGAGTCTTATTTTGCTCATTTTCTTTACTCCGATATCGTTAAGCGTCTCTGAATCCTTGAGTTCGCGCCCGGCGAAAATCAAATGCTGCTGGCTGATAAGAATTCCTTCGGAGCGCGAGAGACGGGCTAGAGAGACTCATTCACAGCTTATGAGAACGCGTGGACTCACCTTTTACGCTCCACACGCTGTCAGATGAACTGCATCGCAGTTCATACAGCTGACCCGTCAAAGCCTCTAATGCAAGTATTATTGTTAAGAAACGCATCGGATATTACCTATCTGAATAACGAACATTTTACTCGCCCTGGAAAGGGAGCTCAAACGTCTCGACCCTTCATCTTCATTGAGCTTCCGACTCATTGCCTTGCCCCATCTAAGTCGTCGAGTTAATTTAAGCAGTTACTGTCACACTCTCTTATCCAATGAATCAACAAGGAACAACAAGTTTTTTGTTGATTTTTAGAAAAAAAATACAATAGGTGACTAACGTTGTTGAGCATTCTTGGGGAACAATAATGAAGTCAGATGGAGTGTTTTGGCTTTATTAGTTATAAATCGCAGGTTGAGGCAAATGAACTACGTTGCAAAGCTTCATGCGAAAAATGATACAATTCTGATCACGAATCGCATATCACGAGGTAATAAATTGAATAATTTTAGCTAGAAAATAATAAGCAATATATTCACGGATATAAAAGTAGATGTTTAGGCAAATCAAAATGAAGGGAAATGGTAGTGAGAATAATTCGTCTTGGAAAAGTACGTTTTGTGAAGAGTCGTGAACGAAGGATGAAAAAATAACAGAAACCGGGATTTAGGAATGGATTGCTGAACTGTTTTCAAGAAGGAAAGCTCTGAAGAAAATTTCGAAGGAGCTCCTGTATTGAGCGCGGATCTTTCCCAGTTTTTTCCTTTATAATCTTGTTGACGGCGGGAATGAGGTCAGAGGCCAGGAATTTCGCAGATCGGCGGACTAGTTTTGCTACACCAAATTATTTAATGATAATAAAGTAAATTGGTACCTTTTTCTTGATCTCTTACTTCTGCCATACTCTTCGAGATACTATGTGTTACAGTTCGGAGTAATTCTGTTATCGAGTCAACGATCGGGTGGTAGAGCTCCTGCGAATAGAGCTTCATTGCCGCCTGTGTGTGCGTTACACATGCTCGCGCGAAAGAAATCATAGTCGGTGTTAGACGGACAAAACAAGGGTCTTTGCAATATTGGTTGAATGTTGTTAGGTTTAGCCCGGACATTTCTTCTTTCAATTTTTCCAGTGCCTAAATATTTAAAATTTGACTAGTTCTCCTCGTTGTTTTCATAAACTTTTCTTGTACGTACAGTTGGCGTTTGTAAGTTGAGAGGTCTCCATTCCTCATTAGAATGTTTCCATTTCGTACCATCAGATATTAACTTTCTGTGGTTGATTATGGCTTCAACAATATGCCTTCTCATCAGATGTGCTAGAAGAAATTCCACGTCGAGCCCCATTTCGGAAAGCTATAAAAAAGTTAGCTCTGATCGAGGAAAATTGAAAGCACTGGATAACGGATATGGATGCGTGTTTAAAAGTTTTTACTCTAGGAGGAAACTGGCTGATCGATCAATAGTTGATCAGTGAAAACCGTTTTGACCCCTAATTGGTCGGAAGGATGCTGAATTAGGTCGAATTATGACAAAGGAATATTCTCTCTTGAGAAATTTGTCTGAAAGATAACTCTAGCAACTAAACTTGGTTAAAAATAGAAGCCGTAAGTCGGAAAAGGGTTTCCGTCATGCACTCTCTCATCCTCTCATGCGATACATCACTAACAACTCATTTAACGCGGTATCAATCAAAGATCATTAGAAGGGAGCAGCATAGTGCCGATGCTACTCGACAAAAGCGGAAGTGTTACTTGAATCATTTCGGGGGGAGCAGGGCACCCCACTAATAGATCACTTGATCATTTGAGACATTTTAATTTTATCTGAGCACTCGATATTCCGCTTCTTCCGAGTATTCAAGTGCACAAATTTTACTTCGCTTCTCATACCACTCTAATTCAACTTTCTAAAGGCAACTTTGTATCAGCCTGATGGACAAACATTTCAAGTCTTGTATTTTTTATACAAGACGAAAAACTGTGAAAAAGCTAATAGAACGGTTTTAAGGAGATTGACTGAATTATCTTCAAAACTGATGACAGATCCGAAGCTGATCTTCTACATTCCTCACTAACCTTTGGCTAGTCAATCGGATTATTCACAATCTATTGAGCTATTCATCTTTATATAAATCATACTTAACGGTTATTCTTTTACAATTCAATTTTGTTGGTCTGTCCGTGTAAACAAGGTGGCACTATTTATCAGCGCAAATAACGCATCGTTCCCAACCCAAAAAAGTACAAAAACAATCTTTTCGGCAAATAATTCGATGAGCGATACTATGTTTTATCACAAAGGACTTAAGTGCAGAACTAACTTTAGGTTTTGTTGCAATCGATCAATCTATTAGCGTACTTCAGTGGGTAGTCAGTTATCACAGCCTGCACGGGCGCCCCCTTCCGATAAAACTCTTGTTGATCAAGACATCACGATCAGCTCCTCCAGTGCGGCGGCGCCATCGTGCAAAAAATAATAGGGTTCTCTTATCATAGCTAAGCGTTAAAAATTCGTCTTTATTCTCGATTTTGCGATTTCTTCAATAAAGAGATACTTTGTAAATAAGTGCAATGGAAGAAAGAAAAAGCTACTCGATAGGAAAGGTCTCTTAAACTTTTTATTTGCACTCGGTTCAGCACCGAATCTGGTGTAAGAACAAAGGATGCTATACGCGAATCGGTATAACAGTTATTATTTTTTGTTATAATAAGATCAAAAACATAAATGGAAGAAATTATAGAGAGACAAAATAAGAAAATCTCTTAGCTAGTAGACAATCAAGTGCGGAATCAACCTTGGACTCGCAAGTACTGAACAGTATCCACATGAGATCTCTCTCATACCCAACGAACACAACAGCATCACTTTCATCACTGACTGGGGCTGCTACTCCCACGACGATCCCATTCATACGGGGATCATTTAGCCTACCGTCAACTGGTCTGAATATCTTGCCCGATGTTACGTCCGTATCAAGCTACCTATTAAACGCACAAATACAGGCGATAGCCCTCCAGAATCAAATGTGCAGTCAGCTACCTCAAAGACTTAATACAGGTTAATGCTTAGACAAGAAAAATGATAGTATTAACATTTTGATTAGCAATAAATAAGGCAACTTATGCACTGGAATAATTAATAAATCTGACATAAACTTTTAGTCCCTTTGATACCGTTCTCTCCACATTGGAGCAAAAGTCGTCGAAAAGGTGGTCAAGTTAGATTCACAACAGAACAAACAAACAAGCTTGAAGAGAAATTCGAAACAGAAAAATATCTCAGCCCACCAGTAAGTCTTCCTTGTTATCATGAAAACTTTTCCCATAATACTAAAAATCGAAGCCTCTCACCATTCCTTCTAGGATCGCCGCGAAATGGCGGACGCGCTTGACTTGACAGAGCGTCAAGTAAAAACTTGGTTCCAGAATCGCCGGGCGAAATGGCGTCGGCAAAAGACAGACGAGTCTGGAGATGAGTCTACTACCAAAACTAACATAATTGACGAATCCGATCTTGACTCCCCACCATCAACTAACTGACAACTGGGAGTCACATGTATGGCTTACTGTACATTTCTTTAAATCGAAACGAAGACTAAAATGTAATGGACTCACAGCAGAAAGCTTCCCTGTATTATCGCGAAAAAGCACTCCAGAAGCAAAAATCGACTGTTAGAAAATAATAAACCCATACAAAAAATCTGTGTTGAAAGAATCGTATTACCTCTTACAATAAAAATTACTCACTGACGTTTCATAAGCAAAATCCTCACCGCAGAAAATTTTCAATAAATTATGTCAATTGAAAAAAAAAACAGGTTACCGGATGGTCACCTAAGGTTCTCCCAAAAAAAAGAAAATGTGGCACACCGCCTTATGAAAATGCGAGAATCACTGGATAGAAATTAAAGTATGAGTATGCGTACGTAAATATAATACCATATCTGTAATAATAATATCTGTAATATCATATCTTATCCATTTTTACATTTTCCGATCTATCTGCAATTAATTATACCGGTTATGGTTTCGACGGCATCCTCAAGTGCAAACTTCCTAGTGTACTTCAGTAAGAGTCGCGTGCCCAAACACTCTCCATTATCATGAGTGATATTGTTGCGTGTTTATCGCCTGTTTGCCTAATTAATTATAATGTTGTTGAGCATAAAGCACCTGAATATACACTTGAACCGATGAGGATCCAAGTTTTATAATTGTTAAGAGTTTGCTCAAAAATAAAAATGAACAGAGCAACAGTCACTCTATTATCCCCTGCCAGTTTCCGCTTTTTAGGAGTGATTGAAGGAGAAGTAGGCGCCAGGTAGCCTAACTCTCGTCGGTTAATAGAAAATTACCTTTGAGGATCCGGAAAGAGCGGCGCAAACACACTCTGCTTGTTCCAGCAGCTCTGTATTGCCAAGAAACACTTGAATAAATTGAAAAAATATGACTTCGTTAGTCTCAAACCTTGATTAGCGAACTGTTCGACGAAGTCTCTAAGTTCATCTTGAACCCACACGACCAGGCTCGAGAAACTGTCAGCCTTGTTTTCAAAGTCATTATTGAATTCTTTGGCGGTCTCGTAGATATGGTCGAAGAAAATCCGGCAAAATTTCTGGTTGTGTCTCACTAGGTCACCTTAAGGAGGGCGGAGAAAGATAAATAAAATTAATGCTTAGCCCAGAAAATTCTCGTTTGCAGTAATCATCATTGCCAATGATTCATTGGTTTTATGCCCTATCCTTCCATCACGAGATTCTTTCTCGAATACTTTTGAGCAGCTGTGCGCGATTCAAGAAAGAGTCTCGCAGCTTTCCGTTCTTCTCCAAGCTGGATCAAAAGCTTTACAATGGCTCTCAGACTGTTCAGTGCTTTTAAAATTTGTGACTTAAGTTCGAGTACCGATCCTGAGCAGGAACTCGTTGCCCTCTAGGACCAGCTCGTAGTGATCTATCGGCGGCGGGCGAAAGTTCCGCACAGAGGACCTCCACGATCATTTTCCGTTTTTCTGACAGTTGATGCTTAGTGTCGTTAGAAGATTTCGGATGTTCCGTAGCCAGGGTCTTTTCGCATTTGAGGAGAATTTTTTGAGCTTGGACAAAGTCCCGTTGTGCTAGAAGCACATCGATTTCCTCTGGCGCTTCTTGGATCCAGCTAGGAAGATTATTTCCCGCGTTTGAATCCTATCGATGGGCTACATTTTTCTCTGGAGTTAATCCGACTATTCGTAAATTCGCTTTTAGGCTGACATTATGAATCAATATTTCTGCCTAGTCAACCATAAAAAGTAGCCCCAATCCTGTTTGGGAGATAGACGCACATGAGAATCTTCATCTGAGGCATCTGAACTTCCTGAAAATGGATTCCCATCGTCTCCATCATCTGCCAGCGGGACAGATGGGTTGCCAGCAGAAGACGTTTTCGTCTTGGAGGAAATTTTTGTCTCTTCTACTATTTCTAGCCATTGACGCTTCTCCTTTGGCGTCGGACACTAAAGAATCTTTTTGAAATAAGACTGTAAGACGTCGATTTCTTACCTGAAACAGGCGAGGTTCAGGAAAACTCATCACTTTTACGCAGTTCTTTTTGGTGCCCATGTCACGCTCTTTCACATTCACGATGGGTAATCCTTCAAGTGAGTAGAGATTTTGAAATTTCAGTTTTGCCTCTTTTCTTGAGCGCTGACGTTCCTCTGACGCTTTTGTAACGATTAATGAATCATTGAGAAGGAATAGACGAAGCTTCCCGATTTCAGAAAAGTCATTCTGGTCGAGTTCAGTCACTTCTCCATCGTGGACCAAATATCGACCTGGAGCCAGAACATGACTGCACCCCTCGACTTTAGAAATTATTGTATTCAGCGCACGATAGGCTGATTTTCCATCTTCACTCGATTTCTGCTGCTGAGCTTCAACTTCCTTCCACAAGAGCTGGAAAAACACGACTCAGATTGATCGAAATTACATTTCCTTTCTAGCTTGTCCTTAAAAGTCTCTTCCGAAAACAGTTTTGTTAAATTATCCATCGTCGACTTTTGCGTCTGCAGAATATGATTGATACGGATCATTTCGGACTCTAGCGCAGATATCTCGCGCGCAGCTTCAATAAACTGCCGATAGTTGAGGTAGACTTGCCGCTTTAGCTTGCGAGATGTTTCGTCGGACAGTAACTACGCAAGTGAGTCTGTTCAAACCAACGACAAGTAAATACCCGTATGTTCTCACGGCGTTCTATCAAATCTTTGTCCCCGTCCGACTGCGCCGATATCGACTTTGCGTACTCCTCAGGATCGAAGCCTTTAAACATAAAGTTCTTGGCCATCGACTGGGTCGACGGAGAGAAATCGTCCTGCCCCATTCTAATGCCAAAACATTACATTCTCATCACATCGAATTCAATATTTAATTTTTCCTTCATTTATATTACAAAGAAGCAACGCAGGTACGAATCTTAGCTCGTTTATTTTTTGTTTATCAGTGAAATGTTTTAACCGTGTTGATATTCTTACGACGCAATATATTAAAATTTTTAACAAACTTAACAAGGGAAGCGGCTGCATATATTTGAGTAACAATTCTATATACAACTAAAGCTAAATGACTTGGGACGTGGTATTAACCCTATGTCAAGTTAGAGAACGTATTTTACCCAAGGAAACAGAAATAAAAGCGGCTAGGAAGAATTGAATATTTCCTTTTTTGTATTTTTGGCGAATCGGAAATAACTCGAGGCACAAAAGGCAAATCAAAGGGATAAAGAAAGATATGGAAACATATATGGAAACATAAGGAAAAGATCAGCACAACTCACAGCTTACCAGCCGACGATTTACTTGAGGTCAATTGTGTGAATTGAATTTCTTCTCTCCTCACAGTGGAAAGACATTTGTTTGAGGCACGGAAATGATTATTATATAAACAAAAGGTGGTGTAAGGACCTCTGAGGATTGAAACTGAAAGCATTTTTGTTGGCGGAAACGGAAAATTAAAAAGTAAGTTGGGAATTGTTTTACATCCAGTGGATAACTTAAAAGAAGTGCTAAATGTAACTGAAATATAACAGAATAACTGTCAAAAGTAGTAGTTTTTGCTTGTGAGTTATGAATATTTTCAGCCGACGTAAAAGTGAATAGGGATATTCTCAATATAAATATTAGCAACATAAGTTCAGCTTTGTTTTACTTTGTTAATAACTGCGTCTTCATCAGCGCAAGAACAACAATCTGGTGTCATCTCTGATTGATAAAGGAAAGTTCGAAAAGGACTCTTTCCAAATTTAGTGAGAGCGCGTAAGAGAGGATTTTATGGGTTATTTGGGGCAGAAGGGTCTCTTGAGAAAACCTAGCACTGTGAACAGGGAAAATACACTTGCTCTCGATCGCGAAATTAATAAATTAGTGAAGCCGTAGCAAAGATGGCAGGCTGGCTGGGCTCTTTCAGGATATTTGTTCATATAAAAAAAATAGTAGCGCAGCACGAAATAGAGAATCTTCGTGTCAAAGCCCAAGCACCAGTAGATTTTCCTCTGTTGCATCAAGATTGATATAATTCTTATAAATATGTATAGCAGAGACAAGGTTCGAAAAAATATACACAAATAGAGCTGCCGCCCAAGCAGCTCACAAGTAAAAAGGATATTGAACGAAGTCAAAGTGATCGGCGGTGCTGCCGTCCAAAAAAATAAAACTTGTGAAACGGAAGTGTCCGTGAACGGCAATTGTCTGGGCGGAGATTGACAGTAGTTCAGCAACTCCGGAATAGTCGCAGTAGCTAATCATTTAACGATAATAATACGAGATCAAGTTTGAAGCAGCTAAAAACTAGTCATATGAAAGAGGTCGATTTCGATCTAATGGTCAAATGACGCGAATTGTGAAGAGGAAGGAGATAATTGGAGATTTTGATAATTTTAAGATCCTAATTGGCGAAGATTGGTTTCGCTGAAGTGTGTAGGGTTTGGTTCTTGGTACTAAAGCCTTCGTCATTTTTTGAACAAATGAATCTCATCCACTTAGTCGCTTGTTAGGGAAGGCATAGTTTGTTGGCGTACTTTTTAATGCTCGCTGACGTGCTGCGGCGCCATGTAGAAATTACCGTAAGGAGAGTACGACGCTGGAACGTAAGTTCCGCAGTTTGGATAATAACTTGGATATCCGTAGGGACTAAACTCAGCTGGAGATGCATAGCCTCCATTATTATTTGATTCTTCGCTCTTCTTTTTTGATGACTCTTCCTTGATTTCATTATCCTTTAGGAGTCGTTAAACGCTGTCTATCAAAAGAGTAAATACCTCTTCTAAGTTAGTGTTCGGATACCAAACACCGTTATATTCGTAATGTCCTGTAGATTGGTCATCAGCACCGATAGGGAGACCATGTTGATCGACGGGTACTGGCATTGGATAAGGGTACATCGAATATATCGGTGAATACATCGGATAAGGCGTGTAATCCGTCGAGTAGACACAGTTAGCTGGTGTGCACTCACGCTCCCGTTGATGCTCTTAAATACAAGTTAAGAGCGCAAAAAAGGGAAGGATAGGTACTTTTCTCGGCATTTTTAATGAATCTAGCATTCTTCGAGTGAGCTTTTTTCACTTCGCACAGATGAGATCCAATTCGCTGGTATTTGCTTTGGCAAATGCTTTCAACAACGTCGATTGCTTTCGCCTTATCTGTATCAGCAAAGGTTATAAACGCGTAGCTCTGATGGCTTCCTGTGTCCTCGTCGACTTTCATGTCCATCTAAAACATGTGTAATAATTCAATGGAGATAATCGTTCTCACGTTTTTAACTTTGCAGCCTTCGAACTTCTCTTCGAAGTAATCTTTGACTTCTTTGCGTGTCGTTTCGGCGGCGATTCCACCGACAAAAACTTTGTCAACTGGACGATGGCGGCCTGCCTCGTCCACAATGTCTTGTCCCTACAAATACTTTAGCGAGGTAATGATACTAATAGCAAACAAATGTAGTTAGTGAAAGAGATGCAAATGAGTGAGTGAAATCAGATGTGAATTTGTGTTATTTGGGCATGCAAACATTCACGAAACCACTTAGATTTGCTTGTGAATCTCTTCGATTTTCTGAAAATCGCTTGACAATCAAGGATTTTTATTACCAAGTAGTACTTGTGAGCATTTGAACACCAAAAAATAACATGTTTCTACGCAAGATCGGAATTAAAGGCAGCGACACTGATCTTTCCCAATTGTGAGAAAGAACGATGCGTTGACACTTCGAGATGGAAGCCCAAGAAAAACCCAATCACAGAAACTGAATCGAAGGCAAAAACGAGAAAGATGGAGCCGTTCCGCTAGCAAAATAGATTTCTAGTGGGTTTGTAACTTCATGACAAGCGTTAAACTGCCTGGTCGAATAAATTGTTGTTTATTGGACCCGCGGGATCGAGAAAATAAAGCATGCCAAGATAGGTTTCGTCAAAAAGGCAGCTAAAATAGTCCTTGCTATTTCTGTGCAGAGTGTTTTAAGCTATTGGACAATGTGCGAGCAGAGGGTAAAACAGCCCGCTTCTTACATTCTGCAATAAAATGTGGATGCATCGAAAGTTTGAGGCGAGAAAACGACAAACAACGATGTCTTTGGCCGGCTATGACAATAAGTCTACTATACCTTTTTACTTTTAACGAGGTTATTTGAATTATTTTCGGAGTAGGTATCTGACTTCAATCTCCCGATCAACTAAATCGGTTTAGTCAAAGTTGTTCAGAACACTCTCAAGTCGATAAACAGCGCACGTCAAAACGAAAATCTTTCACAGAGCTATGCTAGGATGGGCGCAACTGCCGTGAAAAATTTTCGGTGCTCGCGATTTCGAAGGCACTTACGTCGCGTGAAACAGCACGTTTTACGTCAACAACTTTTTCGTTGATTTGGTGAACTGGATGGTGGAGGACAGTCTCCGCGTCTTCCGGACTGGCGTACACAACGAAACCGAATCCGCGCGACTTTTGCTTTTCGGGGCATTTTATTACCTAAAGTTTTCATTCAAAAAATGAGAGTCGAAAAAAATACTGACCATGGCGTCTGTTAGTTGCCCAAAGGCCTGAAAATAGTTCCGGAGGTCGTCGTCTTCGGTTCGCCAGTGCAAGCCTCCGATAAATAGCTTTTTTTGCTGTTGCCCGTCAATCTCATAGTCGGGATGAGAGTTCGGGTAGTTAGTTCCGTTGTGGAACTGAGAACCGGTCGGCGAGGTCGAGCTGCAGCTTCCTTGCGAGGCACACGGCTCCATCATTCCATAACTAGTATCCATCGGCATTACTGGCATGTTCTGAACGGATGCTCAGCAAAGACAAAGATTAGAGTTGGACGGCCTTGAGCAGTAAATTGTGACAAGTTCAACGCCCACCACTGCTGTCTACGAGACTTGACTATATTTTAGATCTCGTTAAATTAAATAACTTCATGCCAAATGTAAATAAACTGTTCTTAATTTTTAATCAAAATCTAATCACCAAACCAAGATGAAAATCTCAAGCGTAAATTATGATTCAATAATTTTAGTTGATTTCAATCACTTCTCACCGGATAAACAAATGGTGGGTAGAAAACCCCGCTCATTGGGGCAACCATTGCTGGACTAGGCATTGGCTAGAAAATTCAACGTAGATTCGTGGAAAAGTGTCATCAACAAAGGGACTTACATGAGAGCGATTGTTGGCGGCGATGGCGCGCTTGACCTCGACTTCGCGATCGGCGATTTTGTGGATCTTTACTTCGAGCGCCTTTTCTGCTTCTTCGATCGAAGCGAATGTGACGAAGCCGAATGTGCGTCCTTCTTTGGTCTGAACAACAACACTAAGAAACGATCTCCTCACAGAGCAATCTTACCAAAGCTTCAACAACAGTTCCGAATTGGGAAAAATGCTCACCGAGTTCTTCGCCAGGAAAGTTAATCGGCAGTCCCCCAACGAACAGTTTTTCGGTCGGCTCCAAGTTCTCCTTCAAACAAATAAATTGGAATCATTTTCGAAGAAAGAACAACTTACAACGTCTATTCGATTTCTTCTACGCCGGTCCCTTAAATGGCCATCAGATTGGCTCCTCACTGACTGGTAAGCCGGGAGGGTGATATCGAGTACTTGTCGGTTTCGGCGCTAGAATTCAAAATCAACTTCACCTCTTGTGATGGTGCTTACTTTTCCCCTCTCTTTTTTCGGGGCTGATTCGGTCGGCCTCTGGTTTTCGTGATCAGAGGAGCCACTCCCGTTGCTTTCTTTCCCGTTTTCGACATGCGCACTAGTTCCATTCGATTGTCCATTTTCTGCCGCCTTGTCGGCTATATTAACTCGCTCGAGGCCGTTTGCCACTTCTTCGACGGGTGAAACCGCCACTTGGCTACCATCGGTAGGCTTAGAAAGAGTTTATTCCCGAGTCACTTCCAAGACCTACCTTGACAGTGGAAGGCATTTCGAGATCGAGTCTCAGGTCTTGTATCTTTTTCTCTCTCAAGCTCCGATTCGAAATGATTGTTACACCCGCCCGAAGCCTGTCAATTTCAAACCTATCTTAATTACAAGCGTCAGGAGTTTCTGACGAATACAATAATTTTGGGAAGATTATCAACCTCAGTGACTATAACAGGATTAATCGCCAGTTAAAAATTGTTGAATGAGTGACGTATTCTCTTAAACAGTTAAAGATATACGAAAAAATTCCAGTAATTGTTCATAAAACCGCTTGCGCAATAATAAAGCTTAATTTATTTCCACTTTGGTGCTCGAGAAAATTATCTAAGCAAAAGAATTTGGAAGAGTGATTTGTAAGAGCAAAATGACGGTCGATAGAGCGAGGATCCATTCGAGATCGGTCTCTATTTCTCTTTCTTTCTCTCGAACAGGATGAGTCACTCGAAGAGGTCATCGCGCGCCCACGCAGTTTCCTAGTGGCTGACTCGAAATTTCGTCTTTTCGTTCGTCGAGAAATTCACCAAAGTCGAAGAGGTAAAGTCCAAATTCCTGAGAGCTAAAGTTTGAACTTCTCGTAGGCATGTGCTGAGACGACGAGCTGGGAAGAACCTGTCAATGCGGCGGCCTTTAGTCAGTATAACCGGTAACCGATGACTACTGCCCGTCACAATCTGCCGAGTCGGGAGACCTCCAGTACCGACAAGTTCTTCAACACCGGTCCGATCCGTCCAGTCTGCAAAGAAAACTCCGCTAAAAGTTCCGAGATCTCTCGGTAAGTCCGTTCCGTCGATACAAACACTTACTGTAACTGATCGTTTAGAGTATGAGAGGAAGAAGTATCGCTGAGTGCGATACGACGGCGCAGAAGAGCAGCAGAAATCTTCCAGAAAAGCTTCTACTGAAGAAGAATCCGTGAAGGAGAGGAAGCGGAGAAAATGAGATCCCGGAGAAGGATCTCCTTTTCTGGAAGCAAAGGAGCAACCTGCTGCTTATTTTAATACCCATGTTGGGTATTAAAAAAAGACTGGGACTTTTACATTCTCACACTGAAACTTTTACATTTGTCCGAAAATACAACTACTACGTCTTTTTTCAATCTGAACGCGTTTCGTCTTGTTCTGCAGGTTACCATCATCAAGTGTGGAGCTTACTTTCTCTAGTCGAGCAGGTTTTGAATCAGCAATTATGTAAGAGGCAAGATCCCTCGATGGTTTTTATAATTTCGTTTATGATGCGAAAGGGCACTCCGCAAAATGGCCGGAGACGATGTTATTCCATGTAAAACATTTCTCCCCACATTACTGAATTGCAGAACATCTACAACTGGCATCCTCTGCTTTCCTCCAGAAAATGCTGCAGTGATAAGATTTGTTAGCTCATTTTATTTTAGTGAGTTTAAAAGTGGAGCACGTTAGGCATTCGAAGGCCTAAGCAATACTGGGCGAGATACTGCGCGATGGTTGATTCGTTTGGGCGTAAACTCGATTTATCTCCTTACTATCGCTCAATTAGGAACGAATAAAATGCAATATGATTTGAAGTCTACACCCGGAAATTAATCAAATATTGAGGCTCAACCTTGGCCCTGAAGTTTTGGTTCTGTCATCTCATTCGCTAGAAATAACTTTGCTACTGGAATGTTCATAGGACTTTTACCATAATCGTTAATGCTCGCCGGATCTGAATGTTATCAAATTGGGATTTCGATTTCGAGAGGAATATTTACCTGTAAACATCTCGCAAATGTTCGCTTCTCCCCGTTTCTCCTGAAGTGTGTTTAAGAAATACGCTTATTTTTAGTTTCCGGGCTACCAGTTTTAAACTAGAGCTCGTTAGTACTAAGAATGTCTTTACTTGAGTAACGTACCCTCGCTTCGATGACAAGTGAATGCACAGTAGGTGCGAAGATTCCGAGTAAAATCTCTATCTTCATCTCTTTTTTCTTCCGTGTTCTGCAGCTCATTAAGCCTGAAGAGCCCTTTTACGTGCGGATAAAACTAATCTCCCATTTAGCACTCTCTTTCATCTTCAAGCTTGCATTTTTCATATTTAGGCAAATTAGATAGATTGATCTGCCGATTCGGCATTACTGTAGTGCAACTCCTCTAACAAACGTTACTTAGATCTCAACCATTTAAATATCTAATAGGCAAGCCAAACTGAACGATGAACGGTCCTAATATTAAAATCACACGGCCAAAAAACTCACTTAACATATGACTAGCGACCAGATCCATACTTCAATTTAGTAATCTAAAAAAAAGTAAACATTCGCTAGATAAATTTGGAGCGCTCGATGGCGCCCTCGGAGAAGTCATGAAGCTTTCGACTTTTTCGATTTTCTTTCAGCATTTCAGTCCCCCTTAATTTTTCTCGTAGATTCTGAAAGGGTGGAATATCCCTAAATTTCAGATTTTTAACAAGAGAAATGAAAGTGTTGTTGTTTATACTATCGCTTGTGCATGGACAGAGAAAGGACCGGGTTGAGAATTATTTCAAGTTTGTATCAAAAATAGTGCCCTCGCATCACAATTTTTCGCTTTCTAAAATCTCTATACAATGAGCAGGTTCAACTACCGAATAATTGTAATAAGCGTTATTTCCTCATTTCATGTTTTATGTGTAAACTCAGGTTTGATTATAAATCTATTTTTAACCCGAGGAAAAGGTTGAGACATGCCTGGACACACGGCCCGATTACTGCGCTCAGTATGGCACTAGATTTTGTTCTGATACTGATTACATGAAGCTCTGTACATTGACTTGTGGTGCTTGTGGGTAAGTACTCAACATCCACTCATTCGGAAGTATCCCAAGGCTGTCCAAACTTGAGAAAAGACTCTTGAGCTGACACTTGTTGGTATTGTTTTTATAAAATGATTGAAGGCAGATTTGGCTCTTAATTATATAAATTTCGCGGTCGCCTTGTGGTCTTTCTACCTCCTGCTCACTAGCTAATTTTCAGCATAATTGGCTCTTGTAGTTTTGAAATTTAGCGACCAAATACCGCAGTCGCTCATAAAACACTTGCTCTGTATTACAGAGTCTGTAATCTTAAAGTTTGTTTAGAATATTTTTAAGTAGGGAACTAGAATTTTTCCGAGGATACTCGAGTTCTGTGGTTTTGCCGGAATTTCGGTTGTATAAAAAAACTTCTTCAAAAGTACTTCTAGACTTCCGCAACGAACCGGTCTCTGCGAAGATCGACTTCCTCATTGTCCGCAGTTAATTCGTGGTTGCCAGCAGCCTTTCATTCGTGAATCTTGTCCAGTCTCCTGTCGACTCTGCGCCAGATCATACCCTTCTAACCCAATTCCTACTCCCCGATCGAACGGAATCGTCGCTAAAGTTCTAACGTAAGTTATTCTTCAGAAATTAGACCTCTCCTATAAGCCCCCGGGTTAGGAGTAGGTTTAGGGAGAAACAGTTTTCTATACCCCGAAGATTGACCACATATGACCCCTATAAGCCAGAGTTAAATTTCCTCTTCGCTAGAATTGAATATTCCATAAGTAATTTTCCTTCAAGTACGAAAACCACAACGCTTTCCACGACCACTACTTCAATAACGACTAGCTCTACCACAACTACAACCACGACTACCACCACAACTACAACCACTAGCACCTTTAGTACTTTTCCAGACTGGTGTCAAGATTCAAGCAAGACGTGCAATGTACTGAGAAGATACTGCGGAAGTGCGAGTTTAGGAACTGGTTTCGTATTTATCAAGTAAAAATAAGAGGCTCGATTTGAGACGATTTGTCCCGCCAGCCCTTTGATGAGCATTTTAATTCATGCACTGCCATCGATGGCAGTGCCATCTGTTCTGCGTCTATTTTCTTAGATGTCTATTGACAAAGACTCTTAAAATTACGTAGACAAGTATCTATGATATCGTATATTTATACCAGTCCGGAGATATATACTGTCCACGAACATGCAATGCCTGTAGCAAAATAACTACAACCACAACTACAACAACAACAACAAGCACGACAACAAGTACCACTACTACTAGTTCGACGTTGTCGACAACACTGAGTCCCGAAGATTGCTTCGACTCTGATGAGACTTGCACTGTGCTTGGCGCTTATTGCCACGTTGAAGCTCTAGCTTTGAACTGTCCTTTTTCCTGCGGCCTCTGCAGTGTCACCACAGACGCAAGTTTTACTACAGAAACAACTACGACTGTAACTCAAACAATACCCTCCCAAACAGCAACGACTGTACAAATGACGACGACCACATCCAAACCATTGAATATTCGTGCGTCATGCTCAATCTCGATATTATTTGACGAAATGGAATGGGACTCTAGTTTTGGAGATGATAAATCTTTTATTTTTGCGATGATGAAGGCTGAAATCGAAGACGCACTCGGAGAGATCTTCGCTGATCGTTCAGGTACACGGTTGAAAATCGCAGATGAGACTGTGTTTCGACTAACTATCATGTATATTTGAATTAGAAATAAGCCTCTTCTAAGGATACAACGGATTGGAAGTCACAAGTTTCAGCGCAGGAAGCATTATCGCCGACGTCACTGTTAAGTACCTCTTCCAGGACTACCGCAAGAATTCTTTCGAGCAAGAAACCTTCTTATCTCAGCTAGAGGAACAAACAAAAGAGATTATCAAGGAAAACAAGGACATTCTCAAGGAGCGACGACTTGATGTTTCCTCTGTCGATATCGTCCGTGCAGAATATGAAATTCTAGGGAAGAGGCCAGCAAATCACTTTTCTAGTTAAAAATGAGATTCTTTGAATGTTTGCTGCGCCTATTAATAGAAGGCACACAACATCTTGTCTTATCGGATTCCACAAATGTCACTGAAATAGCCAACTCGCAACCCGTAAATAAATATGGACTGCTAAAGCCGATTATGCAGATTCCAATTTTCGGAGCCTTATTTGAAAACATCTCAAAGTTGCTCGGTGGAGAGGAGCAAGACACATCGCTGTTACAAGAAATCGTGGATTCTGTTTTTGGTGAATCAATCGAAACTTCCACAGCAGCGGAAATATCAACCAGAACATCGACGACTACCTCTACATCTACTACCACAACAACAACAACCATAAGATTGTCTGAATGTGAGAAACAGAGTATGTCGCAACCAGCCGGGGCCCCATCAATTCACTGTAAAGACGATGGCTCCTTTGCAGAGATGCAATGTGATTTCCGAACATGCTGGTGTGTCACTGAAGAAGGAATGGAAATTCCTCTCTCCCGTAAGAATCACCCACAGGAACTTGTTATGCATAACATGCGAATTTTCATATCCGGAGCAGCATGTTCCTTAGTAAACTCGCTTATTTGAGAACTACTGTATTTAACAAGTGTCACAGTTTCCTTCTTGCAGAAAGTTTAAAGGCGCAACGAACACTCTCGAGCTCGCTTGTCAGGACGATCCGATTTGTGGCTCAATTGATTTATCTGATGGTCCAGCCTGTATGTTAAGTACAACAAAACGTATTTGTCCTGCGACATGTGATCCTCTTTGCAAAGATGTTAAGAAAAATAGTTTTAAAAAACTTTAATTATTTGATCAATATGAATTTCACCATTTTTTATAAACACACTGACTGAGTAGAATTCATTTTAAAACTTGAGGAAAGCCTAAAGCTCGCTTTGAATCGTCCTGTTTTGACATTTCTTCCGTTTGCGATCAATGGCTGGATTCTTGCGAATTATCCGCAGTCAGTTCTCTATGCGCGAAAAGCTGCAAACTTTGTGGCCAAGAAGAATTATCAGATACCAGCAATGAGATAGAAGTTGAGATGGCTAAATGCAAAGATTCTGTCGCTAGATGCCCTGATTGGAAAAACGATTGTCACTCAGAATTCACTCAAAAACTTTGCCCGAGGTTTTGATTATATCTTAATTCTTTTAAACATAAAATTAAGTACCTGCGGTTTGTGCTTAGACGAGGATTCCAAGAGCACCGACATCATTGAAGATCAATTAAGCACCTCGCCAATGGTTTGCAAGGACATTTACGATTTCTGTCCACAGATCGGTTTCATGTGCGATGAAGCAACTACCAGAGCTATGTGCTCAAAGACCTGCAGCGTTTGTGGAGATTCAGCATCCACTCAAAACGGGGACGCTAGTCTGAACTGTCTTGATTGGCAAAACTTCTGTTATATGCCCTTCGTCAGAAATAACTGCGGTGCCACTTGCGCAAACTGGGAGGAAAACTATTCAGGAGATGACGAAGCTGCGTCGGAAGGTTCTGGCAATGGTTCTGGGGACTTTGAGTTCGAATCATCAGGAGAAATCGAAGTAGCACCGATGAAAGAAGATCTCCCTCTTAGCTGTCAAGGATTTTCTCTTCCAGTATCACTCGAAGAAAAGTCAATTCTATTCAATGGACCGTCATCTGAAGAACTTTGTAAATGGTCAATCAATCGACCTGACGAGAATCAATTAGTGATGCTCACCGTTGAAATTATGGATATCCGAACAGTCAATGACTGCTCCTATTTTGTCGACGTTTATGATCAGGGACAGCCTGTTGTCAGACTCTGTGGCTCTGGAAGTCATCAAATAGTTGTTGGAACACAGTTCGATGTAAATGTGATGAGCTACGAAGGCTTTGGTGTCGAAATGAGATTCGACTTGATTAGTACTGGGGCATTTGCAATCATCCAGGAAGTGAATAAATACACTACAGCCGATGCCAGAGCAATCGAAGAGTGCAAAGATGCACAATTTTGCGCATCACTGAAATCTCGATGCAACAATGATTTTGTATCCAGAAGCTGTCCAAAAACATGCAACAAGTGCGCTCAGATAGATTACCCGACATCATCATGCTCGGATAAACTTGGTTCTCTTGCATGTAATGAGATCAAAGAAGCTTGCAACTCTGACTGGAGTGTAGTGAACCTGTGCCGAGATACTTGTGGACAATGTCAAAAGGAAACTAGAAATGTAATTTCGGTTGAGTTTTTTGATAAATCCGATGCACAGTGTGAAGATGAGCCTGGTTGCAATGAGATTGAAGAAAATCGGTGCACTGCTCTTTTCACTGCAGCGAAAATGAGAAAATCTTGCCCCGTTAAATGCGGCCATTGTAAGCTTGAAAGTTCTGTGATGGAATGTGTCGACAGAATCAATGAAGACATTTGTCTAGAGATCTCGGATGGATGTAATCAAGCGCATGTTGCGGCAAGTTGCGCGAGAACTTGCCAGACATGTCCAGTCTCATCTGATCGCTGCTTTGATTCCAGTGAATTATGTGTTAGCTGGAAGAGCTCATGCTCCTCTCCTTTTGTATCTGCACTTTGCAAGCAGACTTGCGAGAGTTGTTAAAATTGTTCAATGTACAAAGTTTCTCCTGCCTTTTCATCTCAATAAACAGACACTTGAAAACCTCTTTGATTCCTAACTTTATTCTTCCTGACGCAGATTACTGTCTAAATAAAGCACCCAAGACAGGCAGCTCCTTCGCACTCCTCGTATGGATAAATCATTGGCGCGATATTCGCCTCTGTCGAAAAAGTAATTGGTGAGCCTACTTCACTGTCAATTTCGAGTTCCAAGAAAAATGTGATGAATTTTTCGCCAACCATAGGATCTGTAAGATTTAATGAGTATTGGAACTCATAATCAGATGAAGGAAAGTGATTAAAAACAATCTTTTCACTGATATCATAATATGTTGTATTCATCAAGTGCCAGTAGTCGTCGAAGTCAATATCTTCTGTGTAATCCTTTTTGGGTTAATTCTGATATAGTTTCGGGAATGGGTGATTACAAAGACTTATAAAAATAACCTGATTCCTTAGGACATAGATACTCGGTAAGGCCAGATTTCCTCCAGTCTCGTCTGTCCGGAACAGCTGAGTAGCTTAGCCAAGCTCGTGCGTCGGATATTGGCACACTTGTAAAGAAATCAATACCACTAAAGCCGTCCTCATTCCATAGTTTCCATGTCCATGGTTGATATCCGTTTTCTTTTTTAGTGATAGTAGGGCTCAGAAACTCCTCAAAAAGGCCGTCGATGGCTCTCCATACAATGTTCTCGAGCTCTGGTCCGGTGTAACGATCAGCTCGAATATTGTAACCTACACCTCCGTGACCTTTGTTTGGAAAAACCTTCATAAACTTATCGCCGAACATATCGTCCCAAAAGAAATACATGTCCGATGGGAGGAAGAACTCGTCGTTTCCAGCATTCATGACAAGTGTCATTTGCGACTTGGAATATCGATCAAGATATGTGAACGGGTCTACGATTGCCGCTAAATCATCGTATGCGGGATTGTCGATGTTGTAAGTGAATCCTTCCACGTAGTAATCAAAGTAGTTGTATGTCCATCCTCCCAATGATCTGAAATGATGTTTCGCCGAAGGAACAAGGTCAAGAAGATCCATCCAAACTGGCGCCTGCCACACAATCCGCTCATAATCCACTGCAGACGTGCACCAAGTTGTCCATGCTCGTTTTGAGGCACCAGTAATTCCCCAGCGAATCGGCTTTTCATAATTATTTTGAACCATAAAGTCTTCTGCAGTGTCCATTGCTCTGACGGCAGCTTTAGTCATTGGTAAACGGACAGGAACATCAACGAAGCTCGTATCTTCCATGAACATGTGCCAAGTCCTGGCAATGATCGCGTCTTCTTTTCGACCATTCGGGTAAATTGCTTCTAGAGGATCGTCAACAAAGAAGATCGGCTGGTTAGGCGTTTGGTAGTTGAGTACGACCGGTATTCCAGACGAAGCAACATATGACTAGGGAGAGAATTAGATAGTTGTGGATTCCGAGCTATATAACGTGTAACATGTTACATGCTGCATGCAGCGTACGTTATTTTTCTTACCCTAGCTCTGTTTGTATCGCTTCGAGTTAACGCGTCAGCTGGATCTCGATCTTTCTAATAAATCTTGTAAATAAAAAATAAGTAAGAATTTACATTATCCCATCCAACCACAAGCAGAATAGCAGCATCTGTATAAGCAAATGTTTTTGGGAGGATTATAACGTTCAAATGCCACCAAACAAACTCGTTAAGAATCGTCGAGTTCAACCAATTCTGAGATGTCGAGTTAATGACGTAGGATATCGTCCATTCATCTTCGTAAATAGCGCCCTCCACTTGTTCCCAAGAGTACGAAGGGTCCTCGCGCCAGACGTAATCATCTAGTGGAGTGGTAGTAAATGTTGCTCGCTTATCAGCGTTCTTCCAAACAACTTCAATAGCAGAAAGCAACTCTAACCCGATTGATCTTTGGTACTGCTCGTCTTCTTCAGATCCTGCCTTAGACAAGCTCATTTCAAAGCAGAATTCAATGTTGAGGCCAGTCTCGCTCTTTGCCCACTCAAGCAAGGAACCTTAAAATTAGATTATCAGAAATCATTTCTGAATGTTCCGAAACCTGAAGTGTACAGAGTAGGATATTTTCCAGCTCGATACTGATTCCCCGCACTCGAAACTCTTGTTGCAGCATTTGCAATTTTTTCCGCCAAGAAAATCTCATGTCTATCGCTTGACTGACGCTCAGAATCGAGAGTGCTAGAAAAATACAAGTTCGTTCCACCTTCTTCCGAACTTCTTTGCGAGACAAAGATTATGCTTCTGACTGGACCGTTACGTGAAAGATATTCGGAAAGACCACGAAGTTCGTTTTCAGATAAAGAAGCAGAACCACCGTAATCAGAAGAACACTCATTCGAGAGATCGACATGCTCGTAAGGACTGTTGCGTTCCAAATTTATACCTATTTTTATATAATTTTACACCAATTATACTTATTTTGAATATTTTACCGGGACAGTTCAAATTGCCCGTTGGAGCACGATTTTTGTTCCATAGTCGATCGGCGGTTCTCGCATAATTGTAGCCATCAGGATTCAGAACTGGAATAACAATCAATCTAACGGCAGAAAGAAATCCATTTGACATGTCTGCTCGTGTAAATCCGTAATAGTTCGGGTCTTACGCTTGTTTTATTAACTTTGGAATATAATTTTTAGTCAACTAACTCTGGAAACAATTCCTTTGGCAACATTTAAACATGCTGTGACTCCTCCAAAATTCGAGCCGTCTGCACCACATACGACAACCACTGATTCGACGGCGTTTTTTCCGACAGGTTCAATAACAACGACAGGGATTTCACGTCTTTCCGCAGTAAAAAGCTCAAATTTATCCAGCGAAAAAGAAAACTGGTCAGCATTAGGATTCTCTTGGGGATCAACAAGTTTGTTGAGTTCTACGTCGATCTCATCTAAGTCGAGGAACTGGGAGTAGATGAAGCTGTCCTATAGTTCGTTTGATTAAAATCTTTTGCCGAAAATATTAACATACCTCCTTGACAAATATAGCGCAGGATATGCCGATCAAAAATGAAATTATCCTCATTTCATTTCTCTTTAAAGACACTGAACACAGATCAGAAGCGAGACTTTCATAATGAGAACCGAGCACGTGTTTAGTATCGCAAGATCCCTCTTGCCATAATGACCTACTCTCACGCCTATGCTTTTATTTGTATCACATATGCAGTTTTTTTTATTCAAGTTGTCCATCATAGAAGCCCTGCACCCTGAAAAATTTTGCGCTTGGACGGTGAGACGCTCTCGGTGAGAATCAAATTCGATATCGCGGACGCCTGTCTTTTCGGTACACAACTCAGAAGTGCTCAAATTTGCTCTAAGACACACTATTAATTATAACACCATAGTTAACTGAAACGCCAAAGACTAAGTTTTACCAAGAAAGCGAATATTCATAAGAGTGATGTAAATCTCTATTACAAAAAACGAGAAAAAATAAAGCATTTGGGTTTGTTAAAATTTATCATAAATATGTGATTTACTGAAATGCAGGATAATAGTAAAATAAAGCTTTTCTCAATGTATCAAGTTTGTCCTGTAAATAAGAAATAGCTTTTACGCGGCCGCTATCTACGGTGTGCACTGTAAAGCCAAAACTTATATTTGACGTAGTATTTTATTCTTCGTAAAAGTGAGGACTGACGGGTATTTGATTTGCAGAGAAATTTTGAGAGTTTTAGAGAAAATCGTGGACGAGAATGTTACATCTGTTTGATCGCCAATTCTACGTTGCAAAATTTTTAAAAGATCTGTTCAGACGCCGCGCAGTGGATAAGACAACACTCGTAAGTTCTCAGAGAAGTCCTGACAGGGTGACAAGAGATAGAAGGAAGAGAACGTGAGAAAAAATGGGCGAGAGGCGGCATCCCGTCAGACGGGCCCTGACTTTCGCGCGGCACTTCGTCTTCGACTATTACAGACTTTGGATATTCATTCTCGTTCCTTCCCTGACACTTATACTGCCACTGACGTTGACACCTTGTGTAGAGGAGCAGGTTTTCAATGGAACACATAACGAAACGCTGATTGACTGCAACAAATGCGATTGCTTAGGAAGGTTGTTTTTGATTAAGCGAAATTTAATGTAACCGACGCGGAAATACCCAAAAAGAACTCGAGGATGGAAATCCTTTGGAAGCTCGCCCTATTGCTGACTTTTCGTATCTTCTTGTGATTGTTGCTTCTTTCTGGATTTTCGATATTTTGCCGATTGCTGTTACCGCACTTATTCCTTACGTGGTTCTCCCAAGGAACAGCTCGAAAAGCCAAAACAGTAAAAAATAACCACATCGTCTTTTCGAGACATTAAAAGCTTTGGTTTACTCAGTTCTGGACTCGTTGCTTCAAAGTACGTATTTGCATGACTTTTAGTTTATTAATGCAAAGTGTAACCTCATTTTTCCTTGAGTCGACTTGAATGACCACGCCTATGAGGATCATTGTAAGGTCATCTTTCGAAAATCTGGGCATCGAAAAGCCAAAGATTTAACTGGACAGCAGAAACTCATTCCAAAGCGAATAAAATTTTATAGATACATGTCAAACGTCAATATGCTTCTGGTCGGAGGATTTATGCTTGCAATTGCGATTGAGCAGTCAAATTTACACAGACGCATTGCGCTTGGAGCTCTCAAACTTGTTGGGAGTAACCCTAGAAGTTTAATGTTCGGATTTATGTTTGTCTCCTGGTTCCTTTCTATGTGCATCGCCAATACATCGACAACAGCTTTGATGATCCCAATCGTTCTTTCAGAAAGGATAGAAAATTTTAATTTTATTTTCATTGATTGTCGTTCAATTTTTTTTATCATAATAAGTGCTTGATCAACTAAAAGGAGCCCAGACAGACGAAATTGAAATGGGTGAAGTGAACGAAGCACTTGACGAAGATACTGATAAATCGAATACGGAGGAGAAAGGCCCAGAAAAACACGGAGACATAGAAGAAACAGATTTCGATGCGATCTCGATGGACAGCATAGATTCTACAGTGGTTGGAAGTGATGGTTCTGACATTGAACCGGAAGTTACAGGATTGGCTGAGAGATTTTCTCTACTGAAATATTAATGATATTTCAACATATAATGAAATAATATTTTTCAAAGCCGATTAAAGTAACTGCTCTTGATATCGGGCTACTGATTTGTGTTCCTTTCGCCGCTTCAATCGGCGGGACTGGCACATTTACTGGAACAGATCTGAACTTGTATCTCTCTGGTTATTATAACGATTTCTACGCTGAGTACACAACAAGTGAATACCAAAACAATGGGTACTTCGCCATTACTTATGCGAACTGGGCAATGTACAATCTTTTACCTTCATTTCTGACATTTTTTCTGTCTTATATTTGGCTCCAAGGATTCAACTTTGGCTGGAATCCCATCAGGAATGTTTGTTTATATGATTATCGAAGTACTAAACAACATAAATGAACTGGTCAAAGTTGGTTCAAATGCGAAAAGAACGAAGGCGCTGAGAATGTGATCAACACCGAGTTCAAAAAGCTTGGCCCCATGAAGCAAGGAGAATATGTATCACTTTTCTGTTTTATCATCGTTGTGATTTTGTGGATTGCAAGAGAACCCACAGATGGAGCCGGTTGGGCGTATATTTTCCCGGTTCCAAGTTACATGACAGACGGAATGGTCGTTATTCTTATTGGAATCTGCTTGTTCGTTCTACCTATCGACGATTCCGGCCTTTTTTGCATATTCAATCGTTTCCGAAAAGACAAGATCTCGATAAGTAAGAAATAGTTATAATTTCGCGTTGTTTAACAGATTTAGATCACGGACCTGCTCGTCCAATTCTGACTTGGGATGTTGTGCAGCGAAGAACCGGCTGGGGAGTCTTGATACTCATCGGTAACACAACGCTTTTCGTAGATGATGAAAAATAACTTTTAGGTGGCGGATACGCTATCGCACAAGCCTCTGACGACTCCGGATTTTCTGAGTTCGTCGCAACAGGTCTAGCACAGCTTGTGGATGGATGGGAAAGCTGGGCAATTTGTTTGCTTTGTTCAATAATGGCTTCAATGTTCACCGAAATCACCTCCAACACTGCTGCATGTGCCCTCTTCGTTCCACTGTTAAATAAACTGGTGCGTACCATTCTTCTCTTTAATGTCGTCAAAGTTTTAGGCGCTGAAAGTCTGCGTCCATCCACTCTACCTCTGCCTGCCAGCCACCGTCGCTTGCTCGATGTCCTTCATGTTGCCAGCCGCCACTCCACCAAACGCTATTGCTTTCGGCAGTGGTCGTCTAAAGTCTATTCATTCGGTATTTCTGGATTTACTCCAAAGATTAACTGACATATTAGATTACAAATGGATTTATGCCGAAGATCATTGGTGTAGGCCTGATCAACGCGTTCATCATGTTTTTCGGACCTTTGATTTACAAGACCGATATTTTCCCGTGTTTTGCGCTGGGCGACCCGACTGGTGCTCACTGCTACAATTCAACAATCCACGCTGAATGCCCATGCTATCCTTCATCGAAGCTAAATCCCGATTGGAGCTGTTAGACTACTTTTTAAAATTATTTCTTCCCGATATTTTAATAAATCAAAGTATCCTATCATTTTATTCATTAGGTTCTTTAGATGTTTGATAATTGTTATAAATTTGCTTGTCAATTGCTCGCGATAGTCATTTTCCATTTTCGGTCAAAAATTGGAGACAAGGAAGATAAATTTACGAGACCACTTTGAAATTGGCGCGCTCACTCGCACCAGCCAATCGCGCAGGAGAAATCCACCGGCCAATGAGCGCACTTCACATGACATTCGCATTCCTATTTTACTACGAGAGAGTTGACCAGTTTTATCTCAGAGAGAAGGCCTCTCTGCTGAAAAGTGATCGCTGAAAGAGAAATGAGTTGAGTTTACGAAAAGCCTGATGTTATACTTTTTAGATTGAATTGAACGGACATCATGGACGCCCAGCAGGTCGAGAAAGCTTACCAGAAGCAATCCGCTGTTGTCTACAACCCCAAGAAGGGCTCCAAGGTCAAGAAGCGATACGTCAAGAACGTCGGTCTTGGCTTCAAGACTCCCCGTGAAGCCACCGAAGGCGCTTACATTGACAAGAAGTGCCCCTTCACTGGCAACGTCACCATCCGGTTAGACCACTTTTCCCGAAGCAGAGCGCTTCCCCGAGAATTTTTCTCGTCACGTAGCCTGTGGAAAATCTGAGTTAAATTCTTTAGACCTCGTCTTTGAGCAGATTCATTAATTCTACGGTTAGGCTCTCGAATCTGTTCAGGTTGAGGTCGAACTCAGGCTGGGAAAAGTCGATCCTATTCGCCAGCGACCCGTTTTAATTGAATTCTAGAGGTCGAGTCTTCACCGGTGTCGTCCGAAAGATGAAGATGCAGCGCACCATCATCATCCGACGAGACTACCTTCACTTTGTCAAGAAGTACGGTCGATTCGAGAGACGACACACCGTAAGCCTAACCGCATTTTACTTCAATCTTGCTTATCACTGCGTTCAGAACATGGCTGTCCACCTCTCTCCCTGCTTCCGGGACGTTGAACTCGGCGATATCGTCACCGTTGGTGAGTGCCGACCTCTCTCCAAGACCGTCCGATTCAACGTCATCAAGCACACCAAGCCCCCAGGAGCTAACAAGAAGCAATTCGACAAGTTCTAAATGCGCTTTGAATAAATCTCGTGCTGCATAAACCACACCCTTTGCTTTCCCTTGGTTACTCATTTCTCTTTGCAATTGATAAATCTCTTGCATGGCGATGCTTTAGTACCCTTTGGATTTGTCTCATTTTTTGCAGGATTTGAATTTGTTTCTTTATTAATCTTACATTTTTTTTATTTTTGTAGAACGGTTAGTAATTTGGTCGCTGCTGTGATTTCCTACTGATATTTTCCACTGTAAAATATCCGTGATCTTTATTATATTTCGTTGCTCTAAGAGCGTCTACGAGCGATGCGTGTCCCCCCAAACGAAACTTCGCGCAGGATCCGATTTACCGCCAAAGCTGTCCGGCTAACCGACATTTTTGTCTTCGACAATATTTTTGTGACGCTTTGCTGCTCCCCGCGCGTATAAATTGACATCTTTGCGCACGTCTAAACTCACTTTTTTCGAATTAACAAAAGCAGCAATCATCGCTGATTTTTTTCATTCGAATAAAATATCAAGAGAGAATATCAAAAATGGTAGAAAAACCCGAAAATAGAGTAAGAAAAGTACTCGTTGAGAAAAAGTGAGTATGATTTATGCGAGAAACCCGTTAATTTTGATTTGGAAGTCTTATAACCGCGTTTTGAGAAGACCCCGGTTAATTTTGATGTGTGTTGTTGAGTTTCTGGGGAGGGAGCGCACTCATCTCTAGACTCTCTTAGAAACTCATACTTGTTGTTTCCATTTGCCATTAACAACGAAACGCACCGAGAGAGCACAAGTTTTCGATTTTTAACCATGAACGTTTATAGAAACGGCACTGCAATGGCTGACTTGAGGGTTAAGAAGAGGGATGGCCGTCTTGAGGAGGTCTTCTTCGACAAGATCACTTCTCGAATCAAGAAGTTATGCTACAATCTCGACATGAACATCCTCTCCCCGCTGACCGTCACTAGAAAGGTAAACTTTTTCTCGGCAACCAATGACAAAGACAACATTGTGAAGCTAAACGCTTATAATATCATCTTTTCAGGTTATCGATGGTATCTACGATGGAGTCACCACCGTCGAGTTGGACAATCTTGCCGCCGAGACAGCGGCGCAGATGTCGGTCAATCACCCCGATTACGCGATTCTGGCTGCACGAATCTCCGTTTCCAATCTTCACAAGGAGACAAAAAAACTCTTTACTGAAGTCATCGAGGATTTGCGCAACGTCGAAGGTTACAATGGCAAGAAGAAGCCGCTTATTGGTGATCAGACTTATAAGATTATCATGGACAACAAGGTAAGTTTTCTATTTGCGGTCATGCTTTAACTTATCTTTTTAGGACAAGTTGAACAGCGCGATCATCCATGATCGAGACTACGAGTACAACTACTTCGGCTTCAAGACTTTGGAGCGATCTTATTTGATGAAGATCGATGGCAAGACTGTCGAGCGACCACAGCATATGCTCATGCGTGTCTCCGTCGGCATTCACGGCGATGACATCGACGCTGCCCTCGAGACCTACAACTTCATGAGCATGAAGTATTTTACTCACGCCTCGCCCACTCTATTCAACTCCGGAACTCCTCGACCACAGATGTCCAGCTGTTTCCTTGTTGCGATGCAAGAAGACTCGATTGAAGGTAGAAAACGTCAATGAGGAAAGCTTTAATCTTTTTAGGTATCTATGATACTCTCAAGACATGTGCACTGATCTCCAAGAATGCTGGAGGCATCGGGATCAATGTTCACAATATCCGAGCCCGTGGATCTTACATTGGAGGTAAGAATGTTGATTAAACTTTCAAAATTGACTCTCTTACAGGAACCAATGGACACTCGAATGGACTCATTCCCATGCTGCGAGTTTACAACAATACCGCGCGGTAATCATGCATGTCATTTATCAATTCAGTTATACAAGTATCTACACAGTTCACCGTAAGGAATGCCTCTGACTACTATTAGCTCAGACAAATTCTGCTCGGAGCATGTTCTGTGTCAGATGCGACTGTAGAAAAAAATTGCACACTTCACCACTCATTTATCAATTCGCGGTTCTCATTATCTCCATTATCTTCAGTTATTGCGGTACGTAACAAAATACTTAATCTCTTGTAAGGTATGTAGATCAAGGTGGCAACAAACGACCAGGTGCCTTTGCCGTCTATTTGGAGCCCTGGCACGCTGATATTTTCGAATTTCTCGATGCAAAGAAAAATACTGTAAGTTTCAACTGATTCGGCTTAGTTGTTGAATAAAGTTTCAGGGCTCTGAAGAAATCCGAGCTCGTGATCTTTTCTACGCTCTCTGGATCCCCGACTTGTTCATGAAGCGCGTCGAGTCTAACGGCGATTGGACTCTTTTCTGCCCCGATGAAGCCCCCGGTCTTCATGAGTGCTGGGGCGAAGAGTTCGAGTCTCTTTTCCAGCGATACGAGAATGAAGGCCGCGGAAAGCGAACCGTCAAGGCTCAAGCTCTCTGGTACAAAATCATCGAAGCCCAGATTGAGGTCGGCGTGCCTTACATGCTCTACAAGGTTAGCTTAATCAAATGCCTTTTTTCTTATGGGCCTTAGGACGCGTGCAACAGAAAGTCCAATCAGCAAAACCTCGGCACGATCAGATGCTCAAACTTGTGCACTGAGATTGTTGAGTACAGCTCGAAAGACGAAGTCGCAGTTTGTAACTTGGCCTCTCTTTCTCTTCCCGCCTTCATCCGAAAGAATGCGACAGACAACTCAATGTACTACGACTTCCATGACCTATACGAAAAGACGAAGATAGTCACACGAAACCTCAACAAGGTCATTGACATCAACTTCTACCCTGTCGAGCAAGCTCGATTCTCCAATTTCCAGCATCGTCCGATCGGAATCGGCGTGCAGGGTCTCGCTGATACTTTCTGCATTTTGAAACTAGCTTTCGAGTCAGAAAAGGCGAAGCACTTGAACAAACAGATCTTTGAAACCATCTACTACGGTAAGTTTTGCCTCATTTGTTAAAGATTTGACTCTATTTTAGCTGCCGTGGAGGCCTCTTGCGAGATGGCTGAAAAGGATGGACCGTACGCCAGTTACAAAGCTCATACGCATCCAATTACTGGACAGAAAAATCCTGACTCTCCAATGGCGCAGGGTAAATTCCAGTTTGACTTGTGGGGTGTTACTCCCACTGATCTTTGGGACTGGGACAAGCTCCGAAAGAAGGTCGCGACTCATGGCGTTCGAAACTCCCTTCTGGTCTCTCCGATGCCCACTGCATCTACTGCTCAGATTTTGGGTAACAATGAATCCATTGAGCCCTTCACGAGCAACATCTACACGCGACGTGTACTCTCCGGCGAGTTCCAGGTCGTGAACCCACATCTTCTTCGTGAGCTTACGGAAATCAATGTGTGGAGCGACGAGATTCGACAGCAGATCGTCAACGACAACGGTTCCATTCAGGTAATCTAAATTATCCCCGATTATTGAAGTTAGAAAAAATAGAATCTTGCGGTCCCCAACGACGTCAAAGAACGATACAAGACTGTTTGGGAAATCAAACAAAAGAATGTTCTCCAGATGGCGGCCGATCGTGGACCATTCATCGATCAGTCCCAATCGCTCAACATCCACATGGCGAAGCCTATGTACGGAACATTGACTTCGATGCACTTCGCTGGCTGGAAGATGGGCTTGAAGACTGGCATGTACTATCTTCGTACAAAGCCAGCTGCCGCTGCGATCAAGTTCACCATCGATAAATCGAAGGTAATTTTGATCAATATTTGTGTCCTTTAAAAGGGAATATCTTCAGGTGAAGGAGACGAACACGGTCCCCAAGAAAGAAGCCAAGACCAACGACCTTCCATTCGAGGGCAAGGTCGAAGCGCCTGCTGTCAAGGCCGAGCCTGTGGAGGCTTCTATTGACGAGGGCAAAGGTCCTACCGAAGAAGACATTCAACGATTAAATGAAGCAGCTATGGTAAGACCACAGCCTTATGGATAGCAGAAGACAATTTTCTTTCTTCAGGTCTGCTCGTTGAATAACCCAGAAGCATGCATGATGTGCTCCAGCTAGATCGTTAACGTTTGCCTCAAGAATACGATAATTTTCAAAATCCTGTCTAGCTTTTTGTATTAGCCAACTGCCTTTATCTCTCCATTTATTCGCACTGCCATCATCAGATGTGTCAAGCAATATATTTCTATATGTTTTAAACTTGTTCGTGTTGATTTTCTCTTACTTTTATCTCGTAAGAAAGAAATGTCCGGTACGGTTAGCTCGCTGACAGAGCAGCATCAATGCTTTGTCGACACAATTCTTAGCTATGAGAGAGAGATCGTCAAAAGAATGCAAAGAGGAAGCTCGTTACTAGTGCTTCCGATTGGTTTTTCAGTGAGAAAGATTCTTATTTCTCTTACACTTCCATATCTCATGGAAGAAGAGTGCTCGGAGCTAATATTTATACTTAACGCTAGTCAGCGGTGTAAATTGTACTTTTGGACGTATTCTCAATGAATATAACAAATTTTCATCGCTGAAGAAAGTAAGTCGGAAATGGAACGATTAAAAGTAGAGTACATATTGTCTGGTGCACTCCAGCCTGTGGTATCGGTATCTGAGCTCCACCACGCAAAACGAACCAAAATGTACAAAAAAGGTGGAATCTTCTTCATCAGCTCTCCAGTACTCACTCAAGACTTGCTCAAAAACGTCATTGATCGGAAGATACACAGCATCTTCATCCTCACGCCTGAAAAGTGTCTTCGAAAAAAGGAAGAAAATTTCATCTTGAATCTAGCGAAATCTAAGGGTCTTCAATTCCATCACTGCCTCTCAAACAGTCCGATTCAAATAGCGAAGAATTTTAGAGATCTTATGAGCTCCCTTATGGTCAGCAAAAGCCATATTTTCGCGAGGTTTCACGAGCTCGTCAAGCTTGATGTTCGAAGCACTGAGGATAGGATATGCAAACTTTACCTATTTCAGCGATAAATTATTGCCAATAACACTGTGTTTATCTTTTCCAACAGACTATTGTTAACTATGAAGCCAGATTTACCGATACTATGAAGGAGATGCAGCGTATTTTGCTTGACTTGATGAGCAAAGAAGTGAAGGAAATCAAAAAGAGCGGCGTCGATCTCGGCAGCTACTCTGTAGAACTTTTCTCAACCTGGGGCGGTCTGAGATTGTGGATAGAAGAACGATACGAACCGAAGTCAGACCTCGTCGACGCGCGGGGAAAAGAATGTGTAGCCAATCTTAGAGAAATCCAAGTCCACCTCTTCAGCTTGATCTACCACAGTGCCGTTGGTAACTACTAAAATGGGATTCGCATTTGTAAACAGTCGATGTTTAGAGTTCTATTCGAATCTGAAGAACCGATATGACAAGAAGATCGAGCAAAAAGATCTTAAGTGGCTAAACGATCCGCAGGCAAGTAAACTCCACGAACTTGCTAAATTGCGAGTATTTCATGAGAAAGGAGATCTCAAGTTCGAAATTTTCCCGAAATGGGAGGCGTTCATCAACATCATTGGCGAAATTAAAAAGACAGCTTCAACGACACGAAAAAAAGTCTTGATAACATGCAGAAACGCAAAATCCGGACGAGAGGTGCTCGCGCTATTGAAAAAATCCCCAGAAGAAATACTAGAATGGCAGTATCGTAGATTTATTCTAAACCCTGATTCTGGAGAAGAAGTCTCGGAGGAAGAAGAGTTGCCGAAAGTTGGGGAACTAGATATTTTCTTGTTTCTTCTTGATAACGACCCTGGCTTCGGAATAGAAAGTGTGATTTACGATATGCGACCTGATTTCGTTGTGATATACGAGGTCAACTTGAAGACGATTAGGTGAAACTGATAAGATCGACGAAATATAGACAAAGTTCTTTTAGAGAAGTTGAGCACGCTAAGGCGTCCCTTATGAAGTCCAAATGCAAGCTCAGTGTCTTTTCAGTGTCTTATGTAGACACAGTAGACGAAGCTCAATTCGTTTCGACAAAGAACAGCGAAATACGAGCGTTTGAGTACTTGCTCGAGGAGGCAGATTCTATCGAGAACAAGCAGACCCATGAAGTGGACATTGAAAACTATGACAACTGGCCGGCGATTGTGATCGATACGCGCGAGTTTAAATCAGAACTTCCTGGAATGCTTTTTCGTCACCATCTAAGACCAATTATAAGCATGATTGAGGTCGGCGACTTCGTTCTTTCGCCGCAGATGGTCGTCGAGCGGAAATCATTGATGGACTTCATTGGATCAATCAACAACGGGAGACTGTTCACGCAGCTAACGAAGATGTGCCGACATTATACGCGCCCGATCTTGCTGCTCGAGTTTGAAGAAAATCAACCCTTCACCTTTAAAGGGGCGAGAGTCAAGACTTACTCGCTTAGTATGGCACTTGAGAAACTCATTCTGGCGTTGATCAATTTCAAGAACGTCAGGTAACATAAATTGCTATTGATTTCGTGAGTACCTCGATTTAAGGGTTCTCTGGTCAAGATCACCCAGTCACACGGCAATAATGTTCAGCGAGCTCAAAAAGATACGGAAGACCCAAGTATCCTTTGCGAAACCGATATCGCTCTAAAGTACAACACCCAACAGGTAACTGGATTTCAGAAGTCCTAATGAAACTTCCTTATTTGTAGGTAGACGCCGCACTTACCTTGCCAGGTATCACTTCGAAAAATGTGGGTTTGGTCTTGGACAATTTCAACAGTCTCAGAGATCTTATTGAGTCTCCAGAAGAACGAATAGTTAAAATCCTCGGAAATGAAGTGGGGAAAATGATTTACGAGTTTATTCATTACAAACACGAAGTTCAGAAAATTCAAACTGCCAAGTGAGAGAAAACATGATATTAATTTTTATTTTGTGTCCATCAGGAAAACGAAAATGGGAAGCTATCAGAAGTACAAACTTGCCAAGCAGCAGAAGAAATAGTTCCAAGCAGTTCATTCCTCTTCAAAATTCTATAGACAACTGCGTAAACATAATCAACTGTTAGTTGTCTGAAGCGAGCGTAGCTGTTATTCACTGATAATTCCTTTCTCGAGAGCACACAACTGCCAATTTTAACACTTTTCTGACAGAAAATAAGTACCTTTTTGCTCCGGGTTTTCTCTGAAAGATGAATTTTAGAATGAGCCGATGACAGATGGGAGATCATTCACCCCGGGACTTCCTGGCAATGTTCCTAGATTATTTCTGGACATCTCGAAATCGGCGGCGCAGCTTATTCAGTATTCGCGGAGGTAATTCTACAGATCCGAATATGCTGTCAATTCGGTCGATTTTCTCGGTCTTGACACATCTTTCTAGTTCACAGATTCCTTTAACAGATGAGTGCCCCTCAATTCATGTGTTTTGTGCGAAGCTTGAGTATCTTCTTCTCTTTGGACTCAAACCTGTCGGCGGCATATTCAACAAGAAGCCTGCTGTTGAATACTTTAGTTTCCTCCGACAAGTGACCAAGCAGAGCAAGCAGCTCATAGATGGCTTACGATATATTAACCTCAAAAAGTCATTGCAAACGGACCTCGGCAGGGGACGGGGCCTGTTGCGTTACTACCTCAGCCAAAATTGTCTTGCAGACCTCCTTCAAACAATTATAACGTGAGTACTACTCACTGAGTAGCGCTATAAGAGCATCCTTCACCAACCCCTTTCGATAGGGATAAAAAATCGATCGACGACTTCTTTACCACTGGTGCCTTAATTCGCCACCCTGGCCTCGTCCAGGTTGTGGAATGCATTTATGCATTGTACAATATTCAATTTGCATTTATTCCCGTTAACCAGAACTGCGACCTCGATATCAACTGGCCTAACACGGCAGCGAAGCTTCTTGTCTACGGACCATCCAGTTCTTCGCCGCCTATCGATTCCGTGGTCACCCCGCCGATAAACTCTTCTGACGAAAAAGTGAAGAAGTGGCTTTCTAGTGGCATAGGCACGGAAAGCGAAAAGAGTACAGCGAACGGGCGTTCCTTCCGTCACAACGAGAGTCACGACGAAGACGGTTATTTCAATCGTACCGAACAGTATTAAACTGCCTTTCAGAGACGCTCAACGATGATCAAAGAACTCAGGAGTACGAAGAAAAACAAGAAGTCATGGCGCGTGTTATAAGCGAGCTAGAGAATCGAAACGCTGACTTGGAAGAGCAACTCAACATTTCCAAGTCAGAGAATCGCATCAAAAAGCACAAAAGGTAGCCACTCCGCCATTTTATTGTTTGGATCAATTTAGTGGTTGCCATGGTCGGGGAAAACCCCTCAGTATCAGTTGTCCTCGGCGGTGCCTTCCTAGAAGAAGCTAACTCATTTGATTCTAGGACTCGTAGAGTAGCGGAACTAAACGACTCGAATGTTGGAAGCTTGAACTTGAGCCGCAGCTTCCGCCGGAATCTGCGTTCTTGTTCAACTCCCTACTCGTTAGCTCTGGGTGAATGATTTAACAAAAAGACATAATTTGATGATATAATTATTCGTGTTAAAAATTTGGTGCTGGAGTTTGTCAAAACATCCATCGCCAAAGTTTAACCGCGCTCACTGTGTGATTTCGTGGTGTATTCGGGATTCAGCCTATTAGCAGCATATTTCCAAACGCGCCTAAATTTCAGCAATCGCTCTCTTGTGTTCCCGGAACCTGCTCATCAGCCAAAATCTTTTGCTGATGAGCTTCTTGAGCTCGAAGCGCTTGAGGAAAACGTTCACCCAACGATAGCCGTGCCTTTATCGCCTAACAACAAGCGAGGCGAAATCCTCTTCCGAAGGTAAGTCAACCAGAATGCTCTTTTTTCAATCCGTATGGAATGGCGTATGCCGCATACGGTATCCCCAAAGCCAACTTTAAAAATTCTCGGTGTTACTTTCGAACCCTAGTTAGAATATTCCAGCGAGAGTAATTGACTTTCAGCTGAGCCATCACGAGATAGCACGAGCTTTGTGTCATCTTTAATTTAGTGCGATCGGCTTGGAATTCGAAACTATGTCTAATTTGTCTGAGGGGTCAGACAAGAATAGCTCCTCGCGGGTACCTTCATCGAAGACGTCGCCAGATAAAGTTTCACTACACTCCGGAATCGAACCACTTTCCTCAACTACTCAGCACTCCTTCGGCGACCCAATTATTTCTGACACTGTAAACAAAAGCCTCGTCGACAGTTACAAAAGGTAACCCATATTCTGCTTGGACTTCGAATTGAACCATTTTAAAGTCAACTTGAACGTAGCGAAGAACAAAAAATAGAAATGAAAATAGAGTTCGAAGCTAAGATCAGGGTGGCTATTTTGGATTTGGGGGTTAGTTGGAATTGGATTGGATCCAATCCAATAAGGTTTGGATGGAATTTGGATGGCCAGGGTACCGGATTTTGTTGGGGAAAATTGGGCAATTGGGGGAAATTGGGGAATTGGATCCAATAAAAAATATATCGCTAAACTATGCAAAGAAGGGTCATTTTCATAATGAAAATGAGAAATTTCGGATAAAAAATCATTGTTTTGGCTATGTTGACCCTCCTTTTGGATAAAAACTTACTGTTTCCCTTCTTTTCAAAGAGATAAAAGCCTTGGAAAAATTGGAAATCCAATTGGATCTAATTGGAATTGGGGATTTTTGGGTAATTGGGTAATAATTGGGTTGGATTGGATTTTGGATGGATAGTTCCGGCTCAAAATTTATTGGATGGAAATTGGATGGCCAGACCCCAAAATTTTGTCCAAAATAGCCACCCTGGCTAAGATTCGCATTATCAGCGAAGAAAAATGTCGCACAGAAGAAGAGGTAATTAGGGGCTGAGCGGAGCAGTTTTAATCATACTTTTGCTTTAGTGCTGCCGTTTAAGAGATGAGAATGATGTCTACCGCAATCGTGTAAAAGAATTATCTGAGTTCCACACGCAGCACTCGCCTTCAACTGGCGAAGCGCTCATTCGAGAGGTGGAACTTTTGGCTGGTCGTGTAGAAACTCTGAAGGGCGAATTGACTACCGAGAAGTCTAAAAATGCAGAGCTGGAACTCTCTATTTCCTATTTAGCCTCAGAAAAGACAACCATAGCGACGCAAACTATTGAAAAAGGTTTCGACAAGAACTAAAAATATGTTTCTCAAGCAATGCAATTAAGGTGTAAATATTGATGAAATGGAAAAGTCGCTTCAAAAGTACAACACTGAGACCTCAGAACTAAGCGAGCGTATCGCAACCATCGACGACGAATACGGCAGGAAGCTTCGCGAAAAGGACCTCGAGAAAGAACAACTTGTAAGTTCCCACGAGTCGATCATATATAAAACACTATCTTAGGAGGCGCGCATCTCAGAGCTAGAAGAAAAAGTGACCTGTCTCGACCTCGATCTAAATATGAAAACTCGACAATGCAAGGAAGTCCAAGAAGACCTCGCAAAGCACCTTGCAGAAAGTCAAAACCGACCCAGCATAGATGAGGTATTCGAGCGTAAGAAGTAAACTCTGTGTTAGCGGGTGTCTCAACATTCACTGTTTATATCACTTGCTGATATGCACATGAAGTGTCCTAGAGCGGCACTAACCCAGTTTTATCATTGAAACATTTATTTGCTGTTCCTGATTCGATGGCAGTCTGCCAGACGGCCTTCTTTGATTAGAAAATAGTCTTCGTATTCGAAAGTGTTCCAATTTTTAAAAGAATAAAGTCGAATCACAGTTTTATAAATAGTGTGGGGTAGATAGCGTAGCCACTGTTTTTCATGGATCTCACCATTTTTTCTTTTAGCTCTCAACAATTCAAATAAAAACGGCGCGCATGTCGCCAGAGTTACCCAAATCTGGTAAAATCACGTTTTTGCTTTAATTACCGCAAATTTATAACCTTTATTCTACGTCTCTAAACAATTTCTATTTATCCTCGTAAAATAAAATGGTGACTAAATTACATGTTATTCGCTTAAAATTGATGCTACACGCTTGGTGATAAGTTAGCGCTAACTGCATGAGTACCGAGAGTTCTTGATTGAGAAGAGTAATTATTTGGTTGAATCATGAACTAGCGGTATAACCTGCGAACATTTCACTTATTTATTTTAGCTTGAAAACTACCTTTACCTACGCAACATCCAAGAAAAAGATGAATTTTGAATGCCTATCACGAAAACAGTTTCTTCACTTTCAAAATTATTGTATCTCAGTTCTCTCAACTTTCGCCTTTAATTTCAAGTTTATGCTTTATTACTCAACTCTTCTCCTAAGTTCAGCCGATCTCTCATTCCTGTTCCTCAGAAATCTTTCGTAAAAACTAAAAATAAATTCTTCAAAAATTCAAGCTGCCACAATTCATTCTCTGCTCCTCGATAAAAGATGATTTTAAGTTTCTCGATTTAGATTTCTTTGATCATTCGTCTTCCAATGTCCTTCAACCGCAACAACGTTACCATTAGCCATAAATTGACTGGGGCCGCCGAAATTCCTTGCGTGCTCCAAAGCCGCGAGATGAGAATCGATGGCGACGACGTTTTCCTGCTTCCAGGGCCCAATGTCAAACATTTGACAATGGCTCTCGAGGATGATCTGAAGAAGACTCTTGCGGGCATTGATCACATCGAGGCTCTTATGATTGCGGAGTATATGGCGGAAGGAAATCTTGCAATGGCCGAGGAGACGAAGGAAACATACAAAATCTATCGTGAGCTTCTCATCGAAAAGGCGGAGAGATATGCGAACGAATGGAATAAGGCATTGCATGATGAGTTTCGTGAACTTTTCGGAGGTGTAAGTACCTCGACCATTGTTATTATTCTGATTGAGCTGAATTTAGATGAAAATCACCGTCATGGATTACTATGACGAGGACGGGAATTTGACTCGTAAGGGAGTACCTGACATTGTTCGATCGACAGAGGACACAACCACAGTATGTTTATCAGTTCAATGCCTTTTTAACGAATGTGATTTAAGATCAAAACTTCGCTGACCGACAGCGAAGAAGATAAGGAAGAAGAAAAGGTGTCAGAAGCCGAAGAAATGAAAACGGACTCTGATGAAGAGCCCTTAATTCCGTTGGATTATTATCCAGAGCCTCTGAATCACATTCTTTCTGGTCAGAGAGTTCGCATTGCTCGCAAGAGAAAGGCAAATGAGATGTCAGAGTCTGGCCCAACTGCATCGGAAGACGAATAGGAGATCTGAAGAGATCAGAATCGGACGATAAGTTATCGTCGATAACGAAATTCTTATGTTCGGGATGATTTTTAAGTTTTAAATACCTCTATTTCCATTAGTTTCAACCTTTTATTTCACTCACTGAAATAACTCTTTTTTGTTCAAATTTACGAGTGCTAATAGTTCGACCACCAAAGAAAAGAGATTTTGGATTCCACCTGAAATAGTGGAATTCTTTCACTTTTAACTAAATTTATTTTATAAAAAAATTCATAGCTTCTTCACAGCCGTTACATATCCAAAATATTGCAAAGTCTTCAAAGCTGCCTAAATTTCCAAATTTTTAATTTAAATTCTACTCTTATATTCGGCCACCTTTAATCAAAAATTAATTTACAGATACACTTCTAATTATAACGCTGTCTATCAAGCCCTTTTTTACTGATGCGCTCTTTCAAAAACCACTACCATTTATCAACGTTTTTTTATGTTTCTTAGCCTGTTTCAAAGATGTTCTGACCCTCTATCAGTTCAGCAGTTCAAAACTATATCGTCAATAGTCTATGGACAAATATATTGACAATAGACGAAGCCTTATTTTATACTTATCAGTTCCATGGTAGAACTACTTTTCTAAGACGAGGCGTCGTCTCTCAATATTCCAGAACACCTAGGATGGTCACTTTTCATCGAGTTGATCTTTTACTTTCAGTTTTTAAATTTTTATCCAACTTTGATTCCGAGCACTCATCCTAGCAACTGCCTCTATCTAAAAATGAAAAACCTGGAATGCCCATATTTTGCTCTGAGTAGTGGCGTGGATAAGCCAGCCTCTGTCTTTATTTCTTCGCTAAAATTATTGTAATTTTAAAAAGTAGCCCCTTGTCCACGCTCCTACAGCTGGCGCTCACTCACATCAAAAGTACATATTCAGTCGAATGCTGCAAGTTCGAATTCCTGAATCCATTCTGCTAGTCTTAATAAGTATTGACTTTTTCGCGTATTTAGCGATACAAACAAACAAGAAACATGGACATGGATGAGCTAGAGTTTGAATCAGACTCCGAAGTCGGCGAGGACATGGATTTAGATAGAATCCCTGAGGATCAGGAGGAAGACTCCGATGAAGTATGACTAGGGTCTACGCGCAAAAAATGGGCTACCTCTTCCGCATATTTTCACGGAAATCCAATTGTACCATATTTTAGAGCATCCCTGAATTAGTATAAATCGGTTTTAAAAAGAAAAAAAAATCGAGTTTTTCAACCCTTTTTCTCATGTCAAAGTTCCCAAATTCTGGTGTTTTTCAGTTTTTGGCACCGGAAGTGGGTCGCACCCCTATAAAGTACCCTTTTTTTTGTTCTCTGATAATAGCTTACCGTCTGTTGCATCTATATCAGCAAAAAAACTCGTATCGGGTACCTAGTGCAAGATGAGATTTTTAAGTCGGAAGTTCCTCCGGAAGCACTAAAAATGCCGAAATTCGCTCTACTTCTCTGAACTTGGGATTTCTTGAATGGATAACCCCTGCAACTTATCAGAACTGGTCTTACCAAGACTTATCTAACCGAACCGCCGCCTAACCAGCCGGTTTTCTTCAAGAATCATCGAGTGAACCATAATACAGTTAATTATGGAATTTTTGGACATTTTTTGTCCCAAGATTTTCGAAAAAATGTCCAAAAATTTGATTCATGCTGTCAAAAAAAATGTCCTATCCAAATCGTTTAAAAAATTTTTTTTGAGAAAAATCTCCATCATCCTCTGTTTTTTCCTTCTTCTAAAGACAAAAAAAATTCTAGGAGTACGAGATCAACCTTAAATCTCATCATTTTCAAAGAAAAAGTAAGATTTTCGATAAGAAAAAACGCCATATCTGGCAAAAAACGGAAAATTTAAAATTTTGGCGCAGAAAATGTCCAAAAATTTGATACAGGCACTTTTGAAAAGTGTCCCAAGAAAACCCCTTAAAATTGCAAAAATGTCCAAAAATTTGATGTCCAAAAATTCCATAAAAAACTGTAATGTATGTTTTTTGAATATTGATCAATGGACGATCATTTTGCTCGGCCAGTAAATGGCCACTTATGGTCAACTTTGGTCTTGTTCGGCCGGAGGATCCCGGAGGACCTCCCTGGTGGAAGACCATCCGCTGGAAGACCAATATTCAAAATATTCAATATATGGCCGCGCTCGGTCAGTATATGGCCACCTTTGGTCATCATTGGTCATGTTCGGCCGGAGGACCCCGGAGGACCTCCCTGGTGGAAGACCATTAGATGGAAGACCAAAATTAAATAATAAAATAAAATGCCTTGCTGGGCTAAAAATTGACAATTTCGGCAAACTTTGGTTACTTTATGCTTGAGGACTCCTGGAGGACCCCTTTTGTCGGATAACAATCAACTGGAAGACCAACATTTAAAAAAAAATAAAAATCAATCATAGTCAATTCAGATAGCGACGCCCATTTATTCTTTTAAATCAGTGTCAGGGCGAAGCCGACCCGGAGGGGGGGTCACGCCCATTTATTCTTTTCAATAAGAGTCAGGGCGTAGGCGACCCGGAGGAAAAGCCTACCCGATTATTCTTTTCAATCAGTGTCAGGGCGAAGCCGACCAGAAGGGAAGGCCACGCTCGTTCATTCTTTTAAATCTGAGTCAGGGCGAAGCCGACCCGAAGGGAATGCCACGCTCGTTCATTCTTTTCAATCAATGTCAGGGCGAAGCCGACCCGAGGGAAGGCCAAGCTCGTTCATTCTTTTCAATCTGAGTCAGGGCGAAGCCGACCCGAAGGGGAGGCCACGCCCGATTATTCTTTTCAATTAGTGTCAGGGCGAAGCCGACCCGAAGGGGAGGCCAAGCTCATTCATTCTTTTCAATCAGTGTCTGGGCGAAGCCGACCAAAAGGGGAGGACACGCTCGTTCATTCTTTTCAATCGGTGTCAGGGCGAAGCCGACCCGAAGGGGAGGCCACGCTCGTTCATTCTTTTCAATCAGTGTCTGGGCGAAGCCGCCCCGAAGGGGAGGACACGCTCGTTCATTCTTTTAAATCAGAGTCAGGGCGAAGCCGACCCGAAGGGGAGGCCACGCCCGTTCATTCTTATCAATCGGTGTCAGGGCGAAGCCGACCCGAAGGGGAGGCCACGCTCGTTCATTCTTTTCAATCAGTGTCTGGGCGAAGCCGCCCCGAAGGGGAGGACACGCTCGTTCATTCTTTTAAATCAGAGTCAGGGCGAAGCCGACCCGAAGGGGAGGCCACGCCCGATTATTCTTTTCAATCAGTGTCAGGGCGAAGCCGACCCGAAGGGGAGGCCACGTTCGTTCATTCTTTTCAATCAGTGTCTGGGCGAAGCCGCCCCGAAGGGGAGGACACGCTCGTTCATTCTTTTAAATCAGAGTCAGGGCGAAGCCGACCCGAAGGGGAGGCCACGCCCGATTATTCTTTTCAATCAGTGTCAGGGCGAAGCCGACCCGAAGGGGAGGCCACGTTCGTTCATTCTTTTCAATCAGTGTCTGGGCGAAGCCGCCCCGAAGGGGAGGACACGCTCGTTCATTCTTTTAAATCAGAGTCAGGGCGAAGCCGACCCGAAGGGGAGGCCACGCCCGTTCATTCTTATCAATCGGTGTCAGGGCGAAGCCGACCCGAAGGGGAGGCCACGCTCGTTCATTCTTTTCAATCAGTGTCTGGGCGAAGCCGCCCCGAAGGGGAGGACACGCTCGTTCATTCTTTTAAATCAGAGTCAGGGCGAAGCCGACCCGAAGGGGAGGCCACGCCCGATTATTCTTTTCAATCAGTGTCAGGGCGAAGCCGACCCAAAGGGAGGCCACGTTCGTTCATTCTTTTCAATCAGTGTCTGGGCGAAGCCGCCCCGAAGGGGAGGACACGCTCGTTCATTCTTTTAAATCAGAGTCAGGGCGAAGCCGACCCGAAGGGGAGGCCACGCCCGATTATTCTTTTCAATCAGTGTCAGGGCGAAGCCGACCCGAAGGGGAGGCCACGTTCGTTCATTCTTTTCAATCAGTGTCTGGGCGAAGCCGCCCCGAAGGGGAGGACACGCTCGTTCATTCTTTTCAATCAGTGTCTGGGCGAAGCCGCCCCGAAGGGGAGGACACGCTCGTTCATTCTTTTCAATCAGTGTCAGGGCGAAGGCGACCCAAAGGGGAGGCCACGTTCGTTCATTTTTTCCAATCAGAGTCAGGGCGAAGCCGACCCGAAGGGGAGGCCACGCCCGTTTTATTTTTAAAATCAGTGTCAGTGCGTAGCAGGCCCGAACGGGAGGCCATGCCCAATTGATTCTTTCAAATCAGTGTCAGGGCGAAGCCGACCCGGATGGAAGGCCACGCCCGTTTATTCTTTTTAAACAGTGACAGGGCGAAGACGACCTGAAGGGGAGGCTACGCTCGTTTATTTTTTTTAATCAGAGGGAGGGCGGAGCTGACCCAAAGAGGAGCCCACGTTGGATCATCTTTCTCAGTCAGAGTCAGGGCAAAAAGGATTTAACAGGGCTTTTCTGTTGCGCTTTTGTCTGTTGGATTTTGAAGCTTTGAAATCCCGAATATTGAATCCGTAAGAAACCTTCCGAATGATTTCCGGGACGAAGTTATTCGGAAAATCTAAAAAAATTCGTGAACTTGAAGTATTTTTAGAGACAAGCCTTGCTTTACCTCAGACTTAATAAGATGGACGGAAATCTGATTCTCTTCCGGTCGCCTTCGCCCAAACCCTGATTTAAAGAATGAACAGGCGTGGCCTCCTCTTCGGGTCGGCTTCGCCCTGACACTGATTTAAAAGAAGAATCGGGCGTGGCCTTCCCTTCGGGTCGGCTTCGCCCTTACTCTTATTGAAAAGAATAATCAGGTGTGGCCTCCCGTTTGGGTCGGCTTCGCCCTGACACTGACTGAAAAGAAAAATCGGGCATGGCCTCCCCTTCGGGTCGGCTTCGCCCTGACTCTGACTGAAAAGAAAAATCGGGCATGGCCTCCCCTTCGGGTCGGCTTCGCCCTGACACTGATTGAAAGAATAATCGGGCGTGGCCTCCCTACGGGTCGGCTTCGCCCTGACTCTGATTTAAAAGAATGAACGAGCGTGTCCTCCCCTTCGGGGCGGCTTCGCCCAGACACTTATTGAAAAGAATGAACGAGCGTGGCCTCCCCTTCGGGTCGGCTTCGCCCTGACACCGATTGAAAAGAATGAACGGGCGTGAAAATTGACCAAAGTTTGCCGAAATTGTCAATTTTTAGCCCAGCAAGGCATTTTATTTTATTATTAAATTTTGGTCTTCCATCTAATGGTCTTCCACCAGGGAGGTCCTCCGGGGTCCTCCGGCCGAACATGACCAATGATGACCAAAGGTGGCCATATACTGACCGAGCGCGGCCATATATTGAATATTTTGAATATTGGTCTTCCAGCGGATGGTCTTCCACCAGGGAGGTCCTCCGGGATCCTCCGGCCGAACAAGACCAAAGTTGACCATAAGTGGCCATTTACTGGCCGAGCAAAATGATCGTCCATTGATCAATATTCAAAAAAACATACATTATTATGGTTCACTCGATGATTCTTGAAGAAAACCGGCTGGTTGGGCCGCGGTTACCGGCTGGTTGGGCCGCGGTTCGGTTAGATAAGTCTTGGTAAGACCAGTTCTGATAAGTTGCAGGGGTTATCCATTCAAGAAATCCCAAGTTCAGAGAAGTAGAGCGAATTTCGGCATTTTTAGTGCTTCCGGAGGAACTTCCGACTTAAAAATCTCATCTTGCACTAGGTACCCGATACGAGTTTTTTTGCTGATATAGATGCAACAGACGGTAAGCTATTATCAGAGAACAAAAAAAAGGGTACTTTATAGGGGTGCGACCCACTTCCGGTGCCAAAAACTGAAAAACACCACAATTTGGGAACTTTGACATGAGAAAAAGGGTTGAAAAACTCGATTTTTTTTTCTTTTTAAAACCGATTTATACTTATTCGGGGATGCTCTAAAATATGGTACAATTGGATTTCCGTGAAAATAAGCGGAAGAGGTTGCCCATTTTTTGCGCGTAGACCCTAAGTATGACCTATACTTTTGACGCACTTTAGCATGGGTATTCTAGGAGCTGCGGGTGGCTATTGCGACGGGTCTTATTCAGCCTGGCTCCAAAATCACCATCTCTGGTCAAAAGAATAAGCGCCCAGACATCAACAACGTTGAGGCGATCCAACAGAAGCTCACTGCTCTCAAGAACAAATTGGATTGGACCGAGAGGCTGGATCTCACGATTGAGATGGTGAGTGTGTCAGAATAAGAATACGATTAAACGTTCGTTTAGCCGGTAGAGGAAGGCGAAGACGGCGTAAATCCACTTCTAAAAGACGATTTCGCAAGGGAAGATCATTTCCAAAAAGTAGCGACAGAAGGCGCACGAATCGGAGTTATCAGGTCGAAACGAGCGGGTTTACCTCTCTTGAGGCCGAAAGGTACGTTCTATCAGTCTCATTCATTAGTCCAGTGGCGACTATTTCTGTAAGTTGGGTTTAGTCTAACTGAGGCTTTAGATTACTTCGCGGAAATGGCGAAAAGTGACGAGCACATGGGCAAAGTGAAGGCTAATTTGTTGTCGCAGAAGTCGAAGATTGAAAAGCGCGACAAGATTCGTCAAATGAGACAGCAGAAGAAATTCGCCAAGGACGTACAAAAGCAGGCCAAGGTTAAGAAGCAAGAAGAAAGAAAGATTGCCAAGGAGGAAATCAAAATGATCAAGAAGAAGGGCGAAGCTGGCATCGCAGATTTTAACAAGGTCAAAAAAGACCCGATGAAGAAGGTAAATCAAGAAAAAAATAGAAAGCTAGTAAAATTTGAATTCTAGGGAAAGAAATTTTCGAAACGAGAAATGAAGAATGCTAAATTTGGATTTGGGGGAAAGAAAGACAAAAGAAACGACGCAGAATCGCATTTTGGTGGACCACGAAAGCGGGGACCAGGAGCGAAGGGTGTGCGAAAGCCACAGAAAAGACTCGGGAAATCGCGTCGACAAGCTGCCAAATGAAAGGAATGCTAACTGTACCGTATGAATCCTGTCCCTCAAAATATACAATGAATTGTAAAATATCGCCTTGTTGAGAAATAATTAATTCACGCATCGCATGATTGGTTAAATCGTGTCTTTGATTAGCAGAGGAAATTTAACATCTTGTGCGAACGCAAATGAAAGAAATTATAATTTCAAATTTCTCATGCGTAGCGCATCATAACGAGTCGCCTTATCCTTATAGAAGATGATGAATTCAATTTAATTCACGCTAAAAGGCTCTGATTCGAATGACCATCCGAAAGAAAAAAGTTTAAGAGTGGTCGGTTGTGAGCGTGAATTGTTTGACATCGAGGACCAAAAAATGCGTCCTGAACACACAGCCCCGCCAGAAGTGTTTTATAACACCGATGAAGCGAAAAAATATTCTCGAAATACGCGAATCATGGAGATCCAAGCCACCATGTCCGAGCGTGCGATTGAAATGCTCTGCCTTCCAGAAGATCAGCCCTCCTTTATTCTAGACATTGGTTGTGGCTCTGGACTGTCTGGGGAATGCCTGAGCGAGCAAGGACACCACTGGGTTGGGATGGATATATCTGAGGCAATGCTTGATGTAGCCGTCAGCGAACGGGAAACAGATGGGTAAGTGGTTTTGAAGCGGCAAGATTGGAGGTTCTTGTTGCAGAGTCATCCATTTTTACTTTTAGCGACGTTCAACTGGCTGATATGGGTCAAGGAATTCACTACCGAGCTGGTGTTTTCGACGGCGCGATTTCAATTTCGGCAGTTCAGTGGCTTTGCAATGCGGACAAGAAAGGCCACTCGCCCCCTAAGCGACTCTACCAGTTCTTCAAAACGCTCTATTCGTCGCTCAGGCACGGTGCCCGAGCGGTACTTCAGGTAAAAGCCTTTTCTCTCCGCTTCGATTGCAGTTTGCCAGAAGCGATAAAAGAAGGATTAAATGTTATCGTCTTTTGAGCTTCTTCGTTAAATTTTTATCGTTGTTGCGTATGATCTGAAAAGCCCATTATCCTCGACAGTGAACAAATCAAGTGTTATTGCGCGTGTAATATATGGTTAAGCTTTATCCAGAGACACCTGATCAAATGGAACTGATAATGTATCAAGCAACGCGCGCTGGATTCTCTGGCGGTGTGGTGGTTGATTATCCCAACTCCGCTAAAGCAAAAAAATACTACCTTTGTCTCTTCGCCGGAATTCAACAGGGGCAAGCTCAAGTCCCTGCAGGTGTGTGTGCTTATTTATTCCGAGATTCTCTTCTAAAACTTCTCTTTCTATACAAATAATTCAGGAAATAATCTGATTATGTCTATATCATATAGACTATATGACTTAAATAATAACTCTCAATTGACCACATTCAATAAATTAATCTCTCTGTGTAGTGCGAGCCAAATGCTTTTATTGCTTAATTAGCTGATTGCTAGAGTTGTGATGGGCTTCCTAAATGATCACAGTTTCGCATCAAGTTGATTTATTGCTCGTAAATCAACTAGCTTACATATTTAGTGAAACAATCAGTGATAGAGCGCTGCTCATAACGTTAACACATGATGCGTGACATATCACTGATTTATGAGCTAGTTTGTTTTACAGCGTCAGGCTATCATCTTTGTTGATCGCTGTCTTCAGGGCTGACTGACGAAATGGATACCGCCACGAATACCGATAGAATGCGAACGAAAGACTTTCGCAGTGCAGGCGGAGTCAAGAACGCTACAAGGAAGCAGAAAGTAATTGCCAGAAAAGAACGACATTTGCGAAAAGGAAAGACGACTAAACACAGTGAAAATACCAAGTATACGGGAAGACAAAGAAGGCCTAAGTTTTGAATTGTTCTATTTTTGGAAATAAATGAAGCAAAAAATAATATATTCAAAAATATTTTGGAAGCTCGTGGAAACTTCAACTACATCATGGACTGTTTCCACGCGCCTTTCGGCCAGATTTAATCACTAGATAGAAATTGATTGATGATTTTTTTCATTCTCTTGGCTTTAAAAATACACCGCCACTCCGAAGTACTACTACCCTAGTAGGCGTGTTTTTCCTAAAAAAATTGGTCTACTCACTTATTTTTGCAGGTTTTCGCAGGCTTGTTAGAGGCTTGCTCTAGTAATGAGGATATTTTATCGAGAAAATTGCCTCTTTCGAAAGCTGCGATTACTTTTCAAGTCGCTCATTTAGCCCAGCCCATTATCTTGAAGTGGAAGCCAGTGAACTCGCTTGTCTAGGAGTCACTATTAGCAGCTAAAGTTTAAATATATTAAATATTCACGTTTCCTCTCGATCACCTGTTAGATATAAGTAGGGAGGCTGCAATAAGAAAGCGATGAAGTGTACGTCGTTAATTTATTGGAGGAACCTGGAAACAGGGATAATCGTGTTGTCAAGAGACGGCTTTAATTCAATTTTGAACTGGTCTCCTTTGTTCTGGTCAATTATTTCCGCAGCCATTATAGCGCTGGCGGAGGCATTTAGTGTTCAGAGCACGTTATTTAAGCAGTCTAGGCACTTCCGGTGATAGTGCACAAGGTAGTGAGTTAATTTGGTGGTGTCGGAGGAGCTGCGCCGCGCGAGTAGGATACGAGTAGGCTCAAAATGAATTTTTCGGTTTTAGGCTGAGTACCGTGGTAATCGTCCGACACCAAATGTTGGTGTAGCTCTAGTGCTCCCCGTCAAGTGTGCAGTTACGCGACTCCTCGAGGCTGGTACTTGTTCTAAATCGGGCGTTATGAGCTTACCACACCGGGAAGTACCAATTGATCGCAGGAGCACCACACCTGCACCGCCGCCACCACCGCCCGTTCCTCAATATTGTTTCTCGTGAGAGCGCGCTTTATCAGATTTTGCGAGTCGCTGCGGCCCACCGGAACCGAAGGAACTTGTCTTAACCGTCGCGCGACATCAGCAAAGTGCGTGCGCGCTCGTATCGCCAAAACATGGTGTTACAGGAACTCGCTGCCGAGTACTCTGTAATTCGCCGAGCCATTATTGATAAAAGCGCGAGCACGGTGTAACCTTCATCCGCCGCAAAAATAACTCACCGGGCGTGCCCAAAATAAACGCGCTTCATCGCAATGGGAGCGTTTTATTTTTATTCATTGCACAGCAATATTCTGAAGCTGTTTCGGCAACAAGCGCTATCTAACCTTCAGGTGCCTCCTGCTCTACCACCATTAACTATCTTGAAAATAAACACATCGGAATCAAAGGCAGTCAAGCTGATTTGATGGATTGGGAGTAATCAGCTTTTGCAAGGCTAAATAGCATAATTGAGTTTTGAGCCATTAGCTCCAACGATTACCTCGGTGTGATTATTCTTTTCCAAGACAGAATTGCCCGAAAAACCGCACGTGACCTTAGGAAATGAATTTAACTTGGTGGCGCCAAATCTGTCCCGGCCTGACAGTTGTCGATAAACCAATTTATAACCTTGTAGGATCAATTATGGTGTTCATATCAGGTAAAGGCTAGAGAATGAAAGTTCCGAAAATGAGTTGTAGAATCATGGTCGCATTGGAAAATAATCATCATCGACGAAAACGGGGAAAAAGAAGCTGATCCCGATTTGTACACTCGGCTCGGGAGGGTAAAAATCAAGTTCAAGCAAGAATGTTTCAGCGTTTCTACCATTCTAAACTCGATTTTCAACATAAACAATGTCTCAAAAGATAGAGAAATCAAAGTTTTATTGATTGCCGCTTTTCTTGGGTATTTAGTGCGGGAAGACAAGCAGCACACCCTAATTTACTTGACAAGCTTGAGTTATCAGAACTAATTAGTTCATGCTCAGCGACCTCGGTGACGAAAACATAATAAGATTCCAATTTCAGAGAAGAGAGTCCTCGCAACTCTCATCCACGGATAATGAGTGGTGCTTTACAACATTGTTTCCCCACCAAACAATAATGTATTGTAAGAAATCGAACATAAACAGAGAGCGGCACTCGACTTGTTCACGCTAGAGACTCTGTTTTCGTCATAATTTCAAACTAATTGCGTTCTAAATATTCGGGATCGGGGATTCCAAGGGGATTATTCCACTTTTATCCAAGCGCGCATGATTACAACTTTACAAGAATGAGAATGTAAGAATATTCGGATAACTATGTTCCACTTTATCGGATCACTCATCAAAGAATGCTTTTGTTAGCGTAAAATAACGGCAATAAACGCGATTACTGACTTTTGCGCGCGGTTTGCTCACTCGCGGAGTTTCGCTGAACTTCAGCGTCCGTCGGTTTTTATCGCGAGGAGCAAACTTTGGTTGCGGCGGTGTTTGGTTCCTTTGTCGGTTTGGTGCCGTTGTCGGCAGCGATTCGATTTCGTCAGCAGCCGTAAGCTGCCTTCGAAGGGCTCCCCGCTCCATAATCTGGCGATGGTTGAGTAGTGTAGTAAGTCAAACTACCGTCCCCGTGACGGCCTGCTTGTGGCTTCGGCGGCCACTCCGCGTGGAGTCTCACCGTGGTCTCGGTCGAGTCGGCAAAACATCGCCCGGCGGCCAGCTTCACTCTCGATTATACGCGCCCAAGTCAAATGCAGCTGATAACGAGGCGCATCTCCGCCGCCTTATCGCGCTCAGCAGGACACAAATTCCGAAGAGTGCGACAAGTCTTCTTCGCCGATAACGCTCCGAGCCCTTAATGCCACCATCACACGGCCAGGACGTAGGATCATCAAGCACTGCTAGCGCGACAGTTAAAGTAGCTCCTGCCGCGCAGGAAAATGCCAATTTCATGGCGCATTATTCCGGCCAGCAGCGAGGCCCCTTGTCCGAACACCTTGACCTTTAGGGCGAAATCAAACTGCCAGAACCTGTTAACTTAATCTCAAAAGCAATCAGTTGGATAGCTCGTTGCTTCGCGGCGTCTTTGGGAAGCGATAAAACTAAGTCGATTATTAATGACGCTGTCGCGATCAAAAGACCAGTAAAATTTGTGACATCGTAAAGATACGGATAGTAATTAACACGGTCGGATAGCTACCGCTTACTCGAGACACACTATTCCGTTGATTACTATTTACATCAAAAAGCGAGACTATACTCATTGACAAGTGCTCAACGAGCCTCAACCGCGGCGATTAATGTGAAGATTACTGGCATCCATATTTTGACAGGATATGACGCTGAGAAATAATGCCACCCTAATAAGGCACCCTTTAGAGCAAGGAGTCTTTTTCCAACTATGCAGCGACTAAGACAACGAAACTAAGCGCAGATAAATGAAATTAATTTTAGACAAATAGTTTTGTCTTGGAAGAATTCAGAAGGCAGCGGTGGTCTTTCAATGATGAATAAGTGATGCTGTTGCACTGAATAAGTAATAATCTCCAGGGGTTTGAAATAAAGAATAGTTTCTGTTCATGCTGGTGTAAGTTCGAAGTATTTGAGTGCTGAAATATTGATCAAATATTAAAAGCTACTCACTCCAGCCGATTTTTTATATATTATTATATATTATTTAATTAGATAAATAAGATGAATAATTCGTGAACAAGTGGAGGAAAAAGAATGTCATAGCAAGCGTCCACACGTAAAACTACAGTCTCTTTCAGGTTGCTTTTCGTATAAACCTAGAGCCTTACGTTTCAGCGGCGGAGATTTGCTTGACGAAGGTTGAATTATTCTGGTATTTGCAGTGGAGACTTGTTATTTCACGATCTTGTAAAGCGGGTACATACTGCACATAAATTTATCCTCCTAAATTTAGCAGCTTCGTAAAAGTCCTACTGAGTTCATTACCTGTTCCAAGCCTGGTATTTCTGCGTTGCGCGAGTACAAAAAACATTTGAGGTAGATATCTTCGGAAACTAAATGAGTCGGTCAAAAGCTACAGTTTCTTTGCTTATTTACCTGAAGAATCCGTGTTGTCTGGTAGCCGAGGTTGATCTTTGAGAGCTGTGTATCCAATAGCGGTGATTACGAGTAGACTAAAAACCAAATGTCAACTACCTTAGAAGCTGCTAAAAAGCAAGGTAAAAAGGAGTACACATGACTAGAGAGCATTCTAATTGATCTTTCCAGACAGGAGAGGATCTTGGACAGGTTTTTCACAAGTTCATTATTCATATTGGACCATTCTATCTGTTGCTCATAGCGGCGTGCTAGTCGAGAATAAAGCACCTGTTATAATTTACAGCACTGTCTTATAATGATCATCCTAAGCAGATGAATTTTTCTCAGAAGTAATTCATCTTACCATGGTATAATAAAGTAAATGACGAAGGCGATATAAAGAAAAACTTTTTGTTGAGGTGTTTTTGGTCGATTGGGATCGTATGGTTCTTTCTCGACTTCTTCTCTTACGGGGTTTTTATTGGCAGTCGAAGAAAAACTTTTGTTGAATTATGATTAGTATTTAAACCCAGACTTGGATATCGTCCCCGATATCAATTGTTCCTTTCTTACTTCGTCTTTTTCGCTCATATTTTTCTTTTAGTTCTCGCAGCTCTTCTGACTCTCGGGATTTTCGTTTAGATTTTGTGGATTCTCGAGGACGTCCTTTGGAGTCTCGCTTTGTTCCTCCATTGGCGTTGTCGATTTGCACTTTCTTTGATCCTCTGCGTCTCCCTTCCTCTTTCTCGCCCTTCGAGCTGCGTCCCTCGCTTCTTGAGCTTCTGTGGCTTTTTGAAGTTCTACCAGATGTTGAGCTTCTTGGTTCAGTTCTCTTAGAGCTAGCTCCACTTTCCGGATTCCTTCTTTGAGCCAAATCACTGCCGGTACTCCCTGGTTGACCATCTCGCACTTTTTCTGCGTTTTGCGTTTGAACATTTTCCTTCCCATTTCGCTCATCTTCTCGTTCTTTCTCCAGGTTTAGAAAGACAACTGTGCCCCGATCGAAGTAAAAAAAAATCTAGTTTCGATGAAGGGAACACCACTCACAAACATGCAATTTCTAGAAAATCAATTACGCTACCATAATTTTTGGAGAAACGGTTAGTTCTGGACTTGTCACCTTGAGAAGTGCTCTATTTTTGGTACTTTACTAAACTTGGCTTGAGAGTTTTTTCGGGTGCTCTGTTTCACTTCAGCAGCTTTATCCGCCGCTGGTTTCTTCTCCACGTCTTCGTTTGGTGGAGGAGATGGTGTCCCCATAAATAGGGTTCGAATATGTCTTCCTAATGGCTACCTATATATTTTCAACCTTTCATAAAGGGCTATTTAACAAGGGCTAATAAATATTTAGGCTTTCAGTATCACACGTTGCTTTTTTTAAAGCACCGGTCAAATACACATTCGCAGAGTTAAGTGGCCCATTCCTGTTGAAAATTTCTCGTTTACCGAAAGATTTGAACTGTTTATCCAAAAAGTCGCCTAAATCAACAATTCTAGAAGCACTAAGTCTTGATAAAGATGCTCTCTATTGAAACAGAATATATGCCAAGTGAATATAATCTTTGAATTTTAGAAAAATTGGAGCTTTGGTTTTCTACATATATTTGCGTGATTGCTTTGTCTAACGGTTGCAGATTGCGAATAGATTGAGTTTATTATTGTCGGGTTTCCAGAAATAAATTGCAAAGCAACATTGAAATTCAGGAGATGGCAAAAACGCAGAATGTTGGTGACTTTGAAGCAGAAGTGAACCGTGGGATCTGAGCAAAGATTAGTCAAATATTCCGAATTTGTTGTATTCGACGATGCGCGCTCTTCCAAGAATAATTCTCAAGTTAGGAGTGCGCTAAATGTAGCGGATTACGGCGTGATGGATTATTTCTAAATAAAGATCGCCATTATGGGAGCAGCACTTTTAAGACGAATATAAAACAGAAATTATCAGCGATAAAATAAGACAGTTGCCCTGGGTCCGCTTCGAAACCGCATCAAATGTTCGAGCTCGCGCAGAGTTGCTAATTTACTTTCTTATAATCTGTAGCTGTAGTTTTAAATTGTAACTCCATTGGAGAGAGTGGAATTAGAGCACCGCAAGAGCTCAAACAAAGCTTTCAATCGCTTTCGGGCTCGTTACAAAGGCGATACGGAGGCGACAATTTGCTCTTACTTCGATAAATTCGCTCGTCCGCCTAAGCTAACATTGCCCCAGGCGTGTGCTGTTTATTCTGGCGATAATTCGCTGGTTTGTTCCGTTTGCTCGACTTTCATTAACGTCAGATTTTCTTCTATGTTTGTGCCTTTTACGCTCATCACAGACTCTCTGATGTTCTTGTGGCCATGTAGTTTTGCCTGACACTCCTTCCTTATTGCCGCAGCTTAAAATGTTAAAGACTAGTTCACCGTAAAGAGGCCGTTTAATGAAACCGCATACATCATTTAGTTTAAAAGGCGAGCACGTCCTTGTTTACGTAGCTCAGCTATAAATAATGCTCAAATTAATCCACCCTACGTCTGCCCTTTCGTTTATCACAAAGATTTAATTTCTTGTTATAAAAATGTAGTTCTGTAGAAAAAAGCTCAGCTAGGGAAGAAAATGATTAGAGGCTTTTGTTATTATTATGCGATGAGCATTTGTGAGTGATATACAAAGGCAGTTGATAGACTGTGGGAGCATTCTTTTTTCAATATTCTCGAGCTGAACAAGATAACGGCGCCGATGATCGACTGTCAACGAGACGTCTTTGTGAGTGATTTCGTCAGCGCAGAATCTTTCGAAGTTCTCGGTCCGCCGTTTCCACAGCAAGTCTTGAACGATCTTCCGTCTCGCTAGTTCTGCTTATTCCTGGCTGAGGATTACCTTCAAATTTCCGCGCTGGAAAGTGAAATACTGTCCATTCCATGGCGTACAGAGCACTTCCCAAGATAAGTTCTGATGAAATATCTGTGAGTCGAAATTGGACTACTATACTTATATAGTACATTATAGTAATTGGAACCCAGAGGATTCTCGAAGCGGACAATTAGGAGACTTTTCACAACTGTCAAGCCGGAAGTGTTTGAGCGCACCTGCCAGAAACCATTGGCGTTGTTTTACGAGCCTGATGACTTGCTGTAAAACAAATGAAGGAAGAACTTCCTGTAGTTACTAAATCAAGCGCTCTTTGATTAATTGTGACGGAGAATCGCTGAGCGCATCCCTCAGAATCTATTTCCATCAAAAATTAATGCCACTTGTCATCTGGGCGGCTTCTAGACATGAACCTGATTCTTATGCGACTCTGGGGAAAGCCACGGTCCCGATGCTGGAAGCACGGCGCGCCCTCTCCGAAGGGGATAGTTCCTCGCATGAAAAGATCGGCTGATTTATTCATGGATGTGTTTGTCTGAGGGCCATCGAGGTGTTCTTGCTTTAGAACGAGCCTTGTTTACCCTTGGAAAACAACGAACCCTTGTCAAAAATCGCAAATGTAATTTGCAGAAAAAATAAATAGCAAACATATAAACAACTAAGCTTGCTAAATGACAAGTGTGTCACTTGCATTTTCGATAAAGCGCGTTTCCAGAAGCGTAGTCTTGAATCGTTCGATTAGTAAATAGAAGCTTAATTAGCGATAATTTAAATCTTCTGCTAGTAACCCTCCACTACACACTGTTTAATTATCGAGCTTATTCCGCTCGCGATGAAATTTTAGCCGCTTAAAATGTTTTCGCTCATGAAAATGCTCAAAAGCAATGATTCATGTGCCAGTGCGAGTTCCGAGAGCTTGGGTTTCAAAGGGCTCGTTGATTGATTTCACTCCGTGTCACACACTTGGGCACTGTAATGAGCTATATGAAGAGGCTGCTTGTCGAAGGGGCATTTGCGGTTTGGAAATTTACAATGGAGCTTTTGCTTCACAGTAGCTTGTTTCCTCAGCTACATGTAGCGAAATGGGCGAGGGGCCCAGCTTAGGCGCGATAAAATTCGCTCAAAAGGGCCGCGGAGATTGTCGCCTCGCTCATAAATTATGCTAATGACGAGTGAAGTCCCCCTCGGTGATTAGAGGATTAATGAGATTTCCATTGTTACCGCCACAACTCGAGCCTTGATTCCCAATTTCGATGTAAATATCTAAATTATAATTAACAAATATGGATTCAGAAATTCTGAATTATGGTCATCAAAGAGGTTGAAATCAATGAGTCCCATAAAACTTTGATTTAAGTTGGAAGCTCTTGTTAGATTTCATTAGCATCAATCCATGATTCAAAGTAGCCGCTGTGTTCAGCAATATAATATCTCAATATCGCAATTAGCGACGGGAGTTACGAGTTGTGTCGGTGGTTTATTGAATGTGTGGGAGCAATGTTGGTGGAGGAGCCATGTCGGGAAGGATTTGTTACGGCCGGTGGGATCTAATTATGTCTTGGTTGCGTTTGGCGCTAGGCGCTGGTCGTTTCGTGTCTTTGGAAGCCGGATGCGAGGGGCTCGCGCAGGTCAGGTGATCAACTCCATGCGGAGTAGCCGCGCCAAACACAGCACCGCGCATGGCCCAGGGCAACCGAGAGCGGCAAAACGCAAAAAAAGAGGAAAATAGAGCGAGAGCGAGACACACACACGGGCCGATAGCTGAATAACGCGCGCGCCAGCTCCAACTCGATCAGAAACCGATCCACAACCGTCGCAGAAGAGAGAAAAGCAGAGAGATAGAAGGCGAACCCGAAGCTTGAACCACGCCGCATGGGAAGGCAGAGAGAGTAACCAAGAAAACGTCTGAGAAGAGCGGAGACGAGACGAATAGAAAACTCCACAAACGAAAATGTTCACTAACCGTCCGCCCGGCCCGGTAAGTCCTTAGCAAACACGTGAGCTGTCCGTTTTTGGAGGCGATTAGCACCGGACACCGTTAAAATTGTGACCTTTTGAGCGTGCCAGGCGATTTGGGCACGCACTCATCCCCTTTCAAAGTTGTTTGTTTTATTTTTTAATATTCAAAGCAGGGAAAAATAGGGTTAGAGGGAATAATGTGCTTAGTTCTGGGCGAAAAAAGAATGAAGGAGCGTGAAATGCATTCGCGGGACTATTCTCGAGCTAGAAGATTTGAGACTAATTGATTTTGGGGATGAAGCAACTCCGGGGTCCACGTAGCTGTTGACTTTTGCTTTTCGAATATTTTAGCCCTAGTCCAGTGGCTTACTTGCGCAAGCATTTGTTTAGTCTATCAGGATTGTAGCAATCAGAATATTGCCAGTACTGCGCAGAGTAACGACAATTCATTTTTATGATGATCTCAGTTTCGAATTTGCCTAATCCGTTTTCTTTACGAAAAGGTGGCGTCGTAAACGCGCCCTCGCTCATCGAATTTTCCCCGTCCAGACTTATAATTGTTGTCACTCCAAACTTGTTGTTTTGGCCGTGATTCAACGAGGAGTACGAAAGTGACGCCCGGAAGATTCCACGAGATATCAATTTCTATTATTGAACTCGTCTAGCTCGGTGAACAAATTTCTATCCGGCGAAGATCGAATGTTTTTCGCTGACCCTCATTAGCAACTTTAACTGTAGCAGGGTCTTGCTGAGCGAGTACTGATGTTGAGCGCACGATTTTGAGTTTTGAGGAGTATCGATTCGCGCGAAGAAGGGCTGTTGGTTTACCCTTAACCGCTTAGAACACAAGTTTCGGTTAGAGTGGCCGAGTCGGTTCAAATATTCATCCGCCCAACTCGGTAATGGCGAGCCGCTAAATTTTTGATGATCCACTTTTGCTCTTCCCTAGGTATCTGTCAGCGAAAGCATTCATGAATATTTCACGCTCGATTACGGATCGTCTTCCGCGACAAGCGACGAGTCCCATCGAACAATCTAAATGTGTGTTTTTCAAACGCCATGAATAAGTAACAAGCTGTGTCTAACTATGTTCCGCACTAGAAGTGAATAAAATAGCACCTTGAAGAAGCTAGTGTAAATTAATTAATAAGTCTTACTAAAGGGTCTTTACAGATGTGCGCTTCTCAAATGATGGCGGCCAGGATGCATGTTTATCGCTTCTGCCGCTCAGTTTAAATTTGAACAGGTCGCAAATATTGGCTCTAGCATTATCGACTACTCCGCGACAAAGTGTTTTGATTGCGATGGGGTAGATTCGGCATGTGCCAGCGAAAGGTGGCAAATAAGCTTTATCGGAGTAGCTATGTCGCGGTTGATTGATGCGCTCGTAATCGCCCTTCTGATTCGGGAATTACCCACCAAATCAGCGGGAAGTGCTTGCGGAAAACGCCTGAAGTGACAACTGCCTTGGGGCAGTCTCAACACGTCCCCTAGTACTGGGCTTAGCGCATTGCCTCGCAAAGACTAGCACTGTGCTTGTCTAAGTTTAGCACCTTTTCATTGCTTTAATCCATCACTGCCCGTGTTTTCCGAACTTATAAGGCTATGACGAGATACAGTAAGCGCGCTCTACTCTCAGAGCAGCAAAGGTGCCAACGTGCGGCGTCTGTATTCGCACTGTAAGCGCGCAAGTGTCTTCTTGCCAAAGTTCACAAAGATAAGGCGATAAGGGCGCAGGGAACGTGCGAGCAGCTAATCCGAATTAATCAGACTGACTGAGAGAGCACGCGGCGACAGCATCATTGGCACAATTAACGCCCTAATTCCCCTTATTCTTGCTAAGAAGGAGAACATATCACCGGAGCACAACGCTGTTAATCGAGCAAATTGGGGCTAAACGGGCTCTGCGCGCACTCACGGCATTGTTGCCGCCTATTATAGGGCTAGTTGTAAAAGCTTCCGTTTCAAGATTAGCCACAAATAAAGGAAAATAAATTGCTTGCCGCGGAGGACCCTCCGTTTCCGCTCGTCTCCTCACTTGTGTTTCTCTCGTTTTTACTTTCGCGTTTCCATACACACTCTATTTTTATCGATTTTATTCGCTTGGCGGAAAGCGTACCCCACAGATATTTCTATAAAATAGCTTTTATTTTATTTTTTTGTATTATGGAGAAAAGAAATAGTTGGACTCGAGGAATGCCCCTCTATCGGTATTTGCTATAATTGAGACTCTTGTTTCGTAACCTTCACAAATCAATTCAATTCGTTAGCAGAAATCTAGACTTTTTGTAATAGATCTCAAGCGTCCAAATCAACCGCTGAAAAATCACGAAAATCACCGTGGAACTCCCAGCTTTCAGACTCTTCTAAGAAAGTAAGTGGCCTAAGTCTACATATCCGAATTGCAAGAGAGTCTTGCGGGAACAATCGGTGCGTACACTTACACCCTTAACTAAGAACTTCGGCGTGCTGCTTATCGCGTCAGTCACTATAAATCCGGTGGCGGGGATCAGTGTTCGTAGCCATCCGGGTGATAACTTTGAGGCGGCGCCGCGGCGACTTCTGGCGATAAGCGCCATAGCGTGAAGGCCTTCAGGTAACGCCCAAGGTGCCTCTCTAGCTTTCAAGTGGTGTTTTGAACACTTCGGTGCTGCATCGTATGCACCAGCGCTCGAACATTTTTGACAAATAGTCAAGTGCTTAATTGCTGATCTCTTCTCACTAGAAAGTACACTGCTAACGTAGGATTATCTACGTCGGCTGAAACCTCAAGACCATAAAAAAGGAAATCTTCACCTGTCTCCCACGATGTGCTAACCGGTCGGTCGTTAATGGCCAATTTCGCGTTAAATTGAGCCGTGTCAGGCCCAAATCGACCACATTTCGCGGTCATGTCCCGCCGCCGCCCTCAAGTGGCTCCTGATTTCACATTCCGCTGTACCGCGCGGTTACATGGCTCAAACGCACTTAACCGCAACGACTGCGCCGCAACCATGGCCAAAAAGATTGATAAGCTCAGAAGAACGCAGAGCTTCTTTGCACTCCAGGGAGTGTGCCTTTAAAATCGCCCAGGCAAATAATGCTCAAAGGTCAAATACTAAACCCCAACGCACGTTTCTGATTATTTAACTATCAATTTTATAAATAATAACCGTTTTTATTTAGACAGGCCAAGGTGGCCAGGGAGGACCGCGGGAACAGGTCTCGACACTTCGACAAATTTAATTGACTCATTAATTAGATCAAGGCAGTTTAATATCTTTCGCGCGAGTGAATCGCTGTTAAAACTAGGAATAGTTTGTAATAACCAATAAATATTTAAAATGAAATATTGTCGAGTCTCTCAAAGCCAAATATGAAAGGATCCGTTCTGGAAATTCTCGACCGAGTCAAAGAAGAGTTCAACTTCCAGTCTACACAGAACCAAAGGTAAGACGATTAGTGGAGACCGTTTTGTCCTCACTAGGTGAGCGCCCCTGAGAGTATTTAACATTGGCCGTAGTCGGTGTTCTTTTAGAGGACACAAATCTAGATTTGATTTGGCAGCACTGGGGACTTTAAGAAGCGTATTGATTTGCATTAAAGCTAATCTAGAAGACGCTGAATTTGATCACTATGAGGCACCGCTAAGAGTTAATTTGCGGTGAGCGCTCAGCCCTCTCACTACCTTACGTCAGCTTCGGTTATAAGCTAGACTCAATTTATACTCTTTGATCGAAAAACATTCTTTTTAGAAACACAAAAAAATAATATTTTTGAAGAATTTCACATCAAAATAGATATTTGTGGACTCGTAGTGTTACCGAAACACAACATTTAGACGGAATATCAAACTTCCTAGCTCTGGTGCTTCGACAGAGATTTCGCGCGAAACTAGAATTTCACACTGTCGAGAGTGACGTTCCTGCCACTCCGAATCGAAGTTTAGGCACTATTAATATAACGGAGATCACTTGCGAGCTAAGTGTAGATAATCTCCTGAAAATTGAAGGAGAATGTCACGTCTTTCGTCCTTAGCTTGAAAGTTATGTTATTTCGTTGAGCGCATTTCCACAACCCGAAAGGGATCTATTCTATCTATAAGATGGTGGTGTTGGCGCCGCGCCAGAGTAATCGTTTTATCTGGCGCGTAAAGCACCAATCTGGCACCTGGCGCTCCTCTGACAATTTTGGTGTAGCGTGCAGATTCCAGCAGACTGCACAGACTCGTTAATGAGAGTAGAGGAGGCGAATTCCGCAACTATGACCTCGAACCTGTATGATTGACCGGTTTACAATTATCAGCAGTCAATCATGCTCGTTAACACTTTGTTTCGCTCATACGAGAAGGTTTATATAGGGCTGGCGTTTCCCTTGGCCTCCGCGTTTAAAAACAAATCATCGGCTGCTTTGTTTTTACTCAATCTAATCTTTCTTGGTAAACAGTTTTCGTTAAAGCCTAGCTATAATTTGGCAAGGGCGAGGATTCTGTTGCGCGGAAAATATTTTCACCTGGAATGTGACGGTGAATTTTAAAAAATTCTTGTCGGATTGAATCAGCACCGGGCACAAGTGCCTCTAACGCCTGGGAAAATTTTAACTCGGCTCCTCTAGTAGAAGTACTTCAGTTCATTAAAAAACGGCGATGGTCTAATTACGTGATCAGGGAAAAGCAACTTGAATGATTAATCTCCTGGGGATTTTGACTTTAACTTAGTTTCTAAAATGGTCTATTTAGCTTGAAGCTCGAGTGCGAGAAGCTTGTTTCCGAGAAGACGGAAATCCAACGACATTACGTGATGTACTACGAGATGAGCTACGGCCTCAACATCGAAATGCACAAACACTCGGAGATAGTCAAGAGGCTCAACTCGATCATCGTCCAGATCCTTCCTTTTTTGTCACAAGAGGTAACCACAAAGTGACCACTAAAGTGAACGGCCAGGCAAATCTCAAGTGCCAGATAAGTCACTAGCCTTCGGATCTGCAGCTTTCTACTGGACACTAGTGGACAGTTAAAGTAATACTTAGAAAACGGATAACCTGCCCCTTCTATAAAACAAAAGTAAAATCCTGTGGAGCGATTAGCGCCGAGTAAGGGCATAAGCTGCTTTCTTTTCTGGATTGTTCGCCTTTAGACAGGCTCTTTGTCTTTCACAATTTGCCATGTCAATTTAAACAACTTGAGAGCAAACTGTCCAAACATCAACTTGAGCACACGAACGGACGGAATGAAATCTACAATTTTCTCCCTCAGCGTGCAAATATTAGCCAGTGTCGATAGAGTCAAACTCAAAAATATTACAGGGGAGTGCAAATTTACACGGCACTTCCGTGCGCCGTCAAACACACAACCTGTGAGCGCCGCTGACAGTTTATGTGCGCAACTCTTGTGTGCCCAAGAATCCTTGTCGAATTTCGAGTTATCGACGTAGCAAAAGATAGCGACGTTGCTGATGGTGGCTCACCAAATGCAAGATGTAGTTGGTGAAAACTTCGCGCAACTTATCTTGTTTAGTAATAAACCGCAAGAGTGCGTTTATGAAAGACATAATTCGTTTATACAGGACAAGTAATCCTGAGCACCTGATAGCCGGATTTAAGTAAATCCGATGTAGACTTTCCGGAGCTAAAGCTTGAGACAGGGTTTCTCGTTTCCGACCCCAATATTATAATTTGAATAAATATATAAAAAACGAAACTATACGTTACTTAATTTGCAAAAAAAAAGAAATGATGCTTGTAACGGTACGCTAGTATTTTCGAGCTGAAATCCAATCGAATGTTAATTACTTAGATCTGTGAACAGATCCCCTTAAGCTTTTGCTGATCAAGTGACTCTCTAGCTCAAAGTGGATGCTGGATGAAGTTGTCTAATTCGTGGAAACGCGGCCCTTATCGCCTAAATTAGTCCAAATATTTCTACCACAAACGCGGTGCAATGTTTTGGACACATTACGTTATTAGAGTGGAACTGAGTATTTTGGCAATTTGCTTGAAACATGGCGGGCGCTGCGCACCACCAGATAATGCTATAATATGAATCAAATAACAACTTCAATTAGCCTTATTCAGAAATAGAGCGATATGACGGCGAGTCAGTCTCTATTTTGCACATTTGATATAAATAGCGCTTTTACTAGAGTGTTGTTTTGGGCAAGTAATTTCAGCTTGTCAGCGTTGCACAAAGGGCCGTTCTGAGCTATCGGCAGCACTTGAGTCAAGTGCTCCCCGAAATGAGCGCAGCTCCGATTGCGCTCGTCATCGAGAGCTCGAAGTGCCCAATCCAGCACCGCCCGTCGTGGCGACCCCTCCGCCGCCACCAAAGTGCCACTTGGAGAGCTCAAGAGCTCTTCACGTGCCAGTTTCTACAACGCTTGAATTGGATATTCACGAGGCACTCTTCGTTCAGGCGAACTCTGAAGAGCCCCTCTTAACAATCTGAAATCTACAAATAATTTGGAAACAATGTGCTAAAACTTGTTTTTGATTCAGGAAATCTCCGTCTTACCCATTTTTATTACATAGAACACTTATTGTCAGGCCGTTACAACTTTATTATGATATTATTCATGAATAATATTAAAATTTGTTTAGCATCAAAGTCAAGTTGCGGCAGCAGTTGAACGAGCAAAGCAAGTGACGGCACAAGAGCTTCACAGTATAATAGGGGTAAGAAAATTAACTTCCTTGGTATAGTTACAAGTAAATAAAGGGTGCCTCGATGTCTGCACATCCACCGCCTATACCTTTGCCAGGTCATCCTCCGACAGGTCTACCAGGACCTCCTTCGGTTTCCTTAGGAGCGGGTTTGTCTACGCTGATGCACCACGGTATTGGACTTCCCGGTGTACATATCAAGGAGGAACCTCGCCGGACAGAATCACGCCAGAGCTTACATGCTCCCGCTACGACGAAATCAGAATCTCGTGCTCCAAGCCGACAAGTCACTCCTTCTCCTCGCCCTCGCCCCGTTGAACCCCCTCGTGCAGTTTCTACAGAACCCGAACACCCCGCAAAACGTCAGCGCGTGAACGAAGAAGGGACACCAGCCCCAGCTGAACCTATTCCAACTCAAAATGGCGCACCTCCTGCTACGGAAGGCGACGATGAAGAGCTTGATGTTGACGTGGATGACGAGCCAGGTAAAACTGAGAATGGCGAACATCCTTCCGCGCCTCCAGCCGACGCTGCATCCGCCACCGCTCCAGTTGTCCCGACTACATCAGTAGGACAACCTCCGCCAAGACCTGCTTCTAATGCTTCTGGCACAAATCACACAGAAGCACAAATTCCAAAGCCCGAGGTTAAAACTGAAGTAAAGCCAGAGCCTCAAGTTAAACAGGAAACTCCACGCAGAAGTCCACAAAGTGGCGCTCAGCTTCCTCCTCGACCACCGTTCGTTCTTTTCGTTAACTTCAAGCAGCTTACTTGTACTTTAGATCTATTCCCAACAAAACGCCAAACCAAATGCCAAAACAGATACCACAGAGTCACAGACCTTCAGGAATCTCTCCAGTGCCGCGTCCAGCGGGGTTGGTCCATTCAGGGGACCCTCGGCTAGGTACGTTGAGCCCTAGACCGGGCAGCTTCTCACCCAGACCACCAGGTAACTTGGCCTTTTCGTCTTGCATGGGCCTACAATATCTGGTGATCGTTGACTTCAAGCTTGCTTGAATTCATTTATGTTAGTCAGTTCATATTCCTAAAGGAAAATTCAGTTCGTCCAGCTGCCAGCCTCGCAGGATATCCTCCTGGATACATCAACCAACTCGGTGCTCCACCTGGCTTGGGTGCTCATGGTTTAGGGCCAATGCCAGGAGTCAAAGGACAGTCCCCTCTTACTGCTGGTAGGAATCCAATGTCTCATTTGGCAGTTTCCCAATCAGCAGGAATGTATGGACGCCAGTTACCACAAAGTGCCTATGAAGCTTCGATGAGAGGAATCAGTCCAGCCCACCAAAAGTAATCTAAAATTTTCAATTTTGAAATGTTTATTAATCATGACCTCAATAGGTGTTACTCGGTGCAATATTCCGGGGACGGTCCTCCAACACCAGTTCCAATGCCTCAAGATGCTTTGACTGGTCCTGGAATTCCTCATCAAGCCCAAGCATTTAACACTTTGAATCACGGCGAGGTAAGAAGTCCATATTATCTACTATATTTCAAACAAAAATTAAGGTCGTATGCGCTGTGACAATATCTAATCCGACGCGCCATGTCTACACTGGCGGCAAAGGATGTGTCAAAATTTGGGATATTGGCAATCCGAATCTAAAGTCTCCAATATCTATTTTGGAATGTCTGAATCGTGACAATTATATAAGAAGTTGCAAATTATTGGCAGATGGTCGCACACTTATTGTCGGAGGAGAAGCTTCCACTCTTAGTATTTGGGACTTGGGAGGCTCTACCCCTAGGACGAAGGGAGAGCTCAACTCACAAGCACCTGCTTGCTACGCTCTTGCTATCAGTCCTGACAATAAAATATGCTTCTCCTGCTGCTCAGATGGCAATATTGCTGTCTGGGATCTTCATAATCAAAGTATCATCAGGTAAGTCGAACTCTATCCTGATTATGATTAATAAAAAATTTAGAACGTTCCAGGGTCACACAGATGGTGCCAGTTGTATTGATATATCTCCCGATGGTACAAAACTGTGGACCGGAGGCCTTGACAACACTGTCAGACAGTGGGATCTCCATAACCTTGGTGGTAAGCAAGTCCGCCAACACGACTTCAACTCTCAAATTTTCTCACTTGGCTATTGTCCGACGGGCGACTGGCTGGCTGTTGGGTAAGTTCACATATATGATTCATATGATATGAAGCTGTTTGATAAATACTCATTGTTACTTTAGAATGGAGTCGAGCTATGTTGAAGTACTTAACGAAAAAACGCCAGATAAATACCAATTGCACCTTCACGAGTCTTGTGTTCTTAGTTTAAAGGTAGCATTAAAGTGTATTTTCAGTTCAATAACAGATATCTAGTTCGCTAATCAGGGAAAATGGTTCGTGTCGACTGGAAAAGACAACTTACTGAATGCGTGGAGAACACCATATGGAGCATCGATATTCCAGGTATACACTGAGCGAAAAAGTCAAGTAGCTAACGCGTTATTTTAGAGCAAAGAAAGTTCGTCTGTTTTGTGCTGTGATATCAGTAGCGACGACAAATTCATCGTCACCGGTTCGGGCGACAAGAAGGCCACTGTCTATCAAGTGATGTATTGAGCTCAAAGTGTAAACTTCGTACCGAAGCGCCAGAAACCATCTCAGGAAGCAAATGTACTCACAAACAGTACTACCACCGAACACGTTTCATAGTTCAATGACCCTCGCGACCCTAACTGTAACTCGACAATTACTGTAATTTAACTGAAGAAGCCGCGGTTCACTGCCCACCTAAATAGAAAAGCGACCAGGCCAGTTTATTTATTTTCAACAACACCCAATAAACAAAATAGAAATTCACGCGTTATTTCAATCTACAAATATTAGCAACTATATGATCGCTCGCTAAGTTACGTATCCGTGCTTTGTATAAAAAATATGTGCGTATGTTCTTCTCCTTGTTTTCAATATTTCAGACTAAGAAAAGCAAAATTTTACGTAAGTTGTAATAGTTTCTTTTTGGTATAGAGCTTTTAAAGAACAGAGGACTTCCACGTGCCTACTTTATTGAAAATATTGTTTCCCTACAGGTTCACCAGACAGTACATTAAAATTAGATCATGCGTCGTCAATTCCAGTCCAGGGTCACTTGCTTAGTATGGGGTCTTTTTATCTTGCTCGACAGAGACACTCTTGTGGTCATAGTAGAAGTGGTCATCATGGTGGTAATCGTGATCGTCGTGGTCATGGTCGCAGTATTTCAACCCTCGCTTTTTCGAATATTTTAGTATTACTTTCAAAGCGTTAAGAGCCTACCATGACACGGTCCACAAGTGAGTGAAATTTTGCCACTTTTCGTTTTTTGGTGGCGAGTTGAGCACGACCAGTACAACCAAAGAATTGACTCTCCAAAGCTGAAAATGGTGTTATTCAAATATTATGCACTTTTAAATACCGAGTTCATAGACGTTTTCTAAGTTATGGAAGTGCTCGAGGTACTCGTTATTGTCATGAGCGTGGCCGTGACTTCCGTGATAGCCGTAATATTCGTCGTGCTTGAGCTTTGAAAGAGCTCGCGCGGCCTCATTGCTTACATCTACACCTGAGCCTTGACATTTACGCATTCGTTTCTCATCTCGAAGCTGTTGTCCAAGAGAAAAGATGAGGTGCTTGAATCGGTACTCCCAGTTCTGTCGAACCTTTCTGCCACGGTTGCTGTCACCAATGCAGTCTAAAGATGACTTAGTAGGGTAATAATGAACTCCTCACTCACGGTCTATCTCGTCAAGAGCATTCTGAGTGCACTCAAAGAAGAGCTTTGCGAAGTCGTCGATGTCATAAAGATGATATCCATCCCAGTATCCATTGAATCCTCGCGACTCCTCGCTATTTGGACGCTTCTTCTTCCGCTCCATAAGAGTTGTCTCGTTGGCTGCGGACGTAGTTGTAGTCAAGACCTCCTCTGTAGTCGTTGTTGAAGTCGTGGTGGTGGTGGTGGTGGTGGTGGTGGTGGTTGTTGTTGAAGTTGTTGTGGTAAATTCTTCGCACTCCCATTCCAGATCAAAGCCGTAGAAGTCGATTGAAGCATCAGTTTTGAGTTCGATGAAAAACTCATCAGCATCCATAGAGACCCAATCAAGCCAACCCAAGTTTTCAGGATCCTTGTTAGGGTTGAAGATCTTACCTTGCCCTGATTTTGAAGCCGCTGAGTGATCGCATAGCTCAACAAATTTTCCTGACCAGGAAAGCAGGACTTTGTCGTATGGACAGTCGTCCTTGCCAGACATGTATTCTTCCACAATAAATTTGTTGAACTTGGCCCGGATGGTTTTGCAACTAGACTGAACTCTCCAGCAATAGTCCTGGCCAGAAGTGTAGCATCCGTCTGGAGAAAGACTGCAGGGTTCTCTAGGGTTAGAAATGACGCCACTGAGTCCAGTCAGATTGACGCAGTTAAGGTAGGACTCCTTGGGAGTATCTATAATCTCTTGGTGTTACTAGATACTTGATAAAAAATACCTTGGGCATGAGCGGCACCGAGGAAAAGTCCGGTAAAAATCATTTTTCGCGAAAATTTTTCTACCGAAGTGCTGTCGATGATAAACCAAAGTCATATTCTGCTATTTATGTAGCAGTTGAAAACCGCAGATGCAACTGGACGTACAGGTTGTGGGAGCCTATTGGGTCCGACTAGCAGCAAAAACGTGCAAAATAAGTGGTGAGAAAATTTAAAACTACTTATATATATAAAGTATACTATCTGAGGTATATATATATAACTTATATAATTTAAGTAGATAATCGAATGAATCATCCTGAGATAATTTCGATCAACAAGTTGAAATGAGATTCATACTATATAATATATATGATCTTATATCATTCATATTGAACCATTTTGTTCTGTTATCACATTTAGTCTCTCAAGAATTAGGAAAGACAAAGAATCTTAGCAAAGATTTTGTTCTGGAATTGTTATTCTCCAAAATTTTAGTTACTCATAGTTGATTACCTGTTGTGGTTGTAGTTGTAGTCGTCGTTGTTGTAGTTGTAGTTGTAGTTGTAGTTGTCGTAGTTGTAGTCGTCGTTGTAGTTGTTGTAGTTGTAGTTGTCGTCGTCGTTGTTGTAGTTGTAGTTGTAGTTGTAGATGTAGTCGTCGTTGTTGTAGTTGTAGTTGTTGTAGTCGTAGTTGTTGTTGTTGTCGGCTCAGATGCACAGGAAACTGACAAATCGCCTGCAAGTTTGATGATGGCGCCGTTAGTATCTTGTCCTCGCCTGTTTGTACACTCTCCAGTCACTTCGTAAACTTTTGCTCCCAAATCACTCACATCAGCCAGAAGACTATTGCGGTTGCAACCAGCGCCGTTGTCTCCAGAATAGCAGCAGCCAATCGTTTCCCATTGACCATTACAAACAGCCATACTTCCCCAATTGAATGGACTCTGTGCGTTTGGATCATGGCAGAACCACTTCATTCCCCAACAAAGATCTGTGTTGCTTTTTCCTGTATTGGCCGTACATTGAACAGGATTAACTGGATTGCTGAGTAAGATATATTTTTCATAACTATTTTGACCGCTGCAGAAATCTGTGTCAGCTTTGCAATTATTGCAATGAGAAGAGGTTTCGCAAGTAGTCTGAGCTGGATCAATTATGTCAGTAAAAGGTGTAATTTTCACTGATTCGATTTGAAATTCTGCTTCTGGATAGTCCCACACGTCGTTTGCGTCAGGCCCATCAACGAAATCACCACCAACAGCAGTATTGAGAATAATATGGAAATATTGATCGAAGGGTCTCTGCCAGTTGTTTCCGTAATATGAGTCAATGACTGTATCAAGCGACTGGATATACATCACTTCATCATCGAACGAATAGACCAATTCGTTTGGAGTCCATTCAAGTGTCCATTTATGGAAACCAGCAGTATAGTCGCAGTTGGATTGAATATTTGGACCATGAAGATATTGGTTATTTGGCCAGAGGGGCCCGAAATGAATCGTAGAAACCATTTCTTGGGGATTTTGACCTCGTCCTTCAAAAATGTCGATCTCACCAGATCGTGGCCAACCGCCATAGACATCTTCTTCGGGCAAGAGCCAGATGGCGGGCCAAAGACCGCGGCCAGCTGGAGTCTTAGCGACAACCTCAAGCTTTCCATATTTGAAAGCGTACTTGGATACGACACGTCCGGAGGTGTATTGTCGATGGCCAAAATTTTCTCTCTTTGCAGTAAGGACAAGTTTTCCATCAATAACATCTGCATTTGCCTTTCGATCTGTGTAATACTGATACTCATTATTGTGAGGATCTGGCGTGACTTCGACTATCCATTGATCTCTGAAAGTGTTGTAGTCAGTAAAGTCGTCGAAGAAAACTTCCGTCTCTCCGACAATCCAGGGTCCTGGTGGCTGAGTTGTTGTTGTTGTGGTGGTTGTCGTCGTCGTTGTGGTTGTCGGAGCCGGTCGAGCTTCCTGAAAGAAGTCCTGAGTTGGACAGTTTTCGAGTGTTCGGAATCTATAGTCAGCCATATCGTCAGCGTCCGCAAGAATACTATCCCTGTTGCATCCAGCACCATTGTCTCCCGCATAGCAACAGCCGATGGTTCCCCAAGCCGCGTTTGTGCATGGACCACTTCCGAGGGTCATATCAATTGTTCCTTTAGCATTTGGATCATGGCAGTACCATTTCATCATCCAGCAAATATCCACTGTTGACTTAGATCGAAGCACGGAACAGCGGTTTGGAGTTTCTTCTTCAATGTGAATGTTTTCCTTAGCGTTACAGCTGCCGCCATTTCGATAGTTTTCTTCAAAGATCAGATCACCATCCGCAAATACTTCTGCTGCAGTGCAAGATGCTGATCCCTCACAGCATGCTTTTGTTGTCCAATTCTCGACTGCGCAAGAAGTGAGAGTCGAGCCCGAACAGATTGAATTCAATTTAGCGCAGACTGCATTCTTTCCTTTATCCCTTCTTGATTCGCATCTGGGTGGCGGCGGCGGCGATGTGGTGGTCGTCGTTGTCGTAGTAGTTGTCGTCGTCGTTGTAGTTGTAGTTGTCGTTGTTGTAGTTGTAGTTGTAGTTGTTGTTGTTGTCGGCTCAGATGCACAGGAAACTGACAAATCGCCTGCAAGTTTGATGATGGCGCCGTTAGTATCTTGTCCTCGCCTGTTTGTACACTCTCCAGTCACCTCGTAAACTTTTGCTCCCAAATCACTCACGTCAGCCAGAAGACTATTGCGGTTGCAACCAGCGCCGTTGTCTCCAGAATAGCAGCAGCCAATCGTTTCCCATTGACCATTACAAACAGCCATACTTCCCCAATTGAATGGACTCTGTGCGTTTGGATCATGGCAGAACCACTTCATTCCCCAACAAAGATCTGTGTTGCTTTTTCCTGTATTGGCCGTACATTGAACAGGATTAACTGGATTGCTGAGTAAGATATATTTTTCATAACTATTTTGACCGCTGCAGAAATCTGTGTCAGCTTTGCAATTATTGCAATGGGAAGAGGTTTCGCAAGTAGTCTTAGCTGGATCAATTATGTCAGTAAAAGGTGTAATTTTCACTGACTCGATTTGAAATTCTGCTTCTGGATAGTCCCACACGTCGTTTGCGTCGGGCCCATCAACAAAATCACCACCAACAGCAGTATTGAGAATAATATGGAAATATTGATCGAAGGGTCTCTGCCAGTTGTTTCCGTAATATGAGTCAATGACTGTATCAAGCGACTGGATATACATCACTTCATCATCGAACGAATAGACCAATTCGTTTGGAGTCCATTCAAGTGTCCATTTATGGAAGCCAGCAGTATAATCGCAGTCAGATTGAATATTTGGACCATGAAGATACTGGTTATTTGGCCAGAGGGGCCCGAAATGAATCGTAGAAACCATTTCTTGTGGATTTTGACCTCGTCCTTCAAAAATGTCGATCTCACCAGATCGTGGCCAACCGCCACAGACATCTTCTTCGGGCAAGAGCCAGATGGCGGGCCAAAGACCGCGGCCAGCCGGAGTCTTAGCGACAACCTCAATCTTTCCATATTTGAAAGCGTACTTGGATACGACACGTCCGGAGGTGTATTGTCGATGGCCAAAATTTTCTCTCTTTGCAGTAAGGACAAGTTTTCCATCAATAACATCTGCATTTGCCTTTCGATCTGTGTAATACTGATACTCATTATTGTGAGGGTCTGGCGTAACTTCGACTATCCATTGATCTCTGAAAGTGTTGTAGTCAGTAAAGTCGTCGAAGAAAACTTCCGTCTCTCCGACAATCCAGGGTCCTGGTGGCTGAGTTGTTGTTGTTGTGGTGGTTGTCGTCGTCGTTGTGGTTGTCGGAGCCGGTCGAGCTTCCTGAAAGAAGTCCTGAGTTGGACAGTTTTCGAGTGTTCGGAATCTATAGTCAGCCATATCGTCAGCGTCCGCAAGAATACTGTCCCTGTTGCATCCAGCACCATTGTCTCCCGCATAGCAACAACCGATGGTTCCCCAAGCCGCGTTTGTGCATGGACCACTTCCGAGGGTCATATCAATTGTTCCTTTAGCATTTGGATCATGGCAGTACCATTTCATCATCCAGCAAATATCCACTGTTGACTTAGATCGAAGCACGGAACAGCGGTTTGGAGTTTCTTCTTCAATGTGAATGTTTTCCTTAGCGTTACAGCTGCCGCCATTTCGATAGTTTTCTTCAAAGATCAGATCACCATCCGCAAATACCTCTGCCGCAGTGCAAGATGCTGATCCCTCACAGCATGCTTTTGTTGTCCAATTCTCGACTGCGCAAGAAGTGAGAGTCGAGCCCGAACAGATTGAATTCAATCTAGCGCAGACTGCATTCTTTCCTTTATCCCTTCTTGATTCGCATCGGGGTGGCGGCGGCGGCGATGTGGTGGTCGTCGTTGTCGTAGTAGTTGTCGTCGTCGTTGTTGTTGTTGTAGTTGGAATATCACGATCAGCCAAGACGAAATCTGCAGTATTACAGTTTCCACTACCTCGGTAAAAGTAGTCTGCTATTTCGGTAGTATCTTGAAGGAGTTGAGCACGATTACAGCTAGCTCCAGCATCGCCAGCGTAGCAACAGCCGACCGTAGCCCATTGATTGTTTCCGCAAGGGCCGTTTCCATCCATCATTGCGTAAATACCCTTTTTAGCATTGAAATTTCGATATATCGAACTTCGATAATCGAAGAGAAATTTTTAAATACCAATAAAGTTAATCCAAGCTAGAATATTTTTTTGCTCTCCTGGGCAGTTGGATCGTGACAATACCATTTAAGCTTCCAGCAGATATTAACACTGCTCATACTTTCTTTTGCTATGCATTCTTTCGGAGGGTCCACCCGAATCGTAGTTTTGTGATTACAATGACCCCCGCTAGCAAATTTTTCTTGGTACGCAGCACTTCCTTCTTCTATCACTTGCGCTTTTGAACAGCTAGTAAGATCATTTTCGCAGCAATTTCTTGTTGTGAAATTCTGGGCTAAAGTTTTTATTTGCGAATTTGGTTCAGAAATTTATTGTTTGCGCATGCATAAAATAATTGCAAAATATATTTTAAGTTTACCTGAACAGCCAGAAAGACCAGAGTTAGTATTGCAAAAAGCAACAAGTGCAGAGCAGATTGCGCTTTTGGACCTTCATCCGGGATATATTTTCTGATTCTCTTAGACCTGTTTTAATCAAAATAGGCAAATATGTCCGTTCCTGTCAGAGTTAACCTCACAGGTGTTAGCTGCAAAGGCCTGCCCTGCAAGCAAAGAGGCCAGAACTCTCATCGGAAATATAACTCCAAGTTGACTTCTCTTTATTGCCTGGTCTCTATGTTTCGGATTCTAATAATACGTAAAAGAAGAGGGCGCCCTGGCTTAAGCCCATCGTCAAAAGCCCGATGAAATTTGATATGCGGCTTGCTTTTGCTGACATTTAACCGAATCATAATAAATATCAATACGAGAAAGACGTCCGTCCCGCATAATATTCATAAAGGCATGGATCTTCATTATTTCAAAAGGGCATGATGCAGATATCTAGCAGCGATATTTATTTATAAGACAACTTGGCCTAGATTTTCGTCAGAGCGAGACGATTTTTTATGACCTTTGAAAGGCGTCTAAAAAGACAACAATATAAATAATTATCATGTGAGAGACCTCCAGCGTCGATAAATTCAAAAATCTCTATAGACTATAGTCTCTATAGACTGAAAACGAACAGCGAAGAAATAAAGAAAGGTTGTTTCGAACTTTATTGCGAAAGGAATTCAAATCTTTCGGTCTCTTCGCAGATCACAAACGCTGTTTCAGAAACTGGAGCGATGATTTCAAGTGGTGAAAGCTTTAAGAAGGCAGACAGAACAAGTTGAATATAAACTGTGTTTTGGTCTTCTAAATAAAATCGTCTCAGTTTGGGGAAGGGGAGAAGCTCACTGGTGAAGAAAATTGCACATTTTCAATGTGCAAGAATTCCAAGGATGGCAGTTGAAAGCGCTTTCTAACTGGAAGAACAGATAACTTCAGCGTCTAAGGGATCAACGATGAGTTATCTCCGATGTTTTTATTTTGGCGTGGATCTCTCCGGAGATTTTCGTTTATTGCAAACCTCTTGATTCCTTTGTTGGCAGCATTTGAAAGACCGCAGATTTGGAAAGGAAAAGTTGAAAGCAGGGTTTATTGGACCTTGGTAAGGGATGAACGCTGCATTTTAGATGGATAAATCTAATCAGTGATTAGATAACATTAGATCCCGTATTCTGAGTCGACCAGTTCTAAATGCGTAAGAGTCGGAATGAAACTCAGTGAACCGATAACTCCTGCTTTCATCGGGAAGAAGTTTCGAGCCGTAAAAGATTCTAGTTGAGCACATTTATCTGCCAGGAAGGACCTGTAAGCGCTCGAAAGAGAGAAACGTTTGACCGACTTGTTAGTTTATTCCTAGTTGACTAGCCATCATTGCGGCGAAGTGCGGTCCAGAAAGAGATTTACCCAATAATCTTGTATATGCCAGCGCTCATTTATTAAAACTCGAAAGAAGTTATCAAGCGTTTCCTTGTTGAGTTCAAGTTAATTTAAAGAAAAAAATCTTGGAACTAATTTGTGCGCTCTTTCTCAACATCAAGTTTATAACAGTTACTGATTCCTCGTTGATTTTCATAAAGCATTCTTAAACTCATTCCTGAACTCCTCAAAAACGAATCCCCCCGAAGAGGCTTCGATTGAAAATGATCGCAGAGAATTGAACTCGGCGTTCTCAATGACGAGGCCGAGAATCTTCCGGAAGTAACGATCGAAACCACGAAGTGTCAAATGCGAAAGAGTACCGATGTTGGGGCTCTTGAGAATATCTGCAATGTGCTGATCGTTTTCATCGTGTGATTTACGAATGCGCAATATTTCGGTTTCGTCTTTGTCTGGCTTTATGTCATCTTTCTCACAAATATTTTTAAGTCAATTTTACTAGCAAAGCTCTCCTAGTGTCGGGGATCTAAGTTTCTTCGCGAAAATCCCAATTTGCGAAATTTTTGCGATTGCAAAAATTTTTCGGAATTATCTGCATAGCGACCGCCATTGATTTTCAGCAGAAATTAAGATCCCTGCCTAGTGTAAGATAGCGCTTCTTCATTCTGAAAAAAATTTCTTCCATTCTGAGACTACTTTGGGAGACGTTCCGCAACTCTTTGCACCGAAATGATTCTTCTTCTCTTTCCAAGATTCCAAAAATCTTCAGAACAATTTCGTCTGGGAGCGCTTCCATCTAAATTGATAATGATTATCGTCTTGAGGAGAATTTCTTCTGATCTGATTCAATATGACCACTTTAATTCACCTACTTACGCCGGAATTTTTACTGACCGTAAGGTACGGTAATGACGACCACAGTTGTTGGTGCTTCGGACGAAGATCTCTTTTGAATTTGATTTTATGAGTACAGGAAGACAAGCGCGACAGTGGCGCGACAGAAGACTTCTGATTGGCCAAAGGGGATTTAATTTTTCAGCTATCGAGCAGACTGTTCTGTTGAGTATGTTTTCGACGAAGAGTAGAAGCAACTTCTAGAACACTCAATGTGGAGAACTGTTTGGCTTCGAAAAGAGAAACAATCGAGGGTGTCCCTGCGCGAATAATGCGACGCTTTGGAGAGTCGAAGCGCATCTCTCGGAACAAGCGAATCGACCAGCAACAGGAGCTTAGGTGGAAGCGACCAAATGGCAACTCTTTTTTCCAAAGCCTCCCCACCAGAAAGGTAGTTCCTATCCGTTTCGCTCGTCAATTGAGATCAGGTGCATGATATCCGAGAGAAACGATCCGAGAAGTACTTCGAAGACACCGAACAAGAAAGGGAAGACATGATGAATAGAATGGTCCGAGCGCCGCGGAACGCATGTAGCTTGATATTTTTGTAATTTGCTTTGATGAGAGTCCTCGGATAGTTTTCCTTTTCTAGTTTCGCGATAAATCCATTTCTTGGTCTCTTTAATATCGGCATGTACATCTACGCGTCCTATTTGCTCAGCCTGGCGAAAAAAGCTCTTGTTCTTAATCGCTTGGAGGAAAAGTTTTCTAAGGTCGAGCTCTCTTTCATTGAATTGCTTCATAAGAACTCAAACAAGAAAGCAAACGGACTGACGGTGCATGCTCTAAAATGGTCCTGGTATTCTTTGATTACTGCAATTTTTCTAGGTATGTTCTCGAACGCGTCAAAGAATAAACTGATTCAATAGCCTGCTACATGCCTTTTTCGGTCATTATTTTCATCATTCGACATGCGGACGCCGTCAAGGCTGGAATTCCTATCGACGTCATTTGGGATCTTGATCAGCGCTGTGGCAAAGGCGATGAAAGTGCTTGTGTTTGCATGAAAGCCCTGTCCTCTATTAGTAAGTAAAATGTGCACTAAGACAACTAAACCGTGAATACTAGCTGTATCCCCCGAAGAACCCACTGTTCCGTCAACTGTAATTGACTACTGTACTGTACCATTGTCAAGCCTAGGCTTCGACTCATCGCTCCTTCAAGTTCAAAATCGTTGACGCTTTCCCTTTTATTATCACCCTTACAAAGACGCATCACGTTAGAATGAGTTTTCGAGCCGCGAGAGATGACCCACAGCGAAGAATATGACTCCCTTCTCAGACAGGTACAAATTTACGCCACTTTGGTGATATATTTAACTTAATTTAGTACCGGGATCTAGGGAGTGAGTTTGAGCATTTATGTTACTCTTCGCGTAACGAGGTGCAAAGACTGACGGATATTGTTGAAACTCTTGAGGAACGCGTGCGCTCTCTCGAGGCCGAAAACCAGGCTCTCCGACAACAGCTCCAGACGCGTCAGCCCTTTCATGATGTCCTTGCACTCCCTAAAATTGGAATCCCTGGCGAGGCTACCGTCAGCCAAAAATTCTTGGCACTGGAGGCTTTGGCACTGTCTACGAGGGACAGCTCGAAGGACGTGTTGTCGCGGTCAAGCGGCAGAAAATTGATGAACATACAAGAACGAAAATCCAACGCGAAATCGATGTACTTCGGTAATTTACATTTACTTTTAAAATTTACTCATTATTATTTTTAATAAGAAGATAATTCCTATCCGAAAGATTCTATATTTGAAAATTTTCTTTAGCCATTATGAACACAAGAATATCTGCCGCTATTTATACAGTAAATACGAGATGATAGACGGCCATTGGCACTTAGATATTTTCATGAAGAAGTACGATTTGGATTTAGCAAAGTTGATCCGTGACGAGACTCCAACCGCAGAAGAAAAACGTAAATTACTCAAAGAAATCGTAGACGGAATCCAGTATCTTCACTCCTCGCACTCGAAAAAAGAAAAAATTATCCATCGCGATTTGAAGCCAGAAAATATCCTCATTCAGAGGGAAAACAATGGCTATTCTTGCGCACTATCAGACTTTGCTTTGAGTAAAATCACAAAATCTGATGACACCATCGCGAAGGCAACTTCTCACACCTCCTACTGTGGTACTCTCGCTTATAGGCACAGGTTCTTCATTTTTCATTCATAAATCATTGTTTGTTATAAGTAGAGCACAAAGAACCTCTCGAAAGCGCGCCTGAAACCCTCTCGAATAGCGGCGGAAAGTTTCAGAAAGCCAACGAAAAGTCGGATATCTATTCTTTGGGTCTGGTTATTTACTTCGTGCTGACTGACGGGGGCCATCCGTTCGGAAATGAATGGTACAAAATTCCACTGGAAGAGCCGTCGCTAGAAGCCGTCATGGATTCCATTTTCAAGCAACTCCTCGAGACTATGTTAAAAAACGATCTCACCGAGCGAATAAGCGTCGAAGCCATTACCAAGCATCCCGCTTTCTTCAACGAGATCGAGAAGCTCGATTATATTGAGAAGTGCTACGATTTACTCAAGAATGCAGATGAAAATGCTATCCTATGCATGGACTATCAGTTTGACGAGCTAGACTGGCGCGACCAAATTTGCAAGCATCTTCGAAGACAACACCTTGGCCACGCAAAAAAAGGAAAGATCGTTGACGCCTATCAACGCACCTTTATCGACTTGGTGAAAGCTATCCGCAACAAATCAGCACATTTTACCGAATTTTGCGAGAAAGAAATCGCCAATGCAGAAACGCCGACTGTGTTTTCATCGAGTCCGCTTATTAAAGAATCCTTCTGCAAGTATTGGCTCGACAAGTTTCCGCAAATAATTCCAATTTTGTACTCGTTTCTGTCAATATCCTTCCCAACTAGCGAAAAGGGGAATAGAAACTTTCTTACAGAGCTTTACGGAACCCGTGAAGATCTCGAAATCGTCCAGAAGTTTTGCTTCAAATCATTTTCAACTCAAGGAATTCAACGAATCTCTGAGAAAGAAACCAGTGCAGTCGTTCAGAATCTCCTTGAGAATAAAATATGCGTGATCGGCTCATCAAGCACATCATTCGAGCTAAAATTGAAGAGTTCCAGCAATGTCACCAAAGAGATCGTTCGAGAGAAAGAAAAAGTCTCAGCATTTGACTTTCGTTGCGCTGAAAACTGTCAGATCGCGTTCGGCTACGAGAGTGGCCTCACTTGCATTTATGATTTTGACGGAAGTTATATACTCCATTTGAAAGGTACGGATAAACTATGAAAGAAAATATATAAAGATCATTTAGGAACCAACGGAGAATCTTCTCACACAGAAAAAGTTCTCACAATTAGATGGTCTCCAGATGGTTGTTTAGTGGCGTCTGGTGGAAAGGATGGACGCATTTGCGTTTGGGATCGAAAAAATGGCAAATACGGCTTTATAAAATCCACTCAGATCAATGTTGAAGGCTACGCAAAAGATATCCACTGGTGCTCCTCGAGACAATTCATTATTTCAGTTGGAAGTTTCACGATTATACAAATCTCTGTTTTCTTGAATGCAAACGGCGATGGAGCAAGCGATCTCTTCTCTTTTAAGGTAGTTTGAATCGATTCTATTTTTCCTTTTGAGCTCTTTCAGAAAGTCGACCTTCGTTCGACAGAACCTCATTCTATATGCCCGGTTGTCGACGAGTTTCAGAATCTCTCAGACAAAGTTGACAGGACAAGTCTTGACATTTCTAGTGGTTTATTGGCTTCCCTCTCGCAGAATGGCAATATTCACGTTTGGAGTCTGTCAGATCAAACTAATGAACCAATTATTCATCTTACACTACCTCCATTTCAAAGCTGCTGCACTAACTCGAAAAGCCCGAAACAGGGTATCCTCTGGAAATCCTTTCCTTCTTCAAAGGTTAGTTTTGTTTGAGTAGTTTATCCTCATAAAGCATTTCTAGATCATTTACCTTGCATCAATATCAAACTGTAGTCTTCGGCTTTGGATGTTTGAAGATAAAGATTCTTTTTCTCCAGAAAATATATTGACCTTCTCTGCTCCTGATTCAAGTTCCCCTATTTCGGCGTATTCATTCTCGCCATGTGTTCGTTATTTCGTTTTCTCCCATAACTTTTCTGTATTTATTATTTTCCTGAAAGCAGCAGATCTGCAACCTATTGAGCTTTTTACTTCACCTGAGCGTATGCGCATCGATGGATTCGAATGGCATACAAGCTCTACTAAACTATACTTCTGGGGTAAGAAAGGCGCTTTTCTCATTGACCTCCTGGCGCAAGCGACGTTTTTCAACGCCCATATCAACTATTAATCTACTTTTCCCTTCGTTATTTCTTAAAATAAACTAATATTCGAACTTAACACGAAAGTGCGCGGTTGCAAATCGATTAAATTTTCAAAATATCACGGTCCTCGCTATTTGGTGATAAAATACGGCTCAGCAGAAGCTTATCAAATCGTGCGTAGTGCCTGCTAGGCGATGCTTTACGCCACAATTTACGCCACGGCCCTGGGCAGGTTAAACAAAACCGCCGCCCGAGTCAGAGGAGTGAGCTCGTCCTGCTGCAAAACTTTCCATTTCCTCCTTTCTCACGTCGATAGGAAATCAGAGGAAATCTCTTGGAAGGCGTCATCGTACCCAGCTCATTAGGTATTAAGTTCAGAACGGCATCGCTGCCAACGAAGGCGCCGCTTGCCTCTTAGAAAGTGCGGAGTGAAGAAAAGAAGGGGCGGCCCCGAAGACGAAGATGTCCTTGGCGGCTCAGCCAGATGATACCGTTGTCACATTTCAGGCTTGGGGATATTTCTTTATCTATTTCTACTATTCGTGAGCAGAAGTAACCCCGACAAAAGTCGCATGAACTGAATCAATTCTTCACTTGTCCACTTTGCACAGGATACTTAATTGATGCCTCGATGGTTATCGAGTGCATGCACGCATTCTGTAAATCGGTAAGATTATTTATGCAACCATCTAAGTTCACTGCTAGCCATATTGTTAGTGCATCCTCAAATACGTCTACGATGGACTGAAGACAAAGAACGATATAAAATGTCCAGTGTGCGATATTTGCCTTCATCCCTCTGATCCCCTCTCAGATATCCGCTTCGACCAAACTCTACAGGACATTTCGTTTCTAATTGGTAAGGATCTCTTCAGTTCGTGGTTTTTAATTAGGGCGTCGCACAGAAGTTATGAATCAGAATTCCTAGAATATTGAAGAAGCGTAACTAAGATCTGCGTATTCAGTGCCTCAACTATTCGACAAGGAGTGCAAACGACGTCGCGAATTTTGCGATGAAAACAAAATCGATTACAAGGTGCCCTCATTCAAATCGAACAACTACACACCCGGTCTGGAGATGGTTAACACCCACGAATCATCAACAGAGGATGAAGAAGAAGCGACAGAAAGTGATAACGTTAAAGCGATCGCGGTAAGATGCATTTAATCAAACTATACGAACATGAGCATTCAGAAAGAGCTTGAAGATGATGCATGGATTCAATGCGAACATGAAGAGTGTCTCAAATGGCGACGCGTACCGCTAGAAGTAGCTGAAACATTCGAAGACGAGCCTTGGTATTGCGAGTTCAATCCTGATGAGGCATTCAATAGGTATTAGAGCATGAGTAAGTTCGTCATCGATATTTTTGTTCTTCAGTTGCAGCATTCCGGAGGTTAACCATCTGCAGTACGAGAAGATGGCTGAGCAGGCTGGACTTACTTACGTCTACTCCAATATGCTGGAGGGAACCCTGGTGCAAGCGAAATTAACTGGCTTCACTGCTTGGCCGGCGATTATATGCAACGACCCCATTGAAGGAAATTTCTTCGACACGAACGATAATGGCAACCCAACCAAGTACCATGTTGAATTCTTAGGTAAGTATTAAGAATTATTGGATCTGAAATATACATAAATTTTAGGAAAAAGGCACACGCAGGCATGGGTTGAAGCACGGAGCACCGTTAACTACGCTGGTATCCCTAAAGAACCTCCTAGCAAGAACGGAAAGGTATAATCTAGTCTACTCAAGTGCCGGACTTGTTGACTTTAGCTGAAGAAGATGCCTCAGGCATTGATTGATGCTTACTTCGAAGCAGAAGATCTCCGTGGATTATCGAACGAAGAACGGCTCGAGCAGTGTGTGCTCAGCAACGGGCTGGCGCGGCGATTCCACAACCAAAAAGCAAAACAGACCAAGAAAGCAAAGCGAAAGCGAAAACGCCCGTCTTATGTGACATCAGAGTCTGATACAGATGACATTCTCGAATCGATCAGCTTCCATGACCAGCCTGGAGAGATTCAAGGTGACGCAGACAAAAAATCGCAAGCCAAAATCACCCAATGTAATTAATAATGCGCTATTTGGTGATTAAAAGCTTTCTTCTTTTCTCTAAAAAGAAAAGAAGATCGCAGGTGTAACGATTTTCAATCGGCGATTGAAAATTTACCCAGATATGTGAATTTCTGGAAATTTAAATTATTCTAGCGGTGATGCTTAAAAAATTATACAGCTTCGAGCCCTCCATGCCAGGAAACAGGTGATGAATATTCTCATTAGATCCATGAGTCTTTCTAACTAACTCGTGGTTTCTAGCAGTACTCATAGTCGTGCGGGCTTGTCAGATCTCTCACAGTTGGTTGAATTAACACAAATAGATGAGCGGCTTGCAGAGCTCGAATTAAAATGTAGAATCAAGTACGAAAAATCTGGCTGGACTGTCTACTTTAAAGACCCCGCTCGAACTGAAAGCTTCCACGTAATTTTCACTCACATCATTTATCTCAGTTATGCAACTCTTTTATCAATATTTTTCTACTTAGAGATTGAGATTTTCCAGCGACTCGCTACGGAAAAGTAATTCAAGAGAAAATAGCTACCATCATCATTTATCAAAAAACTATAAGATGTTCACAGCTTTTTCTGAGCATGTTTTTCGTCTCGGTAACAACCGCACTTGCATGATAACACGTCACAAAGCTCGTTCTGTCCATGCGAAACCGCTTTTCACGAGTTGGCATGGTCAGGCGTTCGATATCGATCTAAACCGCCATTATTATCAATTAAGATTGAATAAATTCTTAAATATTTTTAAGACTTTCAAAGACTGTGATGAGTTCAACGAGGCACTGAAGAAGTTCTATAGATCTAAGCACATGGAAAACAACGAACCACCACCGAATCTTCAATGCATTTGCATCGGCTCAAAGCCACTTCAGCTCTACCTCATATTTCTTCTAGTATCGCTCCATTTCCCGAAATACCGGCCGAAAGTAGATGACTCCAAGTGGGTAAGACAAAATTCGTAATTTTCTCTCGCTTATTTGAATGGATTCTAGTGGGTCTGTCTTTTGCTGGAAGCTGCTTGTTTTCCACTTTGGCCATCGAAAAATGTCAAAAAAATCGTCATCCGTGGAAAAGTCTTCACAAAAGCAGCGTATCTCGACTACCTTATCATTCAGGCACGAAAAATTTACCGGATATGGAAATCGTAAGATACTTTATCATGAATTCATGCGCAAAACTTCGTTTCAGGCATTTGGAGACCTTCTTCCGAACCGCTTATTTTTGGAACGACCAACCTTTTTTCAAACGAATAGAGAAAGTTAAATTAGTCATCAGCGAAAATTTTGGGTACGAACCCGAAGATCCACCCGACTGCTGTATTGTATGAGTTTGTGCCATAAACTTTATGGTCATTCTTGCTTATTTTCTTGACGTTCAAAATTTACTGTTCCACTATCAACTTGCAATACCGATATTTTCTCTCGCGATTCCGCGGAAACAAACTAGACAACAGTAACTATATATTATATAGTATATAACCATTTTTTTTTATTCAAGCATATCTCGCGTATGTTTATTTTGCCTGTCAATCCAAGATCCTGAATTATTTTTCACACAATTCTCGAACTACGTGAAATATTCTATTTTAACTACCATCTGTTCAATTCGAGGGAATCCTTACTTACTGAGTCGAAAGTACTGGCCTAATTTATTCATGGAAGCCCCTCAAAGTAAGAAATCAAGGAGGATAAAAATACTTCCTAGCCAACTTCGATATTATTGAATATGGTCATCTGATGATTCATCAATTTACCTCTTGCTTTCCTCCTGCTGCCATCTTCTGTCTGACTTCGGGCTTGAGCCAAAAAAAACTAGAATTGAACCTTTAAATAAACTATCACAACGCAATTTACTATCCATCGAGCAGTGTGGTGCTACTGCTCGAATTTTGTCTTAAGAGTTTAAGTGATGCAACAATTAAAACTTTTCCTATGAATTATTTTTTTCATTTTATGCAGCATCATATGCATCTTTTTGGGCCGTCTTCTTTTGACACCAAAGTAGAAAACTAAAGAATTAATAAACAGGTGATTGCCAGGCAAAAAAGTCTATTTCGCCTTTTTGATATGGATAAAATTGATATACAGCATGTCTGTTAAAATTCTTGTTTGCCGTCAGACACTGACTGGTCCCATGATAAAAAGTTTGTTGAACTGGCTTTATTTGAGGAGGCCAAATAATTTCTTACAAAAGCCGGAGTCTTAGTGTTCCTCAGTCTGCGCTCGAGCTTTCATTTTTATCTTAATACGCACATTGGTCAGAAGAATCATCAAAATCGAAACGATTCACGGACAGAGCACTGAGAATATCCAAGAGAGGCAAATGACTGCAGAAGGACGTACATGTAAGGAGAATAAATAACTCAAAATGCAAATTTGATGTTTGACAAATATGACGGGCTCAGTAATTTATGAAACGGTCATCACATAAAATATAGAAATAACAATGAATACAGTCAAACAGTCATTCACCAGGATAATCCGAATACGAGATTTTCTATATTTTACGATCACTTTAAGTGAATGTCAACATGAATGAGATTGTTGTGAAAAGCAATACAGTTTACGAGGCAGACAATAAGAACTCTGAAGCAACGAGCAGCAAGGTTGTTCGAAGAAAGCGACGACGAACAATGTGGGAGGGTGAAAGCTGTGTTGTCTGCGGGGATCGCGCAAGTGGGTATCATTATAACGTTCTCAGTTGTGAAGGATGCAAAGGAAAAGTTCCTAGTAAAAAACTCTATCCAACGCTATATGAACGTTGTAATAGAGAAACCGCTCACCGAGCCGTTTTTTTGTGCGCCATATTTTTTGTGGCAACTATCGGGGGACACATCCCGATCAGATAACCGATGCTTGCGCAACGGAGACGAGAATATCGTTACTTCAAGGTAATCGTAGCATCTCAGGAATCGAACCACGGACCCCGGGAGGGAGTTCGCAGCCGACCGGGGTCGTACCAATCCGCTAGCGTCGACCCCGGTGAGATCGAGATTTCGATACGCAATAAAGCACGGATGAACTTTTGAAGGTTTTTACCGAAGAGTTGTCACCGAAGAAAACAAAATCTTGATTTGCAAGTTTGGTGGCAAATGCAAAATGGATCTTTACTGGCGGAGAAAATGCGGTGCTTGTCGTTTGAAAAAGTGTCAACTTGTTGGAATGAGACCGGAGTATGTATCGAATCGAGAGGCCAAGAAACGCGAAAAGCCACGAGGAAAAACTACTGAAGTAAAGAAACCTCTCCCGAAGAAGCAATTGTCAGGTTTCGAATCTAAAAATTTTAACAGCTTGTAGATTATGCCTAAGTCAGATTTGAAATCCCCGAAAGTTATCAGAAGAACAACGGAATGAGGCTTCGCGGATAGCGGAACTGGTAACGGAGGAATACCGAGGTATAACACATTTTTCAAACCTTTTATTGACACTTTTAGTCTTGTGCGAGGCAACAAATGCTAAAACACTAGAAAAGTTGGAATCTATCGCAGACATCGGTACAAGACATGTTCAGAGTCTTGTTGCATTTTGCAAGAAACTTCCAGGTTGACCTTTAAATGAAAACTCAAAATAAATAAATCCAAAGGATTCGACAGTTTGCCGCAAGCCGACCAAGTCGCCCTAATAAAAGCTAGTACAGTCGACGCTAGTTTCTTAAGATCCGCGTTCAGCTTCGCCATGAATCCTGAAGTATCTTTCTATCTCGTAATTTTTGCTATCAATCACTTTAGAAACAAATGAAACAAACGAACAAAATAATCGCGTCATTGAAAAATGAGGCGATTGATCTTCCTGTTAGACGGTTCTACGATCGCTTCGCGGCGATGAAGCCGTCTATGACGATGATTGGACTTTTAGGTAAAATAACGCACTCGAAAATTTTAAATGCTCTTTTCCAGTTGCTATGGCAGTATTCTCAGCCGATCGTGCAGAAGGAATAACAGAGCCGCAGTTAGTTGAGGAGGCACAAGTTAATCTAGTGAAGGCTCTACAGTTTGTATGCATCCGAGAAGATCAACCAAAGCTCTTTCCCAAGCTCGTACTAAAGTTGACGGACTTGAGATATTTAGTAAGTGATACGTTTCTTTGGATATTTGCGTAATAATCTTTCAGAATCACGCATTCAGTAATCTTTTAAAACACGAATCAAACTCTCATTTGATGAATCCGCTCCTTCGCGAACTTTGGGACCTTGAATAATTCGTATTTGCCACCTGCAATAAATAAACTGACACGCTTTTCATATCTCAATATTTTTATTCAATTTACGATAAGGTAGTCGTTTCGTATAGGTCTCAAATGGCACAACATTACTTTTTCACAGAATATAAGGGTCCTCCGTATCTTGTCCTTTATAAAGTGCGCCGATAGATCTAAAGAGGGAAATCAATAAGGAAATTAATTGAAGCGCTTACCTAAACTCATTATCTAATTGATCGAGTCTATGATCACCATAATCCGATCCAGAATATAATGAGTCTAAATCGCAGTCGGAATTTTGCCCTTCATAATCGAATGTCTTTTTTCGGAATTTTTATTGGTTTTACAATTCAAAATTTACGCCATAAATCTGGGAGTCAATTAAAATAAAGTAAACAAAATTTAAAATTCCGTAACAAAAGTGAGTCGTATGGTGGCGCAGTAGGGTCATTATCAGCTCCAATTTTAGCATCACGAAGAAAGTCTTTTTCCAATAGTCCCTTGTCACGGGGCAAGATTCCATCTTAAGGGACCTTGTCGAGCAAACTTTGGCGCCACTTCTCGCGCGCCTCATTAATCTTTGAATTGTGATTTTTCAGAACTTTTTTTTGCAAACATTATCAACAAACACTCATCTTTCTATTCCAGTTTTCAATTTTTCTCTATCATTAATAGTTTAGCTACAAATTCCAAAAAAAGAAGTTCAACTTCAAAAAGATTCAGCACTCGCATTTTTCATCGGATGAACCTAAAATTACATTCACCGGAAAGCCCAGACAATTCTCTACAAAACTTCGCTCATGGGGTGGAATAAAAATCAATAATTAACCGATAAGAATCGGTAATCTGGGTGCTTAGCGCGAAGTAGAGCGCGGCGCTTCACGGTGTGAAAAATGCGCTGAGGCTAAATTTGGACGAAACTCAAATAGGACAAGACACGATTATCTCATTTTTTTTTTATTTTAATAGTCAAGTTTTTAATTAATAAATAACAAATATAAATAGGTATTAACACTCAACAATGACAGCGTCGTCTTCTTCGTTGCCCATAGACAGCAGGGCTTCAGCTTCTTCAAATGATGGTTCAATCTCCAAATTTTCTTGCTCCTTCGTTTTGACTTCGACTTTTCTGGAGTCTTCAATGTCTCGTTGAACTTGAGTCGCATAGCCTCCAGTCGTGAATTGCTTCTGATTTCTTCGTCGCTTCTCCTGAACTTTTGTCTTCTTCTTCATTTTTTCTTCAGTTTGCTTCTTTCTTTCTTCTTCCTGGCTATGAATTCTTTCTAGCCCAATGTCTGGAACGGCAAGTTTGAGCTTGTTCAAGATGAGCCTGAATGCTCTGTCCTGACCTTCATTGTAAATCAGGGTTGATACAGCTGCTGCCACTTCGTATCGGAGTGAAAGCACACTTGCATGTGTACCTTTCACCCAGAGTCTTCTTCTGATCATCAGTGCATGAAAATACTCCACAGGTGAGGAGGAGCCAGTATCGACTAGCGACTTGATGAATTCGTCGCCAAAGTAGGTTGCCATGAACTTGGTGACGTACTCCTCAATCATTTCTTTGGTGAGTTGACCATGAGGTTGGAGTATCGGAGGCATATCTGGACAATTTCCATCGCACATGCTGTGATCGCCGAAAGCGTGAAGTCCAGTCTTCTTCATTTTCGCCTTCGCGTCCTCGAAGGTCCATTCACCAGCGGCACATTTGTCCATTATGACTTCGGTGGCCAACCGGATTCTTATGTAGAGCTCGAGCATCATGTACGGCGTAAATTTCGTTGCAGAGGAGCCAGTTTTGAAATTCCTTTTGACTGTGCCGAAGATATTCTTGCTGATGTGGGACCTATCGTCAACATAGCGCAGGTTCTTTTCAGGAATCATCAACTTGTCTTTTCTTGCTTCATCGATGAACACATTGGTATTCTTTGAACTTCTGATGCCAGCATCTTTGTCGCAAGCGATTCTGATTGTGTGTCCGGGGAATTCTTCATGGATGGGTAGCAGTGTGCCTTCGAAGACATCACGAGTTCCAATCTTCTCCAAATTTGATGAAACGGTTCCTCTTGGCGCTATTCTTCCTTTGCCTCTTGATTTCAGGACTTCATCGCTGACTTCTTGTGGCTTTTTCACAATTGCATTTCCGATGACTTTGAAAACACCTCGTACATTCGCGACGCAAGAAACAATGCAGCCCTGGGCGGAATTTCGCTTGTGTCCTGAAAAATATTTGATATTTCATGTACAATTGAAAAGGGACATTCTAAAACTCGCCCTTTCAAAAAGGGAGAGTCTAAAACTAGCCCTTTCCGAAAAGGGAGAGTCTAAAACTATCCCTTTCAAAAAGGGAGAGTCTAAAACTAGCCCTTTCCGAAAAGGGAGAGTCTAAAACTAGCCTTTTTTGAAAAGGGAGAGTCTGAAACTGGCCCTTTACAAAAAGGGAGAGTCTAAAACTAGCCTTTTCTCGAAAAAAATAACTTACCGGTGTCATTGTAACAACCGTCCACAGCGACTGATATTGCTGTTCCTTTTGCCTTCTTTGTCTCTGAGATGAGGGAGTTTCTAGCGCGAACCATCGACTCTTGAGAAAGTTCAATTATGGTTTGGTCGACTGTGTCTTGAAGCTCTTTGGCAGTAGATCCACCATGTTGAAAGTCTGGCATCCGTGCTTCGCCTGATTCCGTAGTACAGCACATTCCAATGAAGGCGAACAGACGGTTTATTTGGGTATCGACGACTCCTACCACGGTTTTTCCTGTTTGGAAGAGAACGTTGAATTCAGATTGAAGAAGCCATGTTCCTTTTGACCAGTCGCAATTGTTGCAGAAAACATTGATGTAGAAATTGAGGAGATTTGTCTTCGAAATGCTGAGTTGAAAGCCGGCATTTTCTTTACAGGAGCTGCATGCAAACCAGTTGATTATCGAAGCCAGCTGAAGATGACATATAAAAGAAACTGTAGAGGCTTGATGGACGACTTCTGATTCTTGAGTACCGGTAAATCGGGCTTTTTTCTTTCCATTGTTTTTATTAGCCGATTTTCTTTTACTTGGTTTCGGCATAAGAAACATTTTCATGAGAAAAAAAGAGTTATATGATAAACTTGAGCCAAAAGAGGGAGCAAGAGATGTATTTGACATCTCTTGGATTGTAAATACTGATAGTTATTAGTTTCCTTCGGCAAAAGAAACAAAAAAACCTGCAAACAAATTTCCCGCTGCGCCGCGCTTGACCCTGCGCCCCGCCGCGTGCGCGCTAAGTACTCCGGATTACTGGATGTTACAGCTAAGCTGATTATTTTGAGCAAACCCCATGAGCGAAGTTTTGTAGAGAATTGTCTGGGCTTTCAGATGAATCTAATTTTAGGTTCATCCGTTGAAAAATGTGAGTGCTGAATCCTTTTGAAGTTGAACTTCTTTTTTTCAAAATTGTAGCAAAAATATAAACGATAGAGAAAAATTGAAAATAGGAAGAGAAAGATGAGTGTTTGTAGATATTATTTGCAAAAAAAAGTTTTGAAAAATCTTGATTCAAAGATTAATGAGGGGCGCGTGAAGTAGCGCCAAAGTTTGCTCGACAAGGTCCCTTAAATGATAAAGTAGGGAAGCAAATGATTTTTAAGACTTACCGGGTCTAGCAGCGTAAACTTGTTGATCTGGTATAACTGTGACTGCAACCCCACGCTGCTCGTTCCTTGGCTCAATATAATAGTCGTCCTTTGGTAGTGGGTTGATTCCAATTTTTTCGTCAAAGCCAAGCCCTAAAAAGACCTACAAAAGTTGCTAACTTCTAGCGAGTACCTTCAGTAATGTCATCTTCGTAATCCAGGAAAGGCTTTTCCTCAATGTCTGATTTCACTCCTCGACTTCTAGTTGTTACAAGAGTCGCAATTACAAGAAGCAGACATACGAGCCCGATGATAAGTCCTGCCCACCATGGGAAACCACTTTTAGCTGGCCCGATAATTGCATCATTCACGTTACAATAAGCAGTCCCGTTCGAATCAGCAGGGCAGTCGCAAATATTAAGTTGAACGTTATTGACGACTGTCGTCTTTTTATCTCCATCAGATCCAATGATCTGGATTTTGTGTCCAGTGTCACCGTCACCCTCAATAATGTAAGTATCTTCACCTTCAGCAAACTCCGCAACAAAATGAATTGCCCATCTTCCATTGGTGTTCACGATCTCTAGTTGCTCCAACTTTGGATGAGAGTTTCCGGATTGGTCAAGAACTTGTTTTTGAAAAGTATACGGACCGCAATTGAGGTGTGGCGCGTGGCAGTTGTCTACATATATATGAATATTTACCAATCACTTACTTTAAGGATATAGCCGTTCTCAAGGCACTTTCGTAGCGCCAAAAGGGGATGATAAAATTTTTTCATTTCAAAAGGAACCCTACCTAAAATTGCCTAAGAAACCCGATTCTAGTGTTCTTTTTAATTTTTTAATGGAAAAATTTCTCTCTAGAGCAATTTTAAATCTTGCGATCACTTTTTCTCGAGAATTTTCCATTAAATCGGTCGAGTTTTTTTGATAAATTAAAAATTTGGACCTTTCTCTACATTCCTAGGGCTTAAAGTTTAATAGATTCAAATTATTTATGGTTCTAGAGCCATTTTTATGAGGCTTACTTGAGTAAGCCGAAGCGTCAGACAGCGCTCTGGTTTGCTGCGCTGGGCGCCCTCCTCCATCGCGCGGTGAGGCGCGCATGTGAAAGAGCGCGCTGATTGGTCGAGCGCCCTGAACGCAGCATAGATGAAAAAGAAAAGCCAAAAAGAAGAAGACGCTAGAATGAAAATTTCCTCGGGTTTTGAAATTTTGAGGCCCTAGGAAGATAGATTAGCAGTTATTTATAATAAAACACGGTTTAGCTTTAGCGATTTAATTGAAAAATTTCGAGAAAAAGTGATCGTAAGATTTCAAATCGCTCCAGAGAGAAATTTTCTTTGAAAAAAAATTTCAAAAACATCAGAATCGAATTCTAGACATAATTTTAGGTAGGACCTGTCTTGAAATGAAAAAATTTTATCGCCCCATTTCGGCGCTACGAAAGTGCCTTGAGAACGGCTATATCCTTAAAATACCTTGATCGCTTTCGCCAAGATCAACCATGTGATAATTGTTCTCTTTCTTCAGGGTTCTGCATGTCCGAAGAACGCTTGGAAGTTCGGGGCCATTGTCGTTTACATCATCGATAAGAATATCGTACTCCTTGACCTCAGATGTCAGGGCAGTTTTGCCATCATTTCTGAAGTGCAAAGGGTGGATTTTCTTTAGCTGAATTGGGCTCACCTTTTTTCGTAAGCTTGAATAGAAAGTTTGATAAATTTGTCGCCCGTAGATGTTGTTTCATGCAGGGCATGTGCTTCTCGGTCGATCCAGTCGGAAGTTTCGTCATTTACAGTAGTTCGCAAACAGCCTTTATCGTCAATCGTAAAATACTCGTCGCCCTTGATAATTGTGTATCCAACTTCGTCCTCTTCAGGATCTTCACTCTCAATGCAACCGCCTGAAAGAGTAAATAAAATTAAGTTTCAAATCTTTCCGGCGACCTTTGATTTTCTCATTTTGAAGGTTTTCGAGAACATGCAGATCGCCAGGATTTCTTGAAAGTAGTTTTGGGGCCTCGTTTATGTCTCTGACCGTAACCCAGATCTCTTTTTTTGAGCTCTGAGCATCCAGCGCAATGTGGTTAACAGCTTCTACGACAACCATTAGACCTCGGCCGGGGTGATCGTCATGCTCATGGAGAGACTCGTAGTCAACAGCCAAGCCTGTTGTGACAATGTCTGCACTGTTGAACAACTAGAAATTGATTATATTACTTTTTGATAAATATATATTCGAACATCCAGAATTCATCGAAAAACAATACATACATCAATTTTGTCGGCCTGTTCTTCGCACTCTTTTGCATTATTACAAAGCTCCATTTGCTTTGCTTCAAAGTATGGGCAACCGGATTCGCTTTGAGGCGATGACGAAGAAAGACAGCTAACTACAGAAAACTTCGTCACTTTGTTGATGACATCTCTATCGTCGTCTTTAGCATAAACACTGAAAATTGTTCTGTCAGGGGGTGTGTTCTCTTCCATCGACTTCGGCACACCGTCGTCGGCCACGTAGATGTTAGGGATCTCAGTATTGACGTCGCTAACTTTTACGTTGATTGTTATAGGATCAGACTTCATGACTCTTCCTTTGGCACTACAGACCGTCTGTGCCTCTGTTCCAGAGAGATCATCGCAATCACTGATCGTCACATCAAAACTTATCGACTTTATGTTTTCGATATCGCTGGGCTTTTTATTGAGCACCATTTTCTTCCTAAAGTCTGAGCCACGTACGTTTTCAAACCGAAAAATTTCTCCATCGGTAAATTGTTGCTCAGTGCCATCCCATTTGTGAAGTATTTGACTAGACTTGTTTTCAATTTGAATTTTAAACTTGTTGGAAGCAGATTTCTTGTCGTCGTCATCGATGATCTCAATAATTCCATTGTGGGGAAAGGGGCTGTCCGTTGGAAAATCTTGGTTTACCGCGGTATCTTCGCGGATAATATGATTGAATGAGCTCTCCGAGATAGAAGGAGCGTTATCGTTTACATCTGCGACTGTGTACGTAAAGATATCGTCCGCTTCTTCGACTGTTCCATCCGGGCCGGTGAGTTTTATATAAAACTTGTACTGAGCTTGTTCTTCTCGGTCAAGGTTTTTTCTCGCGTGGATCCAGTAGAACATGCACGCTTGACCTTCGCATTCCCCTGTTTTATGTTCGAGCCAAAACGTTCCATCGGCGATTCCGCGACCGTTGTTGTCCTTGTGGTCCACAAATTGAAGACCTGTGTACATAGAAGCTTTGAACCTGTACCACTCATTGTTTCCTTCCCAAATTCTCTTTTCTCCGTCGTTTTCATAGCCTGTGTAATCTAATTTTGTTTGAATCTGGACAGCCTCGGTTAAGAGCGCCAGGAAGGCGAACCTTCTCATAGCCGATATTTTCTGTTCACAAGACGGCCACTTCCGCGAGTTCTTTCTTTTCCACTTCTCTGATAGCGACTTTTGGCAGGAAAAACGAAATAAAAAAATTCGTTTTTGAAGGATGCCCAGCGACGGCGTTACACTCTGTACAAACAGGATAGTATTTGCACTGGGCCATTCAATCGAATTTCGCGAAGCAAATAGAATGATTCAACATAGTAAAACATACGTCGAACTGTTTCTGTGAGCAACAGGTTTTGAAGACTACCTTTCTTTTTTCATGTTGGAAACAACTGAAATTATCATTGAAATGATGCAATTACCAGCGTTGTTACCATTTACGCACTACTAGATTATCATCCTTATCTTTCAAATTATACGAATCTGATTGACACAAAGACCGACTTAACAAGGATTACCGCTCGTAACATGTATCGATGTCCCTTGCTTTCTTTTCCCAGTGCATGTTAGAGAGCTAAAAACCTAAGGAAGTCATGCTTATCGGGTAAGAGTGAAAAAAATATATGAAAAATTAAGACTCAGTGAAGGTCGTAAAGTTTTGAATTGGGCTCAAGAATTTTCTATCTTTTCCCACGCAATGTGTCGCAGCGGCGAAGAAATCTTTCGCCTGACAAACTTTTATGCAAAGTTGACAGTTGGAGTCCGGCTAGAAAGTAGCTAACAAAAAACAAAAACAGACTTTTTCTTGAGTTTTACTTTATGTCTCTGAAATAGAAAAATATATCATGAGAGTTTCCGGGTAAGAGAAATTCACTTTGTTGGCTGCTTATTTTTTTAATCAGAAGTTTAAGGTTTTTTTCTGAAAGACAGATTAACTCTAAGGTGCATTTATTGGTGTGTCCGTTGCATAGATTAATTGCATAAAAGGAGTAGTAGCATAACGAATTGCCGCTACCACATTCACCGGCTCCGACATTTTTTTCAAAAACACTGAAAACAAAACAATCCTAAAGCAACAGAGAAAATGCGGTGTACTATTTTTAGGTAGTTTTTTTTTACTGAGAGTCATTTTTGAGCAATATCTTTAAAAATGAGCAACTTAGGTTAGAGAACGTTCAGCAGGTTAAATCAATTACCGAAAGAATCTGTTTCAAAAACGTGACCTACTCTCTCGGTTTGCACCTGCTTTCAGCATGACTTTTTCGCCGACCACAGGGACAACAAGTAACTTCGCCATTTGTGTCTCCTTTTGGCAAATTATGTCTTAGCAAAACTAAACAGAGAAATACACAAGGCATTTCTTACTGCCGATCTTAGAGAAATAAAATGTATGTGATTAAAAGCAATTCATTTTTTTCTTGCGAAGATTGATTATTTTTATCGTCCAGCTTTTACCACGTATTATAAATAAATATGTCTAATATTATTATTTTCAGGTTTTTACGGCGACAGTGTGGATTTCTTCAAGGAAGATGGGCGAATCCCATCCTCATGATACTTCTAATTTTACTTGTTGTTTTTCAAATTTTTGGCGGCGCAAATAACACTAAAGAGACACGAAGAAGATCTTTTGAAGAATTTCCTCACGTCAAGGAGCTCAAAACAGAAAAAGCCAGTGAAAGGGCAAAAACTCATCATTGTCAAGGGTTTTAAATGCAAAATATATATAAAATAATTTGAGTATGCGAAAATCCTGAGACAGCTTGCCGAGTGCCTCGAACTTGCCTGAATGTGTTTATAACTCTCCGTCACTTATTGGATCAATAAAAAGTGGTATGAACTTACAAAATAGTACAAGCAGGGAAGAAGCGTTAGAGAAGCGAGGGCCTTGTCTAGCGCATGGAGGTTGCTTCAAACCCAATCATTGCAAGTCGCAGCAGAAAGTTGCGATTCTCATACCTTACAAAGATCGCGAAGCACATCTCTTCACTCTTCTGTCGTACTTGCATCCACAGCTGCAGCGACAAGGAATTCACTACTGTGTCTTTGTCGTAGAGCAATTTGATGATGGCAGATTCAATAAAGGTTTAGTCATGAATTCCGGCTTTTTGGAGATCTTGAACAGCTTCGGTCATTTCGACTGTTTTATTTTTCACGACGTGGACATGGTTCCAGAGGATGACCGGAACATTTACCTCTGCCAAAATTTACCAACGCATCTATCACCTTTCATCGACAAATTCGATTACCGCTCGCACTATGGCACCGATTGGGGTGGTGTAACAATGATTCGACCTGAACAGTACTCGAAAGCAAACGGCTACTCAAACATGTTCTGGGGCTGGGGTCGTGAGGACTCCGACATGGAGTTCCGTCTCAATGCAAAGGGCATCAAAGCTATAAGGCCCATAAACGAAGAGTACGCCAGGTTTTCGATGATTCCCCATGAGCATCCTTGGAGATTCCAAAACGAAAAGTACTATCTTGGATCTTCCGCCAAAATAACCACCAAAGAAAAGCTCATGCTGACAAAAAGAGAGCGTTCCTCTTGGGATGGAGTAAACAATGCTAAGTACAGGCTGGATCACGTTGTCTACGACAAGCTTTTTACGAAGCTATATGTGGATATTCGGCGTTTTGAAGTCGACGAACTTCAAGTTGTTATCGACCAGGATAGATTCAAAGATCTTAAAACCAGGCTCTTTCTAAGTTTATCTTGAAATCGAAAAAGAAAAAACTGAAGATCACGCAATCAAGGGGCGACTGCTCCTACAAGACCTTCGACGACACTTATCTTGATCCTAATTTTAAAATGAAAGTTGGTGAGGCACGTTCTGGATACTTTGACGAAGCGAGTGCGGAAGCTCTTTGTAATGACGCTGGTCAGTCCTGCGCTGGCATTGTGCGTGATCGAGGTGTCCTTGCTGCAGGTAAGTTAACTTTTATCGATTCTGCTCAAATTTTCGAAGATGGAAGAGACTGGATACTCCGTGAAAAAGCAATTCTCCTGACTCCGGACGAATATAGATTCGCCGGAAAAGGCGCTCGGTCGTTAACGGTGCCCGATAATTTGCAAACAAAAATGAAGATATGTCAAGGGCAAATGTCGAACGTGTATCCGCTAGAAAGGTAAGACGAAGACAGATCACGTTAGTCAAAAATTTAGCTCTGTGACAAATGCAGCTTATAAATCTCGTCTACGACTCAAGTTTCTGCTTCCGCTGACGACGTCGCTTATCTACCGAGATATTGTTTTATTCGAAGGGCATCCGACCGGGCTAACGCACGAATATCCGATTGAAATACGTCCGGAAGAAACTGAAGAAGCCATCTCCTTCTCTTTTCAAACAGGGGAATTCTCTCTCCCAACTTACTCTGGTTGGTACACTGTTCAAGCGAAGATTTCAGATAGATTCGATCAAACCTGGTTTGAGTGGAGTTTCCAGTTTCACGTCGACACTGGGTAAGAGAAATATTCTTAACAAATCTCGACATATAATTACATTTAGGACGGCTGATTCTGTCACAAAACGCCTGCAATACATCGAAGAGCTTAAAAAACTTCTTTTAAAATTTCAAGAGCAAAAAGAAGAACGAAAATGGAGTATCGAGGAGAAGCGAGAATTAATTCAGGCTTTTTCACACGGAAAAGATTTACTTTAAATCACTGATTCTGTACATAAATAATGTAAATTTGCTATTTTGAATATTATACAAATATATCTATTTACTACTACCCACTGGCAATATAAATATAATTTAAATAAATTGTATACGCTGCAAACATTGCTTTCATTATTTCTTTTATTTCATTGTCTAAAATTATCAGTAAGAGAGTCGGAAAGGTTTAATCGTGTGTAGTGGATTATCTTAGTCCAAAGCTTTCGTGAAGTTTTCTGGAAATAAGCCCCAGCTGGCTTTTAGATCTGAGTTCGACTCCCAAACACTTTTACGGATACCTAAGAGCCAGCCTTCGTCCTCAAAGTTGGGTTGGGATGAGTTTAAGGGCTTTCTTTAAGATACCTGTTCATCCGGCTGAGGATGTTTGATAACAAGAATCAAATCGCCTTTATTGAAACATAACTCGTCTTCATCGGCAGCTGAGTAATTGTAAACTGCGACAACTGTTCGTTCATATCCCTAAATAAAAAGTTAGCGGAGATACTAAGCATCGCAGCTTACATCTGGCATCTGTACGCTCGACTGGCTATTACTGTACGGCGGAGGGGGAACTGGTGGTGGGTGAGAAGGACTGCCAGACTGAGCAGCGTTGACAATCTTTACAGGACTTGGACTTCTCGCTTCAATTACGGCTTTGTTTGGTTCTGGTTCTGTCTTGAGAATTAGTTCTTGTGGTTCTTCCTCAATAAAGTCGAAATTCTGGAGCTTTGAATGTGGATGAATGTTTTGACTGCCGCCTCCTTAATAATTCTTATTATAACTTCAGGCAAACAAGTAATCCACCTTGCTCATCATCTGCCCTAGAGCTAGTTCTAGCCATTTTCACATGGTTCGGAGCTTCTTTGAATCGTGGATTACTTTGTACTGGCGGGCCCGCAATCTCCAACGATTTAGTTTTTACAAGCAAATCCAATGATGCTCTCTCACTGACAACAGAGTCCGAGACCGTCCTTGCTATTGCTTTATTTTCGCTTGTACTCAAACAGTTTTCTTTCTGCTGTGGTGGAGAAGGAGCTTCTCTTTTTGAGAATTTCTTGATGTCTTCTGGTGCAACTGGATCATTCGCATTCTTTTCTAACGGTTGATCGATGTCAACGTAGTCGTGTGATAATTCCTTTGTCTTTGGGATAACTTCATTTGCTGGCGTTGGGTCTGGATACTCAGATGATCTTAGACAATCGATTAAATAGAATTATTATTATCTACACTCACACGTCCGATAATTGTGCAATTTGAGGATCAGGTGATGGCGGCCGTGCAGGAACGCGTAGTGGAATGTGAATTGGTAAATTTGATATTGAGCTTTTTCGCGGCGATTTTTTATCTTTCGTACTATCGTGTCGAGGAAATTGCACTGACCCAGAGCCATAAGAGGACTCACTTTCTCGAGAACTATTCCCTCGGTTAGACTGGCGGCTTGACTCAGCTGTAGTTGATCGCAGTTTTCCACTTGTGTGATCCCTATTTTGGCTTAAATTTTTTGGAATTTTCATTATTTTTTATCAACAATTATGAAGCCTTCCTTTGAAGCTGTATCATTAGTTTTTCAATAACAATGTTTTCCTGGTCGAGTTGCGAGTGCATCTCCATTTCTTGCTTTATCCAAGACCCAAAGATGTATCCTATTAACCCTGCCCGGCTAGAGTAGACTTGCGGAAGATCTTCCCGCAGTTGGCGAGACATAGAGTCGAACTTTTCTTGCGCGTTGTCCATGGTGCTCTTGACACGCTGCACCTTTCCTGAATTGACAGCCTTCGCCTGCTTCACTTTTTCGAAGCTGTCCTTTGCCGAGTCAAGGTCAATCCGACGTCGTTCAAGTCGAGCTATTTGATTTTTTAACTCTGGAAACATGGCTTCATCATCGTTACTTAATCGTTTGCTTCTCGAGCCAAAGAAGACTCTTTATTTTTTTTAAACAAGTAAAGACGTTCCTGAGTAAGTAGTCAATTTATTCATCGTGTCCATATTGAGACTGGAAATGCAATCATCAAAGACATCTTCCTGCGCTCGTTGACAGTCAATAATCTTCTCTTTACTGCCCCATGCTGCCGGATACCCCAAAACAAGAAGGTCAATCAATTTTGTTCTTTCATTTGCGAGTTGCCGCAACGAAGCAATATATTTCTGTAGCTGTTTTTGAAACTCTAAAAATTTGATTTCCATTGAAATAACTATAAATTTATCATTCCTTTGCTTTCTTCTTGTTGGTGATGAATTTTTCGACCCCAATCTTCGATTGTAAAATCCCGCTGGCTCTGGTGCTGAGTTTCTCGTGTCACCACATTTTTCACTGCCTGTTTTGCTACAAATAACTAAATTTATTCTTTTAAAAGCTTTTCAAAAGGTCTAATTTGTCAGAAATGCAGAATATTAAAAATTTACTATCCTTGTTATTTATACCTTTGAACACTTGCCGAGTGAAGGACCTCTTTGCCTTGGCTTTCACCTCCATCGTTTGTTTCAGATTAGCAACGGTTTGCTCTCTGGGATAAAGATCTGGCTTTCAGAAAAAATACATCTCTAGCTCGACGAAACACTCTCTTTCTTAGTCACCGGATGCCTCAAAACAAAAGAACTAATTATTCAATACGCGGAGAGGCTTTAGGCAGGCTACAAAGAGAAAGAAAATGTTTCCCTGCGAAAGTTGTCGCGCTGGCTTCTTCCGAGATTTTCGCCGATATCTATATCCCTCTCAAAGTTCTGCCTCTTGATTTGCTTCTTGACGATCTCGATTGTGATGTGCCGTTCTCTGTTCGTCTGTCAAATTGAGCACTCGTTGGATTGTGTCTAGAACGCTGGCGTCCCAGGCGCTCCTATGCGCGAAAAAGTTTAATTACAAATGGATCGCTTCAAAAAAGGGTTTATGACGGGCGCACATCTTCCGGTTTCGCCTTTTGTCACTGAGGTATGAACGTGTCACATTCCAAAGGAATCAGAACCACGCGCCTACTTTCACCGCCCTTCTAAGGGGTGATTTATCGATTTTCCGAGAAAATCACCTTTGAACTCTTTGAGTTTATATACCCTTTACAAAGCAGTATTCAAGAAGAAGCTAACGTTGCAGACAAGACTTCTGGGTCGATAATAGATTAGCAAAAATGCCAATAAATGGAAGTCTCTCTGCCCACAATTAGTATTAAATGCAGCTCAATAATTAACTCAAACTTGGGTCACCTGCGTTAGGAGCTGATCGTTTGGATCCGCATCTGGGATAAGAGAGTCGCCCTGCGCCAGTTTCTCTAATTTCTTCCGGAGCCGGCTTTCTCAAGCTAGCTCGTTTGGAGTCCGTTTCTCAGAATCTCTTTGAATGCAAATGTGGATTCACGTTTTTTGTCAGGAGTATTTTGGTGGAGGTGGTGCAAGACCGTAGATGAAGCGGGTGCTCTCATTGGCCGTCGTACAGCGCACGACGGCCGCAGGGACAAATTCATATCACTATATCAGACTTTATTACTAGCCAAAGTTGAAATGGCTCGAAAACTTTCAAGGAAGAAACAATTGTAAACTTGTCATCATTGAAATAAACGACTGTCGAGGTTTTTAGATGTATTCGATATCTTTAGTGTGTATTCAAACTGTACAGTTGCTTTTTGCTCGGGAATAAGCGCGCATAAATTCAGTAGTGATAGGAAAATGGTAGTCAGCTCAGTTTTTGATCGTTATCAATTAAAAAAGAAACTACTGCGAAATTTTCCAAGCCCACTGCAAAGTATAAAAGATATTTCTTCAACGAGTATTAGAATGCTCATTTTGGCGGGAAGATACAAGTCAGGGCAAAGTTACCATTCAATAAACGGTTTTCGGTTCCTCGCTCTTTCAAGTGATTCTATTTTCGTTGGATCTTGCGGAATGTCGTTTTTATGCGGAAGTGCCACTAGGTGCGGATTGCCTTCTTTGACCTTTCCTTCTTTTCGAGCTTGTAAATTATTTTCGACTAAGTGTGCTTTAAAAGTAGTCATAAATTAAAAGCATTCCCTTGAGATAATACGGGTAACTTTCTTTTTTTAGATAATAAATAATTGAGCTCGTCGTCTCCGAAAAAACGAGCATAATTCTTGAGCCAAGCAACAAGCATCATTTCACGAGCTTCATCACCCCACTTTTTCGCTACATTGTCGATCGTTTCTTGCGCTCGATCGTGACACAACTGAGTGACATTTTTCTGGCGCAAGTTCTGGTACGCCTTTCTCAAGCGTTCTAGGATGTTTTAGGTAATCTTTATGAAAGAAGTAATGTCTTGCTTATTCTTATTTCTGATTTCTGTTAAAAGTCAATATCTAAGAAAATGCCTTTCACTTGAGTCTAGTGACTAGACTGATCAAACACGAGTCCGATTCATCATTCATTTTTAATGAAAATCGTCACATCGTTTCAGCAAAAAGTGAAATTTACCTGGTGATGGGTATCGATGATAAATTGTTAGGCCTGCCAGAAAGCAAGGATCATCGTAGTCGTTTGCCATAGACCAGCCGCCTGAGCCCTTAGGCACGACATGCACGCCAGTACAGATGGAGTCCGATGAGTACATGTCTCCTGTTCTATTGATGGAATTGATTAGCACACCGACCCATGTGTCGTCTAGGGGGAGCATGGGAACAGTGAAACGCGCAGCCGCCAGCTCGGATGCCACTTGTTTCGTGATTAAATAAGCAGCTCCGGAGAAGTAATTTGGGTAGTGATCCATCGGCACCAGTTCCGATGGCATGTAGTATTTACTAAGCGGAAATGCTCGAATTACAAAAGTAAGGATATGCCTACCTTCTAATATTTCGATTTATCTCTTCGTTCCGATGCATGCAGCCGATAAGTTGCGTAGTTGAATTTATCAAGTCTAGGTGTCCGAGGAGATTTTCGGGGATGAGCAATATATCATCGTCTCCTTTTAATATGTAATCCGCGTTTGGGCAGCTTAGAGCGAGCTCAGCATTAGACGATAGATTGGAAATTTTTGAAAAAAAATAGAACATCGCTAATTCACTCTGAGTCCGTGCCTGGTCTGGAAGAACTCGAAGAACATGTTATCTTTGACGGTGAGGTTATAATGAGACTCTGAAAATTGATACTGCAGGATGTCGCCGTATTTGTCTGCTTCTTCGTGAACATTAGTGGCGTGAGAGTCATCGCCTAGCAGGAAGATTGGATAGAGGTGGATTTTAGTTGAACTGTATGCGTCGGCCCAGTCGGCAGGGTTGAGCCACGTGTTGCGCAGGGCGTTGCGCAGGGCAACTTTGGAAGGCATCGTTTTTATTCCAACCAGAATTAAGAGCTCGCCCACGGGAATAGAGGGACAGTCATTTGGGCGCTGGAGGATCGGGTAGTTGGTTTCTGAATAAGGAAATATAATGCATCAACTCGTTTTATTTTCCGACAATCTCATTATCCGAAATGACCCACTACTAATAGCTTTTAAAAAGTGCGTAACGATTATTGAAAATGAAGACGCCATCTATGAACAAACATAGAAAATTAATTACCTGGGCGAAATTTGAAAAGGCTATTCAGATAAGCATATGGTTCGATGTAGTAGTAACGCTTCGACGTCTCATTGCACAGTCGATGGTAGTACAGATGGCGGCCCCAGCCACCGTAAAGCTGAAGAATATGCGCTTCGTCTACGAGGCCTCTGAAAAATTTATCATTTCCACGTTTCAAGGGAGGAATTCTTTGGGCAGCGAAAAGAGCTCTGACTTGAAATCAAAGATGAGTATATTTGCTTTCCCTTTTTTAATTATGCATGTCTGCCATGTTAAAATGGAATAGGAAAACGCGAAATGATCCCATCTATTAATTGTTTATTAAAATTTGACTTTGAATTTATCTTCATGAATTACCAAGGCATTATTTTTACCTGTCTGTTTCCTCGCAAACTGATGAAAATGCCCATGATATAAATCGAAAGAGCAAATAAAGGACGATTGATACGTACAAAAGTACACAAACTCTTTACCTTCGGATATTATCGTCATTCTCCCTCCTGGTTTAAATAAATTATAATTACATAAATTAAGCAGATCCGATTCCTTGATGTAAATCGCATAAAAGCTCTTTTAATGCCAAATTTTCTTCATTGAAAGCTCTCTTTTGGTCTTCCTATTTTCGATTTCCAAGATTTTCTTCGCGAGCTAAAAATGCTTTCTTTAGCTTCTGGGCTTCTTATTCTATCACGCAAGTAAAATAGGGATGAGTCACGTGCTAACCCAGCCTGAAGGGAGCAGCGAATTCATCACGCCTCGAGATCAATATCGCTTGTTTGGGCACATATAGTCGAAAAAATGGTCAAGTGCAAATATAATTCTCTTGTGTTTCTCCATTTGTTCTCTCAGCGATGTTAATTCATTTTAAATCTGCTGAGTTGTTGAACTTGCCCAGTATTTAAACTTGAATATTCACGCAAATTATATTATTTTAGAGATGTTGCAAACTTCTGTGCTTCCTTCAAAGAATACCTCTGCTAAAATTTCGCCGTTTCTCGCATTTTCGTGCAAACATTCATCTGGAGAGTATTTCAAAGATAAAACGGCTTAGCTAATATGCAAAACGGAGAGCAAATAAAAAATTACACTTTGTTAAATTTAGGCTAATTTCAGTAAGTGGCTCGCTTCGCTCTGCTGATCCGAAATCGGAGCTCATCATAAATAAGTTGTAAAAAAACTGCCCGGCTGCCAGATTGTACTTTTATGAAGAAGTACCTTTCGAGTTAGTTTATTTCTTTCTCTCTTTGTGTGAAGGATTGGCCGAAGACCGTCTCCAGCTTCTCTGATAAAGAGCTGAGGAGTCAAAAGCGATCAATCACAGCGACTTCCGTCGACTAGGACTGTCCACAAACACTCAACTTCAAAATCGAGAAATAAAGAATTGAGTCAACTTCAAGACCGAAAAACGCGCTCTGTGAAGGTGTTAGTTTTGGCAGTGTTGGGAAGAAACGGAGAAAGAAAAACGATACCCTCCCTGATGAAACACTATCAAATGAAAGAAACGTAGAATCCAATATGCTGACTCAAAAATACTCCCAAGCTTCAGCACGAGAATATTTCCTATTCTCAAACAACTAGTATAAACAATTACTCACTCAACTACGATAACATTAGGCAAAGTTTTAAATTCCCTTGGTAATTATGCCCGATAATCGGCCAGAAACGCAAATAAAATTGAAATTCCGTGGAAATATTTTCCCCGGGATCACGTGATTTCCCAACATGTGACTTTTTTTGTCTAAATTTATCGGCATGGGAAAATTTCCTCAATTCAGGTTGAATTGGAATCTGAATTTCCAGAACCTAACTCAACGGATTTCCGCGAATTAGCCAATAATGAAAGACCACTGTATTCCAGCCAATAGAAGCATATCTAGGCCCGTCGACCGACATTACGACAGCTCGATCTGATTATAAGCTTTTTGGAGACGCGAATTGAATAAATTTTTCCCGCATTTGTCCACGACCGGAAATAAATGGCGGACTTTAATTTGATCGACGCGTCTTTCCAGAGAACTATCAAGCATCGAAGTGAAGATGCGCAGGAAAGCTTTAAAAAAATTAGAAAAATAAAAATAATTTAAAAATTTAAAAATAAACTTTAATAATTTTAATATTGAGAATGTGCAAAACAATAAAAATTTGAGTCTTGGAAATTGTAACTGACAAATTGAATCGAGAATAAAGCCGAAAAAGACCGCCTGTCAATGGTTGGATACTTTAGCCGGGCTTACCAGGAGAGATTTTCTAATGAATAGTATACGTTCTCTTTTTTAGTTTTTAAATGGCTAAAAACAAATATTGTTTAATCTTGTGTGAAAGACATGTCGACGGCGCGAAGGGGCCACTGGGCCACCTGCGTTGCTACTTGCAACGTTTGGGAGACGACCGGCTCATCCAGGAACACTGGGAATATGCGAGAGAGGTTATTCCGCAACTTTCTCATTTGTGGGAAAATAACTTTTTTGTTTAGCTTGCTGGTGCTCCCGAGGCGATTGAAGACAACGAAGAGAATGCGAAGAGCGCCATTACCGAGGGCAATACCAGCAAACCAGAACAGAAAGGGATGGTTCAGAAAACTTTTTTTTTAATTCAATAGATCCTATAAGCTTCAATCAAAAGACTTCTTGAACCATAACAGCGATTCAAACTCCCGGGGAATCGAATGCTAAGAAGACTACTTCCCAAGGCCGAAAGCGGAAGAATGAAGACGAGCTCGAAAGGAAGGTTAAGAAATGATACAAAAATTCTCAATTGATTTTAATAAAAGGGGACCGTCCCCGGAAAATACTCGTCTTTTCTTTCTATAAATATATCATGCATTTCCGAACTATTTCAAGCATCGCTGAGAAGAAGGATGAGTTCAGGGATGTGTATCAAGATGATGGAACATTAAAAAAGCCGAACCTTATTTACATAGCTCGGACGAACGCAAACGGAATCCGATTCTATGTAAAAGTTAATGGATCCATCAGATGCATGAAGGAAGGGCTCATCTCGAATATAAAAATCGTGAATGGTTAATTGCTCGATAATGATACTTTTGACAGCATTTTGGGCCAGAGACCCTGGCATAAGGGGATCTGATAGTTTCATTATGATTTATTTTAATTTGCACGAATGAGTCTATCTTAGTATAAAAACCTGAAAAAAGACGGTTCTTTCCTTGTGTATTGCTGCGAGCCTTCCTGCAAAACGGTTCATTCTCTAAAAGTACGAGATTCTGACATGGGACTCTATCATGGAGGCGGAGCAAGAATATGGAAGCTAGCACATAAGCACCCTGAAATTCACAATCCGGCCTTTTATGAAGTGCTCGAGTGGAATACCACTAGCCACGTTTGCAAGGTAACTTTCATTTATAGATACTATTTTAAATTAATGTAAACAGGAACTTGGCAATGAGCTCGATGTCTTGAAACAACAACCTAGTACTTCCACCAACGTTATCAAAGAAATAACGAACAATAAGCACGCTAGAGAAGATACAGAAAAAGAGGCGGAGACCGAAGAGAACCTTGACAAATCGACGGAATTACCAGCTAAGCGGGCGAGAACCAGTGAACATTCAGAAACTCTTCCCTTACCCGATACTAGCACAGAAAACTCCTCGTAAGAATATTGTATTTAATCTTTCTAGTTGAAGCGTTCAACTTTAATGAAGTGAATCAATTATTCACTTCTGCCAATTTATTAATTTTCTGTTAAATTTATTGATTATTTTACATTTTGATGATTTATCTGAAAATTTAGAAGGAGATTGCTACGAAAAAGCTCTGGAAGCATTCCTAGCGTGGAGAGCCGCCTAGCAAAAGTCGACAACAATGTTCCTAATCTTAACGAAAGCAGATGTCTCTTAACTGGAGAATGTGCCTCGTGCCGAGCCGTTTTTGAAAGCTGGGAGGAACTGATTGTTCACATCGAGGACGACCAACATTGCAAAAGATACTACGTTGACGAAAACAAGAATTTCTGTTTCATTTGTGACCGGCCATTCAAAGTTCTTAGAACTCACTGCCACGATGTGCTGAAAGGACAGTGTTTAAGCTTAAAGTTTCAGTTATTTCCGCTATAGGCTATAGCACAGCTATTAACACTGCTAAAGGAAAAGTCAGCTACGCAGGAACTACTCAGGAAGCGCACGCAGCTTACTCGAGAATCGCATTCAAAAATTTTCATTCTAAGTGGTAAGAATTCTATTTTTTCTGATAGATATAGGCGACTGACTTTTCACTCAAGGGACACGGTTCCAGAATCCAAGAATAATATGGTCGACGAGCTTCCGAATTCAGGTGTTGATCAACTTGCTAATGATGGGGAAATGGTGCAATCGCAAATTACAGAAACAGAAACTGAAAATGAAAACGACTCTATGGCAAATCAAGAAAATATGGATGAAGACCCCGAGGTCGAAAACATTGATGATCGATCCCCATCTGTTACGGCAATGGAAGATTCCTTCGATAAACCCCCACTTGATCCACCAGGTCTTGAAGGAAAGGTCATTTTTACAAGATTAATTGGTTTTAATCATGGAGCTCTTGAAAAAATGACCTATTTCAGATGTTCCAATTCTTTTTAACAACGAAAACAGCCTTTTTATAAAGACAGAAATCCCAGATCTCCCGATATCTTTTGCTACCTGAAATTCAAATATTCCACGCTACATGACTACTTACTGCCTACCGAATTTACCTGACTACCGAAGCTAGAATAAAAGTTTTCCTTCAGTTGTTTCAGTGCCAAATGTGTGAAATGACCTTTGGCAGTGAAGTAAAATTGAAAGTGACTCAGTAGATCAGCAGAGAACAATAATGAAATTGTCTATTGCACTTTTCTTTTTGATAAGCATTGTTTCAACTCAGAATGAAAATGAAGAAATAAAGGAAAATCTCATTCTCGAGCCTATACGAGGTTTGATGGAAATGATGGCTTGAACGTTGGAATGAAAACAAATTCAGGGATCAAAGGGGAAAAGGGCGAAGCTGCTCTGAGCAGTCATTCACAGAAGCGCTTATAATATGTCATTTTCAAATTTATATTTTAACAAAGAAATTTTTTTTCGCTTCTATGAATAACTGCCTTCGGTTAACTGGCGAAATGGGTCCAACAGGTCCACGCGGCGCAAAGGGACCCCCTGGAGCAGATGGACCTGCTGGTGAAAAAGGCGAAAAGGGACAGGCAGGACCGCAAGGAACCCGTGGAAATTATGGAATGTCCGGTAAACCCGGAAAGCCAGGTGTAGAAGGCAAAATAGTTCAGGAAGGGGTCATTTCTTCAGTGTTGAGGAAGTTTGAAATCGACAATTCTCAATAGACAGACAGAGCAAGAGCCCCAAAAAGGATCAAAGACGAATAAAACAATGACTTGATTTGATACGTTAGTTGATCCTGGTGTAAGGAGATGTTGGTGAACCTGGAAGGGATGGCCTCAAAAGGTTTGGAATCTAGAGTTCTTAATGATCCAAACTTCGGTTTCAATTAGAAGCGAGTTAAAAGAAATGAAACGTCAAATTTGCCGTATTCTGAAGGAACTGAAGAGAAACAAATATACTATCGACGATGAGTTCCGAACGACCTGTAGAGACTGATTTTTTAAACTGTTGAAAATAAAGTCATATTCATTTTTATTGACATATTATATGGGACAGGTTAAATACGACTTATCAATATTACTTTACAGGCTTGGTTGATGAATTGAGGGTTTTTCGTTCAATGTACAGATATCTTTTTAATAGCTTGCGTCAAGAAGGGTAAGCAGGTTTGTCAGAGATCTTCTAACTAATTAGGTTGTGAGTTGAGTGGCAGATTGGAATAGTACGGCTGGTGAACTAGTGAACTGGGCTTCATAAACAGTCTTGATTCGATAGAAAGTAAAAATTCCATTTAATGGACACGACTAAGAATGACCGCACGCTAATGATGCTAATTGAAAGACCATTTGTAGTCCAATAAATTGACCCGTGAACTGTGTGTGTAGCCCAGCTAAGGTCACGGTGAGGTTCGTGAAAGGGTCGAATGAGTTTTTGAGTTTTTATCAGGCTTCAGTTTGTCAGCGAGCAATGTAGCTAATTCGAACTTGACATCGAGGGCCGCCCCAGCCCGGTCGACAGTGGCACCGCCCAGTGTCACCTGCACAGTACGCACTATGTTCACATTGACAAGGTAACGAGCAATTGGGCCCGTAGCTTCCTCCAGTGCATTCTTAGAAAACACAAATTAAAACGGCAGCAGATTATTTGATAGCGAAACCTGTGGCGCACTTGGGTCCCATAAACCCAGGCGGACAGAAGCACTTTCCATTTTCTTTGTCGCATAGGTATCCACCGCAGTCACATCTAGATTGGCATCCTCGACCCCAGCGACCATCATCGCACTCTTGTGTGTGATTAAGTTTCTTTTTTCTCTTAGAAATACTAGAATATTTACCTTGCGTGCAATGATCGCCAGTCATTCCTGCTTTGCAAAAGCATCTTCCTGTTGCTCCATGGCATTTCTCAGTATTTTTCCATTGGCACTGACAAATGTTTTTGCACGACAGTCCCCACGTACCTGAGATGTATGTATTTTTGAACTTTCTATATTATCTACCGTCGGGGCATTCACGGCTGCAAGTTGGTCCGGTAAGTCCGACTCCGCATGAGCAGCTTCCGGTGGTGGGGTCACAGCTACCACCGAGCCCGCAATTACATTGCTGCAAGCATGCAACACCCCAAGTTCCTTGAGGACAAACATCTTTACATCTTGTTCCAGTTCTTCCTGCAGGGCAATAGCATTTACCGTCATCGCACCAACCACCTTCTCCGCAATCGATTCTCGCACAAAGATCACTATTCGATCTTTTGATCGTAGCATCAGGACGTTTGCAAGCTCCAGCATCTGCTGCCATAGCAGTACATATCTGTTAAATATATTTTATCCGACTCATAAGATGAACGCCTACCTGTGCACAGCCACTTCCCCAAAAATACGATGTACACCGCTGCTCACAATCAGGACCAATATGTCCAGGAGCACATGTTCGACATTGCCCTGAAATTCGATCGCACTGTCCATCAGGACAAAGGCAAACTTCTGAGCAATTTGGACCCCAAAGACCTTCGGAGCATTCTTCATCACAATTCTTCCCCGTCCATCCTGACGAACAAGTGCATCTTCCATCAACTGGAGAGCATTCTGAGTTTTCATTCTCACAGGCGCACATCTGCTCACAAGCAATGCCGAAGCGTCCGTTGGGGCAGGCCCGATGACATCCATAGCCTGTTAGACCTGGAGGACAGGAACATCTACCAGTTACATGATGACATGGTTCGCTGTTTTTGCAAGAGCATTTTTGCTCACATCCTTTACCAAAAAATCCCGGCAAACACGGAAGCTCGCAATTTTTACCACGCCATCCAGGAAGACAGTTACACTTGCCAGTTTCATTATCACACGAATTTGATGCACCATTTTCGCATTTGCATTGTTGCTTGCAGTCAGTACCCCAAGTCCCGTCTTCGCACGGCGATTGACACTAAACGATGAGAAGCTCTACAAAATAGAAAAATTTACCTGGTCGCCGACGTATCCGTCTAGACATCTGCATTGGCCATCACCGTCACATTTACCCCCATTGAGACATCCGCAAGTAGTCGAACATCCGGCACCATAATAGCCCTATTGAGTCCGTTAGATCCGGCGTCGCCAAGTTCAAAGGGGCTAATCTAAAAACTCACGTCTTGACATGGCAGTTCACATTTTGAGCCCATCCATCCATCAGCGCATTGGCAAACACCTGTCTGCGCGTCACACTGACCGCCATTTCGACAATTGCATCGGTTTTCACAACGTAATCCCCACATCCCGCTTTCACAAACTAAACTCCTGTTAATTCAGCATATTTCGCTCTGTTAGTTACATTTGTCACATCTGAGGCCCGTGTAACCAGGCTTACACTGGCATTCGCCGGTGAATGGATCGCAGCTTGAAGCGCCTTCGCCACAGCTACAGATTTGCTGACAATTCTCGCCAAAGCTACCAGAGGGGCAAACTTGGAGGCAGTCATCGCCGTAGAAACCAGATGAACAGGTGCATAAACCAGTGACATGATTACAGTGACTGCCACTGTTTCCACAGTTGCAATTATTCCGGCAAGATAATCCCCAGAAGCCATCCGGGCAAGGTCGTTCACAAATTACGCCGTGGTAGCCTGGCGAACATGAACACGCACCAGAAATAGGATCACATTTAGCGCCATTCTGACACGAGCACTTTTGGGCACAACCAACCCCATAAGAACCTTCTGGGCATTGACGATCGCACCTTGCGCCGGTTCTACCAGCATCGCAAACACAAGCACCGGTCACTGGATCACATGGCTCCGATCCCTGACAGTGGCAGGTTTTGGTGCACCCTTGTCCATAAGTGCCCATTTGACATGTTCGCTCGCAATTCTTGCCGCTAAATCCAGGAGGACAGGTGCACGTCCCGTCAATCGGATTACACTTCCCATTGCCACACTGACAGAGCGCCACACAACTGATTCCCCACCTATCGTCAGCGCAGGGCTAAACAAAAATGAAGTGCTCTATATTTTTTGACTTTTCGATAATGTTATTTCGAAGTGCCACAATTACCTGTCCACAATTCGGTCCAATAAAGCCAGCGGAACAAATGCACGAACCGTCTTCGCTGTCACACGTGCCATTTAAGCAAGTGCACTTGCTTTTGCAATTCATTCCGTAAAAACCAGCTGGGCAAGAGCTGCTGCAATCGTTGCCAAGGAAGCCCGCCTTACATATGCATTTACCAGTGCGGGCGTCGCACCCAGAGGCATTTTTCTTCGAACATGAGCACTTTTGTCGGCAGTTATGTCCGAAATAACCAGGATTGCATGTTTTCTGGCATCTGAGTCCTTGGCGGCCCGGTGGACATTTACGTACGCAGCGACCAGAGCGAGGATGACAGGGCACGCCTTCAGCGCATTTGCATTTTTGGGCACACGATCTGCCATATGTCCCGATAGCGCAAGTATCTTCGCATTTGTTTCCGGTGAATCCGCTCAAACAGCGGCATTTTCCACTTCCAAGGGCTTTTACAATCGAACACGTCACGACAAACTCAAACACGAAACAATTTACTATCAATTATTTTACGACTTTCAAAAAGAACCTCCGATTAAGCTTACAAAGGAAGAAATACAACGAATAAATGAATTTGAAAGCATTTTTGTTAGAGTTGTTTTTACTCCTAGCCAGGGCTGCTGAATTCGGAGCGTTTGAGTTTACCCGCGATTTTTTCGGCGGAATTTCCGTAGGTTTTTCACGGAAAATCCGCAGTTTTTTTCACGTAAGATCCGCCGGTTTTCAGCGGAGAAAAGGGAACGGAGAATCGCGGATGATCCGCCGAAATTTCTGCTCAAAAGACGAAATTAAAGGGTGTTCCACTCTTTTGATTGGCTAGAAAAAAGGGTAGCGGGTAATCGCGGGAAATCCGCGCGGCCGAGAAAATCGGACGATCGGAGGATCGGAGAACAGCGCGGAGAAACGGAGAAAATCAGCGGATGATCCGCCAAAAAAATCCCGGGTAAACGCAAATGCTCCGAATTCGGCAGCCCTGCTCCTAGCCAAAAAGTTTTAGGCATTATGTTGCTTTAGATCAAAGCCAGTGCCTGACAGGATTACATCCAAACGAGCGACGCTTATTACACGAGCACTTCTCGGTGCACCCGCTGCCAAACGTAAACTTGGGACACCTAAGATGACAATTTTTCCCATAGCGCCCAGGTGCGCAGAAGCAAGCACCGAACTTTCGATTGCAGCGGCCTCCACCTGGGCCACACTTGCACCGCTTTTGGCAGTCCTCGCCCCAGCGACCTTTTGAAAGTTATCATTGTGATCCACATATTTGTAAATTTCGATAAAAGATGCAACCCTACCTGACTGGCACCCATCTTCGCAGAATTCGCCGAAAACGCCCGTTGGACATTTGCATTCTCCTGTAACGTGGTCGCAGCTGCCTCCATTTTTGCATTCGCATTCGTTGGCGCAATCTTGTCCGAAAAATCCCTCGTTACATTTTTTGTCGCAAAGATCTCCTTCCCACCCGGGATTACAAATACAACCATCCGCTATTTCCGAACAGGTGCCATTTTTACACTCGTCACAAGTAAGTTTGCAGTCTTCACCGAAATTGCCTGGAGCACATCTTTCGATAATTATTCCGGTGAGCAGGTCAGGAGGTGTCTTCAAATATCGACGGACAATTGTGCTGTTCTTGTCTGGCCTAGAGCGGTAGTCGTATGACGATAAAAACGAGAGGGAGGAGGATGAGGTGTGATAGGAGAATTCGTCATTATCGATTCTGGAGCAACTGCGTCCATCCCGACCAAGCACGAAACCTCCTCCACAGGCGCATGTGTAGGTACCTAATAATTATTAATTTCATAAGTCATGAGTTTTGACTTATGCGTTTTCGGAAATCTTAGTTTGTAAAAAAGCCATTATACCGCATACAGAATTATTCGAAGGAGCATGAGAAAATGCTGGCATGGGATCTTAAAAATGATCCACTGATCAAGTTGATGTCAATCTGAATGATGTTTAGGGAGGGATCACCCGGTAGTAAGCTCAGCTGGTGCTAGCTGCTCCACTCCCTCCAGCTTTGTGTGGATTTTACGTCCATTTGCTAAGCTTATATGACGGTTTAAATGAGATAAGTATAGCATAAGGGAATAATCATCTTGTTTTTGGCCTTTCAGGCTTTCAAATTTACCTTGAGCATTATTACAAATGTGATCACAACCACCGTTTTGATCGTAACATTCGTTCACGTCTTCACAAGTAACCCCGTCGGCCGATATCTGTAAAAATCATTATTTCTATTTTTATTCATCAATAATGACTAAAAAGATTCGGCTTCAATGCTTACAATAATCTTATTTCTAAAAGTTTGTATTTGGATAAAATCTGCTTCCTAAGTAAATCCTACCGCAAATCCAGGACGGCAGGAGCATTCGTAACTGCCGATAATATTTCGACACTGATGCTGGCATTTGTGTCGCCCAGTTGCGCACTCATCAATGTCTCGACAACTTTTTTAAGGTTCAATCACTTTTATGTCGGATGTAACAACCAGTATTAATCAAACTTATAATTATGAAGTCAGATCATTGTAAAAATGATAGCATTTGAATCATTTTCCTTTTACCGTCGACCTCAAGCTGAAAGCCATCACGGCACTTGCAAATCGCCTCGCCACTGTCTTCTGAGCATGAATGTTGACATCCGTCGCGTCCTGGTTGACATCTCTAAATATTCTTATATAAACATTGACTTTTTGGCTTAGGCTTAAATCATCGCTAAGGCTAGTGTTGATAGCGCTGCTCTTTTTTGCTTCCCAAACATTGCATTAAAACTGTAATGTTCCGTAAAATCGCTCACGATGTATTAATTCGGAAATTATCGCATTCGCGATGACTGTAAACGAGCTTTGACGTTGTTATATGTCAATGGTAAATAAATTACCTTTTTTCTGCTAATGAGCTCGATCACAACCTTGTAGCAGGTGAAACCGTCCTCACCCACTTCATAACCATCTTGACAGCTACAGAAGAAGCTGCCCTCTGTATTTGTGCACATAAACGAACAACCTCCATTGTCAGTGGCACACTCATCGATGTCGACACACTTCTTGCCATCTCGGCCGAGTTGAAAACCAGCATCGCAGGAACAGACTGCTTGTTGCCCGACAGACTGGCAGTTGTGTTGGCAGCCGGCATTGTTTCTCAGGCAAGGATCTTCCAATTCGCAATTACGTCCATTTTCTGAAAGTACAAAGCCGTCTTCACAGTCGCACTTGAAGCTGTGTTCGTTCAACACAATACACTTTTGAGCGCAATTGCCATTATCTTTCGCTGGCATTTCAAAATCATATCGGAAAAATAAGTCGAGAGGAGATCCTCATCAATAATTAGACAAGCCTTTCCTCGCGCGCATCGGTTGACCGGAAGACACGAACGTTGATCGTTGTGGAGCTTGTATCCGACGTCGCAAGAGCATTGATAGCCTCCGTCGACGTTGTGACACTGATGGGCACAGCCTCCGTTCCGCTCCTGGCATTCGTCGATGTCAGAGCATGTGCGCTCATCATCGAGTAAAATCCACCCTTGTGGACAGCTACATTTGTAACTGCCTACAAGGTTGCAGCATTGGTGCGAGCACTGTCCGTTGCCGACTTCGCACTCATTAATATCTCGCTCACAGCGGTCTCCTGTCCATCCATTTTTACAAATACAGCTAAGCAAATAAGTTAACAACTATTTCCTAGAATAAAAAGAGAACATAACGTAAGCTCAGGACGTTACCTTTTGCCATCCTTGGAGCAATAGCCGCCGTGAAAACAAGCTCCCGCTCCGCAAACTTGTACAGTACATCCAGGATCGCTTCCTTCTGCCCATCCGGCGCAACAGGAATAGACAGTTACTTCCTCATCCACAGTCACTTGCTCGAAGGTCGTGTAGAATACCTTCCTTAAGAATTGACCGATTATCGGAACGTTTCCAATGGAAAATATTAAAAATAATTGCTTGTGATTTTTGACCCATTTTGCGAAAATTGAGCATTGCACGGGGAAATGAAATAACTTTAAATTTCTTCAAATAAAATTCATGTTTTGTCAGCGAATAGTATTATGTTTAAAGTTCTAAAGAGTGTATTAGTTCAAGAGGAAGACACAGTATCATATTGCCAGGAACAGGTGAGGAAGAGGCGCGAAGAGAGAATTGCTGAAATTTTGGCGTTCAGCTGCTCAAACACGAACGTCACTGTATGCGTCCGCGCTCGCTGTATTCAGCACCGCAAATACAAAGAAGTGCGCCGCAGAATTGACGGTTAGATTTATGTCAACACCGGAGCATCACCTCAGTCGGAGCTAATTACGTAGCCAGCCACAGATGAGCCAGCCACCTCACCACAATGAGGCTTTCCAGGCCATCTAGCTACATTTCATTTTTTATTAATTTTATCCCACGCATCCTCCTTTTTTGAAGCACCGTTTTAAAGTGTGGAGGAAGGTGTCTTGACGTCGCTGAGCTGAAAAGAACTTGAAGATTCCGAAATATAAAATTCGAATTACAATAACTTTTATATTCCTTCAGGATTTATTAGTGACCAGTGAAGCATGAATTCCGGAATATTTAACAGATCATATTGTTTAAATCGCTAGTTGATGAAGAAGCTTCTACTTTGAACTTGGACACTTTCGAAATGCAGACGCAATAATTGACAGTCAACAAGTGCTGTAAGTCGATATCGGTAAGCGCGAAAAGTGAGAACGTATTCTAGAGATCCAATAAACTTTAATCCTATTTGTGACTTCAGTATAAATCTCATAGGGCGCCGAAAACCCTGGCCTGACGCCAATAAAAACTTTCTCAAAAGGTTGTCTACTTCCGCCAGAAATGCTTTCACAAAACCAAAATATATTTTGTGAAGCAATAAGCCGATGTTTTCGCTGAAACGAAAGCTGATTTGAGGGAGTGAATTCTACATGGGAGAATTTTGTCAAGGTCAATTCTATATGGCCGCCCATATCCGCTCGTTTCTGGTTTTAAGACTGGGATGCGAATAAAACAGGCGATTTATTATTTGCCTTATCGAAAAAAATGTCCATCGGATTGTTAAGATTCGAAAGCTCGGAGCAATTTGCTCATATTCTAGTGTTGTGCAGCTGCTGAATTAAAGAGAGCAACTGAATCCACAAAATCAACCAGTCGAAAATCAAACACAAGAAGCTCGTTAATACGTTGACCCTTCTGAACTTCCTGGCATTAAAATTTGCGGAAATTTGAGCACATAAAGAGCCAGAGCCAGGAAACTGACCGGAAATCGAGACGATCATTGTATTCATTATTGGCACATTTTGAGGAAAATTCTTAAAGCTAACGATATCAGAACAACACTTACGTGGTTTCGTAGTCGATACACCATCGCTGCCCGTTTGGACAATTCTTCTTCCAGACTTTTTTCGTTCGGTCAGCTTGCTTCACTACTGGCTGGCGTTTCTGCTTCTTCACGATTTTCGTGGAGGCGCAAACGTTTGGATCTGAGGGGCGGAGAGTTTGAGCTAAAATTTTGTTAAAATACGAAGATGTACAGGAGGCGCTTTGTTTGGGCGCATTTGTGATAGTGAATCTTGGAAAGCTTCCCATTCTGCAAATCAATATTAGTCGCAACTAGATCAAGTACCGCCTGCACCTACAAGGCTATCACTCTTGCTGAGTGTTCAAAAGTCAATTTGGGAAATTTAGGAAATTCTTATGCATCGTCCTCGGAGTACCCTTGGCACCTAGAGTGCCAATCGCTGTGACCTCCATTTGCTCAAGTACAGTCATCGACACAAAACTTCCGGATCGCATTTCTTCAAAAATATATCTTTCTTGTTTTGATCCCTACTTTCTAAACATGAGCGTAAATATAACTGCCATTTCGCGAAAGTTTTCGGCAGACAGCGCGTCGGCCGTCAGAGAGACAATCTTGGCCGCGACATGGACTCTGAATGTCAACGATCTCATACTTGGACGCACCCCAAATGCATTGACACTCTTATTTTATTACAACACGAAATGTGCTGAGCGCAAAGGAACATTTCTCAACGGAAATCGACAGATTTATTTGGAACGTGCGATTCTCCACAAGCCACCCTTTTGTCTCCAGCCGACCCCTTTGGAGTGATCAATAAAATCATCGAAATTGAAGTTTTCATTCACAAAAATATTATTTTAATTATGCGCAAGGCCAAAGTCTAAAAGTCAGTTCCACGGATTTGGCAAAACAGTTAAACATAATTAACAATATTGGAAATTTGATCTGATACATTGTATATTATTTAGCGTTATCGTTTTTGGGTGGAAATAGCCAGATCAATAAGGGATCAGAAAATACGTGACGCCAGTTGACATCGAGGGCTGATTATACGCGCTGCCAAGAAATGTGTTTTTCCCACACTGGCCAAATTCACTTAGAAAACCCCTTCCCGCTTACCTTGCTGAGCAATGGCTGCAGTAGCTAGTGCCAGCTGCACAGGACGAATCCTCATGACTTCTTTTATCAAATGTCTCTTTTCGTGTGTTTTGGATGCTCAATCGAATCTCTTTAACTTCGATTCTAAGTAGTTATAATCGACTTGTTTGATTTTCATGGCATCTCCGGTATTGTGCTGCTTCAGATTTTCTTTTCTTCTCTCTTTCTTTTATGGTGATTTTCTTTTTATAATTTTCAGTTACTCTCTTTGCTATTCAAGGGTTTCAAGGCGGTAGAAGGTTTGTTTATTTACTCTTTCCAGCTCTCTGATTCTCTCTTCAAGTCGATATTCGATGGATAAATATCTTTATCGTCTTCGTTTCTCTCTTTTCAGTGAGATATATTTAAAAAAAACTTGCAGCTGAGTTAAAATTGAGGATGATTTTCAGTAACTTTAAAAAATATTTCAGGCAAGGGGTTCAATACTAAGGTTATTGAAAGTCCACGATTAGTCTGGGTGCATGGGCGCCACCGTTTGAGATGCCTCGGGCGCGCGAGCGCCATCACAAAAATCAAAAAAATTTGTGTTTTTATTTACGTTTCTAGCCATAAATGAGTAGAATTAATAGTTCGATGAGCTTTTATTGTCTTTTATGTCTTCAGCGCATAAATATTCAATATCTTGGAATTATTCTATAAAAGTACTTATTTTGAGCACAGTCGGTAGTAGAAAGAAGCTTTTATTTAGCCTTGAATGGCAGGTAAAATCTCCATGAAAGTTTCAATGTCCCCGGAGAACCCGTATTTCTCGTTGTAAGCAGATGTGATCCGCTGTCACCATTTATTCCAATAACACAGTTAAGACTTTTTAGTGGAAGGCGACCTTTATGAGGCAAATATCGAAAAGGCCCAATTTAAAATAAAATAAAAAAGAATTTGTTTGAAGAATAAACATTTGAACAACGCAGCAGAGGAACTTTCGCCTTTGCCAGAACAAGTGAAAAGCGCCATCTGTGGAAATTTCCGAACACCAGCCGGCTTAGCTTACTTTACTTTGACTAATAGTCAAAGACTACCAGAAGAATTCTTTGATGAAATTTGATTTCTTTCCTTGATTCTTTGCTACTGTAAATGACGAAGAAAAAATATGTTGGGATAGACCACTTTGATATCGATAATGAAGGGATGATCGTTTTTGTGATTAATTGACGCTCTCCAAGTTCAAAAGTGGCCCAAAACAAGATATCGCTAATGATGGAAATTGATAATTTTGAAGTGAATGCCCACTTCAATTGTTTCAAAGAGGCGCGCCGACGCTGGAAATTATGGTGTAAATTATATAACTCGCTCAATTGATCACGTGACTGCTCATATCGAGCTTGTCCAGCTCATTATCCTCCCAGTTGACGCCCTCGAAATCCAGCGATTCCTGTTTTGCCACTGCCGATTACCGGTCTTACTTTCGCTTATTTTCTAATTTCTAATTTTAGACCTCAACTCACCATCGCTCAAAATTTGCGACGGGCAATTTAAAACATCAGCCAATAACGCTAGAATCAAGTCCTGTGAAAATTGCGGCAGATCGGAAACAGTCATGGGAGAATTTTTTCAATCTTGGCCAGACGTCGATAAAACCTCAGAAGTTACTTTCAACCGTTTCGTTGTACTGTTTGAATGGAGCCTCTCCAGCACAGAAAAGATCGACTACAATGGCTGTGGTTTGCAAAATATGCTGCCTCATCAGCGAGAAAAGATTTGAACTGCTCAGGAACTCGCTCTACTTGGAGCTTTGGCGGACGTTGTTTACGAAAAATACTGCTTGGGGAAATGAGAGCCCGTAAATTTATCAGTTTACCAAATGTTCAAAGGGGATTTTCGGGATCAAGTTGCCACGCTTATGCGTTTTATAGCGTCTTTGAGAACTTGTCTGTGATTGTGTTTTGGCTTGGATCAGTGCCGAAAAATACGCGCGTGAAAAGGATATCCGCAAAAAGAGGAAGAATAGAACGAGCTGGTTTAGTGAGAGGGAGAAGCCAGAAATTAGGAGAAAACTTGGGAGACAATTGTTTACTCAAGGGTCAATTAATCGAACCCACGAGGGTCATTTGGCTCTCGCCTCATGCTACTTACTAAAGTCGCCTTCAGACGCTAGCCAGACTTTTAGGGCGCATGGGAGGATAAGTAGACTTCTAGTGCAAAATCTTTCTCATTCCAACTATTTTTTTGTGATAAGAAACGCTCGGGTATGATTTTTTGGTCTTTATTTGAGGTAGATTTGATATTTACAGTGATTGGCAATAAGAATAAAGATGTGTATTCAAAAATATATTTCACGGATCGGAAATTAGTTCTGAAGGAGAAGAGCAACTCCTCCCAAAATCCATTTGTTCTCGTGATCTTTTGTGCGCAGGTTGAATGTCCACACGAAGTTAGGACCGCGGTCTTGTGTTTTGTAGACAGGACATTCGTACATATTCTTAGTCTCTAGTCGGTCGATGGGCACAGCTTTCACGTAAAGCACAGGCATCGCAGGGAGAAGATCCTTCAATTTGCTCTCAGCGATGCAGCCAGCTTGTGAGTCCCAGCGAGCGCCTTCCATGAACAGATTGCTCAAGTAAGTTCCCTCTCGAGGTGGCGCCTGGATATCTTCTACGGTTTTTTTGAGTACGTCAACAGAAAGTGCCATCTTATCGAGCGGCCACTCGTTCTTTCTGGCCATGCTTTGCATAATAGCAGTCAGGAAGGATTGCGGGTTGAAAAGGCCACCCAACCAAACAGTATTAGGCATTGCGAAATCAGTAACCCATGCTTCCAAGAATCGAATTCTGCTCAAAAAGTCGTCGTACCAGGCAGTTAGGCCAAGCATAGATGGGTAGGCAAGTTTCTGCCAGGACTCTGGCACTTGGTCGATAAAGAACGAATTCATCAACGATTCCATCGCTGGCGTGATTGTAAGTTCACCCTTGAGCCCTAAGCTTACGCTTTTGATCGATGATGAAATTTCGTTCAACAGATTGTTCATACGTTCGGCTTCTTGCAGTGCAACTACTGTATATGGAGTAACCTCTTCGACTCTACCAGCTAGCTCGTACATGACGAATTCTTCTGGCAGCTTCTCTGCGATAGTTTCTAGAATTTGCTGTACTTTCTCTTCCATTGTCACTGCTCCCTCGCCACTTGCAGCGGCGTCTTTGGGTTGCATCTCGAGCAGCGTTCGGAAAAGATTCTCAGAGGTTTTTGTAAGCACTCCTATTTCTGCGTTCGGATGCAGTCCATAAAGATAAGGACTTTCAGGTGGGAGATTCTCGTCAATATACGCATGGTATCCTTGATAGTCCGAGTTTGGTGGAACTGCGTAACCTGGTGCGAGGAATAGCTCTCCTTCGAGTTGCTCGGGGCTCATATACTCAAGCAGATACGTCCTGCAAAGTCTTCGATCCCAATCGTCAGTGATATGCCCGCCATACATGATCTCGCCAAAGAGATATCGAAGATCGTCCCATGGGACTTTCGAGTTAACTTCAAGATAATTCAGCAGAACGTCGATTGAGATCGTAAGATCTCCAGCATTGAACGGGTAAACTCTGTTCCAACCTTTAAAGTGGTTCAATTATGTTATAATTTCTCGTAAAAAAATTGAAAAAAATTCATTTTTTCTTTATCAATTTTCGAACCCCTTCCTTGAGGACCAAATTTCGTACGCTCTGATACAACAGCGTGAAAATAGCAAACGGAATTCAGAATTGATTTGAACTCGTTCTCTCTTGAGCACTGCTCCAAGGTTTCCTGGTTGAAATTGTCAAGTGCTTTATGTAAATTTGCCAAAATTCCAGTTGGAGGTTCGTTTGTGATCTTGATTGAGTTTTCGAGTATGCCTTGCGGGATGATATGAGATTCTGGCGAACCAGCTGGTTCGGCTGACAAAAATACACGAAGATCTGGATGAGAGCCTTCAGCGTATTCTTCCAAAAGTTTTTCGAGAGTCGGCAGCCATTTCGCCACTAAGTGAACATTTTGAAGAATAACCCAATGCCCCTCCTTCGCTGCTTGTTCCATCGCTTGCTCCGCTACAACTTCTTGTCCTTGTCCGAGAGAGACGTTATGAAAGTTTCGTTTTGCGAAAGTGAAGCCGAGTTTTCTGCCAAGTGCTTCTACATCCTTGAGAGGATCAACACCAGGCGAGAGAATGAAGAATGTTGGAGTGGCAGGGCCAGTTTCTTCAAATGACTGAGAAAATGGAACTGATCTATTTTCAGTGTATTTCGGGTGGAGTTTATCTGAAATGAATTCAGTAACTGCATAAGTCATCCGATCGGGTCTAAAACAACGCATCATGCAGAGTTTTTGGAGCGGTGATTTGTTTTTCCATTCTTGAGGGAATTTCTCCTTCTCAGGAGCTTCCGACTCGATAAACTTCTTCCATCGTTTAGCTGAACCCTCGATGTCTTTCTCCAATCCACGGAATTCATCCATTTCTGACAGACATAGGACACCTCCCCAGAGTTGATCATTCAAGAAGTCGACAGGACTGGTTACATTTGACTTTGTTGGAAAGCGTAGCAAAAAGTCGAGTTCTGCTGGGGCGATTTCACCTCTATTCAAAAGAACTTGGAATGCCATCTGCGCCGTAAAAGTCAACTTGTCCTTTTCAAAAAGACCTCGAGAAGCATAAATATAGACTGAATATGAGGTCGAGTCAATCAGATTAGCAACACGCGCTTTAACTTGCTCAGCTTGTTCAGCTCTCTCAATTGACTTCGCAAAAACTACATTGAAAGCTTTCAGGGAGAATTGGTACATCGGGTGAATCTTGTTCAAATCGTCAAGAATAAAGTAGAGAAGAGATGCTCTATTTGCCGCAGGGCGATAGTTCTCACGAGCTTGATTAATCTTTTCTTCGGTTATTTTAGCTTCTGCAACTTGAATTTCAATCTCGGCAGCAGTTCTCTTCGTTGTCTCCAAGTTTTCGACAAGCTCATGGTCACCGAGGAAATTTCCAGAAGCAGACGATAGTCTCGCCAAAAGGTTATCTTCGAGTCCCTTCAGTGTGATTTTGAACTCATTTTGTTGTGTTGTAAGTTTCGCTTTCTCTGCTTCAAGATCAGGTCGTTCAGCAGCAACAACATCTGCCAAAAGTTGGTCCTCTAGTCCTTCTCGAGTCACTGTGAAATTTATAAGTGTGCACTGAGCTTGCATTTCTGGTTGATAGTGAGGATTTGCGAGTTTTGTATGCAGAATCAAACGGAAGTTAGGATTGAAGTCAACTTCTTTGTCTCCAATTTGAATGAATCTTCCCTTTTTGATGGTGTTTCGTCCGAGCAATGGGTCAAGAACAGGATCTGTTGTCTCACCGAGGTTTTCAATAAGAACCGTGTCTCCATTTGAAACAGCACGCTCAATTGTGTCAAGATATCCTTTATTGCCAAGTCGGACGACATGAAAGCCACTACCTTCGAACTTCTTCTTGATCCACTTGATACCTTGAAGTTGGGGGTCAACCATCAGAGGCCATCGATCGCAAGTAGACAAAATTGTCGCGTTTTCCATGGACATCCTATCGGCTGGAAGTCCTTGGTTATTCCATCCAGCAACCGTGGCGTCATCTGTCAGCATTCTGATAGGATCAAGATCTTCTGTTATCGGGATCGGTGTTTTTAACGATTTGATGAAGGGTAAGATGTGATCGTCTAGCATCTCTCGACGGTAAGCTTTAGTGAAGTACCCGAAGTAGCTGATAAAAGCAGTTATAAGAAGAACGTCTCCTGGAAGCATCTTCTCATTCTTTTGGAATGTTTCAACGGCTTCAGCCCATCGAACATTCTCTGATGCAAGTCCGGAAACAAGTCGGTTCGCAAGCGCAATCGTCGCTGCGGTTTGATCAGCTTCATCTTGGCATTTTTGTTTTTCAGCTGTAGCAGCATCGTATCGATCAGTTAGTTCTTTCATGTTGTCTCGAAGATTCTGAAGCTTCTCTTGAATTTTGTTAAATTTATCCTCCGCTTCGGCTTTTCTCTCATTTGCTTCTTCAAGTGCGATCCTTTTTGGCTCAACATCGCAAAAAATCCTATAGTACTCGACAATATTTATGGCCCAAGCGCACAGTCCGGCTGCTGCAACAGATTTCTTCTCTATTTTTTTAGGGTCGAAACTTGGATCATTCAAATATGGCTTCACAGCATTTAGGGCACTTTCAGGAATATTTTCTTTGTCATAGTTGATAAGGTTATTCAAGAAATCGTCAACTTTTGTCATGAGAGTTTTCCTTGCTGCGTTGAAGCTTCTGTCTTTTGGAATCTTTCCACCTGGTGCAAGCAAAACCATGCATGCGGCTGTTACTTTGTCGACGCCATCCGGGGGCTTTGAAAACCCCCTTAATTCAGTCAAATTGCCCCTGTTTAATGTATCAAGGGCCGCTTTCGCAGCAATGAGTGCTGGTTCAGCAGCAGCCAAATCTTTTTCGCAGTCAGCTTGCTTGATGGCGACTTCTTCGCGGATAACCTTAACTTTTTCTTCTTCGATTTCCGCCGCCGCAGTTTCTTTATCGACAAGTTCCTTTTTGATTGCAACCTCCTTGATCAATTTATCTGCGTTATCATTTTTGACATTTAGCTCGACTTCTTGTGATGCTAATTTTCCTTTCAAGTCGTCAACTTGACTACTTGTCGAGCGAAGTTTCTCAAGGCCATTTTCAAGACGTTCCATATTAGCCAAAAGCTCATCGCGTTTCATTTTTAGAAGGTTTTGGTAGAGATTGATTTGTTCCAAGAATGACTTCGGCGTAGTATAGTTGTATCGCCTGTCGTTTTCGCGATAGATTGTCGACATTTCATTGACTTTAGAGTGGACAAATGACATTGTTTCGGAAACGGAGACTTTGAGCTCTTCTGGGACCTCTTCTATCTCAGAAAGGAATCTTAGAGACACGCTTCTGAGAGCTTCTTCTGGCCATTCATGGAACCAATCTATAGAAGTGCAATTGACTAGTGCTGGAAATTTTCGTGCTCGTACACGAAGCTTCGTTCCAACTGGTGAGAAGCAAAGCACAACCTTAAGCGTTCGACGAACCCGATCAATGAAGAAAGACCAGCAGTTGTCTCTTGAGTCATCCATTCCCGTGGCTTTAACGTCATTTCGCACAGCACTTATGATTTCGTCGATTTCATCGTCCGCGAAAAGCCCAGGAATCTCACCCGAAGCAAGTAAATCGTTAATGAGTACAAGGAAATCTTCTTGTGGAACTTGCGCATCAGTCATTAAAAACATGATTGGTTGGTTCTTAACTCCAGCTTTGATGTACTGTGATGCGAGATCGACTTTGAGATCACCGATTCCGTAGCCCTTTCGAAGCTGAATCTGGAAGACATCAAGGCCGGAGATATAAGCAGCGAGTCTAGACAGCGACTGTTTTCCTGAACCGCCGACACCAACAAGGAGAGCATTTCCTCTGGGCATTTCGAGGATACGATTTATTCTGAGAACGTGGCTCATCGCGTCTTCAAAGAGTACAAGTTTCATCGCGGCATTGACATCGTTGTAAGCCTCAAGAGCATCAACTAGGATTTTGTTGATGGATTCCCAGCTTTCTACTTGGCCGTATTTAGGTTCTCCGATGCCCACAGAAAAGTGACAGAACTTGTTAGGCGAAGCCATCAGTTCACTTGCTTCCATGTCGTCGAATGTTTTGACTGCTATATCACGCAGAACCTCGTCGAAAGTCTCCATATCTTTAGCGTCGGTGAATTTATCATGGTAAACACGCGTAGCCTCGTGCATGTATAGTCGGCTCAGCGCAAGTGGAGTTTTAATCATGTCTGGAATGGCGAATAAAACACCTTGAAAGATGTTGGAGAGGTCGCGCAGGTTGAAGTTGTAATGGAACTTGATTGGTGTGGGCAAAAAGGTCGATGAAATGCGCGTGTGCACAGCAAGAGCAGCCTTGATGATTGCATCTGAGTGTTTTATGACAGAAGGATGGAACTTATTAAGTGTCAAATGCTGAGTCAGAATCTGTTTGTAAATGTTTTCCAGCGAATCTCCTCCAGGGAATGAAATGGCGAAAACAGAAAAATGTCGTTGCAAGCGCGGATTGATGGTAAAAGAACCGGCAGTTGGGTTCATAGCAGCAACATATTGACAATTATGAATTTCCTTGAGGGTAAGTTTACTTCTGTCGTACCAGTGGTTGTAGTCTAGATGCTGTCGAATAAGTGTATGAGGTTGGACCGTTCCATATTCATCAACTTCTGGCATATTCATGTCGTCGATGAAATACACGAGTTTACGAGATCCTGGGGGCCCGAAATTTCGCCCAGCTTTTTTCTCTAGCGGCTTTTCTAGTACATTTTGCAACATCATCGAGGAAGTGTAGAAGTTAAACGGCACATTTGTGATCACGTAATCCTCCCCAAAACTTGAAAGTCTTGACTGGATCAACACGGTTTTGCCGGACCCAGCGCCTCCAACGAGCATGACTGGCTTTTTGCGTTCCATGAGCATGTCCATAAAGAATCGAACTCTTGTGGTCTCTGCAGTTGGTACCATAGTAGCCTGAAGTGGCATATCCGGGTCGTAGTTGAATTGAGTTTCCGCACATTTCTCAGACCAGTGGCACCACTTGCGTTCGGGAGAGATGTAATAGTCGAATACAGTTCCCGCTGTTGGAAACTTGATAGTCTTGAACTCAGCGCACCACCATTTGGAAAACTCCACTCGATGATCCACAAGCTGATCCTGGAACAAAGCACCGCCAAAGGCCCATACGCAAGCCCAAACAAAGTATAGCTCGTAGATATCTTTTGTTGAGCCCTCTGGCGCGTTTTCAGGAGTAAGGAGGCTCTCCATCAGATAACAAAGCATATGCAAGTACGCCGTCTCGGGAATAGGAGTGATCGTTTTGAATTTCGTTCGCAGAGCTTCTAAACAAGGTGGAACATATTTCTCGAACAGTATGATCATATTCGCTCGTTCAGCTTGAATTTCGCGGGTTTCAATCCACGATGTCACAATGGGATTCCAGCCAAGGTCACTTGCGTTAAGAAACAGTATACCAGCTCGGGAAACAGTAGCTGGAGTGGCTGTTCTCAAACTCGATATTTCAAAAACAAGTCGCATTGATGGATTGAGTGGGATTCGCTCATTTGACGCGAGAGTGAGTACTTTGTTGTCATCCATCACCGTGTTCAGGGACTCAATCCACATAGGATCGATGTCACCATCAAGCAAAATCCATTTCGGTCCATTATGACTAATGTTAGCCATGTCTCTCATGATCGTCGAAAAGAGGCCATCCTTCCATTCTCGAGTGGCTGGATTGATCACTCCGAAAAGCTCATCATTAGAAACCGCCTTTGGATTTAAGTCAACACACACTGGTTTCCTGTTCATATTCTGATAGGTGCGCTGAAGTGATTTGAGAATTTTGGATTTTCCAGTTCCAGCGTGACCAATCACAAAGACTGAATGCCGCACATTTAGAAGTTCCTCCAGCTGGACAACCTTGAGACAGAAAGAGTCCTCTGCCTGTAATTTCAAGTCAAGCACCGATTTTTTAACCATTTTTTCAAGCTCAATATCTTGCTTTCTTGGAACATCCAAAGCAGGGAAGAGATCTCCAATGAGGCCTAGGAAGATCGGCATATCGTCAGTCACGATTTTCGGGACGTTGAAATCTCTCAGTGCTCGCATGAGAACTTGATCTTCCGGTCGCTGTCTGTCGTCTCGTTTGAGTTTGCCGGCAACAACAAGAACAGATTTGATCGCCCTCAAGCCCCAATCGTAGTGAAATTGCTTCGAGAGCAGCTCTCTACAAAGAGTGTACAGCGTGATAAATTTCTTTGCCAGATATTTCGCTTCCAAAAAGCCTTCCGCGAGCAGCATGTTTTCAGCGATGAGTTCAAAATCGGGAACAACCATAGCGCATGGACGGAAGAGAGCTTTAAGATTTTCAGGTAGTTCTGTTCGGCCGGCGTATCCGGGATTCATTGTGATGAAGATGCCAACTGTTGGGACGAGTTGAATTTCTTCTCCTTCAAAGACAAAACGCTCTTTTTTGTCCTTGATTGCATCTTGGATTGTTTTCACTTGCACCGCAACGACTGAGAGTACTTCGATGGCGATTCGATTGAACTCGTCGAAGCAACCCCAGGCGCCAGTTTGTGCCAGGCCTTTGTAGATGTTGCCAACAGACTTGTAATCCATTTGTTCAGAGCAGTTGAACACGTAGACTTTGATCCCGATCGCCCTTCCAAGATCTTTCGTCGTTTCTGTTTTACCCGTACCGGCAGGTCCCGCCGGAGCCCCGCCCATAATCAAGTGCAAGGACTGTGTGAGCGTAATATAGCATCGATCCGTCAATGGAGTTACAACAAGTCTGGGCGTATTCCCCAAATACTCGTACGAGTACTTGAATTGAGCATCGCACGCATTTACAAAGCAATGCTGCTGAGACTCGTCCCATCGCGCCCGCATCTGACGCTGCCAAATAAAGTCCTGTGAGTTGTCAGTCTTGTTCGAGATAAGACCAAGCACAACGTCACGCGCGTGAACGTCTATCGTACAAATTGTCATGATTTTCTGTCGGTCGCCCTTGCTAAGGTCACCAAGTAGCAATGTGATAAGATTGTTGAGCTGAGTAATTTGCTTCTTTGAGTACTCTTTCATCGCGTTCTCATAGCCTTCTTCAAGGCGACCAAAAGCGATTCCAACTTCTGTCGTCCACCAAATCTGAGTTGTCGTGAGCGCCACTTGAGCTGCATAATCAAAAAGCCATTTCTCACGCGCTTTTTCTTCATACGTAACGACGGCTTCCGCCAGATAATGTCTCACTGCAGCGCGCATTGAGTCCATTACCCGATTGAGCCAAACCTCAACTTGACCATCGCAATTACACTCTTCTTGGAAATCAACGTACTCCCGTTCCGAGGAAAACATCCCAATCGCCGATTTTGACTCTCCTTTGAACTTTAAATCGGTCGTGTTGTCGAAAAGCTTCGATAAATGCTTGGCTATTACCCGTGGATTGTTACCGTTCGATAAAATATCGAGCAGGGTTGTCGTAGACACGAAGTAAAATCGAGGGAAAATAAGCCGTTTTGTCTCCAAGTATTCAGCAAGAGACTTTTCGCAAAGTGTGAGCCTTTCTTGAAGAGATTCTAGTTTTTCGAATAGACCATCCTTGTTTGTAGCATTCACAACATTGAGATCGTTTTCGGCTTCTTTCATGATTACTTTAAAATCACGATCGATTCCATCGAATCTATCAGAATCTTCGGGAAGCTGTCGTCGAATGTCCTCGGAACCAATGAAAATACTCTCCAGGTAGGACCACGTACGTTGAACTTCAAGCCACAACGACATGACTGAGTCCGTCGTCGAAAGTTGCTTTTGCCAACCCGATACTGCTTCAAGGAAGTGAGCGATGTATTTCGAACTCATTAAGTTCTGAAGCTGGACTTGGTTGTCTTCTAGAACCTCAACGAGATCTTCTGAAGATCGAATGAGCATTGTTTCTCCATGTTTATCGGTCTCGAATTCAAGAGCAGACCAAGTTTGTTCCAGATCTTTAAGCATTTTTTCCATGCCCATCTCTTTAGAAGACTTATCGACGATTTCACGGACAGTTTCTTCGTGTTGATGAAGGTTGAGATTCAGGAGGTCAAACAATGTTGTCTTTTCGTCCATCGTGAATCTGACTCCGGTCGCATTCATCAACTGGTGCCAATGACGATCTCTAATCGAGGGATTTTGTAGCTCGGCAACAACTCTCAGCGAGGTGATCATGTTCTTTACTTCAGTTTCAAGGCCTGCGAAAACATCCCATCCTCGAGCTTCTTTATCAACTTTACGGATGTCTTTTGCGAAACGTTTGGTATCGTTTTCCATCGTTTCAATGTCGATCTGCTTCCAAAGTGTTGTTTTCCAGTCACTCATCGAAGAGGTGACGATCTTTGTAAGATCCCAAACCTCTTTAACCAGGCCAAGATCCTTCCTTGAAGCTCGCAACTGCTTGAACTCCGGTAAGTTGACCTCGAATAAGTTTGCATTATCTTCAAGTTCTTGCATGTGATCTTCCATTTGCTTTATTTCCGCGTGCGCCACATTGATCTCAGCATATGGCTCTTCTGACGCAAAGTTAAACATGTTCAGCTTTCTAAAGCCTTCACGGTGAACAAACTGTAATGTGTTGAATTCATTTGAATCGTTCTTGATTTTGGTCATTTGCGCGCTCTGCAATGGAGCAACATTTTGTTTCGCACCCACAAGTATCTTTTTCGTGTTCGACCATTTCTCAGGTAAGTCGCTGAGCTGGCGGTAGACGTCTTCCGACATTTCATGATTGTAAGTCTTTAGAAGCTCAATCGATGCTTTGAGAGGTTCAAACATAGTGTCGTTCTTTTCTTGGCGCTCTTTACACTCTTTGATGTGACCCATCGTTGTAACAAGTGATTCGAAATCTCCGTCCTGGACAGGCTTAGACAGCCCTAGATCCGTGTCGGCAATGAAGTCTTCAAGGTCCACAAGGCTCTTTTCGATATGATTAATCAAATGGTCCTTGAACATAAACGACCATTTCTTCACAATATTAAGCAGAGAATGCTTAAATGGTTTAAGAGATACTTTAAACCAGCCATCGAAAGTTTTTCTGGCGAGAACTGGTTCACAACTTCGAAGAGGTCTTCGTAAGAGTCGATTTGCTCTTTAAATTGATCTAATTCGGGCGGAGTTTCAGGGATGCCTTCAATTGCATGCGCTTGGATCTCTTCTTCCGTCAAAATATGACCGTATGTGAGGAACTGTCGCAAGAATTCCTGGGAATCGTCATGCCACAGGTAGGAATACGAATCAAATTCTTTCGTAAAGATCGCCGCATCCGTGATAACTTTCCGGACACGAGACATTATATCATTTCTCATTTCTCCAAGCGTCGAGTGATTTTCCATAAGATCTTGGTAGCTCTCAGTGCCGCTTATTCTCTTCATAAGAGAAGAAATCTTGTAAATGTCACTAATAACATCATCAACGATGTCATGCAGTCCTCCGTGCTTGTCTGGATTCAGACTTGGAATAAATACCAGATCGGGAGCATGGAGTTCCAGATCAGCAACGAAAAATGGTTGAACATCAGTCGACATGTTGGACATCATGAAGTCGAGATTAAAGGAAATAGCATTGTAGAAACCTTCAACGATTTTTTCGTCGATAAACTCTTTGTATGCAGCCCAGGCGGCGTTCGCGGGATCAGCCTTGAAATGTTGGATATTTTCTTCAAGAAGGTTGACGATCTCTTCGCCATTGGCTTTAATTGTTTCGTATCGTTTCTGGATTCGATCATCTTTATTCGCCAAGTTAATTAGTCCTGGTTCTTTAGTATCACTCTTTCGCTCGAAAATCGTACTACTCATCCATGTGGCCATTATTTCCTCAATCTTAGTGACGTTGTCAGTAGCTCGTTGAGTGCGAACTTGTAAATCGGAAACAGCTTCATAGATTTGCTTAATGTAGTCGTAGACATCTGTGGACCAGCTTAGGTCTTTTTCTCCTCTTGAGAGCAACTGATCAATGGATGCTAGCTGAGCTTCGACCAGTGGAAACTCGACTTCAAGAATTGTCGTTCTGATCTTATTGTACCAATGCACAGTTTGACGGAGCGAAGAAACCCATGTACGGAATGTTTCATCTTTCTGGTACAAGTTCTCTGCAGATGTTGGAAGCTTATCGTAGCCAAGATATCCCAAGTACCGTACTTCGCGGAGAACAGCTTCTAGTTTCGAATTAAAATTTACGGATATAAGTTTGGTCTCTTCATCTCTGCTTAGCAAGGGCTTCGTAAGGTTAAATTGGCAATCATCATCGACCTTCGCAACCCACTGTCTGTATGTCGCATCTTTGAAGTCAACAATTAATTTTTCAAACTCGTCGAATTTCTTAAAAACAAGCTTGGCTTCATCATTTTTGACGAAAGGATGATCGAGGAGAAAGAAGCGTTCTCTTGGAGTCTTGACTCGTTGCAGCAAGTCTTCTGCCCATCGAATTTTTCCCGCTGTAGGTGGCTGATTTTTATAAAGGGGTGGATCACTCTTTTGTTCTTCAAAGATCTCTTTCGCTTGTTCTATCTCGATTTCCATTTGTCCGACGAGTTCTTTATACTTTGGATCGAAATCCTCGCCAATGACTTTTCTGTCAATCAACGAGCTTGCGATCGCGATAAGTTTGAACATGCTTTCGACGCTAACGCAATCCTCGAAAGCTTCGCAAAGAACTGCTCCTAGCCGTCTGTCTAAGTCGTACAGCTTTTTCTTGAAAAGTGAGTAGAGTCGTTCATATTTTTGATCATCGTGATCGAGTGGATCAACCTCGGCGTCGGCGATCTTGGAATGAAGCAGTTGAAACTCTTCATAGATTTGTCCGACCTTTGCTGATAGGACAGAGCCATGTGATCCGCCAATTTCGACTTTCTCAAGGTTCATCATCGAAATACTTGACAAGAAGAATTCCTCGATGAGCTCTATTCGCTTCACAAAACGATCAAAACGATGAAAGACAAGTTCTGGTCGAAAGTCCCAAAGAACGACCTTTTTGCCAGTTTTTTTGAAATATTCGGGCAATTTTGAAGAGTAGTCAAAATACATTTCTTTGAAGCGACGAAGGGTTTTGAGCGCTGTCTTGATCAAATCGTAGGATTCGTCGAGTTCTCCTTTGAGGATGGAATCGGCGTCAATGAATGTCTTCGTCAAGTCGATGACGAAGTTTGAAATTTCACTGAGAAGAACGACAATCTTTGCAGGATGCCGATAGTGATCAGAAGTAGCCCAGATCAGCGATACGAGATGAAGAAGTGCACCGAGTTTTTCTCCACTGCAGAAAGGTCTGTTTGCTCAATATCGTCAAGAAGACTTCGAAGAGGCTTCAGATGCATGGAAATATCACGTGCTTCTTCCAGACAGATTTTAACGTCGTCATACATCATCGCCAGTGAATCGTAATATGACGATTGCTTGGCCTGCAAAATGGCAGCAATTTCGCGAACCTTAGAAACTCTCTAATACTTATGATAGAAAAAGAAATATTACCTTCGAGGATGTTAGCTGATCATAGATGCACTGAAGATTAGAAGTTAGATCTGACCAGAAGCGCAATTCTTCATGCGGAGTCGGAAAAAATCCGTCGAGCATCGCCTGGGAAGACTTCAGATCAAGGACAGTCTTGATTTGATGCGCCCATTTAATGACAATGCCTTCAATGACACCCATCACTTCGCGGATTTGTGCATCGCTTTCTATCTGTTCAATGCCTGCTGGCATAGGTAACAGCGTCCGACCCTTTACGCTTCCGGCAATTTCGTACACTTCTGATTTCAATTTATTCATGTTTGTTTGCACATCTCCTGATACGACTGTTGGCCAGCTGGTAGCCGAGTCGTGGTGCACAAGAATATCATCCATGATGTCGTCAACAAAAGCCCCGAATTGGTCGAGACATTGCGAGGACAAATCGCCGAAGACCACTAACTTTTTTATGTTTTCTTTTGGAACTGGCTCTTCTTCTTGTTTGTAGAAAAATACGCCCTTGTTTTTGGAAGTTGCAGGAGGCTCGAAAATTGTCGCCAACTGACCAGATGGAAGTAGCAAAACTCCAATCCACAGTCGCTCCCTCTTTTCGAGAAACTCGAGAAAGTCCTACCAAAGAACTCAATCATGCTCAATTTTTTGTTGTTGATACCTTTCTGTAATCTTCATTTTGGACAAATTTAGTCCATTTATCTTGTTTGATCGATAGTGTTTTGAGCACGACTTCTTCAAAGAAATCCCATCTAATAAAACGTTAATTGTGCGCTTGACTAGGAGAATTAATGCTTTCTGATGAGTTCTTAAAATTTCAGCCAAACTGAAACTTTAACGTGATCCAAAACATCAGTAGCCATTAATTCCTTTTCAGATTTGGAGCAGATGCTTGAAGCTGATTAAAAAAAACTGGCGAAAGTGTACGTAAAACTGAGAGGATGAAAATTCCATGTCTCTTATGGTGGATGAAGAGAATTTTTAACACGATGTAAAAATTCGCTTTAGAAATGAATGATGAAATGGATCTGATGAGAAAGGTGGCGAAAATGGCAACACGAAAGTGAAAAAGTCCTTTTTTGGTGAAATGAAAAAGGAGTGAGAACTCGTGTCGAAACTCTAACGGACACCTCAAATCTGGCCCGCGTTCTTCATCGTCGGAGTCGCTGTAATCGCTGCAAATTCTTGTTTTATTCACATTATATTTACTGTACCCGGATGTTACTTGCACATTTCAGAAGCGATAAAAACAAGCTTACTTGTAATGTACTAACCCTGGCATTAACTATTCTCGATGATAATATTCTCATACCTTGTGTCTCGATCCGCCATGACTGGCTTGTCGGTTTCGCTCGCTTTCTTGTTACTTTGTTGTTACAATCTTCACTTAGAGAGTCATCAAGTAGAATCGAAGTTCTCCTCTATTGTAGATTAGGTGAGGGGCGAGAACGATTGTAGAAAGGCGCGCAAGAATTGTTGGCCAATTCAAACAACCGATACTCGTTGCCGGGGAATACCAAATACCATGGAGACCAATTCGCGAAACAGTTCAAACAATTCAAATCGAACTTTGAATTTGGCTCTACAAATAAAGTAGATGAGTGTTGATGGCCTAACTACATTGTGTAACCTCTTCTGACCTGGAAAAAAGTACACTATAATTGCAATTGTAGCGGACGTGTCAAGAATTTAGAAGGGAGTGCGCGAATTCCGTATATGACTCAAATGACGTTCGGAAGTAGCGAAATTTTTAGAGCTTTAAATATTTATCCTTCCGATATCGCCCAGTGGTACTTGTAGCCTTCCCGATGTGCTTAAACCCCATTTAGTGTTTTTTCATGGCAGCTTCGAAAAGCAGATATACACGTTTTCCTAAACGAAAAAATTGAACGGTTTCGATCAGGCATTGACGGCATGTTGCATAAGCTCTTCCGAGTTTTAGAAAAAATACGAATCATGGCGCTTTATTCAATACACTGAAAAGGTCGCTCTTATGCCACCCGCTGCGAAGATAAGTTTTTCTTCTTTATTATTATAAAAAAAAACCCTTATGAGCCATTTAACCCTTTCTACTCGGTTTCGAGTTGCAGTGAGGCAAAAATCCGATTATTTCAGTAATTGACAGTCAAAATATCCATCTGACTATTTCATTATTTTAATAAATGCTGCTTATTGGAGAATTTTCGGCGAAATCTAAAAAAAAAGATTAAGAAGCTTGACGTTTTTAACCATTGATTTTTCATTATTTGGCGCACTTACTTGAAAAGCGCTTCTTATCAAAAGGATTATCCACCTGTTGGGAATCAAAGTGGCAAAAGCCACCTAATAGAGATTTTAATCGCATCATTGCAAAAATTTTTTATAACGTGAAACTACTGTTTTGTTGCTGGAGAAGTACTCTAAGAGAAGATTACGCTCTTATTAACCCGAACCCGAAAGAAGCAGAGGACGGCTTTGAGCTCGATATTTTAGCAATTATTTTATAAAAAATTAAGGCTATGCTTTGCGTTTTTCCAGGACTAATTGCATACGTCAGAAAGGCACTTCACAAGCATGGAAGACAGTCATTTGAAAATACAGTTTTTAGGCCTCTCTGTTTCTTTTTCTGTACGCAAATGAATAATATTTTGAGTGTCAGAGGTCGACGTTGTCTTGCGCGAAATACTTTTTTCTGAGAATGCTGTTCAGTGTCACCTGAAATTGTTGATAACTAACACGCAGAGATGAAAGAAAATACAGCTTCGAATCGCTTTAACCAGTTCCGTTGATTCAATAAGGAGCTATCCACACATTCACAGAAAAAAAACACACGTTTTTAGTCAAAGGATAGCCTTCATTAATTATGAACCCTTCTTGCGGCAATGAGCGAAAAATCTCAAAAAAAAGAGACACTGGAGATTCTGAAAAATCGAGACGCGCGCAAAATGAATTCCAAAAACGACAGCATCGTCCTTGAAAAACAGCTCCTTTCATTGCAGTGCAATAGTTGCACCCTGCTTAACGAGAAAAATGACTAGCTTTTTCCGTCTTCTTATTTTAATTTTGGACAGTCTATAATTGGAGCTGATGAACATGGCATTTCTTCAGTGCCAAAGGTAAATGTCAATTTTGCGTGAGCGGAAAATTGCCCCTACTATGGCTTCAACCATGTATCTAATAATATTTATCTACACTGGTTTCTATAAGGTTATCCTTGTTTAACCCAGTATAGCTTTGTCCTCGAGGTAGTGGTCAAGTTCGCTTGTTAGAATTGAGGGTGAGTAACCACAAGGCACTCATACTCACTTTGATAATGCTGAGACTCCCGAAACTCAAACTAAACTAACTAAACAAAAAAGCGATAAAGGAAACTGGATGTTGCTAGCTGGTCCTCTAAACATGGCGGTAATCACGTAACGTAACGTGACGAGAATCACAACTTCTGTTGCAACAGGTCCGCTGGGTTCTGCTAATGACTCGAGCGCAGAACATTATCTTCCATTTCGGCGAAGCGCGCGTGACCCTTGGCGAATTTATTCTGGAGCGGAGTGAGATTTCACGACGTTGCAGCGCTGAGAGTACAGAAACTGCGGCTACATCTATTTTTGGTCGTGTACTAAATGGGTATTCTAGAGTATGGTCGGGCGAATCGGCCAACCGCGAAGTTTACTTTCTCGTCACGGCGGGTACGCTACAAGACCACCGCGTCGAGTGTCCCATCGAGCTGAGATTTTTTTCTTTTTTGATCAGCTTGATTCGACACTTGCAAAAAGCTGCCTCTTCATTTACATGCTGATTGCGTTGCGTAATCAATACGCCCAAATCAAATCTTTGTTCTGATTATTGCGAGCTGCTGAATTTTAATATCTTCTCGCCGTCCAGTACTCGCGCTTTCGCGTGGAATTAACATTTTCGAACATTTCCTTTACTTTTTTTTGACTGATAAATCTGGCGATTGTCGCCTGGCAAGACTGTTGTGGAGAAAACTTTAACTCGATTATACGTGCTGAAAATTTCGTTTCCTCTGACGCTCCAAGGAATTTCGCGAAAAAGGGGGCAGCATAGATGCAGCAAAGTTCGAGCTTTGTAAATTCGCTGAATCTACCTCGTTATAATCAAAGTCTTCTCTTGGTAAAAACAAGTCTTATGAGAAGCGGAACTGTAGTTTTTGCACGCTGGTTTTGTGTTGATAACACGTTCCTTGATAAAAGGTAAACATGGCGGATGGTAAGTGGGAAAGAGCATTTCCCGAATTCCAGCGATCTTCACACTCGCACACGTGGTTCGACTCCTTCTAAAGAAAAAGCAGGGCGAAAATATTTTCTTGAATTCCGGGCAGATTTCGTTCCATACACGCGCCAGGCAAGTTTGCCTCATTGAAAATGTTCTTTTCTATTTCTGAGGCATTTGCTGCGATGCCTCTTCAAAAATGCATTTTTTCGAGGCGTTGTAAATTTTCTGAACTAGGCTAGCAAAGCGAGCTACATTGCTAACCCCAATCCTAACCGCCTCAAGTCAGCCCTGTTAATATTACAGATTCCGCGATTGATCTTGAGAATTCTCCGCGGACTTGAAAATCGACGAATGTCGAGCTAAACACAGAGCGCGTCTTATCACTGTATAACTAGTAGCGAGTCTTCAAGTTTCCTAGAACGTCCTCTCCGTCGTAATTAATGTGCGCTTTCTAAAGAGCGCACTCTTGATATAACTTAGCCCAATACACGAATTAGCTTGTCACTTGTGTTTTCTTTTCGCAATTTCTGCTCGAGTATTCGAAGTGCATTTTGTCAATTTGAGAGCTCGACAGCTTCTAAAATCACTGATATAAAGCCGATTGCGCGCTCTTCGCTAGAAATGAATTCGCAAAAGACGCATCATTGATGCCGGCATCAGCGCACTTTCAATGTTGAAAGTAGTTATCATAAGCTCAACGAAATTTTATGCATGCATAAATTCTAAAAATAAGAATTGTCTAGCTAACAAGAAGAAAGAGCTACAGATTTTTCATTATATTTAGAATCCTATCGACTCCTGTCCTGCATAATGAACCAACTTATTGGGCGCGTCCCATCATTTAAAAAGCACTTTCGAAAAGAAAAGGTCCTTTAAAATTGAGCTCATCTTCGATTTTTCATAAGGCTTATTTTTTCTTAGATTCAAATTAATTTCCATGATTTCACAGTTTTTAATTTTAATAAAAATCCTTGGAAATTCGCCTGTCTTTTCGTGAAATGAGGTATTCTTTTTCGAAAGATCATGTTTTGGGTTAAATTGAGCAAAACGTTGGGCGATATCGCTGGACCGAGATATGCCCCCAAACATGCCGCACTAAGAAACTCATTCTTACATAAATTGATCATTTTTTAATTCGATTTCGACACGATCGCTGACCGCTCCTTGTTCATGTTGTCTATATTACCTCGCTGGAAAGAAAGAAACAAAGCGCATGCACGTGCGATACTGGTCATTTTCTACGACATCGCAAATTAATCACAAACAGGCGAAAAGAGCGACGCCGATTGTAGCAAACTTGTCCAGATTTTTGAATTAAATTTTCTTGGCGCCGCGAATTCGGCGAAGACGAAAGCCATAATTCAGTTTTAGCAAACGTGTGTTTTGCGTGGATTCGCATTTGCTTACTTTATTAGTTTCAGAACCAATCTAGTTAGTTTATTTGGAAAAATAGAGAGCTCGCTACATATTTGTACTTACTTAAGGACCCCCCCCCCCGTCAACAATTTTCCCTCAAAAATCGAAAATTTCAAAAAAACCATATTTTGGCTTCTAAGTGTGCTTGGAAGCTAAATACATCATAAAAACTTGTTCGCAGCACTTTTTGGCCAATAAAAGCCTTAAATTTTAGCTGAATTGGGACTTTTTCGTCGTTTTTCGTCAAAAAGTCCAATTTTCAAAGGCGATTTTGAGGGTGTTAGAGTCGAGATAGACCCCCAAAAAATGCAGCCTCAAAATCGTTTTTTGACCCATAGAATCCATTTCCGGGGTCAAAATTTTAAAATTCCGAAAAAAGGTTTTTCGAAAATTGTTGACGGGGGGGTCCTTAAAAGAGAAGTTCCTCTATTTCAAATTCAAAAAACATAGACAAGAGCCTTTATCGAATCTTTTGAACTTGAGATGATCCGAAATCTGGAAAGCGTCAAGTAAAATTAGAGTTTTTGAATAAATTCTAGAATAACACATCTGAGATACTGTTTCTTCAATCGAAATAGGGGAGGACAACAAAGAGGAATCATGATTTCTCCGGGTGATCCTGAACGCATGTGGGTTATAGCGCCCCATTCTAGCGCCGTGGTAAACAGGCGCGCGCGAGTTCTCCGGATTCTCCGCCTTTTAGAGGAGAGCATCACGAAAAGACGAGTAGATCAGCGAACACCCGATAGTTTGATTTTTGTGACTCTAGTACCGAAATCCCTAATGAGAATCTCATCCGCCGTCGTGATAGCTTCGGCTCAAGCCGCACGAAAAAAAGAACAGGATCGAAAGGTACTGCCAGAGAGACAGAGAGAGCTTGTATGAAGACCCTACAGATCATGAACTGTCTGGACTTACAAAAACTTTCTCAAGCTTCGACGATCATCAGATCATACTTCCATTTCGCGTTTTGTCAATTCATTACTTGATAATTGACAATCAATTAAGGTGCCTCCTCGACATCCTAGCCAACGCTTAACCACGCTGATTAACTTCGGCATAGAGTGGTGCCACGACAATTTGAGAAATATGGATCCGGAGAGTGTCCGCGGAGACCGATTGGCGGATAGATTTGAAAAACGGTTTACTATTTGGGGCGCAAAGTAAGTTGACTTGTAAAGCTCCGTTCGCTCACTGTTGATGTAGGCTGCGAAACTTGGTTGAAGAAGAATGTTTCTACTTCAATCCTGATCTTCCACATGGTGGACCAGGCCCGTCTCGCAAGAGACGAGCGATGTTTGACGAGTCCAAGCTCGATGTCGATGATATTCACGGTGAGAAAGCAATCATTGTAGCAGAAACTAACCTACAATTGCTAGATGATCTGCTTCGCTATGACCAGAGCAATCCCATCCGCGGTCTAAAGCAAATCACGACCGGTTTTTGGAAGTGGTCGCGGCGCTACATTGCAGACTGCCCAGGCCAGCCGAAGCACAAGCATCACGCGAAACGGGCGAAGAACATCTACTCCAAAATCCTAGGCTACTACAAACTTTTAGTCGATAGACAAGAGCAGAAAGCAAAGACCCTCTAAAGTTTTCGCATTTCATCGAAAATCGTAATCACCCCGTCGCGTATTTTTGACAGTCAGAAGATTACCACTGGCTCAATCATGGCGACAAGACTCCGACAATTCGTATAAACAATCGCCCAAACGCAATTTAACTTGTACAAAGATATAGCGCATCCGGTCACCAAACTCCAAAATCTAAATTCCGAAACATTTTTAATACACCTTCCTCCACTGTGGTCAACCACAATGGATTCTATTCGTATCGCTTAAATTGGCTGCAGGAGCGACTCTCCTTCGTGCCATATATAATATAAATGTAAATTTTTAAAAAGAAATCTTTGATTTTATATATTTATCAAAAAACTCTTTTGGAAGTCTAGTTTGGCCGAAAATCCACTTCGGGCAAAAATTTTCTTCGACCCCTTCTGGGCACTGCCCCTAGGAGGACCACCGGGTTTGTATGAAAATTTTTTTGAAAATTGTTCGGGCGTACCCTACAGGCGTTTTCCTCAGGGGCCCAAGAATTTACCAAATGAAGAAGTATTCAGAAGACATTTGCTGATAAAATACAAACGACCCTTTCTGTAAATACTGTATCACTTTCATTATCTTCTCAATAATAAACAAAAAGGTCCTTGGCAAAGAAGACCGGAAAAAAATTAAATTAAAACTGTCTTTTTTTTTGCAAGGCGAGAGATCCGCGATTTTGAGTAAATCAACTTTCGGATTGTATTATCTCTTATCCTGTTGCCCAAAGCGCAAGAATAAGGACTCAGCTGGGGTTTGACAGCATGTTTAGAGCGCTGAGTAAATCGCAAATATTTTCCATTAGCTTTGCATAAATCAACCCCAAAAAAGGCTTAAATTAAAATTGGAGGATTTCATACTCTGAAGAGTCTTGGCAAATCCCTGAAATTCGGATGAGAAATGAATTCTACAAAGAGGAAGTCTAATGTTTAGGACTCTCGTGACGAATAATGAACATGTTTAACATTTCTATGACGGACAATACAAAGTAGGCTCGGCCTAGAATGCAATCAAGAAATGATTACAGCTTCTAGCAGGAAACAAGCTAAAAAAATGCTTACTTTGTGTCGACTTCTGGTGGAAACAAATTGCATAATGCACTCCGATCATATCAATAAGACACTGTCGTTAAAATAAAGCGGGTTCTATAAAAACCACCAAGAATATTTCACCAGCAGATGCGTTCCTGTTTATGCAGAATCAATTTTTAAGTGTATCAAATGAGCATTTCTGCTGATTGAACTGTAACTCGCCTGGCTAAAATATGACGAAGTGTGCGATGGGTCAGTCAGTGCGAACTGCATAATCCGACTGGCTCCATAAGATTTAAATTTCGGATTAAAATGGAAATGCAAAGAAAATTGACGTTGTTTCTGAGACAAAAAAAAAAGGAGAGCAGAGCAACGGTACTTGAAGAGTTTTAGACTTTTACAGTAAAATTAGGCAAGGAAAAATTATTTTAAGTAGGTGTCTATGCTTCTCATACTATCCATTGCATAATTTCTAAACATGATTGTTCTCTTTGAGTAAGCGTGCCAATTTTCGTGCAACGAGCAGATTGATGGACATTCTTGTTAGACGACGAAATTTTTTGCAAAAACGTGTTTTAGAAAAGACCGGCCGCTCATTCCGCGTTAGTTCAATACAGTTTCGCACGGATAGTTAACCAGAATAGATACATATGGATGAAGCATGTCTGGCAAATAAATTCTATACCCTTAAGGGGGGGGGTCGACGAGAATTTTTTCAGGGGTGATCCTAATTTCGCGTATACACATGGTCTGTGCATGAATCTTATATTTTTGGAATCTACAGATTCTCACAAATCTGTTGAGCCTAAAATCATTCGATAAAAATAAGATTTAGGGGGTAAAATTAAGAAAAATGTAAAAAAAATGACTATTTTTGGTGCATTTTCGCGAATAGGGCCCTACTTTGACGGCATTTTTGACCGATTTTTTCTGGCCAAAATTTTTTCTACTTCTCGCCGGTTAATTTTTTCAACCCTTTTCTATTTGCCAGTAAATTCAGATTTTGCCTATCTGATCAGGTTTTCCCGCATTTTTGGTCACGGAAATCCCGATTCTCGTCGACCCCCTCCTTAATTTTCCTTCTGTGGAGAAAAAAATCTTTGACGGTTTTTCAATTTTAGATGCTCTCAAGAATCAATGTTCATAAGGAGACACGTGTGCACAACACAAAAATCTGCAATTCTTCTAAAGTTTCTACATTCTGTACTTTCGCAACAATCGATTTTCAGATGATTCTAGGCACTTTCTAATGCTTTGCAGTTCTGGAAATTGAAGTTCAATAATCCAATCCTTTTTTGGAACCACAGACTTGTCCTCGACTCGGATGCATAAAGGAACGGATTGAGGTAGGTTAGAACGTATCGCTTCCGATAAAGATTTTGGTTGCATTTGCTTGCAGCACGCCTCACCTAAAGATTACAGACTCGAACGAGACATCCAGCTTAACCAGCTTCATAAGTGATTTATTTAGGCAGCTGTTGCCAGTGCAAAGGCCAGTCAGTCACAGTAGATTGCTTGTCAATTGCTTGTCAGTAGCCAGCACTCGATTAATAATGATTTCGTCTTCCTTCTTGATTCGTAAGTGCACCGAGTGGCTGTGTGGGCCAAGCTCCCTATTTCGTCTTTTTCTCTTGCAAGGGAGCTTCGAAATTGCCATGAAGACGGGGAAAGCGGCGGAAATCGAAGAGCTCCCGCTTTCCTTGGATATTCTGCCCCGGCGCACGTCATATGCGAAATGCAGCACCCCAGCGATCGTCGGATAGATGAAAATTAAGCTCCGTGAGGATTTTTAGACATGTTTATTTTCAACGAGTATTGTCTTCCGAAATCCCGAGCCCGCTGACGATAAGCAGCGCGACATAAGTATCCATTTTTACACGATCAAGGAAATCTGAATGAGGAAAAAAGTTCTCTTTCTTCTCGCGAAAACTGCTCTCTTTCTACGTATAAGTGTTCTTCGAAAATCCGGACTTGATGACGGAGGGATTCAGTTTAAAAATTCAACTGTTTTAATTATTAACGGCTAAGCGTCTTCGCTTTGTATTAGAATCTTCAGAATCGATTGTGGAGAAGACTGCTTGCGTGATATCAAAATACTTTGCTCCCGGTGCAGCGATTAAGGCCTTAGTTTCAATTAAATAATACAGTTTATCTCTCTACAGGTGGGTTCGTGATACAGTTTTTTTCATACTAAACCAAGTAAGTCAGAGAGGATAATTTTAAAAATGCGCTCATTTGTCAATAATAGGGACCAAAGCTGTCGCCTCCTCGAACAATAAAAATCAATCAAATGAAGTTCGTAAAGTCTCGATTTGCCTGTCAAAAGCTTTCCTCGTGGATATAGCTCGGAGCGACCCACTAAGCCTAGATTAGGGAACTCGTAAAAGCAACAGTCATAGTCAGGCAGAAAGTCTCCAAGAAACCCTTTGGCTAGGGATTGTGGCTTCCATGCGTTAAAATAAGATTTGTTAATAAATCGTTTGTTACTATCTTGTCGGCAAATCTTCCCCTGATCGAATGGAGAAGACTCGATTGCTTGTTTTTTGTTTTAAAAAGCTAATGATAATTGCTCGCATGTAATTATGCTTCCACACACTCAGGATACCCTCGAGATGCTCGCATGTTACGAGGGCCACGTGAACTAATGAAACGTTCCATTTTAATGTTCTCCGAATCATCGCTGCGACTTGTTGGATTCTTGATCCATGATCGAGCAGTTCGAACAAGTAATTTAAGGGCCCGCTTCAATAGATTTTTAACGTAAATTTGATAAAGTCAAACGTACAAGAAAGTCTAAGTAATTTCTAGGTTACAGATGCGAATTGTTTTGCTCAATATCTTCGTTCAAGCAGAGAATTAGTTTCAAGGAAGAGTTTTGAAATGATAAGAGCGGCTTTTAATTATTTGTATTATTTTTGAAAGAAGCCGGTGCCGGCAAAATAATCTTAATTTCCCAACTCTTAGCAGAGTATTTATCGCGCTCACTCTCGTCAGTGAGAAGGTTTTCGTTCACATCAGCGCTCTTCATGGGAAAATAAGCACAGGTATTATAATTGGCAAATCCGGGGATTATGCCAATTGCCGCAGGAAGCACACAGCAGGCTTCATAGATGTTGTAGTCTGGATGATCTCATCCCTTCATCGATTGAGCGCCTCACTGAAATTTTCGGTCGAAGATCTGACTCTTTGATGCCGACTTCTCAGGCACTTTGCTCTGCTGACTATACGCGGCCGAGTACAGTATCTGGCTTAGTAAGTGGCTTTATGGTCAGCGGATCGGTTCCGTTTAGCCGTAAGCCCTGTTCATACCGAAAAAGCGGCCAAAGTCTTGTATTGGATTTTGGAAAGCGAAATAGTTTAGCTTAATCTCTTTATCGCTTTCTAAAGGAAAAATTTCACAGTTCGTCATCATCTGTTAAAATTGAGCCGCTTTAGGTCTTTTACTCGCATAACATTCTGTAAGAGCAGCTTCAGTCAGATCTGAAAGATAACAGTAAAGAAAAGAGTTCATTCGAGTTCAAAGTCGCTTGAGAACGGCCAGTCTCAATGACGTTTATCCTCAGAATCGAATGAGCAAATAGGTTTGATAGATGTTGCTTTTCTTTCTGAATCTCTTTTGTCAGTCTTGGTTGTTTTGGACAGACTGTAACGATTGTTCCAACAGTATCAATCATAACTAGTTTGTGACTGTCGCCGGCATCGAAAAGCCAGTTTGAAAAGCATCCATTCGATCCCAATTTTGAATAGCGATTCTTGATCTAAGCCAAAAGAGCTTGATGGAGACAGAGAGGTGCAAACAAGATGATCGCTTGGCTACCTTCTGAATTGTCGTATGTCATAGGAAGGGGCGAAAAAATTCGCGGTCACCTGACGTCAAAGGCGCCCAAACAAACCTCCCAAATAAACTCACACTTATCATTGATAAAGAGCACACAAAAACCGAATTTTTACACAATAATAAGATCATCAAACTGAGATAAACTTGTTTATCACAATCGTCGCACTATTACTTTGCCAACGTCTTTTTTACTAAAATACATAAGAGCTGCGCTAAGAAAACTTCAGAAATAAGAAGCTCTACAGAAAACAGTATGTAAAAGATCATTTTGGCCACTTCCACAGTCTGAAATTCGCGGATTTTTTACGCGTCTGTATTTTTGCTTCTAGGTTCGTAGTACCAACTTGCTAAAAGGTACAGTGAACTTTTGCGCAGCAGGAAAATGCACACTCGGCAATTTTGCATAGATCACCCACTGTGAGTGGTTCACGCCCCTCAGGTCTCGGTTTGAGTACTAAAATTAGGGCTCAAAATTTCCCAATAAAAAATCAACTCGGCTGATGGCGCTCCTGCAGCAATTTACCAAAATCAATACCTTGGATATCTCCCACATTGTTCTATAAAATCATCAGTAAACAGTTAAGTTCGCCGCTGTGTTTCGAGCAATTGAGAAAATTTTAATTTGGAACGATGACGATTACGCTAAGGAGGGAGCCGATTTCCGAAGCCAAATTTAGAGAAACAAACAACTTCAGCCCGCATCTACAGCCGTCTTTAGGAAATGATTAGGGTTCAAAATTTGGTGGGAACTTTCGATTAATTTTCCGTAAAAAATAATTTGAACGAAGTCGTTTATTCTCGAAGATTCTTCATAATTCTGGGCATTGACAAAGGCGTGTCAAAACTAAGAGACAATAGTTCACTCTCATAAACTTTAAACCTGTCAAATTGAAGGCGTTTCCGTGATTAACAATGAACCCTAATTCTGCCCTATTACGCAAGGTGAAGTCTTACAATTACAAGAAACGGGCCCGTACAACATTTCTGCCTTTCTTCGACAGGTAAGCTGAAAGAAAGCGTTGTCAGATTGATTTTCTGGGAAACGTCGAAGACGCCTCAGCAACCAAAAAACTCACCGCTCGGGTAAAAATACTTGACCAAGAAGCGCTGTTCTGGCGGTAGACAGTGGCTTTAGAATATATCGCATCCAGTAAGAGTTTGGTTACATTTCTGCCGAAGTTGAGACTGTTTTCAATCAGTTTTTGACCAGCGCCGCCTTTAAAAAGCTTACATTCCGAGAATTCTCTCCACTTTGGAAAGATGGGTTAAATTTTTGAATTCAACCGCGCCCAAAACCGAGATTCACTACCGCCCTGCGCATAAAAATAACTGCTATCTGTATGAATTAACTTTTCTAGTCTGTCTGGCTACACGAAGTCGGCGTTTTTCTCGGACCTGATATCAGCTGTTACTGTAGCCTTCATTCGATTGCCACAGGGACTTGCCTACGGTGCACTTGCAAACGTGCCCCCTATCAACGGACTCTACACTGAATTCTTCACATGCCTCTTTTACAGTTTCTTTGCGACCTCTCGTCACATTTCTGTCGGTCAGTAGCCCTACCATAAAAATGTTACATAACGATAGTTTTTCTCCACAAGCATCTCAAAGATCCTTTGAGCCGGAATAACTGCTTAGTTTTTGCATTTCGTTTTTTTTTTGTATTTTGAAAAGATAATGAAAAATAAAAAGCGGTACTCTTGCCAATTGTGAGTTCAGGAACGTTCGCAGTCCTTTCACTCATGGTTGGAACAATGGTAGAAGACATCGACTTTTCAGTTTGCAACACGGCGAATTCGACAGTAAGCAGAAACATTTCAAACGAAGTACTGGACGAATATGACAGGAATGGTTCAGAGTTGAATTTAAACTTTCCCAAGAGCTTAATTTTTGGGTAACTTGCGTGGTAAAGAACGAAAGACGCTTTTCGAAATGGGATTAATCTTAGGCTCCCTACTCTGACAATCGTATTCTTCCCCAAATACCCTTTGTCGTTGTAACGTGTACATGTGTACAACAAGCGATTACTAACCGTGTGACAAGGCAAGTCATAAGTAACAAACTCGGATCCCGCACGACAGGATTCCCTTAGCTAACGAAGCGTGTGCCACTCAACTGAAACTCCAGGAAAGTGTCCCAAGAAGTGTATAATCATTTTTCGGGCGTCGTTTTCCGTGCATTTTAGCTGGTCTCTATCCATCATTTTCGGAAAGTTAATTTTCATAAATTCAGATTCTGACAGGGGAGATGATCGTTTTAGTTTTCTTTTGAACTGCTGTTTGGATTAGGATGAGACTTTGTCAACGACCTAAGCACCACGTTCAACTTCCGAAAGTGCCTGTAAACTCCTTCGTCCGAACTCATGTCTGTATCAAGACGAATTGTAAATGCACGCTTTTGATTGCGATGTTTTGGGGCTTCTTGACCAAATCGAAATTTTAATTTTGAGGACACCAATCTGAGTACGTCGTGTCCGCAACAATGCTATGCGGTATTCTTCAAGTGGCCTTCGGGATATTTCAAATAGGAAAGCTTTCCCTTCTTTTGCCCAGACACGTGGTCCAAGGTATATTTCAATACTGTATTTCATAATTATTAAAATTACAAAACCATTTCTTCGCTTCGTCGACTGGTGACCGACGCTGTTGAACTTTCACAGGGTTACAGGCGATTAGAAAGTGTGACATTTTCGCTGATACTTCGCGACAAATTTGGCGATTTTGCAGTAATCACCCGCACGCACTCTCGCGTTCGGAATAAGTTCGAAATGTATTGTTGTATAATCGGGTTTCTTTAAGGGTTCACGACAGCTGCTGCATTTTTCGTCCTTACGTCACAAGTCACCGTCATGATCTGGGATCATCGTTCATGTGTAAAGCAAAAAGTCGAACACGATTTAGGCTTAGTGTATCAAATTTTGGCTTGACGGTGGGGGTCCTAGAATCTGCCGTACGCGCTTGCCAAGACGCGGAAATTAGCTCTACAAGTAATTCGGCTTGCAAGTCGTTTTTCAAGCTTATTACAGTAGCTTAACTTATTTACCAAGCCCCGGTTTTTCTCAAATCGGGAGAGCATCATCCAGTGGGTTCTTTGAGACCGCAGAAACCACCACCACTCCGCTCTTGCAAGTGGACACAATTTGCTAACAATTTTTGCACCGCACTTAATGCCCTGTTTTGAGTCTATCATCGCTCTTATTATCAAACATCGTTCAAATGTCGATAATGCGCACGATTACTGTCGCAATGACGATCCCGCCAAGCTCGGACTGACGAGAATTCACGTCCCTCGAAACATGGATGTTGGTGGATTATTTGTAACCTGGGTGAATATTCTCAAAAGTCTCAAGCACGCAAACGTCGGCTCCATCGTTGTCTCCATCATTTGCATCTCCATTCTCGTCCCAATCAAGGTACTCAAAACACCAGCGAAAACCATTAACCCAATCAAAGTGGGCTTCGAGAAAATACAAAGAGAAGCTGCGCGGATTCCCCATTCCCGGGGAGCTCCTTCTGATTGTCATTTTCGCCATTTCGCAAACATTCGCGCCCGAGTGGGGAAGTTTAGGCAAAATACCCGAAGTAGGTGAAATACCGAAAGGACTGCCGGTGCCTGTGCTTCCCGATGTCACACTGTGGTCGAAAATGATTGCCGAAGTAATTCCGATCTCTGTCGTGGCCTACTCGACAAACCTTTCTCTGGGCAAACTCTTCGCATTCAAGGCTGGTTCATTGATTGCATTTCTCAATTATCCGAAATCGCAATTATTTAAACCACAAAAAGAACAACTACCAAATCGACGCGATGCAAGAAGCTCTGGCCATCGGCATCGCGAATATTTGTAAGGCAGACTTCTTTAAAATTCCTAGTTTTATTAATTAACTCGAGTTTGTTTTAATTTGAGTGATTCAGGCTCTGCGTTCTTTTCATCAATTCCAGGTGCGGCATCCCTCTCGCGCTCGTCATTACAAGAGGTGAGAAACGAACTTTGAACGTGGAGTTTCTCTCGAACTCGTCACGTTCCAATCTTGGCGGTGTTTTTTTCTTCTTAGCTTCAAATTTGATTCATTGGGAAATAGATACGGGAAAGAAAAATCACTAGAAAACATTGCGTAACATTATGTTGACTAACCTACTTTAATTGGTATACAGGAGAAGATTCTAGACAGTTAATATTATACTCGAGAGCCAAGTGAATCAGGACGAATCGATAATTTCTAATTAATGCCTGACGAAATATGACCTTTAGGCTTCTGGAGGAAGAACTCAGCTCGCTGGCATCATGTCATGTATCGTTATCTTAATATTTCTCCGTAAGTGACTGGACTTGACTTCAAGTCTTATTCATTTTAGTCGTCGCTGGCCCGTACTTCTCGGTGATTCCCAAAGCACTTTTGGCGAGTGTGATCGCTGTTAATCTGCGAGGCATGTTCATCCAGTTCCACGCGTTGCCGGAACTCTGGAAGTTTTCAAAAGTCGACTTTGGCGTTTGGGTGGGCTCCTTCATATCCGTTCTCGTATTTGGAATCGATCTTGGTCTTGGTTTAGCTATCCTTATTCTTTTACTCTCGGTGGTGGTGCGCAAAACCGACGTTGTTGTTGCCGAACTCGGCACGACGCCAGAAGGAGATATTTTTAGAGAAACAGGAAACGGGAGCCTCTTACGTACGATTTAACAATAAAAGATCTTCGAAGAACTTTGCAAGAGCTCTCCTTGAAGAGCAGTACGAGTCGTTGAATGTTTCTGAGTACCCGATCTATAAATTGCCTGGTTCACTCGATTTCGCTTCAGCTGAGAAAGTTCTCGTTGTAAGTTCCCAAAGCTGATTAATCTAGTTTGTCCAACAAGATCCAAGTCCATTCTGGGGCTGCCAAGGAGCAAGGAAATTGCGAGCAAAGTCACGGCGAGTTATCTCCTAATTTTGATGGTTTAGGCGCTTCCCAGACGCGGCCAGATGCTGTTGGACTTTTCGGAGGTGTCTTACATCGATTGTGTTGGCCGGAACACGCTCGAAGCCGTCATAAAACATATTGGTAAGAGAGATAGGCTCTTCTATTACGTTTCACCGTTATGAGCGCATTATTCGATTTCATTTGAAGTCGAGACGTGTCAATCGAAATTCCATTTCATGCATCTTACTGCCTGAAGAGTCACCCCTAGCCCCTGAATCTATTTTGAATGCAGTGTTCTGTAACAAGTCCATTTTTGCTCCATGGCGTGTTGAATTATTCCGATTTGGACGAACCCTTAAAAGCGTTTATTTTCTGGACTTTAATCTGAATACACTAACATGCCACAGGACATTGCCCGTCGTAATTTCGCGAAATAGTTAACAACCGCAATCTCCTGTCCATTTGATAAAAGAAATCCCAAATTTGTATTGATAATTTCAGGTAGATGCGTCGCTTACAAGTAAATTGAAGAAGTTTGTTAAGTCTTCGGCCATTTTTACATTTTTGATCCAATTTCTAGACTTCGTTGGCTTCTGCTGTGTCAGTGAGAAAACAATGAATCTGCTCAATATCTCTGGCATCTCTGAAGAGGTCAATGTTGGCATATACCCGACGCTGTTGGATGGATTAGCGATGCTCAAAGAAAAGAACGAGCTCACTACTTCTTCCGATCTTTCTCGCGAAAGCGACGATTCAAAACTCTAGAATTTTTAAAAACAGTTTTCTGTACTTTTTCGTTCGAAACTGAACTCATCCCTACAGTCACAATGGCCTCGAAATTGAAATACTCTCCTCGCATCAGTTCCAGAAACATCTGTATATATTTCTGAAAAATAAAATAGTCTTGTTTCAATAAAGCAAATCTTACGTAAAATCACGTAAATAATCAAGCGTCTGATTATAAAATGATATTCTGATAAAATATTTGATAATCAGAGTTATTATAAACGCAAGAAGAAGCACAATATCTGCCCGCAAATATCATGTGATTATTTGACGTAGTTTTATCCCATTTAACTTATAATTGATAACTTATAAAAAGTTAGGAAGTTGGCATCTGCCAGTTGTTATAAGAAGTGCGGTAGTTGTAATTTTCGCATGATTGGTTTTAGAGCTATAACAAAAAAAGAGACTTGGGTGAAATCGAACGTGAGAATTTAAAGTTTTCGTCATTTTTTTTTCAAAGCTTGTGACTCTTGCGCCTGATCCGAATTCTGATTCGACTCCACAGTCGCCGAGTTTGCCGATTTCCGACGACATTCGCCACGTGAATTTAAATACACTACATCACTGAAGACAATGATGATTCAAGCATTACTGCTGCTCTGTCTCTTCAAGTCGAGCTGTTTTGATAACCCTATACTAGGTCAAGCTTTTTTGGAAGGTAATAAAACCTTCGACGTAAATAAAGCCATCGAGAGCATAATACTTGCTAAAAATAACTCCCGTAATTAATCCGCTAGCCTCGTTTTTCTTATCTTCGTCTACTCTCATTATCCGAGTTCGTCAATTTTTCAATAACAGTCAGAATATTATTACCTTAAGACTTTGCCGATCTCGCTTTGTAAACAGTATAAGAGAACGGACGCAAAAATTCTTCTCTCGTCAGGTCACCGTTCATCTAATAGTAGCTCTCTTTACTATCAGCGAGCACGTGGTTCAACACAGATCGAGTGCGGAAATTATACCTACTGCCTATTCTTGCGCTACAGTTACTTTCCAATCCTCAAAAACCGCAGCTGAAAGAAAGCTACATAATGCGCAATAAAAAGTCAAAAACAAAAATGTCGTCAGAAGGAGATCTGTTGGGGAGCTTTGGAGCATTTAACGAGCGCGCCGTCCTCTAAATTTCCCCATTTGAGAAGCAACCGTCCACTTTTAATCAAGAGACAATGACAAGCGACAAGCAGTCCTTTTTAATTTCATAGAAGTAGCTGGAAGCTCAGAGATTCTGAAAGAAGCGCTCTTCCCGATTTCGTATTACATTATTGGAGGAGTTCTGGCGATTTGTTTCTTCCTCTGGTTATTTGTTGGCCTCATATATCATATTAAATGTAAGCAATTAGTTGAGTCGTTGACATAGTTTAACATAAATTAACTAAAGTTGATGGTCTAAATTGCACGTAATAATAGTTTATGGAAACTTCCACATAGTAAGTCCTCAAGACGACGAGAAATGAACTCGGCTGAATCGCTGTTTAGAAAACTGGATTAGGTGGTTTTAATAAGCAGCAGGAAACCATCAATACATGATGTAATTGGATGTGATCAGGATGTGTTCATCCAAAGCAAAGATCCAGCTTGATTCGTTTATTATGCCTACCTGGCCCGTAACATTTATCCCCTATTCCAACAACTCGCTGACCAAGAGTAACATTTTTCCTCGCCAAATTAGCAAATAAATCTACAATCTACAGTTGTCAATAATGTTAATGACCTCTATTTCAGTGAAAAACCCTGCAAAGGTAGCTGCGTCTGCCCCAAAAGAAGATCCTTCGCCGATCGGAACAGTCGGTAGAAATGGGATTTATTTGATACCGCACGACGAGTTCTCCCAAACAGTGACAGAGGACTTCGAAAGCTACTCGACTTCTAAGACTTCGGAAGTAATGCGACGAGTTCGAGAAGGTATGAAAGCCCCCTCGTAAAGCATTAGTTTATTCGTTTGAAAAATCGGTTGCGCAAGATTCATGCTCAAGGGCAGTGGAGTTCATTGACGAACAGAGAATTTCTCATCGATTCTACCACATGACCGGTAATTGAGTGCGGCGGTTTTCTTTCAAAATGATGAGATTGTGTGAATCATATTTAAACAAAATATTTTAATTGGCTTTCCGAAACATCGTAACTAGCGTATTAATTTATGGCCCCATTTGTGTTAGACTTCACGGAGTTCGAATGCACAACTACTCATTTCAGTGGGCCACAAGACACCATTTGGGGACCTGCCACCAGACTACTCCCTCGTCTTGAGAGAAACGCTCTAGCTTGGATCAGCTCTACTGGCTCAACCTTTTTTCTTGCTTATTTCCACCTCCATGAAAATGTATATTAAACTATTTCACTGACATTATTCTTTCTGGCAATCTCGATGCAGCTTTTTGTTGATGGGCGCTTGCTCACGTTAGACAGTGGCAGTATTTAACAGAATTCAAGAACTGTTTCGTAAAAGGGAAACAAATCCAGTAGCACGTTAGAGCCGGTATCAAAATAACCGCCTAAGATAAACAGCTCAATTCCTGGCGACAAAAGATCAAGGACATATTCAAAAGAAGCGCACTGTTTTCAGAATATCCGAGGAACTTGCCTGAACATCGGAAAAAGCCACACTAAAGATAAAATAACGATGCGATCATTCGGTCTTCTTCGATAAGCGGTATTGTAATTCATTGCGAATCATTACTGACTCTGAAAAATCCAAGCGCAGCTGCTTCACAACATTTATACACTGCCCTAGATCGACGCAAGAGTAAAATTTTCCGAACACTTTTTCTGACCGAGAAGATGGAAATAGTGAATATTTCTGAAATCGTGTGTATCCTGGATGATATTTCAAAAATGACCTCTTTTTCACAAAGCGAGTCCCTAGAAATAGCCGAGTTGGATAAGCTTCAAGAATACGAAGAGATATTAAACGACTTCACGATGCAGTTTCTCCGAACAAGCATTTCAAATGAAAACCCGATTGGCGGTAGCATCATCGTCAAAATTGAGGACTCCATATTTTCTCGAGCACTATCTGTTTTCAAAATTCTGGAAGAATATCTGAACTCGCACTGTTGAGACTAATTTCTCCTGAATAAAATATCGTTTCTGAGATTTTCCGTTAAAAAATTCTCGCTCGATTGTTTACGATTTGCGCATTTGGAATGGAATAACACGAGTGGACTTATCCTTGTTTCCAGTGAAAGAGAAGAACTCTAATGAATGAGAACGCGTGCTGTATTCGCGTCAATCGTAGATCGAGTTCTGCCTCGCTCGACTGGAGTCTTCACGAGTTCATCCCTCATTTCCTAGAATACCTTATTTTTAGAAGCAAAAACAGTTTTGCCACATTTGTAGGTATTCAATAATGGCGTAATTAGAGGTAATTAATAGTACAAGCGGCGAACATGTTTACTACCAGACGCTAACGTGACATTGAAACATCCAGCTTCTTGGAAAGAAATTCTCAGAACGTGGTTTGCAGTGTGTTAATTATCCTTTTTCGGCTTACGTAACCGGCTCGGCTAATCCGTCTTGTTCAGCTCTTTTGCGGCTGCGAAAGAAGCCACTTGCTGCCGCCCAGCCCTGTTCTGGAATAAATCAGCAGGTGGCCCGCCCATCTTCCTCTCAATGAATGAGTGATACGATTTTGCGCATTTTCGGTAGTAACGGGAAGCTTCCCCGAAAATTAGATTGGGATGCTCTTTAGAGAGCTATCGAGCGTAAGGCGCGAGACTGTTATTTTGGGAAAAGTTGAACTTGAGCTCGACGTCATAGTTTTTTCGTCATTGTCACAAAGAGTCTCTCCGAGATGCTGCAATTAAGAGATTTTATGTAAGAAAGCCTTTAATTAAGCACTAGGTCACTTAATCAAATAGCCCACAAGCTGAGGAGCATGAAAGCTGCCGGGACTTTGCCAAAGCGGAAGAAATTTATTCCAAAGGTGTAATTCTCTATTCAATTTCGTTTTGCATACCAACTAATACATAATTCATCTTTCGATCAAATGTAGTGTAGTTTAAATTTGCAGTATTAAATCTTTTGTCACTCGAGTTTGAAGGAATCGCAGCTCTTGATCACTGGCGGCTCTTCTGGCATCGTAGCAAGGAAAGTGGAGAAAACGCGCCTTTTTCTTTAATTATAACACGCGCCTTCATTCTCAAAAAGGCTCGAATGGAACTGGCACTGCAATCAGAAGATGCCGAATCTCAGCAAAAACATTTTGAGAAAGGTTCACTTGCCAGTTCACGGAAATATCGTTTTTTCAAAAAATAAAAAAATTGATTTTTGAATATTTTCGTTTTGCTCCTAACATGAGTTTAGTTTATGGCCGATGCAAGCGATTAACGTTAACCCACACCCAGTCTTACTGCCTCAAAAAGCAAAATAATTGCAGTTATTTTAGCCCTTGATGATGTCAAAAGGCTGTTCAAAAATCAGATGGCAAAGATGCGCGCCTTTGGATCACCTATATTGGCTTTCAAAAATAATACAAAAATATAAACGAGAATATAAGTAAGCCCGTTGAAAGACGAAAATTGAAGTTGCTCTTGGGAATCGTGCGGGAGCCGTTTATGCCTTAGGTACACAAATTAGACGACGAGATTTATATTTTTTTTAGAAAACGCAAAAAGCTGCTCAAAGGGTGACTTCACAGCGTTGGCTGCCGGAAAACGGTCTTACGACATATAGATTTAAATAGATCTATTCAAAATACGTCGTATAAAGATCATTTGTGGAGAATTGCATGAGTGGAACAGCGCGTTAGGGCCGTCTGCTATGGAAATCTATGTAAGCTCCACGACGAAACAGTGAATTTGTCGTTTACGCCAACTACTAATTTGATAATTTAAGGATGAAGTGAAAAAGAATGTTTCCGAAGCGATTGCGAAAATTTCAAAATACACCGAGAAAGATTTTAAAATTCGTTCACAAAAATCATTGATGCTCAGGTATATTTTTCTGGTGTTTAGGGCTGGCTAACCCTAACCCTATTTTTCGTAACGATAAAAGGAGCGTGAAAACTCGGAAAATGGAGTCAATGGAATAGATTATTCAACCTTCAAACTGTGATGTTCACAGCGTAGAATTATCAAGCGTAGAATATCAAGCTGTATAAACAAACATTGATAGTGAATTTAGATGCCTTCCAGGGCGGTGAGAGAAGGGACCACATGGGTTCGCTGTAAAGACTCGTTCAAATTTGAGTGACAATATTATGACATCGTTATATATAAAAATACCTCTCTAACTGATAGAGAAATTAACGGTAATCAAGGGATAAGAACGTGTCATAAATCGATGTATCGAAAATAGAAATGCCGGTAAAGAACGGACTAAAGATGGCGTCACTCGCAGATGTACGAAAGAAGGTCTCCTCGATTTAGGAGAGATCAAACAAATTCTGTGAGATCAATTACGCTGCGTGTCCTTCCATCAAAAGTTTCTTTAAGTGATCCGATGGGCAACATTTTGGGAAATATTGGCGGAACGGTGGACTTGAAGGAAATGAAACTTTGGATTCCGAAAAAGAGATAGCTAATAAGTTCTAAAAGATTAAAAGAACTGTGCGCAAAAAAAAACATTCTAACGCTATTGTCAAACTGTATAAATTTGCATCGAACATTGTATTCGCACTTGAGTGTTGCACGTTGATTTTCGCGCACTTGCCAGTCGTTTGAGTCACATGAAATTCAAAACATGAAGATCAAACTCTTTCTTGGCGTAATCCCGGTTTATTGCCGGAAATTTCTCAGCCTATTCACGACCACGTAGCTGTTAAGTAAAAACTAAAGCATTGTATTCTGCTTAGCAATCAGCACCTGTCGATATGACTAGAGAGATGCAATTTTATCCGATGATAACATGCGGCAAATCATCTCCATTCTGGACCACCGATTTTGCAATCAGCGCGATCTTTCGATACATTTATAATCCTTTTTTATGTGGCAAGAAGAGAAGAAGTCCTACATCTGATCAATTATCAACGAGAGGTGCTCGATTTCGAATTGACAGTTTGCTTCAGAGAGACAGGTAATTCATCATAGAAACAAAACTGAATTCATTATTGCCTTCTCCAAGATCGCAACTGACCAAGATGATTTCAAAAAACTTTTGTGGGGCCGGAAATCGTAAAAACTGCAAGTGCAGTTTTCTTCAGCTCGTCAAGACGAGTCGAATGATGGGTCTAAATCCTGATAACTCTAAGGATTTACCGGTTTACCGGCTGGTTACCGGAAAATACGTTGTCACCGGCCGTTTTCGTTCTAGAAGTGATAGACTGATGTTTGACACCGGAAATTGTTCCTTATAGTCAGTTCTCCTGCAGCCTAAAAGATGAAGGTTGTATCAATTATCTGAAGAGAGTTATCACTAAATTACTATTTTTGACGATAATGGGACTAGAAATTAGGAACGTGCAGCAACAACAAAATTTTAGTAAAAATTACTGTTTTTAGTGATAACTCTCTTCAGAGAATTGATACAACCTTCATCTTTTAGGCTGCAGGAGAACTGACTATAAGGAACAATTTCCGGTGTCAAACATCAGTCTATCACTTCTAGAACGAAAACGGCCGGTGACAACGTATTTTCCGGTAACCAGCCGGTAAACCGGTAAATCCTTAGAGTTATCAGGATTTAGACCCATCATTCGACTCGTCTTGACGAGCTGAAGAAAACTGCACTTGCAGTTTTTACAATTTCCGGCCCCACAAAAGTTTTTTGAAATCATCCAAGTTCCAAGATCACAAGAGAATCTTCCAAATTTACAAACTGAGGTGCGTTATCCAGAGTTGATAAAGAAACTGCTCTCGTTTTCGGTGCCAGTCAATTAAACGATCATATTTTTGGGACAGACATCACAACAGACACTATAAATCATCGTACTTTCGAACATAAAAATATCAGCTCTGCTTTGCAACGTTTATTCAACTTCTCACATGTTTCGGTTTAAAGAAGCACACGTGTTCTCTAAAGGACTCAAAAGATCAATCAAATACAGAACTGGTGATATTTTTGAAACCTTATTCACTCGTTATTCACCTAATTGAATGGTGATTCCTACGAAGAAAATTGTAAAAGGGGTTATGTTTTCTCGAAAAGCCGCTACTCGTCCAAAATCTTAAAGAAATTGGATGGCGCATTGGCGAGTTCGTGGTTCAGGCGGGAACATCTGACCAGCTCCGGAGCAATTAGCCGCAACTTGATATCTTATGATTGGCACTAACGAAAGCTCCTATAAAAGCGAAACTGAGCCGATCTTCAATTCAGATTTCAAATCGAAAATAAAACAGTGAAGAGCTGAAGGAGACACGATAAACGCGGTGTTACCGCCTAATTCTTATGAACGGCTACTGAAATCGAGTTAAACTAGTTTGAGAGTGATCAATCATCGCATGATGAAGCCGCAGAACGGTTTCGTTCTAGCAATGTGTTTAGGAACGCAGCTCCCGCGCACTATCTGCCGGTAGTGGCGCACTAGACTCGCCGAATGTAAGCACTTTTTAATAGCCGAAACAAGTTAAATACTCATATATAATTTAAAAACGAAACTAAAGCATGCTGCTTTTGACGATTCTTGTTCAATTGGCTGCTGCCTATCCCGCCGTTTCGACGACCTCGACGACCTCAAACAGAGTACAAGAAATTGAAACGCCGCTCCTTCGCACACGCCGATCAGTCATCGGCTACAGGGCACACCGCAACCGAAGCTTTTCCCACCACAGCAAAGAATTGATCAGACGAAGTGTTCTCGGGTCTCAGTTCTCGAAGAAAGAATTTCTCCCCTTCAAGGACATGAAGAGAAGGGTAAAAAAATACTTCAACTAGTCAAAGACTGATTTTCATCTTTTCAGTACTACACAGAACACATGATGCGACGATAATTGAAGTTAACGAACTCACAGACGAATTGCAAATCGCAGTTTGCAATAATCAACATGCCGCCTTGATATGACAAAAAGAACAACTGCATCTTCATTTATCTGCTCACTTTGGTGCCTATTTCAATCTTCCATTTACCTACCACCTTATTATTGGCATTAATTCAACCTTTTCTAGTATCTATAGCCATTTTCATCCACTTCTTTTTCTTCGATAAGTTTTCACCGGTCTTTACGGAAACGTAATTAGCTGCTCGAGCTAGCCAATTTCGTGAATTCATGGCCAAAACAGACTCAAGCGCTGAGTGGATTACGACAATCATTTTTATAACAGCAGCAATTCGCGCTGAGACACTTCTGATACTATTTTTTCGTCAAAAATATATTCGAAAAAACTGATAGGAATGTACTGTATTGACAGACGTATTAACTAGAATACATAGAACTGTATTGGCAGTAGCACATATTCACTTGTCAAGAAATTTATCAAAGTTCTAAGCAAGTTCTTTTCGTATGAAAAGCTTGAGCAAATACCCCGCCTTTATGAACAGGATTTTGGTCTTTACTGAAGTCGATTTCGTTGAGTTGTAGGTCGAGCAAAGCACCTCCACTGGCAGCAAGAATAGCTTTTGAAACACAAGTTTAGATTTTCATGGTTGCTGAGGATAAATGAAGTTACCTGCTGGGGCACACAAGTCCCAAAGCTTTATTATCGAGGGATGAATGTAGTAGAATGCACGAGAATGAATTAATTCGAGAGATTTGAAGCCAGACCCCCAGCAGGAGTGTATTCCCAGCCAGTATAAAATCTCCGACCGATACGGACATTTGTCTGGGTCGGTGTCCGATATACGACAGGAATTTCGCAAACTGCTTTAAATGCAGATTTCACAGCATCTTAATAAAGCAACTCAAAATACAACATCCAAAATTGTATAACTGTATTTCAGCTTACCTAAAGTAACATGTGATCGTGAGTGCATGATTTTGTATGGAGGCGTCTTTCTGTTGGGAGCTTTTTGTCCAACTATACGAACAGATTTGCTAGGAACGTTTGACACTCATATTGAAAGCTTCTCCTTACCTAAATCCAGGTAGATTGACGCCAACAACGGTTTCAACGAGGAAGGGTTTATGAATAATTCCAGCAACTGGAGTGCCATCGACGGCAATGCCAATCATGACGGTCGTATATTGTGTCAATCCTTCTATATACTCCTTGGTTGCATCAAGCGGGTCGATCCAAATCGTGAGGGATGATGCATTAACTTAAATATATGGTTGCTAGCAACAGGAATAACTGAGGCAATCGGATTCGAATGTTTTCAAGCAATGGAATGAAAATTGGAATCCGGATGCGGCAAACTTACGTGGTACGTCAGTTGGAAGGAATTTTCCAGCCACACGCGTAAATCGACGGAAAGGCTTTGCAAGGGTTTTTCAATCAAATTTTTAAAAGAAAAAAAGCAAAATAAAATGTCTGGAAAACGATTCCTTGGAGCGAGGCGTGAACTCGGAGGGACTAGTTTGGGTAGCTTCCTCGGAAATGACAGTAACACTTGGGAAATGTGCTTTGAAATAAGCCGTTATTCTTCTATTGGACTCCTCGTCAGCATAAGTTACTGGGCTCGAATCAGATTTGACAGTGACTTATGAGGGCTAACTTCTATGTAAAATATTGTCTTGCGGTCGTTGAACAAATATAAATAAATTTAGCCCTGCACACTTTCAAGTCATTGTTTTCTCTAGTCGTTCGAAGAACATTTCCACCATCGTTGACAGCTTGCAAGGAGAACGCGAGCAGATCTCTAAGACTAACACCATTTTCCAAGTTAGTGCAATATTCCGGCGACTCCGGTAAAGGGCAAAATATGGCAGACTCGCAAAAACCGACGAGCAAGAACGCAGCCCTAAAAATCATCAAAGTCGAAGAAGCAAAATGATTCTGATTATGCTCAACAATCGTTTAAGGACGGGCTGATTGAGGTCAAATAAATATTCCTTGTCAACAATCCCCTATTTGCATAGAACACCGCATGGTGGATCGGTCTTGCCGATTAAGGACATTCAGAACATTTCAAATGTGATTAGGCAAATGCAGCATTTTGTAAAGTCATACACTGCGTATTCCAAAGGGATGATAAAAAAGATCTGTGCCGTGAAAATGAGCTACAGAGACACGGCTTCGCAGAGTAGAAGCAGTGTCTTTATTAGAAATTCAACTTCTTACACAGGAATGAGAAGTGTTCGAAGTGGCCCACGTGTTTCTTTTTGTTCAAAGTCCCTTTCCGAAGGCCCGAGACATTTTGCGGGTACCTCACCGCCCCAGTGGACAGCTTGAGCTTCGTAACTTGAAAATTAGCCTTTCCGGAGACTCGTACGTAAAATTCAACTTTCATCGCAAAACGACAGTTAAGTTATAAATGCCCTCGATTTGGACTACTCGTGCTTGCGAATTAATTACAAAATCCTTTGTTACGGAGTGTTGAAATAATCATGGGAAAGACTGAGAACGTCACTAATCACAAGCTTTTTTGGCAACGGATCGGTGCCTTTCTTCAAAGAACTCGATGAAAGTCTGATCGAATAAACAGAAGATGCGTGTATGCTCTTTCCCAGATAATTACGCTTGATCTGATCCATAAATATACCATACGCTTTTCCCCAAATAATTAATTATAACCAACGTCACAAGCTCGTTTTTTAATGCGATGAGACGAAATTCCTTCCCTAAAAACGAATTCTGAAATTTACTCATTCTTTAAACACATTCTAATAATTAGATCCCTTTTGTTACGATGACCAAAGAAGCCATACAGAAGACGGTGGATTCATTGTCTGCACTGATCGTCAAACACGAGCCGCTGGAACAAAGGCGAATGCTAAGTAACGAGCAACTGGAGAATAAAGAATGTGCCCAAATCCACACCCCTGGTCCGGTCATCCATGACCTCTAGAGATGAGCTCTCCTGCTGCGATGAGGAAGTCCGTTCGCAACCGGCAGTTGCACACTCATGATGCCGAAACATTTCCAAGTCCTCGACCGACGAGCCCATTAGGAAGCGATTTGAATCCATTCCTTATGATTCTCCGGAAATTCAGCAACGCAGAAATGCGTCCTTTTACGTACCAATAGGATTTCTTTCTCAAAAGAATTTTTGTGGGAGAATGAGTTATGCGCAGACATATTGAAAGAAAAAGAGACCGGATAAGGGGTTGGGACCCTATGAGGTTTCAGAGACAGTATTCAAATCGCAACGGAGGCCCAAGAACTTTTATCGAAGAGATACAGAAGAAAGAACAGGAAAACGGGATCGGAATTATTTGTATAATCGCCGCAGGCTAGAAAAAAGTCCCCGCCGAATTTGAATTCGCTTTATTGATCTCTAAAAAGGATGTTAGAAAAATTCGCCAGGAAGATTCAAATGAGGCTCTTCGCTGGTACAAAAACTTTAAATCAGGAAGGAAAGCATTCGGGCGAGTTGTGTTCAAAGGTGATTCGCAACAGTTCGCGCATTTCGCCCTGCTGGGGCATGACTCGAAGATGAGCCGTGTGTACAACGAACTTCTACTGAAACATTGGGGTATTCCGAGGCCAACCCTGCTTATTTCTGTGACGGGCTCAGCGCACCTGATCAACGGGATCCAAGGATCACTGTTGGACGCGTTCAGAAGAGGATTATATGAATCGGCGGCGCACACAGGGGCTTGGATCGTCTCAGGGGGACTAAACGTTGGAGTCATGAAAGAAGTCGGCAAAGCGAGAAGACAGTATAGCTCAGCCTATAGTGACTCGGTGCCAGTTATAGGCATCATGAATATGAACGAGATACCTGATAATCACCTGCTTGATCTTAATCCAGTGAACAGTTTGAAGCCAATCGAAATAAATACGAATAAAGCTGAGCAAAGAAAACCAGGCGTCCATGCACTCGACCCAAATCACAAATTTTTACTCGCTGTGGAGGGTGAAGACAAAGGAGAAAAACTCGATTCCTGGTCAACATTTGAGTTTCGAAGGGCTTTCGGGACCTACATAAATGCTGAAGGCGGTGGAGCAGGCTGAGGATTTAGATAATTTTTGTTTTTTTTTTATTTTCTCTTACTATTCTTAATCCTCGGCAAGGATCCAAAAATGTACAGACTATCAGCGTTGTCTTCAATGGAAAACTAGGGACTCTTCTTGCTGTCAAAGAGATGCTCTGTGAGTCGATTCCTTGTGTTGTCGTCGCTGAATCAGGCGGTGTGGCTGATCTTATTCGTCTTGGCATAGAGTTCCTCGTCGAAAAAGGTGCCCGTGACGAGTCTGTCTTGAACTCCGAATCAGAGATGAATGAAGTATACAAAGCACTCGAAAAAATTGACTCGCAGAAAGTACACGAATGGCTCCGTAAAATTGATATAAAAACGAAAGATTCAGAAGAGACCAGGCAGTGGGAAGAAAATCTCCAGGTGCCCTTTTCAACATGACCCATGAACATCACTTTTTTCAGATTGTACTTTCACAGCAAGACCTCATCGAAGTATTCTACCACAATCAAAGAAGCACTCGATTAGAGCACTCGATTCTTGGAGCGTTGATGAATAATCTTCAGAAAGATGATCTTATTCAACAAATAAAACTCTGCATGCGTCTAAATCAAATTGAGCTCGCGAAGGATCGCATCGCGAAGTCGACTGAAAACATAAAGGACTCTGAAGCAAATGAACTGATGATGGAAGCTCTTCTTGGAAATAGAGTTGACTTTGTTAAATTACTCGTAGACTCGTCATATATCAACATCAGTTCTTTTATGACGAACAAGAGACTCGTGGAGATGTATGTCAAGGGGCTCGAACAGGATTTTTCTTCCACAGGAGGAAGGTCGTTCTTTTATGAACTTTGCTTGAAGAAGAACATTGTAGGAGAAGACTATGATAAATTTAACCGTTGGATAAAAAGCCTCACTGAATTCAACAACAATAATAATGGCTCGAATGTCCTTGACTTCAAGAGAACTTCAGCGATGCCACGCAAGTTGTTCTTGTTTGATAATCTTGCTTATTGCGAGAGCAAACTATTAGGCAAGGCTTGGAATTCCATTTATGAAAGAAGAGCCGTCGAATACTCAATATTAGAAGATCAATGCTTGGACCCATTTCGAGACTTGTTTCTTTGGTGCCTTATATTTAAACGAGTTGAAATGGCGCGAGTTATTTGGTCCAATTCAAGTGAGGGGTTGACTTTTGCTCTCGCTGCATCCGTTCTTTCTAAAAGAGCTTCCAAACTCGACGATAGAGATACAGATGTCGTGCAGCGGTACACTCAAGAGTCCCACGAGTACCAGCAATTAGCTGTCGATGTATTCCTTGAGTCCTACAAAAACGACAGGAGCAAGGCATGGCTAAAATTAAAAAAGATAAGGATTACTAATTCAAAACCCATCAGATTTTTAGCCCGTACTAGTCATACAAGCTTTTGAGTCGCGTTCAACCAAGTTGGGGAAACTCAACATGCTTAGAATTAGCAGTGAGTGGCAAGTGTCGTGATTTCGTGGCTCTTGTTGGAGTACAGGAACTGTTATCTATGATCTGGCGAGGAAATATTCATCTCGACCAGCCATATCGACAAGTTCTTATTTGTCTTGCTCTGCCATTTTTGCCATTTCTTCCAGCTCGAATTATAACATTCGACCTTTCTGCAAAAGACGAACAAATATCCTGGCGGCGAAAATATCTCTGGACATTTCAAGCTCCGTTCTCAGTTTTCGTCTACAATATTGTATTTTTCTTCGTTTATCTTTTCGTCTTTGCCGCAGTTATTCTGTCACGCTTTTGTTACGATCCACACTGGCTAGAATGGGTGCTCATTGCTTGGACCGGAACTCTTGTTATCGAAGAAGCTCGACAAGTAAGTCTATGTAAGGAAGTTATCACTAAAAAGATAAGATTTATTACGAGCCCGGAAAGAAAGACAAACTGAAGACATGGTTCTCCGATCTTTACAACAAAATGGACTGCCTAGCGTATATTTCCTTTTTCATCGGCGTCGGAGTAAAATTCAAAGACGAGCGATCATTCCACATCCAAAAGGATAACTGTCCTTCGATAACTGATGGCGATTTCTTTCATGGACACATTTTGTATTCTTTCAGCTTTATCACCTTGTGCTTGCGAACAATGAACTTCTACTCGATTTCCAGAAGACTTGGTCCACGGTTATTTCAAATGCAATAATTTGGAATGAACTAACGTCGATTTAGAGTTTTGATGGTCACGACGATGCTCAAAGACATGTTGGAATTTATTTACATCTTAGCCATATTTATTTTATCGTATGGGATCGGGTCAACTGCAATTCTATATCCAAACGAGTGGCGAGTCAGTGAAATCATTTATAACGTACTTTTTACACCATGCTTTCAAATATTCGGCGAAGTATTCATAGGAGAGCGAACGACATACAGGTATTGATTAAATACGAAGCGAAAGTGTGACAATATTTTTAGCTTCGAAGACAAACCGACAGATGGCGATAACTGTTTTGTGAACATAACAGGCCTAGATGATCCTGAGCGATGCCCAAGGCAGCATTTCACGGTTGATATAATGAATTGGGTCTACATGCTCATGGTGAACGTATTGCTCATCAATCTGCTGATTGCCTTGTTTTCAAACACATTTGAGAAAATTCAAGCAAACTCGCAGAAAATTTGGAAATTTTATCGATACACATACATAAGGGAATATTACTACAGACCCCCACTGGCTCCTCCTCTGATTATTATTGGACATTTTTACAGCGGTCTGAGATACCTTTATAATTTCTTCTTTGGTCGACAGAACAGTGTTAAAGATAACTTCAATACTGTAGCTCAGGTACTTAAGAATATGCATTTATATTCCTGATTCTGATTAAAAAGCGTCTGCGTCGAGGAAAACGGCCTTTCCGGACATATCACTTATCAACCAACAGCCCTCTATCTGAAACAAGACTTGTGGTCGAGAATCAATCTTACGATGAGACAACGCAAGATGAGCTGAAAATCTTCGAGTCATGGGCAACAGAGACCGTTGTTCGGAACAGAGAATACGTTCTTGAAGTCGATTTAGAGTCGCGCTTAGAGAGACTGACTGAATACATGGAATCGTGCGATACCATTCTCCGAAAACAATCAGACTTGCAAGCAAAGTTTCAAAGGGCCATGGAAAATATGCAAAATTACAATAGACTTAACAGTGGGCAAATAACGACTAACGGTAAGCCACAGTGTCAGTTTCTCTTCTGATGTATTTCGTAGGAATTCGCCGTAACTCGAGTCTTCGTGAGATGACGGGCATCAACGAAGACTCTATAGACAGTTTGGAGAAACTAAATATTTCAACGACCGGGCGCTGGCCTAAATCGCGCCAGAAAATGTATGGAAACACATCCATTAGGCGATTTATTCTCCCACCAAACAGATACAAGTAAGAATAATTTCATTGTCATTTTTCAGCACTGTCATCCAATAATACACTAATTAAGTTGGGACGTTACTTTCAATGACTACAAGCCACGAGAGTTCACCGAAGAAAGTATTCTAAAAGGATTGGATAAAGCTTTAAAGTTTAAGATGATGAAAATTTATTATTGATGAATCCATTTTTGAAATAATGAAGTAATGATCCGTGGAACAGCTTCCTGGGCTGACCCTTCAGACAAGAAGAGTCTTGAATCCCTTCCATTCAACGAGTTCAGTCGCGAAAGCGGAATAAATCGCAAGTCGCACGACGGCGATTTCGAAATATACGACAACTTACCGCGAAATCGGATCGGGCGAACAGGAATCTCAGGAAGAGGTCAGTAAACGCAGCTTAGATCGACTCATTGCGCATTTACGCGCTTAAAAATCTCTTACTTTAAACTGGCTTAGATCGTGCCCTTTCAGCCGTCTCTTCTTTAAAGTGTATACTTAGGAGAATTGCCAAACTGGGGACCAAACCATGCAGTCGATCCAATCATAACAAGGTGGAGGAAGGGAGCAACAAGTGTGTTGGAATGGGTCGCCGTCCAGCGGAACACCGGCGAATGGGCCATTCCAGGTTCCAGTTTTACACCATTCGAATATTTCTAAATTGTCTTCCAGGAGGGATGGTTAGGCAATTCGAGTTTGAAGCCGCAGAAGATGACCGAGTCTTCGTGTCAGGGGCATGCATTTCGCGGATCATGGAGGAGAAGGTTTTCGGGAAGCAAGACAAAGCAACAGAGGAGGTGCTCAATAAATTCTTCAATTACACTGATGCAGATGTTATTCATAAAGGTGAGAGGTGTTTATAAGTGGATACTAACCATTTCCCAGGAATGGTTGATGATGTAAGGGCAACAGACAACGCTTGGATGGAGACGATTGCTATTCACTTTCATGACGAAGAGGGCGTTTTGGACAACCTGAAACTGGCCAAAAATTCCGCCGTTTGGGCTGAACTGAGAGATCAGGTTGACTGACAGCTACTTAAAAACGTAACTAATTGTTAAGGATCTATTTGGCTCCCATAGAAAACTATTAATGCTGATCGCGGACAAGTTCAACGCAAACTTCATGTCCTGATTAAAGTATCCCTCACACTGTACAAATCAGTCAATTCCTACCAGTTCAATCAAGTTTTCTGTAATACATGATCACAAAACTAATTTAGTTAGCAGTTGTTTACAATATGGCTTGCCTTTGGGGTACGATGTTTCCCTTTTGCCGAAAAAAACTGCTGAATGAATATCATTTTTCATTAAATATTTAGCATGAGAGAAAGTATAGCGTTAGCTGATGGCAGGAAAGTCCCCCTAATCGGGATCTGGTTAATCAAACTTGCATAAAGCAAGGGCTTTTACGTGCAAACAGTACATTGTTAATAACCACAGAAAGGATTCGGAACCTGCTTCGCTTCTTCGGATGAGATGGAATTTGCTGTAGCCGAGGCTATAAAAGTGGGATACAGACTCATTGATGCAGCGCCAAAATATGCTAACGAGGTTGGAGTTGGCAAGGGTATCGCTACGGGCCTCATGGAAGCTGGCATAAAGCGGGAAGATCTTTTTGTGACCTCGAAGCTCTACCACACTGACCATCGACCTGCACGAGTGATTCCTGCTTTGAAGAAATCTCTTTCTGACCTTAACTTGGATTATATAGACTGCTGGATGATCCATGCTCCATGGGCGTTTGTGCCAAAAGTAAGATCGTTCGCTTTATGGAACATCTTAAAACTTTTTGAACAAGGATGATGAGGTTATTTCGTGCGAAGCAAAGGAAGATCAGTTCGGAGCAATCGTAGAAGAAGTCGATATTCTCGATACGTGGAAAGAAATGGAAAGATGTGTCGATCTTGGACTTGCGAAATCTATCGCAGTGTGCAACTTTTCGGGGAAAATGCTTGAAGATTTGATAAAGAAAGGGTCTCATAGTTAACCCCTATAAGCGAAGCAGTCTAAAGAACCCCCTTAGACGAAGTGTACAATTTTTGTCGATTTGGCCTTCCTCTTGAGATAATCTCCTGAAAATCACAGATTAAACATAAACGAACATTTTCTTTCAAACTGCACTTTTAGATTTTCTAAAAAACCTATACTACGCACTAGAATTTGTCTTTCTTATATAATTAATTATGTCGGAATTATTAAAAATCTTGATCCAATCTTTTCAAAGATCCCAGATTCGAATTCTCCATACTTAAAAACCTGTAAATAAGTTAAAAACAATAGCTCAGAGACGTCTAAAAGATAAAAAGAATTTTTTGTTCCTTTGAAGCGCGCAGGTGGAGGTGAGAAAAACGGTGCTCACGCAGTACTCGTGGGTCTTATCAGGCTGAAACTTTTTAGGGAGGTCCGTAATGCGTGTGCAAATACTCATTTAAGTTTTCAGATCGTTCCGATTTACAAGTTCTGTTTGGCAGGCGATAATAACCCGAAATCGACAAAAATTGTACACTTTGTTTATAGGGGTTAAAGAAGTAAGGGAATATGTGCGATCGCCATCGATAAGGGAGAAATTAATCAAACTCTTATGAAGTCGTGCCGAATAAAACCCGTCCTGAACCAAATTGAATCTCATGCAAGGCTAAAAAAGATTAATTAATAATCAATCTAAGTAGATGCATGGCAAATATTGTTTTTTTAGCCTCGTGTCAGCTTTATTTCAACAATCAAAAACTGAATTTATTTTGCCAGAAACTTAACATCCCACTAATGGGTAAGAAAATTAAACTTTTCTATAAGGTGAATGAGACGAATAAAAAAATATTAGCGTTCCATCCTATTGGCGAAACGAGAGTAAAAAGGGATGATCGTCATTTGCGCGATGATCCTCAGCTCTCCAAGTTGGCTTCACAGCTCGAGACGAGTCCAGTTAAACTTCTTCTCCGATTTCACATAGGTAATTTTCGTATTCGACTGCTCCACACTACTTTCATAGAACGAGGCATTATTCCAATTCCGAAGTCGTCGAATTCCATCCACATTCGCGAGAATTTCGAGGCCCTTTCAATGCAGCCGCTAGGAGAAGAAGTCATGAACAAACTTCTTAGTTTCGACTGTAACTTGCGATTCTACTCGCACAAATGGATTGCCAAGCTTTCAAAATTCTATCCTTTTAACGATGAAGTCTAAACCAGCGTCAATTAGAATGCATTCAAGTTCATAAATAACATATAGAAATAAATTACGAATGCTCGCAAAGAAGACTTCGTTTGACAAAAATAGGATCATCTACGTCGATTGATGTACACTTAAAATTGCGTTCACTCTTGATTAGGAATGAAATATCTTCTTGAAAAAAATCATCAAAAGTGGTCAGATTTCGTTTTACTGTAGCAAAATTTCCACATGATATGTGACATATTTCATAAAATTTTAAGCAGAAATAATCTTTCGGGCAAAGGCTTCTGGGAAAAAATGATCATGCATAAGAGCAGATGATGAATTTGCAGACATATGTTGAGTTTAGTGGACACTGAAGGACAGAGCGCGCGCCCTCCACACGGTGTCGTCGTCCCTATTCGCCTATACTATACTGACAAATACATTATGTTGATTTCTTTAAAATCTGGCGCAGTGAACATGTGACTGAATGAACAAGGAAAGATGAGTGACGGAGCGATTTGATTTTATTTTTTACTTCCGTGGCGAGCTATGGCCGAGGACCTCGCCGACAGAGTTTTTAGTGAATACGTGATCAAGAAAGAAATCGTCGACGAAGAGACTCTGGCAAGTAATTCAAGTACGGTTACCCACAGTACCAGTGAGTTCACCAGTGATGCTTCTGTGAACAAGAAAAAACAGTTAGCGAATGGGCATTGCGTCCAGCATTGTGAAAATGACACTCCAAGAAACGAGCTCAAGTTTAGACGAAAAAAGTGATCTCTACATTTAGTTTTGAGTTCATCGATAGACAGACAAATAATAATAACCTCAAGGATTCTGCATGTAAAAATACAAGGCGAGGGTTATTTAAAGGCTGTGACAGATTGAATCAGAATTTCTTCGGTAATTACCAAATAACACGTTAATCATCGTCCGTAGAGAAAATAACAAGGGTTCATAGTAATTAAACAGCTTTCTTTTTAAAAAAAACCAATAAGTAAGGTAAATGCCAGACCTAATTATTGACAGTAAGTGATAGATCAGTACGCGTTGAGATTCTTTTTCCTTTGCTTCCAGTCTTTCTTATTTAACCTCTCGTAGAAGCCACTCTGTTCCGTTCTCGAAAAATGGAAAGAAAGTGCCCAACGGAAATGAGGAAAGAATGGTACCTGCCAAATGGTCCAAATTCAAGCCAGTTCTAAATCGGATTCGCAATTCAGGCAGAGGTTTACGATTTTCACGCATTTGAAAAGCGTCTCCAGATAAATCAGAATTAAAATGATAGTTTCTGAATATTCGAAACAAAAAACCAAAAAACAGATTCGTTAAGAGCGCAAAAGAAAACAAGAGAACAATCCCCGTGCCATATATCTAGGTTCTATCAAAAGGTCATTCTTATTGAAAATATTTTTCCTAGTCGGAGAAGACGGAAGCTCCTCCCCTGGTACTCCTATACAGTTATGCTACTTATTTACATCGCCTATTTATTTCTTGGTGCAGGAATAGCTCGTGAAATGTGAAAAGTATTATTTTTTATTTTTGAAGAAAAAAATCACGAGCTAAATTAAGTTGTTTTCAGTTTTCTAGAGTCTAAAGCAGAAGAGGCTAAGTGCAAGGAGGCAAAGCGGCAAGTGAGTGTTCAGAAGTCGGATTTTTCGAAGAAATACTTCTACATCTTCGGCCTTAATTTCAAGTTCTGCAAGGGGATACAAATGTACAAAGCAAATAGTGATCCTGCTCAACTGGCTTTGGATGCTTCATATGTGAAGAAAACGTGTTTGCGAGGAACGAGAAATAAAATAGCGTTAGTGCAAGTCGCCAACAACTAAAAAGTATTTCGACAAATGGCTCTCATCGAACTGCTCGAAGCCGGCGGAAACGAAGATTTGGAACGAGATTCAAGGCAAGAACGAGACGTTCATGAAGCGATACATCGAGATTTGGAAAAGCATTTCAAAAACCGTTCTAGGAAAGGATAAGTAGACCTAAACTGACCGCGTTGTCGCAAGCTCTTTCCACAGAACGAGCAAGGAGCGCTCCATTAGGTGAATATCCTATCTTGAGCTGACTCATTCAACGATGAAATACTCGTTGTTTCTGGTGCAACGATCAAATCAGTTCTCCAGTTACCGTGTGTAAAAGCTATTAGCTTAGTCGAACTAAGATTATGAAATTTAATTTCAAAGCATTTCTGCTATTCGGAATTTCGCGTTTACACCAGCAAAGCGAACCGCCCAATTTGGCATCAACAATTTCCTCGCGCTTCAAAACGACTGTACACATAATTGGAATTTTCACAACTCATTTTTCTTTGCTGGAACAGGTAAGTCATTGTCTGGCGCGAGATGTATCTACCCTTGACCACTAAATTTGTTGAACACTTGTCAAAAAGGAGCTTAAATTAAATAGCTACAATTCAATTCAGTGGCAACGACAATCGGCTATGGATCCATCACGCCAGTAACCGAGGAGGTAAAGAAATACTAATCAGTTTGCGAACTTGAAAATGGAACGCAGCTGTCTTCTATACAGATAAGCATACAGTGGCAGACAGCACCAAACATTTCCCGATGTTTCTTCATCGTTTATGGACAGTGATGTGACGTGTCTGTCCATGACGGTAGTTCCATTAGAAGAGCAATTAAAAATTAACTCCACTCAATCATGTATTCCTAGGGCAAGCTGTTTTGCATCGTATTTACCATCATTGGCATACCCTACTTTGCCTACATGATTGGCTCGCTGGCTGATCTCATAGGTTCTGCAATCGACAAGTTCAAGAAGTCCCTCAAGCTCCCCTCGAAAGTCATAACTTACGGCTACCTGATATCAGGTTCAGCATTTCACATCATGGATTTTATCATTGCGTATTTTAGGCACAATGCTGATGATTGTTATTCCCGCCAAAATCTTTCAATTTGTTGAGGGATGGACTTTTCTCGACGCAATTTATTTCATAATCATTTCACTGACGGTATTTTCGTGATTAAAATCAAGTTATTTATCTGATTACTCGAAGACGATCGGGTTCGGCGATTTTTTGCCCCGAAATGATCCGGTAAGCCTGGTCGTTTTTGGAGCATGATTGAACTCTAATTCTTTAGCCGGATGAAGATGCAAAACGCATAAGAAATGAAACAGCTTGCCTCTATGAATTAATCAACCCAGGCCTGGCTCGAAGAAATCTAAATCGCAAATAAGTCTTTATTTTTATTTGAACAATCATGCAGTCGTATTTTGCATTTGAGCCTGCTCAAGTTCCTTCCAAAGATGTCAACAAGAATACTGGGCTGAGTAAACTTTGTGATCCGTCAGATTGGCCCGTCATGATCCAAGCCTATTACAGGAGCGTGAAATCGTGTATAGACTCTGTAGAATAGATGCTCTATAGATTTTAGAAGAAAACCAGAGCACCGTTTCAATCTTATTAAGCATCTACAGAATGTCTGTGTTCTTCTGGATTCTCATGGGGCTAACTTGGATCGGTGGCGTCATTTCAATGATTTCTGACAATTTTCAGAATTCATTTGATGCCGTTAAGGAGGTTTTACACCCAGGAGAAATTATTATTAACGCGGGTATTAAGGGTACGGACGCCTGCAATATTCAGAAATGCAATGAGACTTTATCGTTGTTGAATCGACTCGATGCAAAGGAATGGATTAGAAAAATGGATGTTTATTCCTTTACATGCATTTTGATGATTGCTTTTTTAAGGTTTCTTTATTTTGTATAATTTGTTTAGGCGCAAATCGTCGCGTGACATATGAATTATTCCGATCAGAATAAGGCCGAATGAACATTAGCAAATTATTGGCTAAAATGCAGTACAAACCTGCAAATACACTGGTAGTAAACATTACTACTTGGTAGTATGAGTTTGCCAACATGCGAAATCCAGTATCAGTTTTGCAAAGCCAACAAGAAGTCTCGGCGAGTATCCAATGCGCAAAATCACTACCAGCGATTTACTTACTCTAGTCCGACACGTTTTCCTCGGGTCAAGCACAACCGCATTCGACTCATCCCCGAAGCTCGTCCTCGAAATCTCTCCATTGTATTGAACAATCTGTCACAGAGCTGAAGAAGTTCTCCCTGTACATTACTACGACCCTTTGAAATTCAATCTCCGAAAAAGATTCTTATCACTAATTAATGAATAAAAAGTAAACTGCTGTATAAATTCCATCGCTACTTAGCGCAGAACTTGGTTTGTTGTGTCAACACCCGCTTCCTGGCAGAGGACTGTTCATACAGAGGCATAAAGGAGTTGAAGAGGCTTTGTCGTTGTGTGTCTTGATTCCGAAAACTCAAAATGGAAAGTCATCCAAAAAATTAATCTCATAAACTTTTTCGCCCGCGAGTTATAATCATGAAAGTAACCGTGAGAAAGAGAAAGGCAAAGTCGCTGCCTGAGCTGGTCCAACTGAGCATAGATTCGTTTCCCGTCACACACAGGAAAAGTGGCAAGCAGTTTTATTTACAGTTTAACGGAATGATTAATTGTCAATTTTAAAACAGATTTTTCGATATTGGAAGTGAGGAGAAGCCGCTTGTATCGGAACGATTGCGAACCCGGAACAGAGACTTTCATAATTTCTACACGTAAGGATGTTTACCCTTCCGTCAATCAATCAAGCGATACTTCAGCATCTCTTCCGTCGCCAAAGTTAAACGTTTTCCAAAACTGGTCGACACCTATGACGTGAATTACGATTCGTCGACCCTGCAGAGACTTGAAATCACGGCTAAAATAGTCAGGGAAAACTTGCGCGTTCGTGGAACGCCTTTGATTGACAGTTGCATACGCGAAGTTGTCCTGTCACGTGACTTTGGCTCGTACCTGAAACGAGTTTCTGGACCCAACAGAGTTTTGGCAAGAGCTCTTATTGAACACATTTTTGAATCAGGAGATCCACGATATGTCCGGCGACTATGCAAAATTCTCCGTGGACAATCAGGGGCTTGGCAGGCAGCGGTGATTTCTTTCTAGTAGACTAAAGCAGACGATAGTTATTTTAATCATCGACAAGGGTTACCTGGCAGACCTGATTGAAAACGAGATGCCCTTTGAGTTCTTGGAGAAAGTTATCAGCAGTTTTTGGATGATCAAATTCGTCGCTAGTTGGGTGTCTGTTAAAGGCGCAGGACAAGGATAAAACGATACTCTCGGCTTAATAAGCCGAGCTCATCGAATTTTATGTCAACCTACTGTATGTTTAATCCTATAACAAGACGCAGTGTCAACCTTGTGGTCGCAAATGAAGCTAAAGAAACACCATTTCTCACGAATAACATCGCAAAATTGCACAACAGAGGAGCAGATAATTCATTCATTCCTTCTGTACCTACAGAACGTCGACGGATCACCCGATCAGCTGATTATGAATCTTATAAGGAGCGCACCGGCTATTCGAAAGAATACCTTTCAGGATTTAGAAAAAATTCTGCATCACGAAATTAGAAAACGCAGAAATTATCAATCGTCTGTCAATTTCTAGCAAAATCCTGTTCATCGTAATTTCTTTGAATTAAATAATTACGAATTCAATCGCCTCGTCAGGACTGGATGGCCGAGCGGTCTAAGGCGTTGGATTAAGGCTCCAATCTCTTCGGGGGCGTGGGTTCGAATCCCACTTCAGTCAAACTTTTTTCAGTTGTTGAGAGTATTTTGTGATTATTTGGTCGAAAATAGCGCTTCTTTTGGGTTTGTTATCCGTTATACGAATAAAAAGCCCTGTTTTATAGCATTACCTTCTACAGCAGAATAATCAGAGGTTCCCGGAATCGCCCATTCTCCATTTGTGAATGTTTGGAACTCGAGCCCAGTTATACAGTCACTCGTGGCTGTATGCATAGCCCAAGCAATCGCTCCGCAGTTCTCATCGCAGCTGTGTTCGAAGCCCTGGAGATTCTCTTGAACGATCCATCTTCCTTGTCCAGCGAGGTTTACTCTACTGTAGCACAGTTTCAGCTTCCCGTCGTTTGACAGATAGAACAAGTGACCGTTGATCCTCTCAAAGGAACCGCTTTTGTCAATTCTAGCGTAAAATTCATTGCCAACGAGAGAGATTCCGGTCGAACATTTCAAGTCTTCAGAACATGCGCTCACGCTTTCGTCGCTGCCGTCTTCGCAGTCCGCGACACCGTCACATTTCCTGGTCCGTAGATAAACAGCGCGGTGTTCACTAGCGGAATTCGGACAGTTCAGAGTCTCTTGCAGCGGACAGTTGTAGAATGCATTTAACTCCAAAGCATCTTGGGTGGACATTCGATGGTTGTTTGGCGAAACGACATTATTACTGCCCTTGTGTGTCATATAACCAGGGCCACAGTTATTTCCGTCGTAATGCATTACAGAGTCGAAGTCGTAAGGGGATTTGAGATCGTTCCATGTCGAGCCTCTCATTGTAATTGAGTCATAATTAGCATTACGACTGGCATCAGAACAGCTGAATCTATCCTCGTGAAAATCAATAAAATCGTCTCTATCTGGACGCTGCTGTTCATGCCAAAAGCCGAGAGCATGTAAGAATTCGTGGTGAATCGTCTCTGTGCTGAGACAACCGGCTTTAACTCCGTAACATGAGGAAATCGAACCACAATCATACCTGAAAGAGAAAGAAGTTGAGTCGTCTCCTCTTTGCCTAAATGCGACCAGCATCCTTCCAATTGCTCAGGTCCATCTTCTCCTCTGTGGACTAGAATTTTCGCAGGCCAAAGAGACGCCGCAGCTTCAGTTATTTCCAGAAAATTAATGCATGTTGACCTTTCAAACTCCTCCAGTGCCATTCTTATGGGTTCTTTATATTCTTCAGGGTAGCTTGACATAAAATAATACGGAACTAGATAACTCTTGGAACTTTGATCCCATGTGTCCGTCCATTTTTGAACAAGAGCATCTGCTCCCCGGGCGAGAGTTGGGAGTATTGCTTATTTGGGTTCCAATTTATATTTTTTTCTATTATTTCGAAATAATTTTTATCCTCACAAGAAAGTTTGAACCACTGCACTAAATGACGAGTATTGCTCAAGCTTGATTTGGAAACTGAATCGTACGAAATAGTGATTCCCCGCTTCAGCATTAAATTGTACTGTCTTTTGCTGAATCGAAGATCGTCTACTAGAGATCTACGATTTTCTTTGCGGACGCTGCGTTGGATCTTGGTCTCTCCTAAGTCACTTCGCCGAGTTGAAGAAATATCAGGAAGATCATGATGGCCTGTTTCGGAATTCACACTTGCAACGGTTAGAAAATAAACGAAGTATTATATGAATCCGAGACTGGTTGCGAGACAGGACACACACACTTGTAGGATCCGATGAGCTCCGTACAAATGTATCCACTTTCGCAAGTGCCCTCGAATTTACATTCTTCGAAATCAACACAAGAGTTTCCTTCTTCAACATAGCCGGAAATGCATTCACAAGAATACCCATCGAGTTTATCAACACAAGATTTGAGCGGATCAGAACAAGGGTTTTCTATTGTTTCACATTCATCAACTGGCAGCATATTATTTGCAATTTCTGTTGAAATCGATGCTTCTATCCATTCACCTCCTACCTTCTGAAACCAGCTCTCAGATGTTTCTAAAGTAGCTCCTCCGACAACTGAAAGATACAAATCACCAGATTGCGAATTTAGCTCGGACGATACGATCCAAGAGTTCCCGCTCTCCGACAGAAACAAAAAATGACTTTCTGTTTCTGCTCTGCTGGTTCCGCGAAACTTTTTAGAAAAGTAGTCTTCTCCATTCAATATTCCAGATTTAACGTACAAGCCATTGTATTTCTTGTGAACGCTCACTCCAGATAGCTGAACGTAATCATTGACACCAAGTGTAGTCGTCGTTGTTGTCGTCGTTGTTGTCAATACGTTGTCGTCAGAAGTTGCCGTGTAGAATATCGGATTGGAATGTTCTTTCCATTGCTGCGTTACTGAATCGTAAGTTTTGAAAGTAGCCCCGTCAACACATCGACTCCATTCGGGAAGCTCTGCCATAATTATAGCTCCGCACGTTGACTCACATGACGCTTCCTGCCCCTCCACGTTTTCGACAACTATCCAGTATCCATGTCCGATTAATGTCTTCGAGTGAAAGCACAATTTCCTCAATCTGTCTTGAGATAAGTAGACGAGTCGACCATTTGCGTCGCCACTTTTAACATAAATATTTCCGGCAAGTTGAATTTGGTTACTGCAATTATTCTCGGTATTGCATTTAGCAGGATCCTCATCGCTACCATCGATACAGTCCAGAACGCCGTCACATCTCCTTGATTCCAAGTACACGCTCTGTGAGGGATAGTTCCATGTGTTGCAAGAAAATGTTCTTTGGATGGGGCACTCATAGAATGCGTTAATTTGCAGAGCATCTTGTGTTGTCATTCTATCACCCGGTGGATTCGGTTCAACACCCGCGGTGGTACCTTCAAAAGCTCAATGATTTTCGCAGCGGTAAATTATCACCTTTATGGGTCATCAACGGAATCGACCCATCAGAACAAGTGTTTCCGTAATAGTGCATGATCGAGTCAAAATCATAAGGTGAGTGCAAATCCTTCCACTGGCTAAATCCATCTTCACAATCCATCAAGCATTGGTATGTTGGACCCCAGAAGGATTCGTCGCAGGAATATGCCTCTTTGTTCATGTTAATATTGCTCGCGAAATCGCCACGTTGTTGCTCATGCCAGAAACCAAGCGCATGGATAAACTCATGCTGAACTGTTTTGGTGTTTGTGCACCCCCCGGAAAGACTGAGATGCTGGAGACCAAGTTGTGCATTACCTACGTAAGACCAGCAGCCAGCTGCTCCGACCGGCCCATTTTCTCCGCGATGAACGTATATGACCGAGTCCCAGTTGTCCACCTAAACATATAATTCTCGTTTCAGAGTTGGTCTTTTTTACCTCTGATGAAGAAATTTCAACGGTCTTTATGCAAGTAGATCTTTCAAATTCAGCTAAAGCAGCCCGAACATAAGGCTGCCACTCTGGCGGATAAGTCGGACTGAAAATCCAGGGCACTTGATATTTACTCGATGTTTCATCAAAATAATCTTTCCATTTTTTAACCGTGTCATCAGCATCTCGTGCGAAACCTTCAATAGAATATCTATAAAGATGATTTCAAAAAACTTTTAGTGGGGCCGGAAATGGTAAAAAACTGCAAGTGCAGTTTTCTTCAGCTCGTCAAGACGAGTCGAATGATGGGTCTAACTCCTAATAATTCTAAGGATTGACCAGTTTACCGGCTGGTTACCGGAAAATACGTTGTCACCGGCCGTTTTTGTTCTAGAAGTGATAGACTAATGTTTGACACCGGAAATTGTTCCTTATAGTCAGTTTACCTGCAGGCTAAAAGATAAAGGTTTTATCAATTCTCTGAAGAGAGTTATCAATAAAATACTATTTTTGGCGAAAATGGGACTAGAAATTAGGAACGTGCAGCAACAACAAAATTTTAGTAAAAATTACTCTTTTTAGTGATAACTCTCTTCAGAGAATTGATAAAACCTTCATCTTTTAGCCTGCAGGAAAACTGACTATAAGGAACAATTTCCGGTGTCAAACATCAGTCTATCACTTCTAGAACAAAAACGGCCGGTGACAACGTATTTTCCGGTAACCAGCCGGTAAACCGGTCAATCCTTAGAATTATTAGGAGTTAGACCCATCATTCGACTCGTCTTGACGAGCTGAAGAAAACTGCACTTGCAGTTTTTTTACCATTTCCGGCCCCACAAAAGTTTTTTGAAATCATCAAAGCTCGTGAATAAGATTTTTTGCGAACGGATAGTTAGTTGTCATATTCTGATCCTTTGATTTTTCTCTCAGAGAGCATAAGACTGGGATTGCTATCAATAAAACGTTCTGGAGGGAAAACTCCTCGTTGTGCAAGTCGCGCAGCTTGAGAAGATGTAAATCGAATATCACCAAGCAAGTCAACATCGTCTCTCTCAGGTTTTTCACGCACGTCTTTATTATTTCGCTGGCCATTAATTCCATCTGAACTGTTCTCTAACATTCCTAAAATGTTATTTCATACCTATCGTCAGAACAGAATGAGTATCGAATTCTGGTATCGGGAAATGGGATTCACTCATCACGCCACATAAGCAATCAAAGGAGCCAACAGTATTCAAGCAAGACATAGAAGCGGGACACATTTGTTGTTCCGTGTCACACTCATCAATGTCTACGCATTCTCCGAACTCATTTTTTACAAAACCTCTATCACAAATGCATAGAAAACCACCATTTGTGTCGACACAACTTGAGTTTGGTAAAGCATCACAGGAAGATGGGTTCAGAACGCATTCATTCATCATTGATGTTTTCTTAAGAAAGTTATTATTCCTACTCAACGACCAAAGGGAGAACCTTTATTTTTCCGTCGAAATGTGAGAAACAGCCGAATTCGTCTCGGTATTCTGTTGCTTCCCCAGTTCCACCAGAACACAAAACTTGCTCGAACGAGCGGAACATAGAATGAACTGTGTCCCAAACCATAATTCGGCTGTCACTCTCTCCAAGACAGTAAGTGTCTTCAGGATAAAACCATTCAATTCCGCAAGTAGTGTCGCACGAGTTAATAACTTTGTCGACTAGAACCCAGCCAAAATCACTCCTAAAGCATAAGAACTTCGAATGTGAAGGTGAATTCGTATACAGTGCATAGACGGGATGTAAATTTACAATCTTTTCTCAGAGTTAACTAAATATCCAATTTTCTTTGGCGAGTCCCGTTAGCGGATATTCTTGAAACTCTTTCCTCGTTTGTTAGATTGAAAACTTTTGAATTTATCTCAACATGAGATGAACAAGTGCTTGTATCTCCTTGAAAGGAATTTACCAGCCTGTACTCTAGATAGTTAGGAAGTAAGTGATTGTGTTTAATTTGCGTTCCACAAAAAGACTTCGAGAGGCATGTTTGGGTGTTCGATTTGATCTCACATTTGTCATCCAAGCTATTGCAATAACCGTCAGAACACAGCGCATCATACTCGGGAAAGCAAGCTGATGTTTCTCCGGCTAAAAATAATTTATTTGGATTCAAAATACATTAAAACTTGCAAGGATCAAGCTCGAAACCATGTCGACATTTACACTCCCCAAGAGAGCACTTTGCACTTGCGCCGGCACAGTACCGCTCTGTGCAAGCACAGTCATCTTCATCTGAGCCATCGAAACAATCGCTACTCCCATCGCATCGAAAGCTGACGGGGTAGCGAAGTCTGTATTTTGTGAATTCTCCAACGGGCTATTTTATAGTTAATCAACGAAACTCATTTTCAAAAATTACCTGGTAATCATCGCAAAAGTTGTACGTATTGAAATGGGGACAATAAAGATTCTGAATGCCGAGTATATCTTCAGCAGAAAAGCGACTTCTTGCTACCAGAGGACCAATTGAACTCGTAATGAAATCCTCTCGAACAGAATCCATCTTTTTCGAGCAGCCTCCCGAGGGAAGAGACATAATGGAGAGAGGATCGTAAGGCGCTCCACTCTCTGATTTTTAGAAATAATTTTTAAAAAGAAAAGTTACTCATGCCTTTATGATCGACGTCCGTTACAGTAGTGGGAATTCTAGAGCATCCGGTACATGTAAGGGGACTGCCATTATAACGACAGTTTCTAACGCGAATCTCGCTCTCTTCAAATGCGAATGTCAAGTATTTTCGTGCAACGCGTCGCCTGTGCTCATACTCAGCGCCAAGAGTGTGCAGCAGCATTTGTCCCAAAGAAATATCATCATCGCATTTTGCCTGAATGGTCACAAGCTGAGTTGACTGCCCACCGTATCCTCTATACTTCGGGATAAAAACTTGTATTTATCATAACCTCAAATGCTCCCAATTATAAATAAAAATATTCTATAATCGTATATTAGACTCATCCCTAGTTGAAGAACACTGATAACTTGCAGCAGTATTATAGACAAATTTGATGAATGGAAGTCCATACTGAACGAAAAGATTCTCTTGAACACCAACATCCGACATGGTTAAACAAGTATGCTCATCCAAGTCATTGAAATGCTTTAAGAGTGTGTTCCTAACAGAGGTTGGAAGAGAATGGCCAAAGCTGTAGTAAACAAGAAATCCGCCTTTTTGATCTGGGTACTGATTCCACGTTGTGAGGGCATGCACTGCACTCAGCAAGAGCACAATACTCCCAAACATGTATGCCAAATAATCTGACTGGTTTATTCTCTTGCTCACTTCTCTATTATTTTTTTAACGCATGAGAAAATAAAGACCGGAATGAGCCGAAGATCACTATCACGCTGCACGTTGCATTCAAAAAATGTTCCAAAAAAATCTTGCGAGTTGTTTTTTTAGGATTTTCTCGACATTGCTGACTATATACCAGATAAAGCCATCAGGAACTACCTGATGAGGATCTATCAGGTAGTATTTATTCATAAGCCATATCTATTTATTGAACAATACGAAAATAGAATTTATAGAAAATATATTTTAAAGTAGTTTTTGAACTTATTATAAAAAGTGAGGTTCCCTCACCGGGGATGGATGAAGAGTGATATTGAGAAGAGGTGAACTTGTTGAAAATGGGCAAAAATAAGTGGTAGTTTCAGGAATAATTTTGAAATCGTGTATTTCGTAGGGGAGTACTGCGAATTTCATATTGGAAGACCATTCGATGTGAGATCGTTCGGAATTGACATAGTTTCGAGTTCAGCGCCACAAGCTTCAGTCACAAGTTGAAACTAAGACGTAATTTTAAGAAGGTACAATTTGTTCAATTTACCTCAGTACTCAGAACTGAAAACTCCTTCCTTAAACCTTCGATCTTTTCTGCACATCCAGCTTTGCACACGCGCTTTTCTTGAGATTCATGCTTACGCTAAAATACTCATAAATCACAGTATGACGAAATATAGCTTACATTTTTTGTAGGATCCACGAGAACGATGTCGCAGTCTTCGTTCGTCACGTGGGGCAGTGAATACAGATATTTCCAAAAGTTTGAAAGTGTGAAAGGAACAAAGGTCGGCTCCTTCATCAAACGCATTCTTTTGTTGAAACGACTACATAGTCGCTTCAGATTCTCTCGGCCATTGGTTTCGGTAAGTAAAGTTGTCACAAGACGGCTTAAATATATTGAACATATGGATTACAAGGCCTATCGTAAAATTGACAGATTAATTTTTAACGTACCTTGTTTGATCATCACCCTGCAAAGTAGGGTGGGTCACTTTTTAATCATTTTTCGAGCCGCACTTTCTTTTTGTGCTTATTTTAAAGCTCTCGTCGTGCTGATCATTTTGAGCACCCGAACACCTCTGTGCACTCCCGGGAAAGTACTTTTACAGACTCTAGAAAATCGTGAAAATCGCGAAATTTTGGCCGAATTTGGCTCAATTTTGCGGTATTCGGGCATTCAAAATGTCTACAGTTTTTTTTCCTGTCATTTCCCGGGGTAGTTTCGGGTACCAAAATGACCGGCTTAACGAGAGTAGTATTATCCTTTTCGTTTTGCGCGTTCGCACTATTCTTCTGAGAACAAACATCGCGGGGCGCGCGCTCATTGGCGGGCGCTCCGCCAATAGCGCTCAAAATTTAAAATTCAAGTTCAAAATCATTTTTCTCAAAAGAGAAGTTTTGCATGTTTTGTATTGTTGTTTGTATTGTTTTGGATTGTTCAACACGAATTCTTGAATAATTCATGTAATAGCCAGTATTTTTACCAGGTTTTTTATAGATTTGCTTTCGAGAAAAAACACGAGAAGATATGAAGAAAATCAACGAAGAAGAAATAAAGATAAGTAAAAAATTCAATAATTTTCTAATTTCAAAATTAAATTTGGTGAGCAATGCGCTCCAGACTTAAAATAAGGGTTGAATTAAAAACTGGGAGAGCTTGGTATCACTTGTTTGGATCTCGGTCCTGGGAAGTTTCTCGCTCATAATTAGGCTTTTTTAGTATTAGTTAGATTTTTAAGTCTGTGAGCATCGTGCTCCCATTATATTTAAAAATTTAATAGTTATAATTTTTCTAAATTCAAATCTAATCTAAAATGGTGAGCAATGCGCTCCAGACTTAGTTAGGCTTTTTAGTATTAGTTAGATTTTTTAGTCTGTGAGCACTGTGCTCCCGTTTAATAGAATTTAGTAGATATTATTTTTAATACGTTAAAATAGAAAAAATAAACTATATTTTCAGCCCCAGCGACTGGAAGGAAGCTGTCTTCGGCATCAAGCAGCTCTACGACGCTAACTGGATTATTTGCAACCCAACTACTCCAGGTAAAGCTTACCAATTTAGATCTTTCTTCACTAAAATTCTAGCCAACGTCATGCACGTCCATCGACGACAGATCGCTCTTCCATTCCGAAAGCCCCTCATTCTCATGACTCCCAAATCTCTTCTTCGACTTCCAGAAGCTCGATCCGAATGGTCAGAAATGGGCCCTGGCACACAGTACAGACGGCTCATCGGTGAAGAAGGCGCTGCCTCCAAGGTAAAATAATATCCTTCATTCATTACTTAAACTTTACGCCATTCAGAACCCAGATAACGTCAAGCGACTGATGTTCTGCTCTGGAAAGGTCTACTACGATCTCGTCAAGATAACAGGCTGCCCGAGGCTTCGAAAACGACATCGCTATTGCTCGAGTTGAACAGGTATTTTCAGCTTTTTTACTCAAAGGCTTATTCTTCTATAAGGTCGCTCCATTCCCATACGATCTCGTCATTCCCGAGCTCGAGAAATTCAGGAACGCCGAAGTCTATTGGGTCTAGGAAGAGCACAAAAACATGGGTTTCTACGACTTCTGCAAGCCCAGACTGCGAACTGCTTCCAACTGGTCCCGCCGAGTCCACTACGCTGACCGAGACTCCGTCGCCTCCGCCACTGCTAGTTCCAAACAAGTAAGATTTTCACGAAATTAGCAAAAGTTATTTTGCGTTTTAGGTTCACAAGATCGAGGAGGACAAGTTCATGAACGATGCTTTCCGAAGGGCGCCAAGGGTCGATTGTACAAATAAGCCACCTATTCTATCACTTACGAAGTACTGATTCCTCCCACAAAGAAAAACTATTGTCCTTAAAGCTTGTGTGTTCCCTTTTCTCACCTTCGTTCCTGTTGTTCAATAATTAATTAAAGTAATGCACCTACATGTACAAACCTCCGTCTCTTCCCTTACGTTCAACAAAATACCTTTTTAAAAATCTAACTGCAAAAAATTTTGCTTGTTTTGTGTCTAAGGAAAAAACTTAAACTCTTATTTATTCGGTCATTCGTTCTTTTGGCCCCGCAATTCATTGTAGCCTTCAGTAACTGGTATCAGCTAATCAAAGTAAAAATACAAACTGTGTGTACTAATAAGTTGAAAATACAGTAGAGCGCAGTCCGATACAGTGCTCAAATAGTTACTTGTAATGAGCAGTAAGGCGTCGAGTAAACCGATTTTGCGGAGAGTTTATGATCAATTAGACAGGTAAGAACGATTCTAGACGTCGAAACGGCTCTAGAAATGAAAAAAAACATGGCTTATCAACTTTTCAGTGAGCCTGAAGATCTGAGAAAAAAGCTCTCTCGGGTGCGTGATTCTTTCGATGCTTTGGACAAAGAACTTTTTCCCTCTGGCAGGCCGAAAGATATCTACCGAGAACCCCAGCTTTTTCCTGGAACAGAAGATGGGAGGGATAAACATCATCGTCGAGTCAGAACTATCAAGCCTGTGTTGAAACGAATCGTTGATCCGATCGAACCTTCCAGCGGAGAAGAAGATGATGATCTTGTGATTGTCGATTCGAAGCCGGGAAAATCAAGAAAGCACCGGAAAAGGTCGGGTTTCCGGGAAAGAAGAAAGAAACGAAAGCGGTCGAGATCTTCTAGTCCAAGTTAGAGTTGCAATTTCCCTTAGAGCATGCCCATTTTGATCTTTCTTTTTTCAACTCTTTCAAAAGTCGAAAGCATCGCTCAAGATCGCGCAGTCCTATCCGCCGGCGAAAGAATCGATCCAGAAGTACAAGCAGAAGTATGCATTACTGCTCGAAGCATCGATCGAAAAAGTCCAGAAGTGAAAAGAGGGAGAAACGCTTGAGTCGTCGGAAAAGCAGTTCTACGAGTAAAACACAAGAAAAACTTCCTCAGACTCTTCCTCCTCGACAGAACAACGACGAGCTCATCGAATCTCCCAAATGCTGTTTCTAGTAGCGATCAGTCCTGTTCAAGAACTGCTAGCTCTGATGTCTCTCGCACAGGCGTTCTCCAAAAAGAACAAAAGGGCAGTACAACCGATGTCTGGTCAGAAGCATCAATCAGAAATGCTCGACTCTCGATGATGATCGTGCAAGTGGATAAAATCCGAAACAAGGTGAAAAAAATCGAAAATTCCCGAAGCACACGCTGAAATCTGTTGGATAGTTCCTCATCATCAGAGCCGATTACTGGCCGCTCGACTGAATCTGATGGAGATAAGAATGCTGACACTAGGACTCTCCCTGCTCGAGCTGTTGCTAGTCAACTCGACGCTTATTTTTGAAGGTAGCTTATCTTACAGCAAACGCACGGTAAAGCATCTTTTCCTAGGTAACATCATCTGCCATCGTGGACAAGTAAATCGGTGAATCTGTTTGTCTCATCCGCGAAATGTTCAACTACGCTCGCGACAATCAACCCTGCATTATTTTTATGGACGAAATCGACGCTATCGGTAGCAGACATCTTTCAGAAGAAATCTCTGCTGATTGTGGAATCCAAAGGTATCTTTACTTCATTTTTACTAAAGCTTAATGTCGCTCGCAGTACTCTGATGGAATTGCTCAATCAAATGGACGACTTCGACACGCTCGGAAAGGTGAAAATGATCATGGCGACGAACAGACCTGACACGCTGGATCCTGCACTTTTGCGACCCGGTTGTTTGGACAAAAAGATCGAAATCCGTATGAAGCCACCTTAGAAAATCCTCGATCTAAACTCAATTCTAGCACTGCCAAATGAGCAAGCTCGACTTGACATTTTGAAGATTCACTCGCGTCCACTCGCTACTCACGGAGGAATTGACTTCGAGGTAATCTTGTTTTCGCTTCTCTCCCTTTTTCACCCCTTTTTAATAGGCGGTTGCCAAGCACTCGGATACATTTAATGGAGCTGATTTGCGAAACATTTGTACAGAAGCAGGTCTTTTGCAATTCGATCCGAACTCTTCAACAAAGCCGACCACTCACTTTGCAAGAACAACGAGACAAACTATTTCTCTCTCTCTCTTTTCTTTTCTTATCATCACTGTTTCTTTTTGTCAACTAGTCATTCAATACAAAGGCGATTGTTCACACGCATTCTTTAATTCAAAAAAAACTCGTGTTTTATCTTTCCTTTGCAATATAAGATTCATGATGGAAATAGAAAACTCAGCACTCGTTTGATATTTCTGACAGTTATCCTTATCTGTCTGCAGCGCGCATAAATTTAGACAGTTTTGTAATGGTGAAATTGTTGACCGATCTCAAAGTAGGAGAAATTCGTAAAGAGCTTGCTTCGGTGCAAGAAAGTACGAGGGGTAAGAAAGCTGAGCTTCTCCAAAGATTATCCGACTTTTTGACAAGCAATGACTTTAATCCCGATACCTACGATTTTGCTACTCATTCTCTGATGCCGGTATCTGACGGCGAAGGAGAACTTCACATTGTCGAAAATGAGCAAGAATCCTCTGCCACGGACGCAGAAGACCATGAAGTCCAAGAAATTCACGATGGAACCTTGAGAGTGACAGTTTTCGAGTCGAAGGATGAAGCTGACAGCCAATGTGATAATCTCCAAAATGGGGTTAAATTCGTGCACAAGCCCCATCGGTCGTTTCTACGACTTATGCAATCCAAGGGGGTCCCCAAACGCGGGAAAGATTGGCGATCATGGGAAACGTCGGCTATCGGGGTCATTCTACAGCCAATTTTTGGGTTGGATGGTTTTGGCGATTACGACTTTGCAGTTGTGGAGGAAATAAAAAAAACTCGAACTGGGCTAGAGTTTAGACATTGCATAGAGAGATTAGACTTGTTCTATTCTCTAAACATAACACCAGATGAGAATGGGGCTGTCTTAGGTGATGAGTACATACACACCATCGACAAACTTCTCTGTGCAGAAAAGAAGCGATTTTGTCTTCCCCAGCGCCACGAACTTACTTCATTTATTTATACACCAAAAAGCAAATGGAAGAGAAAAGAAAAAAAACAAGTTAAATTGCACATCTCGCCTGATAACTACCCCATCCTCGAATGGAAACATTTCCAGTCCATCGCCGAATGTTTCATCACCAAAAAACATCGGTACTACAAACTTTACATGAAAGAACGAAGCAAAATGACGAATGGAGTTTTCCGGAAACATATACGACAATCAGCAAGTGATTTTCATGCCCGATATGGTGATATAACAGCAAGATCCCATCTTGTGCAAATTGATCATATTGATGATTTTGAAAAGTCAGTATGAGTAAATTTACCGTTTAATCATTTTTCTACTAGTGCGACTCGAATCGCCCAAGAGGGCGCGATAGCTGAGGGAGATGGAGATATCAGCCTTGCAATCGAAAAATACGCCGAAGCAATCGCCTTGGATCCGACGAACAAGGTCTACTTCGGTTATCGATCGGACGCGCTCCTCCAACAAGAGCAGTTCCCCGAAGCTCTTAGGTAATAAGATTCAATTTTTATCCATCTCTCCTTTATTTCTAGTGACGCGGTGAAAGCAATTGAACTTGAGCCCACATGGCCAAAAGGCTACGCCTTGAAAGGGCAGATTTTGATGGCAACAAAGAAATTTGAGGAGGCAAAAGTCGAGTTCGGAATGATGAAAAAGTTCGATGAATCTCCTGACGAAGCTATCGAATGGTTAAATATCTGCCAGCAAGGTAAATCAAGCTCAAGGATCACTTACTTATTTTCACTTTTAGAAGAGGAAAAGGAATGTGCTCATCGTGAACGAACTGAAGAAAGCGTCAATCAAGCTACGTTGGAAAGAAAGCAAAAGGAGCAAGAGATCGCTTCGGCAGAAGATGAACAGCCTGCGCTCGAAGTAAAACGAAACGAGTATCGAGAAAAAACTGGTGTCGTCTTGGAGAAAGTCAGCAAAAGTAAGTTGATTAAGTCAGAACAATATTTACAAGAATTCAGAGCCTGTTCGGCGCAGAAAGCGTTTGTTGAGCAGTGACGAGGAAGACGCAGCGGCTAGTTCAAGCGATGAGAAGAAGAAGAAACAACGAGACTCGGATGAAGAGACACCTGTTCTATCGCCTTTCAATCCCAAGCACAATAATACAGAAGTCACTGAAGACGATTCGTCTTCCGATGATGATTCCAACGCAGAGGTAGCAGGAATAATCAATTATAGAGCTAAGTTTATCATTAAGGCCGATGTACAACAGCAAGCGATGCTTTCGTCGATCAGTGGTGAAGAAGCCGGACCACCAAAGCCACAGAAAGACACTTTGGTTAGTTCAAACGATGGAGCATCTACTGATATTGCGGCTCCAACGCCGGTGGTCGCTGCTTTGGATGATCAGAAGATCGCTGAAATGCGTGCCAAGATCTGGGAGTCGAACGAAAAGCTCAAATTGCTGGGCGCTAGAATCCAGAAGTTCGATAATAAGAGCGTTAACAGGATGAGGTTTCGCTCTATGATCGACTTCTTGCGTCTAGCTTACGATCAAATGTCGAAAAAGCTTCATCATCTCGTCGAAACCGCCGGCAAGGAAGGGCTTGCACCCTTGGAAATGGAAGTCGCAAGTTTGGGAAAATCGCTGGAGCAGTTGTCTAGCGATATTTTTGACAAAGAGGTGCACTGGCACAATCAGCAGCATGAATTGGACAGAATCAACCAAGAAAAACGGCAGCCACATCAGCCAGCGATCGCAACTCCTCATCAACACAGTCAACTGTCAAATATGCCGTCACAGCATTTTCAACCTCCTCCTCAAATGAGCTTCAACCAGCGATTTACTCCCCAAAATAATTTTGGCCCCCCTCAGCAGATTCCTCCTCATCATCAGATTCCTCCTCATCAGCAGATTCGTCCTCATCATCAGATTCCTCATCACAGACAGTTCATGCAACCACTTGGCAACAGCCAGATGAATTTGCCACGCCGTGGACCAGTGGCGAAAAATGGATGCAAACCAGCGCAATCCACAAAAAGAAAAAGAACAAAGAATTAAAATGAAGCTGTTCTTTTTGTATTTTATAATTTTGTATTTTTCGAGCTCTTTATAAAACCGGAAAAGCTGTCATTTTAGGATCCCGGCTCTCCTACAATATATCTCACATTCATGTGTAGAAGTTTATTAATTTATTTTCAGGTTCAGTTTACAAAAGCGAAAATATTTCCTAGGAAGTTTTTCCTGATCCGCTTTGAAGAGAAACAAACTTGGTGCGAAGCTCGCGACGATTTCGTTTTCGAGCAAAGAATTCCAGAAGGAAGCGAAGAAAAGTCTCTTGATAAGAATGGAAAGTTTATACGTGTTTTGCGCGAACGAGCGGAAAAGTTACTCAAGAATGAGGGTGGAAGTCGGCGCTGCGAAGGTAAGTCCGATCTTAAAACGAGATCGTAGGGGCCTTCATTCACGACCTGGAAGATGAATTTAAAACGGTCAGAGTTGCATCGCTGAATTCTCTTTGCACCTTAGCCGCTAAAGAGTCCACTGGAGATTTCGCCAAGCAGTCGATGGACTACATGGTAGACATGCTCACCGATGAATTGGAAATTGTTCGCCTGAAACCGATTAATAACTGCGTAAAACTGGCTTCGCGAGTTCCTGTTTTGCTGGAAGATCAGAATGAGAATGTATTGACGAGCTGTTTGCCCGATTCTAGGCGAGACATTAGGTAAAATCATTAAAGAATGGGCAAAAAAGATAATTTACGGGCGAAAAATTTATAAAGAAAGCGCTATTTCTCCGTTTCATCTTTATTTCAGAATTTCTACCCATCGATTACTGTCCTGCTGCCGTCTTCTGTCCAAAAATGCCTGAATCGAACAGTAGAAGAGCTCATCCAAAGTCTTCAAAAGTTCCCCGAGGACGAATCATCCATTTACGTAGCTGTTTGCTGCCTGTTAAATGCCGACGTCCCTCTTCATGCACAACAATTGTTGGCTCACAAGATCCAGAGCCCATTAGAAAAAGAAGCTGTCTGAGGCCTTGATCTGCGTTCGATCCTCTGGAAAACTCTTTCACAATGAAATCGGAAAATATAGATTTTTAAATGAACTTATCCGCGTTGTCTCTCCCAAATATCTTGGACCAAGGTAACGTGGCTTAAAACCTGGCTTATCGCATGAGCATCAGTCCGCTGCGCTCCCCCTCTCGCCTCGAGTTCGGAGGACTTTCATTTGGAGGACCTCTTTTTGCGCCCTCACGCAGATGTAGGGACTTGTAATTTGCTTGACCTCCCAAAGAAAAGCCACTTGACTAAAATTTATTTTGTTTTTAGGTCATCACCGCAGGTTAAAACTAGAATTATTGAATTGATGTATGGTTGGACTATTGCATTAAAAGGTTGAGCTTTTCTTATTCTTACAGCTACTGACTTTGAGTTTAGACCAAATAAAGATTGCTGATGCGTATTCAATGCTCAAGAAACAAGGCATCGTCAAGAAGGACCCGAAATTCGACGACAGAAGATTTCTCCCTACTCCTCAACAAAAAGAAAGGTACCAATTTAATCAAAATCAGTGTTGAAACATTGTTCAGGTGCGCATTAATAAAAGACGATGCTGAGGAAAAGCGACTGGCGGAACTTCTTGCGTCCAAGAATCCAGAAGACATCGCCCTGGCAAATGAAATGATCAAAACCATGTACGAGCAAGACAGTTAAAAGACCGATCGAGAGGCGCGCAAAATGCTTTTGATGACAGAAGCGAAGGAAAAATACATGCTCATGGATGATATGATTGCTGCTGGAGCTACGTAAGGCCAAGTTCTTCTCTCATTTATTAACACTCTCTGAATAAAGAGCGAAATCGGCGATGGCAACAGTCTATTCGGACTTGGAATCAATGAGGCCACAGCTCTTCCGTCTCGCGTCAGAAGCAAATTAAAACAACGATGAGTTGATGGCGGTCCTCAGGCTAACAGATGAAGTCAATCGAGTCATCAATGTCGTGAAAGATAAATACCCCGATGTAGTGGAGCTTTCGAAGTAAATTCTTTCTCATATTTCCTCCCTATTATTGCATTCTAGCGCTTCTACGCCAACTTCAAATGGAAGCAGCGTTCCATCATCTTGTCTCACTGCAACATCAAGTCCGGATACCCAAACTTCTCGCCTCCACGACCTCGGCGTCGACTTGAACCTGCTCGGCCTCGAGGATGATCCTCCATCGAACAGACCAGCTCAAAGTAGTGGAAATGTGATCGACGATTTGAAAACTCTGAACAGTATATTTGGGTCCTCTCCAATGGGAGAAACACCGTAAGTCTCAAGAATTTTCTCAATTTATTAGCTACGATCCTTGGCAGAGGTAGTTTTATAAAGGATTTTGTTCATTTATGCATGCATTTATTATCAGCTAACAATTTTGCCTTTACTCGTCGATTTTGATGATTACTGAAGTTCTAACAATTTTTTCAGTCAGCCAACTCTGCTGGATATTAACCCATCAGCACCTTCTGTATCCGCCATGACGAGCCAAGCCAGTCCCCAAATCGCCGTTTGGCCCACTCCACCCGAAGTGGCGGCTTTGACGGGAATCAAAGTCAATCTCGCTGATTTCCAGGCTTCTTCGACGACAAGAACTCTTGTCGACGATGATGGAGTCAGAGTCATCCTTGTCCGAGGAGAGAATAAAATTCAAGACAGAAGTGATGTCCCTGTACTGCTAGTCACTTTTGATTCGACAAATCCTGCACCTATCGAGAATTTAATGTTCAATGCTAAAGTTGCAAAACCTTTCAGGTACGAATCCTTTTCACTTCGAACCCTTTCAAACATTTTCTTTCAGAATAAAACTATTACAGCCATCAGGCAACGAGTTCCCTGCGTTCAACCCCGTTTCATCAACTTCTTCGCGCATTACACAATTGATTCTAGTGGGAGGGCCGCTCATCCCAAATCAACTGGCAGCTCTCTGCGCCAATACCTAAATAATGTATGGGTAGTAATTTATGACTGTGGTCTCTGTTCGTAAACGAATAAACTATTTTATCAATTTTACCAATTGACAGAAGCCCAAAATGGACATTTTGTCTTTTCTTAAGTTTTGAATCCTAGGAAGCATGCATACCGCGAAGCGGTAATATTGTTGAAGTATTAATTCTCCATTGCAATTTTCCTACGCAAAAGAAAGGGCTTAATTGATATTCGTGCATGTATATAATGCTAAAGGACGCAGGTACGCAGTTTTTACTAAAGTGAGATATGAAATGTACGTGGATTGTACTAAAAAATATGCATTCTTACTCAAGGAAAAATAGCGATCACCTTCCAAGATGCAATTTTCAGAGTCCAAAAAAGCACCTGTTTCCGGAATAAAAATAAAAAGAAGGAGAAAAAAAAAGCCAAATATTTTCCTCGCTATCTTTACTAATTCTTTTTATGCGGCGAAGTCTCCCCTTCAAAATCAACAGATTCGTAGGACAGACGCTTATCGGTCAACTCTGGATTCCTCTCATGATAATCGGACTTTTTGGTTCACCAAAAGTACGAAAAGATAGCAACAGACGAGTCTCATTTCCTGCAAATATCTCATCAACAAGAAAGTTTTCAAAAGTTGCATGGAGTTTGCAGATTTTTTCATTTTATTCAAAAAAGCAGGAAAAGAGCAAAAGTTTCGGGATAAAATTTGATAAAGATAGTATTGCTTGTCATTTGATGAAACGAATATGATGAAGGTTGTCTATTATGGCAATAATGAAGAATAAGTTAATCATTTTATAAAATAAAGCAGTAAGAGTATAAAGTAGTTTTAACAGAGTAAATGGTAAGAGGTACATTGTTTAGGTGAACTATAACGATTCATTTTATCATGATAAGAACATATATCTCTTTGAGAAAGGTTATTTTAATTTAACTAATTAAATATCAAATTGCTTGGAATAAACAAGAATATACCACAAATAATGTTTCATTTTGAAAACTTCGGAGCGTTTTTAAGCGAAATCTACTTTATATAGCTAATTTAGCTTCACTTTGAATAGTTGTCTCTTTCGAAAGGGATTTTTCCACCTCATTTTTTTATTTATGAAGTGAAGGAGAAACTTTCTTCTTATATTCGCTAGAAAATAGGGCGCGTAGCATGAGATCAAGAGTCGTGAATATTTGAACGACCTAGAAATTGACGTTCAAAAAGTTTTTCCGAGCGATGTTATATGGTTGACCTACTTCAGAAATTTACTATTGCCCTCAATATTCCTTATCTGTCCGACTTGTTACGTAAAGCTATGAACAGCATGCTCGAATCATTTGTTTTCTATTTCCGTGGTCCTTTATCCCTTGATCGGCTGATTTAGGAGCTTCGCTTTTTTCGCCATCATTGTCTGATTCAGTTGACGATTCTTGATCAGTCAGACCGATTTAGCGGTTATAAGGAAACGCCGGTGAAGACAAGGCTCATTTTATCCAAGAAATTTATTTTTTTTTGTGTTGACAATGGAAATCGACGCTCTCATGAGAGAACGCGAAGACCGCCTCGGTCTTCGAGATTTAGCCCTCGAAAAAGAGAGTGAAAGTAAGTCTGATATTAAGTAAGACAGAAAGATTATATGCGATTTAGGGGAGGATGAAATCAATGCACTGGAACAAGAGCGACAGGAATTGGAACTACGATTGTTTGAGATGGAAGAAAGGGTTATTGAAGCCCAGCAGGAAAGAGAAAGATATCAAGCACTTGCACAGCTAGCGCAAAATGATGCTGATCGACGTAAGCTTTTAAATTTAACACAGATAAAGACACTTATCCCGAATTTTAGTTGAGGATGAAATAATCGTGAGAATCAATGCTATGGAAAATGAAGAAGAAAACAACGACGAGGGTTTCGTAGAGGTGGATGAAGATTTGGATGATCTGAGCGACGAAGAGAATGCTGATTGATGATTTTTTTTTGACGAAGTACACTGAAAACAGGTTGACACTTGTAGCTGACTCAATTGGAATAAAATAAATAACTACCTTCAATACTATTTGTATTTTTCTATGCAGTCACTTCGCATTCGCAACATGGTTTGAACTTCAGATTCAGATTTATAAGTCAGCTGAAGGGAGTCGACTTGATTTAGGTTTCGAATATCTGGGAATTCTTTGAAGCCGATTTGCTTGCGTTTTGATTCAGAGTTCGTACTAAATTTTGCCAGCTAAATAACAAGCAATTCATCTTACATTAAAAAAACGATAAGTCTTTGAAATTCGACGAGTAGTAAAGACGGGTCGTTGAATTTCTTGGCATTTTTTTTCTAAGTCGTCTATGTCGTCGTAATTTTCAAAGATATCGTAATCAAAATAATCTCTTCTTTCTTTCTCCAACGACGCGAAAGAACTCCAATCAAGGGGAATAACCGGCAAGAACCTTGTTATTATAAATAAGTTTGTATGTTTTTGGCGTTTTACCTTACTACGTTTTTTCTAAATCTGCCATTTATTAGACCCGATAATATGTTTTCGTCTTGAAGCCCATTCAACTTCTTGAGTTTCAAGCAGGCCCAGAAATTTTCAGTTGGGAACCCTGGCCATAAACAAATCGTACATACTCCATGAAAGTTATGACGCCAAGAAACACTGAAGTTTTCAAGATAAATCGCGTCGAAGATATTTAACTCTCCGTAGAGCCTTTCGATATCAATTGGATCGGCACGTCTTTTGCGGATGGTGATTTTGATTATATTTTTTCTAGTATTAAGAAGAAATAGTGTAAGCAAGCATCCGGGAATAATCGATTTAAACATAACCAGGCCAGCAGTTGAAATCAACGGATTAACAGAATTTCGCCGATTTTTGCAGCTCCCGATTTCCCAGCTGTCTATTTTCTCTGGGATTACAGAAGCCAGCTCATCAGGATTAACAGCACAAAATGCCTTCATTTACGTCTTTTTTCGTTTTTTTCTATTTTGAGGTGCAAAAACGGAACCGTGAACTAAGCTAATCAATTGTTTGCAAATGAATTGACACTGTTATTTTATAGTCGCGGAAGTTTTATTTCTTTGCGGAAAAAAAGGCGAAAAAGTGGACAAGTTGATCTGTGAAATGAAAGAATAAAAAGACAAGCTAAACGATGAGGATGAATAATTATAATAAGTCGAGTACTGGAGGAGTTGTTTTATTCGTCTGAGTCGGACGAAATCGTTATGACTGCATCAGTTTTCGCTTTTTTCGTAGCTGGTTCCTTGAATAAGGTCTTTGGGATTGGTAGAATAACTTTGCATTTACCTGAATCTCCTCCGAGTTACGACGAAATAAAAATCTTTTCCATGCCGGTTTTCCGGCGAGTCTTAATTTTGAAGTCAGAACTATTCTCAATAAGAGTTGAGACTAACTTTTGACGATATAAAAAGGGGTTCTTCTTTCGGGGCGTTGAAGGATTGATCCTTGTTGGGTCTTGATAATCAAAATTGATTGGAGTCGAAGGTCTAGCTGGCTAAAAGATAAAAGTCAGAATATGCACATAGAAGTAATAGATTGCCTGGAAGGAGTCGTCGTCGGAACTTTCCGAGTTGATGTTGCTTGCGAGTGCTTTAATTCTATCCGCAAGGCTCGTCTCGTCGTCGTTATCTCTCAGTTCTTTTTGAGTTTGCTCGTTCTCAGCATCGAAATCTCTCGTGTAAAGGTCTTGTGGGTCATCGTCCGCCACAGTTGGGTCATCATTGATTAACTCGCTCTCGGATCCTGCTTCCTCATCGCTTTCCTCCCTCTCTCCGAAGATCAGTCCTCGATGGACCGTTTGATCGAGATTTTCTTCATTATCCGTGTCATCCTTAATTATGAAATGAAACTTTCTTCGGAAAATTAAGACTAACTGAGCTAAAGTCTTCTATTTTCAAATCACACCGCGATAATTGTCGCTCCAAAATTTCGTCTTCTGTCAAAATGACGGTTTCTGTTTGAGAGTCGGAGTCAGGACAGTCAGGAAGTTTTTTGCTGTTTTGAAAAAATCTTGTAACCTTGACGCTGTCGAATTTTCCGATCGGGAGGCCGCAAAACGTATTTTGTAGTTTCCTAAATAAGATTGAGTTAGCTTTTATCAGAAAAATTGGAAACTTACGAGAACAAACGCGCTTGCATCAAAAATTCTGCAATCGAAACATCCTCACTCAAGTTTTTGACGACTTCATTGGCATACAATGATTCGTACAACGGTTTGTTGCGCGCGATCTTTTTCAATTCGTTATCAACGTCGTTTTCGTCAAAGATCATCTGACCGGTAAAGGGCGTTATCGCTCTTGATTCAAATTATGATTGTTTCTTGAAGAAAAACTTACTTTGAAATCAGTGAATAAAACCGGCCGTCGAGAATTCCTCCTTGAAATGATGCAGGGTCCAGGCATTTTTCCGTTGCTTTAACGAGAGTACATCCATCCCGGTTTCCAATATCCATCAGGATTGTATAAACCTGGATTTTTCCGTCAAATCGCATCATGAATCGCGCGTTTTCAAAACGTACGAAAGAGAATTGAGGAACATCCCCGAATTCTTGAAGAACAATTTGATGCCTCGGAGTCGGTGCGACAATCCTCAGCAATATTATCGAGCTTCCGTCCATGACGCAGTGAAGAGTTAGTTCGATTAACCTGATTACAAATAAGAACTTTTTACTAGGGGGTTTTTCATACCTGTCATTGTAAAATTTTTTAGATCCGTCTTCGATTGTAAACAACCATCCGCAAAGGCCTATGTCTTCGAAATCTTTGTTGGCAATCCATTGATTCTCACGTATCTTTTTCGGAGGTATTCGTTTTAAGCCGCAAGAGCTTTTTATTTCTTGGAATTTTCTCATGGTTCGTTTTTGCAAAAAAAAACTTTGATGTTTTTTGGGGGGATTATCACGAAGGATGAATGTCGTGAGAATTGCTGTTGGAAGGAGAATATTTGTCGCTGTTGCACTTGAGGGAGCTATTGCAAATAGCACAATTGAGCTAAGTTTTCAAGACCTCTTCGCAGTTGCTCCAAAGCAAACCCATAAACGCTCGTTTCCTAAAATTTTCGCACCAAAGAACTAAGAAACCACGTTCAAAGAGAATACACAGCGATGAATTGCAACTGGTTTCCCGGACTTTGCGGCAACAATGGCGAGGTAATAAAAAGATTTTTACAAATTCCACTCATATAAAAAATAGGAAACAGAGTCATATAAAGTTACTACGGAAACTGTTAGTCGAGAAACTACCGCTTCTTATTTTGAGTTTTCCAAGAGCGTAAATGATCTGGAATCTTCCTTGCCCCAGACTCGACCAACATTTATGCCCGAGTCAATATCCGTAGAGACTTCTATTCCATCGTCAGTCACTACAGATATGAACATATTTTTGTCGACTCCTGGCCATGAGCTTATCGAGCCGATCACATTTTTGTCGACTGCTGGCCAAGAGCTAATCGAGCCGGTCACATTTTTGTCGACTCCTGGCCAAGAGCATATCGAGGTTTATTCTGAGCGTCCGACATCAATGTTTCGTGAAGATACCTCAGCTACAATTTTATTTTCATTTACATCTCTACAAGACCAGAGTCAGGCTATTTTTGAATCTCAGACCACCATTCATTTTCGAGACACTACAGCTGTAACTACGCTTGAGGATTTTTCCCATAAAGCAACGACAGCTGTTTTCGAGGCCGAGACGCTAGGTTATTCCACAGAGGCTTCTCAAACTAAAAGTTCCGTAATTTCACAAACATTGACTCAGACGGGTTTGAAGGCGCAAACAACTCAGACTTCTTTCGTGCAGACGTCAACGTCCTTTGACATGTCTGGAGTAAGAGCGCTTTTAAAAAACGAAAGACTAAAAAGCTATTTCAGACGGATGGAACAACGGAGACTGCCATAGCAAGCAAAGAAGCAAACATTCCGGGTTGGCTGATCGCGGTCCTGGTTATTCTTGCAATGATTGTTCTCGTCGTTTGCATCGGCTGTGGTTATCTTGTAAGTTTTTATCATCTGAAACTATAAACAAACTGAATAAGGTGTACCGGCTGTACAAGTGCATCAAGGGATCCCAGCGAGAGCATGACTACGAGATGGGGCGTCCGAACAAAGACAAGGATCGAAAGAATGAACACAGCGACCAGGAAAACAAAGAAGATGACCCGCATCGAACAAGCCACCCCAAAAACGCTGGAATGGGCTTCAGGGACAGTGATGAAAACCATCGGCCTGATGAACCTAAGAAGGATGACAATGGTGATGCCGGATCAGACACTTCACAAGGTAATTTTCTCAATAGAACTTTTTTTGGCAATTTCTTACTTTTATTTAAGGTGGAAACAACTCCAATCAAAAAACAAAGAAGGATGAGAAGACCGAAAAAACGAATACACAAGGTAATATCAGTTTTCACTTTTCTACCGTTTTTAACATATCGAAGAAGACGGAGGAACAAAGAAGGACATCAAGGAAGAGAAAAAACAAACAATTTCAAAAGACGCGGCCAAAAAAATCCCAAAAAAAAGTAAGTTTTTCTCCGATAAGAATGCCACAAAATTAACTCTTTCCTCTAGAAAACGTGTTTAATCGCGGAGGGAAGTTTCCATGGAACCCAAGCCCGAAATCCAGCAATTCGCAACCATCGACAAGCTTTTTGGCGCCGATTACTTCACCAATAACGGCTGGAATACAGACAGGTAACTTTGACAACAATTTTTTCAGCTCCTACTCACCTCTTTTTAGCTGCAAACAAGATCGCGACTACCCTTCCACGAAACCTTACCGTCCAATTCGAGCAGGATAACAAAAGTAATTTATTTTTATCAGACAAATATCCAAACTTCTTTTAATTAGCGGTCACCGTTCGATCGGTCAACCAAATCGAGGTCAAACCGAAGCCAATGCCTGGAAAAGTTACGAAGCGCCCCCAATCGACCACAAGCACTTCAACAGCAAAGATCAGAGTCACGACGTGTGTCACTTCCAGAGCCCCGACCTGTTCCTCCTCCAGCAATTCGATCTGAGCCTCTCCAAGAATCACGACCTGAGCCACTTCCAGAGCAACGACCTGAGTCACTTTCACAGCAACGACCTGAACCACTTCCAGAGCAACGACCTGAGCCGCTTCCACAGCAACGACCTGAACCACTTCCAGAGCAACGACCTGAGCCTCTCCAAGAATCACGACCTGAACCAAGACCTGAACCTCTCCGAGAACTACGACGAAGCAATCGTCTTATGACACCGAAGAACTACGTTGAGTTCTCTTCAGACGAGAGTCTTTAAATCGCCCTACATCTCACGAAATCCGCATAAGAGATAACTTTTGAAGCCCCTGTATATTCTCAAATCTGCTTTTCATGCGTTAGAAAAGATAATCCAAATAAAGAGTGAATTGTGTGAAAATCCGTTTGAATTTATTTGTTAGCATGTTAAGGTTGACATAAACGAAAAAAATAATGAAAACATAAATGACTGAAGGAATCAAATATATCCAGATGCGTTTTTGAGTGGGGTTGCAGTCACTTGGTCATCAGCAATCTGCCATTTTACATAGACATTGTTCAGTGCATTCTTTGTTGTTTTTCGAATGACGATCTCGTTTTTACGGGCTACCATGCCTGTCATTGTAGCGCTGAACTTTTCATCGTTAAGGAGAGAACGTACGAAATGTTCCACCGGTGTTTCAATATCCTTCTTGACGCCTTATTATGAGTTGAAAGAATGGTTTTATTGTTACAAGTGAGCTGAAATTAACTTATTGAATACTTTCTAACCCAAGCCTTTCGTTGATTTTTTTATTTTTATATCCCCCTTATCATTTTTACCCTTGAGAATATAACATTTAGAGCTCAAGCCGCAATAAGTGCCTTGCCCATATATCCCACCCTCGATTTTGAATAAACCCGGCGTTTTCTCCAATTTTTTCAGCAATTTTTCGGCTTCCTTCTTAGAGTTATTTGATTCTCGCAGCATCTGGTCAGTGACTTTTTCAGGAACCATCCATGTGTCAACGAAATTTTTCCATGACTCCTTCTTCTCAGATTTGACGAGTGTTTCAACATCATCACCTGTATAAGCAATCATAATCGAATCGGTGTCTGCGTAGCAAAGTTTGAATGATCCTTCCTTCAGATGAGTGCATATATTATCAATGAAATTGAACATGACCAATTTGCTTTTCTGATAGACTTAAAAAATATTAAGAGACCAATTCACGAACAAAGACATACTAAATGCTGAAATATGTGTTGGAACGCTATCTCTCTGCGTTTTCTTCTTTTTGACAATTTTGACCAAAGATGTGGGTCCTTCAGCACTGATGATTTCATTTTTTTCGAGCAAAGGCGATCTGATGTAGCGGTATAAATCAGCATCATCGATGTATTTTGTTTCCCTGTATTTAGAAACATTCTTGCCAAACAAACCAGTGACAATATTAAGTACCAGCTTTGAAAGTTTTTCGCCAACTTTGTTCTCGGCAATATGATACCGGATTCGATCAGCGACCAGTCTATCGACGAAAGGAGCCATCGGTTTTTCCTTATTGTACATAAGAAGATAATGAACCTTCTAAAAGCGACATGATTAAGTTTAAAAAATCTTTTAGCGAACCTTAATAATATATCCCATATCCAAATAAAAATACAGTAGAGGAGTGATAAGAAGCATTTTTTCTCCGCTAGAATTATAAATCAATGTGTTTTGGCTCACAGGCATCTCAAGATTTCCGATTTTTTGATTTTCAGATAGCATATCTCTTTCTATCTGGGTTTTCTTAAAAATCATAGGAAATTTCAGATCTCCATATCGATTATAAACAGCTTTACTTGGCTCAATTTCCACCATTGCGAATCCAAAAACTTTTCGTTCCATCAGAGCATCGATTAGATCTTTTTCTCTTAGTTTCTTATCGTGGAAAAGAAAAGGACACCAATCTGGAGCCCAATTTTCTCTGGCATTACGAGCGAATTCTTCATCGGCCATGTTTCTTTTCATAAATTTGTCGAAGTGACATTCTCGCTTTATTTTAAGGATGTCGATTTTCTTCTCTATGAATTTCTTTCTTTCCTTGTCCCGTTCTTCGTCAGCGTCCTCATTTGTTTGGATTTTACATGAACGACATTTGTGCCAATAGCAGCCGTAAAACTCAACTCCCCATCTGATATTGTCTTTCTCATAATATCCATCAAGAGAATACTTCCCAATTTTCTTTTCGCCTATGTGATACGCATGTTGGATATCCACACCAGATTGATGTCGCAGATATTCTAGATACTGCAAGCTTTTGAGGGAGATTGATTCTTTGCCCTCATAGAGCAGATTCAACTTGAAATATCCAACATCACCAACACGAGTAGCGTCACCGATATCCCCAGGATATACAGCGATTCCAGGACCACATGGCAGAGAATCCTGTAGAGTAAAAGGATACAAACTATTCGCATCAAGCTGTTTAATCATTTTGAAGAGTTCGCCATTGTCAGCATATCGGGCGGCATGTGGAAGAGGCCCATCTGGTTGGTTCAATTCGATCAGTCGGTGAAACACGTGCGTCATTCCTCCTGTCAAGGCTTCACGGATGTCCTTTCTCAATTCAGCATCAGTGATCGAGTAGATGGGTGTCGCACGCGCGTATTTACCAAACGCAATCTTTTCAGCAACTTGCGCCAATGAGATATATTGATGGATATTCACATTAAATTTTTCGGCAAACTGGTTACTGTATTCTACAATGCCTTGGCTTAGCATGTCTGTGTCGATGAGATTATAGACACGCAGCCAATCGAGCATCGTTTCACATTTTTCTTCTTCGAATAAGTCCTTTGAAGCCAAGTATTTATCCACTGAGATATTGAAAAATTTTTTGGACTCTTCGTTGATTGCAAAACAGCGAAAAGAGTTTTCTGCGAAATATTTGATTTCATCAATTGGTATTTCCCATTTCTTAGCAAGAAGCTCGATATTTTCATCGGTGGTTTCATAGCAACACTCAAAACTATCTGCTAGACTGTTGAGTTTTTCTACAGGGACATCAATTTCAGCAGCAAGATCATCAATCGTCCAGCAGTGTTCAATAAGAAATTTGTTGACCAGGTGAACTTCTTTCTCGACAGGAATGTAGAAAGAGCTATAAAAGTCGGAGTACGGTGGGAATCCTTTGTAACTGATGAGCTCGTCAGTGTCTTTGAAACGTTCGTATGGGTAAACAGCCTTTGCTATCTGCAAACCAAGTGATTGCACGAACTAACAAACAAAAATTAAAACAGGATTTTCAATCTGCGCTTTTACCTTTTCCAGCGATGTCCCTCTTTCAACGAGATTCATCATGTCCTTAAATTTGATATTGCCATAGGAAGCAAGCATTGTTCCGGCGCCTCTCTGGATCATATTCATCTTTGGCTCAAAACGAGTGTCCTTGTCTCGCTTTGTGACTAGTAAGTGGGGATGTCTACGACGAACAACTTCAGTCAGAGCATTGATTATAACAGTCAAGTCGAAGCGTTCGCTATTCCAACCATAAACATTGAGAGAATAGAAATCATCAAGATATTTGAGCCTATCACAGAGTTCTGCTTGCTTTTCAACTGGAAAATTGTGAAATTTCTCACTATTCTTCAATCGGATCAAGCGCCATTTCTCATTATCGATTTTTCTCGAGAGAGTCCTATTAAATTCTTCCTGAATATCACATAAGTCCACGTAAAATTCATCAAGCAAGGAGAAAAGAGATTCTTGACTTGTCCCTCTGCGCCATAGAAATTTCTTTGTATACTCGTCTCCGGCTGGGTTGTACGCATGCCATGCAATAGAGATCAGCTTATACGCAGACAATTCCTCAGTCGTGGAACTTATGTTCTTCTCTTTTTCGGACCTTGGGACAGAAGCAGTTTCAATGTCAAAAGCCACAAAGCTTTGATGAAACTCATTTGGACGCAAAATCTTGTCGTAAATCAGATCGTAACGAGTGTGATCAGTAAACATTCCATATTTCTTCTGTTTATGTGAGAAAGTTGTTTTGTCAGTACATGTTTCCAGATGTTTCGAAAATTTTGCACGATCTGAGCAGCTGAAGGAGCAATTAGGCGTTGGACAGAGGTCAAAATTGATTTGCTCGGGCAGAAGCTTAAAGAATGTACTATCCGAGAATGTTTTCGTCTGATCATCCTTCGAAAGCTCCAGTTGAAGTATTTTTCCAGAGCCACAATAAAAATCTAGCTGTCTGGAAACTCTGTCAGCACCAGGCCTTGACAGTCTGCGCCAAAGAACAAGTTTGACATTAAACAACCTCGAGAAATTCTTGTAATTGGAGACTGTGATATCACTTGTTTGTGCGAAGTCGATCCATTTCTGTCGTATTTCGGCTGCTTTTTTGAAAAACAACCTCGGGCACTTGTATAAATCCTTGTTTTTCACTTTCGCAACGGCTTCGAAGATGGTCAGCTCAAGAGTATTTATCCGGTCAATTCCATGGTTGATAAATCCATCGTCAAGAAGCTTAAGCTGATTGAATCCATTAAAACGCTGGTCTTTGAAGAAAAACGTCAGACCGACACTGCCTGGACCCGGATGCTGCGTTTTATAAAAAAGACTATCGCCGCCATTCGCTGTTTTCTGATAGATTGTGAAATGGACATTAAAGTCGCTTTCCAGTGCTTTTCGAAATTTCAAAACTTATCGTTCAATGCCATTTATTATTAAAATTTTGAATATTTTCCTGATAAACATGGGATTTTAAAAAGTCCGTATTTCTTCTGAAAGTCGATAAATTTGGAGTAATCAGCACGACAGGGATTTTTTGCACGTTTCGGATCTATGAGAGTTTTCAGTTTCTCTAATCGACGCTTGTCAGGTTTTTTCTTCTCCTGATTAAGAAGAACTCCAAGATAAGTAAGATTGTAAAATTGGTTGTTATCTTCTTTCAAATGTAAAAATCTCATTTTTATCGGAAAATCATACTTTCCTGTTTTATGTATGAAAAAATTGACAGCGGAAATTCACCATACATGCGAAATTTCGCACGTGCACATGAGAAGACAAATAGTTATTTAAAAAATTCTGTTTCGAGGAGTTCTACGCCGTCCTTTCAACAAGCTGTCAAAGTAAAATCAAGAACTCCCGATTACAGGATTTTTTTCAACTAAAGAAGAGTCAGAATTCCAGAATGAGCGGAAAATTCAAAGAGTCAGAGATTGATTTCTTTCGGGAGTTAACAAAAGAAAAATTGAATATAAATGAACTTCTTACAGAAGAAGAATATAAAGTGATGAATGATCACCAGGAAAGAAAGCAGATTTTAGATTTTTTCGATAAAGGAAGTTGTCTGTATTTCTGTTAAGCTCTCTGGCTTTAGTAGACTTGCGAATAACTTGGAGTACTATCTTCAGTACAAGTTTCGACTATCTCATAAATCCCTCAAAGTTAAGGGAATGCCGAAAACCTATATCGATCGATGTATTCTGTCAATTCCATACGTCAACAATAACAAACTGAGCGAAGTGACTCGTATGATTACTGAAAATTTATTTTTTCCTTACCAAATCGGTGTTGATGCATGGTTCATGAGCGCGTCGCAGAAGATGATCGGTTTGCTAACTGTTTCTCAAGTTTTAATAGCCGATGAATAAACTTAAGATGGAAAAATTCAAGAAGACCTGAGGCTGTACTACTCGGGCTCTTCAACATGGATCAATGACACAAGAAAGGGTTATTAATTTTGTAGAAAAATCTTTGAACGCTCTTTAAAAACCTCATTGAAGAAAAATAAAAAATGATGAAGATGTTACTCAACTTCTCTCAGAGACCAAAGATGAGACATTAGAGTAAGTGTTTCTTCAAACTTCAGTTATAAGAATTATATTTTACAGAGAACGCCTTTTGGCAAGTCACGAGTTTGACAGGACTAACTTTCATCATTCGGGTGTGAGCTTGCGCCAGGTGCTTTTGCTACGATATGAAATCGAAAAGACATATGGTAAATTACTTTTAATTAAATGAAAAATAATATGATCCTATTAGTTTATCCGAGCAATAAACTTCAAATTCGCGAAGAAGACGAGCAAGAAGAGGCGTAAGAAAGGGCAAAGTCAAATATTAGTATTCCATGAGTAACTGTTTCTCACTTCTGATTTAACACGATCCGACGGATTTCATTCTTCTCAATAAACGAGAAAGAGCAATTGAAAATGTTCAGTTTTTCAAAAACCGATAAGTTTGACACTTTGGGATACGAGGACTGTAAAATCCAAGAAGCTGCTCCTTATTGCAACACTGATGATACTCTTGAATTTCACATTGTTCCGCAAAAGAGATATTTCAAGGCGTGTGATTCTCGGCTGCATTTTCATATTGAAATTCCTGAAAATCATGTATTGGACAATGATTTTTGTGCGAAGCTCTTCAAAGGGCTTCCTAAGATTGAAATCGCAGAAGACCCAATTACAAGCAAATCATGTGATTTAGACTCTGCGTTTTCTTCTCATTTCTTGAATAAGTCATTATTCGATCAAACAACAATCGACTCAACTTTTCCGATTATGGGCGTCTATGATATTTTCGAAGCTGACCAAGACGACATCGGCAGAAGTATAATTGAGAATCGAAAAATGTATGCGAAGGAGTTTTTAAAAGAAATCGAATTCGAAGGAAAAACTTACAACACTAAATGGCTGAGATACGAATTTAAAATCCCAATAAATCATGGAATCGCTCGAGCACCAATTATTTTACCAGCTGGACTTGGAATCCATCTCTCGTTTGAGCGTGCTCCAGCAAAATTTTCGCTTTTAAAAAAGAAGAGTATGCTTGATGCGACTGACGATGTCGGTGATGTGGTTGAGATTGACTATGATTTTCCGGATCCAGTTGTTAAGCTCGTCAGGCCTGTTTTTAAAGCAATGTTTGTTTTCTCTGAATCATTGGAAAGGGAAATGAAAAAGTATGCGACTTCGAAATTCGAAACCACGTTCTTGGACTACTGTATAAGAAGACCTACCTTAGACAAAGGCGATACTGATTACACTGTTAATCTTACTAAAGGAGCTTTCCCGAAATACGCGGTTCTTTCTGTTACCAGTCTCAAACGCTCACATGGAGATTACAAGCAGTCACTGACAAAACTAGAACGTGGAAACATAGAGCAAGTTGATGTTCTCGTTGATGGTTCGAGTCTCCCTGGTTACCCCCTTAAAACAGATATGGATTTTTACGAAAATTTCCTTATGATGAGCGAACGATATCTCAATCCCTGGAGCTCCGGTGTTTTGCCACAACCACATTATCTCAAAACCAACTTCTTTGTTTTGATCAATTTTGAAATGCTCGGAAGACGCAATGCTGCTCAACTCGTGGTCAAAATAAAATTCACTCAGTCACTTGATGATAAACACCTTCTTCTGTTCATGCCTATAATTGAAAAAAAACTGACAATTACTCCTGAAAATGATGTTACTGTAGAAGCTGTGTAATAAATCTGATTTAATCTCGACCGTAAAGATTGTTATTATTTTCATCCGACCATGAAATCTTTTTTTGTTTCCCTTGCGACCTATATGATCCGATCAAAAATACGGATTTTACGGCGTTCAAAGATGTGATCTTATCTTTTGTCAGAAGATGTCTCAGTGAGTATGAAATTTTCTGATCTTGGCGTATATAACCGAGTAAGAGTCGATTTCTATTGTAAGATATTCTTATTTTTAAACAATGAAGATGACAACATGGAAGAAATAAGAGACTACGATTTTGAAAAAACCCACGAGAGTTTATTAACCTTAAAATGATTCATTATTCTTTAAAACTTTGTTATCCTTGAACAGCATTTATGCTCGTTTTAATTTTGTTACTGTTTCTTAAAATGATACCGTATTTTATCATATACTCCTATTACCAAAACTAATTTTTTAACAAATTAAATCGAATAATACATATTTCTAAAATGATCTGATCGGTGAGATTTCAGACAGGACAATGAGATCGTAGCGTATCATCGGAACCGGTGTGTTTGACATCAGATATCGAATTAAGGTATGTTATGCAAGGAAAATATATTTAACTCTATTCAGGATCCGGAATCAATTATTGCGAAGAAACGAGTGGAACTTTTTTGACCAAACTATAGGTTCCAGGTTTGATCCTTTTTTTTCAATATTCTCTTAGAGTTCTTCTCTGACGAATATTCTTTCGCCATCGAGTTTTGCTGCAAGGAGTATCTAATAAAAATCGGAAAAAGCAAAATCAAGATGCTCCTGTTGTTCTAAAGGTATTTTTGTCCTTCAGAGTTTTTCTCACGCGAATATTTTTTCGCCTTCGAGTTTTGATGCAAGGAGTATGTGATAAAAACCCAAATCAGCATAAGCACGATGTTCATGCTGCTCTAAAGGTATTTTTGTCTTTCAGAGTTTTTCTCACGCAAATTTTTTAGCCTTCGAGTTTTGCTGCAAGAAGCATCTGATAAAAATCCGAACCAGCAGAAACAAACATGAACTATATCAGGAAATTAAGAAGAAAACAAGAGATATTCAGGCTGTTCCTTGATAGCAAAGTATTAAAGAAGGTATTTTAGTCTCGAAAATCACTTTCAAAACTTTAAAATCAAATTTTGAAGGCTTTAAATCCTGTTCAGCTGCTAAATCAAAATAAAAATGACAAAAAGAAAAGTAAGTGATATTCAGGCTGTTCTTGGATAGCAAAATATTGAAGAAGGAATGAAGAATCAAATAAGATCAAATGCGATGTCTGCTCACAGTCAGCACCACCACGGAGAACTCCTTAAAAAGAAGAAAAAAAGAGATATTCAGGCTGTTCTTGGATATCAAAGTATTGAAGAAGGAGTAAGTCTAAAAATTCCGTTCAACAAATATTTGCAACCAATAAAAACAAAATTATATTATTTTCTCAGTTTATTTTCGAAAAGAGTTTCTTAATTGTCGCAGTATTTTCAATTGCATTTTCTGTGAATAATTTCATAAAAGACAACAATGATTTCTCACATTCGAGTGACCAAAAAAGAAAAGTGATGGCAAAAAGACCACAGTTAGAATGAGTACTCATTTGAATTTTCGGAGACGTAATGAGAGTTCGATCACCCATCTCAGTTTTGAGAAATAGGTGGAGATTTTCGTATGCATTATTTTTATGTAGCCAAGGGGGTCCATTATTTCGATAACATCATTTTTAACTATGAGACTTATCCAATGCGTTTCATTTGTGTGGATTAAAAAGCCAACAGGAAAAGAAAGAATTGTGAATTTAATTAAATCGTCAGCAAAGAAAATTCCCCCAAAATTCGCGAGACCTTGCAGCAGCTCTTCAGCGCTGAATAAATTAGAGAATTAACAATTAATTTATTTTAGACCTTTCGGCGTCCATTTGATCTTCTCTTCTTTCCTGATTTCTTTTTTGATTTCCTTTTTTTTCCGGCGCCTCTGATTCTCTTTGGGACAAATCGAATTTTACGGCTTAGCTTATTTTTATCAACGAATTATAATTGTCTCTTACCAGAGCCCTTTTTTTGGCATTTTCTCAGTCAATTTTTATGAAGAATGACAGAAACATATTTAAAATCTAACAAGTTCGAATATTTACACAGAGTAAATTTACAAATCATCAAGAATGATCTGAATATGATCACTCATCGATTTTTAAAACAAGCGAAATGTAGGTCACATGACTCGGTAACCTAGGTAAGCATTTTATAATGAAGTTAAAAAAGTATCACCTTAATGAGACATAGAATTCTCCTCCGCTGATCATATCCCACTGCTCAGCTCCTGATGGCGAGTCGAATTGAACCCCATTTGGAATCGTAAGAAGAATTTTATCCGGATTAAAAACCGATGGATTGATCAGATTACACCGAATATCCATAAAATCAAGCTGATCATCATTTGATCGGCAACAGTAGCTCATTACTGAAACAAAAGATCCCTGGAGAGGATGTCTGAACCACCATTTAATCATCTTTTCTCCAGGTAAATTTGTAATATCTGCCGAGTCAGAATTAAGACGGATCAGTCGCATTCTTAAAAAAAAACCATCTTCAATTATCTTTTATGAGGGTCTTTTTCGGAGAACAAGATTCAGTTCATTCTCGTAAAGAGGTCGCAGAAGTTTCCCGCGAGGTCCTTCGACACGATAGTAACAAATGTCGCCTGATTTTTGCACTTTCCAAATCGTGTAGAGGTCTTTTGTCCATTTCATCATGTAGCCCTTCTCAAATGTTGCTTTTCGCTTTGCTTTTGGACTCGCAATAATAATTGGAATTCGCACCTTATCGCCAACTCCAAACTTACAGATCAAGTTTTTAGTTTCTGCATTTGGAAATTTTTTATGGTAAAATTCACGAAAATTGTCGATAGTAATATCTATTGGGGCAATCCGAAGCCGGCTATGCTTCCGTTTGTTTATGTTATCGCTTAATTGAAGATAGACATTTATCCAAGTTTTAGTTCTATTTTCGTCCATAAACTGTTGGATCATTTTTTTAAATGTTCGGCTATATAATAAAGATCTATTAACGAAAAAATATTGATATTACATGAAGCGCTCAGCCATCGTAGCTTTGTGAGGTCCTCCGAGCTTGTATTGGACCATTCCAAATTGTTCAACGAGAACTTTATTAATGAATCCTTAAAAAATCAACTTACAATCGATACTAGAGAAGTTGACGCTTGCCTTCGACACGCGGCGCGTATTCTTTTCCACCATCGCTCGAAAAAGTCGAAGGTATATGCTCCATCGACTCAATTATTTCTTTCAATGAGGCCGCAGTTTCCTCTGAAGTAAGTGTTTTCTGAGCTTTTACCCAGTTTCTACTGCTATAAACATCAATCACGACTAAAATGTATTTATATCCGCGATTTTGACGACCATACATGCTGTAATCACTAAAACAATTTTTTTCAGTTTTTATTGAGAAATTTGCTTACATAGTATCAGATTGAATTTGAGTATAAGGGCCATAAACAACTGTTCGTCTACGCTTAAATTTTTTAATGATACGCCGATGTCGAGATAGAGTTTCTTTTTCACGCAAATAACGCTGTAGATCAGTTGAATAAGCAGTGATCTGTTTCGGATCAATGTAAAGCTGGTCAAGTTTAATCTTCTTCTGAGGAGGAGTTTGATCCGGAGCTTGCGCTGCCACTGTCGGAGCCGCTGCTGTCGCTCTCGCTGTCTGATCTTCCACTTGATCCGGAATCCGAATATCGGTCTCCTGAGGTGGTTCCACCTGATTCAAATTGTTTTCGACTTGCCGGGCTGTTTGGAGGGGCGATTTGTCCGATTTTCTCTTCCTTGTTGTCATCGCATGTGAGTTTTTGCTTCTTTTTGCTTTCTGGCTCATCTGGATACCCGTCCTCGTCCGACCTCTTTGCGAGCGGTCGTTTCCACGCGCTACTCGAGGAGCTTCCTTCTCCAAGGCGTTGTTCTCGTCTTCGTCCCGCTTTTTTGAGTAGTTTCGAAGCTTTATGACTTTTCTTGTCATTGTTTCCGAAGTACCCTCGGACATTAAGTTTTTTTTCAAGTTTTCCTTAAAGTCATACATTTATCTAAAGTTTATATCTAACCCACCAGTAAATATTCCTTCTTCAGTCTTGTAGACCTTGCAATGGCGTTTTATCTCAGCGAGTGGAAAAATAACACTTCGTGGCATAATTCTGAATGAGTTATGCCGAGGCAATCCGATGAATTCATGAAGTTATTTTTTCACGCCTTTTTATTTACACAAATCAAGATTGAATTCAGAATAAAGTTTTGAAATGCCACAATGGAATTCTTCGCGGAGCTAACAGCAACTAGTTATTACCACAAGAACAGAAATTTCTTTTTGGACGGTCAGATAACAGAGATATTGAAACGTCCAAGCGATTCCCTCCAAAACTACAAAGCTGGAGATAAAATTTCGATAAAATTCTCACCGGAAATTGCCGGAGAATTTTCTTGGCTCATTGGAAACAGAATTTGCTTTTTTAAAGCGGTTCGCGCGGAGCCGAAGAAATTCCCTAAAAACGGTGTTACTCACGAGCTTATCGTCACTGAAGCAAAAAAATGCGTTCTCTCTCTGGCAGAGTCATAGACGACATCAAATTTCACCACCCCGCATCTATTCAAGTCATCGGCGCAAGCGGGTAAAGTTCTTATCTTTTTTCGAGAATTAAAAATATTTTCAGAACTGGAAAAACAAAATTTGTTGAAAAGCTGATACGACATCAATTTTTTACAAAAAAAATCAGACATGTTTTATATTTTGGAGCCATCAATAATTTACCGATCGATTGGGACAACAAGTTGCCTGATGATATAACTATAAAATACCAAGAAGGGCTTCCTACAACTTCAGATTTCATAAATGTTCCGAAAAGAAGCGTGATCGTGATTGATGATCAGTTCAGTGACGCTGTTAATTCACCTGATATCAATAGAGCTTTTACTAACGACAGAAGAAAATTTGATTTTAATCTCATCTTGATTACTCAAAACCCATTTGAAAAAGGGAAATTTACGACTGGAAATCGGCGTAATACTGAGATCACTGTCTTGCTAAGAATGTACGCCGATCAAAGTCATTTCAAAGTCTTCGGCAAACAATATGGCGTGGAGCGCGAGTTAGAAGAAGCTGTCAAGGACATGAAATCAAGACCTGAAGATGTGCATGCCCATATTGTTATAAATGGCAGTATAAAACTCAAAGATCAAAACTTAAGAGTCATGTCAAATATATTTGGTGATTCTCCTTATTTGCAACCCTCACTTCCAATCTGCTACACTCAAAAACATCATTGAAATAAATCATCCTCTGTTTTTAACCTTGCTTTACTGTATTTATTTGATAAATCATTTTTTGATGAGCAGTTTTTTTCAAATTTAGGACGAATCTTCGGTATCCGATTCGTATCCTGGAAGGTAGACTGGACTTGGAATTTCTGCTTTGAGCCATCCTAATTCGGGGTCAGCGAGGAGGTCTGGGGTGATTGCAAGGTCTCCAAATTTTTCTAAATTGATTTTATAATAAGTTTCCAAGGATTTTTTTAACCGTCTACCTTGAATCGAAATCTGAGCCATTTCGAAGAACTCCTGCATCGCCCTACAGCTACGTCTTTTGAGACCTCCGATGAATGATTTCTTCTCAAAAGTTGGGACGTCATATCGTTGGCAGATTTTGTATCCGAGAGCTTAAATAAATTCGTTTATTGATAAAAATTCTGAGCACTTACAAATAACATAAGAATATGTCAAGAAAGCTCGCTCAACGGAGGTTCCTGCTTTTGTTGTCACGTCTTCAAAGTGGCCGATCAGGTCATCGGCCAGAAGGTCAAATTCCAAATCTCTGCTCGAATTGCAGAGTTTCACATATGAATCAAACCGTTTGTTGTAGAACTCCTCGTTGGCGATATCCTGTGTTATCAAGACAGCGATACGATTTCTAAGGAGATCGACTAACTCTCCATAGCCGTAGTCTGATGCCTTTTTGACTCCAGTGTAAGTCTGGGCCAGTCTTCGAAGAGTTATTCGAGCGCTAAAGTCATTCATTCTCTCAAAGCTCTGAGTGATGCTAAATTTGTCCGAAGGCTTCATTTTATGCAGAACACATGCGAAAAATAACACCTCATCAAAATTTTTTGTCTGCCAAGATAATCTAAATAAAATTCAAGACATCATGTGAAAAACTCATTATAGCGCTGAATAGAAATTCGCTTCAATTGTTTAAAAGAAAGAAATGAAAAGAGAGATTTTTCCATATAATTTTTTTATTACCAAATGCAAGAAGCAACCGAATTGTTTGCGAAACCATTTACTCGTCCAGCTGATAAGAAGCGACTTTCTCAAAAAAGGATATTTCTCTTTTAAACAGAGATCTGGCTTCTGTGTTCTATTCTCGGCGCCCATTGACTTTGTTCGTCCGATATATGTCACAGTCGATCGTTCTGACAGAATAGAAAGATTGGATGAAGGCACACGAAGACGACTCCTTATTCGCAAAAATAGGGGATCTCTGAAGATTGCTATTCCTGCGCGAGTTTTCGAACATAACTGTGAATCAAATGTCTGCAAAGATCGGACCAAAATTCTGAAAAATCTACGAGTACTGTTTCATACTGATTCTTACCTCCCAGATATGGTCATTACTTCAGAGAGTGAAATCGGACAACTCTTTTCCGCAGGTCTCTGGGATCAGCCAAAAACTGTCACTTTCCATCAATAAAGCTTCATCCAAAAAAAATTATGTTGACCCTTATTTATGCATTTATTTTAAAAAAGCATTGATTAGGATATTGAAATTTGAGCGTTCGGAGCAAAGGGTGTGAACGGCCACCCTCAAGACAACAGAATCCATGTTGCTCGGACTCTGGCACTAAATTCTAATTACGCGATTAGCCTCCCAAAATCATAAAAATAAAAATTCAAATTGGTATCTAAAGAGTTTCCTTTATTATCAAAATAACTTAGCTAAGAACAAAAATTTTCAGTACGAAGCAGTATTTCTCACAGGATCGATCGAAAAGGTCAGCTCGAAGTTTTTTCGTCGCTCTCTTGATGAGTGTTTTTCTGATTTCTCCAGCGTCATTTTTATTCAGATGTCCATCTTTCTCGATGACTCGTAGAAGAGTTCCAGTCAAACGTAATGCAAGCAAACCATCGACGCTTGAGGACCGCCCATCGACCCAGTGGTATCGATACATTTGCTCATAGAAACTGATGATCGTATTATGGGCGTCACGCTTAGTCTTTTTTTGTTTTTTGCCGTAATACTTGTTTTTAGCTTGTTTGAAGGCATCTCGAATGTAAGTTGCTGATCGTTGTTCCATTTCGGTTTCGTACAAGATAAAATCGATTATTTTTTTCAGTGCTTGGTTCTCCTTAAGAAAAATTAACGGCAAAAGCATTTTTTGATTTGATTACCGGGGTGATATGAGCCGTCTCATTTTTCGGCAAAATGATTGCTTCACATCCTGCATTCAGCTGTTCTTCCGTGAGCGTCGGAGCGGCAGTGGTAGTTGCCGCTATTAAGCGAAGTTGGCCGAGATTAAAAATGATAACAAAAAAAAGAATAATCCCTGCAAGAATTCTCTCACGTGTCTCTTCCATTTTACGGAATGGAATGATATCAAGAATTAAAAAAAAAAGAAACTTTTCTTCGCTTAAAAAGTGTTATTTTTGACACTTTTTTTTGGCTGAGGTTTTTACTAGTTTTCATGCGTGCATATTAACAAATACAATCTTGATGGTAATTATTTTATTGCAGTATAATTTCATAGATGGAAACAATTTTTAACAATATGTTAGTGGAAGGAAGAAATTTCAGTAGAAAATAAAATATAAAGTTTTGACATTTTATGAACCATATAAGGAATTTTAGAAAATTTTAAAATGATTAAACCTGAAAGGCTATCATCCGAGTTTTCATTTTACTGGTTCATTTTATGAATAAAAAAATGATTGATCAAATCGTGCAAAAAAACTTGCTTGATCATAAACACGCAGAAAAATTTGATTCATTTAATCACTTTTAAAGAGACTGTTGAAGATTTCGATTCATTTTATTTAAAAAATAATAGGGAAACTTTGATTGATTTTATCGAGTACTTCGTTTCTAATTTAAGATGCCGGACAATGATGCCGATTAACAAGTTCAAGTTCTTCAGGATTTCGATTCATTTTATCATTAAGTTTGATAAGTTTTATCATTTAGTTTTGATAAATGCCGGACCATGATCGTGAAATTGCAGAGGATTACGATTCATTTAATCATTTAAAATATTTCTTGTCGTGATCTTGAAGTCGTGGCTTCATTGTAATTGGCGATAATGGATCTGTCTTCTAATCAGTTTTTATTTTTTTTCATATTTTTAGTGTGATTGAAATCGCAAGTTGGATTTGTTTATAAGGGAAAATTTCTCAATAAAACAGCGCCGTTATTTTTTCTAGGCTGCTTAAATTTGAAAGACCTATTTCTCAAAGTTGATTCTATTGAATTTAGGTTAGGGGTCAAATAAATTCTGAGACGATCATCTAAAAAAATCTTCTGTGAAATAAGCCGCACTTTAATGCAGAGCGTGTGCCCATGCTGAGCGCGTGCCCATGCTAAGCGCGCGCCTCTTGCGTAGCGCTTGAATATTCTGAGCTTACATGCACGCGCTCAGCAGAGCGACGCGCTCAGCAGAGTAGCGCACTCAGCATATTGAGAAACATGGGAGTAAAATCAGTATACAAACACATTCTTGCAGAGGTGCGACTTAAATTGAATGCGCGCGAGCAATGTTTGTTTTCCGAAGAATAGTGCGAACGCGCATAACGAAAAGGATAATACTACTAACGAGTTCTTCATGATGATACAGTAAGATCACGTGTACTGTAAGCGGCTTCCGGTGTTATTCTAGAAAAACCGGTTTTTCGACAAAATTTTTTTCAAAAAAGAGGGATGAAAAATTTTTTTTGATCAGTTTTCGGTGAAAAGTTCTTTATTTGGGTCAGAATAAGCATCTAACAAACAAAAAGCGAAATCGAAAGACCAACCCTGAAAGTGACCCACCCTACTGCAAAGCTTTCGCATATGCCTCATCGATTCGCTTGGCTGATGATGCAATAGTATTTAGATGTGATTGGGAAAGGTTTTCCTTGTTACTGTCCTTACTGACGTCAGAACTGGGTCGAGGAATATTTTTACCACTTATGACGTCTCGATAAAGGTTCTTTAAGTCGTCACCAATGTCCCAGGGCTTTTTCGTTTTATCTTCAGAAAGCAACGGTCCACTCGATTGACCAGTCGTAACTAGGTCCCAGTCCTCGTCAAAGTCAAGCGCCATATTTTGAAGACTATTCAGATGACGAATGCCGCGACTGGGCTTGGGCTTTTTTTCTGGAATGTCGTTTTCTGCACTAAAGCGTGACGTAGAGAGCTGCTGATTCTTTTTCTGTGTATTCGTTGGTTGAGGTTTGCGATTTGCGTCGTCCAGACTATTTGACATCAAATGTCGCTTTATATCAAAAAGCTTTGTTCTCGATCCAGCCTCATGCTTTGCTAAATTCCATGTCGACCTGTAGTATCGCTCGCTCTTTTCATTCTTAGGAAACCTCTCTGGTCTTCCGCAATCTTCTTCGTCGGAGGATCTTACTGGGAATTTCCTCGTTGTCTTCGGCGAGACCACGCTACAACTCTTCATCTCCGAACTTCGCGAACCATTAACTGTCGAAATATGATTCGTCATTTCTGTCGTTCGTTTTTCTTTTTTTCCAAAAGTTTTTGTGCCATGCTCTTGATCGCTTTGAGAGCTCTTTTCGCTCGTCATTCTTCGACGCAATGCTTCTTTCGCATCGCGAAGCTGCGCATCGAAGTTAACTTCTACTTTTTTTAGAAACGGAAGAAAAATAATTGATATCATACCGTATGCTTTCTTCTGAGCTTTTTTGTGGGCAGCATTTTGCTTCTTTGATAATTTTGGTTTTATCCATAAATCATCAAATGCGTCAGGTTTTTCCACTTTCTCTGCTGGCGGAGAAGCACTAGTTTCCATGCGATCGCAAACATATGGGCCAAGCCACAGTGGAAAGTTTGATTGACCAGCATTTCTTGTATCCCGGGTAGATTCGGAGTTTTTCAAAGAAGTCGTGAACTTCCTCCTCTCCGGGTTTGTTTCCGTCTTAACCTTCAGGTTTAATCAATAATAAACAGTAAGAAGTGCTAACCTCATGAAGAGTTTGAAGGGAGAAGTCATTGAAGCATTCTCCCCAAACTTTTTTGTTCTTAGAAAATTTCTTTTTCTTTCGCGAATTCTCCTGGTCCAACAATCTATCGATGTGGGCGGTATCCTTCTTAGTGACCGAGGTCCAAATGGTCTCACCTTTCGCATTGGTACCCTTAAATACTTTTTTAATGGGAAACGGGGTACATACATACGTTGCTCTTGACGATCGTCCTTGACTCACTAAGTTTTTGATCGACCTCTTTCGTCGTACCAAGATCCTTAAGATTTTTTAAGGAATAATGATATATTAAGGATGGTATATATAATTTAAATATATTATAATAATATATAGATATAGAATTAGAACTTACCACTCCACTCAGTTTTTTCATCATATTGACGATTTGACTAGCTGTTGCTGACCGCTGAAGAGCAAAAAGGGTCGAAACAATCATCTTCTCCTGATCTAATGAGAATTGTCCACCAGAGATGGGCTGTTGTATGTCTTCTATTTTAGGTCGCCGCTGATTACTTTCATAGCTCGGAGGCTCGACCCACTCGCCATCATTCGGGTCTTCGTATGATTCAACTGAAAATGCTGAGTCGTGATCTGATGAGGCTGCACAGTCGAAATCATCTGAAATTGCCTTCTGCTGTTTGAACTTTTTCTGTTTCTGTTGTGCGATCATTAGAATCGCTTGGAACTGGCGATTCATTTCACTTTCATCACTTGAACTCTCATCCGAAGAGACGCTCGCTTGCAAAACTTTGGAAACTTCAGCGCTTTCTTCTTTGGAGACTTCCGGAGTCTCTTGACTAAAAAACGGTAACGAAAGTAAGCTTTGCCAATTAAACCTCTCTACAGAGACGATTCCTGGGCTTGTGTTACTGAAATTTTTGCCTGAAGACGAGTCTAGATCGATCGCCTTGTTCTCCGAAGATCCCGAAACTTCTTTCTTTAGCGATGGCTCGACGGCGCAGATATCAGGCTTGGTTTTGGTAACATCTTTTTCATTAATTTCCTCCTCGTTCGTTTGGATGGAATTATCGTTCTTATCTTTCTGTACTACTGATACAGTAAGACTTTTCCTCCAAGCCGACGGGTTTTTCATGGTGATCTTGCGCAGAACTGGAGTATTCGGCGGAGAGTCAGAATCATCATCAAGGCAGTCCATTGGGTTAGAGTTCATCTTAAAATTCGTAGGCCCAGCAGGCCTGTAAGACGAGTAATATGGTCGAGACGGTCGAGATTGGTGATATTCGTATGCTTGGTTGTACCCCCAGTCACTTCTTTGTTGGTAGCACCAGCCCATGTTCTCTTGATAGGGTACAGCTGAGCTATCGATGTGATAAGTGGATGTTGGTTGCAGAGAGACGAATCCATTGTTACGTGTAATCACCCGCTTGGTCCGTTTAAATTCGTCAGACTCACCCTCGAAGGGATTGAATTGCACATTTCGTTGACAGACGTTCTCATCTGTCTCCGATTGACTTTCCATCGTCACCTTTTTCTGATCAAGAGAGCCCCTTCAAATTTTTACAATAGAAAAATTTAAAAATTATAGAGACCACCTTTTGCCATCAGTGGACTCCCAAAAAATCTCTTCGACAGTGGGCTTCTCTAATTTTTCGATGGTTGGCATTTCTGACAACTTATAAGTGGGCTTTTTCGAGACTTCAGCGCTATTGAACGATATTTTTGAAAGTTTAGAAGCTATTTTACTTACAGTGTGGTAGATTCCCTTGATGGTAAATTGTCAGGCTTCTCGTCATCTGATTTTATTTTATCATGATGTTTCTCAGCTTCCTCTTCCCTGAAATTTTTGTAATACTCTCAAAGAATTTTAAAATTTTACCCTTTGCCAAATGCTTCAAACACTTCATCGTCGTCGTCAGAGCTTTCGTCGTCGAAGACGTTTAACTCATCGTCAGTGGGGTCTATTGCTCGCATCGGCAAATGGCTTTTGTTGCGTTCTCTTCGCTGTCTTCGATCTTCCTTTCTTTGCGCTCTAGAACTTTAGTTAGCGAAATGCAGAAAATAACTTGACTCACTTCGATGACGGCCTTGCTTTCAATATACCGTAAGGGCATCCCCACTCGTCGAGTCCATCCGAAAGAGAACTATTACTTGTTTCCGACAGACGGCGCCTAGATGAAGACCTTCGTAAGTCTTCTTCCATGTCTAAGAAAATGTAATTTAGCTGAGTAACTATCCCTTGGTTTGATTTTAAATTTGATCTGATTAGCATTATTAAGTCTGAGGACAGCAGCTTTACCAACACCTCCGGAGGCCCCAAGTCTAGGCGTGAGATGGGATTAAGCCAAAAATACAGATATATACAAGGTGGCGATTAAACTGTGAAAAGAAAGTGCAAAACGGGAAATTGTGAAAAATAAAAAAAAATATTAAATCATTTTAATGGGGGAGGCAGTTGACAATACAATTCAGTGAAGGTAACCTTGTTTTTGGCAGCTTTTAGATTTTTAAAAATATCGAGGTCGAGGGGAGGAGTAGCTACTGTCAGTATACAGGCTACTGTAACTACTGTTCTTTATTTTCTTCTTGGGTTTGGCCTTTTTCTTCATCGTTTTCGCTTTAATGTTTTTGCATTTTTTAGGTATGTTGTCTTTCTTGGCAGTAAGAACGCCCATGTATTTCACGTTGTTGTTGTTGTTGTTGTTATTGATTACGTCGTTGTCGTTGGCTTTGCTCTTCTGTTTAATTGCATCGCCGACTTTTTTGTCGTCTCTCGCTTTCTTTTTTACTGAATTGATGCCTGCATGGACTACTCTCTCGTTCTGAGGCCATTGTCTGTACACGTAGTCGACTCCGACGAAACGATCTTCTGGTCGCCTAAAATAACGTTGGTCTTTATCTTTTAAATAAAATCGCTCAACTAAAATGAGTGAAAAAATATTAACTCACGGGCGTTCTAGAATAAAAAAACATAGAAACTTACGGAATCAATTCGCGGGAATCACCGTATTCGTAATCGAGGTTGTACTGTTTAGCTTCACGTCGATATTGCTTGAAAATTGCGTCGCCTATTGAGCCTGGAACCTCTTCGCCATGACCGAACGTTAAGTCCTTGTAAAGTTGGTCGTTTTCATCAACTTTGTAGTGTCCGTAAAGCTCCACGAGATGAGGAGGTATTTCAACCTCGCCAACGTAAAGCCAATCGACGTAAAGCACCTTTTCGTGTTCAAAATCTAGCACTGGAAATTCCTAAGCCAGGATGAAAGAGAAACCAAGCGAAAATATATTTTTAGTAAATGCCGGTTCCATCTTCAACCCTTCCCTCGAGACATTCAGTTTTAGGGGAAATTATTTCCGCTAAAGCGAGAACTTGTTTTCTTCCATTGATCTCTTGATAGACGAGCAGATGGAGGTCAGAAGATCTTAGCGGTAGTTTTAGGTGAGAAGAGTGTCTGCCTTTTTTCTTCAGCTTCTTCAATTTTTTAAGCTTTTGCTTAGATAGCTGGTCGTGATTGATAGTATGCCATTCTAGCTGCCTTTTATACAATGATGAGAAGTGATCAACCATGCTCGGATCTTTGTCACTCCAGAAATCGAATTTTACCATAGCATGGAAATTGTACTAGATATAAGCGAAAATTCAAAGGAATTTCTATAATGTCTTACCAGTTTCTTTTCGCTTGTGGGAACATAAACTCCGTCGGTGTTCTTTTCGAACCGTAGAACATCTGACAGCTTTTGCCCGCTGTTGACATCAACGAAATAGTACCTCGCATTCTCATGTATTCTTCGATGCCCACTGTTCAAGTTGCGGTATCTCTGCATTTGCTCCAAAGTCGCCTTGAATGGCTGCTTTTTTATTTCGGCTACCATTAACGATTGAATCCTGGGGTTTTCTGATTCCTTGTCGCGACAAGACTAAAATTTATAATAAGTTGAGCCATCAATTTTCAAAAGCTTTAATGCTTACTCGCAAGTGGTCGCTAACATCCACTGATCCTCCGTGTTTTGCCTGGTCTACTGATTGATTGAACATAATTGCTAGTTGTTGGCATTCATCAGAGAGCGCTCCTTTTAAATCCGCCCATTTCATAAAAAGGTTGTTGATCTGGCCGACCAAATGATCAACGTGAGAGAATTCTTTCACAAGGTCATCAAGTGTTATCTCGACATCGTTTTTAATGATGGATTTAGTCGGGGGTGGATGAGGGTCCATTGTTGCGAGAGGTATAAGGTCTTCATCCCAGCACACGAAATATTCATCCCCGTCCAGGTCACTAGAATCGAGATAAAAAAGATTTTACCAATCAAGGTTACCTTTCGTGCATTTCATGTGGATGTGGGCGCTCTAATCCTGGTGCATGATCACCGGCAACAGGAAAAACAATAACGTCGATTAAATGTGAAAGCTCAGGAATATAGCGGTTTGTTAAAATTCGAAAATCGCCAGCGAAATAAGTCGGACATTTGTTAACGAGCACTTCCATTCCATCTCTCAACGGAACAACTGTCAGGTCATTATAGGATGTACACTTTTTGTTGCTGAAAGCTTCACCAGCTTCGGCTTAAAGTAAATATATTTATTTTTCATCTAATCTAAGTAACATACGATGAAGATCGGTCACTTGGACGAAGCATTCGCCTCTTTTCAGTTTGCCAGTATAATCCGCGACGCCGTAGATATTTCTTGACTTGGCAACAGGGATGTAAAATGCGGAATTCGCAATGTTTTTCTCCTCAGTTTGATCAGGTTTCGCGGAAGGTAGGTCGAATACAGGCCTACGAAACTTCCTGAGAAGGCTGTCGCATTCATTTGGCAACGCCTGTTGAACATCCAAATCGGTCATCATGTCAGCTTCCTCCATTTTGTTCTGAGCTGTGAGGATTTCGAAGGCAGCCTGTCTATCATCAAGACAAGAGCGGAGTCGCTCAAAGTGTAATTTCTGGATTTCCATGAATGTTGTGGTTTCAATTCCCAACGCGTCGAGCAAAACCACGTACTGCTTGTTGAGCTTTCCAAACGAGAAGGGGCGCGACTCGCCATTAGTGCACGTTCCGATGACTCGGCAAGGCTCACCGGCTTCGGAGAACTCGCCAAATTTGCAGGTTTCCATGTTCCAATCAAATTTCCACTGCGAGTCCCTCAATACTACCCAAGGCTGGCCCTTTTCATCAAGAGCGGGGTCATGCACAAGGATGCCTTTGCAGCCCATCATTCGAAATTGTAGCACGGACGGAATCTTATATCTTTGATGATTGTATCGGTATTGAATGTTTAGCTTGTCTACGAATAATTGCGCTAAATGAGCTGACATTCGTCCGCAACCGTCCGTAAACTCGTAGCGATTGCCAGGTCCGCCCAAGATATCTCTTTCTCTCGTCCATTTCGAGTCCGGAATCGAAACACAGCATCTAGTCGGTGACATAAGCAGCCCAACCCGAGCGGCGTACTTGGCTACGATGCTAATTTTGTCGAAATTGCCAAAATATTTCCAGACAAGTTTAACGCCGTCTTTTATGATGCGTCTTCGTTCATCAACTCTTTCAAGTTTGTCTTCTATGTCGTCAGTAGCATCGAGCCGCGCTTTAAAGTCGGCGTATCCCTCAACGCCCTCGAGCTTTGAGCTTCTCCAAAAATGGGCATCATAGTTGACCAAGGTGCAACTGCGCTGGCGACTTTGAGATGGAGTGTACGCGAAAAAGCGGTAGAGACATATTTCGTTCCTGTTGTGAGGATCTCTACAGAGAATTCCTTCAGTGAGAATTCGCTGAACAGCAACGTCTGGAATGCGGTGGTCGAAGCTGATGCGCAGAAAATCGCGGGCAACTTTTCGATCGTAGTTGTGGCTGTTACAGAAATCACGGACCAGCGGACACTCGTAGATAAAATCGAATGAAGGGATCAAGTTGATATGCTTGTCGGCTAGACGCTCATCTGTACGAGTGATTCCCGCATGTGGACTCACACCAACTTTAAAAGGCTTCGCAATCAATATTTACGAAAAAAATAACACGCTAAAATGATTGCTAAGCCCGTTCCTACGATTGCCTTTATGTCGTAGCGGTCTGATCCCGCTGCCCATCTCTCCGGCTCGTCTTCGTCATACATCACATGCTCTTTGTATTCGTACAAGTCCGCTAAAAACCTCTTAACGCGATAGATAAAGTAACGTCCTCACCAAGTTTCTCCCTCTCAGCTTTTGTTGTTTTGTGGGTGCCTTTCCATTCAATACCTTCTGTTTCTTCCTCAAACCGGCGCCAAATTACTGACGACAGTTTCACTGTCGCCATTTTTTCGTCCTTTTTGAACATGTTTAAGAGTCCGATCGACCACTAAGTCTGAAGAAATATAAAGTAAATAAGTTTCTCTGCATGCAAGACTTCAAGGAAGAAAAACAACAAAAGAAACTAGAGACAGAATATACCCTGACCGCGATCTTCGTTGTCGCCCAGGAAATGCTTCTCTTTGCGCGAGAGGAAATTGCTTCGAGAATATCCGGCATTCTGATTTGTTGACAGCTGAACATGAATAACGTAAGCACAAATGAAATTTAGGCTTATTTGAGATGACTCAGCATAGGACTTCGCCCGGTGATTGCAACATCACAGCCATGCCGTCGAGCTTATCCGGCGATAGAGGCAGTTACTCTAATTTTTTCATGCACCTCCTCGATCTCTTCAAACCGAATCCCATCTCATTCGAATAATCTTTCCTGTACTGAAAGAATGAAGCAGTAAAGATCTAGAAAAAATACTGCATTTGCATCTGGTTGGAAATTTTTCAAGACGAAGCAAGGTTTCTTTTACTTTCGGGATCCTAATCAATATCTCCGGCGGTTTCTCAATTCCAGGGTTCTTGCCCAGGTCGTCATTTTCCCATCATTTCTCATTTTCAAATTTCGAATTATCCAGAAATATACAAAAGTATATCTCAAGAAGCAGCTCACGTGTTCCTTCCAACTTTTCACCCTCTTGCCACGCTGCTTTATGATAAAGCCTTTATCCTGCTTTGTTAGAAAGGAATAAAATTGCTATCATAGCCCATGATTCATGGGGGACGACATGTAATATATATTCAAGAATTTTTTTTGAAATTTATTTTATTCAAAGGGTCGTCGACAAGTATTTACAATAGTTTATGAGTTTTACTACAGAAGATGACTGTACATTACTAATATGTTTGTTTTATATAGAAAAATAAAGAAAATGGAACAGTTTGGAGCAAGATCTCTCGTCCGAGTGACTTGATCACTTTACATTTTTGGCTACTTATTTTGTAATAAGTAGTCAGGACTTCATGCTAGGAGGCAGGCTGTTGATATTTGGCAAGAGTCTTCGGAAAAGTATTTTTCGGCGGAGCAGTTGTGTTGAGCAGTAAGGATTGTAGAGGTCGGTTCGTTTTCGCTTTTTATGGACGTCTAGCGTTGCAACAACCATCGGGTATCTTTCCAGGGGGACCGGGTGGCCCCTGAGGACCATCCCAGCCAATAACTCCGGGATCACCTCGATCGCCCTTTGCACCAGATCTTCCGCGTTTACCCTTAAAGAGATGTTTTTTCTTGAAATCAGAGACTTAAACTTACCCTTCTTCCACGCTCTCCAGGTTCTCCCTGACTTCCAGAAAGACCCATTGGCCCTTTCGGTCCCATTGGACCTGCAGGTCCAACTTTTCCAGATGATCCTTTTGGTCCCTAAAAAGAGTTAAATATCTCATAATTCAGTGAGTAAGCGTTTTTTAATCAAACTAAGAGTTAGCACACTACAAATTTCAATGAGTTTGTTAATAACTTACCATTGGCCCAGCTGGACCTTGAATGCCAGGGAGTCCCATTGCACCAGCTCTGCCTTCTTCGCCCTGATTGAATGAAAATTAATATGATTCACTATATGAATGTATACTGTTCTCGCAGTATGATTAAAAAGAAATGACTGTGATTTTTACGGAGGATTGAATGATAGGGAGACTACACTCAGTTCAGAAATACTTACGGTAAGTCCAATCGGTCCAGGTGGTCCACGTGCTCCGTCGCTTCCGGCTCGTCCGGGGTTTCCAGTTGGTCCGCGAAGACCTGTGTATCCTCGTTCACCTTTGGTACCAGGTTTTCCATCTCGACCTGGAGGTCCTTGAAGACCAGGAACCTAAAACAAGTTAACATGTGTTCTATGTGGCTAGATAAAAACTTACAAATACAACTTCTTTGCCTCTGAATTTATCACCATCTAAGTCGGCCATCTGAAAACAAATGTTATCAAACAGCCACACCGTTTTATCTCTAGCACCGAGTCTGTGAGTAGTTTTTAAGGGTATAGTCGTCGATTTGGTCGATTTCAGGGGGTTATAACTCGGGACTTGGAATATGTGGGAGGCTCTAAAATAGGTCATTTAAAAGATCTATCCTAGATCTCACTTTTGTCACAGCCTTTTACGTTATTTCCAAGGAAATCATGGTTTGCGGATCGCTCAAAGTTGAGCTATCGGCCAAATAACGCGAAAATAGCCTCTTTTCAAGGCGTTATAAGTCCAAAGTTTCTATATAAACCTATTGATTTTATCTTTTTTTCTTAAAATATAGACCCTTATCTTAAAAATGACACAGCCTTATACTGTAATCATAGAATTTTCTTTGAAAAATTTTTAAAAGAACCAAGGTACCAAATTTTGACCTTTCACTTTGATAAAATGCCCTGCGGGCATAGCCCGAATTTACCTTACGTGGTCCTAAATAAATGCCCTGAATATAAGCTTTCTAAAAATGTATCATATGGCACCCTTACAAAGCCCCTAAAAATGGTCAAAATTTCAAAATATTCGGCTAATGGTCAAAATGCACTAAATTTCGCCACTTTCAAACGCAATTTGCGGCCAAATGGGTTAAGATAGCCATAATAATCATAAGGAGTTTTTGCTCAGAATTTCATGGGGATTCTAAAAATGTGTTCAGATTATAAATTGGAGACCCGACCAAAATCGATGACTATACCCTTAAACATAGAGAAAACATTATGTATGTAACTAATATCCGTGGCAACTGCACCACTGAATATACATAGTCCGGCAAAATGTACGGGGTACTCTTCACAAGACGTGGAAGAGTGGATGCTTTACCGAAACAATATTTGATGGCTGGCGAATACCCCTGCCAGGAATGCCTGGGTATCCTCGTTCTCCCTTTTTGCCCTATTGAAATTAGTTTTGAGGATATGGCACCAGAATATATCAAGAAGAATATTTTATTTCACTTACATTTAATCCATTTAGTCCAGGATTTCCGTCGAATCCTCGCTCTCCGCGTTCACCCTAAATATTCGTTTAATCACTACTTCTTTTGCCTTGGTTTACCTTTGCTCCAGGTGGGCCTGGTGGACCGGTCACTACTTTGACGCCACCAGCATCCTAAATAGAGGTTAGAAGCGATCCCTTTAATCAAATCTTTAATGACTAGTCACGGCACGGAGCCAGCGCACTCCGACTTTAGGCGACGTTTATCGGCTCAGCCGAGTTCAGCCACCCTCTTTGGATCAATTGCTCGGGTGTCACACCTTATGCTCACTTTCAATAGTGCTCGGCCACGATTAAAAATCATTCGGTTTGAAGATTACTCACTCTTACTGCTTCTCCCTTCTGTCCTTTGGAGCCAGTAAGGCCAGGGGCGCCGCGATGACCGAAAGGACCGCGTTCACCATCTCGGCCAGGCAGACCTTGCATTCCATTTTTACCAGGTTTTCCAGGAGGTCCTGGTGGTCCGGGAGGACCCGGGATGTATCGAATGTTCTGTTCATCGTTCATGTGCTTTTCATATCGATTCCAGTCAACGGTTGGCATCTCATTGTTGAATCCGGATGCAGTAATTCGCGGGAGAACAACGTTACCAGCCACTTCTTCAAAGCCCCAGCCAGAATCGTCTTTGAGACTCATTGGCTAGAAATTTAAAGTGAATTCCTGCGGCTGACTTGGCCAATTTTACCTTTTTAGGCGCGATAATTGCCGGTTCCGCGAGCCGGTTGCTTGAAGAGAGTCCGTCGCGTCCAGGAGGACCGACTGGCCCGCGTGGACCAGCTGGCCCAGCAGCGCCTTGTTTCCCATCAACCCCAATCGGGCCTTGAGGTCCTGAAAGGAATTTGAGAATAGAATCAGAAATTTGTAAGGGATTTTTGACTTCAAAGAATCCACCTAATGACACCAATTACTAGAGACAGCTCTAGATATTCGAACATGCAAGTTTGTAATCGTAATCGATTGTAAAGTAATCAATTAAAATGAATAATTTGCACCGTGCGGGGTTTTTAATAAATCACAAACCTGGTCTACCTCTTCGCCCTCGATGGCCTAATAAACTTTTATCAATAACTGTAGAGACGTAGGAAACGACATAAGGAATGATATAAATTTCGCTCCCCACAAAAGAAACTGGCCCGATAAGCCATGCTCGCATAGAATTTATGTGTCCATATGGTGACTTGTAGTTATCAAAGGGGATTTATAGAGATGCTGACAAGGTGTTGATCAAAATGCCCTTGAGATTTGACATCGCCTTAGGAGGGTGCACGCAAACTAGAGATCGGATGGACTTTTACGACGTCTAAACCTTGGTCAAGGTGGGATACAATAAATTATCCAATCGGCAGCCAATTAAGAGTATTCATGACCTTCAGTTGGAAATTTGCGAAATGCGCTGGATCAAAAATAAAGCAATCGAGTGCGATAAGAACGACTCTATGGCGATGTTTGTGTGATAAGAACGAGTACTCACTATCTCAAGAGCATTTGCTACTAAGCAGCGGATATTTTACTAGATAACGAGCTTATGTGGTGACATTCCCCTTGAAATCTTTCGAAAGGCATTTCAAATATTGCTCTTTGCTCACCGACCGCTCGAGCTCGCCTTTATCACTCGTTGGCACTGGACCAACGCATGTCCTGTTTATTTTTACTAACTGTCGGATTAGTACTTCCGACTTTAGGTGCCCGTGAGCATCCAACTAAATCAGCAGAAATTCCGGAAGTGACCAGTGTGCATCCGGGTTAATTTTGCGCCTCATTTTAAGCCGTGGAGAAGAGGTGGTGCATTGCTGAATGAATACTCCCAATTTAAATATTTTATAACTCGGGGAATTGTGTGCTAATCCGGCGGATGTCGCCCCACAAAGGCATTTTCGTGACATTGAGCAGGAAATTTTACGACAGTAGACATGATGATTACGCCCTATTGGATGTAATCTTCACGTCAAAAAACTACCCTTAGGTTGATGGGTTGGCTTCGGCTTTGAGCGTTTTTAGGGTTTGTTGCTGCTTTTGGAAATCCGCTACAGCTGCCAGCGAAATCAAACCCCAAACGTCAAGGGCAGCCGGATTTCGATAATCAAGTTTCCGTGAGAAAACGAAGGCTTGTATTAAATTTATAGAAAAATAAAATTCGCCCGACTAATAGCAAAGACGAAAGACTCATAAAAGGCCGTTTGCTAATGAAAATTTAAAAAGAGGTTCGCTTCAGAAGTTCCGCTTTCGCAAATTGCCCAAATTGAGGCGGAAAAACAACAATGACGAAAATTATATTTTCACTGAATGAATGAAACCCGTCAGTTCTTGTTAAGGGCCAATATAATCTTCAATAAGATAAGCATTCCCGGCGTTTTTTTACAACGGAGAAATCGATCGGATGCTTATCGCATGCGAAATGGGGAGCAAGAAATACAGTTTGTATTTAATATAAATACCTGGTGGGCCAGGAGGACCTGGGTCGCCTTTTGGACAGGCACATGGAGCTTGACGTCGGATTCTAGCGGCAATGTTTTCTTCCATTTGCTAAATATAAAGTTAGAGGACCTATTCGCCAGGCAAATTCAAACAAAAACTAATGTTGCTTCCAGTGTTAGTTCTAAGGATGAAAAGCTTATACACAGGCACAGAAAATGGAATGCCTACAAGGTCTTCATGCTGTGCGGTCAAATATTAGTCCCAAAAGGATAAAAGGCGGTAAAAAGAGAGTCCAGAGGCGTCATTATTTAGCGATCATCAAAGGGCGATTGTTGGTTAAAAAAATTTAAATTGGGGCTGAACATTTTCGCAAAATCGCCCTAATAGGGTCAGATGAAATGAAGCCACCGGAGCGAACCGGAAAGCAGAGAGAAGGATCTTTCGATTCTGTGGAGGGTATCTGGAGAGTCTCAGCTTTCAGCACTCGAAAGAAGGCTTGATCGAGAGTCTGAAACCGGATGTCGCGCCGGAAACGGGAGAGCAGTTACATCTCCTTCCAAAAGCGACAAAATCAAATTGTCTACAGACGGCGAAATCCGTCCCCAAGCTATCGATAAGTCGGCTTTACAAACAAGTGTTGCCAGTATAGTGCAGATTGATCCCAAAACGAAGGATTTACGATTCCATCTGTTTGTTCAGGGATCCCTGCCAAGTCAGTATGCCTCGGACGCGCTTATTCTGAACAGAATTGCGGACCACCTGCCGAGCTCTCCAGCACCCTTATCAGTTGATTTATCATCGCACCCGTCGTGAGCGCTTATTGACAAGGGCTAATCCCAAAATTTGGGTTCAAAATCGCTGGACTACTCAAAATCGGAGACCCATAAATCCCCACAATCGGGGCGAGTAAATCTAAACGCTGTCCTCGCTTACAACTCAGATAGGCATAACTGGGCCGGAACTTTCACTACTGTATCATTTCGTTATTAGGATTAGCAGACGGAAGTTAGCTGGCAAGCAAGCGCGAAATTTCATTGCTCAAAATTTTACTTGTTAGAAATTTTTCATGCTTTCCGCTACTGGAAAAATTTTGAGAATAAAATTTTGGCAATTAGAATATCAGGCGCAACACACCGTCATATAAAGAAAAGCATGTCAATGGTTTCTATCTGTACCGTGAAACGAATTTTAAGAGCTTCAGGTGCTTTGGCAGATCTAACCTAAATTGAGAATAGAACTGGTTGCAAGAATTAGGAATCCTCATTTTAATTTGTTTTGGTAAGGGGCCCATAGGTCAAATCTTGGTGAATTATGGGGAATCGAGTGCTCCTTCGAGCGTTACTGTCGATAAGGTCAATCTGGTCGTTATCTGCTCGTGCAAGAATTTCCAGCGCTGATAGGCTAAAATTTAGGCTGTCCGAAAAGACCAAATTAACCGCGAATGTTACGCTTTTATTTACTAAACTGTGCTAATGTGGAACTTTGTCGACATGTCAACCCATCAAAAGAGGTGCATTTCTGTTCACCGGAAATGACCCTGGGTCAGGGAGGATGTGCTCCACCACGTGATGTAAATATCACCCCCTTTAGTCGGAGGAAATTGATTCCCTTCTATTTTCGATATCACTTTTGAAGTTTGATTTACATGAGATGGCACTTTGAAATCCGTGATTATCTTGTTTTTAGTTTTTTTTTGCGAACTTACCTCTTCTGTCAAGTCATTAATTCTTGTTTGGTCCTTAGAGCGAAGGTCCTCCAGTGAAACCAGCCTCGATATCAGATCCGAATTTACGGACTCAAGGGCGGTGATTCGTCGAGAAAACATGAACACGGAAGTAAAAGATGCTATGCACAACAGGAACAACACAATAGACGAGATATTTATACATTGCAGTCTGTGGCAAGGGATCACAATCACTTTCCTTAGAAACATGCGCGGCTTGGGCCAGCGCCAGCGCAAGAAAATGCATGAATTGAACGAACGCTTTTGGTTCAAATGAATTTTTGCTGCTGTAAATATAAGTCAAGAAAGTAACTTTCCCTTTCCTGTTCTCTTGAAGACGATTCTCTTTCGTCCTCACCGCGCTTGTCAGAGTCTTCGTCTCAACATCTGACGCCTGAGACGGCATTCTTCTGTCAATCTCTTTTCTTATCTCTAATATGGGTTTGTAGTTTTCGTAGTTTTTCAAAAATATTTTTTTTTGTGATCTGTACTACTAGTAGTTATATTTGTAATTGAAAAATTAGTAAGGGTGCAAAGTTTGGTCGCGCGACGATGCGATGGCGCTGTGTAAAACTTCGCGAGGGCGCGCTGCCTGTCGTCGACACGGCCAGCGAAAAATTTCCAGGGAGCCAAGCTGGCTCCTCACCGTTTGGGTTTTCACGGTGGGATCCCATCTCCGGGAACGCCTGCGCAGACCCAAACAGATCGCCAAGGTCGATAGTGCATTCTTGAGCCATGCCAGCTGGTGCATATGCATACCCAACGTCGATTTGTTTCGTCAAAGAATATAGGGCATAAATGCTTTCAGTATTATTTTTGAGTTAGTAGACAGTTTTTACTGCTTAAATAGCATGATCTTGAATCGAAGAGATCTTCTTGAATAGGAAAATGGAAGGAGAAAAGAAAGTGTCAGCACTAGGTAGGCACTTGAAGGCGATTAAAATTTCATGTTCACATTCTCTCCAGAGAAAATATAATTCGCTGCGAGTTCAATACGGAGTCAAGCACTCTCCTCACGCAATATTGTATTGGAGACAAATTAATTGTGCCTCGCGTGACAAATGAAGAAAGTTGATGGACAGATTCGATAGAGGAAAGCAATTTTTTCTCGCCTCAGCTTCAAACTTTCTAATTTTAGAGCCAAATCGGCCTAAACCCTTTCTTCGCCGACTTAAAAACTGAAACCATTCTATTTGACCAAAGCGCTGCGCGTTTATTTTGGTAACTAGAATGCAATCTTGAATACGTAAAACATAAAAGAAAACACCGAAACTAATGGTTTGGTGATAAAACAGCCAATTTTGCACTTAGATTCTCCTTGCTGCAAACGATATCCGTTACTGGCTTAATTATGCGGTTTACGAGTCTTTAGGCTTCGAGCTTGCATAAAGAATCTGAGCGTTGATTTTGATGAATGGCGAAACTATTCTTCTTTGTTTTTCCTTGATTCTGGGCTCGTTTATGGCAAGAGCATAAACACTAGTCATAATGAACTTTGCCGAGGCAGATTATTTTCTGCCTTTTTTGTGTTGCCATTAGAAACACCTTCCTCTTCGGAAATCACTTGAGGAATGCCACTGACTAAATGCATTGAAATGCAAACATAATTATTATTGCTTAGATACCATTAGCACCCAGCCGACCTTTTTCCTCACAACAATATAAGAGACATATAATCTAACTGGCATTTAAAGTCTTGAATGATAAAAAAAGTAACGTTTTGATCTATCCTCTTGCTCCAATTAGCCGAAAGAACAGACAAACAGCAATCTTTGTTGTTTGAAATATCTTGCTGAAAGTTTCAGTTTGGCAGCTCCAGGACAAATATTTGAAATGTCATATGTATCCGATCTGTGTCACCAGATTTACTTCTGATCACTACCTTTCAAATATTCGATAGTCGAAGCCGTATGCAAACTCGGCAAGGTGATTGTAGAGGCAAGTACTTTTTGAAGAGTGACAGTATCGCTCCGAGCGTTATTCCTTCATTTTGTGTAATCAAAACTGCCACTCATTTGGAATCAGTAGAAAACGATCCGTGGAGAGTTTGTGGGACGAGAGCGCCTTGACCTATTCTAGACGAGTGTGACTGGATCCACTTGACTCGATTTTAGATGACGGCCCTTGCTGCTTAACTTCACGATGATCTCGATCCAAACTTCCTGAGTATCTAGTAGAATATTGTCGAAAAATTTCCAACAATTTGCTAATTGCTGCTTCGCGCTACAAGCTGATAATTTTAAATTATCTACCCGGCAGGTGTGTCCAGAAACGGAAACTCACCTAGGAAGAGTTTGACGGCCCCAATCAAGATGAGCCGTATTGTTTCATAGATCTCAAGATAGTCATTGAGTTGAATGGGACTGCAGTGAACTGATCATAAGACAACCCGCGTGCATTTCCAGCTGATTGATCAGGAGAAAAGAGTTATGGGCCTATTTGCAAAAATTTGTATCTTTCAATGAGATCCAAATTCAACAGATTATAAAACTGAATTCTAAATCGTAAAATCGCTCCACTCAATCACATCAAACGCGTAAAAATCCCTTCTCAGACAGTAATTTCTACAATAACATCTACTTATATTGGCAAGCAATAGTGATGAATTAGATTTACTTTGTGAATAAAAAAAGGGGCCCGACCTCGACCCAGAATCAATTCATGATCAAAAGGGCAATGTACTCCGGATGTCCGCATTTCTGGGGCGAGTTTGAACTGGACGGGTGGGTGTAATGTGCCCTAATGTAAAGGTGTAAGTGAGACAGCATCAAAGGCCGACTTTGACATTTTTGGGCTCAATGATGGAGTCGCGAGATGAAATATTTATGCTGCAACATAGTCGGAATCGCCTTCGTTATTCATTATGCAACAAAGCGGACTGGCAGCAACTTTTTGGCCACATGCCCCAGGCGTTTTACAAATGGCTACTAGAATAACTGATAGCTTTTGATTCCTATTTTCGAATAAAACGAAAGTTGAAGAGTCAAAATGACCAGTTTTTCTTATTTGAAGATACAATAATGAAAATGTAAATTTCGGCGCCTTGCGTCTGCGCATATCAGCGAAAGCCATTACTTCCTTCCGTCCGGGCTTTGATCATAAATGATCAATTCAGACATTTTTTGAAGGGACCACCCCAAATAGGATGTTCGGCTGTCAGATCAAACCCCATCGCACCTCCTTGTCTGATCATTAAATTATTTGAAGGTATTGTACGATTGTACTTTGACGTAAATGGCTTCCTGCTGGGAATTATCCTTCTTATAGGAAATCATAAAAATTAACGAATAAAAAGTGAGCTCTCAGACGAATTGAAGATAGACCTATGAATTTATTTTCCAACGCTAGACAATATGTGACTTTCTAAAGCCATAGTCTTCTCCTTCGATTACTTCTTGGTTGATTGTAAAGATAGTTTGTCCGCATCGCATGCATCTTAAATCTAATGGCGCATCGAAGAGACAATCTCGGCAAATAGAGTGAATGCAATGTGGTAGTGCCACCCTCTCTTTGCTTTCGTCAAACTGATCCGATTTAGGCTTAGTCTCACAAAAGGTCCTACCGGTTTCAAGCATCCCATACAAAAAAGCTCGTAGTCAAATGATCGTAGTCTGGTCACAGTCTTCCTCCTTGGAATGTTCTGCACAAGGAAGACCTTTTGACCGTTTCCAGCCGGTTCTATCCGACTCGATAAAGCGTCTGTTTGAGATAGATCCTCTGCATTTGTGACGGGTGTCTTCTTCCAGCAGCAGATAACAAGACATGTGAGAAGAACTGAAGCTTTTTAGATCGGCCAGATAAAAATCCTGCAAGAGTCGATACTAAGCATACCTCCTGCTGCAGTGATGCTCACAAACATGCCCCATTCGCTTACTTTCATTTACTTCTCTGAGTCAACTAAAAAGAGGACAGAGAGTAGTTTAAGAGTTCCAAACATGCTCTGCGGCGCGGTTACGCTCGATTTGCTCCTAATTTCAAAGATAGAGCAACTACCATTTGATATCTACTGGGGATAAAAGACATCAAAAATATATCAATTTTAACAATGTCTTTATTAATGTTTTGTCCGTACGAAGTAGTTTGTATTTAAATTACAGGTATTCTGGAATAAGTCAGGCGAGTTGAAGATTCGCGGCGACGAAGTTGAATGAATTATATGCTCATGGCCAAAAGGATGTTGACAGGTAGTTACTTTTCGTCCTCCTTTTTGTCTCCCTTTGCTGGTTCTTTCCAGCCTTTGAGACCTTCCGGCAGGTCGTCTTCGATGGATCCATCGACGCTAAGGTTGTTTTTAGTTAATCAAATAAAATTATCGACGATTGGAATTATTTCTTACCTTCCAGTGCCCTCCACATATTCCTCATAAGTTGTCATCTCTTTGAATGGGCGTTCGCCGAGAATCTCAACAAGGTCAGCCCTCTCAATCGTCTCTTGCTCCAAAAGCCGGCCAGCCAAATTCTCGAGTATGTCTTTTTTCTCAGTCAGCAACGTGTAAGTTCTGTCCCAGCATTTGTCTTGAAGGAGCATATGACTCTGATAAAGTAATTTGGTCCATACCGATTATAGCTTTTACTTCTGCGTCGATTTCCCGACCAGTTTCCTCAGAGTAGGGCTTGTTCATGCCATCACCCATATTGGAATAATTGACCTGGCCGATTTTCTTTGAGAATCCAAACTGGGTAACCATTGCGTATGCCATTTTGGTGACTGGAAACATGGCTGTTTAAAAAATTAGTTAATTCATTACCTTTGTCGAGATCATCACTGGCACCCGTAGTAACAGAGTTGAAGAAAATGTCTTCTGCAATACGGCCTCCGAGTGAGACACAGATTCGATCGAGAATCTGTTCTTCTGGCATGAGATTCAAATCACTAGGTTGGTACATAGCGAAACCAAGCGCTTTTCCACGAGGAACAATCGTAACTTTAACGAGAGGATCGGCGTGTTCGAGAAACCAGCCAGTAACGGCGTGGCCAGCTTCGTGATGCGCGATCTTGGATTTTTCATGAGGCTTAATCAGACTGCCCTTTTTCTCAATTCCAGCAACCACTCTATCGATCGCTCTGTTGAAATCCTAATGAGCGTTTAACAGTAATATCATCAAAAGTCCTTACGATAAAATTGATATGCTTCTGTGCATTTCTAGCAGCGATGAGAGCGCCCTCATTGCAGACGTTCGCTAGGTCCGCTCCAGCCATTCCAGGAGTTCGAGCTGCTAGCTTCTTAGCAGTTTCTTCAAGGTCCATCTTTTAAAAATTTAAGAAAGAAAGACGGATTTAAAATCTTACCCCAGGAGCTAGTTTCTTATTTTTCAAATGGATTTTGAGAATTTGTGCTCGTCCCTTGATATCAGGGGCGCCGATGTAGATCTGTCTGTCGAATCGACCAGGTCGCAAGAGCGCATCATCCAAGGTGTCTAATCTGTTTGTAGCGGCCATGACGACAACGTTGTCATCTATGGAGTTGAAACCGTCCATTTCAGTTAGAATCTGATTGAGGGTTACATCAGCTTCACCGCTTCCCATGCGTCCTCCTCGTTTTCTACCGACAGCGTCGATTTCGTCGATGAATAAGATGGCTGGTGAGTTTTCTCGGGCAGTGTTGAACATGTCACGCACTCTGGCAGCACCTACGCCGACGAACATTTCCTGGAATTCGGATCCATTGACCGAGATAAAAGTGACTCCTGCTTCACCAGCTGTGGCTTTTCCGAGCAAGGTCTTACCAGTTCCAGGAGGCCCGTTGAGAATCGCTCCTTTGGGAATCTTGGCACCAAGCGCTTCGTAATTTTCTGGATGCTTGAGGAAGTTGACGAACTCCATGATTTCTACTTTCGACTCATCGCAGCCGGCCACATCGCTGAATCGAACATCGATGTCTTCTGGGTCAATGATGGTTGCAGTTGATTTCGTTGTGTTCCCCATTGGATTGAAAGGGTTAGGAGGGGCCTGGGGCTGCTTCCCCTTCTTGCCCTTCGCCGCTTTGCCACCAGTTTGTGGGGGCATAGAGCCACCCATCCCAAATCCTTGGCCATCTTTTGCACGCTTTGTTATGAAGTAAGCGAGGATCATCACAGGGAAAATGTTATTGGCGATGATAGAAAACGGCTTCGCTGTAGTCACATAATTCACGCTAACACGGTTTTCATAGGGTATCTCGTTATCGGACTGGATCACACGCATTTGTGTTTCAAGCTGGTCTACGGAGCCAATAGGGAATCTAAAAAAATTTATATATTGTTCCACTCGAGTCCGAAAGCTTACCTGATAAATTCGTTACTTGCTTTCGTTTTATAGGTTCCATATTCTCGATTGACTACATTTACGCTCTCGACTGATCCTTTTTTCAGATCATTCAGAAACTGGGTAAAGGCGACTTCTCTTTCCGAACTTTGATTGGTGTTAAGATTATGTGAGAGAATGTTTCGTAAACTTCATTTAAACCAATGCCTTAATAAATCGTTTTCATAAAGATAAGACAACAAAATAGAAGTAATAAATCCAATAAAAAGCCACTGAGACTTGGGATCTCCAACGAAACCATAGTTATCAAGTGGACCATTTTCAGCCGCGCTGTTTTTGTTCTTTTTCTTGTTATCTTTCGGGTCTTTCTTGGGGTCTTTTCCGCCGCCGCCGCCGCCTAGCTCAATTTTAAACTCGAAGCTTTTCTCCTTCATTTCGGGTTCTTCTTTACCCTTGAGATTATCATCTTTTGGAGTTTCGTTAGACGCTGGCTCTTTCGACTCATTGGACGAGCGTGATTTTCTACCGCTTGATTTGGTTGATTTTCCTTTGAAATTTCCGAATCCCTAATGCTCAAAGTTAACACTTTTCTCTAAGAGAGTTTTTACCTTTGGCGCAAGAAAGTTAGTCCCTAGAGAGAGTACTCTCTGGTGATAGACCACAGGACTTCTGTGGAAGACGGTCAACTGGCGAAGCGCCGCTCTGAGCTGGTTATTTCCGAATCTCATGCCCTCTCTGAACACAGCTAATGTTATTCCGTTCTGTAGACAGTGTTCTAGAATTATATGAATTTTCAAAAAAGGAGCAGTGAATAAATGCTTTTAAACAAAGGCCTTATTGAATTTCGGTTGGACAATAATATCTCGCTTCTTGTTTTTGGAGTGTTCGATGATCATCTGCATCATATCACGCACGCCGGGAATCTCCTCGTGAGCGTACGCAGCAGTCAGCTCTGAGTCCTTGATCAAGTCTTCTGGGTAGGGGCGTTCCTCGACGAACCAGTAGTACAAATCCCATTCTGTCACGGTCGGATCGTATACTATCGGTTTCAATCGGTAAAAAGCAGCGAATTCAAGATATCATTGATATCATATCAATTACCAGTGCTGTTAATAATGCGGTCGTAAGCCAGCATCTGATCCATTGTAAAGTCGGCCAAGTACTGATCGGCAAATGTTCCCAAGAGAAGATCGTTTTCTGTGATTCCTCGCTTTCGGCTTTGCTAAGTTCGAAAATGATTAGTTCGAAGCTGAGAAAGGCTTTTTACCCAGAAGAGTCGTTTCCTCTTGAGCTCTTCATTCTCTTCGCGCATTCGTTGTACGGGAGAAAATGAGTACGAAGCGGGACGCAAAGCCGTTTTTCCGACGATGGGTGAGATTTTGAGGGCCCTTCGCAGCATGCTTCAACTAAAAAGGGAACATAACTAAAACATAGATAGGGCTGACGCATTGCGCATCGATTCGAGTAGCAAAACAGAGGGCTCAGATCGATTCTTAAAAAAAGACACCCCGGTTGAATAGTCGGAAAGATTAGTTGCTAGAAAGAGACTCTGAAAATGCTGCAGCGAAAGTTAGACAAGAAGACGATCGTCATTCAAATGAGCGATAACGGGCCACATAAGCCGAGAAGAAAGTGTCTCACGAACGGCAAAGGTTTCCAAGCGCTTTTATCGCAAAGGTCAACGCAAAGACCCTCCGTACAACTCCCATTACCGGGTATTGTGCCCCCCAGCACAGAGTCCTGATCTTTTTGGCTACTTAAAATCCGATACTCAAAGGTTCTTGCAGGCAATGGACAGTTAAAAGAGAAGTTAGTCGGATGTATGGCAAATTTATAGACGGGGTTTTCAATTACACAACTTTTCGATAAATTTAAGAGAAACAAGACAAAGTCAAAAGTATGTGTTAAAAACTTATTAAAATCTATTGTGCAAGTTGAAATCATCAATCAACGCAAAACATTTCTCACCGGTAATATTAGACGAGAGAAGTAGATTCTAGCGCTTCGGAGTCTCTAAGGAGTCTTATCAACGTTTGAACCGAATTGTATTGAAGCTCGATATTTTGTGACGTAACATTGAGGAAAATTGTGGCGCGTAGGTGATCGCTCTGCGCGGAGTTTTCTCGAAGGCCGCGCAACGAGCCCCGCATCGCCCCGAAAGAGTCCGACATTATTTTTGAGAAGCCCTCCCACCTTGGCGTCTTATAATAAGACTCTTATTTGTTGGATGACCCAGCCTACGGCGGGTGACTAGGTCCCAACCGCGATATGCAAAATAGCACAAAACAGTGATGACTACTATAATTAATCAATAAAAGGGCGATTCGCTTTTTATATCAAAATGGAAGCAGTGCCGCTAATAAGGACAAGTAGCGGTAAGTTATGGATAGAATATCTCTCTTATACTTTGTCTTCGCGAAGTTTATATCAATTGTAGTGATAATTTGTCCAGACGTTTTCGGATAATCCCATTTCAGTGGGCGGATCAAAGCGGTCTCTTTTATCCAAGAGTGGATTCGGCCAGACTGAGAGTAAAACAGTTTTATGGAAAACCTTTATTGTGCGCAGTCTTTTTCTGCTGTTGACGATCCTGTGTTCCGTCTCCGTTGGCTGGTTTTTCGCTGGTGGAAAATTCATCGTCGAGTTTCCACAAACTTCGGTAGACTTTTTTAATAAGGCCCATGGAAAATATTTATTAGCCATTTATCGTTTCGCGGACTAAGGATCTCCCATCTCCAGTTCAACTTGAAGATGGGAAGAAAGCGCCCGAACTCGTACAAGAACAAGGACCGATTTAAATGCCAAAATAACTTGGAATGAAAGCGTTCATACAGACAGAATTTATTAAACACGCTACGAAGGCTTATTTATATCGTTAGTTGTTTAAATCTTGAAAGTGATTCTAAATGAGAACGATAAATCTGATGGAATCGATTACGATGCGACCCCAGAACACTGTGTTCGCCAAAAAGGAAGGGAGTGATGGTTTTTTTGAATGAAAAATATGTAAAATTTTGTTGCGCTCCATGAAGATAGACTCTACTTTTTGAAGACTCACAAAACGGCGTCCTCTGTCATCGAAAATATCCTCTACAGATACGGTTTGCGAACGGACAAGACCTTTGCCTTTCCGTCGAATGGGGCTCTCATTTTTAACTACAGAAAGCCTTTTGCGAAAAAGATGATGCTTCCCTTGCCCGACAGAAGCCGCCCAGATATCCTGCAGCAGCACACAAGATATTCAAAGGAAGTCGCCGACCTTTTTCCAAAATCAGATTCTTACAGAATAACGATTCTCAGGTTTGTTTAAATACTCTTTACCTATTCGTTCAAAATGTATGTAGAGATCCGGGAACACTCTTTCCTTCGTTGTTCAAATACTTCCCTCGGAATCCACCTTTCAAACAAGCCAAGACTGTGGAGAACTTTGTGTCGTCGCCTGAAAAATATAGGTACTCGAAAGAAAGTAATAGTATCAACTCTGAGATTAGTCGAGCTGGCGGCGCCGATTTCGTGACACGGAACTCGATGACCTTTCAAATGGGATTCGACAACTTTTTGAAAACGTTGCCGAGCGATGACGAAATGGCTGAGATCATTTCTGCAGTGGACAACGAATTCGATCTCGTCTTGCTCTCGGAGTATTTGCCACAATCACTCATTTTGCTCAGACATCTTCTGTGCATGACGTGGAGCGACATAGCGACCATGTCCAAGAATATCTCACAGCGAAAACATTTTGAAGAGGATACAAAGGAAAAGATCCGTCGGTGGCAGAATGTGGATACAAGAGTGTACGAAGCGGCGAACATGACATTTTGGAGAAAGGTGAAAGAGTTTGGCGAGGAGAAGATGACCGCAGAGATGGCCATTCTCGAGAAGATGAATACCGAAAACGCGGAAAAGTGCGTCAAAGGATATCGCCCCGTCAAAGAGTTGGCCGTCGAGTTCAGGGATTACGAGCCGCCAGGGCTTACCATCGAGGGCATCGAGCTGAAAGAGGGCTACACAGATGTTTGCTACAACATCGCGCTGTCACCTTTCTCTCTGGCTATTGATATTCTTGATAAACAATGCCAGAGCTCCTCGGTAAGATGATTTCAGCGGGTTTGCATAAAATGAGTTCTAGTTCTTGCGGAAATACATGCATATGGAGGACAGACCCAAACGATTTGGCACTGACTGTCAAAATGACTGAACAATCATCCGCTTGTCGGCCTATTTACCTATCGTATTTACCTTGTGTTAATTCTATAATTATCATGTGGCTCGTTTAGTGCATATAATACTGTATTTTACTAGTGAAAACTTTTTACCTACATAAATAACTTTTGTACACACTTTACTCAAACACAATTGATTTCTTCAAATGCTTTATCACCAATACCTTTACTTTAATCTTATATGCGAGATTTTCTGTCATTTGCACCTATAAGTGTTTCTCTGCAACACGATCCTGAATTATATGAATAGATAGAAAAGCGAAATTTGAACACTGCCAGTATAAAAGCAATTTTCAAATGATGTTTTGCGTTAATGTTAGCATATTTTTAGCCGTTTTTTTAAATTGTGTCAAATGGAATGAAAGTTTAATCAGTTTCAGAAAATACAAGTCGGAGTTCAGTAAGTTCAGTAGGAGGTAAAGTGAACAGGTGTTGAAAGAAAAGGTCATGTGCCAAAGCGATTCGATGCCGGATTGTTCAATGTCATGAAGTAGACCTGAGAGTTTCCCGGAGCTTGTACCGATGCAAAGAATACCTTCAAATGCGGACTAGAATGAAGTGATCGTTTATTACTTACTTTATCGTTGCGCTCGGTCAAAAACTTAAGCTTGTTGGGTCTTTTGTGGCTGAAAACGCCATTGAGAAGGCCCCGATCTACGGATCGGATTTCTATCGCTTTCTCTCCCCAACCCATCACTTCTTGAGAGCTCTGTATGTGGGCAACAGTAAGCGGGTTTTCATTCCAATTCAATATCGTCTCCTAAATACGACTCATTGGCTTGATACTCGACTAAAACTGATTACTTTAATCACTTCTCCGTATGTGTTGACGTAGACGCCCTCATCATTGTAGCACAAAAGTAGCTCCATTCCATCGGAATCGGGCAGAACAACTACTTGATGCGGAATAATGGGCGGAGAGACGTATGAAGGAATGTAAAGATCGTATTTTTTCTCCGTTTCTGTGTCGATCCCATGGAAGCCCTTTTCCGACCCATAAATAAGCTAAATACTTATCAAAAAAAAGAACATGACTTTGCCTGTTACCTTTATTCGAGAGTCTTCTTCAACGGTTAGGTGGACTAAAAGGGGCCTATGTGGTAAGTTTCCGAACGATTTGAAGGGCATGAATTTATGATATGGTTTGGGAGCCCAAGCATAAATCTCGATTGTTTCCTTCGTCGCGATGACAAGAAATCGGATTCTCTGGAAAGTAACCATTCGAAAGCAAATAACCCTAGAAAAAAAGAATTAATGCTGAAAAGAACAGACAAACGAACCCTTCCAGGTCACCGATCGATGAAAATTCGGAGTTTGAATTTCGCGGCGTGCGCCCGTCTTCGGTCTTGAGGATTTTTTGCAGAAGTTTGGACAAGTAATAGGCTTTTAATTTATTCTTTTTGCCACATATACAGATAGCCATGTTGATGCTCTCGACAACGTCGATTTGCTGGAAGCTCTTATCTGCTACTACGGTGTAGACTTTTCCTTGACCCTGGCGATCAAGGAGGAAGAGCCCTTTCTTCGTACCAACAAGAAGGTTCACGCCCCAGAGAGAGGCGCAGTTGATGTCGTATTTGAATTTCTTGGGAAAATCTTTAACCCTCTCTAGGCAGCCGTGCGTACCTTTTTATACTTTCGGATTTCAGGCAATTCTTCATTTACTCTCATTTGCGCACTGGAGGAAGGATGTACATTGATTTTGTCGGCGTTAACTCGTGGCTGACTACTTTTGTGATGGAAACTTTGACTGTGACTGATAGGTTTCTGTTGGAGGTGAGGAGCTTGTGCAAAGTTCTGCTGATGCTGTCGTCTATCCTAGAAGAGCGCTAGAATAAGCTATAAAACCTTCAACAAACCATGAACTGCTTGTCATGAACAGAACGACTATGCGGAAGGTGAGGAGTGATATCGTGATTTGATTGAAGCTGTTCTCTTTGTAAATTTTGCATGATACCGTTTCCGAATACTTGGGGCGTAGAGCTGAGTGGGACGTTTCCATGTTCGAGCGAAAAATCATGAGTCGCGTTTAAAGTAAAACTTGGGTCGGATTTTTGGTGTTTGTGCAGATTCGGATTCGTTGATGAATTGGCTAAAATGACGCTCAGTTTTCGAAGGAAATTTATTCCAACCGATCGAGCTGAATTCGAGATGCGGCGCTCGCTGAGGATAGGAGTAATCATCTTGGTCTGAGTCGGACTCGTCCATAGGAGGGGGCATGTCTGGCAATCGCGGTTGAATACTTGTAAAGCCTTATAAATTTTGGCTATCTTTATTTTCTCACCTGTCCAATGGAACAAAGTCGTTTTCCTCATCTGTATCCGAAGGATAGGTATTTACAGGAATGACAGGCGGAAACTGAGCTGGCGGGAATTGAAGGGGCGATTTTGTTACAACTGCACCAGAGTTTGACCTTGAATGACTGGGCGTGTGATCTCTGGAAATGTGCGGAGAATGCCTTGGTGAGCGACTGTTGTTACTCGAGCCAAAGGTGTTGTTGCTCAAGTGACTTCTCTGGTGGCCGTGTAAGCTTGGACGACCTATGATAAAACGCTCGAAAAATACAAATTTTGTAAAGCAAACCAGGAGGTTTAGGGGATGGTCTGTCTGGCTGACTTCCAGATCTATTGTGAAGATTTCCTGGAGGGCTTTGGAGTTGTTTTTCCAGAATATCTTTGAGTTGTGCTCTTTTAGCAGCATCTGCTCTGATTGCATCTTCTTCTTGTTTCTGTATCATCCGTCGTCTCTCCGCTTGAACCTGTTTTTGCCGAGCTCGCTTGAGTTTTTCCTCGCGTTCTTTCAAGCTCTCATTAAGCGCACTATTGTGCGCGTTCATTTCTGAGCGATTTAGCTGAGCAAATGCCCCGCGGAGAGTTAAATTTTCATCCCTTGTTCCGATCGTGGGATCAGCGGAATCCTCTTTTTCTTCCTCAGAATTACTGTCATCGCTGTATAAATCGTTACGACGCTGCATTTTGTCGATCAACTCTTTTAACTGTTGCTTGATAAGTCGTTCGTTTGTCTGTCCCTTGACAAAAGGGTGGTTCAAAAGATCTTCAGTGACAGGTCTGTGTTGATAGTTCTTTATCAGCGCTTTATCGACAAAATCTACGAAGCTTGTACTCCACTTGCCTTTTTTCATTTCCAACTTTGGCGGTTTATTTCGTGGAATCAGGAAGAGCGCTCTCATAGGATGCAACTCGCAAAGAGGCGGATGACCATGGGCCATCTCGATTGCTGTTATACCGAGAGACCATAGATCTGAGCGATTGTCGTAATCATTTTTCGATGAGTTTTGAGGATCACAGGCGATAACCTCAGGAGCCATCCAATAAGGAGTACCGATGAACGTATTCCGCCTTGCTATCGTTTTGTCAAGCTGAGCGGAAACTCCAAAATCTACCAGCTTCACATCTGCGTTCACAGTAAGCAACACATTCTGTCCTTTTATATCTCGGTGGATTACTTTTCGACTGTGAAGATGTTGCAGCCCGCGCAGAATCTCTCTTGAAATGTAGCTAATCCAATCTTCTTTCAAACTTCTATTTTTAGTAGCCTGTATCAAGTCAGTGACGGATCCTGCGCCACAGTATTCCATGACGAGCCACACCTGATTGTCAGCTCCTTGAGGCATTTTCTTCACGAAAGAGCCGTAGTAAGTTGCAATATTTCGATGGTGCGAGTGCTGTTTCAGCATATTTATTTCCGCTTTGATATCTTCTTCTTCATCCTGTGTTACTGGCATGACTTTGATTGCCGCAAGCTGGCCAGTTTTAATATGTCTTCCCTTGAAAACTTGCCCATAGGTTCCATTGCCAATCGGTTGAACAAGCTCAAAGATACCAGCGGGCTCTTTGAACGCCCCTAGGTCTATTCCATCCAAGCTTTGAGCTAGCTCCTCCATTTCGAAAACGATCGATCTAAGCATGTGACTTTGAATTAACTGACTATAGAAAAATATAGGTATCTTCATACAGGTAGAAAAATAATGATGATAGAAAAAATCAGATTCAATTGTTTTCAGTAAGGCTAGTAATTACGATTCCTCGTCATCGGAATCGAGCTCTTGGATCATTGGCTTAGCTGCAGATGCGACGGGCGCTTGCATAATAGGTTCCTGCGGCCGTTCAACTTTCTGGAAGAGCATTTCTACATCTTCTTCGGGCTTAGTTTGCTGGGCGATGTTAAGAATGGAAGAAGCTTCCGATTTTGCTTCTAACAATGTGCTTTGTGGCTGTTCTGCACTCGACTTTTCCTCGACGGGAACGGTCGTAGTCGAAGGGACGTTTAAAACTATATCTTCAGAATCTGAATCAGACTCGCTATCAGAATCATTCAAGATCGTGACGTTTCGGAAGCCCTTCGGCGCCGGTTTCGTCAATTCTTGCATTCCGGCTGCATCAACAGTTTCAAGATCTGGGAGGTCGTCCATAGAGAATGACTTTTCCGAAACATTTGCGTCCTCGTTGGTTGATTCTTCATTCATAAGCTCATGAAGTGGACGAGTGCAAGGCTGCTCTACCTCTTCAGATTTTGAGGAATCGCTTAACGCAAGGAAGATGTAAAAAAGATATAAAAGTATTTATAACTACCTATCATTGGAAGAGCTTTGGTAATCTTCCTCGCCAGCGGCTTTTGCGGCGGCTCTCTTCGCTTCGGCTTTTTCTCTGAGATTTCTAAGATACGCGATGGAAGCGTTCATCTTCTGTCTATCTTTGTTTTGCCACTTTTGGCGTTCTTCCTTTTCCGCTTCGATGCCGCCTTTCATCCATGCTTCGGCACAGGCCCGATCTCGAGGGAAAACGGGCCGGTCATCGAGGTAGGTGAGCTCCTTGCAACGCACAATCATCGTCTGAAGTTACTAATGAATCACCACTCGGGAAAAGGATAACACCAAGACAACATTATTTCAAGTTATTCTTTATAGATCAGTCGTTTTGATTACCTTTCTGTAGTTTCTAATTTTGCTGGCGACAGAGTTTTTGGATAGATTGAGGACGCGCAAGCTTTCCATCGCTTCGAATATTTCAACCACTCTTGGGTCTTCGATCCGATTATTTTGTAAGTCCAAAACAGAGACTTTTTTCAGGTCCTAAAGTTTCCAGTCATCAAGAGTTTACCAGATACAAACTTGCCTTTAGATGAAGCAATCCTTCATAAGTTGAGACGTGGTTATTTGAGATGTTCAGTGACTGGAGATCCGGGAGGCAATCGAGATTCTCGAGTTTCTTCAGCAAGTTTGACTCCAAGTTAAGTGTGCATAGCATTTGGCAATTTCTTTAGAAAGAAATTTTATTAAATAAGAAATGAAATTTGGCCTTACTCGAGGTTCTCAATTTTTTCAACGAGATTTTGTTGCAAATACAGACTTCTCAAAAGTCGGCATTCACCAAGACCTTCAATTTTTCGCAAACCATTCGATTCAAGCCAGAGACATCGCACTCCAGTATATTCTTCGAGGTTTTCGATTCGCCACCACCCTAAGATAACGTTAAAAACTCCCCAAGACAACCACCCAAAACCTTTGAAATGAAGGTAAAGCTGATCATTAAGGTAAGGAGTTCGATACTGTTTGTTCTTCTTGCAGATTTCCATAATCGCCTCTTTGGTCATGCGCGGGAAATTTGACTTGTTCGAGTTCCAGTCCAGTTCTTTCTCCAGCTTTGACTCACGGCTGTTTTCGTCCTTTTCTGCACTCTTTGGTTCTACGTTATTCAGGGAAATAGTGAACCGTTTCGCTTTTTTCTTCAACGGGTTGAGTGTTTTTTCTTTCTCGAATAAAATTGTTATGAAATTTAGGGAGTCTTTCAACCTTGACCTTTGGTTTAACTTTTTCATCTTTAATTGTGTCTGTTTTTTCTTTAATCGGCTCCGTCTTTTTGATGGGAATACCCACTGGCTCTGATGGAATTTCTTCTATTTGAACCATGTTTCAGAATCGGTCTTTCTAAATTAATCCAAATATGATCGCGTGCTCAAATATGAAAATATTTCCTTTGTTACAGTATAAAAATAGAACAATGAAATTATGAGAGGAGTGGGGTGGAAGACAATATTTATCTAACAAAAGAGAGAGGAACGTATTTGACGCTCACGCAAAACGACCACTGAAAACGAGCTCCAGAACTGGCTTCACCTTGAGAGTCGATAGATCGCTAAGGATGGCTTCTGCATCAACGGAGGCGCCACAGCCGAGTAGAAATTGACGCCTGACAAGGAAAACGCCAACCGAAAATACCGATAAAATTTCTAAAAGTTTCAAATAGTAAGTCTGATAAACAGAGTTTTAAATTATACGATAACGAGTGAGAAAGCATTTATGCAATTTTTATAATACTCCTACTCTCGTTATCGGGTTTAAGGAATCATGAAACGCTGCGAACCTAACGAGTCGTGCCCGACAATAAAGTCCCAAAGGCGCAATACTTCGGAGACATGCAATACACCAGAGAACCCTTTCACAAGCCAGCGAAAGCATATTAACACGGGTCTGCAATTAATGCTAGAGATTTCAATAAAGTTTGCGAGTTTCTTCTAGCTTACTCGTGTAGATGCCTGAAAAGGGCGGGGTCGCGCTGCTTGAAAAAATACTCGAATTGATGTGCCAGTCCGATTATTCCATGATCTATTTGTTTGTTATCTGGAGAATGCAGCTCTTGGTCTTCTGATGTTGATGAGAGATCTTCGACGAAGTGCGCGCTGCCAGAGGAATGTTCGTTATATTTGTAAGCTTATTTGAAGGTATTTATCGACGCTCCCTGATGATAAACGATACGACAAAAGTAGCAATCGGACAATAATTTACCATTCCTGGGTCATGAAACGGAGCTTCAGCAATAGAATGAAGTCTAATAAAATATCTCAGGTACATTTTGCGGAAGACTGCGTAGAGAATTACGGGATCAGAGAAGAGAAAGCAAATAGGTGCCACAAAAAATGAGAAGCCATAGAAAGGCAGCACCTTCGAGGGCGGGTATCTTTCGTCGTCTTCAGCCGCAGTTTGTTCTAATTTGAGGGTATCACATGGCATTTAGGCTAATTCAATAAGCGATCGTAAAATAAGAGCATTTTAATGAATTATTTTTTTTTGTTTTGCTTTGACGCAACCCTGTCCAGTGCTTGTTTACTTATTCTGGCGTTGGATTCGTCTCTTGAAAAAATCATTAAGCATTGGAGGATGTAATCAACAAAAACAAAGTAAAAATCGTCGTTTCCGGCGTTGGTTCTAACGTCATTGAGCAGGAGCTTGTCTGATACGTATTCAAATTCCGACACTTGGCGTCGCAGGAGCTCGTAGTTCGCTCGATCGGCCGCCGTTGGTTCGACTTGAAGAGAAGCTTTCCAGAGATCACCGCGGGATTCTCCGTTGTACTTCAATCCTTTTAGAATACTACGCGCCTGTATACAGTTCGATTTGTCAGACACAGCTGTCGTCTGTGCCGTCCAAAAGATATCCCGGGCGTCTTCGAGGGTGCGTAGCTTTACAGGAGCCGGCATTTCGCCCAGAGGAATATTTTCCTTGCCGGCGTTAGCTTCTTCAACGCACATTTTACACGCTTCGTAAAGCTCCCTAGGAGCGTAAATCGGTTTTATGCCTTCGAGGTTTTGCTGGATCGTCGAGATCTCAGTCCATTTACGATTGAATTCACGCGCCATTTCGGGCGACCGTTTGCGAACACTTGGAATTTTAAGCTCCGTCGAGATCTTTTCCAGTCCCTTTGATACTCTCCGAAGCCATTTTATTCTACCTGAGATGATCCAGTCCGGCTCGTCAGGGAAATACGAAGTTTCGGTTGAGGAGATCTGTTTATAGCCATACAGATGAGAATAGATTTCGTTGAGGAAATGCGTTTCAATATTCTCCCCTAAAAATTCAAGAATCTAAAGAGTCCGCTTATCTTACCGACAACCTTTCGAAGAATATGATCGATTAATTTTTCTTGGTCATCAAGTAAATTCAGATCGGAACTGGAAGCGATATCGAGAATAGCGTCTTGCAATATTTTGAAGCTCTTCGAGCGCACCAGATCATCTGCTAATTCTTCTACCAGCATTCTTCTGAGCTCGTCGACTTCCATGTCTTTTTCTAAATCAAGAAAGATCTATAGTTGTATATTATGATCATTATTTCCGTTCTTTATCCAGTCATAAACAAGTGTACAGACATTATCTCTTTCCTCTTTTGTTCACTTTTCCGCCGACTTTTGAAATATTTTGTCCCTTGCCTTTCTTCGCACCACGGCCCTTTGTCTTACTCGAGCGGTCCTGATCTTTGACGTATCTGTGGAACTTGACGGCTTTTTGGTTCACATCTGCCAAGTCTCGCGCAAAACCAGAGCGTTTCTTTTTTCCATCTTTACGTGCAAGTTTCTTCTCGCGGGATTCCAATTTTTCTTTTTGCACTTGCTCAGAGCCAACTGAACAATCATTAGGTTTTCGGCTTCAAAAATAGGATACATACGAGCTCTCAATCTATTTCCCTTCTTTGCGCGTTTCTGCTCTCGGTGTCTGAAGGCTTCTGCCTTCTGCATTTCCAGCTGAGCTCTGCCCTCTGCTGTGTTCGTGTCGATTTTGTTCTTCTGCTTGCCTCTCGTGTTTCTATTCTTGATGCCCGAGTGCGCGTCCAACATTCTGTCGGCTTTTTCCAATTCACGTTCGTATTTTGTCTGGAACCAGCCACGTTTTTCTTTTGGTCCGTTTTCCAGCTATATGTTGTCTTTATAAATAATTATTATTTAACGAGTTACCTTGTTCTTCGCCGCGTTGACTTGATTTTCAATGGCAGCTAAAGCAGCTTCTTCATTTTCCATGTCAATAATTTTTTTTACTTTCGTCTCGTACTCGTTCAATTTCGTTTTAAAATTGCTGACGACTTCTGCCGCTACGGTTCTAGTTTTGCAGCTTGTTTTGCTCGCCTTGATGATCATTTTCAAAATTTTCCATTCAGATTCGCCAACTAAACCAGCATAGATATGGATTAAATACAGTAAGTTACCGAGAGAAATCGATCTTCCTTGTTTTCCTGCTCTTGCAGTTCTTCCCACTCTATGAACATAACTTTTGTAATTATTTGGAAGAGTCATATTGATGACCGTCCGTACACTGGGAATATCTAAACCACGCGCCGCCACATCGGTACAAACTTAAATATTAATCACTGTAAAGAACTCACTTCAGTTGCGTACCCATTATGTGAGCGGTTCCATTCTTGAAATTCGCCAGCGCTTCGAGTCGAGCAGTTTGAGACATAGAACCGTGAAGTTCAACCACTTTCAATCCGAGCAAACCGAGGAGAATGTGCATACGATGAGCCATTTTCCTAGTCTGATTTTGTTCATGGTAGACAATAGAATATACAATTTAGCGAACCTGCGTAAAGAGAAGAGTAAATCGCGGAAAAGAGCGGGTCAGAAGGGCTGCCACGATCGCTTCTCTGTCTCCTTCTCGTCCAGGCCGAATCCTGACGAACTGCTGCTCGAGGCCATCAGCTACATCAGTATTCGAGGAAATAAAGATCTTCATCGGTTTCGTTAGAGCTACATCAGTAAGCTCTTGAACACTTTCTGTCATTGTAGCAGAAAAGAGCATTGTCTGGCGGTGCTTAGAAGTTTGAGATAAAATTTCTTTCATCTGAGAGGCGAAGAACTCATCGAGCATTCGATCTGCTTCATCGAGAACTAAGATTTCGATTTCCTGCAGAGAAAAATTCGGAGTATTGTGGAGATGATCAATAAGACGTCCGGGAGTGGCGACCAAAATGTCGGGATCGCGGCGCAGAAGTTGCGTCTGCTGTTGCAAATCTAAGCCACCTGCAGCACAGGCGACGGTTACATTCTCAAGCTCTGCCACTAGCTTTCGGAAGACGGCAAAAACTTGTACGCACAATTCACGCGTTGGTAGCAGCACCAAAACCCGCGTACATGATTCTACTTTGCCTGGATCACGAAGCGCGAATCGCTGAAGAATCGGCAAGACGAAAGCACCAGTTTTTCCCGACCCAGTGGTGGCACAGGCACAAATATCTCTTCCAGTTACAGCAACAGGAATGGAAGCCTTTTGAATCGGAGTAGGCGATGTCCAGCCTACATTCGCAAGCGCCTTTAGAAGTTTTCTTTCGAAGCCATAGTCAGCAAACGACTCTTTTTCGTCCTCGTCGTCTGGTTTCACCCAATTCTCGAAGAACTCGTCCGTCTCTGTTGCTTTCTTTTTAATTGTTGTCTGTCGTTCCTTCACCGAATCAACAACAGCGGGTAGCTCGTCGTCTTCAATAACATCGTCGTCTTCGGCAGTTATTTTTTCTTCGCCAGAAGCTTCGATTGTCGTGTCCATTTTATTGCCGTCGTCTACGGGCTGCGTGAGCGCCTCATCATTCAGAACCTTATTGATTTTCTCCTGCAGAGTTGTTCGCTTCTTCTTCTTCTTCGCCATCGAAAGACCGGAATCGAAGCCGATCGGATCCAAGAAAGGATCCTCTTCGTTAAATTCCAATTCTGAGTTGAATGGATTCCTAAATACGTAAATTAATACAGGGACGGTACGAGTGCGGTTCCAACATTTCTTCTCGGTCTTTCTTTGTGAACACTTTTTCTTGGAATTCATCCTCAGAATCGTCCAAGTAATCGATTTCATCTTCCGAGTTAATTGTCTGTATCAAATCGGACATTCTTAAATGGAAACTTTTAATGGGACATTTAAGATCCGTTGTTGAACTGCGAACGTGGTTCATGGACATACGAGTATGACAAGATGCGACAAATATTCTATCAACTCATTCAATTTCCAGCGTTTGATTTCTTAAATTCTTTCCTTTTTCCACGACCACACCAGGGCCGATAATACAATTCGCGAGCGTGCACTATAAAAATGTCGAATAATGTTCAAATTTGGAAAAGATACCTGCTCGCCGATTGTGACTCCAGAGCCTACAATACAGTTATTCAGTTTGCAACCAGTCGAAATTCGCGCATCTCCCATCAAGTAACAATTCGATATAGTAGTCGTCTTCTTCTTGTCGTCTTAAACAACGATAGCGCCAGAAAGATGACATTATTCAACCTGTTGCCTGATATTCAAGGCGACATCGCGGTCCAATAACGGACTTGCGAATAAGTAACTTTGTACAGCCTTCCAGGGCATCGTTACTGAGAGTGTCCGACGCGTCATCCTTGACGATTCTTTCTGTCTCAGCGTCGTTGAAACGGGTCACATTGTCTCCGAAAATGGTCGACTCGTCAACCTTTTCGATAATATATGAACGATTCCGATACAAGGTGCCCTTGTCAAGGTCATACGTACGTCGCAGTTTTTGAGATCCGGGCGTGAATTAACTACCCATTGCTGAAGTAGTTCTTGAGCTATAATTTTCCTATTTGCATAAATTAGATGCTCGACCGAGTCAAGCCGAGTCGTGCCCGACTCGTCAATAACTGCAAGAAATTCGGGGGTTTCCAAGAACGGGAAATCATCTAATCAGAGTTTTAAAGAGTGTCATTTTTATGAGAATCTGAGTAGGAGAATGAACCTGAGTAGGGTTTGTATTGACATTTAATCAACACTGGAATGAGATCGTCTCGTATGGACTGCCAGTGTTTATCATCTGGTGAGTGAATGATCCATTGAATCATGTCTTTGCGGAACAGAAATATGCCTTGGTCATCAAGGTCAGACGACGTTTCTACATGCCCTTCTCCTTTGGTAAGAACTCTACGAGACAGTCTTATAGATTCATCATCATCTAGAAAATAAGTTTGAAAATAACCAATCTCAACTATTTTACAATTCTCGGTGTCGATTGTAAGGAAAACTTTGCGGACAGTCTCGTCGGCGTCTTTTCCGTTGAAGAAGATTAATTTTGTTATCTTGTCCATCGAATGCGTACATTCGGCTCCAGGTAAGTCCTTCACGCTAAACAAAAACATCTGCTGATAAAAGAGAGTTAGATGATTTTACTTTATACCAGTCGATCGTGGACCGTACACTGAAACAAGCGCTGGGTCATAGACGCGACTAATTTCAGCAACTTTTGTGAGTACTTTGCAACAAACAACGTCCACGTAGACGACTAATAAACTCTCTGGAAGACCATCACGGGTATCGATTTCACGGACGGCTTTCCTAATAAATAATTTTTGAACGAGGTTGAACAAGATAGCTTCTTTATAAAGATGATCATTTTTTCTGGATTGTAAAGAGCGCAGTTTCGAACCTGAGAGTATCCAAGGAAGATTCGACTTGACGCACACGGATAAAGTTAGAATCGGGGAGGCGAGATTCAATTGGCACAACGCGCTCATCCGCTTCGTACTCTTTCAGGTCATCACCAGAAATCGCAACATAGATCTCATTCCTGGCGAAACCAACGCTTTCTAGCTGCTTGATAGAGTAATAAAGCATAGGTTTATTGGCCAGGGGAAAAAGGGCCTTTGAATCTTGCGAGATTGAGTCTAGATTTCCATTTTGATACCCCTTTGTTGGATTTTTAATGCAATCTAAGAGGACGTTCTGTCGCCTGCAACTTCAATCCACGCCTGTGCGAGAATAAGCGCTGCGAATTCTGCTGTCTGTCGCGGGCGCGCGGGCCCAGTGAGCGAGGTCGACCTTGATCTGCGACCACTTTGTGGCATCTAAATAAACAAAACATGAGATCTTTCGGGTGAAAATTTATTGGGTTAACATGTTTGCATTCAAGGGCAGCTTGAGCTTTTTCACGAAGGTTAGTTTCAGGAACTTTATTTCACGCTGGAGAAAGCTGATTTCTAATCCCAGAGCTTGATCTTCCCATCCCATGAGGCAGTGACAAGTTTACTCGTTTCGTGATACAGCCATTTGCAGTCGATAACCACCTGATTGTATATTTATTATTGCATTCTTGAAACTTTAAATTCTGACCTGATCGTGAGCTTGAAATTTGGAATAGAGTCTCCCAGTTTTCCAGTCCCAGATGAACATCTTTCCTTCTGCATCCCCAGAGCAAAGGTATGATTGATCGGGCGAAAAGCACGGCCGACAAGCATATCCAGCAACAATATGCCCCTGGAATATATTGAATAAACGGTAGAATTTAAGGCCTTACTCTAAATTCCTTTTTCTTCTTTGGTCGGAACTTTCCATTGGAACAGTCAAATATGCTTATTTTATTGTCTAAGCTCGTGGCGGCGCAAAAATTTTGGTCAGGCGATTTAGTCATTGCAGGCATCGAGTGCATCCCGGGGTCAGCGATGTACTTAAGTTTTGTTCAATCGTCAGTGAATTCACGAATTTTGCTACCTTGAAATCAACAGGGATATTCCATTCCCAGACTCGGATAGACTTGTCATCAGAAGTCGTCACAAATCGTCGGTTGTTGTCAATAAAGGTGATGGTATTCACGGGGTTCAGATGGCGATCATATTGCTGCACAATGTTTCCAGAGCGGCAGTCCCATGCTGATACTTTTTTGTCGTTTGAGCCGACAAGAAACATGTGCTGCCTTTCGGGATTGGGATGAATTCGAATCACATAAGGCATTTTCTTGTTCGAAAATTTTTGTATGCATTGGCCAGTCTCAGTATCCCACAGTTTCATTAGTCGATCATACGCTCCAGACATGAATTTCTTTCCGTCGTAAGTGAAATCAAGACATCTTACTCCCTTGAATAAAGCGTAAGTTTGTTTAAAACACCCTACTGATATGAATTACCTTGTTATGACCGCAGTAGGTCCTCAAAAGACGGCGTTTCCCGTAAGTCTCCCAAATTTTTACTTTACCGTCCATAGATGAGCTTAAAAGTAAATGACCAGTAAGTGGAAACTGTTCCACTGAAGTAACAGCTTTGGTGTGACTTTTGTAGGTATGGATAAGTTTCTTCGGCAAGAAACAACGATCAGGGGCAGATTCTTTCGTCAGTATAACATCAACATCGTGAGGGGGGTTGATGTAGCATCTTCCTTGGTAGTCTTTCCCATCAACATGAAGGGTCGATGTTTCCGTTGTTGTGTCAACTTCTTCGTCAGAGTCGTCGAACATTTGTCGCTTGATGGCTTTCCGTTCTGCCCGCTCCTTCAACATAGCATCCATCTCTTCGCGATCTTCGCCTTTAGCAGCGAGTTCTTCGTTCGTCTTTTCATCCTGGTATTTTGCCCATGGACCTTGCCAGTTGTCGATATCAGCAGTGTCGTCGTTTTTATTTCTTTTTCGTTTCTTTCGTTGGACACCACTTTGCCAGATATTGTTCCCGGATGCCCCTTCATCAATACCTGTCTGTGAAATGACCCTAGTTTCTTCAAGCTCGTCACCATTTTCGTCTAAATTCTGAACGGATAAACATCAATCAATGATGAAGATAATCAACCACTACTTACTCGCGAGGGATCAACTGCGTAACCGTATGAGTGATACGTTTTTCGTTGAGTTTCGAAGGCGAAATCAGAAATGTGTTCCTTCTCCGCATATCCAGCAAGCATGTTTCTTTCAGCCGCAGCTTGCTGAGTTTTACGCTCAGGGTGCTTCGGGCCCTGCTCTGGCATGTAAATTTCCGTCGCTGTCGGATTGAACACAATTTCCCCCTTTGAAATATCAACTGCTCGATCAGTGCTAACATCATAATCGGTAACAATGGTCGGAGCACAGTTAGGCAATTTCGGTAATCTTGGCGCATCATCGTCCGATTCGCTTCCAGAACCGTACGCCGCAAAGGGATTCGACATTCTAAAGTTATGAACTTTCGCTGAGTGGTTTCGGAAGATAGCTTTACTTTCAGATCAAAAAATAAATTAGATAATTGTAGGATTTTTAACGACTTTTGGTCCACTTCCTACTTCTGTGCAATAGAAATCTTTAATAACTTTGTAATTCTTTGATTGATATTGTTTTATCAAATCGGCGTATAAATTTTCATCATTATCAAACTTGGGCTTATCAGTATTAAGCAGGCCATTACTGTCAAGAAACGTTTGAGATAGAATCCACTTCAGCAAGTGTTCGTGTTTCTCTTGAAAAACTAAGAAGCAGTTCGGGCCAGCGTCGAAAGTGTACGCTACAGAAACTTCTCCAATAATGCTATTCAAATCGTGGACGAATTCGATGAGCACTTCTGAGGTCTCATTTAAATAGTTGACTGGTGGTAGGGTATCACGGCAAATTGCATGGAGAGTGTTTGAGTCCTTCATGATCACTTCGCCGAGAGCAGGGAAGTGCTTTGCCTATACATAGACAGTTATGCAATAACAGTACTCAAAAACGTTACAAACCTGAAATGCCCAACAAACTTCTTGTATTCTGTCTTTGCATTGCTTAGGCCTTGAAATCATAAAATCAGATGTTTCTATCGACATCTGCATTCCTTTAGTGCTGCCAATTTTTTTCTTCTCGCCGTTTACGACCAAAACGAGCACTCTGAGTTCTGGCCAGGCATGCGCAGGGTAAATCTGTTTCGCGACAGAATCGCTTCCGTCTTCCTCCTTGCCAGCCTCCCACTGTACCAGCCCTCCATAAATCGATCTACAGGCAGAGCCCGATCCTAAACGCGCCAGTCGACTCATGTCGACACTTTCTGCTATTCCAAGAGCGGTGCACAGCGCAAATGTTATACAGGCCATTCCAGAAGCGCTCGATGCAAGGCCTGCTGCTGTGGGCATTTTGTTCTCAGTGACTATTCTAAAATGAAACTTGGTTATCGTTTTCAATAATTCGTTTATACGGTATAAATTATACCTAAAGCGGAATCTGGTCATTATCATAAGATTCTGCGCATTCATTTTGTTTCTCACAGCATGTTTTCGAAAGGCGCGTCGGATCTCTTCTATTACATTTTCAAGTCGGCTCGAGATTTTCTGTTCTTCGCCGTTAAGCACCAAGCAATCCTCTTCGTACGTCGCCGAATAGGAAACTGTGGTTCTAGTGCCAAGCACCGTCTCGTCAAGTGTGAGACTTATCGAGTCATTGTAAGGCAAAATGAGCTTTTCATCCTTCTTCCCCCAGTATTTGACTAGTGCAATATTAACTGGTGCTTCAACAGTGCATTCCCATTCGCTGTCGGGATCTATGACATCCAAGGGTCTTTTGTCGTCCATAGTCTTAGAAAAAGAAAATATTTGAAGTGTTTATAATTTATTAATTTGTATGTTTGTATCACCAGTCATATAATAAATTAAAATATTTGCAGAACAGAGAGGAGAAAAATCAGACATAATCGTATTGGCAAGAGCAATTAATGTAATAAATAGGAAAGCGGTTTTGAGTCGCGTCTGGGGATGAATTTTTCGCCCGTCCAGAGCGCAGCAAAACTCGGTTGTGCTCGTAAGTACGTTTAGCGTGTAATAGCCAATAGTAAATAGACTTATTAAAAAAATTGGTATTTTGTTGTTTTCATTGGGGTAGATAGAACAGTTGAAAGTAAGGGGTATGCTCACATTCTGAACACACCGAAGCGCGTCTTCTCGATGGGCTTGTTGAGCGCGGCCGAAAGTGCTAGACCCATCACATTCCTAGTATCAACAGGGTCAATCACTCCGTCATCCCAGATTCTAGCAGTCGAGTAATAAGGAGACCCTTCTTCTTCAAATCTAAATAAGAGGTAGAGAAAACCTGAGTGATTGGAATCTACCTTTCAATGATCGGTTCTTTGATAGCCTGTTCCATCTCAGGAGTAAATTCCTGACCGGCTCGAGCGAGTTTGTTCTTTGTTACAGTGGAAAGGACAGTCGCAGCCTGTTCACCACCCATGACAGAGATTCTTGAATTCGGCCACATAAAGAGGAATCGTGGAGAATAAGCTCGTCCGCACATACCGTAGTTACCCGCACCATAAGATCCACCGATCAGAACAGTAATTTTAGGAACCTGAAAAATTGCGATCGCGTATGTGACATACGGTATGTCGAAGAAAGCAAACCTTTGCGCACGCTACGGCAGTGACTAATTTTGCTCCATTCTTGGCAATACCGCCAGCTTCAGCCTCTCGACCAACCATGAAGCCAGTAATATTCTGGAGGAAGATAAGCGGAATATTTCGCTGGCAACAAAGCTCAATAAAGTGAGTACCCTTCAATGCAGATTCGGAGAAAAGAACACCATTGTTTCCAATGATACCGACAGGATTGCCAAAAAGCGTAGAAAATCCACAGAAAAGAGTGTCACCAAACTTCGCCTTAAATATAACAGGTAGAGAAGGAATGTGAGTTTATACAGTAAAAACCCAAAAATTGGCCGGTTTTCAGATGTAAATTCCCGAAAAAAGCGGCCAAATTTTGGGTTTTTTGCCGGGTAGCCAAGTTTCCCCTTCAAAAAGCAAAGTTTCGAAATTTTCGAAAATCGGCATGATTTTCACATTTTTGATAAATTTTATTCAAATTTTTGCTTGTTTGAAGACATTCTTATAGAAATTTAGTCATTTTAAGTGATGAAAACACTCTAAAAATGGTAAAAATGATCAGAAAAAGCATCATTTGCGCCCAATTCTGGTGGAAAATTTTTTATTTTTGAAAAAGCGGTAAAATTTTGGGTTGATTTCAGGTTCCAAAAAAGGCGGATTTAGACAAAAAGCGGCCAAATTTTGGGTGGGCAAATTTTGGGTTTTCACTGTAATTTACCTTGAATTCATCGAACTCAGAGTTATCAAACATTCTGGCGACCACTTCGCGAACATCATAGGGACGCATAAGATTAGTACCAACAATACCGTAGAGCTCCTCTGGATTGTAAATTGGCGCTTTATTATCGAGAATACGTCCAGATGTCTCGGTTTTCTTTCTGTTCAAGTTTTTGACAACATTTCGCGCAAGATCAAGAGCATGCTCATCATCGAGAGCGTAATGGTCTGTGACCCCAGACTGAGCGCAATGAAGATCAGCACCTCCTAGTTCCTCAGCAGAAATAACTAGAGAAGGATTATTCCCAACAAAATTATTTTAATATTACCTTCGCCTGTAGCTGCCTGCACCAGTGGAGGTCCACCAAGGAAAATAGTTCCTTGATTCTTGACAATGATAGATTCATCGGCCATAGCAGGTACGTAAGCACCGCCAGCGGTACAAGATCCCATAACGACGGCAATTTGAGGAATGCCCTCCGCGGAGAGATTGGCCTGGTTGAAGAAGATTCGCCCAAAATGTTCCTTTTCTGGGAAGACATCCGCTTGTCGAGGAAGGTTAGCTCCACCAGAATCAACGAGATAGATGCATGGGAGATTGTTCTCTCGAGCGATTTCCTGCGCACGCAAGTGCTTCTTCACAGTCATTGGGTAGTAAGAGCCGCCCTAAATGTTTATTGGCAAGAAGATATTCTTATTTGATTTTTATACCTTAACGGTGGCATCATTAGCGACAATAACACACTCAGTACCGTTCACTCGTCCAATTCCGGTAAGAATACCAGCACATGGAACATTTTCGTCGCCGTACAAATCGTAAGCAGCGAGTTGGGAGAGTTCCAAAAATGGAGATCCTGGATCAATAAGTCGCTGAATGCGGTCGCGAGGCAAAAGTTTGCCTCTGGATTGATGGAGCTTGGCATACTAGATGGTGATCTTGAGAAATAGAGACATTATCATTTTGCTACCTTTTCACCTCCTCCCCTGGACACTTCGGCAACTCTTTCACGTAATTTGGCAACATCAGCTCTCAAGGAAGCATCGTTCTCCTTGAAGACATCTGAATTTTTATCGATTTGCGTTTGCCAGACAGCTGATCTTGTCTGGGCGGCGACTCGCCCGACTCTTCGCAACATAACTCTTGAAATTAGAAACTAACGTTAGCAAGGTAGGATTCCTGCTTCGTAAATATTTCGCTGGGACTCTGTTTGAATAGTGCAAATAAATATTTGTACTTGAGCGTATTTACGGGCGTCCTTTGAAACGAAACATATTTACCGGGCAGTTACGTAAGTGGTAAAGTTCAGATTATTCAAGTTGTCTAAATACCTATTTAAGTACTTCCTATGTATGTTCAATTCGAACAACAGACGCGTTGCTTGAAAGATTAAATTCTCTCAGAGAAAAAACGCAAAGAATTTCGGGGCGTGACACGAGTCCATTTTAGTGCTAATCCATTTTCCACTCTCAGTTGAACGCTCAGAAGAAACAAAGATAGTCGAACTATCTGTTGAAATATTATATTTAGGTCCAGGAATAAAAGATTTTTGCAAGATTGGTTTAGTTTCGAGGTGAAGACAGCAGCGGAATGAAAAGGTGTTGTAAAGAGCGAGAATGATGCAAAGGGTAGGTAGAGAAACGGCATAAATAAACAAATAAATCCAATAAATTAAATGTTACACGGCAAGCATCAGGCAAGGGAGAGGACTTTGATGATGCCTTGAGAGTTTGCGGCGAGTAAAGTGGTAGACCTTGGACGCCAAGCCACGGCGGAGAGGAACTGCGAGTCATCGCGGTTGCTTTGCAAATCGTTCAGAAGGGAGCGCTTCAAGTTAAACTCGTACTTCATCAGCGGACTTTGGAGCCCTGAAACAATTAGTGAAAAACTAGTTATTTCAATTTATGTACAGCGATGCCTCGAACTGGCACCCTCTCTAGAGAAACTCTATATACTCCTCTAAACGCATTCTCGACGCGCGTTCTTTTCTATTAATATTTTCTAGATCGTGAACTCTTCTCGGACGTCCTCCAGACGCAATATACGGTATATTATATACCTTTATAATAGACGTAGAGACTGTTGTCCTCTGATCCGCATGCAATGTAGTCGCCGTCGGTCGCTAAGCCGACAAAATTTCGTTCGTTTTGATGACCAGAAAGGGTGAATTGAGGACTAGTCTCGTCGCACTTCCACAGTTTCAGTTGAGAATCCGTCGAAGCAGAGACGATCGTGTTTTCGTCGCAGAATTTAACGTAAGAAACAGCTTTCTTGTGGCCTTTGTAGATCTTCAAGGGTGTGTCTGATCGACGAATGTCGTAGTAGTGAACGCAGTGATCCGCTGATCCGAAAGCAACGTGCATACTTGTATGGGGGTTAAATTGAACGCAGCAGACATTCGCCTTGAGAAACATGTTAAAACATAACAAGAGTACAAGTGAGTCACCTTTGCTTCAATAGTAGTGATCGCATTGGGCATTCCTAGAGCCCATATCCGAACTTTTGCATCATCTGAGCCAGAAGCAAGAATCTTGGGGTCGACCGTGTTAAAGTCGACGCTCCAACAGCGCTTCTCGTGCTCCTTGAACTTCTCCGTCTGCTTTCCGGACACGGTATCCCAGATCGAAATAAGTCCGTCGTAATCGGAGGAAGCAAGCTTGTTTTTGTGGTATTTGTTCCACACGACGCATGATATCTTATTTTGACAGCTCATCTCGTGAATCGGCAAGTGGAAGGTGCTTACGGAGTTGCTAATCACATTGTGGTAATCATAAATTTTGATTTTCTTCGTCACACCAGCCACGGCAAAGTAGTCAGAATCACAGTCGAAATCAATGCTAGATACGATGGAGCTCTAAAAAATGGGATTTGAAAGATCGAAAAAAAATAATATTTTTCTACCTGTTGGATATTTTCGTTTGAGTATTGCAGCGTTGCCAGAGGTCGCAATCTTTCGTAGGCAGTGAATCTCGACAACTCGTGCGAAAAATCATCTGGAATTCATTTCTTTTATATCAGCAGGTGATTCTTACCTAGGGTAAACTTTTCTGTTATCGCGCAGCGGTTTTCGATGTACGATCTAGTCAGATCAGCGAAGTGGTGATCGAGCCGCCGTCTTCTGCTTGAGCTTGAGTCGACTAAACTCATCACATCCGGTCGATCAGCGTCTGGAACAAGTGCATTCTCACTGTCAGCCGAGTTGCGAACGTTTCTCTCGGCGATTTCGAGGTCTCCTTCAATCGTTTTTATTTCACGACGGAGATTATCCAGTTCCGTTTGCTTCATCATCTTCATTTTGTTTAGAAAATGGTGAAGCATGTGGTTGTGAATTCTTTGCTGGCGGTCTTCAACGACTTCTCGACGCTCTTGGAGGGCGTCGATTATCGAAGTGATCGAATCCAGTGGAATGTTCCCAGGCAAGTTAACGATCTGGTCAATCGTCATGTGCTCTACAATCTTTTCAGTAAAATAGGCAAGGCAGACCGTAATTACCTAGGTGTTTCTTATTTCTGTGTCTAACGCGGATCATGTCGTTTATAGCGTGGTTTGGAAAATGGTCATTTTTGGAAACATGAGTGTCGCATTTTGGGCATTTCGGCGATATAGCCAGTGACCGGGACAAGCATCCTCTAATTTTGGGTAAAATCAGCGTTTCAGAGAAATTGAACTTCTTTACAATTTATTCAGTTAGCCAAAATGTCCACGGTAGAAAAACACTTAACGCTTCGAATACCCTGCCTGCAAAAAGTATGTCCACATCGAGTAACATGGGGCTCTTTGAACATGTTCACACAGATACTACAATGCAAGTCGGGCTCGAACACCGTCGGTCCAGAGGATCCATCGTTTGAATCACTTTCAGGCTCAATCTTTTCTATTCGTTTTCGTTTCAGCGGGGTTCTTCGAGTAGCGGAAGGACTTTTCGTTTTCAAACTGTTCCAAGCTTCTCCGATTTTGAATTCGCTCTTGCTTCCTCCGTTGTCTTGGGAGAGATTGAGAACGCATTCGTTCATATCTGAATCCATTTTCAATTTCGAATCGTCATTTTTTAGAGCGCTAGGGCGGTTTTTACTGTTGACGTACCATCTTGCTGGAACATGGCCGTTTAGGGGATAACGAAAGGTGTCAAGCAGCAGGGCGTCTCTATCTGGGCAGAGTAACACCACTGATGCACCCGTTAGTGCCTTTTGGAACCTGGTTGCTACGATGGCCGAGGTGGCGCGTTTTAGGATAAAGGGGAGGGTGCCTCAGGAAAGGCACATTCCAGCGCGGCTGCGCTGCTGGGCAAATGGCGCCGGAATCCGAAAATGCACAACTCAGTCATGGGATTGGCGCGCATCAGGCGTAGGCGTTTCGCGTTGTAAGCGTCATTGGGCGGCGGCCGCTGACGTCACGGCTGCGAGCTTTTTTGGAGGTGCCGCGCGCCAAGCAACCACCACCAGCAACAACCGACTAGCCCGATACACCCGCTCCTAACAGCACCCTTGCAAGTTACTACCACTCTAGAAAACAATCCGAAAGGCATCATTTTTCTCATCAAAAGAGAACATTCCAAACGCTTTGGAAGAACACTTCCTAGCTCCCTCGGGACGGGGTAGAACTCTCGCATTACGGTCAAAACCTACTCGAGTCCTAGAACTAAATCAGAATATGCATTGATGGAAGAAGCGTAATTATGGACCGGGGCGGACATAGGCAAGCGTTGGCCAGACTGAGCTTGAGTGTAATACTGTATTCAGAAACCACGGCGGATGGAATAGAAACAATCGTGGAAGAGGTGGCGGACCGCCATGGCGCAATGGAAACCCATTCCATCAGTAAGTGTCTTTCTCCGCTCGTCTTCAAGATCTCAAAAATTTTCTGCCGATAACGCTTCAAAATAAAAAGAAACCAATGGAATCTATTGTTTCCCATTGCGCTAGCTTCCACGGTCTGCTGCGCTCTCGTGCTCATGAGAGGCTACTATATAATAAAATTACATGGGCTATGTAACATGGCTCACTTTGTCTTCGCCACGAGTCCTTTAATTCTTACTATTCATTGCCCAACTTAAACTATTATCCTTTAGGAAAAGCCAAAAACTCAAAAAGTCGCATGAAAAAAGGTATCGACTGTCGAATAACTGTTCTGATGTTGTATTTGGCGTTGAGATTCTTTTTTACTTTGAGGCGGAGTTAACATGAAAAGCAACGACTTGTTTAGGGGTTTCAACAAAGGTGGTCCCAATCGAAATCATCGCGGCAACTTTCGAGGAAGCAACCAGAACAGATTCAATAACTCTTTCGACAGGAATCGCGACAGATCACCGGTGAGTCACCTTCTTTCTCGTTATCATTGAATTTATGTGTTTAGTCGAACTCTCGAGCGCAGAACAGTGAGAGTAGGGACAAGGACACTCGTTCGTTGCCCTCCACGCAGACCTTAGAACCAAAGAAGACGTCCCTGCTCGACTCCACGCCGTCGAAAACGATCCCCGCGGAGACGACTAACTCGAATTCCAACTCGAACTTCCTCGGGATTGGCTACGGATCAGATGACGATGATGACGAGCTGGACGATGGTCTGAAGATCGACGAAGGATCAACAGAAGAAGACGCTCACTCCGAAAAGGCGGCTGAAACCGTTCCAGCAAAGGATAAAACAATGGCGAAATCAGATGAAACAAGCAAGAGCAAAAATATCGAAGAAACAACGACCCTAGAAAAAGAAGGCGCAAGCGATAAAGAACCAAAAGCGAAAAACCCATCAAAAAGCGACGAAAAAGAGGTTAAAATTTCGCCGGAGAAATCGAAAACAAGCGAAAAAGAAAAGACGGAAGAAGAACAACAGGTGCGCAAACTCTCTGTTCATCTAATTGATTTCCAAAAGATCGGAAAACCGAGCAGCGAAGCTTCGTCGACAGGAGAGAGTGTAAATAACAGCACCGAGAAAATGGAGAAAGTGCCGCCTCCGCCGCCGTCAAAGCCTGGGAAAAAGCTCGATGAAGCCGATGACGGAAAAAAGAAGAAAGATAGTGCTGCAGTAACTACTGAAACTAAAGAAAAGAAAAGTGAGGAGAAAAAGAAGGCGCAAAATCCTGAAGCTTCTGTCGAAAAGAAAGCGGAGAATGAAAAAAGCTCCGAAGAAGGTGCTATAGAAGAATTGTCAGCAAAAGCTGCTTCATCAGGAGGAAAAGTGCCAGAAAAGAAAAAACAAGACGATAATCAACAAAACAAGACGCAACCGAAGTCTGAGAACAACGGCTCAGGCGCCAAAGCTCTTGAAGAAAAAGAGCCAAAGAAAAGTGCCGAAAACGAGTTGACAAAAAACGATATTCTGAAAACGTCCAAAAGCGAAACCTTGAAAGATTCGAAAGAGCCAACACCAGCTCAAAGCGACAAAGAAGGCGAAAAAAGTACTCCCGAATCCAGCAGCGAACCAAAGAAGAAGAATTTGAAAGAAGCGGCGAAAGATTCCGATAAGAGTACGGCCAAAGCCGATGTAAAATCCTCGCCGAAGAAGGAGAAAACATTAACGGTTATCCAAAAATCACCAGAAAAAATGACGGACAAGAGTGAAAAGACGCCTGAAAAGCCGCAAAAAGAAGCCGCTAAAAAGTCTCAAGAAGTAACAAAGTCCCCAATAGAGAAAAAAGAAACAAGAAGAAGCTCTCAAAGCTCGGAGAAGACGGATAGCGAGAAGAAACCTCCGCCGCCGCCCCCGAAAAAGACCGAGAAGACGCTGCTCAGCGATGAAAAAATCTCATCGAAGAAGTCCATCTCTTTGAATAATCTTCTCAAGGAGAAAGAGAAGGAATTGAGCAACAGCGAGAAATCACCATCTCCTAAAATAACTCCCGAAAAAAGTACGAGAACGCGGCCGGAACGTACCCCACCTGAGTCTAAAAGGAAGTCTTCTGATTTGATCAAAAAGGAACAGACCAAAATTGATCGCTTTATGACTTCCAAGCAGGATCAGGGAACAAAAGTGAATGACATTAGGTAAGTTCTATTTTTGGTTTACTGTATGTGCCTAAGAATGCAGCTTTTAGTGACTTCATTTTCGATTTTAGCATATGAATCATATGATATGATACATCTGTGGCTTTTACTTACAGATATATTGTACATTCTGCATCTGTTGTGATTGTATCTGACGAATATCTTAGTGAGAAGTTGAAAAAGCAAAAAGAAGTGGAAGCAGAAACTGGCAAAAGCTCGAGTGCGGAGGGGAGAAGGAGCGAGAGATCATCGCGCCGGAGCACTGGCAGCAGGAGGGACTCCTCTTCCAGAAGCCCGGAAAGAAAAATCGAAAAAGACAACGAGCGACGCAAGAAAGACGACAAGCCCAAGGTGTGCCACGTAGCTAGAAAAAGTGAATTTACCCTGTTATCGAAATAATCTAATCGAAGTCAGAATTTATCAGCGCTAGGCCGAATCCCTCAGTCGGCTAGACTTCCCCCTCGCCCATGAGAAAGACGGTGCCACTCAATCTTCCCTTGATTATCATTCAGCAAAATCATAGAAACTCGATCTAACCTAACTAACCATTTAAAAAAAGCAGTTTTTATCAATATCATGAAAAAAATGATTATTCAAAGAGTAAGCCTTCTTTGCAAAAAATACTTAATCGCGCAAGAAAGAGCAAATTTTCGATGGCGTTACTCTCTCTTAGGGAGAATATTGTTCTTTCCGATTTTAGCGTGAGACGGTGAATCTATTGACATCAATGCTTATATTCGTAATAATTGTATATTTTTTTTTCGAGTGAAGACGACGTTCTCTAACTTTTCGCGCCTTTGTTTTTCATCAAAATTATACATTTCTTCAGAGACCTACAGTAGCGGCACTTGACGGGAGCTAATTACCGATGATACTAGTAGTAGCGATTTTCACACTTGGCTTGTTGTGCCATTCCATAATTAGCTCCATTATATGTAAAGTCGATATTGAATAGTCTAGTCATAAAAGCGAATCTTGGTTCGTTCTCATCCTACGCCTTTGAGATGATCTCTATGTCTAAGAATCCCGAAAGTTCCCCCTCATTTTGCCCGGGGGTATTTTTGTTAGAACTAATAAATTTGCTCTCTGTTAGTCATTGGCGTTCACCCGCTATTGCTCGCCTTTATCAGCAGTTTTGTAAAACCAATTTGATTAAGGTTTTATCGGAGGACATTTTCGACCGGGAGGTTGAGAAGTCTCTCGGCGAGAAGAAATCGCTGCGGGCGTTCTCCCGGCCAGACCCGCAGAAACGATCCAGCTCTTCAATGGAACCGGACGATGAAAAACAACCAGAAGCGAAGAAGTCACGCACAGAACTCTCACCTTCTCAAGATGGTAATTTAACGTCTCCATACTTTTTTCCAAACATTTGCAAATACTTTCACAATTAAAATAATTCCCCTGTTGAATTTAATCGCCTTTTATTGCGCTCCTCCAATTCAATCGTCCAAATGTGTATTACCCTCAGTACCGCACTTTACCTCGTTTGTTCTCTCGTAGATAAGATCCCAAACAATCTTGCTTCAGCCGTGATCAAATAATTAATCCGTAATGAGCACTCTTAACGTTTGGTTAGGTTTGATGAGTCCGACTCGCACGAAGGTCACATCTTTGCAGGAACGGAGGAGCTCGGTCACAAAGAAAGAGAGCCCTTCCCCAACGGAACTGAACGCCACTGCTCTTGATCTTCATCCAAGTGCGGTATGACTTCGTATTCAACTTTCAATCAAGTAAGATGTTATTTTAGGATGGAAGCAACGATTTTTACTGCTGGTCTTGCCATCTCGAGGGCAAAGTTGTTTGCTGCGACGTTTGTCCTCGTGTATATCACGAAAAATGCCTTCCGAAAGTTCAAAAGAAGATACAAGCTTCAGAGGTATTTTGAATCAGCTCATGGATGCGTTATTATTGTTTTTTCTCAAGCGTTTTTTCTGCCCCGAATGTACCCGAATAGAAGAAGCTGAAAATCTTGAAACTAGGGTCGAGAGCATGAAGAATGTCTCGCTTCATAATTTAAGCATAATGCTTCGAAACTGCCTTAGTAAAATTCGTCCGCCAGGTATTTCCTTTCGAGTGTGACTCTTGAGTTACTTTTTCGTTAGGAATCGAGATCTTCATGCAACCTGTTGACACGCAGGCGAATCCAAACTATCTAGACTACATTTTCCATCCTATGGACATGTCCCAGATAGAAGCGAACATCAAAGAGAAGAAGTACGGATCAACTGACGCGTTTTTGGCCGACTTGAAATGGATCAAACATAATTGCATCATTTTCAACGGAGCGAAGAACGACTTTTCAACAACTGCGAACAAAATCATTCGTATCGCGGAGACAGAGTGCCAAGTATTCTTCCCCAGTTTTTAATAGGAATTATCAATCTGATTCAGGAAATCGAAAACTGCCCATCATGCTATCTTGGGCCTCTGACGAAGCCTGTGGATTGGTTTGTGCAAGTGTGCGACAAGGTTCACCCGATCGTCTGGGGAAAACTCTCTGGCTATCCTGTTTGGCCGGCGAAGGTCATGTGCTGCCAAAGGTTGGGTTCACAGAGGTTAGTTTGCTGTATTCACGTCGACTAACACCGTTTTCAGTAAAGGGAGTGGTGACTCTAAAACCTCTCGGTAAGTACAGTGGACATATTTACAAGTTTTTCTTGTTTCTCGTAAATGCATATTAAATCAACTCAATCAGCTAGCGAGACTAGTACAGTTACAGCTGCTTTTTATCATCAGAAACAAGAAAAATGATTGCATACTTGAAACTTAGCATCTATAAAACGGGAGACTGGTTGATTACATATGTCCATTGCGAAAACTTCCTTTCGAATCTACATTTGTAATCAAATGAGTTAGCTTCGAGCCTATATTCGCATTTTATGAAATCTGCTTAATTGTCGAAATGGTTGCTAGAAAGAGACAGCAAGAATGTTCAAGCTGTCTCTGCTTGGTGAATTACGCTTTTGAATGTTCTGTCCAAAACACAATCTTAAAGAACATTTAGTCATCACGTGGACATCCGCTTTTTCGGTCAACACGACAAGGCTTGGCTCTCGGTGACGCACGTGACGATGCACACTTCCGAAGACCCGTACACTCGCCCTGGTTGTCCCAAGGTACTGTATCATTAGGCCATGTCCCTATTAACAACACACGGGGGACCCTATCTTACCTTTTATGTTAGGCAAACAAACAAAAGAAAGAGTTCGAAGAAGCCATCAGAGAACTAAAACAATACATTGCAAACCTTGAGCGAAAATATGGCAAATTAAAACGATTTCCACCGAAGACCCCTTTCGATCCCGAAAAACATTTCGATGTGAAAAATCTTTTTGAAGCAGTGCCGGGAAATGTGCTTGCCAAAATACCTCCCTTGCGGAAAGAACCACGAGCTAACGATAAGATAAAAACCCTTATCAAGGGTGTCTCGACGATTATCAATCCCAAGGAACGTTTCTAGCAACAATTTGGTTATTTTTTTATTAAGTGAGTAAATGCGAAACCTTAGCAGTCCGACAAGCAAAAGTCAGCTGACTCAGATGACTCGGCGAACGGAGCCTTCGATTTCCCCTCAGATGATGACTCTGATGATGGTAATAAGTTGATTATCTCTGACGAGGCGTCGAAAGAGGACGTGAAGAAACGCAAGCCGAAGAGTGAGCCGGCCCGTGCTCCCAAGCGCCTTCGCTCTGACAGCCCAGCCGAGACGACGGCGCAGCAGCAAAAGTCGAAGCTACGGACAGAGTCTCCAATATCAGAGAAATCGGCGCCGCCTCCTCCTCCACCAGAGGGTAAAAACGCATATCACCGTCAAGAGAAAGAGCGTAAAGAAGCCATCAAGCGAGGTCGGGAAAGGCCACCTCCTCGCTCTACGCCAGAGCCGAAGGTGCTTGAGCCACCCAACAATACCCCTAAAAACGGAAAGGAAAAGTCCAAAGGCGCAGCCAAAGAAAACTCGCGCTTGGGCTCGGCCAGTATTTTATCGGAAATACAGGGACTAAAAGCGCTATCAAGCACGATTCCTCGCGACCTCTCCCCTTCGTTAAATACACTGCCAGTATCTGGTTTACCGCCCAATGTCTCCATGGGTCAATATCAAGATCGTATAATGGGCCACTTTGAGCACATTATCAAACAAATGTACGGTGAAATGCTGTCAAGTTTAGAAGGCGGGGGGCAAGCGGAAGCACTTCGGCTGGAAGTTGACCGCCTGAAATGGCAGCACGAGATGGAGCTGGCAGATATGAGACATAACAATGAACTCACTATAGCCGAAATCCGACAGAGTATGGAAAATGAGAAGAACCTTGAGATAGAACGTCTCGAAGCGAAACTGCGGAAGGAGCAAGAAGAGGCCATTCGTAAGTTCTTGGCAAGCTTTTGAAACTATTATGGGATTGTTTAGTGGCTACGAAATCGAAGCAGTGGTGCGCTCAGTGTGGCAAGGAAGCTGTATTCTACTGCTGCTGGAACACGGCTTACTGCGACTATCCGTGCCAGCAGGGTCATTGGCCTGTCCACATGGAGCACTGTACGCAAAGTCAAGGAGGCCAGCCGCCTAAGTAGGCATCTCCACTTCCTCAGCGACACTCTGTTTCCAATTCTGATGGAGATCACGCCAATAACTCTATGCTATTATATGCTGCTTCTATCTCTTTCCCCATACGAAAAGAACCAAGCTATCGACGCGTTACTCCGTTTTGCGCTTGTTGCCCTGCCCTTTGACACAAACTCGTACAGCATACGACTCTGTACAATCTGATGCGATACCATCTTCACGTTAATAAATATATTTGATATTATGTTAATATTACATGTCTTTATATTCTCAAGTGACGTGTCTTTCCCCCACTTTCACATGGGCGAGGAATATCTTTATTAAAGTGATAAGAATAATGCCGGCATGCCGCGTTTTAGACTATTCCAAAGAGACGAATTCTCTACAAATGTTCACACAGTTTCAACGCTAAAGCAGGGTCTCACTTTTTGCAAAAAAACGGTTGCCTAATTGAAAACCTCCAAAAATCTTCAATTGTATTTTTACGCCTTAAAATGAATGAGCCTAAATTAACGTCAACTCATACCTTTACTCGAATTTCTGAGCCTGCGTTTTTTGGTTAACTTTACCTGACTGTATTTACTTTTAACTCAGAAGCGTTTTGTCTGACAAGAATTACCGAATTATTTCGCTCAATTTAAAATTTTTCTGTTTTTAAGCAGGCCATACTAATGATTTCTATTATCTAGGATTTCTATTTGATCCTAACAATCACCATTTCATACCTGTTGTATGAAAGTCTATTTTTTATTCCCTTCTCGCCATTTTGAATACGTTTTCATCAAATCTGTTTAAATGAGATATGCAAACTGCTTATTTAATTATCTACATTGTTCTAATATTCCAAGAATACAAAGTTCCGATAATGATTATATTTCCAGTACCTAAGATATCTCCATGCTATTTTTCATGAATCCTCCTTACCAAAGGGCCCTATTAACTTTTAAGTAAATTATCTTATTCGAGGAAGTGATTATTAAAACCACGAATTCAGAGGCGCGTTTTATTTGATACTGATCCTCCGTTTCTGCGGACATGGTGATCGATTGTGACTCGATTCTATCGCGGGTTCCTCCTCCAGGAGCTGTGCCAGTATCTTTGGCAGAAGCAGCGCAGATCTGGAACGCCAATGGAATGCATGGGACTTTGAGAGAGCTATCCATTGTCGGCATGGTCGTCAAAATCCAAGCTCCCCGACCAGTCAAGGGCGAGCTAAAGGTGCTTACCCCTGTTAAAGCGCTACTAAAAGTTAATTAAGGGGAAATGGAACACGACGCTGTGGATTCAAGATCCCACCATTTCTTCGGCGCGGGCTGGCGACGCTTGTCCCCGCTGGGGCTTTGAATTGACTGTCTGGGCAACAGTGGACTCAATCCACCGACTGCCTAGAGCAGAACCCGGCGAAATACTTGTAGCATACCCCGTCCATCTTACCGGCAGTCACGGTTCTATATTCTCTATCAAACTATCGTAACACCAAACACCCAAAAATAGATAAAGAACCATCTTGAAGCCATAGCGGGATGATCTCAGAAGATCAAATGGACGAACGCATGTTAGGAACAGTTTTGCTAGCATTTCATAAAATATTAGTGACTCGAATAAGCTAGTTGAACCCATCGAAGTCGTGATCCCCAAGGGTGCGGTCGCAAAAGATCCCAGGCCTGCACCTGGCTCCGTACTACCAAAAAATGCTCCTGAACTCAAGGTAAATGAACATTTGATTTTCAATTGCAAATGTCGAATTTAGTGGATTCCGGACAACAAATTCGAACAACGGCTGTACATTTCCGCTTTGCTTCAAACTCTAGATAATCTCGTCACATTTGCCGCAAAGGAAGACCCGCCACCAGTCATCAGAAGTAATGGAATACCAGAGTCAAAGAAAGCGATTGTCCTCCCAACTCGCGACGCGCAGGACATTGGGCGATTCCTCAAAAACCAACCCTCTTGTGTGAACCTAGAAGGAATGGTGACACGTGTGAGAGCGATTCAGGTTTGTGTGCTTCATTTACCTTTCTGACAATGCTTACGCTAGAAAGTGAATACAAGTCTAAGCGACCCCGATGGCATATCATGCTTGATTATCGATATCTGGGATGGGTCTGAACGATCTTCCGAGAACGCCTTGCTGGAACGACGACCGAATGAAAAAGTGAATATGACTTCTTTTTTCATGGTACAAAACCCCTTCAATCAACACTTAAACTAATTAACTTCATTCAAATTGATAAAAACAATATTGGGTGGGAAGATTCGGCACGAAGCGGGTTAATTTAAGCGATGATTAACCTTTTTTATGTTTTCATAGTTTCAACTTGAGATTTTTTAGAAGAAAGAAGAAGCTGTTTGCTGGGGAAGAAGTGCAATTCAACCCCATACATGGAGACCATTCCTGAGAACTTGCCCGATTCATTTGTACGGTGATGCGATAAAGAGCGCGATGGCTCAACAAGTGAGCACAGGCTGCTACTTCCGAGCATTCTCTGTCGAACTCTGCGAAGAGTCGGCCGTTACAGGTATGCTCTGCTCGATCGTAAGCTTCTTCATTTGTTTAGGACCGTGGTCCATACATAGAGGGACGCCTAGGAATGGAAAAAGAGTTGTGCTTCGATGCAGCAGCGATGCTCCTGAAGGTGCATCCTCTGGAATACAAATTTTACCGCCGTCTTACCACCGAGCAAGAAAGCTCTCTGACTTGATTATGAGAAGAAGTGCAGTCTGGTTAGGAATCCCGACTGTTAGTTACAATGTAAGTCATTCATTTCGCATCGGGAAGTGTGATCATATGCTTCGGATGAAATCCAGATAGTATAATTAACTGTGGTGACATTCATCTAGGAAACGTTTGAAAAGTTCAAGAACCAAAGCTTCAACCAAGCCTCGCAAGCAGCGGCAGTCGAGAAGCAACGAATGGTGGAGCAACGACTTGCGGAAGGCCACGCTCATATGCGCGCTAAACACTCAGAAACTGTCAATGGCGGCAATGGTAACCCGGCTGCTGTTCCTATGAATCCTGGCATCAAGAACGAAGTCATTCGAGCAGAATCCTAATAAATTCGTTCCATGCTATTCAATATTTTATCGAAAACCCGCACAGAAACCGTAAAATCCTTCGTATTTATCATTGATCGTACAAAATTTCTTCCTCTCTTCTCCTCCTTTCCCATAAACATTTTTAATCTCTTAGTATATCTCTGATGTTATTGTTATCTTGCGGATATTTAAGCATTAATTATTAAGTAAGACTTTTCCCTTAACCTTGTACATCGAAGAAATCATAGACAGCAGGAAAACAGCTGAGCTTTGACCCTTCCTAACATTTGTTTTAATGTTACTGTTAATCCTGGTCTTGCACTTTTTCCTTATTCTAGTATTATGGCCCGGATAGTTTTTTTTTCTTTCTCCACGACACCCTCCCGCAGTCAAGGCTGTTAATATTTATTGAATACAAATCATCGAGGAATCGCGAGATACATCGTGAATGTTGTCGCTTGTTTTCATGTTCATTGTTATTTGCAGTAACACGACATTCGAACTCGCTCATTCGCAAGCGTCGCAAAGGCACATAACCTCTGTGTGGACATTAGGAATACGAATTATTAAGAATAGCCATAAACTTTTGAGAATAAGGAAACTCGCTAAATAGACCTCACTTTTCTCATCTCCAGCAAATATAGTATTTCCTTGCGGTCAGCTAATCGCACTTCACAATCTCGTTATACTTTCATTGCAGAAGTTCTTTCATGATTTTAAGCTACATTCATTTTATAAGTTTATCAAGCAGTTCATGCATCGTATGTTTGATATAGCTGCAGTCTTGATTCTCAGATGCAACTATTGCTCTCCCAAAAAGACAGAATCAGAGAGGCTTGGCATTATTTCTTGAGCTGCTGGTCGTTGTTGATTACCTGACCAAAAGGAACTGCTATTTCTTTAGAGGCATGTTTATTCCACTTAACCGAACGACTATTGCACCTGACATTTGAATGCTGATATGCTTGAATTGTGCTGAATAAACGATCCATGTCTCCCAAATAAGAATAAAAATATGATCATATCAATGTGTGATGATATTTATTATTACTATCTATTTACAGCGGAAAAGTTGTAGTTTTTATAGAATTTTCTGACTGTACGGTTGAACGGAAGCGGAAATGTGTTGTTACTGTAGCGAGAATAGAAGCTAGAGTGGCAGTAAAATAAAATATTTCAACCTAGATAAACAGTAGGGTCGTCACGGGCGGGTGAAAAATAAGACGAAAGAAGAATCAGTTTCATTTTCGAAAGTTCTGAAGCAGTGTGGTTCCAGTTTTATTATTACGTTTTGTATAGTAAAGATATTTTGCTGGTGCATGTTTTTAGCAGCAATAAGAAGGAACGCGTATGAATGGTACTTTACATGTACATCGAATTCTGAGGTAACTATCGCAACGACAGGAAAATACAGAAAGCCTTAATTCCTCTTTGAGGAGGGCACCTGTAGTCCAAGCTAAAATAAGATGTTTGTACATTGTAAGCAATCATAATGGCTTTACCTGTGCAGCTAATAAAGATAGTTCTGGAGTGAGCTGATCTGGCTGAAGTTGACCACTAACGAGTGCTCTTAATTGTTGATCCTGTTGCTTGAGCAGTTCCATGCTCATGCTTGAAGGAACAGAAGTTGGTAGAGACGTTGGGAGAGAGCTGGGCAGAGAGTACGGAAGGGAAGTCTTTTTAGGGGTAGAGGATTTTGTTTTCGCCTGACCCATAGAACCTGCGAGGAGTTGTTGCATAAGCGCTTGTTCCATGCCTCCAGCTGCACCTTAAATAATTGTTATACTAACATTTTCGGGGAGCCCAATGTTCCGAAGAACTTTTTTACGCGCTCATTATATAATATAATATATTCTTAAAAAATATGTGATTTATATTTTCTTACCCATTTGCTGTTGAAGCATGAGCGCTTGGGCAGTAGCTGGATCCAGCCCTCCGAGCATTTGAAGCACCTTTGGATCCATGCCACCGGCACCAGCACCCATTCCGAGCATAGCCATTTGCATTTGCTGTTGCTTCATCAGCTCTTGCTGCTGGAGAGCTTTCATGCTGTTAGCGTCCATGCCAAGGGCTTTCATCAAGTTCGGATCCAGTCCCATTGATGCTGCAAGTTTTGGATCGAGACCTCCGAGTATGTTTGCTGTGCCTGCTCCACCAGAGAGGGCCATCAATGATCGTTCATCGAGCCCAAGCATTCGCGGATCTAGTCCTCCCAGGGCTGCCAATGGGTTTGCTCCGCCAAGGCCGGCTGCACCTAGTCCACCTAGTTGTCCCTGCTGGAGTAAGCGATTCATTGCTTGTGGATCACCGGCAGCGATTGCTTTCAGCGTTTCCATGTCCATTCCTTCAAGACCAGCAACTTTTGAAGCGGTAGATGCGACCGGCGAGGCTGCAGGCTTCTGGTCGCCAATAATACCCAGTTGCTTGAGCATAGATGGATCAATTCCTTTTGCTGCAAGCGCTTTAGGATCTACAGATGCTAATGATTTGAGAGTATTTTGCATAGCTTTATCCATTTGAGAAGATTTAGGAGTCGAAGGGGGTCGAGGCGTGACGGATTTTGCAGATTCCGGTTTAGGGCTAGATGGTTTTGATCCATCGGAAGCGTTTTTGTCTTCTTTCTTGTCTGATTTCGATTTGTCTGATTTCACTGACTTTTTATCGTCATCGGCTCCGTTCACGGGGGAGGTACTCGAAGGCGGTGCCTTCGCATCACCTTTCTCAGACTCGCCAGCGTTCGATGCCGTGTCTGTCGGTTTGGGTGTGCTTCGCTCGTCCGGTTTCGGAGTTGAAGGCTTCGGAGTACTGGTAGAAGATCTCGGTGCTTGGGGAGATGCAACGGCTGGCGCACCAGTTAGTGAGCCAAGCCCCATTGCGGCAAGCTGCTTTTGATCTAATCCTCCGACACCCATAAGCTGTTGCATGGCTTTAAGCTGCTGTTCTTGCTGTTGCTTTTGAAGATTCGCGAGATCAGCAGCACCTCCTCCAAGACCACCGAGGCCAAGTGCCATGAGAGTCGCCGGGTCCATTCCAGCTAGGCCAAGTTGTTTCGGATCTAAGCCACCCATAAGTGCTTGCATAGTTTTAGCGTCCATTCCTTGCAGACCGAGCATCGCAAGTTGCTGTTGTTGCTGTTGTTGTTGTTGCTGCTGCTGAAGAAGTTTTGGGTCGGTAAGAGAGGCGAGCATTTTGGGGTCCAGTCCCATTGATGCCAGGAATTTTGGATCCATCATAGCTGCAGCACCTCCACCACCGTATCCTAATGCCTTAAGCATATTCGGATCAAGACCGCCAAGTTGTGCCATGGCGAGAGCATTTTTATCCATCCCTAGGGCAGCAAGCATTTTTTGGTCCATTCCATGCATTCCATGGGCTGCTTGCGGCGCAGATAGTCCTTGTAGCACCGCCATCGCTTTAGGATCCATTTGAGCTTGCATCATGAGTGTTTGCAACATTTTCGGGTCCTGTAGAGCGGAAAGATGAGCAAGTGGATCGATTTCAGGCTGAATTCGCTGATACATGGTGCGCGGGAAGTACTTAGGGTGCTTGATGACAAATTCTTTTGACTCTGTGGCAACAAAGTAATCGGGATTCTTTTTCAAAAAGCTCTCGAGATTGTAAAGTTCCGGACACTTTTTCCGATCCAACTTGACATAAGTCGACAAATTAATGAGCTGAACTCGTTGATGCGCGGGATCGTTCGCCTTGGGCTTGGCCATGCTCTTCCCAAGCGCACCGAGGTTGAGTTTAGACGGGTCGACCCCTTGTTGCATTAGCTGGGCCATGACCTCAGGTGTAAGTCCAAGCTCTGCGAGATCTGCTCCCGTATGTGCAGGTGTTACGGTTGCCGTTGGCTGAGGCGTCGGTGCCTGTTTTTTGGGCTTTGGTTTTTGCTTCTCCAAAAGGGCATCAAGAGCTTCGTAGTCAACCTAATTAAACGTAATAGAGGCTAGTTTTTCAAAGTTCTCGCGAACGGGATAATCCTATTTGCGCAATTACCTTGATGGACGGATTGCTGTCAAGTAGTCCTTTAAGATCTTTATTCGGAATTCCTTCTGGCATTTTCACGCCGCCCATAATGAGTGGGATGATCTGGTTAGGCCCGAGTGTAGTGACATCGACCTTGTCATCAGATTTTCTCTTTTTCCCTTCCGCGTTCGGTGTTGATGCTCTCTGTGATCCGGACGCCATCGATGCTCTTGAAGCTGGGCGTGAATCTGGATCTTTGGCAGAGCCTAGCTCAGTGGTTGGGGCAGGCCGCTTTTTGGCGGATTTTTTCGGGGTTGGTACCCCCAGGCCAGCCATGCCCGGAATCGGTAGACCTTGCATTTGCATCAGCTGCAATACTTCCGGCGTCATGCCTGAACGAATACGGATTATTGTTGGTCGAGCTCAGTTTGATATTTACATGGTTGGTTTCACAGCCTTTCAAAAAATCATCTTACCACAGTCATCGCCCGCTTTTCAAATAACGCGCAGACTTTTATTAATCTCAAATAATCGATTCGGCTATTATTTGGTACAGAGAGGGCATGCCCTTGATAGAAGAAAGTTTTAACGAGCGTGCATTCGAACCGGTATCTACTAGTTTGTGAAATTCTAAGAATTCAAATTATTCCTTCGCTAGAAGCGTTGAAGATAGTTTCGCTGCTGATAATTTTTGGTGCTTGAATAATGCGATAATTACCTGCTTGACCGAGGAGAGTCTTTGCGTCAAGAGCAGCTGCTTTAGGATTGGTTAATGGAGGGGCCAAACCGAGTAGTTTCGCGGTTTCAGCATCCAGTCCCAGTTGTGCGGGGTCAATCATTCCTTGTCTCAGTAACATCGCAATGGCAGGGTCCTGAAGTTGTTTCTCGAGCGCCATTATCTTCGACTGTTGCTCGGCGGTCATCTTTGCAGCGGCTCCAGCGGCAGCTGCGTTCAGGTTCTGCTCCATTTTGGGCTTTTTGTCGACCTTGGGCGCTTTTGCTGCTTCCGGCGGTATCTGCGGCTGCTGTGTCAATTGGCTCATGAGGGCATCGACAGGTAGCCCGAGCATAATCGACTGAGTGAGAAGATGATGAAGTTGTTCAGCTTCCTCTTTCGAAACTTGCCCAATTTGCTGCAGCTCCGTCAATTTCTGCAATAACTATAATAGAGGGTCACCACTGTAAAGTTGCGCTTGTTTTTCTTGACGCGAATAATTCTCTTTTGAGCGCTTTTAGAAAAAAATAACGACTAGTAATATTTTGCCATCGTGATTTTAAGATTAGTATTCTCGAAATCGATATAAGAGGGCAATGGGGTGTCCACTTGGGCAAATTTTTCTTATTCGAGCTCTTCTGAAGGACGAAAGTGGAACAATGAGCGATTTACGATCGAGCCAAGTGGCACCCCGTGGAGTCATAAACACTAAAGGAAACAATACATTGGCCGATCGGAATTATACAAATTTCCAGGGAGAAACACGACCCACCACTCTTCTAATACACAATATAACATTTTCCACATCACAGGCGAGCATAAGCGCTTGTAAGTACTCGACAACTCCCGTGCAACAGTAATATCGAGATGTCTTATGCATGAAGAGTTGTTCATTTGTTAGACAAGGGGTATATAATCACCAATGATAAGTGGCTATTGATTTTACTTCTTCTCTTTTGATTTGGTTAAGCCTACATTTATTGAAATGTTTCTAAATGTGTGTACTCGACTTGACCGCGAATGAACAGATAATGCGTCAGTTAGCAAGATCATATCATATTCAGTTCCATAAACTACCATGAGATTTTTTTAGAGAGGGAGAAGGCCCCTGGCTTCGCTTCCCCGTTCCCCTCTCGGGGGAGTCTAGAAAATTCCTTGAGTTCCTGTTGGGCACTTCAGAATATAGAATCTAGAGTGCGGCCCAATGCGGAAAAATACGGTATTCTGATTGGCTAGCCGCGCTATGCGCGCGCGGCTAAAGTGAGAGTCCCAGAGGGCTAAGGACTCTCAGATTCTCAGATCTCCCCTTAGAAAAAAATCTCATGGTAATAAGCTAACTTCCCGAAAAAATTCACGTAAAACTATCTTCTAAAGCCATTGGAAATCCTGTATTTATAATTTCTGCGATGATTACCTTTCTGTTAAAAAAGAAGGGGTAATTATTCGTTTTCTCTTAATTTCTCGATCGTTGGGGCGCGAATCGGCGCCTGTGGCTCCTTTCGCGTGTTTTGTGTTTCTCTTGTTGCGAACAAAAAGTGGAAAATATTTTAAATGGCGAAAAGTGATCGATTGGATTGGAAAGTTAGTTAGTTACCCAGAGATGGGTCGTGACCGAAGAGTGGAGCCGGGCCTAGTGCCCAAAGGCGGCATTGTTTGTATTTGATGCTTCAAGTGTGCGGGCAGCTTATCGAAAGCGGCGCAAATAGCGCGGAACCGTGGTGTTCTTCCCAGTTTTGAATTATTTAATAATCGTTCTTGATTTACTACACATGTTGCCACATTTTTGAGAACACAGCCGTGTGAACACCCCGCCACACTCGCAAGTAAGCGGCTCGACATGTTGTTTGGACAGCAGAGCCGGAAGTGGCCACTTGCAGGCCAGCGAGTTAATACCGAACCAAAAGGGGGCTTGATAGATAACATATCTCTCCACACAGTTCCTTCCTACGAGCGCTTCGCTTTCGTAAATAATTCCTTAAAATTATCTACTCTCTTTCGTTTAATGACCGATCAGGAGTATCAATGATCATTGCGCAGCGTATTTTCATCACATAATTAATTGATAATAATCAAACTGGATAGACTTACTAAAGTGTAACGTGATGGCGCCCGGATCCGCACAAATAAAATACTTTCTCTTGTGATTTTGGATAATGAGTGAGGAGCTACTTTCGCGGGAATTAAAAATGATTTGTTACTGGGCACATTCGATAGGGGCAATCAATAATGCTCGTCTTGTCGCCCGATTCATTCATGTGACTATCCATTCGGCTTAGCGGTCTTAGGTTCACTACACCACCCCGTACTCATACTGGCATTAAGCCAACCAACGCCAAAATATTTTCTCGACGTATACACCACCACAAACGTCACAAGTTACTTTTTCATTAAGTACTTATCAGCGAGCCAAACCACGATAAATATGCACGAAGTAGAATCAATTAGGATAACACGCCACGAGAAGCGATTTTATTTGAATTCTGTAGTCGAATTCAAATGAACTCAAATCTGAGTAGATCTGCAGAAGAACCAGACTTACTCACTGAAACTCCAACTAGATGAACCTTCGAAAACAGCTTTAATCACTCTGGCAATATATTAAATCTCTGACTTATAATATTTTTATGTGTGTCTTTCAAAAAATGTTCTATTGAGATAGTAGGGACCCTCGCCTGTTGGCTGCTATTGATGGCATCGAGTGTACTGTTTTGGGGTTGATAGGGAGTACGAGCTTGAGGCCGGCCGCGCATTTTGGCACTTTTGGTGGCGGAGCGATAGTCGCTGGCGGGCGATTCGGTCCGGTGAGGTGAGTCTATTGCACCAGAGCTACCAGCACCATGTTGCCCGACAGCTGACAGATTCATCATCGAGTTGAGCAATTTAGGTGTTGGCCACTCTCCTTGCAGAATACAGAAGCAGACCTGTTCAGCTCGCTGCATCAAGATCTTGTCCTTTGGCCACCTAAAGTTAACACGTAAGAATAAAATACAGAGAATTATATTATGCCCCAGCCAAGCGGTAATGCGGAAGAATATTGAAGCGATTAGAAGTGCCGTGTTAAATGGTCAGACTTTTAGAGCCACAAACAAGAATGCTTTCACGTATATAATCATCATATACTGCCGAATTAGCGCTTGCTTGGGGATGGAATATTAAATTAAGATGACAATTTTGTATTAGTGGAAGAGTGTGGTGGGACAGTTCATCGATCCAGCAGCGATTCGACTTATGTCCCTCCAAATTGCTTATTCTTTGTATCAAGGAGTTAATTATTCAAAGGCGTATATTAATACGAGGCTTCTGAATCGATTTCGCCCGGACCAGACACTAATGTCCAGCTAGTTAGATTTCGCCTCAAATCTTACGTGAGGTGCGCTTTGACACCACAATGATAAATACAGCACCTGTTAAGTGACTGCTGTTGGATGAACTCGGCTTCAAGCAGTTGTTTTTCCTCCTCAGTAGCAACTTCAACCACTGGTCCTTCGGGAACGGGCTCCTCGACTTTTACTTCCTCTTTTGGCTGCCCCGCTTTTTCATCCTTGACCTCTTCTGTACCTTCTTCAGGATTTTTAGGCTCCTCAATGGGTTTAACATCAGATTTGGGCTCATCCGTTTCCATTTCTTTTTCGGAATCTTGTGGAGTATCCTTGGGCGTATCTTCTTCCATTTTTTCTTCAGAAGATTGATTTTCATCTGCAGGAGGCTTTGATTTCGGACTGCTTTCTGTTTCAGACGGCTTTTTCTCCAGTTCGTTTTTGTCTTCAGGCATATGTTCGTCAGTCTTCTCGGGAGTTTCGTCTTCCTTGATTTCAACTGGCTCCTCTTTTGTTTTAACCTTGATCCGAGGAGCGACTTTTGGGCAGTCTTCATAACATCTCCGAACGTAAGATCCGAATCATTAAGAATATGGATCTCACATCTGGAAAGTCCGTGCTTGTGGAGACCTACAAGCAATTCTTTGTCGTGAATACCCGCTTTCCACCAAATAGGTAGATCTGGTGATTTTTGACAGAGTTTCAATCTTGCATCAAGCTGAGGATGAATAAGACATTCTCGTCTGATGCGATCGAGAAGCTGGATACGCATTAGAGTTCTACTTGCTCGATCTTCAGAAATTTGTTCCACATACACAGCAGGTAAATCTTCATCGGGAATCGTCGTGCGGCGACAAGTCCGTTCACACATAGCTCGGAATGCAATGTAATAATTAGTAAGACTAGTGTCGGTCTTTTTGTCAAGTTTTGCAACCATGCGGAATTTTTCCCAGTTGAAACTTCCATTGGGCAGCATTTCGGTGCCGAAAGTGCTCACAGCACGATAGAAGTCAGACTCCTCGCGTTTAGTCCAACGTTCCGTAATCTGTCTCTGAATTCGATTTTTGTTCATTCTTTGAGCTCGAGCAGCAGCTCTTCGGAAAATACGCTGATACGCAGCAACAATCATGCGGAATCGCTTGTTGAGATCTGGAATCGACGGCCAGGGTTCATATTTTGGTTGAACCTTCGTTTCAACTTCAACCTTCTCTTCCTCTTTGCCCTCTTTGATTCCCTCCTCAGAATCTTTTGGACCGTCGCCATTTACAGTAGCATTGTCTTTTTCTTCGCCAGTTTTTTCTTCTGCATTATTGGCAGTACTTGCGGAGGCCTCCATGATTTGTTCTTGATCTTCGAAGACATTTCGATGTTTTGGTTTGTATTCTTTGTCAGCCGGGTTATTTCCATCAACGGTGCTTGAGTTAACAGGCTTAGATTCGCCCTCCATTAGATCTGCCATTAGAGCCTTATCATCGGCTGGGCCAACCTTTTTGACGAACACAAGGCTCGGATCATTTCTAATCAAGCTATATCTATCGTAGCCATGTTTGAAAATTCCTACGAGAAGAGACTTATCGGCTTCCTCGTCCCACCATGGAACAGGTGGTTCACCTTCGATATTAGGAACGTCGAGCTCGTATTCGGTAGAATGAACATTATCTTTGATGTGATCTAGCCAGTCTGCAAGTATTTCTGTTCTCAGATATGATAAAACGCGAACACGACCAAGGAGCTTGTTGGTGTTAGTAACCACGTGCTTACGGAATTGATCATCGACCAAAAGGCCATCAAGTTGAATAACCCATTCGCGACCTTCGTCAAGTGGAGGAGGACTTTCTGAATCTCGACCACGCTTAGATTTCTTCGTGGGCTGTTTCTGATGAAGTGCGCTGTGGAGATGAAGTTCGTGAGCAAATTCTGGTGGAGTTATCAATTCCCAAATAAATTGCTTAACTTTATCGTCTCCGTTGTAACAACTGGCAGCTAGAGATAGAATCGCTCTCGCAACTTCCTCGATTTCCTTTTCAGGAAAGCTTTTGGAGAGCTGACAATGGTCAGAAATATCTTGCCAGCGTCCCCATCCAAACATGAGTAGTCCCTTTTGGAGTTTGAAAGATTCCTTTCGTCCCCAGCCAACATTTCGCCGTTTCTTTCCAGTTCCTCCATCTGAATCAGAATCAGAGCCTTCCATGCCTTCAATGTGCGCAGTTTCATCGAATTCTGGATTGTACCGTTGTGTTTGCTTCCGAACACGGGGTTGCTCGATAATCAGCTTATTAGCAGTTAAAGCATCAAGATCTAAGTCCGCCTTTCGTGCCCACTTTTCCCAGAAGTCAGGATCATTTATGTCAATATCCATGCGGTTGTCAGCAGCACCAGCGAAAGTAGCTTTTGAGAATGTGCTACCCTTAACTCCACCGTCGTGTTTAATAGTGGTGGCGCGATTAGAAAGAATTTGATCAATGTCTTCTTCGCAGAATTTTTCGGCCGCATCATCATCGTCCATAAGCGCACCGTATGCACCCTTCTTGAGCAAGTCCTCCACCTCTTTTTTAGACAATGAGTTCATTGGACCGCCAGAGTCTTTTCCAGAACTTCCAGACATACTAAAAGAGGTTATTTCGTATTCAAAAGCAAAGCCATAAATACCTTTGAAGAACAGCTCGATCCAACCCAAGTTTGAGTGATGCTCTATCAAACATTTCACGCTCATATGTCTTGCTAGTCAAAAGTCTGTAGATTTTGACCTCCTTCTTTTGACCAATACGATGGCAACGTGCTTGAGCTTGAAGATCGTTCTGCGGATTCCAGTCCGAATCGAAGATGATAACAGTGTCTGCAGCAGTCAAGTTGATTCCCAGACCACCAGCCCGGGTGCAAAGAAGGAAAACAAATCTGTCGGAGTCCTTTTTGCAAAACCTGTCAATAGCGGCCTGTCGATCGTTGCCCCGAATTCTTCCGTCTAATCGCTCGAAGCCCATATTCATTTGATACAAATAATCCTCCAAAATATCGAGCACTCTGATCATCTGGGAAAAGATGAGAACTTTATGTCCACCAGCCTTCAATTTCGGCAAGAGCTTATGAATGAGGACCATCTTTCCAGATGCTTGCACAATAGCTGTCAATGGATCAGCGACTTCGCCTTTTGCTCTGTACTCATCAAGAATTTTATCTTCGGCTCCTTTAATTAAGAATGGATGATTGCAGCACTTCCGAAGCTCCATCATAGTATTCATCAAACTTGGGACATTTCCACTCGAGGCGCCTTTAGACAAAAAGTCGAAGTTGCGTTCAAGAATAGCTCGGTAGTATTTCTTTTGAATGTTAGTCAACTCGACTTCAATGATCGTCTCCTCTTTTGGAGCCAATGATTTTTCCACGTCTTCCTTAAGTCTTCTAAGCATGATCGGTTTCAGAACCTTTTGCATCTTATCTACGTGGTCTTTATTGGTGAGGACACCGTACTCTCGCATGAAGTATCCGATGTCGTAAAAGTCTGTCGGATTCATGAAATTGAGGAGTGCATAGAGTTCTTCGATGTTATTTTGAAGAGGCGTTCCAGTCAAGAGAACCTTATGCTCAATATGCATATTCCTAAAGTAAAGGCGTGAGAATTCTGATTGACCAGTATGAAATTGTGTTATTGGGGTAAATTTCAGCACCCTTGACTAAACAAATTTGAGTTTGTTTTCTGTTTAAAGACGGCATAGTGAGTTATGACAGATAAATAGACTCTGTGCATCACTGTCTCGTCAGGTATGTTTTCATGATTCGCTTCTCACGAGCCGTGAAAGCGACCGTGAAAATGAAGCACTGAGATGAATATAAATTTGGTTATCGACTGACGACTACGCAAAGTACAACACGGCAGCGGATAATTACTCACTTCAAATTTTCAGCAAGCTTTGACTTGGTGTTCTTCAAGCGATGAGCTTCGTCGATAATCATCAGTTGCCAGTTAACGTTACGAATTTCTGGAATGTCGGCGACGATCATTTCATATGTCGTGATCAAGGCATCAAATCGGAAATCACCTATTTTTTAAGAATAAAAAAGTTTATTAAATTTTAGTATTACCTCTTTTAGGATATCCTTTTTTGTCACGTTGGTATAATTCGTACTGATGGATCATTTGCCTCGATTGTGCTGAACCGTGGTATACGATTGCGTTTAGATCAGTCCACGTTTCGAATTCTCGAATCCAGTTGCCAACAGTAGATAGAGGAACAACAATCAGAAACGGGCCTTTGTGATTCGTCTCGTAAATTTTCTGGATGAAGGTTATACTTTGGATAGTTTTTCCCAAACCCATTTCATCAGCCAAAATACAATTTCGTTTCTGATACCAATTGAAAAGCAGCCATGAAACACCTTCGACTTGGTATTCGCGAAGTTCACAACCATTTTTGAATCGTTGCGGATGTTCGAGCTTACGCCACTGACTTATTGGTGGTCTTTCGGATGGTCGTTTGTATGCTTTCCTTTTGTTGTACTTTTTGAAGCACTCTATTTTGACTTGGTCTACGTCAACTTCTAATTCCCAAGTGCATTCATCGTACGCTAAACCACACCATTTCACGAGGAAATGGCGAGTATCGTTGCCAGATTCAGCATCCTGACCTTCCACCACATCAAGAACTCGATCGACAATTACGAAGTCCGGATTAAACAGATCCTCGTTGTCCGGATCAGGCGCGTTCGTCGCACCCAACTTGCTGAAGTATCTGCGCATCTTCTGATCAAAGCGCGGGTCAAAAATCTCATCCTTGAAAAGCCAGACACAGTGAATGTAAGAGTACCCTTTCCATTTGATAAAAAATTCCTCTTCCTCTTCTTCGGGTTCTTCGTCTGGCCTTTTCTCGGGTTCTTTTTTGGCCTCTTCAGATTTTGATTCAGCATTGCTTTCCTCATCCGAGCGTTCGGAGCTCTTTTTACGTTTGACAATCCTGTGCGACAGAATTTTGTCAACAATCAAAGGTTCTTCTGCGACTTCTGCCACTGGTTCCTGGACACCATCTTCGGAAGTATCGACGGATTCCTTCTTTTTACGACCTCTCTTTCTTACAGGTTCATCATCATCAGAATCTGCATCACCATCAGAGAAGTTCGGAACTGCATTGTCATCGTAGTTCTTGGGGGCTCCTCGAGATGACCTCCCCGACCGACGTTTTTCAATAAGATCTTCAGGAGAAATAAATTCATCTTCAGTCGATTCAATTTTTCTCCTCTTCTTTTTGCTTTTCGATTTTCCTTCATCCTCGTCGTCATAGTCGTATTTCTTCTTCTTTTTGGCCGAATTGATGATAGTAGCTGGAACTTTAGGTTTACCACGACGACTTTGAGACTTTTTCTGTGGAACTGCATCAGGTGATGCAGCTCTCAGATCATTTATATCAAAGTCCTCATCGTTAGCACCGTCGTTGGAATTTGAGTTACTATCAGATGTTCTGTAGTTTCCATAAGGATCGACATCCGCATCGCTCACCAGAGCGGCTGCAGCTGCTGCAGCAGCTTCTCTAGTAATTCCACGTGCTTCTGATTTCTTCTCCTTTTTACTACGTTTTCTTTTCTTCGGATTCTGGGTGGATTCGGGTTCTTGGCTCATTTCGACAGCGGGTGTTTCCTCTACGCCGTTAGATTCGGATACAGGTTCTTCTACTGGTTCGCTTTCATCGATCTCCATTTTGGAGCTATCCCTCGACGAGTTCTCTTTCAGTTGTGATTCGAGCAGAAGTCTTTTTCCCTAGTGTCTTCTGCCTCCTTATTTGAGTTATAATAGGTCGGATTGATAAGGTTCAGTGTATGTGAAAGTAACTTTGACTAAATATACTTTCAAACGTTAAAAATGTATTCATCCGAAAAATGTTCTCTTATGTTCAACAGTAATTTATTTGAATATTCAAAGTAAGCTCTATCTACCGCGTTAATTATCAAGCGATATCTATATTTGAACGATTTTATAAACGAACATACCGTATGTTACATACGATATCTATATTAATATATATATATAGATATTAACAATTTAATGCTATAAAAACAATTTGCACTTTGAATAACCATAGATAATTTTAACTCATTCCTGATCGTCTTCGTCAGAATTTTCGGTTGTGTTTTTAGCTGAAGACCTTTCCTCAAGGACACCATTTTCTGGTGCCGTTTTCTCGTTTTTCTCCAAATTAGGATCGAGATTTTCCTTCTTGTCGTTTTCATCTTCAGAAGAAAGTTTAGCAGCGATATCATCAACATCGTTAGTTTTATCTGTGTCTTCCTCTGAGTCCGAGAATTCCGGGACCTTTGATACGTTGCTTGGTTGTGTCTCGGCTTGTCCGCCGCTTGCAATTGAAGGATGAGCCAACTTTGGAGGAGAAAGCTTTGGTGGACCAGTTTCAACTGCGGTTTTCTCCTGTTTTTCTTGTGGAGAAATAGGTTTTGGCTGCAACTGTGGAGGCTTGGGTGGACTAGCGGGAACTGAAGGAGAAGTCTCTTCAGCTGGTTTCGGCGGTACAGGAGAATCTGCTTGTAGCTCAGGGGCAACTGCTGGTGGCTCTCCTACTGGTGCTACTGGTTTGTGTGCTTGGGAAATATTAGGGGTTTGTTGGTTGATTGGGGGAATGGGATCTTGAACTGGCTCCGGAAGAGGCTGGACTGTTGGTTTCTGAACATGTTGTTGCTGTTGAGCTTGAGGGGCTTGTAATGTTTGTGGTTGATTCAACGCTGGCGATGCCGGTACGGGAGCTGCAGTTGGTGGCGCTACAGCTAGTTGTGGTGGTGGTGGTACTTGTGAAGTTGACTGCTGTGGAAGTGGCTGATTCACAGCGGGAGGCGGAGGTGATTGAAGCTGTGCTGAAAATCCTCCAGGCTGTGGAGGCCGAGTTAAAGGAGGAGGCTGTTGGCGTCCGATTGCTCCTGGAGCAACTGACATCGGTGGAGGCCCGCTACTTAGAGAATGAAACGAAGATTCTTGTGGCTTTGGAGGCAGTGTTGAAGCTGGGGGTGCTCCATTCATTTGTGTGGGAGCTGGGGCGCGGGAATATGTAGTTGGTGCAGGGGCACCTCGATTATTGAAACTAAAGTCGGGCATCGGTGCAGAACCCACGGGAGCAGCAGGGGAGGGCGCTCGTAATTCTTGCTGCACTTGCGGAGCTTGAGGTCTTGGTGCTTGAGGAATGGGTGCTCCCGGGAATGTGTTGCGAGGAGCATTTGCCTGACTGAACATGGGATTCGGAGAGACGCCTGGTGGATGTGGATGGCTAGGTGTAGGTGTTGCCATCGACTGCTTGTAAACTGATGTCACATTCGTTGAGCTTGGACGAGGTCGCTGCGGTTGTTGAGAAGTTGGCGTAAAATTTGAAGGGTTGGGGCCAGGAAAGCTCGCTGAAGGCATCGGAGGATAACCCATCTGTCCCATCGAGCCCTCCATTGATACCGGTGGAAAGCCTGGGTGGCCGTATGGTTGACCGGGACCACCAGGAAAACCTGGTCCACCCATTCCGTATGGATTCGGCCCAGGCATTCCAGGATACGGCTGTCCAGGAAAACCAGGTTGACTTGTCATTGGGTAATGGGCGCCATTCTCGGGCCCGCCAGGAAACCCTATTTTAAAAATGTATCACTTGATTCGATTATTATTTCCACAATATTTCTCTTGCATTCGTAAACAAATAATTTTGAAATTAGTTCTACCTGGATGGTGTTGACCCCAATTATCTCCATTCTGTTGACTGTAAGGTGGATAACTAGGATATCCATTTTGGTCCATGCCCATCATGTTAGGAGGCTGGCCATGGTGAGTTGGTGGCCACCCATGGCCCGGTGGCATTCCACCTTGCCAGGACATCTAAAAGATATGGTTAGGAGGATGATTTTATCAGGATTATTTGTATGACTTGTCTTAATACTGTCTAAGCTACTGTCTCGTCAGATATCTTTTGGACTGAATTCAAAACAATAATAATATTATTGCGAAATCACGGGGATTCCCTGAGACAAAGATTTTCAATGAATAAGCATGAATATTCCGAATAGCATAAAGTTGATATGACATCATGAAAACTATTATGGTATTTGTGTCTCGATTATCATCTGTGTTGAATTATTTTTAGCAAAAATAACGCTCGTTTTTGGACAAATTGTTTTCTGCAATGAAACTCATGTTTAGATTGCTCAAAAGAAAGTAGCCCAAACCTGAATGGACTCTATCAAACGCAAACACGTTACTTTTGAACGACTGCTTCTTTTCTCTGCTAGAAGAAATTCGACATTGGAGACATATTATTGTCAGAAAAAAAGGGGTTGACTTGGCGTGTTCAGTTGATAATCTGCTTTTGCCCCGAGTTAAATGGTGGTTTTTTCATTTCACATTTTTCATATCCGTGAGAAGGATCGCTCGCCGCAGTTCGGGCGCTCACGAGGTCCGTGATCGTGAAAGAAATAGAAGGTAGCGAAAAAGAGAGAATCTGTCGGCCCGTTCTATTTCCCGACTGCGATCTGGCCACAATCAGGGATAAATATTCGCATCTTACTAGACAAGGGGATTATATCGATTCATTGCGACTGCCCCGTGAAAGCGACTCCTGCGGTACAGTAGTGGAAATAATCCACTTGGAGAAGTAGAAACGGCCGCATTCGCCAAAAGCGGTGGAGGCCTTCCATTCACGGCGCCGTGAAGCGCACTTCGTGAAAATGAGGCACCCCGGAGCGTCGTCGGTCGAAAGTGGTTCGGTCCGCGAATTTCACATTTCACAAGCAGAAAGACAGACACGCGAAAATGCCAAGGGGCGCAATAACCCGTAACTCCACCGCCAAAACAACTCCACCAAATTAAGCCTCCATCATAACGACTTCTCCCTTTGATTACACCTTGTTAATTTTCTTTCGCAAAAAGTACCTTTTGAATTTAAAATCATACTTATTAAAAATAAATCTCAACGCTCGTTATTTTCTTACGTGTGAAAAACTTCTCGCACACTCTTCAGCTAGCGCTTACGCAGAAAGTCATTTCGTCAGAAAAAGAAGTCTCTGTTTTCAATTCTCGCTGCGAAATTGTGGTTTGCATGTGAAGAGCTGCTCCGCCAAAAAGTCCAAATTTATTGATCCATGACCGGAATAAGCCAACGGGATACCGAAAATTTTCCGATTGTTTACGCCGCGCAAATCGTCAGCGCTTACAAGCCCAGCCTGGCCTCGATTCGGAGGCTCTCTTCATTAAACTTGTCAGAACTACTTACTGAAGGAAGCACTTGGCGAGGAAGAACTTGCAGACAACAATATCAAATTAAAAACGTTTTAATTCGGTGTGAAGGTTTTCGCGATTGTGGGAGCGAAAGCCAGTGGACGCGCTATTTAACAGGAATTCAATTTAGGAGCAGTATCGGATCAGCAGACATTCCGCAAAAACACTTGCATCACCATCACTCTTCTTGCACTCCTCGTCTCGGATACTCTACTCATCCATGACAACTCGCTCCGCAGTTCAACCCTTTCCATCTATGCAAACAAAACACGATCTGGATTCAAAACTTACACCCTTACAGGTTAAATTTTTCATTCCATCAATTTCACTAGCCCAATTACGTTTTCATTCTTTGCAAACAAAAATCGATAGAAATTCAAACAAGCCGATCTTCGATAAATTTTCGAATACGATTTTCATTTTCTCCTCAAAACAAAAACCAACGATTCTATCGTTCGAGAGTATTGAAGAGTAGAATTAATTGGAGATTATGGAATAGATGTGAATAAACGATCCGTTTTGACGAATAGAAGAATTCGGAGAGCGCCGCAAAGTCCAAACTTTCAAAAAAGAAAAGAACGCATCGAAGTGGAAATTTCGCGCATGAAATTTTAAATGAATGATTTTTAGTGAAAAAAAAAATGAAAATATCCGGCATCGAGCATTTAGGTCTGGTGATCGAGTGTGGTACATTGAGCGGGAGAGAAAGAGAGAGAGAGAGAACTCTTAGGCTAGTTTCGCCGCTACTTAGCAGGCTGACCAGCGAGAATTATTGGAGATAGCTTTGATAAAGCAAAAATTAGAAAAAATGATTTAATTCAAAGTTCAACAATGACGATTTCAAAATGCGAAAGTTACCTTTCAGATAGTTTTATTTTCAAAGAGAAGATTCTTCTTGAGTCATTTACTCGACTTTCGCTTTTCTTTGGGCTTCTGGAGGAGAGTCTCTCACGCGCCGATCGCTTCTAATTAGAGCCGAAATAAAATACGAAAAAAACTGCGGCCTCTTTTGGTGATGGGAGTTAATGTCTGTTTGAGTGGATGTGTGTGCGCGTGTTATTGGTGTGTATCGTGATTGGCGAGTTTTGAGTCCGTGAAAGGCTTCCCGTGAAAAGGGCCCGTGAAAGAGTTGGCGGCGGACGAGACGCCGCGAGCGCGGCCGAACCACTCACGCATCGTGAGCCGCAAATGCTCTTCACGGAAGTCCCGGTTGCATCACGGCCAGCGCGCTCACGAGCGGCTGAACGCGCTCGTGAAGTCAAAAAGCGCGCGACGCCGCTCGCAACGCCGAAACGCACTTTGTAATAGCTCCCTTCAAACGCCATTGCTCTTCATTCCATCGCTCTCCTTTCCCTCATCTGCTTGATTCTAGTGGCAGCATTCATGAGGTTCATGGCGATTTCGAGGAGTACAAATCAAATTCAAAGGACAAAGCTATCTAACAACTCTCTGACAAGTTTTCAGAAGGGGAAGTCGAACGATTGACTGATTTCAAACTTTGAACGATGATTTGGAGCTTTACTGGAATTCGAACCTCTAATTTCGCTCCTTTGAATTTGTCAACGACAACTTATATCGATAGAAACATAAAAAAAAACGTCGTTGTAGACTTTTTGTAAAAAAATAAGCTTCAATTTCATAAAATAAATAAATTAAAGGGATATAATCTTTTCTTCGATCAGAGACAGCTATTGGGTATTTTTTTTTTACCAAATATCGACAACTTCAAATTTCGCCCAAGAAACATGGGGTCAGGATTTACCGAGAAAATATCATTTTTTTGTCAATACATTAAACACTGTATATTTATTCTCGGTTCACAAAGTACCATTTCTGACTGTCATTAAGAATGAACAATAGAAAATAGTGATTATTGGGTTTAGGTGCATTTTTTAAGACACGAGTTAATCTAGCATAATTGATGATCAATGAAAGACTTTAAATCGCACAAGCAGAGATTTGAACTGAACCTTTAGGTTGTGGTATAAAAGCTAGAATTGACATGAAAGTTGGTAAACAGAAAAGCGTTTATAAATTGCGCGATGTAATGGGTGCGCGCGCGCTCACTGCAAGGGTGGCGCTAGAAAGCGCGCAACTCACGAGCGCCGTGAAAAGATGAAAAGCGTTCACGTGACGCCGAACACGCACAGAAGAAATCGGAAATTCGACCACACTAAGCACCACTCTCGAAGAATTTCGCTTTTCCTCATCTTCCTTCTTCTATACCGATAGAAATTATGTTTATTTTTTTAATTATCCGATTTACTTTATTTTAATTGTATTTGAATTTTTTTATTCTTTTTTTTTTAAGTCGGAGTCCAAAATAAGGGACTTTTTCTGCTCTGAAATTTTCGAAAAACGTCCCTTAAATTGGTTCAATTTAACATTGAAATCAATGATGATTGTATGATACAAATGGCTGCTCCTGGATCGCGCGGAATCCTGGATCGCGCGGATCCCGGATCGCGCGAATTCCTTGATCACGCGGATCGGGTGATTCAGGATTCCGCGCGATCCAGGATTTCGAAAAAAAAAATCAGAAATTCAATTCATAATTTTGCTTTTCTTATTAAAAATGGCCAGAACTATTGTTAACATCGTAATTCTTATCTTTTCAATTCAGAAATATAAGAATATCAAATAAATAGAACCTTCAACGAAGTCATCATTCAACTATTGTTACTAACCCAGGGTGAAAAATGGCGCGTGATTTGCCTGGGATCTCGCGCGCGCGGCAAAAAAACCTCCCAGAGCGCGTGGGAGGTGGCGCCATTATCACAGAAAATTCTGTGAGGTACCTAAAAATCGAGATCACCCACGCGCTGTGAGCTCACAGAGAGCCTGGGAGCGCACGAGCACTACGGCTAGTGCTTTACGCGATGCGCGGCGAGCCCAAAAAGCATAAGCGCGCCGTAATCTCAGTGGGGGCTTATTGTGACCATGTAGTCGAAATCAGATGCAAATAGTACCGGGTGATTAACACAAAAAAAAATTCCGGAAGTAAAATGGATCATGTTAGCTTACTAATTTAAAAGAAAAAACAACTTCTGATCCGCGAAATTTACGCGAAGAATCACCAAATTTTTCGTTATACAGTCATAAACAGTGAAAATAATTCTTTTTCTACCCTAGAATCCATCATCAGATGTTGTCAAGCATTTAATTTTTGTTCAGGACGTCAGATCAGTTATAGTCTATAACTTATAGAGGGAAATGATGCTGCAGTTATTTTGGTATCATTGAAATCAGCTAGAAAATCTATATTTATAACTAAATTTTCAACAAGAGCAAAGCATTTTTCACCGTGAAAGTCCCTTTTTACATTCAAGCTTTGAGAAAAGCGTAAAGTCACTTCGCCTCGCGAAAAAATTTAGCTCCCCCACGCTCTGTGAGAAGCCAAAAACCTCCCACACGCCCTGGGAGGTTTTTTCACCGCGCGCGCGAGATCCCACAAATATCCCACGCCATTTTTCACCCTGATTGTTAGTTGTTTGATTTCCGGGACCTACTTTTATGCGCAGGGATTAGCAGCGTGCAAGTTCCATTTGGAGGTGACAAATGGAAGGTAGTCCAGGATTTTCGCAGGGACAGACAGTTATTTGAGAAATTTTTTGAAAATAATCAAGAGAAGGAAATGAAGGGAATCGTTAATGATGATAAATAATTTATCTTAAATAAGAATAGCTCTCAATTTTTATCCTAATCTGTCCCTACGAAAATCAGTCACTGCCATCCATTTCTCGCCTCTAAATGGAACTTGCGCGCTGCTTATCCCTGCGCATAAAAGTAGGTCCCGGAAATCAAACAACTAAAAATAGTTGAATGATGACTTCGTTGAAGGTTCTACTTATTTGATATTCTTACATTTCTGAATTGAAAAGATAAGAATTACATGGTTTAACAACAGTTCTGGCCATTTTTGATAAGAAAAGCAAAATTGTAAATTAAATTTCTGACTTTTTTCGAAATCCTGGATCGCGCGGAATCCTGAATCCCCCGATCCGCGTGATCAAGGAATTCGCGCGATCCGGGATCCGCGCGATCCAGGATTCCGCGCGATCCAGGAGCAGCCGATACAAATCGTGCCGCAGATTTTCATCATTTTGCGCCAAAAAGTTCCTTATCTTGGTGTCCCTTATTTTTGGCTCTGACTGTATTAGGACTTTCTAAAATAATAAATTTATCTATCAAAATATTTCTAAAAAACAAATTACCACAAATTTAATTGCGAATTAATTATTCTTACTTAATTATTAAAATTTTTTTATATAAATTGTTTATCATTTCTTCCTAAAAAACTTGTTCAGTTTCGCTTTTTTTTTGAAATTTTGTCTGCTATTTGGGTTGAGTGTTTTGAGAGAAAGCGCTCGCTTTAGCTATTCATCCCTAAAGAGAGGGATTTTTGCTTAGCAATAATTTAACTGCATCAGAAGTTCTGTCTAGTAGTACTTGCTGGCAGCTAAGTCCGGAGGCCGAAATTGCGGTTCACGGTGCGACTCACGAAAGGACTCACGAGCAGGCTAAACCGCAAAGTCACGTGAGACCGCCGTCTCAGCTCTTTCTTTCGGAGCTGGAGCTCGACCTTCTTTCCAGTTGGAAGCAACATCACCCTTCTTCTCGATTTGGCACCTTTCGTGAGACTTCCACTCTTCACGAGATCTTCATCTTTCATTCAAGGTGTTTATCCCAGTAATGAGGAAGTGGACAAGTCCTCTTCTAGAGCTGAGTGATGAACTGCAGCTCTTAGGATCTTTCGCAAGGGTCGATTTTTTTCTTCCGAACTTCGGTGACAGAACTTGACAATTTACACTTTTGGAATGAATTTCAAGATCAGGAGGAGAAGGGAATTATTTTGAGCTCCATATCTGCTGCTTCTGAAGAGGAACAGGTTGTTTTTCAGGACTGTGAAATTGGTTTTCGCGATCTTTGGGAGTTGATTGTGGCTGATCACTCAACACAGCTCAGCTCCACTACACCCTGCGACGTGTGGTGGCGGCGTTTTCCCACCAGACCGTCTAAAGATGAACCGCGCCAGTGATGATGTAGTAGCCCAATTTTTTTCGTAGTACACCTTTGTCAAAATATTTTAATAAATTTGCCACTATCAATTAACGCAAAAAATAAGACTCTCTTTAATCGTCATATAAAATTTCAAAAGGTTCCTGATCGCCTTAATCTTGTTCTGTTTTTTGTACAGTCTCGCTTTCGTTGATCAAAAATTACGAAGAAATTCTCAACGAAAACCTGAATAGACAAATTATTAATGTTTTCTTTTAGAAGATCTTCAAATCACGTGAGAATTTTTTGAAACTTTTTCTCATCGTTGATAACCGTGGGATAATTCGGCTCTTAGCGCGACTAACAGGAAAGGAAGACATTATAAAATTAAAAACGTGAATTTAAAAGTGCAAAAATCGAAAAAGAAGAAAAAATAATAAATTTGCGCGGCGTTGAAGGGAGCGCGCAGTTGCGCTCACGAACGCGCGTGAGAGCTTTTCCTCGTGAACCGCGCTCGTGAATCTGATTTTTGACATGACGAAAATGACTATTCAAAAGCTGCGCGCTCTTTTCTACAGCTCTTTTTACGACTCCAGTATTCAAGGAGGCGAAAGCAGGGACTTGTGGAAATTGTCATGAATTGGCTTGTTGGGAATTGAATTAAAATTTATAAATTAGAAGCTAGTTGAGTTTTAGCTTCCACAAATCAGAAAAATCTTTTCTTTCAAGCTATAAAAATTCGAAATCCTCTCATTTGTCAGGAATTCGCAGAAAAGAAATTGAGTACCTCGAAATTCCAACTTGGAATTTTGGGTCGTAGATTTTGATGAACTCTGCAATTAAAATTTCGGACGAATTCAGCAAGTCGATTTTGGTAAAAAAGTAGTTTGATATCAAAATATCTACCCCTCTCAGTGACCACCAGAAGAAGAACTTTTTCTCAAATTAAATGTGAAAGCTTTTCATCCTTCACAAAAGTTAATTTTATTGCTAGAATTTATTAATTTTATTACGAGAGACAATTATTTTTATTTAAAAACTCATTTTTCAAGATTTTCAGATCCTAGGTTCGACGATGGTATATCGTAATGATTTTTTTGAATTTTTTAATTTAGCTTTATTCAAACCTAGACGAAGGTATGAACTTCCAAAAAATGTAATTGTTTTAAATTTTTGAAACAACCTCTTGATTTAAGGGATCCCCCCCCAATTTTCCCAACTCTGACCCCTATCTACTTTTTACTCGTCTTGCGTGTGGGTCTGTAAAGGGGCTCAAATTGAAGCCCGTTTCTTGACGAGCAAACGCATGCACGATAAGCCCCTAGTTATAAGATTCACTTATGCATTAGAAGCCGTCAAAGTGACTTAGGTTGCCAAAAACGGCCATTTTCGGCCATTTTCAAGTTGTATCTACTTTTTTCTGGCCTTATGCATTCCTTATATTACTTCATTGTTATGAAGTTTAGACCCTTGGCTACATTTGCATGCATGATAAGTGTGATTGATAAAGTAACAGAAGAAATTTCTAATGAACAACTTTTTGAAGCCATTTTTACCCTTTTTTAGCTTCAAATTGCTCTCTAGCGCCAATTTGTGGCCAGAATATCTAGTGCGGTTATTATATTCTTATTCAGTACATTCTAGGCTTTCGATAGACCCCTTATTCGTCTACTTTTGATGACACTGAAAAGTCGAAAAAAATTACGATTTTCACGCTAAGTTCATTTTACATGCATTTTCGCGATTTTCAAGTGCAAAAATTTTGGGTAACGATGTTTGTAATCGGGTACAATTAACCATCAAAATGATCCTTATGAAACGAGGAATTTAAATATGGCACTGGTAGACCCGTCATAAAGATTTGAAAAATCAGGGGGGGATCCCTTAAGGCGCGTTTGAAAATAGGCCAAAATGGCGATTCTTTTTTTTGGCTTTGGCCGTGGGCGCGTTGGCTCCCAGAGTGAGATCGTCACCCGAGGAGGGACTTGACGGAGTGGACCTCGTCGCTCGCGTTGTGTTTGCCCCTCAAGGGACTTGTGGCGGCTCTAACGCTGCCCTCGACCGCCCTCAGGGCCAAAAAGAAAAGAGAGAGAGGGAAAGAAAAAAAGCGATCTAGATTTCCTTCGCGAATCGCCTCCTTCGCCCTGGCAGGGAGAGAAAACGCACGAGAAGAGAAGCGTCGACTATCTCAGCCGTGTACTGCCCTCGGCCAGCGTGAGCCACGCCGTCAAAGAAACCCAGAAACTTTCCTGCTGCCTGTCTTTCTTCCTTGTTTAAATGGAGAAAGTGAATGCTGAGCGCGAACTCGCCAAAAAATAAAAAAAAAGAAGAGAAACGAATTAGTGACGACGCCTTTGTCTCATTCACTCTATCACGTAACACCGCGAAAACCAAATTAGAGCCTTCCTTCAAAGAGAACACTGTAAGTTGCTAGAAATGCTGCCACGATTTGGAAAATATTACTCTTATTGTTCTTTCTTCCTTAGTTTTAAATTGTAAACTCATTGAAACCGTTTTTACTTTAAAATTGTTGTAATAAATTGAATAGTGTATTTAACATTATCTGAATAGATTAACAAACCCGTGATTCATTTCATAATTATTGACTATTATTTTAGAGTTGATATGGTCTCCGAAAGCGGAAAAGTAGTTACGAGTCGCAACTGGGACAACATCAGATACAAGGACGCCCTCGAATCGTGCCGAATCTACAACAACCGGTACTGTTTCTAAACGCCAGCAGATTTTAACTGGTTCAGGATGCTGCGGGAAAGAACTGCGCGAAGAAAAGTCGCCGAGCGAGAGTCCGAAGTGTCGATGATTGCCCAAGTAAAAAGATGTGCCCACCATCGCCAACCAGCCCAGAAAAATACTCAAGTGAGAAATGAAATCAAACATTTCGACCAAAATATAATTTACTAAGGCTAACCAGTACTATTTGAAGCAACAAACAAAAGCGCTTTTCAAAATTGTACAAATTATTCTTGTACGATAATTTTTAGTTATGTTTTTAAATCTTATTCGTTAGTTTTCATGGTTTTGGGAGGTATAGTAAACCAATTGGAGCGCCTTCGTTTAAGTACTTTCATCTAGTGTTGGAGGTGGTGTCGGCGGTGGTCTCTTGCTGACTGGGCTCACGGCCAGCGTGAGTGACTGCCGCCGCCGCCCGTGTTCACGGAATTCGTGAAAAATGATGGCGTGGCGCTGATCCCCTTAGCCAGGGCTGCCGTGAGGCGCTTCGTGAAACCTCTCGTGAACAGACGGGCGAACTTGCGCTTACCACACTCCCGATTACTAGACATTTGTCCTGCTAGTAGGATTTTGCCACGCGAGGACTAAAAGTTAGCTCCTTCACGAATGTTTCGCTTTATACATTTGCCTAGCTAATATTGCATTCATTTCTTTGTTTTCTGTATGACTTGAGCGGCCCCTCGTATCCTTATGTTACTGAGCGACGTTTTATATTGACTTTTTATATTTATTTAGGTGTTTTCCTACCCATCAACAAAGTTCCGATGCAAAACGCGCCCATCACTAGAAACCATGTGCCCAAGCGACCCTCCTGATAGACCAAACACACCCGATAACACTGCCCTCGACGAAATCCTCGCACGGTAAGTTCTCGCTCCTCTAAGCACTTCAAAAGATGCTCGGAAGCCTGAATCTGATCTGTAATTCAGCCATCTTGCGAACAACCCGAATTCCGACGAGTCGGATGACGAAGAGTATGGAACAAAGCGAAAAAAGAAGACTAATACTCGCACGACCAGGAGGCGTAAAACAAATGCTTATACGTAAATTATTCATTCTACGATACCAGCAAGACTTTAAAACTTTCAAAAACTTCTGATTCTGCACTTCTAATAACAATGATGATTCAACAAAACTGCGATTTATTCTGTGAAAAAAATAGTTGTACGAATTTGAAGCTTCCTCTTGGCTGGAGAAAGATCTTGTCAAAAGGTCATCCTCTGTTGCTTGGACGAAAATAGTGTCGCTTGACAGACGTTAGTTGGGAAAGGTGAAACTCGATGCTGCAAGACGGGCAGTACCAGTGTTTGAAAAAATGGTGAGCGCGAGCCACGAGCGCGAGCGAGTGAGCAAGCGCTCATGCTCACTCACTCACGTTGATTTCGAGAACCTTTGCTCGCGCTCGCTCACTCACCATAAAATTCCAAGGTCCCAGCTTGCGCTCACTCACGCTCGCTCACGGTTATTTTTAGTGAAGTCACCCTCATCACAAAATCATTTGATATTTATGAAATCTATCTTGATATTATCTTTTAATCTCGTAAGAATACACATGATTAACTTATGATAGTTAAAAGTCCTTCAAATTTAAAAGTATTAGAATTTTTCAAGAAATCACTCAATGAAAACGTTGTTGAAAAGCTGCGAGTGAGCGTAAGCGAGCGAGCGAGCGCTCACGCTTGCTCACTCATAGAAAAATCCTGGTATCTGCGCTCGCGCTCGCTCGCTCACCAAAAAATCAAAAGAGTCTGCTCGCGCTCGCTCACTCGTGTTAAAGTTCTGAGGGCCTCTGCTCGCGCTCACTCGCTCACGAGAGTTTTGACCATTATTTCAAACACTGGGCAGTACCGGTAAAATGTTTGTAGGCCAGATGGACGGGTACAAGAGATACAGTACCTTTTGAAAAGATTCAAATAAGTTATGTCGAAGGAACCTTCAGTGGAGATAATGAATTCCGAAAATGATAAATATCAATTGATATCATAAACGACTTTTGATTAAATTAATTATATTAAATAATGTTTAATTTTAAAATAATATAATTTCAATTTGAATCCCGCCAATATCCCATATGTCCACAAGGGAAAACATACTGTCCATGATTTATGAACTGAGTTGAACAATTGGCGCAGATCCTGGTTTCTTGCGAGTGTCTTCGTTTTCGACTTGAGCAGGACAAGATTTCTTTTTGTAGTCGTATTCCCCTTCTTTCAACATCTTTCAAGTCATGTTCGTCGACTTTCTCAAGGGCTAACTATGATCGCTTTTTAAATAATGAAGGAATGCCAGTCTTTCCCTTCCTTTGATTGCTGTACAGACTTTTTTCTGATCTTCCAAGTTTCGGGAAAGCTCTTTCCTCAGTTTTCTTTCAGTCGATTTCAATTCTATAAGTTCTTTACTCGTAGAAGAGATTAGCAAATATAACTATTTCTTCCAATCTAAACAGACGAATAGAATGGAGCGATGACGAGTCGTTCATAACCGGTTTTTTCTCACGTCCAAGGCCGTGTACTCTTATCTTGTATGTACTGTTGAATATCGAGTCTGAGTAATCCTCTTCTAAATATTGCCCTACTGCTTGATTTAACAGTAATTGACAGCAGAAGCGTAGCAGCGAGCCTTGAATACCCGAAAGTCGAGGAAGACAGATTTAGATCAAAATATTCTCAAGAGAAGCACAATTTTAAAAACACTCTTTGTTATGAATTTTGAACTAGAGGAAGCTTCGAATTTACAAACGACAGAATCTTCAGTAAAAAAGATATTTGCTTACTAGTCGAAAATCTAGCCTTACTCTTATTTAGGACGTGGCGGAGTTTGAAGATCCTGCTGATTTCTTTCAGGGATGCCTTTATACTTTTGGTGCGCTTGAGTTGCATTATTTTATTTTAATGATTTTAAAGTGCTTTATTCTCCAGCGCTAGTGTTGCTTTTTATGACGATGTATATGATATATTTTGGTTTTCAAGAACTGATACTGTTCAATTATTTATAGAGCGATCTTGAAAACTAATGAAGTTCTTTCTGAATTTTTCGGCAAATTATCGAAAATCTCGCGAAATTCAGAAACGGAGGAGATCGGAACTCATCTCATTTGGTAGAATCAATGTTGGCAGTAGAACGCCTGGCAATAGAACTCCTCAACGATCTGTTAGATTCAGGAAATATGGGCTTGAAATTGTAACTTTTAATTTGAAATTTTCTCAACTCTTCATATCAAGCGACGCTGTTTAAAACTAAATATTGAAGTATATTTGGCAGTATGTAATAAATGTACAATTTTCGAGGGGTCAATTCGCGTATGTTTATCCGATGAAAACCATTTGATTCTGCGTGATCTGGTTCGCACGATCTGTTACTTGGAGTAATGGAATGTTGTTGCGCTTTATGCACGCGGATAGCAGTTCTTCGTACGTTTTGTTTTCGCCTTAAATTCATCAACAAAATGACAAATCAAAAAGAACATACCAGTTTGTGGGTCAACATATCCCTTCTGCTCTGGAGATTCCGGTGTCAGCAGTCCGATAACTCTGTTATCAACGAGATTCTGTGATTTCGCCATATCAAGAGGAATTCTGAAAAATTAAAGAGCTCGATCGTAGACTACTAAGATACCTATATCCGTATGCTGGGTCGACCAGTCCGCCAGTGGAAACTTGAGCCTCTAAGAATCGCGTGCCTTGCATTTCACCAACGATGCCAACCCGGATAGCCTCAACTAACGGGACAGGACCTGAATGGCCGGCAATAGTAAAGCCTTTATATGCTCGTTCAGCCTCTAGTAAGCTGTGTTCGAATATCTTCGGCACCCAATTATAGGAAATTCCATTTTGTAATGATGCTTTTTCTCCAGTTTTGGGATGAATAAGTCCACCTGTAGCAATTTGAGCTAAACAGGATTCAAACAAACTTGTAGAACGACAACTGAAATACCTTGAAGAAACTCTATTGCTACGGATCGCTTGATTAGGCGAAGTTCTAGCGCTTCGGTGAAGGAATAAATACTTCCAGTCTCTTTGTGTAATACACCTCCGATCGCACCAGAGCCACCAACAAATGGCATCAATTTTTCTTTGATGGCTTTCTCGTCTATTTCGCCTTTTTTAAACTTAATATGCGATATGAATAAAATTGCAAATATGAACATCTTTACCTTTTGAAGAATCTGCTGGTCTATCATTCCTGACTTTGCCAAAGTATCAAGCTTGTTACCAGCATTTGACGGCTGTAAAGGCTCATCAAACATTGTATGATCAATTGATTTCGCTTCTTTTGGGATTGCTAGGGCTGGATCGATGTAAAGCACGCGGAAACCACTCTCTGGATCATCTTGAGCTGTATCGTAGAGTTTGCGGTACGACTCTCCAGATTGTCTTTCATGGGTCAAAATCTGCTTTAATACTTTGATTGCCTATTCGGATTTTAGCCCTCCCTATTTTGGAGTACTCCCAAAGTCTCAGTGTCGATAAGTCCAGAACGAAGCGCAACATTTGTAGGTACTCGATGTCGTCGGCGTGGACAGATGAGTCCGCCGGTCACAAATTGTACCTCCATTATTCTGTAGGCCATTCCTTGTGGAACCATGCCGAGTTTCATCGCGTCAAAAAGAGAGAGGATCTGGCCGTTGACTGCTTCAAAGCCAAACACTGCCTGCTCTGCGAGAAGTAAATGTCGTTTAAACTTGGACGACACGTAACCAGCCGCTAACGCTTCTTCTACTCGCATTTTGTCGCCTGTTTTCGGATTGATCATGCAGGCCAGACAGGCCTGTGCCTCGAGTAGCATTATTGCCTGTTTTTTTGATAGAAGACCCTTTTCAAATGCTTCGGATACGTTGTTGGTCTCTCTTAAAGAATCGTTTTGTGATTAATGGTGAGCCATTTACCTCGTTTTGATGTCGAGTACTCCACCGACCGGGGTATCGCCGTATAAAAATCTCCAAGTGCAGTTCATGATCTCTTCTAGGCCTATTTGTCCAAGATGAAGCTGTTGTAACTGCGAGCTAGTAACGAGTCCAGTGACGTAAAGATTGAGTACAGTTGTTTTGCCGTGAAATCCATTAGGAACCCAGAGTTTGTCCGCGCCTATTCGAGTTGCGATTTCTTCCCTGTCAACGTCTAGTTGATCACGAGAGAAGTCAACCATTTTTTCAACATCAATTCCACTATTTAGGTTCTACAGTTTTCTGTCTACTTGTAAATTAACTTTTTCGGGAGAGATATTAAAAAACCTTTCCTAAATTGACTCGGATCATCTTGAAAGCTAGCCTGTGGCTGACCATTGAATCCTCCGCGAATCTCTTCGTCGTACTGGGGTGGTCCTTCATCAATCTGGTAGTGCTCGTCTTTACCCTGGTAATTTGTATTTGGATGGGAGAATGTGTACATTTCCTCATTGACATATCCTTCTCCATAAGTTTCAGCTGACGGCGCCATAGATACCTTCCGCGACTCGAGAGGATGCTGTAAGTTCTGCTCCCCGATTTCCTGCGCGGGAAAGGACTTTTCCACTACTTTTTCTTTTATTATTGATAAATAGCCATTATTATCGAAGCACGATTCATCTGACTGTGCTTCACTATCGGTTGTCTCTACCAACGGTTTCACTTCTTTTGACACAAAGTCTTTGAATTTTTCAGATCTTTTAGTGTTTGATACTTTCCACGGTAGTAGCGGAATTTTATCAAACAAACAACGAGTCCTTCGAAGAGTTTTAAGGTGATCTGCAGGAAAATGTCTACTTCTTTTGATCTCTTTTAACTCTTTGCCTATATGCACCGCAAGAACTTCTATTACAAGAATTATAAGGCAGACGAACAGTTGTATGGATAACGCGTCCAGTAAATAGGAGGCCATCCTGAATCAAGTTTCTCTTGCATACTACTTTCAGGACAGCTCTATTTGGCTGGGGACTTTTCAATATGGAACTCTGCCGCGGGCTCAAAACGCGCACCAACGAACGCGCAACAAAGCGGACTACCAAAATTCTAACGATTCTTCATCGTTCCTTTATCTGACCTTTAGAGTCTGTATTTGCAATAGACAGCAACAAGGAAATCAAGAGCTCTAATTCTACCATATTTTTTTAGCGGGTTCTTTTTTAAATGGTATTGATGTAAGTAAGATTATCGTTGTGCAAGCAGTTGATTCATTATTCCGACTTTATATTTATTCGAAAATCACGAATATCTGTTGATTCAACGTGTCCAGCTGCATAATAAACTGCTGCGATAAATAAGAAGAATATGGAAAGAACGGGGGATAAATGACAGACGGAGCGCGTTATGCTCTCGTCATTTGCATAAAAAAGATTGACGATATACTTGTTTATAGTTATGTTGACGAACTTCGTCAGGCGAAGCCCTAAATTAGAGCCTCTAATTTTCATTGTTTATTATTTCGTGAATCTTCATTCTGTCAGCTTTTTTTCAGGAAGGTGATGATAAACCTTAACTATTATCATGGAAGATAGCCTGGTCGTAAATGAGGGGCCACTCGTTGCATGAGTTTTTTTCGTATCCATCCGTGGCTGTCGATTTCTGAGAGTTTTGGCTCTAATTTTTGCTATTCTCACGCAACAAAATCTCATTGAAAACAAAACGTAATCTTACATATTCAATATATGTATGTAATGGTTCGTAACAGTTTGATTCAATTTCAGAAAAATTATCATCAGAAAAATCCTCAAGATATATTTTAATTACATTTGCCTTGTCCATATTTCGAACTTCGAAATCCATCAATTTGTGTTTTGCTTTTCGATCATTGAGCAATTACTTTCATTTGAAGCGAATATATTCCTTAAAAGTCTTCTCTCTTTCATATTATTGAATTATTATCCATACTTTGAATAAGAACATCACAAATATAGAAAGCCCCTTCGTTTTGATGAAAGTCTTTGGAGCGTTGCTGAGATAACCAATTTGGCACGGCTGACCAAATCGATCAGGAACGCTTTGGGACTTTTTTCAGAATTACTTTTCCACATTTCTTCATATTATTGTTTCCAGTCAATAGACACGCATCGTAAAAACTTAAATACCAAGAGAATGTCGGAGCAATCCGCCGATACGGGCAATGATAAGACAAAGGCTTTTATCTCCTTAGTTACTGGTGAATGATTAGACTTGCTTTAAAAGCACTTACAGAATATCAACGATAAAGGTGCGAACATGGAAGATACCTCCCAAGCAACGGACATTGCAGAGAGAGAAAGTGCAATCAAATCACAAGAAGATAAGTTGAAGTATGAGCATATAATTTTGTTTTTGAAACTCAATAAAATATAGAGCGCGGTATGGAAATATTGACCGGCGAAAAGGTTCGATGCTCATGAAAAAACTCAAAGGTGAATGAATGTACTGAGTAGAGTGAGTAATCAATAATAAGGTTCTGGAAGAAAATACTTTGACTCCGGCGACTACAACATGGAAGTGGTGAAAATGAGCAAGGTACGACATTAACTTCCAAAAATGTATGATGATGGTATGCATTTCAGAAAGACCCTCGTCACAACCCCCTGGCACGAGTGAACAGTGTCGAGGGCCAACCTGCTGTGACAAAAAGCGCTGATCTGCCGCAGAAAGTAAAACAACCGCTCAAACGTCAGAACTCGAAGGTAAGTGATCGCTAATCACTTCTTTTGCGCTCATCACTTAAATCCAATATTTAGCTTGTCGAACATTCAACTTGAACTTCATCGACAATGGACGTTCACTCCTTGGTGCGAGATTTCGCCAAAAAATTCTCAAAGTCAAACATTCAAATAAATTTTAGTTGCGCCAATGTCGTTGTCTCCTTTGATTTATGTATGGAAAACACTGATTTATTTTGTTTTGAAATGAACTGAACAGTTATCGTAGAGGAAGGGTCAAGATGTAGATTTTTTGACAATTCGGTGATGACTTTAGTATTGCTACTATTCTATACGTTGACGATTGGCTGGTCCGAGGCTTCTGGGTTCACTGTGGTCGATTTTAAAAGCTTTGGTTCTCCGTTTGAGTTTCCGCCTGTTCCTGCAACTGTGGACTTTTTCTTCCGAAGCTTTCCACAGGGGAAGCAGCAGACTTTTTGACCTCTAAATCTGCGTTTATTCTGTTTCGACTGGGATGACTTACGATTTGATTCGGAAAAGGATTGTGAAGACAAAAAGAAGAAGGAGAAAGCAAAATCCAATGCTAGCGCCGAGGAAGACATTTGACATGGCCATTTTAGCTCGCAGATTCTGAGAAAAAGTAGTGAACTCTTGCGACAATTGTTGCTGTATGAGTTCTTTTAAGATTTCAACTCGAAGTTCTTTAGTCTCTGTTGGCTTTTTATAAGAAACCGGCCTGAATTAAGACGTAAGTCGATATTGTTGACGATGTTGTGGTTGTTCTCTTTTGCGGGTCTAAGATACTCAACTTCTACCAAGCAAATATTCTTGAGCCCGATCCTATGTTCATCTGCTCTCTGACACAAGTTGCGCTTTTATAATCTACAGTTCTGCCTCAATTTATTAATTTTTAATACGATTGCAAATTTTTTGATCAATTTCGAATGGGCCCAATATTTATAAGGGGTCATAACTCACTAGTGTATTCCGTCTGTCGGGGCGGAAACATTTATCAAAATACGGTTTTTCCTTTTAACATCTGCGCATGTAGAACATCACAATTTTGTGGGTAAAGATCCATCCACTCTACGCGGCCTGTTATGTCAATTTTTGCGACGAAATCCGGTTCTGCATCATAATTCTTCTGCTCTATTACGAAAGAGCATGTTGTCTTTATCAATACACCAAAAAGTGAATTTCTCCTAAGTTTGATGGTGCTAATTGTCATAATTGTTACGTGGATAAAAAAAAATATGTCAAGTCGATTTTCGGGGGCTGAAATTGGTAGCTACGCAAATTTGTGAATTTTTCGGAAGTAGAGATTTGGCGGCGAAGAATTTGTGCCTATAATTATTTCACGTTTGAAAGTTTCTCAGGCGCATTAGCTGCCTCTTTGATAATCTTATATGTAGGGTGGTATCGACACGACAAGATTTCGTAAGATTTTAATTTAGCTAGAACAGTTTTGCGTGACTTTGAGACGGTCCATCCGTGCTGCGTCAAGCGGAAGGATCAATAGCCTCAAAATAAGCGTTCCTTTAAACCCGACAAAGAGCAAAATAGACTTTTCCCTAGGTTTACTTAGAAATAAAGGGTTCCAGAGAGATGATTCCATTCGTGAACTCGATGGAAATTAGGACGTTTTTAAATCTCAAAGATGTTTGACAGGAGCCCTTGGAAATGGTGGCAACACGCCAACTAGAACTGCGAAAGAACTGGCTGAAGAGAACGAGGAAGAGAAGCTTGACTAGCCGTTGTAAATATATCGAGTTTATGGAAGGTGAGGAGTCCAAATAGGTACAGATTTGAAAATGAGATAACAGCTGTGAGCTAGCGCGGCGGTTCAAGAGTAGCTTGGGGGTAGAAGTGATGGTAATCTAGGTCGTAATCGGGACGGAGCTCTTCGGTGCAAGCGTAATTCGCAAAAAATATGGCGGCTAAGCATAAATTTAATTTTCCTACTTACGAAGAAGTGAAAGAGAAAATCAAAAAACTGGCCAGAGAACTCAAACCAGGTCTCTCACTCCCCTTAGTCTATCTTATAACCGCGGTAATTTGGTTTAGGCGATCCATTCTGCCTACAGAGCTGCTAGTTCCGGACGAAATTGCATTCGTAGAGCCTGTAAAATTGTGTGGAACTATAAAGTGGAAAATTTAAACAAATTTGCGAACGGAAAATATCGACGACGAAAGTCAATCGTCAGAGTAAAGCATTACTCAATTCGTTGCTGGTTTGAAGAGATTTCGAATCAGCCTGAAGATTGGCAACGAAGGTTAATTTTATTAAAAATTCTTTTTCTAATGAACTCCTAGAAATATCCGAGAAATTTGCCGCCAATTAGGCTCCCCAGATGAGCCCATCGTCCAGTTTAAATCAGTTTATAGCGAATTATAATTTGTACAAACTCATATTCATTATGTATTCATTGTATATTTCTCAAAATCTTGTACATTTTGTATTTCATCGTCGAAATATATTATTCAAAATTCCAGTTTGCGTCAAATTATCTCTCTAAGGGGGGTAGCGGATGTTGATTTTATCTGCGATGCAGGGCAGTTTACGCTATTGATCCGCCGCACTTGCTCGCATCTGCATGGTCCCGAGACAACGAGGTGAGACCACCTGCATATTTGGACTCCTCACCTTCCATGACCCCAATATATCAGCATTTTGGCGCGTTGTTATCACTTGTCGCGGTGTCCTCGTGAAAAATCAAAGCGCGTGAAATCAAGCTGCGCCGAATGAGACCTTTCCCTTTCGATGTTTATTTCTTTCGCGCAATAACATAGTAGCCGACTCCAGATGCAGGTGCCGTGGGTCACTGCTCACTGAAAATATTGGCAAAAGGCATTCTCGCGTAGCATGTCCACAAATCACACGTCCATATCAGCAAACTTAAATTTTTCTGAGCCAATAAATTATTGGCATCAACACATTCTCTTATGAAAGAAAATAACGGTGGTAATGCCTTTCCGCCTTAGAAGTTAAACTTAGAACAAGCTGTGCTTAACAATATCTCACTGTCGAGAATTTTAACAATGGACGGAAACGAAACTGTCAAAAAATAATTGTCTTACTTGTAGAATTGAAGAATTCTAAAACTTTTCAGATCAGAGTTTTTGGTAAGCCAATTTATTCTCAATAGTTGTTTTTGAAATCCTGTAGCTAGAATCATTTTCAAGAAATCTTTCACTCGTTGCTCTACAAGTAGATACCACGGGCTACTGAAGGTTTCTTAGCGAGATAGAGAATTATTTTAAAAGGCTTTCAAAAGAAGGTTCCACGATGACCTAATAATCACTGGTGCAAGTGTCGCCTTACCATATAATGAAGTTTCTTCTCGATCTTTTTACGTTTGCGATGGGGGCAGAGATTATCTTCTCAAAGTTGTTCAGCCAAAATCTAAAGATATGTCTACCATGTTTGATCTGAGTTTCGCGAAAATTCCAAAAATAGAACTAAGTGTTCAAGCGAGACAAACGCGTAAGTACCCATTGTTGATACCAGACGGTGCGGTCGAATCGAAATTCTCAAGTGCTCTCATTTAACATTAATGCCTTTGCGCGGCGAAAACGGGATGAATAAAAATCGAAAAGGTTCAGAACGGGAGCCCACTCAGGATTTCGAAAAATCAATCCGCTAATGAGGTACGCCGGCGAGGAAGAAAGGAGGAAAATTTTCTCTTCAGATGCATAAGCCACCACTCATTGAATGCTTTTTCGTAGGAGTTTTCGGCGGAGAATCCACACTCCTTGTTCGACGAACATCAATTAAATAAACTCCAGGGTGTACGACAATTTCATACAATCATACAAGACATAACCCTTATTCCGACTAGATCTGTTTACCCGAGTTTTATACAACATTGCGAAAGCGTTTCAGAAAACGTGAATTGCCAACGAGTTTCAGACAGTTGAGATATTTTTCATCACAGTAAAGACGGAGTGTAGGATAGTGTATGATTTACGCCGATAAGCAAATTTTTCAGTAAGAAATAATTTGGGCACACGCGCGTGGCATTGTCCCTACTTCCGACGAGCGTTTATCTTGCGCGGTGTCAATGAGACACCTGCTACTTTTCAAGAGGCCATTTTGCGCAGCTTTTCTTAGCGCAATAGTAAATCCTCCATTTGCGACTCGAATTTCATCTCCGAAAATTCGCTCTTCCGAACTTTAACCCACCTGTACACACTGGCTATTTTTGAACTTATAATTTCCATTGATGGAAATATACGCTGAATTATTCTGAACAATATCTACTCTCGCAACAACTGCTGACGGAAAATAACGAAGTCTTGTCAGGAGAATTAGTGTTGCAAATCAATACCAAACAAGCCTGTGCAACCTAAAAATATTTTGGCTCTCTAGAAGATGTTTGAACCAAAATATGAGCGGTATGTGCGAAAGCTTTATATTAACAAAGTATTCTGTTAACACTCTTTGTCTAACTCTCTCACGTTAATTCATGCTCTCAAAATGAGAAGGCAAAGGGCAATTCCAGAGGAGCATCCATCTCGTCTGACATCTATTAATGACTTCGATGTAATGTCGAATAAAACGACAGAACGAGACGGAAATCCGGAAGTTGTTTCTCGTGATGACGCGTTGCTTTTTTTATTGAAGCTAGGTCAAAATCGATCCATCAATCGCACATTTTAAGACGATGAATGAAACGGTAATATCGTTATCTTGTAAATTTTTACCTCGGCAGTGAGTCTCCTATTTGAGCTTTGACTCGTGCGAAGTTTGTAATTACGAGGGAAGCCGAAAAGATGTGAGCTTATTCGTTGGTTCTGAAGGAAAAGGGCCTAATCGAAGACATACAGCGTAAATACGACGTGAAGAGCGCATCCACGCGTACCACAGCGTGAAATCGCTGCAGCCTGCTGCGAATTCGTTGGGCAATCGATTTGCCCTAGTTCCTAACCGTTACTCGCCTCGATCTGACCTTGTACTGGGTCAAAGTACCTCATCACTTAGTCGTCAAATTACGTGCGACCAGATTATTTCCAAGATAGCAAGGGCCGGTTACTTCTCTTCAATATTTAATAGTGATGAGTCTAACCTTCTGCGCTATTGTTTCTTGCTTACGATCCAGAATATCTTTACTTTTGTTCCTTTAAAAATGCAGTCGAATATTTACATCCCAGCCGGAACAGAAAAGCCACGAGCTTGACCTACCCATGAGCTCAGGCCGCCTTTCAAGGCGTCATAATGATTGCTAAAGGAGATATATTTGGGCACAGTTCCCGCCATCTTCAATCGGCTACCGCCTCGCGGTGTGATGCAGTAGGAAGGAAGTCGGTCAACTGTGACTAGGCCACAGTGACCATCAAGAATCTTACGTTTTACGCTCTCCGGATGGAGTGTTTATTATTACGATTATTCTTTTGATTGTTCCCTATTTTGTGTTAAACAAACACTGTAGCTGGTTCTTACTTTTTTACAAATTCAATTTGATGAAGCGACTTTTGGAGTGCGATACTATTTTCAAAATAGTATTAGTTCCTGCTGGTTTTGTTTTTAGGAAAACTTCATGCACTTTCATGATTGCGACCTTCATCAACTCTAAAAATGCGAGATTGTTATAAAAAAAAACGTCAGATCATCATATCTTTGTCAAATTTCCTCATTACCCAAATTTCTAATTTTTTTATCATTTGCACAGTTTTGCAACGGAATAGATAACTACACATTCACTCGATTATTAAAGACCCTTGATCAAAAGTGAATAAAATGGGATTTTGAGAAACGTTCTGATGATTGATTTCCCATGGAATTGGAAGCAAAGAGTAAGCGATGGCCTTTGATTGATGTAAATCGTGCTGGTGTTGGACGAGACAATAAGGGAGAAGGTGGAACGAGGGGGAAGCCTGAAATTTGCGCGGAGAAATCGCACCTGGAGAAACGCTGGGAAAGAAATGCGCGATGCGCCGCCGCCACTAAAGCTAAGCGAGGCGCCGCGGAATTGATGGCAGCAGCGAGCGCACTTTTTGCGCCTGTCGCGAAAAATCAAACAAGCTGAAATCAAAATCTCTAAATATTCTTAACAGAGCATTAACGGGACTATCCCATAGAGGTTCTTTATCGAACTGAGAAAGAGATAGTAGAAAGGAAGACGACTGTTTCCGCCGCGCCGCGCTACTTCAGACAGGTAATGTCACGATTCCATATTTATTCATAAGTGATCGGATTAGAAAACGTGAAAGAAAACGTGGTTCTGCACGCAGGCAAAATAAACATCATCAGTAGATTTTAGATTGCAACCATAATTAATTACTTTATGTAGCGAAAGTTGAATTATCATAAACCAAACGAAGAATTATCGCGCCAGGGTAGATTTTACATTTCTCATTTCGTAGTGCGCCAATAAAACTCTTAGTACTCGATGTTTTCGTCGATAAGTAATTTTAGTAGAACACATTTATGGGAATATTTAATGAGACACTCGAAACTGGGGCGATAGTGTCGGATCAAGTGGCCGATTATTTACCCAAAATGAACATTTTTCTTTTAAAATAAAACTGCATCTATCGTGGGAGATTAAAATCGCGCGCCGACTTCCTGTCGGGCTTATTTGCGGGAAATTTTAGCGGAAATAAAGTATTTTCCGGTGAAATGTCCCGCCCATGTACTCAAATGAAACAAACGACATTGACCGACGGGAAACATTGAACTTTGCGTATCGAAATTCTGATCGGGAGCAGCAAGAAACTCAATATTAGACCTTCTGTAGGATTCTTATCGGTCCTGGAGCGTTGCGATCGATAGGTAAAACGCGCGCCTGCAGTGATAAGATGGCGAGGTTCGATTATTGTTCGATCAGGATCGCGATTTCGATCATTCTGAATTTATAAGGTGCGACCGGAAGATCGGTGTCAGAATTTCTCTTTTTCTCCCGTCCTTATATTTAGTCAATTGGACGGCATCGGCCTAAAATAAAAGATCAAACGCGCGCCTCAATTTCGAAAGGAAAACCTGCCACTTGTCCATAGGAACACGATACACTAAAAATCATTCTAGTGCACAGGCGTCTTGTGAGCCCGAGCGTTGTTGTGATTGGTATTTTTGCAACGAATATTAAACTCACGACGGTTTGGCCCGACAACAACGTGAGAAACGGGAGCGAGCGGTTCCTCACTGATCGATTTCTATGCATTTTCGCAGTAATGAAGAGAGTTATAATTGACGTCGATAGTGCATTCATCGCTCTTTTCCTTTTCGTCTGGGAAGAACACTTATCTTAACGTCACTTTTTCAGGTTTCTTTCCCTTGCCAGAAAGTCTTCTGTCAGCGCATGTGCGAAGTAGAATCAGAATAGAAAACAAACGACGTAAACCTCAGCTTCCATCACGATGCAGTCACTCCAAAATGATTACTGTAAGTAGCGTACTATGACGAAGAAAAGGAAACACGGGAAATTGAGAGTCGTTGGGGTGGTATCACCTGCTTCAAGTTTCTCCTTCGGACAGCTCCTAAATATTTGCTTTTGGCCTGCAGTAAATCTACTATTTTGTACTGTGGACACACACAGCTAAACTTTATCATCCTAACGCGCGCTCAAGTTATTTTATGGGTATATTTGAACTGGAGGTACTTGAAAACTGGATCAACAGGTTAAATTTAGCCCGTATGCGTCTTCCCACACGTACTACTGCCGCTATTTTTACTCAACACGATTCGCTTAGTCCAATCAAGAAAATCTGTCAATTCAATAACCTATGACCAGACGGATTATCTAAATTACTCCAAGGCTCTTTTTTGGCAACGGCCCAGAGCGAGTCCCCAGATTGCATCCCTTCCATTTGTGAAATGTGAAAGAAATCGGACATGGCCCCAGTGCGGAAATCGTTTTAGATAAAGTTTGCCTTTTGCCGGCGAAAGAGTGGAAATAAGATTTACGCAAAACAGAATAATTCGTTTAGCCAGAATTGCATCAGCATCACCAGAGAGCCGCCGGTAGAAATCAGCTTGAAACAAAAGGGTTTAGATTTGCATTTTTTCTTCCGAACCTTTTTAACAAAAAACGCTGACTATACGCTTGTATCGATTTAAACCGGACTTTTTGAGGTAATTAATATACTTAAGTGTTGGTCCCCTGAGATCTTTTACCTAAATTTCCCTTGACCATCAACAAATGGTCCCAGAGAGACTGTCTCAAGTTTGAGAGCATAAGACCTTTCAAATAAATTGATTCATAATTGAGTTGTTTCTCCTCGCAAATAGGGATTATCCAAATCCTGGGGAGAGCTTCAGCTCTCAAGCGTTGGCTCGCTGCCCGAAGTTTTCAGCAGGCTATCTGTATAAGCTCAGAGAGGAGGAAGGCTAAATATTTTAGCAAAGTGTCATAATAATAAACCTCGCACGGGGTCCGATCCTGCTCAAAGATTCTATTTCCGACGAGATCGCGAGTATAGGGATCGTTCTCGCTCTCTCTCTCTCTCGATGTAGAAATTACCCTCGAGGATAATTGTGAATTAGAGGCTTGTTGAGATGGCATTCGCTCGAAATTATGATGCACGTTGAGTGCACCTCTAGCAAGGGGAGATAAGAGGCCGAGCGCTCGGACAGGCGTATCTCTTTGATACTTGCCCGGGCAGCGAACTGACAAAATCGCCCAAAACATTCACACGTTCCGCGTTTCGGAGTTCAGACAAAAGCGACTATTACAATATTTGAGCAGACAGCGACGCAAAAGCCTCACAACTTTTCAAAAAGGCATTGTATTGCTCCGGAAGTAGTATCCACCCAGACTGGAGCCCCCCCGTCCTTGACTGGAGACTTGATTCTTGACCATCACATTTAATTTACCAATAGTAAAATTCAGAAAAGCTAATCTTTCTTTTTTAGTGTTGGAGCTCGAGCAAATGGCCCCAAACCCACGAGCACGCCACTGCCGTCACTTGGTAAGTCGTACAAAAATCCCAAAAATCTGGACTAAGTAGAGGTTACTGGCTTTGTTTTTGACTGATTTCCGGGGTGTTTTTTGTACGAAGGTTCTCATCAGATTTGATCACGTTATTTTCTGGTCGGCTACTTGTTTCTGCCAAATGTGATTTAGCTCCAACCAAGCGGGAAGGTCATGCCGCCCGCTCCTAACTAACCCAATCTGCAATAAGCAACAAACTCTGACTATGGGAGCAATGGAGCATGCATCTCCGTGGATCCGTAGTAGATTAATGATGCTTCCTGTAAAAAATAATGGATGCTTGTTTATCTTGAAAAATTTGTGCTCTTGACTGTTTTATCGAAGACAAAATCGATAACACCTTCGAAAAACCGTTCAGTGACAAGTTAGTATGAAGATTATGTGAGCTGATAAAATCTGGGCCGCCCAGATCTGCCAAGCCGCAGTTGCATTTACCTTCTTGGTTACTGGCGGAAGTGGCCTCAGTTTTTCGAGGATCTTGTTTTACCAAGTTCCCGCGTCAATTAGCACCAAATCTAACCAGTGCATTTTTGTGCCGAGCTAGAACTACTGCTTCCGAAGTGAGCGTATTGCGCATCCTATGTGGGTTCCAGTCAAACATTTTCGAGATAGACTTCCCTATCAGTGCCTGAATGCCCCTTAAAGAAATCGCAAGGAAGTCCGCCAGAAGTTTTGCCCTCTCACTAAGCTAGATAAATTGATGAATACCAAATACAGTATTTTACCAGAACGAAATTCTCAACTTATAACAGCTTTATTTAGGTCGACTCAAGACCGAGTTATTTTGGACTCGAATATCATGGCAAGATCAGTAGAGAACGGGCTTCAATCCTCTGTAGATCTGATGGAGAATTCCTCATTCGGGAATGTTCTTCTGACGCCTCCCAGCACATCCTCGTTCTTCGCTGCAATGGAGAAATAAAAAACTACAGACTCTTCTTTGACGAGATCGACCATCTGTACTCTGTTGGCGAAAAGTCGTTCGAGAATGTGATCGACCTTGTTCGCGATGGCCTTATTCATCTTTTCATCGAGAATCGCGCAAAAAGCTACATTGACAACATGGAGAAGACATCCGTATACGTTGACATCAAACGCGCAATCGAATCAGAAGAAGAGATTGACGCTAGAATGGTCCAAAGGTAAACAAGATTGAAACGAGATTTTGCCTTTATTGTGCTGGCGGAAGGGGAATCTAACTTTTTGAGTCACCTTCTCATTCCTCAACCAATGATTCGACTTCCGAAACTTTGAATAGTGGTATAATTTAATGGCGCCATCGTAAAAAAGAATATTTAGTTCCCCATACGCTGCGATGCCCGTTGATTCCTACATTTCCGAGTCCTCGTCATCCGGCCTCTACTCGCAGTCTGACGAGTCTTGTTCCGAGCCGGTTTATGAAGCTATTTCGGATTCGGATTTTTCAGCTGACTTTTCCCGCAAAATTTCTCTCGGAACCATTGGGACACAGAAGTCTTCTCTTTCTAACATGTCCACTGGTTCTACTGGTAGGCAATCAACTACCTCCTCCGAATCAGAGAGTCTCCAGTCACCCACCTCTGCGAAGAAGGTACATTATTCTCTCAAATTATGATTATAAACTAATAATTCTAGCGCTCTGTATTTTCATCAATCAGACGAAGCTTAAACTTTTCGAAGAAAAAGTCCCGCCCCGCACCAGTCACTCGTTCAAAATCAACACCAGCCACAGCAATAAGATCTTGCCTCAAAGGTCCCCATTACGAGAAAGAACACAATTTCAAAGTTGCTAATCTCAAAACCAACAGATACTGCCACTACTGCGGAAATTACATGTGGGGTCTTGTTCACCAAGGCGTCCAATGCTCAGACTGTGGCACAACTGCTCATAAGGTGAGAAAGGCTGAGCGAGCACGAAATCCTCTTGATTTTAGAAATTTTCTTCCTTGATTTCAATTTTGATTTTAGAATTGCTCACGACACATTCCGAATGATTGCTGTCCGGATCCGAAATTAGTCCAGAAGGTTTTCGGCGTAGATCTTGTCTCCATTGTCAATTTACATGGTACTGTGAGGCCGTTGGTTGTTGGGCTCGTAGTTTCGGAGCTAGAACGGCGCGGCGCTTATCGAACGGAGGGACTCTATCGCGAGAACGGAGATGGCAGCGTGATTGACAAGTTGAAAGCACAGATCGACCACAGTAAGTACATTGCAAAACGATAAGAGACAGATGAACATTTGTTCCACTACAAATATAATCTAAACAGTCGCACGCTATTTCATAAACGCATTTTAGGTGTGGCAGAAGTGCAGCTTGACCAAGTTGACAGTTACTCCCTTGCCTCGCTCCTCAAGCTCTATCTCCGCGAACTTCCAAAAGCACTGATTGATGACTCGATTGTCGCTCGACTTTACAATGCTGTCGATTTATGTAAGTCTATGTCAAACTGAATTGGACATTAACTCGTTAATTCTAGCAACTGAAAATTTCGCAATCGCAGTAAATATGATGAAGACTGCATTCGACTCATTGCATCCCGCACACTTGTCCACTCTCCGATTTCTCATCAGCCATCTTTCACGGTAATTGGTACCCGCACTAGAAAGGAACTAATCGAATTAAGAGTCGAGAGCTGTAGCAACGTCAACAAAATGACCGCCGGAAATCTCGGCGTCTGTTTCGGACCAGTCATATGCCGCGGGAAGCAGCAAATGAACGCAACACAACTCTCTGAAGCCGTTCAAGAGGCTCAAGCACAGAAACGGCTCGTGTCTTTTCTGATTGAGCATCAGCACTTGGTGTTTACCCGAAGTTGAGTGAAACGAAACTAAATTAAAGAAGCACAACTACATTTACTATTCCGAAAAATGGGTAGATAAAAAAGTTCAAAAAACGGAGCGTTCCGCGATTCCGATGCTTTATGTTCAACTGCAAATATTTATCGACCCTGTGAAAATACGCAAATAAAATTCGAACATGAATTAATATATTTTCTTTGTTTATTTAGACCAGTAAGAATGGTCCAGTATCGACAGTATTGTAGACAGAAAATCGCTCTCTTCACATCCTTTTTTTGATTTTGCCAATTTGTCTCTAATAAAAATTACATGACGACGATTGTCATTTGATTTTCAACATAATGATACTTTGCTGATCACGTTTTAACAATAAACACTTGATGTTTAGATAACAAGCTCTTCTCGTAATTATCGGAACATTTACAAAACAAACAAAACAATGTTCATAATGATCAGAAATATTCATTTTTTTTGACATTTATTTCGCCGAGAAAGATATTTACAGGAGAGAACAAGGGCCGGAACTCGTTGATGAAAGTCGAAGGCTAGGGACAACCCAAGCTGGAAACTCCTAAATTATTGGTTACCTAACTGATCTGCTGAAGAGATGTTAATGCTGCTGAATTAAAAATAAATATGCAAAATGATAAAATTATGAACCGCTATCGAGGGAGTATAAGGAGAGAGTATCGTCGCTGTCTGAATATGTGGAGCTGGCCGAATCGTAGGAGTCGTCTTGCGCACCGCATCCGGAGTTCTCGGGATAGGTGACTAAGTAGAATATGACAACTCAAATCGTATTTGACAAGATTTACCTGTGAATGAAAGCCCCTGCGAAGTTTTTGTCAAGCTCCATGTTGCGCCAGTGCCCGACTTTGAAATGTTCTCGATTCCGAGGAGAATGTCTTGAGGGATGTGGTGGCTCATGGCGTAAAGTTAAAAGCTGCTCTGTTTAACGGCTCTTCGATGTTTCTAACAATTGTCTTAAACAAAAAATATGAAGATGTGGATTGCCCTTAGGCGTGTGAGAAAATATATGCTGGAGATACTCGTCTAGTGCACCATTCCGAATTATAGATTTTCTCATATTGCGCCCTTGACCATCGTCAAAATCATTTTCGGGATCACGTACGCACCTCCTCGACTAACTGTGTTAATTGTTTAATGACTGTATTTATCGAAATTTATTGAATGCAATTTAGAATTATGAATCTTCTTCGTTTATTCTACGAGATGGATATAATCGGATCTCGTGAGTTACAAATCTAGCATGGTTTTTGAGGGTTTTTTTGCTTGATTGACTTTTACCTCTTGATTCTTTCGATCGGAGGGTGACGATTTCTTGAAGTGGATTAAATTAGTTTCTCTCGGCCTATATTTAATATTGACGCTTTTCAAAAATGGTAGATGAGTAAATTGGTTGAATGAAGGTTATGAGATATTATTTTAAAAGTGTTATGGCGCGAATGCCGCGAGGCATTTTCTAGGTGGATCATTGATGGTGGTGATGATGGCACCACTGAGCTCCACCTCCATCACAGCTCCGTTATCATCGCAACTAACTACCACCCTTGCGTAACCTCAGGGATAAGCCTTTACTCAGTAATTTCACAGTACAAAATACTCCAGAAGCGGTTTAACACAGAAAAATATTTTACGTACGGCTTTGTTTGCTTAGAAGACTTATGATTTTGTTTTGTTTAATGATTAGCTCTTATAAAAGCCTTCTATGCCAGTATGCTTTATTGAAAGTGATAAACGGGTTAATAACACTAGCTTTTGCGCATTTGACTGGTTGCATTTGGCGGAGAGACGCCGTTGAGAACCGATTAAGCCAAATTTGCAGGCGGCGCCTTGACCTGCGTCCGCGTTCAATCGATTTCAAGGACACGTACGTAGTCAGGCACATCGCAATCAAAGCTTGTACCCATGCTCTTGAAAGATGCCAAGAGTATCGCAAAAGCAAACTTACTCGTTAGTTTTCTCTTTTTGTCACACTGGTCTAAAAAAACGCGTTGAAATTTCATTTCAAAAGGCTCTCAACCAGAAGCTGACGTGGATAAACGACATCAAGAACGGGAATAGCGATCAGATCTTTGATGTGGGTAAGATGATTCTATAACCGTCCGGGACGGACTCGTATTTTGACGAAAATAGAAAAGAAACAACGCTAAGGTCACGGGTTCTGTATACTCACTGGCAATTGACACATAAACTTTCTGACGTTTTCGGAAGGTGGACGACCCCTAACGTTCAAAAGCAATATTTCCCTTTATTTATTAAACTTGCGTTCCATTGCTAACTTAGTGTTTCATCGTTTCGGACTAGAAAATCGGCATTTTAAGAGAATTAAAAGTTATAAATTGTCTAGTAGATCCCACTCTAAGGTTGGCAAAGCAAAGAAAGTTTTATGTCAGCTCCAAGAGGGTAGGGGAATCGTTTTCGGGTTTTTTTCATGAAAGGGTGTTATGATAGTTCCGCGAAGCACAAGTGTTCAAGACAGCTCCGTTCCGTGAAGGGTGCGGTAATGCCACACCTAGTAGCAAATGAGCGAGCGTGCGGCGTGCACACCCGTAATGCCCGCGACGCCACCACAATAATCAAGCACCATTGGTTTGAAGCCGCACTGCACCGTACCTCTACTCCGGTAGCCTGTACGTCCCTTAGCTGCGGTCTCGCCACCAGAGCTTCCTTTTTTTCGGGACATCATCGATAAGCGCTTTTATCTGCTGTTCGAGTTTATGTCAAACAAAAATTATATTGAATTGAAAGTATGTCGCTCCTGACTGATCAAACGTGTCTTCAGAAAGTAAATGAAATAAAAATGTAAGTTGAATATGTGTTTTCGTGTTATATACAATCAGGGAAAATATAAGAAAAGAGAAGCTGAAAAATGGGACTTCACAATTTCTTCAAAAAGTTTTGATGCTGCAGAGCTTCTAGCTTCGTTGAAAGACCGTGCTTGTGGCAAAGATTTTCGAGGAACTGGATTGTAGTGATAAGATTGTCGACTTCACGTGTGCAAATGTCATCGATGCTCGCAGGCGTCGGCACTCGTTTCTTAGGTTGCGTCATGTTTTCGATCGTGAGTACTTTTGCGGTAGAAATGACCGGTTTCGCGAAGCTCTTCTTCATTGAATTCTGAAGGGTACGTTTGCCATTGATCTCTCTCAGAACTGCAGGCTTTTCAGTGGCTTTGCAGGCTTTTTTAGTCATTTTTCGCTGTGTTTTGAAGAAGCTTAATGATTTTTGTGAGTTGTTGCCCCTTTGGAAGGGTTTATATTTGAGAAATGCCAGCAGGGGGTCGACACTTTGCGCCTTCTGGTGGCGCCTCTCCTTACAGCCCGATGACAGATGTTAATTGCCTCCTTAATATTTTCAGGCACCTTCTTCGCGGGAGACAACGCGTGGGAAATAAATTTCCAATTGTTTTATGATCGACAAAGAGGCCAGGTTTGAAATAAGGGGCCATATTGTCGTCAAAATATTTTCCTTTGGCCGTGTTTCATATGGCGACAAGACACGTTGCGATGGTTTTACGAAACCGAAATTCATGGTGAGACAATCTCACCTTGAATATGAGAGTGAACGCGTTAGAAGCAGTTCTTCGGCGTAATTTGGCAGCTGCTGTGGTGCTACTGCTTCGGTGCATGTGGCTGGAATGTGTTGATTACATCCCTCGGCCGAGCTGCCACTCGAGATAAGTGGCGCCGCGTAATTCCGCTTATTTTATGTTTGACGTAAAGCCACGCTCACGAGAAATGCTTTCTAAAGGGAGAGGAGCGCCCCGGGGAAAACGTTCAACTAACTCCACTTAAATTCACATGCATTCCTTTAGAAAGCTACGGCATTTCAAACCCGTTTATGAGCAGTTCAATAAAAGCATTCAAACGTAGTTTATCTGTTCGAGAATTACAAAATTTCCCAGTTGAAGGGAGTCTTGTAGCACTGTTTTCGGTGAGCACGCGATAAGGGCGCGTCTCTTTTTATCGTTTTTAGTAATCGGATGAGTTAGGCAAAAGTCCTTGCTCCCAACGTGCCCCATAACTCCCAAAACCATCGAGTTTAATTCTTTCCTAAAAGGCTTTTTAACGCAGCCTGCAAATTTCAATATGTTGAACCGATTTCCTAGTTCGATTAATTCCATCCGTTCCACCATTATTCGGCATAATGGGATCCAGGCTAAGTCGGCGAATTCTGTTAAGTGGTTCCGGACAAAGCCGTGTTTTCCAATAATTCGCCCTTTGATCAACTGTTCGCCTGAGCTAATTTGCATTTCGTCCCTTTGAGCAACCGACTCTCAGCGCATCCGCCCGTGACCCGCAGGGGTCCGCTCCCGTCTTCAGCTCTTCCATGGGAAAAGAAGCCGACGAAAAATATATTGGAGGCCTTTCGGATCCCATCGAGGGTTACCATATGGAAGCGTTTGATCGCCCAAACGCCGATTAAAAGTCAATTTCGCCACAGTATTGAGAAAACAAAGAGAAACAATAAACTTCAAACAATTTTCATTCATTCTTTATTTCGCAACGTTGTTTCAAAATTACACATATGTTCCACAGACGCTGTAATCGCAGAATTCTTCCATGCTGTCTTGGTATCTAAATGGTTTATCCCAATCATATTTATGCCCTCGAGGGACACTTACAGACTGTAGCAAGTGGTAGATGAATTTTCCATATCGGTGATTTCATTTACCTGTTGCAAGGTCACTAATTCTGAGTTTTATTAGGCTGTATTCATCCTTTTTATTGGGTGCAAAAGAAAAGCCATCTTTGAAATACAAAACTCTTTCCTGAATTTTCACTAAACGCAGCATCTGATTTCTGGGAGCCAACGAAATTTGTCGTTGGCTCAAATAAATCCGGGTCAAAGGCAGTCTGTATCGTCATCATGACTTGGAGCTTTTCGTTTTCATTTAGAGATACCTGAATAAAAAACAACAAAGACTCTGAAAAAGTTATTAATACCCAAGTGACCCCGACAGCTATCCAACAGACGAGTGAAAGAAAGGTTGACAATGCTAGAAAAGCAATGATCGTCGCAGAGTGAAAGTAATCTAAACTTCTTCATAACAACCCTTTACAAACTCAGACCTACTCTCGTCCAAGAATATGCCTCGATCTTGAAAACTCATAATTATTTTGGACTATAGTCTATAGAATATGAAATCGTCGCTTCATTTTATGCTAATTTCAATCGATTCGTTTACGAGTGTTTTATTTAGACTCAGCAAGATTAAACTATCATCAAAAATAACCAAGTTATTCTCACTACAACGTCGATAGTATCTCTTCTAGTCTAATTGCCTCTTCTAGTAGTCGCTTATCTCAATAACTCATTAACAATAAGCACTAGTTTTCCCGGGGCTCTTGAAGATAATACTCATTTTTTAGAATAACCGGTTTCATAAGCCAGGTGATTGTCCTCCCACTAAACACGCGAATATTAAAAACTTATCTTTATAACGACGAAATCCAGCTATTATTCAAAAGAAACCTATAAATCGAAAAAAAAAATTCAAACGTAATATTAAAAATTAGAACGAAATCGAGACAAGGTTCCATTCGGACTTATCTCTTGGAGATAAATTATCTTAACCGGAGTTTAAAATCGGAGGACGAATTATTAAAAGACGTTTCGAGTGGAGATATTATCATAATTTTGTTTCGCCGCTAACTTTGTGTAACTCGCGGTCAGAAATATGACAATGATTAAATTGTCGTGAAGTTATTGCTCGGATTGCGAATGTTTGTGTTCATGGAATTGGATTCTATTCGTTTATTGGAACATGCAAAGATCAGAGTTGGTAAAACACATGATAATTTTCTGGACAGGCTTCATGACGGTGGAGACCTCGCCAGAGAGTGGGTCTTCGAACGAAACTGGCAGCATTCCGAAAGCGACCTTCGCGTCCACTTTGCTCTTCTTTTCCGTGTTGTTCGAAGTTGTCGGTGTTGATGTTGGCGCGCTTGGATCCTTAGCGAGCGATCCGTCGTAGAATTTAACAGCTCGTCCATTCAAGTCCTGTGTTTCCCGGAAGTTGTTAACCAAAGCACCTTTTCACGTTTTTGAATTTATCCACTTCCAAACTGCTTTAAATTTCGACCAAAGAATATATTAAAAACGTTCCTTGATTATCATTAGAAAATGTGGTCATCTTGGCAGCTGTGGCGGCTTTGATCTTGATAGTATCTTTGAAAACCGTCCAGGTAACTATCTCATTGCAGGTAGGCGTTGTTAGACCGCCTGAACAATTAGAAAATTGAATAAATTGTCTTTTTTACCGTCGTATCTGTAAAATGAAGAAGAACCAACGTCATCGGTATCGATGATATGATTTGCAGACCAGAAGATAACTTCATTGGTTTCGGTGACATTGTTGTACGCCTGGACTTTATCATCGACGATGTCGGTGATGAGGTAATCGAATGGACCTTCATCGATGCTGTCATCAATCTCAAGCCAAAAACCGAGAACAGCCAGGTCGTCCTTAACAAATTTATGCCTCTAGAAATACATTGCGGCGGATACCTGATTTCCACTGGCAACAGCTGCGGACAAATCGCTGTGGGAAGATTTGTAATGGACAAAGTGCACTTCAGAAAAGTAGTGGTTTCCATTGAAAGTGTGTTCTGAGCCACCAGTGTAGCCGCCTTGCCCGTCGCCCTGTCCCCAATGAAAGTGGAATTGCGCGAGTTTGTATTCCTCAGAGAATGCTCCTCCGGTAAAAGTCATGCTTAAATCTAGTTTAGAGATGCACTATGTTGTTTTAGTACTCTTCGACGTCTGGAACGATCTTCACTCCGTGACCAGTATTTTTGACAGTCCATTTGTGGGGATTTTCGTAGTTGACGAAGGTGAATTTGTCGAACTTCTCCGTGACTGTTGTGAGGTTACTTTCGTCGACATCGATCGGACTTTGCCCGGTTCCAGTTTGGCAGACGCCTTGATCCCACACAGAACCAGCAGTTGATTGAGCAGTGTAATCATACACCGCGGGGGCTGCGAGGACGACAGATACGAATGTTCCTGAAATTGAGGCTACTCTTTAGAACGAAGAATATCTCTGGAAATTTATATACATGAGAACATTAAAAAGGAAGTATAACTAATAGTTATTAACAATATATAGCGATTATAGAAATTGCTCTCTTGATTTTTTAAAAAAGTTACCAAAAAGTTTCATTTTTAAAGATTTTCTGCCTTTTTCGAGTGAGAATTATTCTACAAACGAAAACTGGTCTGCCTTCTTCGATCATCGATGGTACTTTTATACGCGAAAATTTAGCGCTTGAGTGGTGAGATGGAACTTAGGTAGATACAGAAACCGATAACCTGTTTGTTTTCAAATGATGGAATTGTTATCGGTGCAATCGGTCAAGCAGAACTTCAATCGTGTTCCAAGACGATTTTTGCTTGAGAGGATTTTTGCCAGCTTTCTCAAACTGTAAAATTCGGTTCGGTCTAAACATGATTGAAGCTTTTCTAAAAAATATTTTCCCTCAAATGTATGGTTTATTAAAATATCATCATTTTTCATAAATAGTTTCAGTGTCGCTGTATTTAAATGAATCACTACTAGTAGATGCTCGATGAAAAAAATTCTTTGTTTGGCTAGTGAGGAGAAAAACTTGAGCGAGAGCCAAAATATCGATCTCTTCTTAATTCATTTCATTTTTTCGACGACTTGAAGTCTTTTAATTTCAAGAAAATTATGTTTTTGCAGATGAGAAGCTTGCCTTGGATAGTTACTGAGAATATTTTCAAACATTTACCGGAATTTAGCGATGAGAAAATATATTTTGGATATCTTTATAGCAATTGGAAGTATCTGGCTTCTCCAAAAACATTGGACAATGCATCCTCAATGATTTTGTTTTCGATCAGGTTTTCTTTGTTTATTTTCATTAAGCCGCATGTGCTCGCTTTATTATAATAATTCTAGTCTTGAAGAGTTTTTCTACATTCCAAGAGATATCTTCGCTGCGATAGAAGATGAACTTAAACGACGATGCGTAGCGGTTACGGAGGAAATTTCTTACGAGATAGGTTTGAATGAAATTTAAATTGTGAATTATTTTTCAGATGTTAAATTTAAAACTTCGCAAATCGGAATATCTGGCCCGTTATCGACTAAACAATGCCTCGATCAAGACACTTGTGCTCAGAAGATCTGTGTCAATGCTTTGTTTAGCATAAAGAGCAAAATTCGCGAAATTCTTGGACAGAGCAACATTTCTAATCAACACTTTCTCAGAAATGGTTCTCAAATATACTTTTATAATATAAATGGTATATGATATAGAAGGTCTTTTCCACTGCAAATTATGCAGTTAAAATTATATAGCTACAGAACCAACAAAGAAAATATTTGTATTTAATAAAAATTGCCGAAGATTGCGAAGAAAGAACAAGACTCCTTCTGCTAAGAATTATTGGCCATCTTTATCCTTTTGAAAACTTTCCGAAACAAATCAACGCGGACAAATAATGACGCGAAAACTCTTGAAAGGGTATTTTATCTTGGCAGTGAGATGATCTTACGAAATTAAATAGAAGTAACAAGCCATTAATCTGACGATTCTTCTTCTGAGTCATCATCGTCGGAATCGTCTGAATCGTCATCTGATTCATCCTCGTCGTCATCTTCGTCCTCAGAGGTAGAATCTTTCTTCTCCTTCGGCGCTTCCTGTGTTTTGACATTTTCGCTGCCTCTACTTTCTTCCTCGTTGTTTTCGTTTTGAATTTTGTCAACCTCATTCGCAAGCTGGCATAAAACACAGCAGCAGCAAAAGAAACTGAGTGCGCAGTCTCCACAAGCGTCACCGACGATAGAAAGTCGCGTTCTAAACTTTGTGCGAACAGAACCAACTCCTGCGCAGCACAGGAACGATGATATCGGCTCGGATATTTTCTAGGGGTATTGTAAAGATTTTGAGAAATCTCATGTAATATTTACCTCGGCCAATTCTGCACCAAGCATGCAGGGAATAATGCCAAGTGGGCAAGTATCCATGTAGTCACAGCACTCGAAGATATCTACCTTCCATTCTCGCCCCTTTCTTGATTCGCTTAATGATTTCAGGAATAAATATTCAGAATTTATCTAGGAGGATGTTTCATTTTCGAGGTACCTTTGAGATTCATCGGATAGCGACTTTAGCACTTTCCGCTCAAATGCGATGCAGCCAGGTTTTAATATTTCACCGGGTGCCTAGAAAAAATATGTTTCCCTTGTGATCAGCATAACGCTTACTTTCAGTTTTTCTGTTGTTTCATTTGCTTTACCAGACGACGATTTTATGCTTGTATTGTCGTCTCCATTGGTTGAATCACCGTTGGATTTAGCGGAAGTAGTTGAAAAGTCACTAAAACGCTTTTCCATGATTTTTATACCTTTTTTTACCTGTTTGTCTTCTTTAAGATGCTCTTCGCAAAAGAGCTTGGTTGGATTTTCGAAGGAACTTTTACTGGTTTGTCATCTTCGCTTGGAGTCTAAATGAAATGATAAGCGTGCCGCAATTTCGAATAGATTACCCTGTAGAAAAGTCTATTTAGAAACATGACTTTTCTGAATGATTTTCCCAGTTTCATTCGTGGATCTGGGAATTGACCGTTCATCATATTCCCTTGCACCAGATTTAATTGTTGCATTCGACCACCAGCAGGACTCAAAATTTGACCACCAAAACCCTAAGTATAAGTTAATATCAAGTAAATGAGGAAGACTGAGGTACGGGGCGTGGAGAAAGTTGATGTTGTTGATTTGCTGTCTGTGGAAGAGGAAAAACTCTATTGCTTGATCCAATCATTTGATTATGCGGCTGGTTAGGGGTCGGCTGCATTCCGCCTTGAAGAGAGTATTGACCTTGTTGCGATGGGCCACGGCTTCCATTTTTCGAACTTTTCAGTGGTATTCATTTGACTCGAATAGCGAAGGACTACATAGTCTATCTTTTAGATCAATGTAATTGCCCAGTCACAACGCAGTATAAAGTAAAAATACCATTCCCATATTGCGAAGTATGATTAGAAGTGTGCTGCGACGGGAATCTTGAACTTGGGCCTGAAGTTGTATTTCCTCCTCGAAAATCGTCATCATCATCGAAATCATCATGTTCTTCATCGTAATGATCGCCATAACGGCCCCGTTCTTCAGCCTCGCGATGGAGTCGAGATGCTTGTCTTGTTAGATTTCCAACAGTTCGAAATTTGAATTTTCGATTGTCATCCCGCCGGGGCTAAGCAAAGTAGCTATATCAATTAAAATACACATTTTACCTGTTCAGTAACAGGCCATCTGTTGCCACCCTCATCTGATGTCCTGTTTCCATGACTAAGAGCGTAGGAGACCTTGTGTGCTGCATGAACTTGATTCCATCTATCCGGGTAGTTTTCATATTCGTAGTACTCATCCGTCTCCTTTCCATATTTTTCATCTCGAGAAACGTCATCCGAATAAGAACCCGAGTATTTGTCTGCATCTCTTCCCCCTCGACGATCATCCCTTCCGCCTCCTCGACGGTCGTCTCTTCCTCCGCGATCTTTTCGCCTTTCTCTTGACCTTGATCTATCTCTTCTTGAGCTTTTCTTTGAGCTCTTTCCATTCTTTCGTCGTTCTCTGCTCTGTGATCGTGATTTTTTATCCTAGATAACCCTTGTCTTCGGCGAAAGTGACTGAGGAATACCTTGGATTTGCGCTCTTTTGACCTTCTCGGAGATTCTTTATCTCGTCGATGTCTCTTGCTGCTCTTTTTGCTTCGATCTTCTCGAGATTTTTCGTTTTTATCTCTTCTCTAATATAAATATTCGTATCAACAATATATAAAAATCGATCGCTACGTATAAACAAAAAAAACGACATTTACCCTTGATTTGGACCTAGAACCAGGACTGCGATCTCTTCTTGATTTCTTTTCTTTGGATTTTTTATCTCTACTTCCCATTTGAGTCTCTGTAACTTCAAGTAGGCTCGTGTAGTTTCTTTGAGATTACAATCATCCCAAAAACATTCAAAGTTCGCTTAAACAATGCACAAATTTGACGCGAAAGTTCTAATGGCCGCAAGTACAGAGACAGTGCAGGAAGTGCTCAACCGTTGTGCTCAATAATTCACTGGACTCGATCAAATATGCAAAGGAGCTCTGGTACAAAAAATGACGTCCGTGTTCTATCACTTCCTCTCATTCCAATCATTCAAGCCTCTTCTCAATTGTATTTTACGGAAAGAGTGTGACCCCAAACTCAGGGTTTGAAAAGTCTGAGCATGAGCACCGAGCATGCTCAGCGTGCTCAAGCTCAACGGAAATCCCAGCGTGTCGTGCTCAAGCTCAATAAAATCTGAGCATTCCCGTGCTCATGCTCACGAGTCTCTGAAATACGTGCTCAAATTCTCTGAGCACGTCTGAGCAAAAATTTTCTTCTTTTCTTTATTTTCAAAAATATTACTTCTTTCGGGCCGTCTCAGCCCCGTTCCAAGATTTTTGAATTAAAGGGGCTTGACGGTTCAGCCAAAATTTGAGCTCTCCTTGCTCAGCCGTGCTCATGCTCAGTCAAAATTTGTGACTTTTCAAACCCTGCCCAAACTCGTCCTTGTTGATTTCATCTAATGAAATCTGTTAATACGCCGAAAGGCACAACTAGCTGTGAATAACAAAGGATACTTCTAAGAACACAACGAGCTTTGAATCGGAGTAAATATAAAAATATATTTATTGGTTATATGAAATTGCAGAAATATTTACGGAAATAAGAATTATGGAAAGATAAGTGGCAGCTTTGATAAATGAAAAGACTTTTACTAAAAGTAGAATTCGTAGTCTAACGAAGGAGATCTTTAAGATGAAGCTCCTTTTGGGCCGAACGCAGCTTCGGGGTCATCACCATTGTCATCATCCGTCTCTTCGAAGTTTCCGTCGCCGAGTGGATTGTAAACCGTTTCGCCGGACATGGCCATTCGAGCCAAATCGATGACCTCATCGTCGGCAAATTGGTAGTCGTCGGAATAGGTGTCGGACTCACATTCGGAATCTTTATCCGAGATCGGAATCGGGGCCAAAGATCGTCGAACGGGCTCGGCGCTATGAGAGAAGCCCTTCGTAAATACTGGTGGGTCGCAAACGGACTTGGTTGGCTTGAAGGGCTTCTGTCGCTTGATGAACTTAACCATTATTTTTAATTTGCTGTTATTTTCTACATCGAGTCTTACCTTAACCTTATGTTCGCGATTTTCACGGAAAAAGGTGTGGCGGAATTCATCAAATTCACCACTTTGGGATGGCCTCGAAGTCAGGGGATCAACGATCCTTGAAATGTTGCGCCGAAATTGCTTGAAAAAAAATTAAAGAAGTTGAAGGTTAAAACGAGTTACCGCATAGGTATGATCCTCAGCGGATCGCTTGACTTTTCTGAATCCATAGAGATTCAACTGACGGATCAAACTTTGATAGTTTGATGTCGTGAAGAGGGTCTGGTTGTTGACATCCAGAACCTGTCCAGGCTGGAGGACCCATTTTTTGTTGATCTTAAACTCATTTATTAAGTGTTCTCTTTAGTTTTAAACATACCACAAATGTTGTGGAGCCTGGTGCATCTCCGTGGCCGTTTTCGGCACGTACATCAGCATCGCACCCTCGTCCCGACCAGAACATGCAGTGATAGAATGGGTTGTTTACGATGTACCAAATCTTTTTAGGGAATTGAAGATTTGATACTTCCCCACATTCATTTGGCGGAATAGGGGCCATAACTGGCATCAGGGCTGGAGTGGGATAGTCGACGACGGCGGGATAGTCGACGGGGACTACTGGGCGGTTATCGATGATTTCGACGTGCTCCTGGAATTTTTTATTTTGAATAAACATAATTTTCCAATTCAAGAGATGTTAAAATTCGTTTTACCTCATTATCAAGGATTGCTGGACCAGCCGAGTAGTCCATAGTCAAATCGATAGTGCGAGCACTGATTACATCTTCGTACTTCTGGACTTTAGTGAACGCTTCTTTGCCCATTAGGGGAAGATTGTTAAGACCATTTAGGTGGGCGTTTTCCAAGGCAATCTTCATTAATTTTGACCGTCGGCACATGAAGTCGATGATTATCAATTGCGGGATCACGACTTAAAATTAAGTTTAGAGGTAGATGGGCCCATTAAAACTTACGCTGACGATCATGAATACTCAAGCTTCGGAGGCTTTGAGTTAGCGGCAACTCATCATCATCCGAGTCAATAATAAGAGTCTCGACAGGTTCGTCCCCGCAGATGTCAACGATGGCCTCCACCTTGCCCGGCTTCTTGGCGCTTCTCTTGGCGGGCTTTTTCTCGCTTCGGGCCTTCTTTACTTCGGCTCGCATCTTGGACAGCTCAGATCGCGAAGCCTTCGGAGTGGAAGTTTTGTTTCCTCGATCCGCTCGACTCTTGGGGAACAAGATGAGCGGTGGGCGGTACTAATTAAAATTAGTTTAAAAAACGACTCAGTTTCAGAGAAAACTCAGCATTACCTTTTTCACGACTTTTTGCTGCTTGTTAACCATGGAAGCTTTTCGTCGGGGAGGACGAGTAGACAAGTCAAGAGGTTTAGTCAAGTCAATAGTCAGATCCATGCTCGAATCATCATTTGGTATTTCAACCGTCGAGACCTCAGCAGTGGAGACATCATTAGTCGAGACATCAGCAATGAAGCCGTCCCCAGTCGAGACATCAGGAGTCGAGAGATCAACAATCGAGTCATCAAGAGTCGAGGCCTCAAGAGAAGAGACTTCAGAAGTCGTGACCTCAGCAGTCGCAGCCACCGGAATCTCAATTGGAGCATCCGCGTCGTTCTCAAGCGCTGGAGCTAAGCAAACCTTCTTAGCCAAGGAGTCACCAAGACTTGGTTCAAGCTCGTCCGGTGACCACATACGTTTGGCGCTTTCAGCCATCACTCGTGGTTCTCTTAACTGCTGAAGATATTTTAAATTTTGTAGTTTGGTTCTTGAAATCAGGAATTAAACAGCAAAGGTAATGTACAGCTGCACTTTCTGTCAAAATTTGATGAATATTCATCTGCCCTCAAGTTTTTAAGGTAAAGCAGCAAGAATCGAAAAAAATGTGAAAGGGATGTGAGCGTTTTCTCTGTTTTCTCTCTAATGATGAAATTCGGCGAATCACAGCTTTATATACCCCGGTCCCTAACAACATCACGTGACGGTTCTAGAGAAAAATGGAGGCCGTGAAACGAACAACACGGGTAAAGCGCAAGCTGTGAGAGCCATGTTTTGAAGTTCAGTTTACGCCTGCGTATTAAAATTTTATCCCGATTGGATAATTAAGGGACTTGATGACTCAGACTGGGACCACACTGATAAGCGCCGTCTAGCAGACTTTCTTCCTTGATTCCAATTTAACTATCGATAGAAATAACATTTACGATAGGTCTTTTCTTAAATATTCACTGCTGGAGAACAGAAATCTAAGTAAAAAGTGAACGAAAAGAGGAATAAGGAAGAGCCGGAAGGGATTCAGGAATCGAGAGAATTTTCCCGCTGGCTTTAGGGGGGGAGGGTCGACGAGAATCGGGATTTCCGTGACCGAAAATGCGTAAAACTCTGAATAGATAGGAAAATTTTGACTGTTCAGGAAGAAAGAAATTGTTTCAAGAATAAAACGAAAATGGCGAAACTCAATAAGTACAAAAAATACTCGTCGACCCCTCCATCGTATACGATATCTAAGATACTAGATAATCTCAGCTGGTTAGTATATTAACATCGAGAGAACTTGACATAATATAAATTAAAATAAAAACGATTTCTTATATATAATACACAACATTTAGTTAGAAAAAGAATAAGTTTTTTTGTTAAATGTGAGGTAGAGATAATCATCAAAACATCAGCAAATTCGACTAACCTCCGGTTGGATGCTCGGTTGGAGGTCTCAGGCTGGGACTCTCAGCATCTGGCGCCCTCCTTTGGATAGGGCTCATGTATAAATGCGCCTTCAGACCAATGAATCGGCAGAAAAAACAATCCGTGTCACAACAAAAACCTTAAAAATTGAAATTCATTATGAAACTCAGGTCTCGTACTCTAGAAGATGCTCCCGAATCTGCACCATCGCCAAAGAAGATCAGAATTCAGAAGCCTGATGACTTCGAGGTGGTTCATCCCGGTTCCGTAACATCCTATGGAGAATTCGGAAAATGCGACGGGTCAGAGTGCGATGGGTAAGATTGATAGAGCGAAAGTTTTAATTCTAACTTTAAACATTTCAGAGTACCTGAAGAGACTATGAAAATTGACAACGGGAGACTATGCAGAACCTGCGCAAAAAGACACACGTCGATCTCCTTACTCAAAACGGAAATTTCGAAGACTCCGATGCAGAGTTCAAGTGCCCAGTATTCTCTACTGAGGGAAGCTGCAAGTCGGAGAGAATCACCTTCTGGCAGTTCTATGTTGGAGCTTGCTGCGAGAAGGCTTCTACATGGTTAACAGAGAATGAGAAAGGTAGAAATTTATAATTCGAAATTTTATCTGATCTAGTAATTACTATTTATAAATACTCATAAATCTTTAAGCCCAGAAGAAAAAACTGCATGTTGTCAAGAATATGAAAGAGGAAACCAAGCGAGATAAAATAGAAGCGGAGGAGGAATCTGAGAAGATAAGAAAGAAGATTGAAAGCTTGGAGAGTCTTCAAGCAAATCGTAGATCGCTCGTTGAGAAAACCTTGAAGAGCATTCAAGAGACTGACAAAGAATTGGAAGAGAAAAAGAGAGCCCAGGGAACCGCGGAACAAACGCTTAGGAAAAGAAATCTAGCGATGGACAAGGTGTCCATGCGATACAAGCAACTGTCTTACGAATATCACGCCCTCACCAACAGGGATGATGACGAGGGTGATGATGAGAGCTCAGGTAATAACCGTTTTAAAATGCCAATCATAGTTTTATTTTAGGCACTACGATTTGCCGAGTTTGCTTGGAGAAGTACGGCGACAATTTTGCAAGGCGTAAATACGCCCTTACTAGATGCGGCCATGTTGCCTGCAGGTCCTGCTTCGATCAAATTCTCGCAGGCGAACGCTACGATGGTAACTGTCCTCACTGCCGGTCATACTTCGATGTCGATGAAATGATCAGAATTCACGAGTAGCACACGTAAAGCATCCCACTGATGAAACTTTCTTCTTCTATCATCTGCAAACATAAAAAATCAATAAATTTGAAAAAAAAAAAGATTTCAAAGATTTCGTTCTTTCTTTTGCAAGATATTTTTGAAGAAAATTTCGATTCTCTTTCCCCTGCTTGCCACACCTGCGACGACACATGCGATTTTGCAATAAAAGCTCATTCCAAAACAGAAACTCTTTTCGAATTTTGAAATTATCAAAACGTTTTGATTGAAGTAATTTATTTTTCGCGGTTATAGGGGTCAACCCCTATACCCGAAGTGTACAATTTTAGTCGATTACGTGGAAATAAGCGCTAATAATAAACCGCGGATCATGATCTCAACTAATCAGGGATTAGTGGGATCGTAGGCAGAATGCCACTTCGAGTATAGGGGTTAACCAGAATATTTGTATTGTTGAACTTGAGTTAATCATGAATTTGCTTATATAAATAAACATCAATAATAATTATATACAGCAAAGCAGTGAGCTGTAATCAACTAGAGGAAAACATTTGTAGAATCAATGTTTGTCGTTCTTTATAAGTTTGATAATTAGGGCTCATGCGAGAAATAACAGTTTTGAATGGGAATTGCTCCGATCTAAAGTCTTTAATTATTCAAGCATATACAAATCAGAGGCAAGGAGAGTTGAAGCTAGATTACTGTGTTTCAAATAATAGATTTCCTGGTGAGCCATAATTAAACCATGTAACGTAAAACAGAATGCCAAAGAATGAAAAAGAAAGATATAATCTTCTAGAGGAAATAAAGACCAATTAGAGCTAAGCTGAAAGATTGTACAGCCGTTTGTTCACTTTCACTAACTTTCAAACAAAAATTGAGCTAATTAGAGATGCAGCTCTTTTGATAAATCGAGCAAAGAGCAGCGCGAAAGCGAATTTTGGATTTGGTAAGTGTGTTCTTTACTAAGGGGATTTTCGCCCCTACCAACGATCTAGAGCTCGTGTCTTATCACTACGGAAGGAAATCAATCAACGGCGCTGGAAATATAGTTAAATCGAAAAGATGGGTGAAGAATACAAGGAGGATAGGACGTGTATGTTTCAAAGCCTTGATGAGCTTAATTAGAATACTTAAATATCATAGTTTATAATATCGAAATTATTATCATTATGCTATGAAAAGAGAATGGAAAGAATGAAGCAATTGAGCGGGTCTAATCAGATGAGTGCTGCTGCTGCTTCTTGTTCTTCTTCCCTTCTTTCGCTGATTTGGCCGAGGAGTCGCCTGAGCCCGCGTTCTGCTTACTTTCTTTCTTGGCGCGCTCCTCTTCGTTGACGCGCTCGTAAAAAAGAATGTAGGCCGACTCCAGGTTGCCTCGTCCGGCGCTGGAATCAGTCAGACCGAAGAAAGTCTCCAACTCCGCTTGCGGCAGAAAGTCCACTAAGAATCAGTTTACCCGATTGGATCAAAGTTTAACGCATACCTTCTTCATCGTCGAACACCAGCCACTGATCGTGGTTAGGATGAGCCCTCACGAGCGTTATGTAATGACCTCGATTGATTTCTTTTCCACAATGTACAACAACGGCGTTAAGCTCGTACAAAATAGTACTTCCGTCATCTTTCGAGTATTTTGAAGAAGGAATGCGTAATTGTCTAGAAAAAACAACCCTAAAGAAGTCGGATCAGTTTCAATGCAATCCAAAGAGTCTACCTATAACTCAGTTTTGTCATATGGCTGCGTGCTCCGTCCTCGAAGCGGAATCGTTTGAGGTGCAGGGCAAGAACTTTCGGAAAGCTTCGGATTTCCAAACTTTTGTGTGCTTCTTGCTTTGAACAACACACCTCACAGTAATATTTGTGTTCACCTTTTAGTGTTTCTGAAGCTGCGTTAGTGGGCCAATCAACGTTTCCGTTATGCTTACCTGTGGCACTGAAACTTTTAAGGCAGTGATTAATAGATGTATTGGGCTCAATGTCGACGGATAAATCAAGAAATCGCTCATCCTTTTGATTCACAGATTCGCAACGTAGACATCTTGTCACATTAGTCATCACTCCCTAGAATAGATGTCAATTTATTCGAAATATTAGATAAACCACCAACATACATTATATAAATATTTATATGAAATGCACCTCAAAGAGCTCGTGGACCCAAGTTTCTTGATAGTCGCAATGGGAGTTATGCTGATGCGCGTTGTCGGATTGTGCGTGGCTCACTTTGTGGGTGCGAACGATCTCATCCCTAAGCGTATCGCCTATGTGATTGAGAAGAAAATTGAGGAATTCTTGAGCATCGTGTTGGAGTACATTGTCGAAGGCATCATTCTCTTTCTTGAGCATATGAACGAACTTTGTCGGCTTAATCGGCTGCCTCTTCTTTTTTGCAGAGAGCTGATTAAAGAGATCCGCCAGGCACCAAATCAGAGAGCCATCTGTCTTCTTAGACTGCTTCCGATACTCCAGCACTCGTTCTCTGAAGGGCTCGCAGAAATATAAGGCCTAATAATTCAGTAATTTGAGATTAATGAGGACGATTTACCTGTAGAACAGAATTGCAGTAGCATGTGTTTCCGAAGTTGATGAGTCCGTGGTGATGAGTGGCATCGATTTTCGGCGTCTCAGGGTCCTGGTCTGGTGGAAAAAACTTCCCCCACAGACCCCGGATCATTTAGCCTAATCCGATAAAATAAATTCTGAAAACAATCTTTCATTTGACTTCAGGAAGTCACTTTTTCAAATAATTTTGAACGAAAGGCATAAAAGCTAAAGAATATTAGAAATCTCACATTTGAACATCCAAAGGGAAAATAAATCAGGGGGATGAGGGACAGAGACACTGGCTCTAAAACGACCAGCATCTAAGAATTAAGATGATTGAGCTTTTAGCGCCATAGTCTAGGCTGAAGATAAGTACGAAATGAAAGTGTTTATCCTTGATTAATTCATGCGTAATGTGGTAATTGGCGAGCGTAAGCCGCAATAATATTTAAAGTTACAATATAAATGAATGTCAACTTAAGCAGTTTCGATTACTAAGAAATCGTGGGAGAAAATGCGTATGTTGACGTCATGATAATAGTGTTGGTTCGGTTATGTTTCAGGAAGAATTGCGGAACATGTTTGAACTAGGGAACTGGGATGCTAACCAAGAACATGAAGAGGATATTAGTAGAAAGCCCCTCCCAGAATAGGTGAAGGAAAGAAGGTTTGAATTTGAAGATAAAGAACTGTACATAAACGAGGTCTGAATTCGACTTCGACGGGGCGTAGTGTTCATTTCTATGCTTTCCGTTTGAGCTGATAGACCTAGTTTACATGACTATATATTACAAGCTATGCTCGAGAATGAATGATATTTTACACATTAAAATATAGCAGTTAAAAACTGCTCTTTGGAATTTCCTGAAGCGAATCAGTGGACAGCTACGGCAATCAACCTTCCATTCCGAACTGTTCTGTGAATTCTTGTAATTTTTCCAGGTCCTCGTCATTAACTTAAATTATTCAAATATATTTTTGAAAACCCAACAAGAAAATACCTGCTGGCCTCGAGTTTCTGAGGGACTTTTCCATGTCTCTCATGTCAACTTTTGGCTCAAGAAGTTTATCGCCAGGTACCTGAAGCCAAGACATTTCTTGGGCAGCTGGGTCTGCAGGACTAAAAAATACAATGAGAAAGCATATTTATGGTCAAGATCGATAGTAAATGAACACTTGTGCTGGCCTTTGTTTGCAGAATGCCAAGTTGTAAAAACAGCTTAGGATGGAGATCATTTTCTTGTAAACAAAAAAGTGAAAAATGGTATTTCGCGAGTTGAGCAAAATTGTTTCTTGCACATATTCTTTTAAAAGCACCAACTTACGAGCAGGGCGTGAGTAGATCATTGACGATTTTGCTTGGATCGTTGGGTGAAGGTCCGGTTACTTGTTTGAAATGAGTAGCTTGCTGAACTTTCCGAACGGGCTCCATGAGAGCATCTCGAACGGCGATGCCGATATCGGCTCCTGAGTATCGTTCAGTTTCGTGGCCCAGTTTTGTGAAGTCTGCATCAGTGAGGCAGTGGCAATCATCAGTGCCAAGATGGAGCTTGAAGAGAGCAGTTCTAGCTGGCGCCTCCGGTAGAGGAATGTAGATTCGTCGCTCGAAACGTCGTCTAATAGCACTGTCGAGCACCCATGGAATGTTGGTAGCGCCGAGGACTAGAAAACTCTACAATCATCTCTGGAAAAGGTGTCGAACCTAGAACGCCGTCGTTATCGACGCCGACTCCTTGCATCTGAACCAAGAACTCGGTTTTTATTCTGCGTGCCGCTTCAGACTCATTGTCGCTTCTAGAGGATACTAGAGAGTCGATTTCATCGATAAATATGATAGACGGTTTTTTCTCACGAGCCATTTGAAATAAACTCTTTGAGAGGATTGCGAATAATTCTACGGCGATACGGGTATCGCGAAATAATTAAATTCTTATTCGAGCGCTGCGTCACATTCATTAAACCGGTTCGATAAACTCGCAAGTGATAACACTAATAGTCACCGTTGCATTTCAATCCCCTTCCTTGACAAGCTTCTCAGACTCTCCGAGCCATTTCGATACTAAATCGGAGGAGGAGATTGAAAGAAACGTCGAGTTGTCAGCTTCGGTGGCGACTGCTTTGGCAAGGTATGATTTTCCAGTTCCGGGAGGTCCAAAAAGCAAAATACCTCGCCAGGGTTTTCGCTTTCCGGTGAAGAGATGGGGGAATTTCGTGGGCTAAAAGATGCACTGTCACGAGAAAGTTAATATTCTCAAACTTACAAGGATAACAGCTTCTTTGAGTGCCTCTTTAGCTTGCTCAAGGCCAGCAACATCGGACCATTTAACGTTAGGCTTCTCGACAACGATCGCACCCGCCAACTGCTCGTTGAATTTGTCCTTTTCTTTATCTTCCTTATCCGCGGAGCCACCGCCTCCAGAAGTCGCTTTCTGCGGTTTCTGCTGAGATGGGTCTTGTTCGTTGTTCACGATCTTCTTCAGCTTTTCTGCACGGGCCAAGTACTAAAGTCAAGAAATTTACGAAGCAAGTATTAAAAGTAACAACCTCTTCACACTTGGCACGTATCGTTTGCTTTGCTTTTTCAGACTGGGCTTCATATTTGATCGCATGAAGAAAGTGCTCCACGCCGTTTTGATAAAGCTACATTAATAAGATTGATTTTATCGAGAAAAATGAGCACTACCTGAAATGCTTTCTGGTAATTGCCCGCAGTATCCTCTTCCGTGGCCTTGGTAACAATTTCGATTGCTTTTTGTAACATCGTCATTTTCGATTAATGCCCGAGTTCTAATCCTAGAGCATGAGTAGTATTTTTCTCGACGCAACAAATTCAGGAATAGATTTTATTATTCAAAATTTAAGGGGGGGGTCGACGAGAATCGGGATTTTTTCAACCAAAATTCCGGAAAAACCCGCTTTGATAGAAAAATTCTGATTGGTCAGGTGGCTAGAAATGCCTTTGAAAAATACAGCGGCGAAAACTAGAAAAAAATTTTTTTTGAAAAAAATTTGGGAAAATCGCGTCAAAGTGGGGTCGTCTTTCAACCAAAAAATAGCGAAACCCTTATTTTTTTTTCTTTCTTAAATATAAAATATAAACAGTTCAGGGTCTTAAAAATACAGCGGCGACTGAGTTAATAAATATTAATCAACTAGAAAAAATTTGCTTATTGACTGAAAAAAGTAATGATTTCTCGCTCGGCGCGTGACTCGCGCCGTCGCTGCATTTCTATCCGAGCTGCGCTCAAAATGATCGACGACGGTTTGGAAGATTTTCTTTGGCTCTTGGTCCATGTTTTGTGTCGTTTTGTGTCGTTTTGTGTCGGTTTGTCTGTAGTTGTGTCTATATAGAGCGGGTATCGCAGTTTTATTTTTACTTTTCAAAATGGGAAATAAGCATAATACAAGAAATAAAAGAAATTCAAGAAGAAAATCGGGTTTGAAAAGAAAGCCAAAAACAGAGAATAAAACATCGGAGGAAAGAATTCCTTCCCAGAGATCCGAAAAATCAGAAAATTCAAAATCAAGCCAGGATTCCACGGACTTCAGAAGTCCTTCTTACACCTATGTTGAACAAGTAAGCGCCATGGTAGAAATTCAATTTTGAGCATGCATTCTAATCTGAAAGAAAAGCACAATCGCTTTCAAGCGAGAAATATATAATTTTCCAGAAGAAGAGCTATTCGAGTTGACAATTTCTTTCGTTTTCTTGTCTAACAGATTTACTCATTTCAAAATAAGATGATTTGTGAATGATGAATAAGGAAAATGAAAAACTATAATCGACCGCTTACAGAATTCATTCTTTACGATCTTTAGGAATCCAACTTTCTTCAAAACATGGAGTGTTTCACTGGAGTTATGAATGCAGTTTTTGAGCATGGAGCGTCCTGCCGTGTGAATGTCAACGACCGATGATTGAAGTATAGGAATGGTCGATTATTGTGTCATTTTTATAATGCTTATTGGAGTAGTTCTCTTTCTTATTTTGCTGATTGTAAAATCTTAGAAGCTTTCTTTAGCGCTCTAAAAATCAATTAAAAGTTTTCGAACAGGCTTCGATCTAAGGGTTAGATGCTCTTCAACTTCTTTCGTTCGCCGCATTTTTTGGGTTGATTGCAATTGCGGCTGGTCTTTCAAATATGAAAACATACGAGAACAATTCAATAAAATGGTTCTCGCGGCACTAAAAACCAGCGGTATTGGTTTCACAAATTTCGCTAGGTAGAAAGAATAGACATTTATGATTTTATTACTGTAAATATTATAAATTAGATTTTCCGATTTCATCAACTTCGGCGTTTTGAAACAAAATGGTGCTTATGAAGACATCAATTTCAAGTCCAAAAAGATGACTTTGATGCATGATTCCGTCAACAAAGTCATCATAAAATTGGGCGAAGAAAATATGCGTGATGCTCGATCGAAATTTGCGGATAAAATCAAAGCTGGCGTAGAGGTTGAATTTATGGGAGATGGATTCTATTTAGAGTTTCAAATTCGATTCCCATTTTGACAATTTCGCTGGTGTATTCTTGGCAAACAGAAAGCTTCTTATCAAAGCCGCCAGTTTTCGAGTGATACAGTCTTTTTCTTTCAACAAATTTGAAACTTGTGAAGCCTAACCGAGGGCATCATTCAACGGGTTGTCTTTTCACTCTTATGGGAAAATTGCCCGGTGAATCTCCTCTCATATGTGGACAGACAGAGTTGCTAAATACTAAGTATCTTGTTGGAGCCGAATTCGTAGAAACTGCTGATTGCCAGTTCTCGTTTGTATTTCACCACTTTTTCTTCCGAGTAAAGAGCGCAAGAATATTTATTGAGCAACTCTTGCCAAGACTGTTCAAAAGCGCCCGCAATCCAAAAATACGAATTTTGAAAATGCGCTGGGGCATATTGCTGATACAACAGCTGCAAAACTTGAAGGCATAGCCTTTTCAAGGATCGCAAGCACCATTCTCCGACCCCTTGCCAATATTGCTCCTACTCCGCTGAAAATCGCCTTGGACGGCGATGTGAAATTCCGACTTCCTTGGAAGTATGGTGAATTTGATGAGCTTCCCATTGGAAAAAAAATCGGAGACTCGATTGTTTCGGCCGATAAAATTACATTGCAGCGCGATAAAGGTTTATTTTTCTAAGCCCCGTAGGGAAGTTTTTTTGGGATTTGTTTCTCGAAAAAGCTTCTCTACGGGGCTTTTTTGCGTTCAATGAAAAATAAACTGATTAATACTAGCGCATCTTGGAAAAAACTTCTTCAACGGTGCAAAAATCATCTGTGGAGCTTCCAAACTATTTGGCGCAACTGTATTCGGGCATGACGCCATGTACAAATTTTGTAACGGGTTAGTAAGGATTTTGCTGGTATTTTGACCCCTGAACTTGGGACTAAACTAATTTTTGGAAGTGAATTTTTGAATTACCAATAAGATTGCTGTATTTGGCCTACTCGCCAATCAAAACCCTTTCCATAAAAATCCGTTCCAAAAATTGGTTCTACCTTGAACTTGCTGGATAAAATAAAATTCAGTGGACAATATATTGTCAAAAAAGTTCTGAAAGAACTGTATTTTGATCCGACTTCCAATGATGTTGAAGGGATCAAGAAGAAATTCAACACTTTTTGGAAACATTGCATTGGAGATCATAGCGAATGCATTCGCGACTCTTATTGCGAGGAGAACGAGCCCATCTTGAATATCAGCGGAGGAAAGTTTGAATTTCTTTAGAAGAATGCCCCTTGGTGATCATGTCTTGATTATTTTTTGATCAAGCACATGATTACCAAGGGGCTTTTTTGCGTTATTATGAAATAAAACTTTGTAAAGTCCAAAAAAAATATTGGAAACAAGATGTTTTCAAGAATTTTATTTCGACGATGAATAGCAAGTACTTCGCGAACGATCAATGGTTGGGGACTCTGATAAACGTTGGAATTACAAGCTTCGTTGAAAGTTATCATAGCTTGTTGATATCTCGGTCACTTATTGACAAATGTAATTTTCATTTTATCGATGTTTTATGATAATTTATTTTTAGCGAAAGCTATTCCATTCATGACCCTGACAACAGAAGCTCAATGTGCCATTGGCACATTGATCTACAATACATCGGAGTCCGAAACTTTCGAAGCGATTGCTACAAGATTGGACTTCGTAATGAGCGAGAGAGGATTGAAGCGAGCAGCAAAAAATGCAGTGAAGAAAAAGATTGAAAGGAAGAAAGGTCATAAAAAGAAACAAGAAGAAAAAGCTCGTCGCAAGAAAAATCTCGGCTGTTTCCAAGGAACGCAAAAAGAAAAGAAAGAAGGAGCTGTATATGTTTCGTCAAAAGATGTCTCATCCGAGCTGAAAAAAGACCTGCTAAATGCAGCAAAGAAGAATTCAAAAAATGACCAGAAAAAGTAAATTTTGTGATGATTTTCTTTCTTTCTCTTTCTTCGCGCGATCTAACTCGAGTTCATCTTCTTTCACGCTTTGATTTGTGCCACAATCTCCAACTGCTCCTGTCGTCGATTACTACAAGCAGCAAGGAAAGCTCTACGAAATCGAACGATCCGTCGCCGAGTCCTCCTCTGATTAGGTTTTCGCCAAAGTCTGTCTTCTTTTCGACAAGTTGTAAAAAGGAAAATGCACTGTATTTTCAATTACAAATGCTAGATTTACTAATAAACTTATTTCCGGTCTAAAACGTGTTTTCATGAAATGTTTCTTGCATTTGAAAAGAATTCGAAAGTCAATTTTTCATTTTGAAAGAGCTATACTTGAATGGTGCGCGCGCCATCTTTGAATGAAAATTTTACATTATCAAGTTTACATAATGGAAAAAACCTAGAGACCAAAAATGTTTCTCATCTATCGAGGAATCCAAAAAAAGTATCAAAAATTTGAAAAAGCGAAAAAATTTTTTTCGTCGACCCCCCCCTTAAGTTCAGGCGTGGAAAATAAAAGAATATTTGAATGAGTGAAATATAAATTCGTATTTTTTAAGTTAGATAGTTGCATAGAAAAGTTGAAAACTTCTGGAAGAAGGCAAAAGGCAACAACGGCGAGAGTTAAGAGAAAGGTAAAGTACTAGAATACAACAGGCACAATAGAATGTCGAAATTAGTAAAATGTTTTCGTATTTGCACAGGACTGAAGGGACAGCTAGAAGAGTAAAAATTAAGAATTAAGATGGATAGGATCATTTTAGCGTAACTGCTTCGATAAGGAAGAAATTGAATGGAATTGAGGGTTGAAGTGATTCGATTCAGCAATGAAATGTGCTTTAAATGTAAAACGGCTCAGCAGAGGTGCTGCTTTTAGCAACACTGGAGTGGTTGTAGTCAGCCGGAGGAGGAGGGGGAGCAGGACTGCCGGAAGAGCTCCGCGGCGGGGGTGGAAGCGCGCGCTCAGGCACCGTCAATGGCTCTTCAACCTTCTCTTCTAGTCGCAGCGTGGCGAGTTTCTTTTCGTTCTGCGAATTCTCGCTATTCGAAAACTACGGAACCAAATCATTAGAGACAGTTCGATGACTAATAAGCGCAATATTTGCACTCTGAGGGTCACTTACCTGGCCTGTTTGGACTCGTCTGTGCTGTTCCGCATGGTTTTTCGAGTAGCTAGTAGGCGCCCATCGACGAGCATTGTCAAGTCGACTGGGAGTTCTGAATAACTTCGTCAGCCAAAGGAATTCAAAAATCAAACCATACCTTTTGGGCAAATTTCGAACTGGAGGAGTGACTGTTGTCTTCGAACCCACCACAACAAAGGTCGTTCCATATGTGTCCGTCGAAGAACTCATGATTGTTTCTGAATGGATAAACTTGTTAATACAAAGACCATCAGATCAAATATCAGCCATTTTTTATCAGTTTAATGTTAATTCAATTGAAATTCAATAAAAAAAGAATCAAAAGATTTGGAATTGAATTTGATACGATGGGTCGCATATTTTTTTTGAAAACAGGCAGTGTAGAGTTTAGATGTAACGTCCCTCTTGGCGCTTTTTATCTCGCCTCTCAAGGTATCTTTGACGGAAAGGGGCCAAGGTCTCTTCCGTGTGTTTTGTTCGATAAATATCAAGACTTCTTTCTTTTTTCTTTTTCAGCCTTAACACTGTCTTAGAATTGAAAACTCAATGAAAAGCCCTACCTCTGCTTAAATTCAACGAGAGTTTCACTTTTCCTTCTTCCGGCGTATTCGTCGCCCTCTAGCTTGACATCAAGGTCGGTTTTAACATCAGCTTCGCTTTGTTCATTCTTGACGTCAGGCTTTTCTTCATCTTCTGATAGAAAGTCAGAATCAGCATCTTGATTATTCTCGTGTTTGACGGGAGACGCAGCAGCGTTATTTGAATTTTCGCTGAAAGGAAAAAAGTAATCACTCGCTGACTCAGAGTCTGCTATCTCCTAGAGCAGCAGCAAAGCCGATTGATCTAATGAAATTGACTTTTTAATAACTCACACTTTGATAGACTCGTCGTTGACTTCTTCCTTGACTTCGGGCTTGTCTCGTTCAAGCCTTTCGACGACCGGCTCATCGTCGTCGGTGTTTTCTTCTTCAGACTCTTCCTCTTTTTTCTTTTGTCGAATGTTTCTGTTGTTGACTTGTCTATTCAGGAAGTGTCTAAAGGCTCCCTTACTAATCTGAATCCATAGAAAAGGAAATTACTTGTAGAAACCGGACATGTCTTTCTGCTTTGTCACGTCCATGATTTCTTCGATCTTATCCATCCTCGCCTCTTCTTCTTCCGCTTCCTTCATCTCCTTCAACTTTTCACGGTATGCATTGGTTATGAATTGCTCTAAAATTGATCAAATCAACTCATCAGATATCTTATCTACCTTTATCTGCGAACTCGTCTTTTTCCTCGGCTCGTTCTTTATGAGCCTTTCGTTCTTCACGTCTTGCTCGCAGCAATTCCCGTTTTTGGTACGTTTTCATAACACTCTCCATGTACTTTGACTTGCGATTCTTCGGATCGTTCTTGCTTTTACTTTTTTATCGGATGGTCACTGTAACAATTTAGACTGAAAGCAATCAAGCTTTTCACCCATTCCTTTGCTCTTCTTTCTCTGCTTTCATATCGTCGTAAACTGCGTCGTACTCATACACAGTTGCATCTTCTTCAAGGGCGCGTTGCACATCTAACTTAATATTAGATTACGAATTCAGTCCTTGTTGAATGGAGATATCCTGCGGCGAAACTAGCTGCCACAAAAAAGAAATGCTTGCATTTGATAAAAACCAATTACCAAGAAGCGAATCTCGGGATCACGTTATAGTTGGGATAATTGAGTCTAAAAGAGATAAAGAGTCAAAGTGATTATCGAACAATTGGATTTTCGTCTTTAAAACGCCCGAGCCCGGAGATAAACGCAGTTTTAGCGATTGATTATGGAATCGAATACTCTGAAAGGTTTTCTCGATATTTTTTAACTAAAAAGAGATGAAGAGAAATCCAAGCTAAGATGATGTACATGAGCATACTAGGGCCGTATCTTCAGTCACAGCCTTATGATTCACTTTCCCCAACGGACAAAAAAATTCTTGGTTTATTTTTCTCCAGTCCCATCGCAACTTACGCCAGAGTTTAGGGCAAATTCAACATCTTTCTGCCGGCAATTCAGTGTTCACCAATCGTTCTAATCGACCTCCTTTCATTGTCAAACGAAAGGTACTTATTAATTGTTCTTTTAAAGAGCTTCAATATGATAAGTTCACAACTGGCGCTGAAGATGAGTGCAACGATAAATGCGAAATTGTTGTAATGCGAGGAATTTGCAGTGCTACTTCACTTTGCGAAGGGTAAGGCGCATTCTAACGCCCTAAAAGATACTCCAGGTAGGGTCGATTTCGCTGAGGAAGACGCGTCCTGCGAGGGTTTCTCTGGTCGGCTCTGCTTCAAGGTTATCAACTTGAATGTCTCTGTGTTTGTAAAACTTGTTTTTAGTACGAAAGAAAGTGCATCACTCCCTGTCTGGAGAAAACAGATGATTGAGGCTAATCTTCGAATGAGCGTTTCCTTTTGTTTTTGCATGAGCGCGAGTGAATAAATGTAAAAGTCACCAATTACCTGAGTCTGCTTATTCATTTTCTTCTTTGCCGATACTTTGAGCAAGTCCTTTTCGATTGCCGCTTTTGTGTTCTCGTCGGAGTCATCATCATCGAAAAACGACAACTTTGACTTTTGTAGCGCGGGCTTGGACTCTTTCTTCTTTAGGATCAACCCGTATTGTTTACCCATGCTATGATGATTTCTAGCAAATGTAAATGAATTAATAAGATGAATTAATGAGTTTTGACAATTAACGAGTAGAAGATATTTATGGAAGGGAAACGGGCATGTTGCTGAGAATCGAGCAACTCGATAAAGGATCGGCTGCTTTGGTAGGTAATTGAGGATTATAGATACTTTACGAAATGAAGAAATTGTAGACATGAAATTCAGAGGCGGGGAGGCCTATACACATCCCTTGGGCATTTTGTATTACACTAGTGCGAATAGTTTTATATGCAGTAAACGAATGAAGAAGCATGCACGCGAGGAAAAGAAAATAATCATGCGTATTTACTGCAGAAGAGAAGTTGGAGTGGTTTGAAGCAAAGATAATATTTGGATCTTTTAATTGGTGTGCGTCGGCTTATTTGAAAAACTAGCATTCGAGAAGGTCCTTCTTTGGTTCTTCTTTGAAGTTTGATAGGTAGTTCTCTGCTTCGGATAGGTCTTGAGGCTGTGCCTTAAAAATACATGATGACAGTTACAAGATTGCTTTTAATTACGGAAAAATCTTGGAGTAGATCATCAGTGAAGATTGAATCCTCGTCCCTCTTTATTAGGTCGAACATGCTTGGTTTTCCTAGAAAATCGGAAATCAACTTTTGATTTTCACTCTGATTATCGAAGCATTCGCCGGAGATGTCGAGCAGCTGCATGTCGTCTTAAGAAAATGTTTCAGAACTGTTATGTATAAGTCGGATACCTTTATTTTGCTGCTCGGTTTCATTGGCAGAGTTATTTTTCGTCTCGTGGGCCTGGAGATCATCTAGAGCACACTCTTTCTTCAAGTCGTTATCAACTGTTTTCAGCTCTTTTAGTATTTTGTAGTCGTAGTCGCTCAAAGAATATGATTTGATATTCATGCTTGCGTCGCTCAATGACGAGGATACCTTATCAAAAATAAAAAAACCACTCGATTTCATGAATCAAAAGCTTGCCTTTCTGGAAAGGGAGGCGGTCTTTCTGTACAGCGGCGCCATAGCATTTGATAGAAGAGAGGCACGCGAGACGCGCAGTAAATCAATCTTCGTCTAAAAGAAGCAACATAACATAACCTATAGCACATTATTCACTGACCTGGATTGACCACTTCATCTGGTCAAATTTATCTTTCGAGGACTTTACTTGAAGTTGCACTCGTCTAAACTTCTCGACCTGGCTGAGGTTGTCAGGATCTACCGATGTGGCGCGCAACCAAGAAAGAGCAGCTCGATAATCAGTGCGCGCTTCCTCCATTTCTTTTATTTGTTCTTTTAGCTCTCCTATACCCTTGAGATAGAAGGTCGAATAATCTCTCTGAACACGATCTGAGCAATCTTTCCCAAGGATTTTATTTTGCGCTCTCAATGGAACGTCCTGCTTGAATTCGATAAAAATCCAGTCCTTTGACTGTGTTCCAGTAATTTCCCGAGGCACTGAATCCTTCTGCAGTTGCACTCAAAGCCTGAATGATCGGATCTCCATCGACATTGTAGTTTTCTTGAATGAATTTGACGACGTACGTGTCTTGGCAGCAGAGCGCTCTCGTCGAAACATGAATGGTTCTTGAAGCCAGCCGTAGGGAGCGCATCGAGTCGTCGATGTCTTTGTACATTGAAAGCTTGGCATCGATCTCCGTATCGCCTTAATGAATGAGTATATGATATACTGTATATCCGATTCCAATGGCGCTTACTTTTGACAATGGACGGGTCTTCTTTCTTCCCAAATTTTCGCTCGACTGTTTTTTGGAGTTGTCGAAATCCTAACTCGAGTTTGTTCGCCTGCGATAACGGAGTTGGATTAGTAATAAGATGAAAATTCGACATTTGAGCACTCTCTGAAGAAGCCTTTCTGTTAGTGAATCCATCTTCGTGACTGTTTAGAAACTTGTCTTTTATTTACTAGTACATGAAGGTACGTAATATCGAATTCAACTGAATGGAAATAGTAAACCACGCGTTCGTGCTCGATTTCAGACAAGAAGTGTTTTCAGAATGTTTTGACGTTTATTTTCTGTATGGACATAACTTTGGCGGGGAGTTGCTTTTCAGAATAGTTAATTGCTTCTTTTTTATCGCTCATAGTAGCTTCCGAAATTTGGTTCGTAGTTTCGATGAGGCAATATCCATCGGAAAAAAGTAGCTTTGCATTGTAAGTGAGTTGTTTGTTCATCAAAATAGTTAACGCAGATAAAATATGCAGAATAGACTATTCTGAATAGTGTTTATTTATGATAAATCTGGAAAGTAGACTGGAGAGTCCTCAATCTTGCTAGAAAAATGAAAATCGGGAAAAGAAGTAATTGAAAGTAGATAGAAATGGATCGGTTAGATTCAGGTAGCATGGCCAGAATAGAAAAGCATGCGACAATAAGAGAAGCATGAATGTGTCACACAATGAAGCACGAACAAAATAACAGGAATAGAACGCGAAAGAGAATAAGATTCAAAAATGGCCGCAAGAATCGCGAAGTCAAAAAAAAGTACGAGACAATGAATCGTGTTCATATTACTGTCAGCAGGAAAGTGAGATAAAAATCGATAATTCTGACAAGGCAAGGATCGTTAGCCAGCACTTTGCCTCGAATATACAAGCCGCAATTCCAACAATCAAAAATGGGGGCAAGATATCGTCATTCAATAAATCAAATATTACTTGTCCTACAATTCTTATGCATAAACGGTTGTGCTTCTGAGTAAATGGCAACTGCTTTTTTCTTGTCCTGTCAGAGGCATTATCAAAAGTTCGAGATAAATGAATCGGAGTCACATTTTTGGTAGATTGTCATTTTCATTTGTTATTAGTTTCTGTGACTGCACCAGTGCTGTTTTTAGTCATGGAATCGATATGAATTTAAATACTTAACGAGATAAAGAAAATAAAGGTAAATGTCGACATAAAGAAGTAAATAATTAGAGAAGAACGCTTATATAGGGCAGATAATACGACGATTTCATTTTGTTTATTTCGAACCGGTGTTAGGCTTTGAACAATAAAGGAACATATTGTATCGACAATATTAAATATTAAACTTGAACTTAACTTTCTTCGGATCGAGAAATGAAGATGGTGGGTCGCTACGATTGACTTTGGGATAATGAGTAAATAAGGTGAACGTCCCATCACACTTGATAAATGTTTAACGAGTGAAAAGAAAGGGGAAAGTGTGGGCGACTTCTTTCGGCTAAGGTGATTTAGGGGATGAACTGGACGTGAACTATAAGGCAAATAGACTTGTAAGAATTAGTAAAAGGTAAAATAAGTAATCTCGCCACGCGACGGTAGAACACGTGTATTTAATCTTTTTGGCTAGACCTAAAATTGTGATTGAGTGACTCCAGTTAAGATGCTTGTTGATCGAAGTGGCTTCAGCAGTTTGGTTGCGACGAGGACTCGTAGGTAGCTGCCGCGGCAACTTGCGACGAGAGCATTTCTAACTTGCCAAGAACAGGATTATCGCGGCTGAAGCACTCTTTAGACATTGATCACGGTAATAAGGACTCACTGGAATCCCTTCGTTGTATTGTCAGGTGGTCCGCGGGGATTCCTCAATATTCCAGATTCAACAGGACTGGAAGAATACCCCCAATCAGTAGAGTTGGTCTTGTTCTGTCTAATTCCAATGTTTTTCGGCTTAAAATCGGTGAGCCAGACGGAGAGCCCAGCGGCGAGTCATCTGAGCCAATTATCAAATATTTGACTTTATGTCTGAACTTACTCTGGGCTGCAAGAAAGTCTTGGCGTCGACGGAACCAGGGAGATTTTTGAGCGGGCTCATCATTGTTATTATTCTAAAAGAAAAATAAATCTAAGAAAGCAAGTCTGATGAGCAGCTATTAATCTAATCACCGATTATAATGCGACAATACTACGCGCAGTGGTAAGTATTTCTTTACTATTACACCGAGCTTGAAAGAGTTTAATGAAATTTGCGAATTCGAAATTGATAAATTTTGAATTCCGATCTGATCTCCTGACATCAGATTAATTGTACACCGCTGGAGTGTACTTACGAAAGAATTGCCCGACTGTGATCCGATCGGATATGAACTTGGGGCTTGGAATGGGTCGAGATGCTCTCCCAAAGTGTTTGGAGATTCCATGGGATTGTGAGGGATGATAGGAGGCGAGGGAGTATCTGTCGGGAAAAGAGGAGGAGGAGAGGGTGAATGATGCCGAGGCTGATGATGGATCTCATGCGCTTTCTCAGCACTCGAACTCGAAGGAGAGTTATTCGAATAAAGAGAGAAGATATTCGGGTTGGAGAATGATTTTGTCAAGTGAGAGGTAAAATCGAAAAGGTTGCTTTGGTGGTGGTGAAAGTGAGAGTTCGATCCGCTTCGGAGATGTTGATCATTGACTTGCTCGCCAGCGGACTCTTTTCGTATTCGATGGAATGGCGAGTAATCATTTTGTAAAAAGTCCGTTCGCGATGAGAATGATTGATTGTGCGAGTGGTTGCTAAAGTAGTGCGGGATGGCGGAGTTTGACGTGCTCTGCGAGTTTAGCGGGTTAGGACTATTGCGTGGCTGTGGGTGCGGCGTGTAATCACTCACCCGCCCAAGTATATTCGAATTGGACTGGCTCCGCGTCATATTGCAATATGACTGTGGCTGGGTGTGATTGTTAAAGAACCCTCGCTCATGTAAGGAAGGTGGCTCGAACCTCTGATTAGCGCGTGTGTGCCCGATCAGTCGCCCTGCATCTCTAGACCCATGCGAAGTATCTGTCAGACTGCGAGACAATGGAGATTGCGAGTGGGACAGCTCAGTATTCACATGGTGCGAATCCGAGTATGTGTCATTGGACCAGACTTCTATCGACTTATTGAAAATATCGTCAACTTTAGATTTGCCCGGATTCAGCTTCTCAAAGGACGTCGCTCCTTGAAGGCCATAGGAGCCGGGCTGCACACTAACCTTTCCAAGCAAGTTTGGGACGACAAGGGGCGATGGGGGTGTCGCCTTCGCATAATGATCATTTGGGGAGGTGATCTGAAAAAGAAAGTAAATCAAGCATCTTTAACGTTCTGCCGAACCTGTCGTCGACGAGCGAGAGGCGATTGCCCAAGTTTTGAACGATTTCCGATGGCCCATTTATTGTTACCGACGGGGTTGTCCGACACAGACCTCCGCTGGAAATTAGGGCTTGGGTGTCCGCTTGACGAGTGTCGCATAGGAGAGTTGGAGCGTGAGCCGTAAGGAGAGACGAGCGGCGAAGGAGTAAGATATTGACCACTGCGCGCGGCGTTCAGCGGGAACTTTCGACGCACTTCGGGCGAGTTCTCTCGAGAACTTCACAATCATAGTTTAATCGTAGAGTATAGAAACATACCTGACGAAAGGACTCGAGCCGAACTCTTCGGCCGAGTCGTATCCATAGCTTCCACCAAGAAGTTGTCTTTCTTTTGCTTTTTGTTTCTTCTGTTGCCTTCGCGGATTCCTGCCGCTGCCTGTTTTTACCGTTTTCAAGAGCTTAATTACTTTTAAACCAATTTCCATGTACTTATAAACGAGTATCGATTTAGAAAACGAGCCCAAGAGAGAATATTCCCATCCAGTGTTCTCTTCGCGGGCTATCTTTCCAAGCGTCTTGTAAGCATTCTGGCACTCTTCTGTTTTGTCAAACTCAACGACAGCGCAAGTAGACTGCCCGAGTTCAGGGTGTTTTGCAACATGGTTTCGCAAGTCGAGTGGCACCTCCTTTCCAGGGCGGATAAGGCGGACAGTGGAGAGTGAGCCGAATTTTCGAAAGATGAATGAAATCTCAAAGAAGCTCGTTTAGGCTACGTCATGAAAAACAAAATACCTCATCGACGGTCATCATGTCGCCAGTGGGGAGTTTGGCGAGAATAGTTTTGATAGACGTCGTCGGTAAATCGATATGAGGCAGTTGCTCCCTTCGCTTGACTTTATTGCCCGAGTGGTTGAGCTCAAGATTTCTGCTTGACTTGCAGCAGAAAGCCGTTACTCGCCAGTCGGATCTGCAAGGCAATGTTAAACTGAAAAGAGTCTCAACTAACCGAGAAAGATGTTTTAACTTCTTAAAACTGGTGAGAAGCTTGACTGAAACGTATCCTTGCTTGTTGCGTCGCACATGCTTGAGTAGGAATTTATCCTTTACTAAATTCTCGTCCGAAAAGTAGTGATCGAGCAGAGAAACCATCGAAACGACGACATCTTGCGAAGGCTCTACCCACGACGGATCTGCTGCAATAACAGCATCGAAGCTGTGCTCAGGCTAACAACATTATTAAACCCATCGTGTTAGGCCAAACTTACGTTGTCGTCATCTTCTTCCCCGCAAGACGATGGAGGATTGCTGTCAAAGTCTTCTACTCTTAGTTTGAGGATCTAATAACTGTATAATGCAAGCTATTAGGACCAGAACTTACGTCTCTGTTCAGTTCGAATGGCAGATTTTGATTTGTATCGGCATTTTGATTGTCAGGCTCAATGAGCTGTGGTGGTGGGCACAAACTTTTAACTAAGAAAAGGAAATTCAAATTCTCTGGGTTCTTTCTTACCTCCGCAAGTTTCGTCACTTCCACTCATCGATCAGTAAAGAATTTGTTCGAAATAATGGCGTCAATCGAATTTCTGATTCCGATATTTCAACTTTCTAAACTGATCCGCATCTAAGCAGGAGGATAGTTGAGGCGAAAATGTGAATTATTTTTTTGACGGGCGGGACAAAAATATTTGTTTCTTAATAGTTTTTCGCCGCAGAATTTTCCAAAGCAAGAGCAGGGAGTATTTTTGAGGGCATGGTAACACAGAGTGCGAAAATTCATAGCTGTCTGGCAGCTCATTTTGTCAGTCAAAAGTTAAGCTTTTCGTAGTGATGGCAAAACATTTCTAAGGAATAAACGACGATAGCAGATTGTGGCTCTCTTTTATAAAAGACAGACGAAAACATCAGAGAACATGTTTAGAAAGGATACAGTTTGAGGTTGGTAGTTATTTCCCGAGCGTGCTGAACGCGCAAAAATATTCGGCCTATGTGTGAAATAGGTTAACGAGAGAGAAGAAAGGTACGGATATGGAAGAAAGCAGCAAATTACTAAAATGAACTTGTTGATCAAAAGAACTCGTAGCCGTTTTAGGAATTAGGCATCACTCGGTGAAGGAGTGAGCTCTTCTGATTCAAGATAGAGATTCCTGTTTCCAACTCTTTGGACAACGACTAAAATGATTCCTCAAGCACTAATAAGACACATATAATCTACCTATTTGGCCACGCATCAGGTAGGAGAAGACTTCGCCGTCGTCGGTGAAAAAATGAAGCTTGGGCGTGGATCGTTGAGCTTGCATCGGGTCTAAAAGTCGAGAGAAAGAAAAGGGCGACAGTACCTACAGAAAACGCGAGCCATTGTGTTAGCGATGTCTTGGGCATTGTCGAGAGTTCCGTTGGAACTGATGATTGTGCCGTGTTCTAGGTTGCAGATCATCCATCCGACGCACTTTGGGTCTTGCTCGAGAGCGTTTAGCGTCTTATCCATTTACTCGCGAATGAAAAAAAACGAATATATTTTTTTCCTGCTTTCAATCTAGAGGGAAATGATTGATGGTAACGAGCAATTAACAAATAAGCGCAAGTTCAAATTTCGGTGGGAGCATGCTAATGCTTCGAATTATCTTAAGTTCGCACCTTTTCATAGCTTGGTTCATTTCCAAATCACTTCTTAGAATGAAAGATTATCTCTCCAAAAGGAAAAAATGTTTCAGTTATTTAGTCACGTCTCAAAGACTTCGAATAGTTAAATTTTTGCCGCTTATAATTGTCACATATCTGCTTATTCAGCCTTGAAAAGAACAAATATATAATTTTCGATTTTTGTTTTATTGCGAGCTTTCGGAGGGAATGCCCTCCTTCATCAGGCTAGTACAGTTGTTAAGAGAAGCTACAGTAAAATAGGACTCACCGTGACTTGCGAAACTCGCGAGTGATCGGTAAGTGAGGAATTTATGGGAGCGGTGAGAAAGTCTAGAAAAGATATGGAAGTAGAAGTCTAGAAAAGAATTTAATTGCGTATCTGGGGAATTTGATCTAAGGCTCCAGATACGCAATTAACAATGCCTTAGATCAAATGAAGTGGACGAAACGGAAGTCACCTTGCTCGTTAAGTTGAGGTCGGTTTAACTTTATGAGAAATGATTCAGTAAGTTTGCGGTCATTATAATTTGGAAGGTTTGTTTGCAGAATGGAGAAAAACGATTTGGCAAAATCGCCAGGTGAGATAAAGGAAGTAACTTCTGGAGAGTTCACATAGTCTTGGTATGCGTTTTGGAAGTCAGGGCAATTTCGAAGGTGTTGTTTAATTGCAGTTTGACTAGTGGGAAATGTGTGGTCTCGCTTACGTAGGTGAAAGGTACGCATGGTTTCCCCGATGTAAGTGAGCTGACATTTACAGTCGAATTGATAGCAAATCCCGGATTTTTTGTTGATATCGAGCTTTCTTTTTAGACGAGATGTGATAATTTGTCCTAGGCGCAAGGTTTTGAAAGCAAGACATACTTTATATGCTGGCGTGATTTTACGGATGAAATTAACAATCTTTTTACCTATTTTATTGACTCGTTGTGAAGTGAAATCTAGGGTTAAGTAGAAGCGGTGGGTAATATTTGGGTCTTTCTCAAGAGGGGTGAAATTAGAATCTTTAATAGATTTAATTTTAGATTTGACAAGTTTTATAGGGTAGTTATTTTTAACAAATTTGTCAGTAAGTTTAGATAGGGCGTTATTAAGGTTAGCAGGAGTGGAACAGGTGTTATTTACTCGAAATATTTCGCCTGAAAGAAGTCCAAGCTTTTGGGAGATCGGGCTAACGGATTCGTTAAAATTATTAAGGGTGTCACTAGAAGTGGGTTTCTGGTAGAATTTAAGTTCATATTTATGGGTTTTCGGGTCCAGGTAAATGGTAGTATCTAGAAAGGGAAGGCTATCATTTTGAGCGTGTTCTATGGTGAAATTAAGGTCTTTGTCCCAATTGTTGAGTAGGTGGTTGATTCGGGGGAGCTCATTTTTGTCAAGTACGCACGCAATGTCATCGACATATCTATTGTAAAATTTGATAGTACCATTTGCTAGTTCATGGTCTATAATGTCACTTTCAAGGTAGTGCATCATGATATTCGCTAAAATACCAGATGCTTGTGCACCCATTGCTACCCCTCGGCGTTGGCGATAATATGAGTCCTGAGTACTGAATGCCGTAAAATAGGTCAGTGTTTTAGTAAAAACGTCCTCAAAAATATTTCGCGGAATAATTTGGAGTTCTTCCCTATCGTTGATTTCAGTATCGAAAAATCTTTGAGGGTCGGAATAAATGCGATCTACTATTCTAGGTATTATGCGTTGTAAATTTACGTTTGTGTACATACTCTGTACATCAAATGAGACAAGCCAGTGTTTTTTTGTATCAAAAGTGTCTCTTGCTCGAAGAAAATTCTTCTTGAAATTTTGGGTAGATTTAACACTATATTTAAGTTCTGGCAGAAATTTGGTCAAAATTTTTGAAAAATATCTTTCGATGCCGCTAGTGATTGAGTTTTTACTAGACACTATTGGTCTCATCGGGTGCCCTGTTTTGTGGCGTTTCAATATTCCGTAGCTCGATTTTATCGCGTAATTAGGTCGAATGGAATTGAATGTGTCCTTACCTAGATAGGGTTCTAGTTTACGGATGGTTTTGTAGAAAAGTTGGATGTCTTGGTTAAGGGGGTCGCGGTTGAGTTTAAAGAATTGGGGCGTGTTAAATTGGGCATTTAATTTACGATTATATTCATCTAAGGAGATAAGCGCAATATCCTTGCATTTATCAACTCGGACGAACCGTAGGTCAGGGTGATTATTGAGGAAGGTGACGAGTGATTTTTGTTTTTTAGCGGGTTCGTAGCACTTACGTAAGGAGTGGAAGTTTATTTTTAGGAAGCTTAAAACTTCGTCAATAGTCATAGGGTCTATCTTAATTTCACGGGCATATTTTGTCCAGTTTTGTATCAATTTCTCCATAGATGTTAAAATTTTGTACGGGTTCGGTGTGCCTCCAACTGGGAGTTCACACCCAAATTCTAAGATGGAAAGGAGATCAGGTGGAATTGTGGTGTCAGTAAGGTTGTGAATTTTGATAGAGCATTTTTGAGGGAAGAGGGCGGTAAAATAGATTGTAGTTTACGGTTACGGTGGAAATCGGATTTAGCTTGACGGTTAATAATAGTTGAACAGATAATTTGTTTTGTCTTCGTAAATTCGGGGTGCGGTAGAATTTGTTTTAGTTTAGACATTTCGAGGTCGTAGAGGGTGACAAGGGAGTTAATTTTGTTTTCGGTGGCTTTTATGTCGTGTAGGGTTCGCTGTAGGCGGTGGTTACGTAATTGATCAGGTGACCAATGCGAGTGGTTCAGAAAGTCAGTTGATACATACGTATACGGTGGTGGAGTTTTAGCATCGTGGCATTTTTGTAGAAAAATGAGGTGTTGGCGGTTACGATGTAATTTTTCTCCAATTTTAGTAGCTTCTCTGGTGTGAGTTTTACGTCGATTATCCATTTATAATATCTCTTGTGTTGACGTTGTAGAATTTTCGATTTTTGTTTTATTGCGAGCTTTCGGAGGGAATGCCCTCCTTCATCAGGCTAGTACAGTTGTTAAGAGAAGCTACAGTAAAATAGGACTCACCGTGACTTGCGAAACTCGCGAGTGATCGGTAAGTGAGGAATTTATGGGAGCGGTGAGAAAGTCTAGAAAAGATATGGAAGTAGAAGTCTAGAAAAGAATTTAATTGCGTATCTGGAGCCTTAGATCAAATTCCCCAGATACGCAATTAAATTCTTTTCTAGACTTCTACTTCCATATCTTTTCTAGACTTTCTCACCGCTCCCATAAATTCCTCACTTACCGATCACTCGCGAGTTTCGCAAGTCACGGTGAGTCCTATTTTACTGTAGCTTCTCTTAACAACTGTACTAGCCTGATGAAGGAGGGCATTCCCTCCGAAAGCTCGCAATAAAACAAAAATCGAAAATTCTACAACGTCAACACAAGAGAAATATATAATTAATGTAAAATGTCATCTTGAATTCCAATAGATCTCTAGTTACGAAGACGTTTATTTAAATCAAGTTGCAAATATAAGTGAAAGCCACAAAAACAGACTTGTCGGGAAATTGAAAAGAATCCGCTTACGTTATTTTTACTGCGTCAAGTTAATTGAAACCTCGGAAAAAGAAGCCGTCTGAGTCTGAGAGGAGAGTGTCGGGAGACCGATAGGAATATGTAGGCTTATTAATGGAAAAATCAACCCTTTTTTCTATCTTGATATAGGGGTCACATAACACAGCCTTAGAAAGGCCAGAACATAAGCTTTCATTTAGGCACCATATCAAGGGGTCTGGGTTATGCCCGCAAGGCAATTCAGGGGCACGGAACTCCAAAAATAGGCACTAGATCTCTAAAATCGCCTGGGGCAACCGCCTCCACGCTCGAGAGGTCTCGTGACTACATCTCAGTGAAAGCTGAGGGTCTGAGCTTTCAGTAGATGTCAAGTAATCCTGCTTGCCTCTCTCCTGAAGTCATCTACAAACGATAAACTGCCAAAAAAGCATGGTATTTTTCCGGGGTGTCCCTTCCTGGTAAAAATCCCTTCCTGGTAAAATTCCCTTCCTGGTAAAAATCCCTTCCTGGTAAAGAAATAAAGTTTTACCAGGAAGGGAATTTTACCAGGAAGGGATTTTTACCAGGAAGGGAAGTTCGAAATTTCAAATAAGTCAAAACATAAAATGAGCTTATGGACTTATAAAATTAATCACTCGACCCCCCTCTGAGCATATTATTATAGATTTTTAGAAATTTTTATAAATAATTTATTTTTTTAAATAATAAAAAAATATAATTAAGTCTGCCGACGCCAGGCTTGGCTCGGCAATCTGACATGAGAAAAACCCTGAGTCAGGCCCCTGAGTACTGAGTACACAGACCCTGACCTGTGTGCCCGAGTAAAATCGAGGCTCGAGAAGAAAAACCCTGAGCCTGACCCTGACCTGAGTTAAAAGACAGGCCTGAGTTGCTCACAAAGGGCCTGAGTTAGCGAAAAAAAAAACACAAAAAAGGGTCAATTTGCGACGTCAATGGGTTCAAAATACAGTGATTTTCCATTTTACGGGCGATTTTGTGATTAAAGGACTTTGAGGTTATAAGTTATCTGGGAAAAATGAAATTATTATAATTTTTATGTATCGAAAAACCCTGTGTTTTCGCCTGAGTCATGCACCTGACCCTGACCTGAGTTCCTGAGCCTGAGCAGGCCTGACTGAGTACCCTGAGTACCTGACTGAGTGAGAAACCCTGACCTGAGTTCCTGAGTAAATATCGAGAAAAATTTTTCGAACCCTGACCCTGACCCTGTACTCAGGTTGCCGAGCCCAGACGCCAGGCATGCTAGAAAGCCCAACCTTACGTCTATGGCGGAAACTTACCTCGATATTTCAAGGTAAGGAGGGTTTTTTCATAAAGTGCTCTAGATAGTTCTATCTTGAGTAGCATCCTGGTCGAAAAAAATTCCATTTTTTTGGCCTGAGTCAAGCACCTGAGCCTGACTGATTACCCTGAGTACCTGACTGAGTGAGAAACCCTAACATGAGTTTTTGAGCAAATATTGAGAATTTTTTCGAACCCTCGCCCTGACTCTGTACTCATTCACTATTATTAGCGAAAAATAACTCGAAAATAACAATTGACAATAAATACCAAGTCGATAAAAATATGCTCAGAGGGGGTCGAGTAAATAATTTTATAAGTCAATAAGCTCATTTTATGTTTTAACTTATTTGACATTTCGATTTTCCCTTCCTGGTAAAATTCCTTCCTGGTAAAATCCCTTCCTGGTAAAGAAAAAAAGTTTTACCAGGAAGGGAATTTTACCAGGAAGGGATTTTTACCAGGAAGGGATTTTTACCAGGAAGGGACACCCCTATTTTTCCATCTTTTGCTGGAGAAAAGCCCGGATTTCCCTTAATTTTGGGTGCAAAAACGACTTCTTTTCGCTTCTAACTTACTCGTTAGCACAGGCAAGCAGGATTGTTTGGTATCTACTGAAAGCTCAGAACAAGCTCTTTCACTTAGAAATGGTCACGAGACCTCTCGAGCGTGGAGGCGGTTGCCTCAGGCGATTAAAGCGTTCTAGTGCCTATTTTGGGACTTCCGGGACCCTGAATCGCCGTGCGGGCACGGCCCAGACCCCTTGATATGGTGCCCAAATTAACGCTCAGGCTCTGGGCTTTCAAAAACTGTGTCATATGAGCACTTTATCAAGCTAGAAAAAAATATTATTTTTTTCATTAATAAGCCTAGGAATATGCAAATTCGAGTGCGAGGAATGTGAAAAAATATTGTGCATCTAACGAAAACCTGCTTCAAGTAATAGCCAATAATGGGATTTTTGACTCTCAAATATGTTAAAAATCAAGTTTGTTTTATTCTTTGGAATGTTAAGATCTAATAAAGGCATCTTGGAGTACAGACAAAAACACCTGGATTTCGGAAGAACACAAGAAAAAAGAATTACTGAAAAAGGGCTGACAATCTTTAATGTCAAGTTTATTTGGAGTCAAATGAAGAAGGTAGATGAAGAAGTTTGCTTATTTATGGAGTATCTGGCTTGAAGATAAATGGGCTTGATATGTAGATTGACTGATTGTAGTGTTCTTGTTCCTCGAAATAGATTGAAATCATCAGTTGTTTAGCATAATGGCAGTAGCACTGAAGCCGAGATGATTTCAGAAAGAAACAAAAAGGTTTACCGAGTTTTGAAGAAGAAAAAATTGCCTTCAGTGTCGGGGATTTTTGTTAAAAGGCTGGTTAATATTTGGACTTATTGATGCGTATTCGTCGAAAATACGCCTCGTAACATCGAAAGCCTTTTCGTAGCTTGATTCTATTTGATAGTTTTCTTCGTGAGCGTAAGCGAGCTGTTCCGTCAACGCCCGTGATTGCTGTCTTAGCTGGTGGAACCTTTCCAAGAAGGATGGGATGTGATGGCTGCCCTCTGCTAAACACACTTCTCGAAGACCATCCATCACAAAGTCATACATAGCGGGATTGTCTAGTAACGCGTCTATTACAAAATCAGTTGCGCTCAAGCTCTTATGATTCAATTACCGACAAAATTATAAATGTGTCTCGTAGCTGCATATTCAGCTTTCTCGTTTGACTTGGACATTTCTGGGCTCTTGAATTGAGGATTTTTTATTATAATTGACGATGCTGTCGACGGGCTTGAAAATATGTCCACATATTTTTGTCTGGACTCCGATGCGCCAATCTCGGCCCGTCGGGCTAAGATTGAAGGGTCTTCTTCCAATATTTCCTCCTCGATGTATCCATCTTGATGATCCGTCCTATTGATGTTGTCCAAATTTTTCGACTTGAACTCTTCTTTTATACAGTGAATCGGGGCTTGATCTCTGAAGAGGCTCTCTTCAGGCACTAATTGAGGATAAATATTGCAAATATCAGAAATTTCCATCTTTAAGGGGGTAGAACTAGATTTTTCCAAAATACAGTGGGTTGCGCAGTTGGTTGCCCCCTTGCGATTGCAGCTTTGGTTGCCCCTTTGCCCGCGCTTTTTCTATTGTTCCTTTCTAGACTCGCTCAAAGTGATTGCAGGATTGGTTGCCCCTTCACCCGCACTTTAGGGGGCAACTACCTGCGCAACCCACTGTAAGTGATCTTTGAGAGCCCCAGGGTGGCTATTTTGGATTTGGGGGTTAGTTGGAATTGGATTGGATCCAATCCAATAAGGTTTGGATGGAATTTGGATGGCCAGGGTACCGGATTTTGTTGGGGAAAATTGGGCAATTGGGGAAATTGGGGAAATCGGATCCAATAAAAATATATCTCTAAACTATGCAAAGTAGGGTCATTTTCATGATAAAAATGAACAATCTCAGTTAAAAATCATTGTTTTGGCTCTGTTGATCCTCCTTTCGGATAAAAACTTACTGTTTCCTTTCTTTTCAAAGTACTAGAAGCCTTGGAAAAATTGGAAACCCAATTGGATCCAATTGGAATTGGGGATTATTGGAGAATTGGGTAAAATTGGATTGGATTGGATTTTGGATGGATAGCTTCGACTCAAAATTTATTGGATGGAAATTGGATGGCGAGACCCCGAAATTTTGTCCAAAATAGCCACCCTGGAGAGCCCCTTTAAATAAGAAAAACCTGTATTTACTTATGTTAACGAAATTTCCTCATAGATGTTGCTAGAAAAAGCGTTAAAATATCAAAAATAAGATTCAAAAAATTTTGCTAGTCACGTGACTCGAGAAATTTGAGGACGCGAATAGGCTAAAATGGCGATTTTCGATGAGATAGGTTGGTGTTTCGCTCTCTACCGCCAATATTTGTTGACGAAAAATTTTTTTTTAGAAAAATGTTGTTAGATCTAAGTTTGCTCTATCTTCAGCTGAAGAGAGAATTTGAATATCTTAGCTTGCTTGGACGTGCTTTTTTAAGGTTAACGAAGTTTTCCAGCCCACTTCCGCCATATAAACCCCAGAACACCATACCTTTTCAGAATCAGCAGAAAATTTCAAGAACTTTGACCATTTAAAATTCTAGAAATCTTCACTTCCGGTCGATTCTAGAGCCAGAAGTTGACGAAATTTTCGAGTATGTATAAAGTGTGACCCATCAAATTGATGCTCAGAAGATTCTGAGTCATCTCATTATCGATTCATTTGAAGAAAGAAATCCAAACACGGTGAAACCGACCGCCCAAATCTACGAAAAAATGCATAAATTTATGAATTTTTCTTGAGTTTTTAGCGGTTGATCTGACCGTGGCCGGGATGGGTTCTTCTTTCAGATGATAGGGAATCTTCTGAGAATCAATTTGATAGGCCACAAGTTGCCCATTCTCCCAAATTTCGATAACTTCCGGCTCTAGAATCGACCGGAAGTGAAGATTTCTAGAATTTTAAATGGTCAAAGTTCTTGAAATTTTCTGCTGATTCTGAAAAGGTATGGTGTTCTGGGGTTTATATGGCGGAAGTGGGCTGGAAAACTTCGTTAACCTTAAAAAGCACGTCTTGGCTTTGAGCGCCGGTCTAGAATAGGCTTTTTCGCAAATCCTAGTTCTACCCCCTTAAATTAGACTTTAAATCTTATGGATCCTTCTCCTTTGGTGCTGACCGTTTGGTTTGTCAGTTGCCTTCGAGAAATTTCCTGAAATTCTTCGAAGTATGTCTCTTCATCGTAATCATTGAAAAATCCGCCTTGCAAGGATCTTCCTGGTGATTGTCTTATAATTGATATATGAGGAATAAGATTCTTGGGTAGTCTCAAGAAACCTTTTCTTAGGAAGAGGTGATGACCCGAGAAAATTTTGCTGTGATGCCATCGAATCAGTGGTTATCTCTGAAGCTACAAGTAGATGAAAGAAATAACCGATAATTTACACAAGAATATTCGCAGTGGCAGTTCAAACAGTTCAACTAGAATTGAAAAACATGAAGTCAGAGAATCTCATGCGGGTCGGGTTCTAGGATCTTCTTCGCTTCTGATAGGCTCTGAGTACATTTCTCGATCACTTTCTTCAGATTTAGCGAAAGGGTTTCTCGCCTTCTTTTTTGTACTTCGAGAATAAGCTAAATTATATGATGTCATAACATATCATTATCGAAGCTCGGGTGTACCTTGAGACTTTCGCGAGCTTGGTGTGGTCTAAACTCGTTGATCATATGATGAATGTGAATGAACTTAAAATTTTAAGTAAAAAAAGATAGTTCTCAACCGTGTACCAGAAGCATAAGATCATCAATTCTCTGGTTTCGTTCTCGGGAGTCAGGTACTTTTGTAAGAATGTCGAGTAGGTCAAGAAATCCGATAGCAACGGATTGTACCATCTTTTTAAGCTCCTTTCGGTGGTCGCAATATTGAGGATGGAGTCGGGGGAAATTGTAGGTTTCGAGTGGTCGAACAGTTCCCCAACTGGAGCACTATTTGGTTCATGATTTATATTTTAACATTTCTAATTGCTATAGTTGCCTGGTCTGTTCCGAAAATTTTGACAGCGTCAGTTGGTATTTTCGGAGGCTTGGGGCAGGTGTTATTGCGGACATTGTCATCGGTGAACTCTTTGAAATAGTCGGGTGGCGCGGGCATAGGAGTCGTATTGTTATCTTTCGCCGCCATTTCTTTAATTAATTAGAAGTGTAAGAGACTTATAACTATCTCATTGACAGTGTTAAAACAAGCTACATGTAAGTCCATAGAATAGATTGTAAGAGAACCTCTTGAGCAGTACCAGAGATATAGAGATTTGCAAAAAGCGATGATTTAGCGAACTAATCTACCAGACTGTTGAGAACAGTCACTATTGGGAATGCTTATTGACAGATTTTACAATTGTAAGTTGTGTTCCGAATTTTTGGAATTGTTGAAAATAAATTAACACGGCAGTTTTTGTAGAAAGTTCTTCTGGCTACATGAAAGCTCAACACAAGAAGTAATACTCAGTAGTCCTCGTGTCCGGAATCGTCTCCGTCACTGAACACAATTTCTTCGCCTGCCTCTGCAAGTTCATGAAGAAATCTCTCACGCTCCTCTCGAATTTCGCGCTCCTTCTGTTCTACAAATTCTTGGGAGAAAATCACTCGCAGTAGCTCCGAGCTTACAGAGACATACATCCTTCGTCCAGCTCCTACTCTCTTCGGTGGAGGGCAATTGGAGAAAAATTGGCGCATTTGATCAATGTCAATTTCCGGATGCTCATATCGCAAAAGGCTGGCCTCTAGATGAAGCCGGACGAATGTGTTACGCTCTTGGATTGACATGAACACAACCGGGAGTGGCATGTCCTCGACAATCTCGTAGTCGAAACGCTTCCAACGCCCTGATCCATTGAGATTGGGCGTGTAGATCTCCACAAGGTTCATTCCTTGAGGTCCTTGACCGAAATTCCTTATGTCCCAGAGTTCAACGTTCGACATCGAGATCAAACTCTTCTTAATTTGATACTTGTTAGGCTCCTTCTAATTTATTATCCTGATCCATGTTCTATATCAAATGTATCCACATCCATACGTATTCAAAAATTTCTTCAGGTTGCATTTACGGAATTTTTAATACTGCCATGAAAAAACAACAACGAAGGAATAATCGGCTCGACCAAACTATTTATTATCACAAAAAGGTACAAAGACACTTCAGAACAGTAAAAAGAAGCCGGAGACCGATCTCAGCAGAGGAGTGATCATCTGCCTTACTTCTTGTAACCTCGGGAAGCTCGTCGACCTCGAGCTCGTTCGAACTTTCGTCCCTTGGATCGGACGATTGGCTTGGTGTGAGAGCCGGGAACGCCTAAAATAGTTGGAAATGAGCTAAATGCGCGGAGACTAACCTGGAGCGCAGTTGTTGGCGAAGTAAGCTTCAGCCTTTCGCTGCTTTCGGGGTCCTTGAAGGAGGACGGTGTTCTGTCCCTTTCACCCAGTTCACAATCGCCGTTTAAAACTGACTCGCACTGCAAGAGTGCTCTGTGCCTGACCTGAGCCAATGATCAAAAGAGATAGTTTCGAAAAACCTTCACTTGCGATCGAACAAGCATTCTGCATGTCGAAGGTTTGGTTTCTGGTTTTTTGAGTAAACTGTCAATCATGAAGAGTGGCAAGGTGATCAGGTGATTGGGACCTGTTCCTTGGGGTTCTGGAGAGCGAGCTGATCGAAAGTGATGATTTCACCTCCGGCGGCAGCAATTCGCTGTCGAGCGGCTTCAGTGACTCGGAGAGCGCAGATTCGGAGCTTGGGGACTTCGAGAAGTCGGATGTCGTTGGTGACAGTACCAACAACGACAGCGGTCTTAAGAGGATAACAAGTACTTATTCAACCAGCAGGTTTGGCGGTGAAAAATCAAAAAAATGCAATCCATTCCTTGTTCTGTCGGCTCTCAGCCTTCATCTTTCGGACAAGTCGAGCGAGGGAAAGTGGAGGTCGGTTGATTCGGGACATAAAGAGTCGCTTGAGGATGACCTTGTTGAAGGTGGCATCGGTTCGTCGGGCCAAGAATCGGTAGGCCTTGACGAGGAGACCGAGGTAGACATCCTGGGAGACAGGAGCACTTCGGTGAGGTCGTCGCTGGTACTTGCCCTTGTTGTGTCGAAGATCAATGCCCATGGCGACGGTTTAGGAATCCGTTTATCGGTCTGAAAAAATATCGTGTTTAGAGAAACATATCCTCGCCAAGTAATTTATGGTCAGGAAGGGATAGTTTGCTGGTGGGCACAGGTTGAAGCTGTTTACTTCTTCTTGCCAGCACCAACAGCGGCCTTCTTGGTACCCTTGACCTTCTTCTTTCGGTTTCGGAGTTCCTTTCGCTGCTTTCGGGATTTCTTCTCGATCTTCTCAGCGAGACCGTGTCGGACGAGTCTGTACGCGGGTTAACACTGTGGAGAACAGCGTGCGATTTTATCATTCAGTTATGATCAGAAGAGATTAAGTCCTTGTTCGCACGAGCTGCCTCATGACCCCAATTTACAAGTTACTTACCTGCGCCTGGGAGCGCAGTAAAATCATAACGAGTTACGAAACCCCCCAAAAATTAAGTATAATTTTGCACTCCTTCGCAAAAGAGAGCAAATTATCCTCGGCCAAGCATCGGAGAGTAGCTCCGAGCGAACTCACACACTTTATGAACATCTCACAAAAGCGCAGGAGCGGCCACCCTAACGGTTTCAAAAAATTTCCCACGGCCCTGAATCGGGGTTCAATTCGTTTGGCATCCGCAACAGAGTCGTACATGAGGGCGAAACCAGAGGTCTTTCCACCACCGAACTGGGTCTTGAAGCCGAAGACAATGATGTGGTCGGCAGCAGTCTGAGGTTGCGTAATTATTGACTGGTTAAAGGGCGATGAATACCTTGTACTGCTTGGCAAGAGCCTCTCGGACCTCGGACTTCTTGGGAGTGGGAGTATCCGGGTGAAGGATGTCAACGACCATCTGCTTTCGGCTAAGAAGGCGGTTGGTCATGAACTTTCGAGTTCGCACGGTGATGGCGGTCATTTTTGATGATCTACCGAATTCGGTCTGAATGCGCGAAACTGTTAAAAGGGTTCAGAAGTTGCGGCCAAGGGAATGTCAGTCTGTGTTCAATGATGGCATTCTGATTGAGACAGACAGTTCAACTTTCACAAGACAAGCAATTTAGCTCTCGACGGCTTCTCGGAGTCGTCGGATACCCATGGAGACGACCTGGAAGTTCTGGGTATGAGGTTCCCAAGCTCCACCGGCCATCTTCTTGTTGGTTCGAGAGCAAACCCAAACGCCAACAGCTAATAGAATATTTAAAAGTCGCTTATTTAGGTTAATTACCGGTTCGCTTGAGGGAAGTGGCACCACAGAAGGGAGACTGGTATTTCTTGTGCTGGGAGACTTCCATCTTCTTGACAATCTTTCGGAGGGAAGATCCGTAGCGGGTACCGTATTTACCGGTGATACCGACCTTTCTGGTGCGCTTGGCCATCTTGGTTTATCCGAATTTCAGTCTAGAAGCGCATCAGTCACTACCGAAAAAATTGACGAAAAAAGAATAAGTGGCCTGTATCAGGGACAAATTGAGCAGCAGAAAAACGCCGCTTCTGTGAGACGCGAAATAGTCTCTCGAAAGTGGAGAGAATGTGAAAGTATTGGCAGGTGGTTAGCAGATAGTGAAAAATTGAGCCACTCCCGTGGTTTAAGCCGATTTCGAAGTTCGTAGACTTACTCGACATTACCAAACTTGGTCAAATTCATCGTCGAAGATTTCGTTCTTTTGTGTTTTTTCTTCTTTTTCGATGACACGAATTCCGCCGTACTGGAGTTTGGGCTTTTTCGGCTTTGGAGCTGGAGCAGAGTCGTCCGCGTATCCGTCTCCAGTCGTCTCCTCGGCTTCTTCTTCATCGTCGCCGTATTTGACGCATAGAAACATTTTCTCCGGATCAGGCTCCAAACTAGAATCTTTGTTGTCCTCATCCTTTCTTTCAGACGACTGTTCTTCCAAGAGCTGGTTCGCGGCTGGTGGAAGATACGGTTTTTGATCAATCTCGTTCCATTTCGTATTTCTGACGAGTTCTTGAAATGGAACGTTGACGACCTTGCGCCCTTTCTCATCCATGAATAACTCCATTGTGAATTCTTCGAAAATCTCCGACTCCGATTCGAACCGGAATTTTAACTGAATTATCCGTTAAAGAAATGAAGTAACTCATGAAAATAACGGACCTTATTTTTAAACAAAGAATATGACTTCAAATTATGTTTTCCAATTTTCGCGATGAACCTTGACACGTGAATCTTATCGTAACAGTAGCCCATCATGAGCTTGACGGCCTCGGTGGCGCATCCTTTCTGTCGCGCTTCCTTCTCTGCAATCATCACTTCGATTTCGCCCGCTTGGTCATCTTCGGGGTCGTTGAGAAACAAATTCACGTCGCCGATCATGGCCTCCTTCTCGCTTGAGCCGGATTCAATCTTCTCCGCTGAAAGAACGATGAAGGTCAACTTGTCTTCGTCTCTTCGCCAGCTTTCCTGCATCTCGTATTCTAAAAACAAGAATTTAGAAAATGTCCTGCTTAATCAAGAGTCATCACAAGTGACAAAATTAATCTACCTTTTTCTAAGGAAAGCGGCTCCGAAGCAGTAGCTTCGAGAATATCTTGATCTTTCATCCAATTGTGATATTTCTCGACGTGATCTTTTTCGTAAGGGACGAGAATGACGCGCGTCCCATAGACAACCACTTTCTCGTTCAATCTCATCTTTTTCTAACTTCGGAGAATTTGTCTCTGTTTTTCTTGTGGAAAAAGAAACGGAGGAATTAGAGATGGGCCAGAAAGGAGAGCGCGGATTGGGTGAGGTGCGTTCGGGAATTTCTCTCGTAGTGGCTCCCAGTTTCGCCCGTGTTTAGCGTCACCGAGAGAAGCACAATCGGCCAATCAGAGGCGAGTCTCCACGTGAGGCTCGGCGCGAGCGCGAAAGCGTGGGTGCTATTAAACTAAACGTAGTTTTTCATCGCCAAAATTTTACTTTTCTTGAATTCCTCCAGTCGGTCCTGCAATTCGTAGAGAATTTACCTTTTCCTGCCATCTACTACACAGACCCAGAAAGTAATCGAGTGATCAATTTCCCTAGAGATAAGCCGAACTCATGGAATAAATGATAAAAAATTAGAATTAGTGATAGTATCACCTAAATGTATGTATTATACAGTACACTTATAGCTTTTATCAAGATTCGATTGTAATTTATTTCCCAGTTTATCAAGTATTCGATTTTTAATGATTTCGTCTATATCCGCATAATTCCAAGCCCTGGTTTTACTACTGGTTCGAAATCTAACTTTTCGAATTCTTAGATCTGAATTCGGTCCAAATAATGCCTTCCGTTTGTGTCAAGGACGTCGACCAGCAGGAGTTTGTCAAGGCTTTCGCCGAATTCCTCAAGAACTCTGGCAAGGTCAAGGTTCCCGAGTGGGCCGATATCGTCAAGACCGCCACCCACCGAGAGTTGGCCCCATATGATCCCGACTGGTAAGTCTATTTGATTCTTTCTTCCCTTTTCATCACCCGATGGATTTCATTCAGTCTTGGGCTTTTTCCCCATTTCTGATTCCAAAAGTCGGAAACCAAATCCGCTCTTGATTTTCTCGATCTAAAGGGCATTCCATCAGTCCTTTAGTCTTTAGCACCTGAGCACAGATCCTAAAGTGAACTTAATTTAGACCAGTTTGTTAAAGCAAGTGTTAACTAGGAATGTTCAGGTTCTACGTACGATGCGCCTCTCTCGCCCGACACTTGTACATGCGCGGAAACGCTGGTGTTGGTGCCTTCCGAAAGGTGTACGGTGGCTCCCGACACCGAGGTGTTGCCCCCAACCACTTCCACGTCGCCAACGGAAACCTCATCCGAAAGGCTCTCCAGGCCCTCGAAGCCTGCAAGATCCTCGAGAAGTCCAACTTCCGCGGACGAGTCATCACCCGAGTTGGTCGACGAGACATGGACCGAGTCGCTGGCGCCATTAACAAGAACGCTGCTGAATAAACTCAGTCTATAAATTTTTCGCCGGTAGCACGGCTGGGGGTGAGGCTGGGAAGATGAGTCCTTGGACATAGGGTCGACCTATATCTGAACCCTAGCCGTGCTACCGACATGTCGCTCTGTTGCGACTCCTCATTTTCCGTCACTTCTACGTCAATCCGCTTACGATTCCGCTGTTTAGATTGAACGGACGAAATGACCAAGGTCAAGGCTTCTGATCTCCGAGGAAAGTCCAAGACTGAACTCACCGCCCGATTGAACGAGGCTAAGCAGGAGCTCAACTCCCTCCGAGTCGCAAAGGTCTCCGGCTCTGGCGCTGCTTCCAAGCTCGCCAAGATCCGAGTCGTTCGAAAGAGCATCGCCCAAACCTTGAACGTCATCAACCAGACCCAGAAGGCTGAGATCCGAAAGCTCTACCAGGTACCATTTATCCCAACCTGCGCCATCGCTCATGATAATATGAACAGAGCCTTTGAACAGTTTTCAATAATTGTCGATTATCAGTGAATGGTCGCTCGGGTTAACGGGACGCGATTCCTTGATGGATTCCCCCGACGAGTTGCCAAGGGCACTCCCTGGGGGTCAGGCGTGATGCCGACAATCCTCGGCCGTCCCGTTCATGTTTCCCAGCTTTCACCGTTGATTTAGGGTAAGAAGTACAAGCCAGTTGATCTTCGACCCAAGAAGACCCGAGCCCTTCGACGACGACTCAACAAACACCAGGAGTCCCTCCTCAGCTCCAAGCAGCAGAACAAGCAGCGACTTTACGCTGTCCGAAAGTTCGCTCTCAAGGCTTAAATGAAATAAAAATCCGCTGAGCCAAATGAGTGTTTGTGTGTCTTTATTGCAGTTAGTTAGTTTTATAGCATCGTAGATATGTCTGGGAATAAGCGTGTTTAAATGTTATGAGCTTAGAATGGAGATGGCGGCAGTGCTCTCTTCGAGCATTCCAGATTCTGACTATGACGCTGTGCAGGCGCCGCTAGGGAAGTCCACGAGTATCGATCATTCTTTGAGGCCAAAAACTTTTGGAATAGCGACAAAAGCGTCTGAGTCTGTCAAAAACATCATGGACATCCCAGTAGCACCCGTGACCGAGGATGTACGACGAATGTACATTAGAAGTCATCATCATTACGATGTCAGTGAAAGGGTTAGTGTAAAACAGCAGTGAGCTTCTCAAGGCGGGAGTTCTCAGCATTAGATTTTAATAAATATTTAGACTTGTTTAATATACAAGTTGCTTGATTCTCGGTTAGCCGAACAAATTTATAATAAATTCTTAGCTGAACCGTGGCTATGATCCAGCAAACTTTTCACGCGAGAGTGTGTTCGGTGCTCGTACGGAACATGACATTAGTGGCTCTCAGACAAAGGCGTCTCTCAATATTCCTGAAAGATCTGTGGATAACGAACGCGTCGCGCGATTTCAAGAGAGAAGGAAGGACGTCATCGGCGTACCTCTCGATCCAATCAAAGACTCAATGAAAGTGCCCGAGGATCATTGTTTCGGATACGTAGAGCTTCCGGACGATCACGATGTAGCGTATCTTCTTCATAAAGGATCGTACGATGTTTTCAAAACATCAACCCAGAATATCAATGGGATATTGAAAAGTGCCCGACTGAGTCTTCAGAAAGGTACAGTTGAGCGACATCTTTCCTAGCGACTGACTTATCTTTAAAGCAAACTATTGCAAATTCGAATATCTTCAAAAAACAATCTCAGATGATAAATTTGACGCGAGCCCATCAAAAGTGCTTCATAACCTGCAGAAATGCTACTTCCCAATCAGCGACGATCAGCTCGCCACTATTCTAGTTTTCTTTACCGACGAAACGGGCCAAGGTGTGTATAACTTTGTAAAATAAAAGCGATTTCTTTATTAATGTGTTTTAGTGGACACAAAGAGCTTCTTGAGTGCTTTGGACTGGCGCTCCCCTTTCCATCTGCCAGAGAACTTCACTGAAAAAGCAGTTGATGAAGTCAGCACAGCTAGACGAAATCTGTCCAAGATGTCGGACGCCATAGATGAGGAATTGAATTCTACTTCTACTCGAGTATGATATCGAAATTTTTTTAATGATTAGTTTCGAATAGGATTGGAATCGGTACGGTGTACCATCTCTACGAAGTGATTTGCCGCCACCTCGAATTAGACGAGTAGCGGATAAAAAGAATTATGGTGACGAGGGAAACGCAGGTGTCCTTACCAATCCCTCCATCATGGAAGCTCATGGAGTGTTTACAAGTGACCTTTATGAGCCGCGAACAATGACCGACATACTGAACCTCTACAAAGCAATTGGTGTTGAAGTAGACGTTTCCAAGCTCGAAGAACTCTGGCAAGCCCACTCAGGTACGGATTTCAGTAGAACATTTACCCACTTATTTTTGCCCTTTTCACGCCAATTAAGATCGACACGAATGCTTATTTTTTCTTTTTTTTCAGATTCCAGCGCTATGCTTTCGTTCATCGATGTAAATCGACTGCTGGACTCCGCCTAAAAGTTCTTTACTTCTATTACTGCTCTATTTTTTCACTCATTCAAATGCTTTCCTACATTTCATATATTTTCTCTTATAATTGATCTATATTTTTCTACATAGAGCAGATTCTTAACTCAAACCTTTAGATGTGTCGGAATCAAAATCGGGTTCGTGCTGGATAGAATCCCACCGGTCTGCCAACTCGCGAGCTTTGCCTAAATGGCGAACCAGTTTCTATTCTATATTCAATGTATATTGCTCGTTCTTTCTTACTGGGTAAGTCCGCCAATGTCTGGCTCTGCTCGAGTATAGCCTGAACACTTATTTTTTCATTAACAATAAGATCGTGAATATTTACTCTCTAATTAAGTCTTGCTCGATCGGGTTGACGTTCTATAACAACCATCTTTTCCGGGAATGGGACATTCCGCTAGCGACAACGACCATCCATTTCATGGTGATATTCGTCCTCTGCGGTTTTTGTCGAAAGGGACGTCAAATAGTCACGGGCAAGCAGTCCGTCATCCTTTCATGGGTAATTAAAGCATCACCGGTGTTTTAAAAAGTGATTTTAGCGTCAATATATGAAAAGCGTTGTGCCGATTGGAATCGCGTCTGCTATGGACATCGCTCTCTCGAATTGGTCAATGGTTTACATAACCGTTTCTTTATATACGATGATCAAGTCCACCTCGGTTCTTTTCATTCTAGCCTTCGCTCTCGGTTTGGGACTGGAGAAGTGGAGGAATAGTCTAATAATCGTCATTTCCCTCATTGCCTTGGGTTTGTTTTTATTCGGTATGATTTGCGCGATTACAACTGTTATGAAGCAAACTTTTTCAGTGTTCAAAATGACGGACTTCCATCTGTTTGGCTTTTGCCTGGCGCTAACCGCGTCCGCGCTCTCCGGAGCAAGGTGGACGCTATCGCAAGTTCTAACGCAGAAAGCCGAGTTAGGACTCAACAATCCTATCGACGCATTGTTCCACTTACAACCTGTAATGGCCGTTGCAATGGCACCCATCCTCTTCATTCACGGCGTGCTCCCATTTCTTACGACTTCAAAACTCTTTGGTGCAAATTCGTGGCACATCTGGATGCCGGATACAGCGCGTTTATTAGCTGGCGCATTTTTAGCTTTCTTTCTTGGTCTCAGCGAGTATCTTTTAGTGGGCAGAACGTCCGGGTATGCTTCTTGCTAGAAAACTGTAGCTAAAAAGCTGTTTAGCCTGACTTTTTCATTGAGCGGCATTGTAAAGGAGCTTGCTACGATGCTTTTTGCACTAAAAGATGGTGATCAGTTGGTTTTTATTAACTGGGTCGGGTTCTGTATCTGCGTCATTGGAATCAAAGGTAAACTAGCCTTTTGAATTTTTTATGTTTTATAATTGACTCAATATTCAACCCATGGCCATTAATTCACCAAGAGCCATCATATAATATGCACGCGGGAGATCGCAACATTTCCTACGCTCAAATAGGTTTAGCTTGATCTAGTTGGATCTTTCTAAATTGCTGATCTTACGCTTTTGTTAAGCACATGCATACTTCAAATGGCGCGAAAACAAGGCCCTTGTAATGAAAGCTCCAAGCCCGGCGCAAGTAGAAATGGAACAAAGCACCGCATTACTGGATAGCGACTCGGACTCCGATGATGTTATTTATGCGACCTAGAAAAATGATAAACCTGCCGTCTATCTGAATAGAACTCTAGTTCAGCCGCTTTCTGCTCTCATGTATCAATTCAATTTCAATTTTCTGTATCTTTTATTTCTAGAGCCCTTCTTATTCCTTCACTTATTTAATCCACAATAGTTGTGGCGCAATAAATAAACATTTATTTCCAAAATGCATCGACTTGAGTAGAGGCAAAGCTACTCAATCAGAGCCGATTGCTCCTCAAACGCAGTTAATTAATGCAGGAATACTGTGAATTGAAGAATGACGGCAAAGATATCTGGATTGTCAGTGTATATAGGCCTTATTTAAAAATTGAGGAGAACCGATCAATAGCCCCGAAGAACGAGTCAGGGGGAGAAAATGAGATTAGGAATTTGAAAATATTTCGCAATTGCATTCTATTTTTGACAGAAGAGGACAAGAACTTGGCGAGTTGAATTGAAGATCGTAGAGAGAAGGGATGAATTATTCACTCACAGGACACACTGTTGCTGCGTTGCCGTAGAAGCTACAACTAAAGAACGAAAAAGGGACTAGTTAGGGAGAGACCATTTATTCCCTGAAACCGAAAACGGAGAAATACCTGGAAGAGAACGCCCGAAACAAGAAAATGGAGGGGAATCTTCCTCCGTTGCCACCTCCAAGGCGTGCAGGGAGGTCAAGTTCAAAGAGTAAAAAATCCGAGAACTCATCTTCTACTTCTCTGAATGATAACAATCAAATAGGAATGGATTCTTATTATTCGTCGCGATAATATTATCTTCATGACGATTCTTGCGGGAAATCGAATTTTTTAGCAAAAATCTTACTATGCGCACTGAATTCATTTAAAGCGATGACCAAAGCAGAACGGGAAGCAATATTGAATGTGCTAGCGAGAAACGAGGAACTAAAAAGCACCGAGACAGCGCGCATTCAGTAATAAAGCCTATAAAAACAGTTCCGTTATGCTAATTAGAAATTTGAAGGAACGCTCTGTAGCCAGCTCACGTTTCGCGCCCGACCGAGGAAACGTGTGTGCATCTTGTGGCGGCACTCTTCCCTTCTCAATGACAGTTCCGCTTGTTGCCGAGCTAAATAAGTGTTCTGAATGCAGCAAACTTGCATGGTAAGATTAATTAAGCATTCTATTGGAAAAGATATTCGAATCTATCTCTCCGTGAGCATTAATTTTAAATTCGCACTTCTATCACGACGTGAATCCTCTAGAATTAATTTTTGTTCTTTTTAATACAGTAATACTCTAAATAAACGATCATATCATCTTCAGTCACGTTTGCCGCGTTGATATAGTTACTTCTGGAAGAAGCAGTGCTACTTCAGGAAACTCGTGGCGTTGTAGATCCTGTGCAGCGCAGGCAAAAATAAAGATGACTTCAGGTGAATGGTTCAAAAAGGGACGGTAACAATCGCTTTCAAACTCGATTATTGTCTTTTTTAGGCTCAAACAATGCCCAAATCATCCTCAGCTTCTTCGGCGATGCAGCTGGTATTGGATGAAGTTGGGCCGATGAATAAACGCTCATCAACGTCCTGCGATAACAAGGAAGACAACTCAATAAACTTGACACCAGAGCCGTCGATAAGTTCAGCTGAAAGAATGGCCGATGGAATTCATGATGATATCTCCCAAACATCTTCATTAATGGATGACACGTCTTCAAGGTAAGTCTCGATGACAAAAATGGAAATTTAACGCGTAGAAGATCACGTGCAAGTTCAACAGCATGGAAGAATGCAGCACAAAAATCATTAACGACACCTGGTAGTGACAATGGCTCTCGACAATCGTCAATGCGACCGAACTATGCTCCGTATCGCTCTGTCACCCAAGTATTAGCTGATCAAAATTAAGAAATTCTTATGGATTAATTCTAGGGTGCAAAAATGTTTGAATTGGTCAAAAATGCAGTCAAACATGACCAAGTGAAAATGGCTAACGCGATGGCTTCAACGTTGCCAGTTCCTGGAGCTCGCCGACTTGTTACTCAAAGATCAGTCAAGAGCATAAACGAGTCCATAAATAGCTCACATGGTGCTTTCACTCCTCAAGGAGTTCCTCTCAATATGGATATCTTGGAAAATCCATACGAACGCGGCTATACTTATCAAGATATCATAAATCTGCGCCGACAATTCGAGTTTCATTCGCAGGTTTATGATCTTTCATTAAATTGATTTTTAATTAATAGAGCTTGAACGAAAGCATGGAAGGAAACGGGCCTATCAATGACATTGAAATGGAAGATGTCGTTGAAAATCCAATGCTTTATAAATCTGAGTTAGAAATTGCGACTCCATCCCTTTCGCCTTGTGAGCCTCGGCACTCGCCCAACTCAACAATTATCAACCAAGACTTCCTCGACGATCACGAAGATGAGCAACTTGACTCCCTCTATTTGCCATCGGAAGTTCAAGGCGAAATCTCGTACTCCTTGAGTTACAACAGCGAGGTAATTTGGTCGCAACATCATTATAATAATATGAAAGAGCTTCTAACAACAGAAGTGACTTTTTCAAGCAAGTTTTTTCTGACGAAAATTCATTACTGTCAAAAGAGCTCTGATAGGAAAGTCTAAGACGGTGGTTCATGAAACCACCAAATGTCCATCAATAGCTCTAAATGTGTCAGTCACTTGGTTAAGGAGCTATCCGTCTTTATTGGCCGCGTATTCGAATTGGATTTTACCGACAAACGACGGCGAATGGACTTTCAAGTGAAAGTATTTCTCCTTCCCGACAGGTAAAAATGTGTTTTTAGTAATCACTTGTTTGTGATATTTGATCGATTTGACAAATTGGGATTAAAAGTATTCTAAAGTTTGAAAATTGTTCGATAAGTTTAGTATTAGTATAACGTATTCAGGAGATCCTTGATCACATTTATACAGGAGTCTTAAATCTCTGCAAAATTGCATAAAAGCGCCTTTTGGAATGACCACTGTATAAAATGGAATGGCCACAGTGGTTAGCACGGCGCCGCCCGAGAAATTAATTTCCTGAGGATAGAAAGGATAGTGAAAAACCTTTTAATTCAGATCGACGAAGAAAAAAACTCGCCATAGGCCATATTCGCCTGTCATCTCCTTTTCTGAAAGTTTCAAGGAAAAGCGCTTCTACTCGATTACTTCAAGATAGTCATTAGAGGACAGATTTCTGAAAATAAGAGAATTATTCTATTTTTATAATTTATAGAAGCACTGTTTAGTTTCCACTCAAGCCGAGTCAACTTACAACATCGTCAGTGGAGCTTTGTTTATCAGGAAAATCAACTTTCGTGAAGTCAAACTTTATGGGCCAGATGACCGTGCCGCTTAGTTCATTCGATTTCTCGAAGCTAGACGGTATAGAACGCATTGGTCGCCTCCGCCCAAGAGTAAACCTTTCTTCCTACCTTGCTCCTTACAAAGGCGACCTTTCAATTGAACTCACCTATTTGGAAAGGGGAAAACTAGTTCATTCATTTTTGAATGGGCCGTTAATCTTGCAAAAGTTTTTATCAGTCAAACGACTTTCCCAGAAAAGCCTAATGCACCAGCTTCAACCGATGCCCATTCAAAACCATGTAACGCTCATTCTTCCTTCCCTCATCGATCAGAAAGTAAGTATCTTCTCGGAATATCAAAAATTATTAAATTTAGACGGCGTTTTCCGCCTCTGCGTGCTTCTTGCCAACAATTTAATTCCCTCGCCAAACAGGTTTGTTTAAAATACAATATTGTGTGCATAATGCAATTGATCCACCTTTTAGCTCGTCTAGCGGTGCTCGAGTTCGTCCGTTTCTCAAAATACACTTGTATCCTTTCAAATGGACGAAGAAGAAGACTGTTCCTTCAGATCCCACGGATCTCTGCCCCGAGTTCAACTCGACGTTTCAATTTAGAGTAAGCGATTTCCCATTATATACGATAAGAATAATAAATTGTAGGGGATGACGAAAGAGATTCTAGCCGATTGCTCTCTGGAAATTTCTGTTTGGGACTACGAAAAAATCAAGGAAGCTATTTTCTCGGTGGAGTTAGGTGTAATCTCGGCACTGGGCATTATCAGGAAAAGTTATATTTTATGTAATCTCTAAGCCTGAGGTTTAAATTATTACGTATTGATGGAAAACTTAAAAAGGGTCAAGAATGCGACTGGATGGATGGCCAGGATAGTGAAGTCAAATTGTGGCAAGCTATGCTGGATTCTCCTGGAAAACCTGTTTCTGATCTACTACCTCTGCGGGATAGTCTCGTTTCACGAATTCTGTAGCATTTTAATAAATATTAAAAAACAGTAATTGAGAATTCTGATTCCTTCATCGTGACAGCTCGTGGCGGTCAGGCTCAGCCGCGCCCTCTTCCTTCTTCCCCAAGTGGGAAAGCAATGTCCGGTTTTCAGAATCGATCGGCGCTTTTCCTGGAGTACAGAGACGTCGAAATCAGAGATAGAAAAGGATTTTTAGTGACGTGAATTAAAAGGGTGAACTAGGTACTGTAATGGACGGAGCCCAAGGGACGCTCTTAGAGGCGATCCATAACGAAATGAAAGTAAAAACTTTTGATCTCTAACTCGGACACAACTGACGATACACAGGGAGAGGTAACAGCGCACTAATCGGCCTCTCAAAAGATTAGGCAGCTCAAGTACTAAGTGTTCGCAGCTCTTGATTTTATGTGCCGCTATAGACAAAGACAATGTAGAAGATGGCAAAGTTGACTTGCATTTTTAGGACATCGCGAAAGCGAAGAAGAACAAGAAGCCTTTGTTTCTTTCCAAAAAGAAAGCAACAATGAGCAGAAATCAGTCAAAAGACGGCTCAATGTCATCTGGTGTTCATTCTGCCTGGTAAATCAGAACGACAATAATGATCATTTATAAATTACTATAATTGATAGAACCTCCTTAAATTACTATAAAGCGGGGGATCATCGAAATCAGCTCATTTTTAAAAAGCAGTTTTGCAACTACGCTAATGAAATATAACAACCCTTAATTAGCGAACATGACATGCATCCTGATCTCGGTCTTCACTCCAAGAATCACCATGCCAAATCTCGAACAAAGCCAAAAAGGCCCGGTCTTAGATTTTTTGCATCAAGAGAATAATGATGAAATTTCAAAAACCTAAGTCAAGAACAACTGATTCGAGTGCAGCTGTTATGGGAATGAAGCCTTCTATGTCGAGCTCTTCTGGGGAGGATGAGGATCAACTTCCACAACTTAACTGTGGTGTTGCTGACAGTGAGTTGGTCTTCATGACAGAGCAACTGAACAGGCTCAGAAGCCGAGAGAAAAGAGTAAGAGCAGCATACGAGTATTTGATCTTGATTTTTGAAGCAAAAAATTGCGGAGGCCCGATTGACTGTTACCGAAGCAAAATTGATGGAATTTGCAGCAAAGTTAGCTGCGCGAAAGTCGAAGGTGGAGGAAAATCACGCAAGACTCAAAAATCGGAAAAATCGCATTAGAGAGAAGGAAGAAAAAATTCGAGAGTTGGAGAGCGAGCTAAATGCCCTCGACGAAGAGATAAAAAGCAAAAGCGATATTCTTAAAGAGCGCGAAACGGTGAGTTCGTGGTTCAAATTTTGGCGGCGTTAGAGACCGCGCCGATTTGCCGCCGATTATTATCATTATAATCACTCCCTCTAGAAATTGAAGACGCAGGAGTCGGGGGCCACGGAGAAGGATGAACAGCTCAAGCAGCGCGAAATCGATGTTTCCGAAAAGCTGAAACAGGTTTCAGAAAATCATTATCATCTGCGACATAGGTCCCATCAAAGACTAACAGTCCCTTTCAGATTGAGCAGCGACAGCGAATCGTGGAGAAGAAAGAAACTATGATCCGTGAAATGTCGCAACTTTTAATCTCGCAAGAAATGAGTTCCACGCGCGAGCTCAATTTTCATACGCGAAGATTCAACAGATATGGAGATGAGCGAAAACATGCTAGGTAGAAAGTATGAATTTTCTTTTTCTCAAAAAAAATTTCAAGCGACGAAGAAATATACGACACTTTCAGCCGTTCAAAATCAGCGATGGATCTGACGAAAAACCTTCAAATGGCGAGTGTCTGGGATGTTGAGTACAACAACAACAACGGACTCAATCATGGTCAACAGTTATCTTCTTCCACCCAGAATCAGCAAAATATGCAACAGCTACGCACACAGCCTCATGGGAAGTATGAGCCACATTCTATTCAAGGTTTGCCATTATTGCATAAATTTTCGAAGATAGGTAAAATCAAACCTCTTTTAAGAAATCGAGCCAACTACGAGCGGCTCGAGTAGCAAAAAGCAGAAAAACGGCTTTCAGCGAATGTTTGCTAACATGAAAAAATCAAAGTCAATGGACAAGCTGAATACAGCAGAAATGATATCTTCTTCGCGCGACATTGATATGGGTTCAGATTTCAATGGTGCTGCTCATAACTCTGGAAATGAGTCTCCAAAGAAATCACCTAAAAACGGGAAGTCGAAGAAAGGAGCGCCATCTAACAGTGGATCAACGGTACCTGAGCCGCCCATGAGGGTTTCGTCCATGGACTCACGTCATATGTTCCAAGTTGATAAAGGAAAAGGTTTATCTCATAATTAATAGTTCATCAATTATATCGTTATCTGATTTCTGATAACGACTACTGAATTTCAACCTGAAAAAGGAAATTTTACAAACTTCCAGGAAAATCGAATCGCTCAATTTAACAACCCGCAATTTATGTTTTCTGAGTACTGCAATCAATTCGGCGATAACAAGAAATCGGTTTCATGGGGACAATCGGACGAGCCCGGTCAGCCTACAAGCTCATCTGGTAGGTGCCACTCCTCGCAAAATCCAGACAGCCCACATTATCCAACATCTTACTGTAGTTTTCGATATGCGCAAGCCGGGGCCGCAATACAACATCACAACCCGGATGAATATCTGATTTGAATCCAAAGCCAAAGTAAGATAATGAAACAAAAAGAACATCTTTTGCTGCAATCATGCTCACTGTACGCTTCTTGAGCCTCGAAACCGACCATTGTAATTACAAGTCCTATGTTACTGTCTTTACTGACGCACTGTTACTAACTGATGATGTGACTGACTCATTTTCTGACCTCACTGACTTATAAACCAATCCATTTTGATACTCCTTGTTGTCTTCAATGCTTTTTTTTAGTTGGAATCATGCCTTCAGGCTCAGATAGGGTGCGTATGAACATGTTCTCACGAAATTCGCAGAATGAACGTTTATTTAACTGCGGAGTCACACTACTCCTCTAAATCTACGCAAGATTGTTTCTGGAGAGAAGATTGTTTCTATACTTTCGTAATAGGGAGGAATTTTTCCTTTCTAGGTAAATTGCAAAGAGCGCCTGCTTGAGGAAAAGACGAATTTGATGTTACGTTTTTTTTGTATTTAACAGGGTATCTCAATTCAGAGCCACGTCCAGCGAAAACGGACAAAGCCGAGCGTGGATCCGGATGCACATGCACGAGAAATGTGAAATGTGAAATTTTCTGTGATGATGTTTTGTCAGTAGTTGTGAAAATGGTCATGTAAGTGGATGTTTGAAACAATGAGGGTTGGTTGATGAACTTTCGCAGTGCTTAGTAGAAATCCTGATTAAGTAATTTTTGCTTTTTTTCGTTTTTTTGATTTTGCGACTATTTGGAAACGAGAAAAGACGTGGTGAGGTGAAACAACGGGTGCTTCCCGTGGCGACATTGGCGGCGTCACGTGGCCACGAATAATCTTGGTACGTTCGGTGCCACTTTGAGCTAAATGGCGCGGCGGCGCATTTTGGAAGGACGCCTGAGCTACTGCACTACACTGGGCTATTATAGATTCACTAGTCCGCGCTCTAATATGCCGCGAGCGTCGAGATTAGTGATTTTGAGAAAAAAGCTGGGCCGCTGCTTATCAGCGACTCAACTTGTGAAAGGGCTCAAGTGCAGGTGCAGTAGAGTGTGTCCTTGCAACCGCCAGTGCCATTTTGTCCGTGCTTAATGTGACAGGCGAGCATACTTTTGTCGACCACGTGACGTACCGCGGCGAAACACATATGAAACTTCAACACGAAGGATATGTTAGAGCAGGATAAAAATGCGCATAGCGAAAAATACGAGTCATAAAAGAAATTAACACAAATTATAGTAATGGCGAGAATGGGTTAAAGACATGCGTCTGTCGATTCGATGGCGCAATGCCAGGGGAAATTACAGGTGAAAGGGCCTACCGACACTGCCCCGCACGTATGAGCAATTCGCACTCCTGCGTACGGGCCAGCCTCACTAGAAGTATCACTCAAAGGTTATTGGGTTAGGGTTTAATCTAAAAGGAGCATCATCATCAAGGGGTCCAAACCACCAGCTTGTTGTCCAGTGATTGGGTCGACGGCACCGCCTCCAAGACCACCGCTGAGGAGGAGAAGTGGAAGAAGGTCATCGGAGCTGGAGCTAGAGGATCCAAGGCCATCACCGAGAAGGAGGAGTGGGAGAAGAGAGTTCATGCCACCAGCGCCCATTCCACCGGGTCCAGCGAGGCTGGTAAGGAGAAGAAGATCGGTGAGCTTGTTCTTCTTGCCGAAGTCACTCTTGGCGGCCTTGTAAGCAGTTTGTCGAGTTTTTTCGCATGCCTTGATATCATCGGCAGTGGCGCCGGTCGCGCCAGCGCAAGTGGTGTATGCATTGTCAGCAGCTGTTTTAGCGGCAGCACAGTCAGTCTGTTTTTTAGTGGTCTCTGCATTAGTACAGATTTCGTCCATCTTAGCAGAAGTGATTTCATCATCACCGAGAAGAAGAAGAGGAAGGATAGAGCTCATGTCACCAGCGGCTCCACCGGCACCTCCGAGACCACCGCCGAGGAGGAGGAGTGGGAGAAGGTCATCAGAGCCGTCAAGGCCGTCACCGAGGAGGAGGAGAGGGAGGATACCCTGCATACCACCGGCAGCACCACCGAGAAGACCACCAGCAGCTGGGGCCTGTGGGGCGACTGGCATGGGGTTGAATTGAGCGGCAACGCACGAAAGGATTGCGGAGAGTTTCATTATGTGTGTTTGTAGGACTAAATGATAATGTTAATGGTTGACGTTCTCTAATTTTATTATTCTCTGTGGTCTCTTGGCCGTTCTCTATAAAAACGTAAAAAATGCTCACCTTGGCGCTTGTTTCACCTCAGATCTAACTAAAATAAAACGGTGAAGGCTTTTGCTTTTATCGTATGGTGGAGCACTAGACCGGTTTGACAAGGCGCCCCAGGCAGAATCGCTCCACCACCACCACTACCACTAGCTCATTTCGTCTCAAGGGCTCCATCAAGAGGTTCAACACGATGATGACGTGAGCCATCGACCCAAAAGCAGCACTCGTTCTTCTAATTCGGTAACTCTTGCGTATGGTGATTCATGGTCCTCGTCCCTAATAACGAAACGTTTATTTAGTTACGGCAGATTACTACTTTCGAACACCCGGCTTATTTAAGTTTCTACGCTTTGGCGTTTATTTCTCAACGTCTTTTGAAAAATGCCTTCCTCATCGAGGATCGTCATGGAGGATTTCGCGTAAATACGGAATAAAAAAACACTTGAAACAAATAGAAATCTCGTTGATTTCGTGAATACTATTAACATATGAAAATGTTAGAAATTTTATGTTAAAAAACCTGATATATATTATGTTATTATTGCCTGTCACTATTATCATTAAGCGGTACAGTGAAGCATAAACGGTTTTTCTTTCGGAGGAAGTAAAACGGAAAGATATGGTCCATATTATCTGTACAATCATATCAACTTGAAATAGTACCGAATTCCTTTCTCACTCTCGCCTTGCCGCGACAACTTGACCTGGAGACACGAAAATGAATATTCCGACCTGTCAAAAATTTTTGTAAAAAAATTAGACGGATCAACGTAGCAACGCTTTGAAGAAATCTTTCGTGACTACACCACCGAAATACACCACAATTTTTAAAGATGATGGTGGGCTGTCAAGCAGAACGGACTAACGATTTCCCACCACCACCACAATTTGTGGGAAACTAGGAAAGCATCTTTCTCACGTGACACCACGTTAATATAAGTTTGATCATGGAACAATATGCAAAGCTTTAAATTGTTTGAAACTCGTCAAAACATTGGAACAAGTGTAGATTGGCTGAGATAAATGCGTCGAAATTTTATTCTGAGAATGTAGTAAAACAAAAAAAAACTCACTGCTCACGGCTTTGAGCGTCTCTATTTTCGATCAAATATATTTTGGTTCTTGCCCTGCTCCATCAACGCTGACATCATCATCATTTGGTTGTTATCGGTCTAAATATCATTTCATGTAACCACAAGTTATTCCGAGAAGCTTACTCTTGGTGGGCTAATATATCCTGTTCGTGGATCTCGAATAGGTGGTTGCGGCATGTTCATGAGCATCGGCATCATTTCGTCTCCTCCATTCATCATAGACATCATCATTGGGAGCATGGGATTGGCGCCAGGCTGCGTGGTAGTTGTGCCAGACATCATCATCATCAGTGGCAAGATTTTCGAGATGTCGTCATCTCCTGCTCAAAAAAGTTAGCTGTTTCTCGAACACGAGTTCTTACCATCTTCGCCACCGCCAAGCAGAAGCAAGGGGAGCAAACTCGAGGCGCCTTCCGCAGCCATGCCACCTTTTGACATCATAATCAGAGGCAACATCATGAGTGGATCGAGACCGTCGACCTAGAATGTAGACTTAGCAGTAATCCAAGACGAGTGGTATTCTCGAAACACTCTTGCCCGTTTTTTAAAGAACGGCTGAGGAACTTGTGTGAAGAGGTTCTACTTACAACGTTTCCATCTTCATCAGTCTTTTCCTCAGACATCATCAGCATGAGAGGTAGAAAGTTGGCCATAGCATTGGAGTCAGCTTCTGATTCACCTCCACCGTTCATGAGCATCATAATAGGCAAGAGTCTCATCAGTGGATCGTCGCCTCCATTACCCTTAATTATTTTTAGAGGTCTGGCAATTACCTCTATCAATCTAATCACAACATGGCGTAAGAACAAATTGGTAAAAGATTTCCTCAAAGTCCACGTTGGGAAAAAATACTTACACCCATCATCATAAGCATAGGCAACATTGCAGACATCTGAGAAGATGGTTTTTCATTTGATTCGTCAGAAGGGTTTCCAAAAAGTCCACCTTGCATCATCATCATCATGGTCATCATGTCCATTCCAGAGTTAGACTCGCCATCAGGTGATTCCTCATCGTCCTAAATGTCCGATTAGTTTAATCATGATTGGACGTAACAAGAAAATTTCGGTTAGTAATTATCGCATAATTGGATCTCTCAAGAATGGCGGAGGCACTTGACTTGACGTGGCCTTGGTGAATTGCTAAGGCGAATCTCTTTGGCAACTACCTCCAAAAGTTGTGTCATAAGCATGATCTGGAGTGGGTCAACTTCCTCGCCTCCTGACATGGCCGACATGGTCAGAATCTGCGTCAGATCCATTGCCTGCGACATTCTCGTCAGCAAGCTCAGAATCAAAATAAAAAACATTGTAGTTGCTTCTTCTCGCTCTGCGCCTCTAAGTGAAATGGAAATTCTCATCCTGGGTGAAAAACCAAAACCGCTTAAAATTCGTAATTGGTGGCATGAATTTTTCAATTCCAGCGCATGCATGAGTAACGTCGCCATCCAGAAGGTCATTAGTGATTTATACCGTAAAACGAGCTTTGACTATTTTCACAGGGGTTCTGCTTCATTATAGAATCAAATTTTATCGGGATAAACTTTTAACACGAGTAGGTTTCGCGTTTAAATTTCCGATTTCATGCTGATTTGACCGTAATACTCGCAACGTGAATTGAGCCGTTGCGAATGTCATTTTCGAACTTCAGACCAATTGACATTGTAGAAATTCATCAATCTATATCAGTCGTTAATTTATTACCATCACATTTTTTTGATATCGTAATTGAAAACCAGACTCAATATTTCATTCAGTTTTGTTCAGAATGGACTTTTTAGTGAGTGTTTTAAAATATTTGTCTTGACAATAATGACAGCTTGCATGTGTGTATATTAAACAATTATGCGCTTATATGATTCGATTGTTATTTTGGCGATCGAAAATGGGCAGCATTCCGTGCCCACGCGTCTCGAGAGACTCCACCATCGCCACAGCACCAACACCACGTGCGTTGAGCGTCATCGCATTTCACAGAAGTGAAAAAATCTAATAATCCCTCTCATGACCACAACGTGTTTCATAAAATGTATCTTGCGAAATTGAAGTTACTAAAAAGTCAATAAAATGATTCAGGGGCATTACAGTAACACCGAACCTCATGATTGACAATCGTCGAAAGTTTCAGTGAATAAAAATTTGGCAAAAACATAAATTTTGATCAGTATTTAGTTAGCTAGCCTTTGAAATGAGCTACGTTAGCGTGTTTGTATATTTGTGGTTTTAAAAGCAGTTGGATCAAACTTGGACCACAATATTTGGACAAAAACGTAAGATGCAAGTCTTGTGCCAAAAATAAGAACCCACGCAGTAGTCGTCATTTCAACCCCACAAAAATATCCATGTGAATGTAGTGTCTAGTACTTCCTGAAACTAAGAGGCCGAATCTAAAAGAGGAATCTAAGAAAATAGCTTACGACTTGAGTTTCTTATCCGCATGCGTTCTTGTAAATTACGTGGCGCGCGCGTCAAAAGTGAACATTGATAAATGCGAGCATGAGTTAGGTCCTTAATCAAGTATGGCCCAGGGGCCGACAGCTGCAGTGGGGCAAATGAAAGAGATGGACTTCTAATAAGACATGCTACGATTATATCATTTATTCATCGCTCGGCATGGGTGCCCACGCGCTTTCTCATCGTTCTTTGCCCGGGGATGAATTTAAATGGCGCCTCCAAGCTGTGACGCAAATTTTTTCAGTTAATCTAGTTTTCGGTTACGAATCTGGAGCAACCTCACTGCTCCCTTATATTTACGACACAAAATATAGACAACACGAAGCTTAATTCTTGAAAAGACTTTATGACTCTGCGACTTTTCCTGTGTTATTCCTATAGATCTGAAGAAAGACGTTTTCCTACCGAACAAAGAAGACAATCTTGTAAAAGGATAGACTCACGAATATTAATTAATAAACTACTCGTCGTTAAAATGTTGAGTCCAAGGGTCGCTCAGCGATCAGCTGTAGTTTTTCGAAAGCGAATAACTCTACCCGATCGTAAAGGGAAGACAAAGAAAGTAATTATCGGCTGGGGCGGCATCAATTTTTATGAGAGGAAAAAGAAAACACACCATTCATCGGTGATCTGAAGTTCCCAGAGAAGTAGAGAAATACACTACGGGAGAATACGCAAACTCTTTAGACTTGGAACGATTCTTCAAAAAAATGTCCCGGAAAGGGACATCTCTTTTAAAAATGCTTGTTAAGGGGGACAAGTAAGTAATTTTGAGCATTTTGTCAAAGCAAGCCTTGAATATTTAGATTGACACTGCTCTGTATATGTCTAATTTTGCTGAATATTCTCCAGTATTCAAGATACGACTCGGTAACCTGCCAAAATATACAATTGTCGAATAATTTGCACGGAGAATTATTTGAAAGAAAAATTCCAAGAAGCGAATTTATAGAAAGAAATGGAGATGAATATTCTCAGATGACAGACAATGATGATGACTCTTCATCAAGTGAGCTTTCAGTGTGGTTAAAGAAGTCTTTGCTAATCTATAAACAATATGGCAGATATTTTTGTGAAAAGAGTGTCACGATCTTTAAATTGCTTTCGTTTCAAAAACAAAATACGTACAGAGTTCGTCTTCTCAACTCGTAATCCCAGCTTGTCTTTAACCTTAGCAAAAGAAGACTCAGAAAGCATAGAGGATTCAAAAGATGAGAACGAAGACTTGGATAGCTCTTCAAACGACAGTTCCGAGAAGGAAGACTTCTGGGAAAATGGCAAAGAAGACGGGAGTCTCATTGCTCTTCAATCTATCTTCGACTCGATAGAAGACGCGGAAGTTCCACTCCAGGAAATTCCGATAAAACACAGGCACTCGGCTTTATCCGCCCTTAATTTGGGTTTCGATGGAATCAGACTGATTTCATCAGTCATATTTATTATTCACACTTGCTTTGTTTATTCCCTATAAAAACAAAATTATGTGAATAGCCGCTTGAAAGTGTGTTAGTGGTGGTGAACACACCGAGCTCAAATCATGCGACGCTTCACGAGGTGTCATCGGATATCCGCATGATGCACCGTCAAATGGCGCGTCTTGCAATGAAGCTTTATCCATCATTAAAAGTCGACGTTCAGTTCTATGGCAACTTTCTTGACCCAAACGAGAAAGTTTTCGGCGATTTTCGTTTTACTTCTCACATGCCATTAGCGCCTCTTCAAAATGCCTACAAGGGAAAGTGGTCGGAGTACAGTGCTATTGTCTGGATCGCAAACGGGCTCAACATCTTTGACATAACAACGATTCAAGATGGTATAGAAACTGTTTCCACTAGCTCTCCAGGAAAGCGGTAGAAAATTTAGGAACTAAGACTCAAGATACAGCTCCTGATTCCAAGTTACCAGTCACTATTGAGATCAGGACCTGTAAGATTTTTCGTTACCGAACAAAGGAACGCTTTTGTGTGGTGTTGGAGTAACTGGCAAATCTTGCGTCGCTGACGCAATGATGTTCACTCCTGAAACTGGAAAAATGATTTACATGCGAGGAGCAAACCATCCTAATCCAATGGGGAAAATATCTCAACGATATGCACAGCCATCTTCGATCGTTGGGCCTAACTCATTAAGTGGTTTCTTGCGATCAGATTCACGCTCATTCGAAATTCGCTTCAACAAAAAGATGAACTTATCTTGGCTGAAAATATCGAAAGCCTATCAAGGTAAACGCTTTTCTTTTGTTCAAATAGATGTCATAACTAATTCAGTTTTTACTGCGCATCCAACGAAACGAAATCTACCAAAATATCTCCGTGAAACGCAAATTGTCTCGCAACAAAAACATGTCAAATTTATAAAACCTCCGTCTTGCAGCGGAGATGGTTTCGTGAGTTTCATTAAATCGAGCCGCAAGGGCTCTTTTCGGCGAGATGAGATCCGCAAATATTACAAGGAAATTTTAAAGAAGCAATACCAGGATTCCTTCCATCTGTTCTTTCTTCTTGGAAGTCCATCGTCAAAAGGAAAGGCTCGTTAATGTTTTGCGCGAAATATTTCGACAATAAGTCGTTAAACATTAGTATTAAACGGATACTTAAACTTTGAATACCTAACATTTCGATTTATGACAATATCAGGTGAGCTATAACTAGAGGAAAAATGGCTTACTGACAAAATCAAAGCTGAGAGCGAAAAACACAACGACATAGTGTTATATGATTATGAAGACAATTATGAAAACTTGCCAATGAAAACATTTGCTGGTTATCAGTTTTTCAATGATCACTGTAAGAAGAAAAAATATGCCATCTTCCACGACGACGATATTTATATAAAGCTCAACGAGCTGAAGGGTCAATTAAAAAAGTTGGATCCGTCCGTACCTGAAATAAAGTGTTTAAAAGGTGGGCTTTGATTTGAATTATAATAACGCGACAAATATTTAAAGGAAAATGCATCCCTGAAGCGCCAGCTATGTACTTCGGAAAATACTATACCTGGATTGACCTCTATCCTCCAATGTACTTTATTCCCACCTATAGTAACGGGCAAGCTACCGCTCTCACAGCATCAGCAGCAAAAAAGATATATGAAGCTGCAAAGGAAACGGATTACAGAGAGTTCCGCATCGAGGATATGCTCTACACGGGGATCCTACGTGTTAAAGCAGGCATCTCTAAGATCTCTGGGATGGTGCTTCCAAATGGGGGATCGGTGAGTTCGCACAACCAAGGAATGCCTGATAAAAGCAATTACTTCCAAAAGCTGACCCTACTTTACAAGAATAACAAGCTTTCGCTAAGAGCAATGCCATAACGCTGAGGTCTTAGGTACTTTCATTTTTTTGACATTTCTTCATGCGCTTCAATAAACACCACAGTTCAACAGCTGAATCCTTAGTCTTCCTTGTTTTCATCTGCAAGTATCGAGTATCTCTTTACAAATCTTTATTAATAAATAGCATCATTACAGTTTTTACAGTTGTCTGGACTAAATACATCGATATCATCGTCTACACTGCCTGTCGTTTCTAAGTTCGATTTGGAAAGAAGTGCGCCGCTATCAGAAGATGTTCTCCGTCGTGATAACCCTCGATGTGGTGGAGCTGGCACCTCTTTTGATGCATCGCATTCCGATTTGTGACGCGATCGAACAGGTGTTCTGACGACTGTGCTTTCCACTACTGTTCCTACTTGATTGCTCACTAAAATATCGTTGTTAGAGATAGTCATTGTTAATCGATCCAAAGCTAAGAACTGAGATAGACGTCTACATGAAAGACAAATGTTTCCGAACGTCATATCCTTTTAGTAGCCGACCTTGAAAAGATGGCAAATTGAATTCATGCGTGAATTTCGGGGAACACATGGAAAGACCACGAGTCTATCACCCGCCAGACACAATATTATATTTTACATACCGAAGCATCTAAAGACCCATAATTGGAGAAGCTTTTTACGTAGCGCGTGATTAAGAAATCCATACACCAATGGGTTGAATATGACCACAAAATTCGCAAGAAGAAGTAATGGCGGATGCGTCATTTCACCACAAGCTGGAAAAAATGAAGCGAAGAATCCCCAAATGTTCAAGGGTAGAGGAAGCATCGCAGTCATGATTGTGATCATAATTGTTTTTCTTGTTCTAATAATCTGTTACAGTTAATGTGACACTGGTATCAAATACCTTCGAATGTCTAAAGTTTGTCCAGTCCATAGGGAACTCAAGCTCGCAAGTGACCTCATAGACGCTGAACGCGACGGGGCTGAAGAACCTTACCAGGTTCATTTTTCGCTCGTTTATGGCAAGAAATTAGCCTTTTTTGAGAGAGAATTTGAACCATGCCTGAACCTCCTCTCCCTCCTTTCATATTCAGGCTATTTTTGTTGGCCCTTTTTCTCTCCCTAGGTGTGCGTCTCACAGTTCCTTGCGTAGACGATTTAACATTTCTTTGAGAGCCGATCCCATTTGAGTGTGCATTTATACCAAGTTCTGGTGTTGGTGTTGAAGTGAGTTCATCTTCATGGAGGCGAAGGGATGAACTGTTTAAAGCTCGTTTCTTCTTACTTTGGCGAATTGTCACTTGATAAACTTTGTAGTAGCAAAATAAAGAGGTTCCTACAAAATAGTAAAATTTCTAGTTCTCAGTCTCGTTCCTTACCAAAGCTGGCAAAGTAAGTAAATAAAATTGCTGTTTTCAAGTAGATCGTTTCGGCCCCTTTGTTGCAGTAATCCATTGTGCAGGTGTTAACGTAGAAACTCTCCCTGAAACCAGAAATCCCGAACAGAGGAGGAACCATGACGATTTGAGCTGCGAACATGAGGAATAGAGTAGCCATGAACGCATTCGATCGCTTGCATCTTAATCGTGTTAAAATCACGAATATTGTCAATAGAAGACTACCGTTTCCCGAAAGGCCTTCTGATGATGATCATTCTGTCGAGTGAGATGACGGAAGTGACGAAAAATGAGGTAGATTTCGATGTTTGCGAGAGAAAGGCCACGATTAGACAAGCGGCTCTGGGTATAATCCAGCTGCCCGGGCCCACTATGCGCAATAAATCTCCCAATATAATCGGAAAAAGCCCGAACACACACTGCAGCAGATCAGCGATGGCCAGATGACGAATAAATACGGAAGAGACAGACTAATGAATATACTTTTATTGATCTGTTCGTGTCTATTTCTGAGGTTAAACCGTCCAACTTAGATCCTACTGTAGCTAGGTTGATCGCTCAAAGTTGGAAAGGAAATGAGGCGCCTTCTAAGTAGGATCCAAAATGAATAATTATCTAAGTAAGAATGATAATATAACTTACCCTTGTCCTGAGCCTGTTTATGACTCGCAACACAGAAATATTCAAGATTATGCCGGTGCAGAAAACGAAAAAATAAATAGCTAGCTCTACTGCTATTAGTGGCTGTTCATGAATTCAAAAGATAGTACCATTTACACAATTATATGGTATTTAGAATATTCTTTTAAACTCTTCCTTTGGTCTTGTTGATGGCACCTGCCAAGTGACGGCCAACTCATATTTCATAATCGCTTTAAATTCTCTGATTCCGTCTTCACTTTTCTCTAATTCTCGGACATTTGAAGAAGAATGATGAGTCGAAATCCCTTCTATTTTGCCACATTGGCGAGATAAAAAACAGGGACCGTGACCGTTTTTCGGTGTGAAGCGGTTCACACGCTCACGGCAAGTCGCCCGCCGCACCGCCACCAGGGGCAGCTGATGTGCGTTTATTATTCATAAACCGTTATACATATCTGTATGGAGATCTATCAGAACAATTTGTTTCGCCATATTGTATCTATATGTTCTAAGAAAAAGTTAGTTGAAACGACCGTCATTTAGATTTTGAATACTTTTTCTTCATCTGCAGGTTTGTTAATGACAACTTATTCTGCTAAAACGTGGATTCACGTGACACTATGTGTAAATCCGTTTACTTGAATAATATATTGATAGACTGTCATTTTGGCGTAGAACACTGCTTCATCGTAGATGCAATTTGCCACAATCACGGCCATACAATATTGAAAATGATAATATCTGCTAATGGATTCAGCCGGGAAAAATCTTGTTTGTGAAAAAAAGGTTCAGCGGTTGTTCAATTTAGACTTTTTATTTCGGACTGACAGTGCTTAGAGCAGCGTTAAATTGTCTATTTTCGTATTTTTGCAGAGCTGGAATTGTATTGTTTTCTTTCTTGACAATTTTCTTGATGAAGGATTCGAGTTGGATTATGCCGGCCACAATGGCGACGAATGCAATCGTGAAAAGGGAAAGGACTTTCCATGAGAAACTGGATCGTTCTGGAACGATGGTTTCTTTATTTATGCTAGGCATAACAAGGTTTGTAGACTCAGTCAGACCATGTTTTCCTTTTACATAAATTTCGCAGCAGCCTTTTTGGTACAATTTCGCGCAAGCAGGAATATATAGTCTATCTTTGGTCACATGCTGCTGGCACATGTGGCACATTTTCTTTGTGCATGAAAAGGACGCGAAGGCCAATGGTGCTAGCATCAAGGCGACAGAAAGTCTTGCCATCGTTTGATTTTTTCCGCTGGCTACACAAATGCTGAATGGCATCAATGAGACAAGCCTTGTTTATATGCTCTTGGTCAGTGCTTTCAATGAAGGTATAGTATGAAATAGTAATTCCGCAGCATGGACATTTATTAGAGGGCGCCGTGAGTACATCGCCCTCCCGTGGTAAAAAATGTGTTTCAAGTTTTCAAGATTATTTCAATCAAAGAAATAACGACTAGATATCTTCATCAAGGAAAAGCCTGCCCTGACGGAGATTAATATAGCGTCCCCGATTGACACGGGTATATAAAAACATACTGTCACTCAATTTTAATTATGACTGATGCTTCATATTTAATGCATAAAATTGACATTTTCTTCTCCATGAAAGCGCTCCTCTGGTTCGTTTGAGGAGCATGATTTACTGTTGAAATACACATGAATGGACTCATATTTCACAACTAGCACAAATAATAAATAAGAAATGCAATTCAAAAAGGATAACAGAATATTCTTCATATGCTTATCGGGAATTCTTTCGTAATTCTTCAATAACCTTCTGTCTATCTTTTGGTGCCGCATCGAAGTATCGTTTCGCCTAAATATACTTTAATTATACGGATTAGCTGGCATGTTTTTAACAGTTTCTGAATATTTAATTGAGGGTTCTCCAAAGTCTCTCCATTTTCCTTCCGCCCAATTTGTGTTCATTTCCACCAAAAGGTCAATGATTTCCTCTTGATTTTTTACTTTGAATTTTTTATACAATACTTTTTTACAATACATTAGCCAATTCAACGCCTTTCATAAAGACACAGGTTCAATAATCCGCCATTCATTTTCGTCTATTTGAGTATCAGTCAGCACAACGGTTCGAGCTTGAGAATAAAAAGATGATTTAAAAGCAAGTAATTTACCGGAAAAGTATCCACCAAAGTTTTTATGAAGGCATACCCCAAGAAGTCGTTCGTTTTTCAAATTATCAGGGAGCCGTTCGTTGAGCGCTTTCGAATTATTGAAGATATATTCAAAAAAGCATCCATCTTTATATTCCTGTATATTTGATATTCTCAACGCTTCCTTGGATATCCGCCACATCTGACTAGAGGAAGATGTTACAAACATGGAGGAGTTGTCTCGAATTATGTCAGAAAGTGAATCTGAGTTACATTCTCGTTGACTAAATTTGTCAGTTTTTGAAATATCATATGATATCCAACATAGACTGTGGGAATTCAGATTCTATTGTGGATCATTGCTATAAATTCACTTACCTTTTGGTAAAGATATGCACATCCGCTAATGTGCATTACAGTTTGCATAAGAATTTTAGGTTGGCGATTAGGAAGCATCGTGTAATCATGAATAACATCTTTTATCGGATTAATTTTCTGAGCTCAGATAGTATAACTAATACTGTATAATGTAGATAAAGGATAATTAAACATTTTCTTGAGCGATTTCAGAGACCATTAGTGGAGACTCGCGAAGGATTTCCTTCGTCACAACGTCAATCGGATTTGCAATAGCTTCTTCCGAATTTAATATCTTTGGGAGAATGGACTTCTCGAAATAGTCTGGCTTTGAGATAACCAAATATCCCAGTGTATGCCCTCGATTCAGCTATCAAAAAAGTTCAGTATTTGAAACAATTATCGGGTAAAACTTGAAATTGAACTCATCTTGAATCGATCTTCCACAAGATCATCATAATTCTGCGTATCAAAAGTGTACAGTCTTTTTAAGTTTGCAAAGAATAAATCAAACTTCACAACCTTTGCTCGTTGTTAATTGCAAGAAACTTTCCTGAGGCCTTTTGATTCAAAGAATTCTTCCATTCTAAGAATTCAAACGTAAGATATAAATCAATTTATTCATGTCTGTAAAGGGTATGAAAGAAGAAAGAAAAGGTGAAAAAGGTTGTAGAAAATTAGTAAGGCATTGTGCCACCATTGCCCGCATCTGGATCATCGCAGGAACGTCCGAATGGCTTCGGGATTCCATTAGGACAGCACTGCTTCGAGTCTGAAAGAATAATTTTTCGCGAGGAAGATTACAACAGGCCCCGTAATAATTTTTGATCAGAAATGATCAGTCCCATGTGTCGAATTTGTTACGAACCAATGTTGTAAAGCTTGAAGGCAGATTCACCGTTCCAGCAACACGCCTTTTCTCCTCCTCCGGAAGCTTGTCTAACGCACTGCTCGTCGCTGTTGAAGTCAGAAACGAAGCCATATTGATCTTGGTTTGTTTCCTAAAAAGCGACTCCAAAAGCGCCAATAAAAGATCAACCGACCTTGTCAACAAAAGAGAGAGCTTCTGCAAAGGAAAGATCGCATTCACAAAGAGCTCTGGCACAGGTTCCAGCGGCGTCGGTACATTTCCTTCCTCGAAGTCCATATCGGATCTTAATCAACAAGTGACGACTAATGAAGGAGACTGAACTCACCATTTCGGAAATGCAACTTTCACCGAACTCTTCTTTTGCACATTTCGCGCACTGCTTGAATTTCTGGCACACAGTGTCCAGCTCATCGACAGGCTGTCCTTTGCCAGGATCAGATAGAGGACGATCTCCGAGTTCAGGACAATTGCATCCATAATCCGTGATGCTCTTGAAAATAAAAATGCTACGACTGAATAAAAATGCATTCGGTACCTTTTTGTCAAAGTCAGGGTCGAAGAGCTTCGCCATAGACTCAAACTGGTCGTATCTACGACCACCAAGGCCTGGTCCAAGAGAAAGTTGTCGGGGACTGAGAAGAACTTGTGCCTCGTCAACTGAATTTACAAATTAATTTGGATGCAACTCTTATCTCTTTTGTGCAACAAGTAATCTCTCGTTTGTTTAGGAGGATTACCTTCTTGAGCCAGAGCCAAGGAAAGGATAGCAACTGTGACCTTCATTGTTTTGCCTTTTTAATCTCAGAAAACTGGAGGAAATTATAAGATATCCGTGGGATGATTAGGAGCTTCGCTTTTATATAATTATGGAAATGAGATGTCAACGATTTGAATTCCAAAACGTGGCCAAAAATTAAATATGTCACTAATTATGTCACAAAAGGCAATAGCTAAATTAGACACTTCTAATTTTTTTTCGAAAAGCCTAACACAGTTTTAACTCAATAAGCCCCTCTAATTCGTGATAATTTATCCCTGATAAATAATAAGACTCGAAATAAGTATTTTTGATTATTAATTTTTATTGATTCTTAATCGCAGTGTCAATAACATCAGCTAGTTTTTTTCGAAGAATATCAATCTCTCTTCTTTCCATTCCAATGGCAGATGCGAGAGCTAAATAGGGATGCGGAAATGCGTCATGAGAGCTTCCATAATTCTTGAACGTCAAACCATTTATACTCTTATTGATTCCATCACAAGGAACAACTCTACAAAGGCTCGATAAGTTTTATAAAATCCTAAATTGAAGTCTAGACACGCTTGCCCACAGATAACCTGCGGTCAAACGGATGTGAAAATATGAGCTCACCTGGGACCGGATATGTTCCGTCTAAACAGTCTAGACCCCAAATCAATCAATTGCCTGTTTCCGGCATCTTCATCACGAATGAACCGTTTTAATGAGAGCGCAACTGACACTCCGTTGTATCCGAGAATTTCCATGCTTCTTTCTTCGCCAAAACTTTTCAATTCTGAAACAAGATAGGAGAAGTTCTCTTCTTGTTCCTTGATAAGTCGTTGGTATCTACATGGGTTGAAAATATTGAAAAATAATCCAAGTGCATTAAAATTTGCAACAGGAAGAATGCAGGATTAATTTTTTGAGTTTCAACCTTGCCCAGATCTCCCCATCTCGAGAAGTGTTATAAATAGGTCTAATATCGGACTCATGCATGCTCTGCCTGGATAATTCTTGGCAACCCTCTTGGTGATAGCATCTTCGTCCTCAATTATTTTATATTATTTTATATAATATAATGCTAGAAAATTCGAATGGACTACAATATCTGTGTCTCGTAGCCATGGAATAATTTAGAGAAGGCTCGGTAAACTTGCCTCCGAATGGGAAATACCTTGTGAGGGGAAAGAATGATTGATCCACCAACTGGAGTGAGGAAATTTTTATCCGTGGAGCATACGACCGCGTCGATCCTTGCCTTATTTTGGGATGTTGCGCACTCATGAACCAAATGCCTCGCTTTTTTTATCTTTGCGGAAGTCTCAAGCTTGCCTGGAAAAAATATATTCGCCAGCTGTAGCAGATTTCCGTACGTTCCGTTAGAAAGTAAGCACCGTTAACTATATGTGGAATTTCAAATTTTTTTGCTAATTTCCCAATACTAGGAATTTTGTCAGGACGTCTTGGCGCAAAGCAGGAGATGGTAGAATGGATGCATAAAATGTTTTCGGCCCCAAGAGATTCGATCTTCTCTTCGATTGCTTTCAAATTTGTTTCCAACTGATAGTTAACCATGAGGGGTTCGATGGGATGGACAATTAAATTCAACGACAACATTGATTTCAAACAGGATTTCTGATCTATTCTCGGCCAAATCACATGCTTCGCTGTCGGACGAGAATGTAAAAGAGCTAAATAAATTCTCAATCGAAATTTCTATGTTCAGTCTTTTAATTACCAATGAAGCACTCTCTAAGAGCCATCCCTGTAGCCATCGGAAGCACAAGACCAGATTTTAATCCCTTCGCAAAGTCTGAGAATGTATCTTCGACATAGCAACTTACATGAATTTTTGATATTGTTAAGTCTTCTTAGACCTTTTCCTTGATTCCAACTGCTCTAGTAGCGTCTAGCGCGAGTTCGTCTGTCACCTGGCAAATTATGGAGCTTCCCGCTGCTTTTGGCTGAGGATCCCGGATATTACCACTGCGCCCGATTCCATGTGTCAAGTTGAAATGTCGTTCTTAGGATAGATACAGCTGTCGATTCCGAGAAACACTCGTTTAGCGATCGTTCCATCTGTTTGTTTATACCATTCCTGATACCATACGGCTAAAAACTCTTCCTTCTCGTTCACCAGCTCCTACTTTGCCCGAGAAGTTATTACTTCAAAAAGGTCAAAAGCTAAAGACCAGCAAGAAAATTATATTTCCAAATAAGCAATCTACTTCAAATCTTCTGACCCTTTATTCCTGTCAGAAAGCGCGAGTTCAGAGATTAAATGCCTGATTTGGGCCTCCGGTAATCCATTATCCGGTAGCTGTTTATTTTCGATCAGATGCGTAACTAAATACGAAATATATCTATCAAGCTTCACTACATGTTATACCTATTTTTCTATAGCTAATAATATGCGAATCCGCAACAGATGAATGGGCTTCCGGTATTATACGACTTTCTGCCCCGGTTTTAACGAGACTCATTTTTCGATAATATCTAAAATATACACCACGTGAAAAGTTTAGTTATAGAACTTCTTCTATTTATTCTCAAGGGAGTATCCTTCAGTAAAAACAGACACGTGTTACTAGCCAACCATCGATCTCTTTCTTCCTCTCGCTCGCACCACTTCTAGTCTTTGAAAAATCTTTCGTTCCAACTCTACGCCATTTTTTCCTTCTCGAATTTTCTCCCGGTATCCTGTTAAAAATCCTGTCGTCAGTCCATCTCGCTTAGGATGAGCACTTTCCATTGCCTAAATATTGATACAGCTTGCCTCTTTCCCAAAACTAGGCGCCCTAATAACTGACCTTTTCCAAAACGTGCAAGTCTACTGCTCGGTTTTCTTCAGTCGAAGTTGTGCTCGACAATCCGAAATCAATAACTGACACTCTTGAATTCGAACCAGCCTCTGCTTCCGGGTTAATTATGAAATTAGAAGTTGTAAGGTCACTTTGACTGGCTTGACCTGCTTTTAGACGCTAAAATTTAAAGTAAAAATGAGATTGCTGGTGGCAGCCTTTCCCGTGAACAAAGCCTGCTAAATGAATGGCAGCAACCAAAGCGCCAATTTGAGCTCCAACATTTCCGTCAGCATCGTATACTAATCAATGGAGATTTCGGAACATTCGCAATAATCGAACCTTTGTCAATGAAATTTTTAACGGCGATGCCTTTGACTTTGCTCATGAAAACGCAACAACTCTCAAGATCGAAATGGAGGAGACGAGGGGCAGGGATATTCTTTTGGGCGCATTTTTTCAATGCTCTTGATTTGGCTTTTACACTCAACGACAAATAGCCTGCTTCAATTCTCTCAAAAGCCGATTCCCTGACTTCATTTTTTACATTGGTCTGGCGGATGTGCTTGTCCAACTCGGCAACCCGATATTTCTTTGAGAACCTCTCCTTGCAAATGACCTCATTTCCGTTTATTTTTGTCAGATATAGACGTGCCTCGGCGCCTATATTCACGTGAAAACGAAGAATCCGGGTAGAACCGCCAATTAGAAATTTTAAAGCCAAAGACAAATGAAATATTCTCCAAGCGGATGATCTTTTATCTTACCCTGACAGAAAGATTCTCCACTCTCAGGACAGACGTACTGTTCAGTCATCTGAAGGTTCAAGATCAGAATGCTTTGGAATACGATCATTCGTTATGAAACTAGGAAGGGAAAATACATTTCTATTCTTCTAGCACTGTTACTCGAAGAATGAGAAGAAGGAGTTATTAGGACTGTATCTCGGACAGTTTAAGGTTTATTTGCTGAACAGAGGTTGAAATGGAATGTTGGTAGACAGAATGGAAAATAAAGAAAAGTATTGAGCTTGATTGAATAGATAAGATTCGAAATCGGCAATTTACAGAAAAATTGAATGAATATTCTAGAAAGAATGAGCCATAAGTTGTTCATAAGTTAAAAGGATAGAACGAATGGAAAGGAGTAGTTGATAGTTTTTCTTTTGGCAGATTGCGTTTTGAGCAATTTAGAACTATCTATAAGGATGTCGTTGAGGTTTATAATACGCAGCTAATTCGCTTTTTCGATTTATTCGTGGCCCCATCATCGCGGGCTAGAAAAATATTGAAATCGAAGAAATATAACGAGTATATTTTTAAGTTGGTTGATAGAATAAAGGCAAGACTTACATTTTGGGGTGCGTACGCTGGGCTAAAAAAAACCTTTAATTTTTGGATACTCAAGAATATAGGAGTTTTAGATTTAAGAGGTAATCAAAATAGCACCTAGGCACAAACACGTTGATCACCGTTAAATTAAAATAACCACCACGAGAGTATTCGTCTACAGTTTAGTTCTTACCGATGTCAAGCGTCAGACCTCCACAAGATCTAACGTGACCGGTCTTTTACATGAAGTATTCAAATTTCTTCAAGGAAAAAATGAGATAAAGCTGACTCTAGGCGACTTACTTTGGTGGGTAAGGATTTGGTCCGTGCGGAGGCCCCATTGGCCTCGGCGGGTATGGTCCTCGTGGTCCCGGCCCCATGAAGCCCGGGTGCGGCCCATGTGACCGACCGATGGGCTGATGTTGAATTGGGCGTCCACCCTTTCCGCCGTGAGGATTCTAGATTAAGTGTTAGATTAGCAGCCATTGCTGAGAGAAGAAAATATGGCATATTAGATATGCTAGTACATGAGCGATTACATTTACACGGTAGCGAGTTTGATCTTGCACCCAGTCACTGGTAGACCCGTACGCGGACGCGGGACCATGCTCGTCCGTAGTTGGACTGTGGTTACAGGTGACAAACAGGTTAGCGAGAATATTTCTGTGAGTATTTTTTTCTCATGCTTATAACTTTAATTCAGTCCATCAGTGACAAAACATATTCCAAGTATAAGATTGTCTTTTTCGCATTTAATTATTCAAGAATTCGACACGGGAGATGTATGTGTCACAAATTTCTTTAAGTGGCATAATTTTTCGTTATGTAAAAAAGAACAAAGGGAATTAATTTGAATTGATTAATCTTCGATAGAAGGCGACTGAATTCGCTTTTACAATAACTTTCTCTGGAGAATTTCGAGAGAAAAATTGGAGATTATGTTCTTAATTTTTGATATCTCACGACTTCTATTTTCCATGTCACGTGTTTCCTGTGATGCCGTCGACGCGCGTCACCAACCCAACCTCGAGGTTTAGTTTTCACCATTTGAACAGCCATTCCACTCCGTAGTGCTTCTGAAGAGCAAATGGTCACACGTTTCCATTTTCGGAAAGAAGTGAGTTCAAATGGCATAAACCAATCACACCGGTACAACACCTTCCTACAGAAATTTCGAAAATATCTGCAAGATGAGCATAAAAAGACACACACGAAGATGAACAGTCACACCGAAAAGTGGATACCTTGAAGGTCCATGAATCGAACTCTTTGGGACTGGATGACGGAGTTTGTATCGGAGTGTGATTGGCTTGCCATTTCTCTCCGATAAAGATATTCCTGAGCGACTCTACCTTTGTAATGAGACTGGCTGTAACCCGGCATATAACTCGACGCAATCGACGGTTCATACTTCGACTTTCTATCCGACCTTGAATTCGCGTTATAACGAAGTACTGGCTGTATTTAATATATACCGATAATGCTTCGAATGTCTTGATCTTCCAGGGCTATAAGATCTACGAGACGAGTCTACAGATCGATTTCGGCGTTTTGCGCTTTTGGAACGCTTCTTTTTCTTCGATCTCTCGGAAGAGAGACTGCGATGTTTTCGCGATTTAGACTTCTTATGTTTGCGATAGCAGTCTGAGGAAGAAGAACTCGTAGACGAAGAAGCGCTGGAGTCCGAAGACGTAGACCTCCTCCGCCTGGATTTTGATCTGCCTCTCGATTTGGACCGTCCTCTTGAACTCGATCTCGATCGTCGTCGCGACTTTGAACGACCCCTTGATTTGCCAGGTGAACTCGATCTGGAACGACCGCGCGATTTGGAGCGACCGCGAGATTCAGATCTTGCTCTTGACTTCGATCGTCCTCTTGAAGACTTTTCTTCTAAAATCAAACGCTCGGCACTGCGTTGACGCTTTGCCTTTCTCACGGATTCAAATAATTCTAGTAGTAGAAATATATATTTGTCAGATATATATTTTCAGATATATTATCAGATAAAACAATATACAAATTCAAATAATTAGCTTAGAAAGAGATATTTTTATCCTGTTCCTTATCGCGCATTCGACGAGCTCGAGTGTCTGGTTCAGATTCATACTTCGTTGCCTTCTCCTGCTTAGTCGGATTCTGTTGATGATGAACGGTCTTTTTCGTTTTGCCTTTCAAGGATTGTTCGATGATTTGCCGATGGTTACCAAGGTCCGATTAACATAAATAAATCAGTGTCTTACAATCATCGCTTCTAGACTAGGCGAGTTTATGACGAACGGGTTCCGCTCGAAAAATGACCATGATTCGACGGTGAATTTCAATTAAATTAATTAACATCTATTGCAACATCGAAAATCTTTCCTGAAGATCTTGGTGAGTGTTCCCTGAATTCGTCGAGCTGCTGCTGATAGGTTTTGCCTTTGGGAGAAGAATGAACGGGTTCCGTTTCTGCGATCGGAGTCGGAGAATATCTTTTGATGTCGGATGGATTAAACTTCGAAGTGATCAGAGGAGCTTTTTTCGGGTCTGGTTTCGGCGGATTCCAAGTCTTAGTGACTGCACCTTTCGTATTGCTGCTAGGTCTTGGAGCGGCCTCGATTAAATCTCCTGCTGACTTTCGTCTGACTCGAGGCTGTGGCTTCGTCGGTTTATTTTCTGAGTAAATCATTTTGTTGGCTTCGCTGGATCCTGTTGAGCCAGTCGTGCCCATATTGCCGCCTGTCGAGCGACGAGGATTAGGAACAGGCTGCACGGGTACCTGCGGTGAGACGCGAATACCATTACTTGTACTCTTCACGAATGGGGCACTGAATCGGGCATGTTCGCCCTAGAAAATATTTGAACTCGAATGCATAAGCGAAAGAAATCAAGAGAGAAAATCGATTAGAAATTACCTGTTTTTGATGTTTTGGACCAGAGACGACAAATTTGAACAGTCTTCCACCACCATCCTGGGTCGTCAAACTTGAGGATTCTTTTCCATGCTGAGGAACAGCAGTGTTCAAGGACGATTCAGTCGGATGTGACTTAGTGTTCTTGGCGTGAGTTGAATCATGCAACACTTTAGGAGAATCGTTTACCGGGCGCGCAATCGAATTTGTTTGATTTTCGTAATCATGATTAAAGTGCTGTGATTGGTTCACAGCGATGGATGATTGAGTCGGTGTAGTGTACTTATTTCGGGTTGAAATTTTGGAATTATCATAATAATAAATACCAATAAATTATGGGCCCCGTGTGCACATTTTTCACGTGGACTGTCTTTTTTGGTAATGATTGCTAGTCTGCCAGCAAAAAAAATAATATAGATCGAATTTCTTCGTACTGAATTTAAAATAAGCTCGTTTTTAGTGGAATGATACCCAAGAATCCTGAGTCAAGATATTGAAAGATCTAACCCTTTGCCTGAAAGTCTGAGCCAGCAGCAGACCAATTTCCACCAGAATCACTCCTGTCTACTCCGAGATACTGTTTCGGCCGCGGTGGAATTTTCTTTGGCTTGGCGGCGACAGGAGGCTTCGTTTTTACTCTGGAAATGCTGGAGACTGGTTTATTTACTTCAAAACTATCTCAAAACTCTATGTCGCATATCATACGGCAGGTGACTAGCCATATGTAGACAGAAGAATCTTTTAGAAATATAAACGAACCAAAACTTAATGTCTCTTGTGATTGATAGTCATCATAAGAGTCTGTTTGAATCTGCTTCGATTCATTAGTTTGTGTCGCGGAGTTTGCCCGGGTCGCAGCTTTTTCTGCGGCAGGCGGGTGAGGAGCTGATGACGCTGGTCTTCTGTGTTGAGGAACTTCTGGAGCAACTGGAGGCGGTAGATCATAAATAGGTTCGTCTTGGTGCAAACTTTCGTGGTGCGTTGGTGTTTGATAGTGGATTGGTACGTGGCCATCGTCTTTTACGTAAATTCCTGATTGAGCGTGTCGCTGCTGGTGATGTATTTGCTGCGGTTGCTTTTGCTCGTGATAGCATTCGAGAAGGCCGTCGGAAGAGACGCTCCGTTTAGCGTAGCGCATGCGGTCCACACCCGAATAGTCGTAATCGTACTGTTGCCCCTGCGAGGAGAGTATTTCGTTGTCAATTTGTCGAAGGCGCTCGCGATGATCGTCCCGAGCGTACAGCGGCTTCGGCGGTGGTTTTGGTGGTGAGTTGGACACAAGCGCTATACGAGCGGATTTTTCGAACTGCTGGGCAAGTGTTCCGACGCCCCGTCGGTCTACAAAAAATAAATAAATGTCTAAATTTAGGGCGACAGAATGTTTTAATTTCCAGAAATTTAATAAAGAATCATAGCGCCTGAATTCCTTATAAAAGAACATTTGTATTTTCCAAAATTGCGGGAGCTACTATAATCAATGTTTTAATGGGTATGTTAAAAAATTCAAAAGGCAAAAAAATTACCATCGACGATATTGATGAGATAGAAATCTGAATTAATGAATTGTCGAAGTCTATGTAATGCGAATTTCTTCTTCTATCAAAAGTCGAGAAAAATTGTTATTTATTCAGAAATTTTACCTGGAATGATGATTTCTGAACGCGCTTCGGACGGTGGTAGCGCGTCGAGACTGTGAGATGTAACCATAGTTTCTGGTGGAGGAGGAAAATAATAGTCTGTAAGGAGGATTTTAAATGCAATCGTTAGCCGATTGTGTAGCAAAATTGACTTTGAATCCAAACTGAGTTAGAAGCTGGCGGCTGAGAGGAGCTTTCGAAGTTGTGCATTGCTGCTCGGGGCTCGAGGTAACTCCCGTCATCGTAATTCTCCTCATAGACTGATTGGTGAGGGTGCATTCGATGAGGAGAGCGGTTAAAAGATGGTGGAGGAGGAGGTGGTGGTACGATTGTATCCATTCCGTTGGACCTTGGCGGCGAGCTTTCAATTTGTCGCTCGTAAAGAGGTGCATTCTGCGGGTAGTAACTTGCTTTAGGCTTATTATCTAGTACTTGATATGCGGTTCACTCTTTGAATAAAACTAAAAAGCACCCAATCATCTTTTATGTCAAGTTGAATCATCAGTTCAGTGCCTAATAATACATAAAGAGCAATATCAGCACTGCAAGTTAGACACAAAGGAAGAGAGTCTCAGGAGAACAGGATACTTCTGTGATTTCCTATTCTTTGGCGTATTCAAGGCCATTTATAAGCAGATGATCTTGGCTATGCCAAAGACAGGAAAATCTCAGACAAACGACTTAAGCCTTTTCCTGTATTTAGAGGCAGGTTTTGTGTGACGAGGTACGGGCGGAGGACGAATTCGCTGTTGGTGAGCTGCCGGGCGAGAGGACTTAGAAAAATATTCTATAAATGGTCATTTATGTCCTATTTACTTGAAATCGAGGTTCGTTTCGATGGAAATGAGCTGGTTCGTGTCTTTGAGAGTAGTATTGCGGGTTTTGCCTATTCAAGAATTGATGCTCTTCTGCTCTATTCTGGCTGTAGTAGTATGGATCCTGACGGATATCATAAGACCCACCATTATTCATTCTCTGAGCTTCCGATTTCGACAATCTCTTAACAAAGGATCATGCATTCGCGCATCAAAGACTTCTTTCCTGCACTGACACCGCAGGAGCGGGCTTTTTGAAAAGACGATTTAACTCTCAGTCTTTTATTTATCAGCGCGAGGAACACTGATTCAGTGGAGACGAGAAACGCGTCAAAGAACAAACACCCACGTAAGAGGATTTACTAAAGCGCTATCTTTCTTTATTCGATAAATTAATATTGCAGTTGTATGAGACTAAGTTGGGGTACAGTTTGAATTCCAACTGGATTCGAGAGAAACAGAGTTTTGCTTGCTTTCTGAAGAATAAACAGAACACGGGTCTACAGACGAAATGAAACGGTGTTCCCCCTCTCTAGCTCAACTCTCGGTTTAGTCACGCCTTCAAAGAAGGTTTTGTGAGAAAACGTCATCATGTGCGCCGAGAAAAGTTCTCGTGCGTTGAGCTTTCGATCGGGAGAGATATGGCAGGGCGCTACCCTACCATTTACCGACCTCATCCGCCTCCAACGCCCATGTTAGGCGCGCTTGCTCTTTGTCTGAAACAGTTTTAGTTTTGATTCAAGCTCTAGAACGTTACCTAAAACTGTCGATGCCGCCCATTCGGCGTCCTCCTCCGGGACGGTCATCACCATCTCGTCGGCCCCAAGATCTGTTCTGCGATTCATTTCGAGGCGGGTCCATGTTCAACATTGTCGAGAAGAATATCACAACTGAAGTGGTGAAAATAACTTGGCAAGTGAGAGCGTCTTACCGAAATTGACGAGAGCCCAGAAAATCCCAGTCAGTTTGTCGATCGGAGCGGTCAACGCTCCGCTGTTTGTGCTCCCACCAGAGAGGCGATTTCCTGCCATCTAAACAAGTCATCGTTTCAGTCACTGTTAGAAAAATAAAGAAATTGTATAAAAAAGAAGCTTAGTCAGAACAGAAAGAAAATATGTGCGTTAATAAACGAATGTCATTAATTATAAACATCGTGGCAGTAATAAATAGACAGTAAATACCCTTGAATCGTTAATGCTTAAACACTAAGCCCGTCCTGAGCTTTGAGCAGATCTCTTTTGTAAAGTAAATCGCAGAGAGCACTCATGATTGGCCCAACTTCTTGTATGGACGACCAAGCGTCGATCGTTTCGTCTGGCCGCTCACCAACGTTCACGTTTTTCGAACGCATTAGGGTCAGTTCCCGAGAAGAAGTGAATTTACGCGCGTCGGATTCCGGCACCTTTCAAGATTAAAAACGGTCAAGTGAACAGGTAGTACCTCTGCTGACAAGTAGCGATCCGCGTGTGTGGCCATACAAATCAAAAGGGGCTCCGAGTTAATCTTCATTTTGATCATTTCGAGTATCTCAGGCAGCTCGTCAAAGGAAGATCTATCCACGCATGAGTAGGTAAGGACTAAATGTTGTTATCTTTTGAAGTGTCTTCAATGAGTTTATCCTAACCGAATCGGTCAAGGGAGATTCTTCATGGTAATCAATTCATGGAAATTCTATATAAGGATAATAATCTATCGAAATAACTGGCAGCTAATGATACAAGATCGAGTAAGAAAAAAATTGAATAAATTTTCGATTACGGGGCAAAAAAGGCAACCAGACATGACCAGGAGCTATTTGATACATATAGAATGTTCTTAATAAAGATGAAAAGCTCACTTATTGCGTCCGCTGGGGATGTTTCGTCGTGAATCATTTCTTCTATGTATCCATATCTTGCGACGGCGATGGAACCAGCTTCCCAGAACTCAATTCTAAACAGCAAAACGTCTTCGCTCATCACATTCTTCATCGGCCAGTAGACTACCGTCACTTCCACTCCGGGCGTCGGATAAACTTTCTCGTGGTGAATAAACTGTCCTGCCAGTTTCAGAATCATCGAAGACTTCCCTGTCGCCATCGGCCCTGAAGATCTGTGAAACTCGCCATTAATTTATGCTCGTACCTGATGTGACCCAGATTTTATAAGTCTGAATGGAAACTTGTTTTCCTGAAGGCGATTTGGGAAGTATCGGGCGATCAAGGAGCCCAAAGGATCTTCGCAATGGTCCCGCATGAAGCGCTTATAATTTTTAACTTCTGACACTTTGAAGGTTATTCTGGTATTGAATATTTTTTAATTTGCTTTGCAGTTCGAATGCCTATTAATTGTTAACAGTCTCACTTTCAAAGAGTTATTAGACGATATTTGATGAATTAAAATCTTTGACCTACCATTGAAAAAAATCTTCGCTTCGGGTTTGGAGTGCCAGTCTCTTTGCAGTGCCATTCTATAGTTTCGTGGACGAAAAAAATAAAAATTCTAGCAAGCGTTGACGTGGCCAGGGTGGCGCGAATGGGAAGTCAACCTGATTGGCCGCTCCTTTACTACGAAGAATGACAGCGCAAAATCACTGACTCACGAAGAAAGACTTTTTATCATTTTATCGCAAACGATGATCGAAGAGGAATCCGAGTGATCAGTTATCAATTTCTGAAAACTTAAGAAACTGTGAATTATATAAAAAAAAGTATAGAATGTTGGGCTCGTTATCGAAACGGCAGCTTATTATGACTGTAACTCGTACGAAGCGATTCCAGCCTTGGCAGTACGTTTATCAGGCGCAGATTCAACATGAAGATCGTGAAAAATACGCTGAGGAACGAAATGTTCGCAACACGACTCCAGAACAAGAAGATTTTATTCGCCAAGGCGACGAAAACGCCCTTTTTGAAGCGCGAGTGGAGCAGAAAAGAGCCTCAAAAAACTCACTTTGGCCCAAATTCGACGATGAAGAAGGCGTCTGGAGATACAACGGTACTCAAACAAAGTCCGAACAGAAACCCAAATCTTATTGTTTAGCTGTTCCCGTTTTGCCTAATTGGAAGCCTTTGCCGGGTAGAATTGTGGACAACCAGGAGCGCTGGGCGCACGAATCGGAAACGATCTGCCCGTGGTATCGCGAAATGCTAGAAAAGTGGCTCCAAGAAAACACATTCTTCACGAAAGAAGAAAAATTCCAAGCCAAGTCTGTGAAAAAACTATGTTCAGGTAAACAGGTTTTTGATATGGCGCAAATTGATCTATTCTCAATAGTGGGCTACCAAAAGAACACGAAAAAGACGCTTCTGAAGATTATGGCAATGCCACTTATGCAGCACGAAGGGGACATTTTCAACGACGCTGTGCGGGTCGCTGCATTGACGATTGACATTCGTTTCCACCAAGACGAGTTGTTCTACAGAAGACACATGCCTTCGCGGGGCATTTTCCGACACACGGTTCTTCTCTAGTAAGCCTTTCCGAATTCACTCCAAGAGACTGGGGCTCATATCAATTTTAGCAAACAAAGACAGTACGTTTTGGAACGATTAAGGAACCAAAACTTCAAATTATATTGCAAGACTCTTCATCATCTAAATATCGAGCATCATTCGGTAAGCTGGCGGCTATTGGGATCTATCTAACAGTCTCTATCTTCAGAAACCAGTGTACAACATGGTCTATCATAAAGCGATCACAGAACGCGTGATAGATATGAAGCTGCGAGTGATGAACTACATAGAACAAGAGTTTGTCCGGGAGAATACTCTAAGACAGCGTCTTGCTGACCTCCAACTTCAAGGCGAACAAATTTATAGACGGTATATAATGCGGATGCTTCTGAAAGTGACTTGTTATAACTTATAAGGGATCAAGCTTGTTTTGAAGAAACGAATGCGACAATGGATAAGTTGCTCGCAACGAAGGAAAAGATCAACGCCCTGATTCCAATGATAGAAGAGGAATATGCTAAAATAGAAGTCCTGCTAGATGAAGGATCAAACCGAGATCAGTTTTTAGAAAAGTACTTTCAACTAAAGAAGAGTGTTATGTCCTTGAACGAAAGTCTCGAACACCCAGATATTAATGCGACGTCTTTGGACGCTATTTTAAGGGTTTGAATTTTGAGAAAAATAAAATACTAACGACGCTTTAAGGATAAAGACAAATCGCTCTCCCCGCAAGAAATAAAAGCCGTAGTCGAAGAATCCCTGGAAAGAGCAAATCGAATCCACGAAAACTGCCTTGATACTGCGGAATACATTTCCACCAAAGTCTGAAAAACACGAACATAATTATTTTTGATTAAATTGACAAAAACTCGTTCAATAGAATGATCAAATGAGAACTCTCCGCGAGGGAGAATAGAATAACGCCGCAAAGAAAATCGCGGATCAACTGAGCAAAAGCGCGGTTCAGCGCGAAATGAAGAGCCGAACGCAGTCGCTCCAAACGACGAGGAACGATTGCGACTGGAAAGTAGAGAACATCGACGCAGAGGTCGAACAAGAGAAAGAGAATTGGGACCCAATGATTGGGTCCCTCAGACTCTCGAAGAACGACTCTGGCAGATGATCAAGTATTAGTCGTAAGACTGAAATTATAATAAGCTGTATTTTTCTCCTGAAATGTACGAAAACCACTTTTTTGAATGAAACAAAATAACTCATTTAACCACTGAAAAAAATAAACTTTTCCACTGCAAAAAGATGTTGTTCTTCATGCGTGAATTCAAAATTTCTGCGTAAGGACTGGACCACTGGAACAAGAAAATAATAACATTTCGCATCATTTTACAGATTTGGCTGATTTATTTACGGATAGAGTTTTTATTAATGACGTTTTCTTTGTTGAGATATTTCCTTATTTTTTCATGCGTTTCTATTGTTTCGCTAAAAATAAAGTTAGAAATATTGGACAGTTGATTTACATTTCCCGGAAAAAATCATAAAAGTCGCTTTCTTGAAAATTCGAGCTCTCTGTAGATGTCTTCTCACTGGCTGTAGTTGAACTGATGACAAGAGACGTAGGCTCGACATCGGAACATTGCTCGTTGCAGTTGACCGTGCAATCTGTTGCGAGTAAATATTCCATCCAAGAAATATCGATTTATTCGCTCTTGATACATTTCATATTCGCGATAAGAACGCGCCATCGAATTTCGACGTCCCTCCTCGCATTCTCTTTCGCAAAATCAGTTTCCCGCGATACTCAAACTCACTTAAATCATTTTCTAGAGCTCGTTTCATAAAATCAACAATTGAGAATCGCTCCTAACACAGTTGAAATTACTAATTGACTCGATTTGAAGTACATTTATGCTAATGAGAACTGAAAATCTCATTATTTTTCTCTCTCGCTTATTCAATTCAAATTTACTTTGCTAGACTCTTACGTTCAGCATTCGTTTCATCAAAAGAATATATAATTCCCCGTTTTTTTGTGTTGAATGTCTTTCTAAAAAAGCTAATCCAGCAACAAGAACACTCGGTAGTAACACTTTGTCTTTACCACATTTTGGAGTGATATAGACTTCGATTGTAAAATACTGTTCAATATTTATTATTCATTTCAGGAAGGACTGGATAGTACAAAATTGACGTTCACTTATTTTTCTCATGCACGCGTTTGTTAATGCTCGTTGCTCGGGTCTCAATGCTGGAATCATGTAAATCATGATGATACTCCATTTTCTTAGCTGAATATTTTATTCTGGATTGAGATGCTAAATCACTCGTTTGCTCAAGTTATGTTTCATTTAGTCTTTTGTTATATAATCAGCCAAGACCTAGAGGTATGTATTCGTTGTTGTAGTCGTAAAAGTTGTAATCTCCGTCTCTAATCCCCAAGAAAACGGAGTCTGGAACCAGAAACATCCCCGCACACATGGCCTGAGTTTATTTTTAAAATAGTCTCTTATTTCTTCTGATATTTATTTTTCTTACCGGAAACGAAAATTGGAAGGTTAAGATCGAATAAATCATTTCGATGATCATTTTGCTGGTTACTAGCGTTTAAGGCGGGTAGAGTATTGCAGTCCCGCTTTTACTTTAATCGTGGTAAATTATTTAAACTAACGATATCAAGTTAAACCCTCGCGCGCCTAACAAACGCGAAGTCCTCGCCCAGTCCCGACTCATTTTATTTTGATCTTGTATTATTAATCGAATTAACTTGACCTCAATAGACCACAACTCATCTTGTTATCTCAACAATCCACTACCTTCGATTTCCCCAACTTGACGTTTCAATAACTCCGAACCTGTCAGTACTTGCAGGGATCTTCCTGGCTATATAAGAGTGATATTATAAGTAGATGTATCCTAGATAAGAAGACCAAACTTATAAGAAGGGTAGATCTTCACTTTTGCAGAAGAATTTCTTGATTCCTCGAGTAGTAGACGGCTAAACTCATTTAATTGGAGCAAGGACAATCTTGAGCTGTCACATCATTACTTCCCCAGAGTGTCAGAAGCTGCCATTCAGACTCTCCAACTTATTGACAGTTTGATAAAAGAAGCTCATGAGCAAATTAAGCACGGTAGATTCATTTCGGTATTAAAGGTGGATCCGGGAGTCCCGGACGAAAAAGACTCTTTTTTTCTGAATTTGCGTCCGCCTTTTAAAAGATTTTATAGAACTATTACTTAAAATATTTAAACATTGCACATTAATAATGTGACATTACGGAAGCTCGTTCTATCTTAGATCTTTAATCAGGGGTCTTAAGCACTCAGATTTACCCCTGTTAATGGGTCTTTGGCGATATCGTATTGTCAATACGGCATTGGCAATAGAAAATGCGGTATTGCGCACACATTCCTCTTGATAATGGAGTTTTTGTGGGTTACAGGATGCAAAACCGATTATTTTTGAAGAGAGTCACTATTTTGTTCACTTTTATGAACTGTTTTTTTTTATTCCATCGTTGGAAAAACTACATACAGTGGCGTTTGTGGCCCACTGTAGTAGATGCTTGCCGTAGTTCTCACAATCATTTATACAAAGAAATATGGTTGATCAATTAAGTGTGGCAGTTGGTATATGCAAGAAGTTAAAAAGTCTAATTGAGAGTTAGACATGCGTTGAGTATGAAGCGTCAGACTTATCTTAGTCCTTGTCGAGTACTCCTCACTGAATAATATCTTCTTTGCAACCTTCCTCCCGTATCGACTCGGCGAGCAACTCTTTTAAATTGTACTTCGAAAGAGTGTCGCTTAGCGTGGGAGTTTTCTGATTGAGGTTTAGGTCCGTGCTACTGTTCTTTTGCGACTTCCGTAAATACATGTTATAGGTTTCTCTGTACTCTTTGAAGACTTATCCGTGATCATTCAAGGTTTAATAATGAGCTTAGTGTAATTTTTTGATCCTTTGCTTCTTGTTGGTATCTGAAGTGGACTTGATCCGTGATTTTTATGCCCAAAAAAGCCAAACTGGCGCACATAGCGTACGCAAGGCATAGGGTCGGGAAGAAAATCTTGATTCGAGTTCGCTCACACTTCCGAATGAAATCTTCTAAATTCAAAATTGAGCAACTCTACCCAGGGGTTCATTCCTCTCTTTTGGCTGTTCTGTCCAACGAGCATATTCGCAAACTGGAGACTTCCCTCTTTTTCGAGAGTGTTTTTCACATGAGAGCTCGTACGCCTAAGAGACATATTTCTCCAAATTAAATAAATATGCAAGGACAGCTTCCTTTGATTAAGAAGGCGATCCCTTCTGGCATGTTTCGATTGAATATATTCAAAAGCGCAGATATCTACCTCTTATCCGTATTCGTGAATTAATCTAGTCCAAAAATCGACTTTCAATTGCCATTCTTCTCTCTTGTCAGTCGTTTTCTACCATGATTGTTTTCTTGTTGCTCATCTGACAGCTATAAATTATAACTAGCTTACGGCTTGATGCTTACAAATTGATCGATTCCTTATTCGAACTCTCATTGATAATTGATCAACAACGTATCTACATGTATAAGTGGAGGATAAAACTAAAGCTGTGAGTTTTTAGACAGATAATGTCAAACGTCGAGTTCGAAGTCGCTGATCACAAAGAAGAAATCCGAAAATTCGTCTGCCTCGGAAACCTATCCAGCGTTTGTCTAATTTAATCATCACTTCAGAATGAAATCATTTCACATTTTCTAGTATAACGGCAGCGCTGTGACAATCATGGGCAAAATGAAAGCACGAAATAGCGAGACATCGATCACCATCTGGGATGGTTCCGGCGATGTCGTACTCACTGCCGACGACGAGGAGTTCTTTGCATTTCTCATGGTGCGTTTCAATCAATTTTATAACTTGTAACGCAAGTTTTAGGAAGAAAACTACGTTGTCGCAGAAGGCTTTGTGAGAAGCGACAATCAAATCGAAGTCAGAGAGGTCTCAGAGCTTGACGATGCCAACGATGAAACCCTGGTTTGCTGCAATTTTTCTAACTAAGGTTAACTTTGTCTTCAGAAGCTTAGAGCCCAAACTGCACTTATGATGGACAAGTGGGCCGGCGTCGTTTACGCTCAATAAAGAAGATAACTGAAAGAGAAACTTTCACACGATTTCAATCATATCTCACAAGCATTCCAATAACTGCCTGTCTTCTTTGGATGGACACTCAATCCAGCTTCCAAACATGTAAAATTGCTTGTCAACAATCTCACTCACGAATAAACAACTTGAGTTTCAGTCGAACTGAATTCAGAATAAAATGAAACTGCGTGCCTTCTGTGATGTTCTTGAGAAACTAGCTCCTACAAGGCACGCTGCCAAGTGGGACAATGTTGGACTCCTTCTTGAACCGGCGGATTGTTTTGTTGAGCGAGTGCTGTTGACTAACGATCTCACTTCCCGGGTTATGAAAGAGGCCGTCGACTTCAAAGGGAGGCTTTTATTTTTCTACGATGATCGTAGTACGATCATCAATTTTTATCATAAGTGTACAACTGTATAATCAGCTTTATTGAATCAGTAATCTTACATCTTTTAATTGTCCATTTTGACGAAAAGTACATTATCAAATAAGAAAGGTTTGACTTTCAAAGCCTGGAAAAGCGAATTTAATCATTTCATATCATCCTCCGCTTTTTCGTGAGTTCAAGCGCATTTCACAAGACAATTGGAAAGACAGAATTGTGACTGAATGTCTGAAGAACAACATCGCTATTTATTCGCCACACACTGCACACGATGCATGGGCAGAAGGTGTCAACGCTTGGCTTATCGGTTATTGCATAGTTCTTTTGGTCACCGAATAATAAAATTTTTAGAGGGCATTCTCGGACATTCGAAACATGTACCGATATCTCCAACTTTCGATACTCGAGAAATGTACGAGATCTCAGGACAAGCCAGAGACTCTGTCGACAGAAAAGCTTTCCGAAAGAATTTCAACAAGACGAAAATCTCAGACGCTGGTGAGCTAAGTGGTCGGATATTTAAACGCGACCTTCCTAAACTCTCCGAAAAGTACTTGTCTTCGATCGACAATTTCCAGCTTGTTTGCTTGGGTTCTATCCCTGTTGAAGGTACAGGGATGGGTCGTAAAGGTGTTCTTACGGAGCCGATGAAGCTTTCCGAGGTGGTTGATCTCACCAAGAGACATCTCAAGCTTCCGAACTTGCGTTTGGTTACAGCGAATGATACGGTAAAATGTTCGTATATTAATCAAATATGACTATCGCTCTCGTTACAGCTGTCTTTTCTTAATCTTAAAATTAAGGGTCCTGACGGGTTAGTGAGTACGATTGCGGTCTGCGCTGGTTCTGGCGCCTCTGTCTTGAGCCATGCTGGCAAAGTAGACTTGTGGGTTACTGGAGAAATGGGCCACCACGAAGCATTAGATGCGCAGGAGAATAATACATCGGTTATTCTCGCGGAGCATTCTAACACGGAGCGAGGCTTTCTGGAGTCATTCAAGACGAAAATAATGGTAGGAAAAAGCACAAAACACTCATTGTCTAAACAGACGATTAATCAGTGTGAATAAACTCGTAAAATCTTATTGCTCGTTTTTCAAGGATAATAAGAATCTAATCTACGCATTTCAGGAAAATGATATGGTGAAGAAGAGAGATATCCAATTCATTGTTTCTGAACTCGACAGCGATCCTATCAAAGTCGTCTAAGAAGAAAAACTGTTGCCTGCTGCTTCAATAGTTAATTTAGAGTAAACTATTTATTGTCCTGCCAGTTACTTCAGCAAAGTTCACATTAAATGATCTTCTGTCTACAAAATGCGAGTCCCCAAATTCAATAATTCCATTTTGCAATATTTCGTGCGCTATAATAGAACCTGGCGCTGAGCCACGTCGCCTAACTAGGCGCGCCGCGTCACCGAGCGCATTCGTTCCTCTGAGCGTTAGAAACTCGAAAGCTCTGAAGTAGCCCGCCGGATTCCTTTTTGACTCGTAAGAGAGATCTAACGGCGCACATCGTTAGAATGGAAGTCGGAGAAAGAATTCGCAAGAAAGCAGATTTTTAACGAAAAAGAAATATCCATCATGCTGAAATTTATTGTTTCATTAGTTCTAGCCTTGCTCTCTGCAGGGGACCTTGCAGATGATTATGATGACGAATCAGGTATGTGTTTCTCTGCAAATCTCAGCTTTTTCTTTAAATTTCAAATTTTTAAAATATCCAAGTTATTCGGAAAAAGGCGCGAACGCTGCCAGGTAACCTCATGCACGTTGTTTTCATTCTAAATAGGCACTTTCTTGAATAGAACACATCTGATTATTTCATTCGATTGTTTCAGTAGAGAGCGAATATTAGAATAAACATGTGATTTCTCGTTGATTATTGATGTCTCCTGCGAGCACTCAAGTAACAATGTAATACATAGGCGACGAGTGGCTTAGCCTCCCGGAACTAAGTCCCAGCTCTCTAAGTGGCCCGCTTTTGCTGCAGACGATTGACGGCCGACTCCATGCAGTGGATCCCCTGGACGGATCGACTAAATGGGACACTGTGATAAAAAGAGACTGGTTTCCGCAATACAAAGAACCCAACGCTGACAACTTCGACTTGAGCTTCGTGCCTGATCCATCAGATGGATCCATTTACTACTTCGATCGTTCTGAAACAGATTATGGCGAGCAGGCAGAGCTTCGAAAAATGGGAATGACGATTCAAGAAATGATCGAAAGCTCTCCAACAAAAGCAGAAGACGGTAAGCTATACGTCGGCGACAAAAAGGACAACTGGCAGATCTTGGATTCAACGACGGGAGACGTTATTCAAAAAATCGACCAAGGTGGTGGAGAATCTAAAATTCCAACGCCGATTCCGCTTCATCACGAGAAATTATTCGTGGGCTACACTGTCTACTCACTCACAATTTTCGACAGTAACACTAATGAGGTCAAATGGAATTTAACCTACTCGGAGCTCGCAGCAAAAGAGTTAGAACTGAGCAATCCTCAAATACGTATCGAAGTCTGTTCAAACTGCGGAACAATCGTCGCTAAAAACTTTCTTGACAACACTATCAAGTGGCAAGCTAATTTTGGATATCCGATCATTGGAGCTTACAATATTTACAATGGAGGTCTCTTCAAGTTTCCCTTCCAGTCCTTCGACTCCGGCTACTTTGAACCTTTTCGCCCTAAAGACACACGTAGTCTGCAGGTTTACGTCGGTCTCTATGGAAAAAAGCTCTATGTTTTAAATAGTATGGCGCCTAATTACATGATGCTGCCGGAAATGCCGTCATCGACAGATTCTGGAACGAATCCGTTGGGCTACTATCCTCTGCCTGTTACCGACTTGAAGCCGACAAAATACGCTTCTGATGGAGTACGCCTCTTACCAGGGAAGAGCACGGATGTATGCGGCTCTCCTGATGAATCTTCTGGACCGAATCTGAACAACAACCCCGGTAGCGAGAGCTTGACCAACTGCCCTGCCCCGAGCCAAATTCCCGGACGCGATCTCCCGGGTGCCTCAGCAAGCGATCGAAAAGATGCGGCCGTACAAGTTGAGGTTTTACCTAATTCAGATAATAATCTTTTGGAAAGTGAGCATATGGGGATATTTGCTCGATTGCAAGGAATAGGATTTAGGCTCTATCTTTAAAATATTTCGTTCTGATCTTCAGCTCTTCTGAGACACTTGCATGCGAAATCATCATCCGTATCATCATTTTATGTGCATGGATATTCCATTTGATTTTTGCTTTGATTGTGATGGGTTATAGACATCAACTTATCATTAAATTAAGCTAATAGTTGTTTGCTCATTGTTGTCTGCATGAAATCATCTGGTGAACCTTAGTTAGAAAAGATTTTCATTAATTTGCACATGCAACGCGAAAAACGACGCCGAAAGCACAAGGAGCGACGGCGTGAGCGGCGCGATCGCAATCGCCAAAAGCGAAGTAATCCTAAAAAAGGCTCGAAGAGTGAGAGTAAATTCTTGACCGCCATTGACATTACTCGGGAAACGCTATCCAACGTTCATGTTCTTCAGGTATCAGTAAGCGTTGTACTCAGTTACTAACAATTTTAGGCGCTTGTTCTCCTTCTCTTTCTGATTCTTATTGTGCAGTTTTCTTGGCGAAACATCTTCCCCAAAGCGCCGCATTCAATCGGAAAGATATCCTTTGACCCGAGTGAGTTCCTCGGGAAAGGATGTATGGGAACTTCCGTCTTCCGCGGATCTTTCGACGGGCGCGATGTTGCAGTCAAAGTAAGTCGATCGATTCCGGCTTTATTTGAATTTTTATTGAAGAGGTTGCTGGTTGATAGCTATCAGTTAGCAGACAGAGAAATCGACTTGCTGCGCCAGGCTGACCATCCAAATTTGCTACGCTACTTTTGCTCGGAGAAGGACCGACAATTTATTTACATCGCCCTCGAGTTATGTCAAGGAGACTTAGATTTTTACGTACAAAATCAGCACACCTTCGAAAGCGATCTCCCGCGTGATGAGATTTTGAAGCATTGTTGTGCCGGGGTCGAGCAGTTGCATTCTCTTGGAGTTATCCATAGGGACATCAAGCCAAGTAACATCCTCATCACTTACGGAAATAGACATAGGTGTCGTAGAGCTGTAATCGCAGATTTCGGGTAATTAAATGCTCCGTTATCTATTTATTACTAATCTAGGCTATCGCGGCAAGTCAATCCAGGCAGACACTCGATTTCCGTCACGGATCTTCACGGAACGGAAGGTTGGGCAGCACCAGAAGTATTTCAGTGTGATGTCAGCAAAATTACATATTCGGTGGATATCTTCTCGCTCGGATGTGTATTTTATTTCGTACTATCCGACGGAAAGCATCCTTACGGCCATGAGTTCTTCATGCGCCAAGCTCGCATCCGTCAAGGAATGTTTCATTCAAATTTTGTTATATAACATATTACAGTAGATATTAAATAACCAAAGATAAAAATATTAGTAAATACATCGAGATTGGCAATAACAATATCAGAATAAAACAATCAAAAGGAAAACACGACCTCAAAGGAATTTCTTCTCTTCATGAAAATCTCATTTTGAATATGATTCAACCTGATCCCCAACATCGGCTCCCAATGAAAGGTGTCCAGGAACATCCAATATTTTGGAATTCGGACAAGAAAATCCGATTTCTGGCGCTCACATCTGATCGCCTCTCTCAAAACCCGCAAGAACAGAAAAACATCGAGAACTTCGAAATGACAAAATATCTGGAGATGAACTCCGAGCGAATCGCCGGAAGCGATTGGCGCCTTCGCTTGGAGTCGGAATTACAGGAAGATCTTCGAAAGTTCCGAAATTATAATGATGGGATAAGAGACTTGCTCCGTGCTCTTCGCAACAAGCGGCACCATTTCCGCGATTTGACTTGCGAAGCACGTGAAATTCTGGGCGAAACATCGGAGTCTTTTTTCCACTACTGGTCACGCGCGTTTCCGAATCTTCTCCGGATCACATATGAGGCGGTTAGCCTTGACTACGAGAAAACCAATGATCCTTTCTTCTCCATCTTCTTCGACCAATCTTACTGCAGCGTCTTGGCTGCAAATGTCCGCCGAGTCGCATATGAAACTCAGCCAGAGCTTACATCCAGGAATGGATTTTAAAAGAGACCCTTTTATGCTTGAGTGTGTCCCTTAATCCAAATTATAGATATTTCAATAAGTCTACAGCTATTCAAAACGCAGAGAATAACGAAGTTCTACTTACAAATAGCCCGATCGTCCAAGCCGTACCGAAGGAGTTCGACATCAACCAAAAAGATAATCAGAGCGAAAGGGAGCCAGAAATTATAACTCCAAGCAAAGAGAATGACGATAGAGAAGCCTCAAAGCTACAGCCTGCTCTCAAGTCTACAAATTTAACCAACAAATCGGCCGGCGAAAGTCCAAAGATGATCCCTTACTCTCACAAAATCAAAACTAAACTCATTTTTCAAGAAAGGAGTCCAAAGGTAAATGGAATTAACTAATCTTGATATCATTCCAGCCTATAGAGAATCCGATACCGCCCCAATGACGAAGATTCATCTTGTTTAATGCTTGACGGGTCCACCCGGACTATACATAGAGATGTTCCTATTCGGAGTGAACCAGGTAAATTACGAAAAAGAGGTCAAATCTCATTTAAATAGACATAATTTCACTGGAACTCAAGAAGACTTCTTTAATATCGGTGCTAGAGATAATTGAGTCAGACCGACGTGAATCCGAAAGAGTACGATTGGCTAAAGAAGGTTTCAAAATTTCAAAATCTGGGTCGTCTGCTCCGGACACAAGAAACTCCTTTTCCAATGAAGCTGCTGATGATTCTTTCTCGAATCGTTTCCATGGTCTCTCAGACAATGACTACAGTAATCTTGAGCCGCGAATAATTCCAGAGCTCCTTCCACAATTTCCCCTCCAAGGTTAGCGAATAATTTCATCCCGAAGATTGACTGAATCTATTTCAGCTCTTCCCGAAATTATCTCAAATTCTACGGCCGGAAATCTCATTCAGCGCGGTATCTCTTTCGTTCGTCAGCTCTCTACAAGCTCAGACACTGCTGATTCAAGTAACGTCGGCCGAAAGATTTGCGAAGAACTCTTGCTCGACGATGATGAAGATTCAGACAACGAGAATATTCCTGGAAGCGACGAGGAAATTATTTTCGGCCCAATCGGCACACCCAAATCGAGTCGCGTAATAGGTATTGCTTCAATCGCGTAAATTCATAAATTACTGTTATCTCAGCCAAGAAGCAAAGCCCTGTCAATAGGTTTGGACCCGAATTCGACGATTACGATGACTCGCGCTGTCTGATCACGCCTGAATCCGTCTCCGACTCTGAATCTAAAATGCCTTTCGAAGACGCTTCCAACAATAAGAAAACTTCAAACAGACGTAAGCGCCCAACGAAGAAGAAAAAGCGCCGTTGAGTTATATTTTGTGCCTTCAAAAGACTATCAAAGCACAGTTCAAATCGTGTGCACTCTCCGTTCCTATTATTCCTGCCCAAAATGTTTCCTTCTGAATATCTGATTTTCCAATATCTCCCAACGGATACGTTTATTGCTTTTTTTCTCTTCACGTTCCTTACACATTGATATAGTAATATAATAACGGCAACTTCGTCAAATTTTGATCTTTGTTTCTCCAGAATGCCTTTGAATTCGGTGAGGGGAAAGTTGTTGAGGGAAATCGGACTGCTGTACAAGGGATGGCCCAAAGAACAGTGGAGTGCATTCTACCGCGCCCAAGATTTATTCGAGTCAGTAAAAATGGAATAAGTTTAGTATTAATGTTTCTTAGTGTCAACCAAATCTCAGAGAACAGATACTGTCGACAACCTGGCGCAGCAGTAGTTGACGCCGAGACTTATCTCTGCTTGCTCGAAAATTCCAGGAAGCATCAAGAGTTGATCAAAATCTACCATGGAAAAGGAGAGCGTTCTGTTCAAGAAGCTGCAAACTTGGTTGGCCTCAAACTTCCAGAACTATACAAAGAGGACGAAGAGTAAACTCTTGATTTCATCTTCTGTTCAAAAATAAATTATTATGTATACGAGTAGGAGTTCTACTGTAGAACTATCAGAAAACTGCCATGAATCGGTAATTTTCGACAATGTGTTTACAACCCAAGATTATTAGACCAAATAGCATGCTGCATGCACCGTCAGAGTCAGATCTTGATAACTAGTCAGAATCTCGCAGCAGGGTACCTTTACGAAAACTAGGATATGGAAGGTGGCGCTAAGCGAGAAAGTTCCAGCCGGTAATGCACAGCTGGGGATCGCGGGAATATAAACCCCCGTCCACTGCAAAACCGCAGAAAAAACAGTAAACTTACAAACAAAGCCCACCAAAAATGATGACAGAGTACGAAAAGAATTGGGAATGGGGCATGAAAATCCCTCCTGGAAGATGGACGGAGACATTCACGGTGAAATACAAAAAAGCTCTAGAAGAAGCGAGGAAGCGGCCGCTCAATGTTTCGCAAAAGAAAGAGATTGTTCAGTTGCATCTAGAGAATAAGGACTTAGGATGTAGGAAGCTAGTTGAACTAGTTTCGGCTAGACTTGGTCTCACGGTAACACGGTACCAAGTCCGAAAGCTAATTAAGGATAAAGATGCAATCGTGGATATGCAATCTCCAAAGGAAAGAATTGGCAAAACGATTGGAATGCAGCGATTCCGAGCACATCTTGCTGAGCTGATTCTGGAGGAGCAAGCGACAAAGAAGAGGGTGACAAATGATGACATGGTTTACATTGCCCGGAAAACTGCTGATCTCGACGAGTGGAAGAAGTGGGACGACATCGCCAGATTGGAGTTCTCACACTCGTGGATCCTTCATCTCAAGAAGGAATTCGACATTCCTTACCAGAAGAGACCAGGTAGACGGCTCAAAACTAACGCATAAATTGTTGCGTTAGCTTGAGCCGTGTGTTTTAGCTGGCGTAGTTAACAAATAGGTAGACTTCAATCTTACCGTGAGACCCTTACGAGTGCACTTTCAAAACAACGTCTGAAGGACGTGGTGCAATTCCAACAAATATCATATTTAGTTACGTAGCTTATCGTTATGACTACTACAAATAGTTAACTACAGTATGTCTTATATGGTTAATTCAGCGAAAATATGTACCAAAATAACACTCAAGCGAACATCTGCGGGATTTTCCGTTAGCGCCAAAAAGTTTATTTCTAAGATATCTGATTTCGCTTTCCGCCAAGAGAGAGAAAGATGGAATTTTTAATCCACTTTTTAATTTTGCACCTTGCCGCTGAAGGTTTGATTGTACATAAATTAAGGAGGTTCTGCTAGCACCTTCAGAGCTCCTCAACGAAACTGGCGTAACAATCGACGAGCACCACGAAGACGAAGCGATTTGCGGCGAATGCGTCCAGCGCTGCGGAAACTGCTATCATTGCGTCGACTGTCTCAAATATTCGCTGTAAGGGTTGCTAAAATACAAATAAATTATCACTTACTAATTAAAGTCTCTTTGGACGCCTCTTTTGTCAACCCCTTGAGTACATGTTGAACACTTGGACCGGGCCTTGCGAAGAATGCACTAGTAACTGGTCATGAGAATTTCGGCTCGTTCTTAGCTCAGATTTTCTGATCAGGTTAAAAGATGTCTTTCATGTATGACTTGTGTAGCTTGTCTGAAAGGGACTTGCGATCAGTTCGCTCACTGTAACAAGTGCACTTTTTGCCTGGGGTGTCTTAAAAATCCGACTCGACCTGATTGCTGGAATTGTCTTCAGGTGGAAAGAATTCAACGATGAGCAAAAACTTAGTATTTTTAGTGTCGTCCATGCTCTCTAGCAATTGGTTGTAGTCCCACTGCAAAAGCTTTTGGGGAGATAATTTTCGGCACGAGCGATCATACTAAGGAAAGTTCCGCTAATATAAAGAAGCCTTTACTTGACAGTATTGACGGAATAATGACAGTTTGTTGATCCGACAGTCGACACGCCTCTCACTGCTAATCTTTGACCGTACATTACGACTTTTCTTTCAAACCTAGGGATATTTCTACAAACATTACTAACTTCTATATTTAAATTCTAACTTCTTTTTTTTTTTCGAATAAATAGTCCTTTTATTTAATGTTGAATCTGGACTTTTGAACTTGCAGGATGAATTTATAAAAATGTGCAGGTTTATATGTCCGCCGGGTATTCGCAAGGCAACACTTTCATGAAAATGCTCCTACCTCGACGTTCATGGACTTGGATTGTTCGGCTTCTGTCCGATTGGTAGCAATTTTTTTTACTGAAACGTCATTCTGTCCGAAGAAACTGTCCGACTGTGCCCCGGTATTTCCATTCTTTCCGGGTGAATAATAAATAAATTCAAAGCAAAATAAAATGCTTAAATTATCTTAATCTCATTCACCATGCCCACGACGGCCGTAAGAGTCAGCATTGTAGTTTCTGATGGGAAGTCTGTCTTCTGTTCTATCATACAGCTCTCGGAAGTTTTTCGATATATCTCGGAAGGTTTTTCTAGAGTACCAACCGAAGTATATGCTCGTTGATCCGGAGAGTACTAAGCTGACTTTTCTCATGGTCAGAATCTGAGCTCCTTTAGCTTCATTTAGTTTGAAATTCTCGACCAATTCCTAATGCAATAGCCAAGATAATTGTTTCGAGATTGTTGAAGCAGTTTTTAATCCCCATTCCATTGAATTTGAACTTACTGAGCGACGTGCAGCTTCCAAGTCTTGGTGCGAAAGCCTGTAGACCTGGTAAATTCTCCAAATTTATAGCTAGAAACAAATTAACCATCCGTTTCGGTGTACGATATTGTTTCTTACGCGATGATCCAGCTATTGAGTCATTCGAGTAACTTTCAGGTGGTTTCAAATCCGTAAACTCAGCGTCGGCGTAAAAGGAGACAATGATTTGCCTATAAAATTAGATTTTTGGTACTTTTCAAAATTCACAAAACCTTAAATAGGTAGCGCCTAATAATGAGAGATTGACAAACAACTGCGAAGCGCTTTGCAAATAGTTGATGATAACAAACGACGAAAATATTTTAGTGTTGTCCTTTTGAAGATCAGGTAAGTGGAAGCGCAAATCGAGCGACTGAATCACTAGAATCATCGGAATCAGGATGAGTTCCGTCCAAATAAGCAACATTATTCCAACAGGTATGTATCCAGAAACAGGGAGCGTCCGACTGAAAGTGAATGTTACAGATAAATAAGTGGATCTGCGGATATTACCAGTAATAAATATAGACTACGCAGTGCTTGGGTATCGTTGAAAGCAGAGTTTGAAGCGAGTGTCCAAAATATCTAAGCGGCAGATAATAATGACCACCAATAATGTTGTTGCTCCAAACTCGCCGGAGCAAATTGAGAAAGTGTAGAATATAAATCAACAAGTCGATATAAACGAAAATGAAGAACAGAATAACGGCTTCCGTGTTCACAAAGGAGTTTTTCGGGTATTGATAGCAAATCATCGTGGAAATTAGAAAACGCATGAAGGCCACAAATAGTGAGAAACCATAGATACTTTTTTCTGCCTTGTAAAATTGATGATCGTAGGGTCGACGCTATAAAAACAAACTTTTAATAATAGTTTAACTTAAAATATCTTCGGAGTCATTTCAATAAGCTAAGAGCTCATACCTTGAAAATAAGAATGGTAAAAATGAGTGTAGCTGCTAGGAGAATTCCTTGAGCGACAGAAATGATGACGAACGACGAGACAGCTGAGGAGTATTTCCCATGGATCGCAACTTTCCCATCATTATCTAACTCTGCCAAGATTGTTTTGTTAATATCACGCTTTTGCCGGGTCAGCGTAAATAATTATTAAGATTAACTGTCTTCTACAATATTTATTGCTGGCATTTAATTGGTCTAACTCGAGTGAACCTCGGCTAAGGTTAATTGAGGCAAGCTGCTCTTGAATGAAATCTGTTCTCATGAAAAAGCAGATTAGAAGCAATAAAACATGATTAACTTTGTTTTCTAAATTATATGGACCCGAGCAAAGACATCGCGGACTCTTTGCCTCCTGTTTTGGAAGTCATCTTTAACGACGCGGGAACCATTTATATGATAACAATTATTTCTGACGAAAATCTCCCCCCGAAGGTTACGACAGGCATGTCCTTTCCAAGCCTGATCCCGCTTTACTATCAGTGGAATAGTTTAGTATAGCTGACTCTTTCCTGGCGCCAGCACTGATCCCCAGCTAAGAAGCTAAGGTCGAAGAAGGGTATTTGGGTGGGGCAGAGTGGCTCTGCCCTTACATCGACTTCGAATCCAAGCGTTCTGTGTGACTCAAGTGCTGCACTCTGGTTCCCAAGAAGGGTCACGCGTGCTGAACCATCATTTGTCGTCTTCTGGATGAGCGAAGAGAGCTTTTCAAGGAAATCTTTCTCCGCCGATTTTTCGCGTTGGATCACTGCAGTGGGTTAACAGAACTCCCGATGTTACTTCCGATCAACTAGAAATGAGTGTAAAACCCTGTTCCTATAGATATTCCAAAAGAAGCACGTTCATTTTGTGTGTAAGAAATCGTCGTCGTCTTTAAATTTAGTAGTAATCCGGAATCTGTTGTTAAACTCTTATTTTTTACAGCTTCCGCTGAGTAACAAGAACTGCTGTCGACCGTAAATTCTTCCTTTTTTGTAAGTCGCTGAACGTCACGAATGTCAAACGGCACATACTTTTCTTTCGATTCCCGGAGATTTATTGAAATGTCACCGCAGAATGTCAAAACATCATTGTTCTCGCATTTTAGAGACCACCTTTGATAAAGTTAAATAGAAATCCGGCAAAGCTTTGTTTTATGCTTTGAATAACCACTTTTAATGAGGACCGCAACAACTTTCTCTATTTGAAATTGTATATTTTCGAGATCTTTTATTTGGTAGAGTAATTTTAGTGTTATTTTATAGTTATTATCTCGGGTCAGCTTGAAAAAGTGTTTAGATTTAAGATTCAGCGAGCCACTACAAGGCATTATTTTCTCACCTGATATCGATATTTTTTAAGCTACTAAAAGGCTGATAAATGTTGGTGTTATACTGCTTTGGAAGTTTCACGTAGCAATTGCGATTCAAATTAATATCATCGTTGAGGATATCGTCTTTGTTTCCCAGGATTTCGTCATTGAATGCGTCTATGGCCACGAGCAGCGCCAAAAATTTTCTCATCCTTTAGATTTTTTCATCATTTTTTGGTCTTCACTTTTTTCTTCTCTTCAAAACTGAATCAGCTGATTTATAAGAATATACGCTCGCCGCAGGCCGTTTATTTGTTTCTTTTTGTTCTTTTCTATCTTTAAACTCGAACAATCTTGTAGACTTCGGCGAACAACGCGCATCCACGAATCGTAAAATGGTCCCTGATTACGTTTTTAGCTCCGCTCGCGTAACGAAAATAGATAAACTGAACCATCCTTGTCTAACGAAAAAAATCGTATACGGAGATCGATTTAATTTTAATTAAAATGATGACTTTCATTTTCTTAATTTTTCACAACTTTGTACTGATATATTCACCCTATTTGATTGATCTGCAATAATGCAGAGGGACAAGAAACCGACATGTAGTTTATTTCATAGACAATCGATTAATTGGTGTTCTTTTCGAACACAGAAGAGTGTTTGCTATTTGGCGTGCGCACCAATCGCCACTTTTCCTCTTTTACCATTGTTTGAGCGTATTCTTGGGCTCAGGCTGAGCACACGCCATAAACTTTAGAATCTCAGATGAAAAAATGAACTTGAAAGATGAACTTCAATCAGAGAATTCGAAAAATACAACTTTCTCAAGGAAATCGGTCGCGGGGCGACTTCCAGGTTTGGATTTAGTCAACCCTTTGAGTAGGATAACGGTTTTAAGGGTTTACCTTGCAGAAACAAGAGGCTCCGGAGACTTGGTGGCAGTCAAAGAAGTGGGTTTGTCGAAGAAAATTGAAAAACAGTCAATATTCCGAGAAATTGAAGTGATGCGCGGTTTCAATCATAAAAATGTCTTGAAATGTCTAAGTTTCGACGCAAGTGAGGATAAAATCCAGATCATATTGGAATACTGCCCACTCGGTTCTCTGGCCGATCTTATTTTGGTAGGGTGAGTCGCAGGATATCCAACAATAACAGGATTGATTTAGAGAACAAGAGAAAGCAAGTCTTCCCTTGTGGAGAAGGAAGTTTGCAACTTTGGGCGACAAATAACATCAGCACTCAAGTACATTCACGACCTAAAGGTTCTCCACCGTGATCTTAAACCTGACAATATCATGATAACAGCAGGAAGCCTACTGAAAATTTGCGACTTTGGTGTTTGTCGAGTTTTGCAGGAGGGAGAATCTAAAGGTAATTCCTTGAATCTACGCATAAATCATGATTGTCGCGAAGCTAAAACATTCGTGGGTACGATTCAATACTGTGCTCCAGAGCTGCTTAAAAATTCTACTTTTGGCCCTGCTGGGGACATTTGGGGTTTGGGAACAATCCTTGTTGAGCTAGCAACTTTAGGTATAGAAAAACCGTATCATTAGTCTGAAATTTTAAGCTAAACCTTTTGGGGAAAGTGAAGCTTTTCTGGCTATCTGCAACAGGATATCAAAAGGTTCCTTCCGACCATTGCCCGATACATTTAGCACTGAATTCAAAACCACAGTGCTGAAAATTCTCCAAGTTGACCCGATTGAACGTCCAACAACTGAGGAGCTTCTTGAATGCTCACTTTTTACCGAAGACAACGAAGACGTGGAAGAATACTACGAAGAAGATTTCGACGATAGCAGTTCTTTGTCTGAAATCTCAGATAAATATGATGACTCGCGCTCTTCAACTTCTATCGACAGCTACTGCTCAAGCTTTGAAAGTAATTCTTTTGCTTCATAAAATATAAATTCATTGTAAAACAAATGATGAAGTAGTTGTAATAATTATATTTAACAGTGTTACGCAATGTCGCCAAAGAGAGAGAGAAAGAAAAAAAAAATCGCATTCAGCATGAGAGAGGTAAAACGGTTCTTAAAGCTTCGCAAGAAAGCATGCTTTATCATTGATTTTTCTAAATAAGTTCTGCAATGTCTCCACGGCCAGAAGACGAGTCCGAATCGTCTTCACATTCTTCAATGAGCTCTTTAATTGCCATGTGGACGAGAATCTCCAGTTCATCCTGTTCGATAACTCCTGGTGATCCAGGGTTTCCAGGGGCACCTCGAGGTCCAGGGCATCCACTTGCACCATCAGGTCCAGGTCGGCCAGCATCTCCATCAGATCCTGCAGGGCCTTGTGGTCCAGGTAGACCGGGAGGTCCTTGACAGCCATCAATTGATTTCCCAGCGGGGCCACATTCACCTATGTCACCCTGTTCTCCGGGATTCCCATTCTTACCATCAAGACCAGTTGGACCAGCATCACCAGCGATTCCTGCTTCGCCAGAGGGGCCTCTATTTCCTTGATCGCCATCTGGACCAGGAAGACCGGGGTCGCCTGCAACGCCATCAGGCCCATTTTCGCCCGCTTTACCAGTTTTTCCTTGCGGCCCTGCTTCTCCAGAGGGACCAGGTCGTCCTCGTTCACCAGTTGGACCGCGAGCACCAGCTGGCCCTCTTTGCCCGTCTTCGCCATTTTCGCCATTTTGACCATCTTCACCTCGTTTTCCTGGATTACCAGGGATACCTGGTGCTCCTCGGTCGCCAGCAGCGCTACTTTCGTCACAAGTTGGTTTAAGACCATCACTTCCAGCATCACCATCCGGTCCATCTCGACCTGGATTCCCAGGGTCACCGTTTCGGCCATCTGGGCCTCGCTCGCCATCTCGTCCGCGCGCTCCGTCTTTTCCACGAGATCCTCTAACACCATCCTGACCTGATCGGCCTGCTGGTCCTTCAGGGCCACGAGGTCCTACTTCATCGCGTCCTCGATTGCCGGGTGGACCTCGTGGTCCAGTTTCTCCACGGTTTCCTTGAGGACCGCGGGGTCCTTGCACTCCTGGTTCTCCATGTCGTCCAGGTTCACCTCGGTCACCTTGTGGACCAGCAAATCCAGTCGGTCCATTTTCTCCTGGCCTGCCAGCTTCTCCGTCTTCTCCGGGAGCACCTGGTTCTCCAGGACGTCCGTCGTCACCGTCTGTACCTGGCGGACCAACTTCGCCTTGGTCTCCGTCGAGGTGAATGTAGGGGAAACCAGTCTCACATTCACGATCGGTAATAAAATCATCGGAGACGTCATCTTCTTGTTTAAAAAGTCTTCGCGTTATCTCCATTGCAGTACTATGTTCATTCGATTCGATGAAGCCTGCGTCATCAGTCAGTTTTTGAAAGAAGACTCGGTTCGGACACACACGATCCAAATTGCTGTCATCTGTTGGATTTCCTGGACATTTGGAACTAAAAGACATTCCAAATACTTTCAGCTCCAAGTTATCTAGATTATTTCGCAGGCGGTTGTAGTCGATTTCGTCATTTTGGTTTCCATTACTGTAAATAACCATGGCACGCTGTAAAGACAATCAATTTTCATAAAGCTCTCAAAATATGAATACCTGCGAGTTTTCTCGGAATTGAGATGAATATATCGTTTCGATTCGTTCAAATGCTGCGTTGTAATTAGTTGTTTCATCGTCGAAAATGATTTGGTCGACGGCCTTCTCGAGTTCCATTTGAATATTGTCCAACCGGTTGTATTTCGAGAAACTAAAGATCTCTCGAGCATCTCTATTGAAACTGACAACTGATACACGAAGACTTTTCAAAGGATTGTATTTCAGAGATATTTTTAGACTCAAATCGTTATAGCCTATAACTTATAGGCTATAACTTATAGCTAGGTGTAACGGTAGAAAAATCAACTCATCCTTATCTCCTTCTATGGCTCTAGATTTTTCATTATTATTAATCGCCACGTTCCGGCGATCATTTTGATGGTAAAATCGTCAAAATCCGCCAAGGAAAATGGATTTTAGGACTAGGCTAATGTCCCGGATTCCGCACTAGAATTGTTCTAGTGCTCGGAAGAGGGTGATTACTCCATCCAATCAGCCCGTCGTTACTATCAGATTAAAGAGCAGGCTTTGTTCTACTAAAATCAATTCGGAGAAATTGTTTGTGGCCGCTATAGCGAGCACGAAGAGCTCAAGAAGCATGAAAAAATGGCCAAAAAGTGCTTTTCAAGGTGTACTCAAACCAATTCAGCCTCAATTTTGCCTCTTTTTCATGCTTCTTGAGCCCTTGGTGCTCGCTACGGCGGCCACAAACAACTTCTCCGAATTGATTCTAGTAGAACAAAGCCTGCTCTTTAATCTGAGAGTAACGACGGGCTGATTGATGGAGTAATCACCTCTTCCGAGCACTAGAACAATTCTAGTGCGGAATCCGGGACATTAGCCTAGTCCTAAAATCCATTTTCCTTGGCCGATTTTGACGATTTTACCATCAAAATGATCGCCGGAACGTGGCGATTAATAATAATGAAAAATCTTGAGCCATAGAAGGAGATAAGGATGAGTTGATTTTTCTACCGTTAATTATAGCCTCAAAGTAAAGCAGGTACTCTCTGGCCACTTGAAATCCCTTTCCTGTCTCCGAGTTTTTGTCCACCGTTTTCAGGAGTTGTTATAGTTCCAATGAGATCGAGAAGGTTGGTCTTGACCTGGTCGATTCGATTAGAATTGCAAAAAGATGTGTCGAGTGCGATCACCAAGTCGGTTTCGACTGGTCGTGGAGCAACTTTTCGACTTCCAAGGCAATCAGCAGTGACCTTTGCACGGACACTGGCCCCACTGTTCCAGGTGTCGAGCACTTTAGTTTCTAAAAACCTGGATAATCTCGTGTTCTGTAGTCTGAGAGCGTAAAGGTACCTGCTGCGACCCCAAGGGCAGCCAGAATGAGCCTGTGAAGCTTCATGAACCTAGCGAACAAAGTTAGATTTGAATATAACTCGCCTCTCTTACCGATTTTATCTCTCTGAGTTGCTCGTATTAGGCGCAATGTATTTATCCAAATCGTATAAAACTGAATTGATTATTAAAAGTTACGATCCAGCTGCGCCGGGAAAGCGCGAATACCGCTCAGGAAGCTGCCAACACCATTTATCAATCTCTCGCCAAGTACTTTAAATCTATGCTCGAATAATGAATGTCAAAAGATGCTGAGCAAAATCCAACCTGACGAATCTAATAATGTTGGACCAATATCTTCAATAAGTAATGATAGTAATAACAATATTTTGAGTTTTTACAATTGCTTATCGATGTGGTAAGACAAGAGGCACATAATTCTTTACGGTCTCATTCTGCTATCGTTAAGTAAACCAGCCCCGTTTTTGTTCTAGAGTCTAGAATCTAGGCCTGAAGGTCGCTGAAGGAGATGCTTTTATTTATCATATTTACTATAGTAGAATTGTGATTATCACTTTCTGCGCATCGGTTTGGCCGGGGGCGGTGGTGCTAGCTCCAGAATAGCACCATTCACAATTCTTCATCCCGGAAAATTTCTCGGTCCAGGATATAATTATGTAAAATCCTCAAATGGGCATCTTTGATCCACCTCCGCCGGACGCGGTAAAAGAGAAAGAACGAGAGCGAGAGCTTTTAGAGACCCAGAAGGAGTCCAGAGGATGCTATCTTTGCAAAATCATGTTCTTCATCGGTGCATTGCTTACATTCTCCTTTTTCTATGAAAAGCAGAAGCTTCAGGAATGGATGAACTTTGATCCAAGATAACCATCGTTGCTAGAACAAGCCAAAATCAATGATTTTAAATCATCTCACTATAAGCGAACACGAAATGTTGCCGTCGAAAAGGCACTTACTCCAAGTGGAGTTCTTCCTAATTTTTCTGGAGAATACATGATTCGAATGTTCTATACAGACCCAGGATACTTTAGCAATTGGGAATACAATGACGTGACTGTGGCAACGCAATGTTCGGCTAATCATCTTCACCATGTGGTCAAGCTTTGGGAACGCTGGTCCGGGCCGATAAGCGTTGCTGTCTTTGCTCCTAATTTGGAAGCTTCCTTTGCCACTGATGCAATCCTCTCAATGCAAAAATGCTGGCCTGACATGAAAAAGCGAGTTACTTTTCACCTAGTCTACCCAACGGAGCACAAAGCGGATCTTTCAGAAAGGAAATCGCGTACAAATCAAGCCCCTAAGTATAAACTCGAACTCAGTCGACCGAAACTCTTTGAATGCGGCAGCAGTTTACTTTGGATTAATAATTGTACTTAAAAATCCACTTGAGACGCGAGAGTAAAGTTCAGGTTCTCTCGAATACAGCTCTTGCGAAGAGCTGCGTCAAATCATTCACGACTATGGTGGCGACGACAGGTAAAATAGTTCAATTATTTACTCAGAAAAATTGAATTATTAATACGAGGCTGATACTTAACCTAGCCGTCATTTTATGCACTCTGATTACGCTTGATATAATAACATGAATTTTTCTTATTTCGCATTATTGACACAACTTGTGTCTAGCCACAGTTTCGACGAGTGCTTGGCAGAGAAATTATCACAAATGCCTGTAGCTTTTCGACGGATGCCGAAAATAGCGCTAGAATTGGCAGTTATAGGAAATAGTCTTCGATAATTTATCGTTTAATCATGGGATAAATAATGAGATTATTTTGAAAGAGTGCACTTTGGTGGATCCTCATGAATACCCCGGATAATATCTTTTCTGATTAAATCTGTTGAATTTCATCTTTAATCTTGGAACCATATCTAATAAAGTTCTCTTCAGTCAAAACTACAAAGGAGACATCCCCTATCCTCACAATGTACTGCGAAACGCTGCACGGAAAGGCGCGGCTACAGAGTTCGTTTTCCTCATCGATGTTGACGTTATGCCGAGCTTACACATGCGAGAAGGTTTTAACCAATTCGCCAAACAGTATAGCCAAGGGTTCAAATTGAACCGGCCAATTACATTAATGATGCAGTTGCTGGCTAAACTTTAATATGTTGGTCTATTTCTGAACCTTTAAAGATTGTATGAGGAGAAAACAGAGAAAGCAGTCTTTGTTGTTCCCGTTTTTGAAATATTGAAGGGACATCAATGCCCAGACGATAAAGCCGAGTTGAAGGAGGCTCAAATGACACGGAAGGAAGTCCGACCATTTCATAATGCAACATGCCGGTGGTGTCACGAACCAGAAGATCATGATAATTGGCTTATGAAACCGAAGAATGACCGGATGGAAGTTGCTTTTAATGCAACTTGGAATAAGCTTGGTCTCGCATCCGCCTAACTCTAACGCTAAACCCTTGACAAACGCGAACCCTAACCCTAGCCTAAATTATCAAAGTGAAACCAATTTAAAGAGCTGGGAACCTTTCTACATTGCTCGTCGGAGCGTGCCGTTATTCGACGAACGGTTTAAACAATATGGCTTCGATCGAATCGAGCAGATTTGTGAGCTACATGTTGCTGGCTATAGATTCAGTGTCCTAAACAATGCGTTTCTCGTGCATGATGTGAGTTCGTAAAACGAACTTTAATGCCAGAATTTGCAGAATTATTAAAAATTGTCTAGGGATGGAAAGAAGCTCATGCAGCAGCAAGAATGACGGAGACTTTCCGTAACTGGGTCCTCTTTCATTTCCATTTCCAGCAAGCTTTGCTGAAAATGTACGATGATCCTCTAAGCTGCGCTCCGGTTCAGACCTGGATCCCTCGAGGACAGCGTTTACTTGGAGACATCAATAATCGTCACGCGAGGTAATCCATTAACGGTGTCAAGCTTATTCAAAAATTACTTCAGAATACAGCGAAAATTTCTGAGCAACGAAGTCTGACGATGATATTTCACAGAGCACTGCCTAAGTGATTGATAAATTATCTTTGCTGAACACAAAAATGATTATACAAATAAATATTCCGCTGTAGAAAGAGAGATTCGTTACTTTTATTTGCAAGGGTCGGATTCTCTGTTGAGAGGTGTACTTTCAAGTTTCTCCAAAAATATGTACAGAGGGTGTTTGTGAGCTGATTTGCACCTTTCGTTGCACCTCAATAAGTAAAAAATCAAGCAAGAAGCGAATTACTCGCAGTTCTCGCCGAAAGCACCAATACGTCTTCTGAGATTGACTAGCGGACCGCCATACTGATCACTGGGGAAATTCGCATCGCACTCTTCTCTCGAATAAGGGCATTCGCCGAACCATTTGTTCAATGGCTTAGGGAGCTCCTCATTTTTATTGAAGGCGACAAACTGCAATTGTTGCTAAATTTCATATATAGATAATGACTTTCAAAATAGAGCTCACTTGGAAGGCAAAAATTCCTTTACAGATGCCGGATAAGTTATTGTTTGACATGTCGACTATGCTGAGCTTATAATTCTTCTCGAAGATAGTTTTTGAAAGGGTCTTAAAAATCGTAATTCTTTTTCAAAAATCATCTTTACCTTGATATTATTATGTCGGAAGCAAATGTCAAAAAGCTCGGCTGACTTCTCAAACATATCTGGCGGAAGGGCAAAAACGAAGTTCGAAGAAATGTCGAGTTTTTTAAGGCTCGGCTAAGATGATAATGATTTGAAGAAAATTATGTTCCAAATCTACCTGATTGTCGAACATTTTGAAAGGAAAGCGAGCAATATAATTGCCTCTAAGGCAGATATCATCTAGTTTTGTGAGAGTGGAAATTTTTCGTCTGAATGCGCCAGATTTAATGAGACCATTGTAAGCCATGTCCAGTTTTTGAGTAGACTCAGGCAAGTGCAATAGTGTCAAGTTAAAAATCCACTTTGAGGAACAGTCGACTTCAGGTCCTTTTATTCTAAAAGGAGGTCAATCATAAACGCATCATCAATGGAAAGCGACGTGCAACAATACATACGAGCAAATATCTTCTTTTGGTGTATCACAATTGCTTCCAATCCAATCTGGCAAGCATTCGTCACAGAAATCTCCACCAAAGTTTCCAACGCAGAGGCAGCCAAGTCCTAAATGATACGTACCTCCATTCAAGCACATATTGTAGGCAGTAGTTGTTGTCGTCTAGAAAGTAAAATGTTTAAGCTTCTTTAATCTCAAGGATTCAACGGGATGTGTGAGCAACGATAGTTGCGGATACCATGTGGTCATTTTGGTTAGCCAGTGGTTTATCTAAATTGCTGAAATAAATACATACCCGCCGAGTTGTAGCAATGCGCGACGCTCGTTGCGCCCATGAAGGAGCTCCAGTAACTTGGCCTATTTTTAGCGGAGGTTGCGCTTGAATATTCCTGAATCTATTTCCACCATCTGTTGCCATAGATTTGCCAAAAACGTTTCCAAAGCCCTTTGTACGGCTTATGAGGTTAGAAGAAACTTGTCCATTCCCGAGCCTAAAGTAAGAATACAAATAAAGCAATAGGGCGACGTTATGATAAACGACACCACTCTAAAATATAAAATTTTAGGAAACCGATTGAGCTTGAGTTGTTTTTGTGGGATTCGGAGAATGACTGATTCAATTGACTGGGTCGTTGTTTCGAAAACTCCATCGTCAATTTCTATGTCTGCAATCTTAGTTGAGGTAGTTTGGGAAATTGAAGTTGATTTTGTTGTTTCTGTTAACTTAATCGTCGTCCCTGATTTACTCGCTAGTGTTGATTCACTTGTTGTTGTTTTAATTTCTGCTGGGGTTTCAGCAATATCTGGTTTGAATCTCCCGAAGGACGACATTGAGAAAAACGATGAAAACATTGAACGTCCTGCGCTGAATACAGACGGTTTTGATGATGGCTCCACCTTTATAACCTGCACGTTTTCATTCTTTGACCGTTTTGGCGTTTTAGTGCTGCTATCTGGCCGTTTTCTTCGATTTCGGGTGGAATGACTCGTAGTTGCTATCGTTGATGTTACTTTTGATAGCTTGCTTGGTTTTGGTGTCGTTCTCGATCTCTTTATTGTCCTACTGATGTTTGAGAAGGTAGACGTAGTCAGCTTTTTATTAGTTGTTGTCGATGTCGTTTTTGAGGTTGAGGTTGTGGTAGTCGTTGTGGTAGTCGTTCTGGTAGTCGATGTAGTAGTCGTCGTCGTTGACGTAGTGGTTGTAGTGATAGTTTTTGAAGTTGAAGTTGAAGTTGTGGTAGTTGTTCTGGTAGTCGATGTGGTAGTCGTGGTCGTTGTTGGAGTAATTGTAGTGATCGTTGTTGAAATTGTTGTTGTTGTTGTGGTAGTTATTGTTGTTGATGTTGTTCCCATGCTAGTTGTGCTAGTTGTGGTCGTAGCCATACTCTTTTTCAATTGTTTACTTGTAGACTGACTTCTTAGTCTTGATGTGTTAGCTGCTACAGTAGTTGTTTTCTTCTTTCTACGTGTTATTTCTGGCGATACTGTTATTAGTATTGATTCTTCTTTTGAGATTACAGTCGGTCGTCTCATCATGCTCATGAAGTTCATCATAGGTATTCTTCCACTTTGCTGTTTTGCTGTCAATGATGTAGCAGAGGGCGCAGCAGTTGTACTGCTTTCGAGTTTCGTTGAGGTTGAGCTCTGTTTGAGGATAGAAAAAAGAGAAATAAGTGTTTTTGTTAAAAGAGGTTAAAGCGCTGTTTTTATGATTTAGTAAAATGTCCTTTCCTTGCTAGTTCCACGCGGATGGAAACCGAAGAAATTAAAGTCGTCCCAAGTTAGTTGTATTTTTCCCGCTTTGCTTTTCTCTTGGCGTCTGTTTCGAGCAGCCTTTTCTTTTCTTGATTTTCGTGCACCGCGTTTAACAATAACATGCATGTCACCATATTCGTTGATATGGGAGTTAGCCTCGCGTTCACTTGATGTCATGCATTAATAAAAAACACACACCGGTTCAAATAAATTCCCAATATATATTTTCGGAAATATTGAGAATTTCAAAACATTCAATTGCTCACCTAGCAGCCCAGTCGGAATGTACAGATTGGCCAGGTCGAGCAGATTTTAGTTTCGCTGTAAATTGCGGCTTCACAGCTTTGAATGAGATCGGTTTGGATGGCAAATCGTCAATTGGTTTGCCTTTCTTCAACAAGGTCGTTTTGGCGAGTGGTTGTTTTTTAGGGACTGGCTGTTTTTTCAGTGGTTGCTTTTTGAGTGCACCAGCCTTGAGGCTGAATTTTCCAGAGTTGAGATCCTCCCTGAATCTATTGAAGTTTGCTCCAAAATTTGGTTTCTGCGCAAGAATCGGTGCTGGTTTTGAAGTATTGAGCGATTTGCTCTTACTCCAGCGGCTCTTTATTCGTGCATCCTTTCTTGCTTTCTTGTAATGGGATAGAAACGGTTATCAGAGTAATAGAAATGCTCATGCTTTGTTTTGATAATTTTAACCCACAGTCCTTTTTTTCCAAAATGCTCTTTTCGGAAGCGACCACAGCCATCAGAAGGCATACGAGAATCGAGATATGCAACCGCATTTCCTAAACTGAGATGAGGTCGGAAGCTATTTAGACTTCAGGAAATGAAACCGCAGAAAACACAAACCCAAATTAAGTACGGTAAACTGAGATGATCCTGTCTAAAGACCGCATGAAAAGGTCAATCCTATGTTAGCCTGATATTGTCAGGTATTGCAAGAAAGTAATCACAAGAAATAATAACCATTCAATCATTTTTTTTTCTGAACGAATATCATCAACGATAAACTCGTTTTCATCGATTATGTAAAGAAAGTTTTCTGTCGATTCTTAGACTAATTTAATTTTTCTGGATAAATTATTTTGCATCGCAAAACGTGCTTCTAATCAACAGCATGTAATATTGTTTCTAAATATTTGGCGGACAATGCCACCGAATCAACCAAATCTGACGGGCTGTCCGCTGACTTAACTTCAAGATGCCACTGTCAATTAGTCATATACTTGTAACAGCTTAATTTTGTCAATAATGAACAGTTTTGCTTTTTATTTTGATTGCTTACTCTAGCGAGACTATTTGACAATAAAAAAAAGAAATAGAGCTAGCTAGGGTGCAGTTGAATATAAATTTCGAAGTTACCTTTTCGTAAAGATCTCTCTGACGTCTCTTGGATCTCGAAACTGGTTTTTGGATTGACTCTTAGCTGCCTTGCTTGACAGATTTTGAAACACTGAAGTAGTGCTCCTCATTTTTTACCGATTGACCGGGAGTCTTCGGACTCGCGCGCGCCCCCTGAGTGAGCGCGGCCTTTCGTCAAGGGCCTTATCGCCCATTTCCTCTTCAATTTGCGTCTATCGTTTAGTGGGCGACAAGAATAGATTGCAATTTTTAAATGATAAAACAAGAATGTCATAATAAAAACCACGTTTCTTTTATAAGCCAATCGCACTTTTAAGGGGGCTCTTTGTTTTAGAACTAATGCCATTTTTAGGGGTAAAAATACCCCTTTGAGCAATTGATACGATTGAATAATTTTTCTGTAGTGAAATTTTTAACCGCTACGACATCAACTCGACTGCTGGAGGATTCTTGTGAACTGGTAAGTGACCGAGTTATTACTGTTCGCTTGGGTTCCATCGAGTTGCCCTTTCGGTTGCTTTGCTGCGGCAATTTAGACCCTATCTGAGAGCTAATAATCGGTTCTGCTTCCCGTTGCCCAAGATACCTCATCAAATGGACGCCGTCTTTTCTGAGATTTATTAAAAATATACTTTCAGAAATACAAATTATTGAAGTTTGTTTAATCAACGGCCGAGAGCGTGTCAAAATCAATGCGGGAGTTGGAAAACTTGAGGATTTTGCATCGGGATCTGTTGTTGCGGGATCGGCTGTTGCTGTACGAATTGAGGGTTTTGCTTCAGTATCGCAGATGCCCGAGCATTTTTCAGGAGTTCTAGCAAGGCTCCTTACTGATGTCTTTAAAAAGGAGCCACCAAAGTTTGGCGAAAATCTTAGAGCCTTTCCGTCTAGCTTTTCCAAATAATTCTTCTGGTGGTTGGTCAAATCTGTCTGTCCTTTTATGTCTGCATCCCTCATTTTTTGAATGAGATCTTCCATCCTAATCAAAAACGTTTAAAAATCAGTTAATTGCATCAAAAAATCAGATGTGCGGATCATGCCTTTCAACAAACGCATACAATTTGGGAACAAACATACTCTCTTAGGAGACATCATCTGTAGACTAAAAGAGCACTTAAAAGTTCTGATTGTGGGAAAATCTTGCTTGACAGGGCCTTTAAAACCGCGCCGCTGCTGAGAGACTAACAGTGCTCAACTTATGAAGTCAAGAGTCTTTGGCAAAGTTAACAAATTGTATGTCACAAACATAAGATCAGAAGTGAGTCAAGACTAGTGACAGCGAATTCGGCTGTATGCGCACCCCAACGTACGCATCCATGGAAAATAAAGAAACTTTCCTCGGAGTTCAATAATTCCTAACTACGAGTGCATTGCTACTAGAAACATCGACAGTGATTAGGATATGCTATACTATTCGAGGCGTGTTGAGCGGAAAACCTTTGGCTGTTCTGGCTTAGTCTGTAGGTTAAGTCGTAGTAATCATGAGGTGCGGATCGAGTGGATCTTGAGCTCCTATTGTACCTTCGAGTGTTGGGCGTAGAAACCACGTGATACTCTCCAGACTTCGTCTGTGCCAGTTGATTTCCTAGTAATGCCGCTTTAGTTATAAAAGAACACAAATACCTGAAATTTGAAGCTTTTCCTTGATAACTTTGTGCTTCCGTTCAATTTCGCGAATCTTTGACTCCAAATCATTACTTCCGTACTATATCGTGGGGTTTTCATTGTCCCTGGCTGGAAGATCTTGGTCGGATATGAGACAATATCGTATTTAGAACTTGTCAGATACGCTTATTTATCGTCTACATTTTTATTGACTCATTGAGCGCTATCCTCTGAAAGTTAAATACAATTATTTGTAATTATAAATGATTGGGTGGCGAAAATTCTCAGAAGAAAGCCATTTTCAAAGCCAGCCAAAACGAACCCTATTCCTTTCCAGAGGAGCTTCTCGGCGTGTCTAAATAGAAAAATCAAGCAAATTTGGTCTCTTGTCAAAATCTTACAACTTCTTCCGTGATCTTTGGATGAATGAACAGGCTCGAGGGGCACATAGACATTACCTGGCATTTTCAAAAGATTTACTTGCCCCGACTGTTGGTATCCATTGTAAGGTGCGTTATTGTATGAACGAGAGCTTTTTTAAGAGTTAAGCGAATATGTTTTAGAAATTAAGAGTTGAGGTACTTAATAATTGAGCTATTTCGGAACTCCCCTGGCCGCTCGATGGCTGTATTTTTGTGCTTCTTGGAGCGCTTTCTGTTCCTGCAAGGCTTTTTCATTCTTGGTCGCCTGTTTTTTGAGTTCGAGCTCTGTTGTTTGGAATAACTACTGTAAATACATTTTTTGACCGCTACTTCAATGAGTTTGTTATTTACAAAGTACTCAGCAAAAGTAACCAATTTCCTACATATTTCCTCTTTTTGGGCAAAAGTTAGAGTTAGATTCGCCACAATTATTACCTTTATAATATTATTAGTACTTCTAATTTAGTAATATGATTATTCCGAGCCTAGTTCAGCTTGTTTGATCTCTGACTGTTTCAAAAGTTTTTCTTCCAGATCTTGAAGTTGTTTGGTGTGTTCCGCTTCTCTTTCCTGTGCCAGGAGATCTAAATGGCCTTACTTAGAGCCGATTTCCTAGAAACTTTCTCTTAGAGAGTCATTAAAGAACTACTTGACAATTTATAAGTGGGAAATTTTAGTAGGCGACGTTCCCATGCTGATTAAATAAAAATGAAAATGAGGGAAGGAAAATCACTGTTTCCTGCCATTCAGAAGTTATCTAAAAATCAGCAATTATTATTACCGTATTTGAGCTGCTCTTTACGAACTTCGTCTTTCACTATTTTTCGCAGCGCTTTCTCGACATCTCCGCCTCCCCCTCCATTGCCCATAAAAATAGTGGACGCCATCTTCTGGTCCTCTATCAGAAAAAAAATTCTGCTCAGAGAAACGCGTGCTTTCTTCGATGGTCGATGGGAAAATAGCAAGTCCCTGCTGGTGGTGAGTCCCGTGTGTGGTCAGGGTAGAAGCGTGTGTTGCTATAGTCAGCCTGGAGCACCATGCAAACAGCCACGTTTTGGATACAGCAAAGCCTGCCCAAACACTTTGGCACACCGATACTGCCATGTTTTCTTTGTGAAATGGTTTGTCATCTTTTCAGATAAACCCCGCAATGATTTCGAATTGAGTTGGATGCCCTGTTTGTTCTGAAATTTTCACGCCAGAGTTAAGTCGTTAAATTTTATTGCTCAGACCGAGCACACATTCTGCGCCATCAAATACGATTCCCTTCTTTTATATGGACAGTAATCGATTTGCCAGATTAAGTAAAAACGGTTAAATCTTGTGTCAAATAATTAATTGACCTCCAGGCCTCCAGGCCGCCTCAATTATTCAATTCCTTTTATATAAATTAGACGGTCCAGGTATTAAGCTTACTAAAAGATAGAATCAAAGAATTGATGCGATAAAATGATCTTTTTGGTAGTGCTTTTCACTTTGGGCTTAGCAGGGACGGTCATTAATTTCAAATTATTTTCTGGTGTTGGAGTCTATCAGTCAGACTCAAAACGTATGCTTTAACTAGAGAATGAATTAAACATATATCAACAGGAAACGAGGAATTATCGATAATATCGCTATTTGAACAGTAATGCTATTAATCGGAGCAAGATATTCTGATTAAGTTCGTTACTATGGCAGGGAAATGCTGGCTACTACTGTCTAAATACTGATAATAAATATCACCCTTGATATTAATGATCGGTCAAAGGTTCTGCGATCCAGCACGATTCGTGGACAACAAAAGATTCGCTAATAAGTCCGTCTGCGTTGGGAACCCAGGAATTACGGGTAGAGCGACGGGCTTTTAGCAAAGATGACTACGAGAAGTTCTTCGATCAAATGAGAAAAGACATCTATCGAAGACGAATGCTGAAGTATAGCGGATAAAAATATAGCGGAATGAGAGTTTAATCGAAAATGAAATAAATCTTTATTAAAATCAATTTTGTTAAAAAAATGTAAATATTTTTTTTCAGTGTCAAGCTCTTATGTACTTTGTACTTGTGTTATTCGCAAGGCAGCTTCAGGAATTTTTGTCGGGTCGTTTCTAGCAAAGACGATTATGTCTGGACGCGAAGGGCGGAGCATAATTTTCATTGCTTCGGGATGTTCTGGCAAGATGTTCTTCGCACGCACAGAAGCTGATATTCGATGAGTTCGGTTGGCCGCGAGGATGAGGACGGCGAAGCTGTATAAAATAGAATTTTTGCTTTGGCATGAAAATATTACCTATCAATTATGAACAGTTTCGCCTCAATTGAGCCTGGAAGATTACTGGCGCTTTGCTTTATTGAGTTTTTGATGACCAGATTCAATCCGTCGTTTGCAAACTGGTCAATTGGAAGGCCCTCTACTTTACAGAGGGACTCTGGCGTTTCAACATCAAGCTTTATTGAAGCACATCCAAGTGGCGATAAGTCAGATGTAAATCCAAGGTTTGTAAAAAGCTCATAGAGCTCTTGATCGCTCGATTCCGCGATTTGACTTTCATGAATAGCAAGCAATCCGTTGAGGGTAATTTCGTCCCTAGGAAAACGTAATTCCGTTTGTTCTTTGGAAGCGGTACCTGATCGTGTTGAAATTTTCTTTGATCGTCTCCCACAATTCATCAAACTCTTTGACACCCTCGGGCTCTGTTCTTTTTACAAATTCGAGAAACTCAACTTTCCCGAGTCTCCCGTTTCCTGAGGTGTCAAAGAGTGCCAAGACTTTGGCAAGCGCATTTTTACAGTCCTGTGTCAATCGTGTCTCACCATATTGATCTTTAGTTGATAGGTCCGACCACTGTCCGCTCGGACGTTCTCTATCGAATTCGAAATCTGGCTTTGAAGTCTACTCTCACCTTTTTGGTAGTGTCACAGGGCAGGGAAGAATGTTGTAAGTTCCGGCAGGAAGATCGCCTTGCCAAACTGCGGAAATATACTCGTGCGATGGCAGTATTTGTCCAACACCCTCAATCTGACCATTTCGGACGATGAAAAATGTAAGGATAACGTCACTGGTGTCCATCGATAGATTTATGCAGCATCGAGAAGCAGTAGAAAGGGTCATTTTGAAACGGTGTCCAGCTCTATCAGCAACAAAAAAGGCTCCCCTTGCTGAACAAGTCGGTTCTTCAATCACATGATCAGAAAGATCGCTTTTCTTCAACTCCGAAAAGTTAATTTTGAATTCCGGCTATTTTACGCTTTACGTTTTTCGAATACGAAATTGCGATTGAAAAAGTACGATGAAGCGTTCCTGAACATCTTCATTGCCTGGAGATAATCTTGATTCGTCGTTAACGAAGGCATCAAACGCATCATTTCGGAGAGCGTTAAACTTCTGCATGAATAATTCAGTCGAGAGACTCTCTTCGTCGCCAAAAGTATCCATAAGGAATTGATCAAGTCTTCCGGCTGACATGTTGCTCCCCGACGATGTCACAAAGCGACGGAGGTCACTTCTTGAGAGTGTTTTCCCGAATTTTTCACTGAATGTCTTTTTGAGCTCATTGTTATATTGAGAACTGGCAGTGTCTTTCAGCTTTTCGGCGGTTTCCACGAAATCGTCAAAACCAAATTCATTGCTCTTAGCACTTGTCCAGATTGTCTAAAAACTTTAATTGCGAGGATGAAGGCATACAGCTTATTTGGCCGCAGAATGTCGCTACCGTAAAAGATTTGTTGTTTCCTCTTGTCACTTACTTTTATTTGCGCAGCTGTTGGACTTAGCCCCAGTACTGCTAGTAGCCGATAGAGATCGTTAATGGATGTACACTTGGTTGATATTGAGTCGAAGTACTTTTCATAAACCTGTCTGTATCTCTGGGCAGCTTGACGCATTTTCTCGGCTGTTTTTTCTCGTTGCCCTGGGAACTTAGCTCTGGTATTGCTCACATTTCACTCGATATTACTTTTCAAGCGAGTTTATGGAAGGTGAGGAGTCCAAATAGGTACCGATTTGAAAATGAGATAACAGCTGTGAGCTAGCGCGGCGGTTCAAGAGTAGCTTGGGGGTAGAAGTGATGGTAATCAAGGTCGTAATCGGGACGGATCTCCTCGGTGCAAGCGTAATTCGCAAAAATTATGGCGGCTAAGCATAAATTTAATTTTCCTACTTACGAAGAAGTGAAAGCGAAAATCAAAAAACTGGCCAGAGAATTCAAACCAGGTCTCTCACTCCCCCTAGTCTATCTTATAACCGCGGGTCAAAGGATAAATAGCAGCATTTTCTGGATATTTAAAGGGTCTCACACCCGAAATTTTGCAATGAATCTCTACTTGTCAAAAACGTACAAAGACACTTTTGTCTTACAATGTTCTCACAAAGCTTGTTCCGGTTCATATTTATTTACTGTCAAGGATAAATCTTTGATTCAATCTTATGAAACAAAAATTGAAGGCAAAACTCCAAGAGTAAAAATTCGTCATAAAATTGACATTCGTTGCTGGTTTGAAGAGATTTCGAATCAGCCTGAAGATTGGCAACGAAGGTTTATTTTATTAAAAAATTCTAATGATCTCCTAGAAATATCCGAGAAATTTGCCGCCAATAAGGCTCCCCAGATGAGCTCATCGTCCAGTTTAAATCAGTTTATTGCGAATTATAATTTGTACAAACTCATATTCATTATGTATTCATTGTATTTATTTCTCAAAATCTTGTACATTTTGTATTTCATCGTCGAAATATATTATTCAAAATTCCAGTTTGCGTCAAATTATCTCTCTAAGGGGGGTAGCGGATGTTGATTTTATCTGCGATGCAGGGCAGTTTACGCTATTGATCCGCCGCACTTGCTCGCATCTGGATGGTCCCGAGACAACGAGGTGAGACCACCTGCATATTTGGACTCCTCACCTTCCATGACCCCTTTCAAGCGAAGTTAAATTTATCATTTCTTCACTCACTTTCTTGTTCATGTTTAAAAAGTGGACAAAAATCTTTTTGTCACATTATTAATGTTCGAAATCTCCTGATATTTTTTAAGAAACAATATAAAAAATGTTGACTTTCTATTCTCGTGCATTATCTATTTATAATAGACTATTTTTGTAACATCATCATTCATTTTTTGAATGTCCAGTTTTCAAATTGACCAGCTATCAAGTAGATGCTGGTCAACTGCATCGTACCAAGAAACATTGCTGCATAGTTCCTAATATTAGTGCTCCTATCATCGCTTGCGCGCGATTTAACTTGGAGCTGGCCAACCTGTTGCCTAGTCAGGTTGCTAAGACAGGGTGGTCAAGACAAGGAGTTGACGAAGAATAAAATATGAGCGAATTATAGAGATTTAACTACGCCCAAATAAACAAAAATGACAGAGAAAAAAGTAATATCCAAATCTGAGAAGCGACTAACACGTCAGTTTAACATACGGTTTAAAAGTTATTTCATTTTTTATCAGATAAATTAGTTATTAGTCCGGAAATACAATTTAAGACCGTCGTAAAGCCTCAAATGTAGAAACATCATCGGCCTTGCATACTTGGAGATCGCTTCCATTCTCCTTTTATTTGGAGCCGGTTTAACAGAACTTCTTATTTACAAGTTAGAAGGACTTCATTGATCGAGTGATGATTGAGTTTTCTAGGAATCATTACGCTCTCTTTATCCAGAGATACTTGTTCATCACTTTCTGCATCGCCCCATTATTCCTGTTGCCTGGTAAGCTCTTAATTTACTGCGCGATTACTGAAACAAAGTCTCCAGCAACGTTCTTGGGCTATCGTGGGGGTCGGCATGGACTTCGTGGTCCTCTCAAAGCCCACATTCTTGCGGGTAAGTACTCGCAGCACATGGTCCAGCCTCACGTGATAAACAAACTTATCAGCTGTTGCCTGTATCATTTTTAATGCGGCTTCATCCGTGATCCTTATAACGGCGTACAGCGCTTCGGGAGTCTTCAATGCTGGCCCAGTTGCAGAAGGGGACAACTTCGAGGTATTGCATAACATTTTTATAGGCTGCTAGAAAGCATCCTTTCAGGTCCTGTTCAAAGTGATGATGATAATTGGATTACTGGTTAATCTATCACAAATGCTGCTGTTTATCGCCAGTGGATGTGCGTTCCATTAAACTTCTAATTAATTTATCTTCCTTTGTTGTTTGTTTATGACAGCTGTTTAGATCAGGCATACTTAGCGATTCAATTGTGGCGCGAGATGTCCGTGCAAAAAAATCGAATGAAGAACTACCTCCGGAAGAAAGCCGAAAAAGAAGCCTCTGTTTAGTTTTCTCAGTCTCAATTTACCTTTGTAGATAAAGATAATTTATAAAAATAAATCAATAATGACAATTTGTTCACTGCTTAGATCGAAAAGAAAACACTACTTTGGTTTTATTATTTTTTATTATCAGGTAATTCGCCTAACTTTCTCGAGACAAAATATTAGCTCCAGATGATTTTTTGGATCTGCTCCTTCGTGAAGACACCTCGGCAGACTGGGCAGTTCATAGTGTCGAGTCGTTCTAGACAATAAGCGCGGAAGGCATGTCGGCATGGAAGGACGCTCATAGCTCGATCGCCATCGTTGAATCGCAGTGTGCATACTTTGCAAAGCATTCGGGAGTCGATCGTTTCTACATCAACTAAGTGACTTGTCTCTCTATTTCAAATAAATCATTACTTACGATCCTGACCGATTCCCGAGAGTTTCATCTCCGCCATGACCACTTCTGCATACTTTGCCTTCTTCTTAACATAGAAATCCTGTGCATCATGGAACTTCTCCACTATTAGCTTCTTCCATTTCCCTCTTTGCTCCGCGCTTGACTCTCGCAAGTCCGTCTTTTAGAAAAGTTTTTCTAGCTTCATGAACTTTTCAATCAATAAATGATCTAAATATATTATCTAACTTCGTCCCTCGAGCATGTTTCTTAAGGATATAGCCGTTCTCAAGGCACTTTCGTAGCGCCAAAAGGGGACGATAATTTTTTTTCATTTCTAAAGGAACCCTACCTAAAATTGCCTAAGAAACCCGATTCTAGTGTTATTTTTAATTTTTTAATGGAAAAATTTCTCTCTAGAGCAATTTTAAATCTTACGATCACTTTTTCTCGAGAATTTTCCATTTAATCGGTCGAGTTTTTTTGATAAATAAAAAATTTAGACCTTTATCTACATTCCTAGGGCCAAAATTTTAATAGATTCCAAATATTTACGAATCTAGAGCCATTTTTATGAGGCTTACTTGAGTGAGCCGAAGCGTCAGACAGCGCTCTGGTTTGCTGCGCTGGGCGCCCTCCTCCATCGCGCGGTGAGGCGCGCATGTGAAAGAGCGCGCTGATTGGCCGAGCGCCCTGAACGCAGCATTTATGAAAAAGAAAAGCCAAAAAGAAGAAGACGCTAGAATGAAAATTTGCTCAAGTTTTGAAATTTTGAGGCCCTAGGAAGATAGATTAGCAGTTAGTCATAATAAAACACGGTTTAGTTTTAGCAATTTAATTGAAAAAGTTCGAGAAAAAGTGATCGTAAGATTTCAAATCGCTCCAGAGAGAAATTTTCTTTGAAAAAAATTTTAAAAAACATCAGAATCGAATTCTAGACATAATTTTAGGTAGGACCTGTCTTGAAATGAAAACATTTTATCGCTCCATTTCGGCGCTACGAAAGTGCCTTGAGAACGGCTATATCCTTAAGAGCATCATCGCAGCAGCTGAAGGTCCAAAAGAGATCAAAGCTCAATGAAGCACAAGAAAAGACTTCAATAACTTGCTCGAAAAGTTTCTCTGTAATTCTAACTACAGGTAGGAAATGTGAAAATTTAGCCATGCAAAATTCTCATTGCAAAATATTGAAGCCTTTTCGCCGCATTTTTTCGCGGGACATAAGTAAATGTCCTCTTCTCCTTCAAAAGCTTTGAAAGGCTCTTCGCCGTCCCATACTGATTGGCTATTCCGATGGCAGCGTTCACAACGCTATTTTTGTAGACCCTGGCCAGGTTCGCTAGTCTGGGGAACTTCCATCAGATCTTTCGGGCATCTTAAAGATTGGTTTATTCGATCAATTTTGAATGATTACCGATTGCAGTCCGTGCAAAAGCGGTCCGAAAACTCTTGTCGAAGAAAATCTCTTGAGATAAAGTTCTTCATTCTCTCTGATCTCGATGAGTTTTTACAAAAAAATTATTTTTGGCGAATTTGTGGTTGAAATTTTAGAAATGAAAGGCCAGTGAGCGCCGGACGATCAAGTCTAGAAGGCCTCCTTGCGCTGATTGGTTTGATTCGATACATTCACATAAAATGTGACTGATGGAAAACCTATCAGGAATTTCTATTATCCGGAGCGTATCACTTTAGTTCTGCTGCATTTACAAAATGGTTTCAGAAATAAGTTAACTACAAAGATGAACTCGTTGTTGATGATGCGCTGCGTGGGAAATTTATGATTTTGAGGCCCACGGTCGATCTATCGGAATTCTGGATAAACGCGACTTTCCCATAATGGATTTCGCTCTTGATCATGTTGTTCGTTTCGTCTTTATCAGTTCCGCCTCATTGCCATACGATTTCGAATTGACGCATTGTCTCAAGACATTTTGGCAGAGCTGCAATCAACGAAGAGAATCAAGTTGAAAGCCTGATTTCCGAAGTGAAGTATCCTTGGCTTTGAACTTTACCATCATCATTATTAACCATTTATTAATTAGATTTTGTTGGCTTTGCCAAGTTCGTTTATTATTGACAATGAATTTCGTCCTGGCCGGAAAAGATTTTTTCTAAAATTTTGATATTTGACATTCCTTTTGACTGACTAGACTCTTTTTGAGCTACTTCCCAAAATGCTTTTTCTCTCAAAGAGTGGCGATAAAATGAGATGTTGCTGAAGAATTCCGATGAATTCTCGACGTTAATAGCTTTTTCAGAGAGAATAAACAGCTTTGGACATTTGCAAATGCTTCCGATGAAAACATTTTCTATCGTCATATGACTTTCTGGCTATGAGGTAAGTTCAATAAAAAACCAAACTGGAAGTCACGTTTTGACTAGCAGCTTTTCAGGATCGCGCTTATTCAATAGAAAAGTATTTTTCTATGTAAATTACCAAATATCTCCAGCGAAAATACTTGACCGTCGAAAATAAGCTTATTAAATCAAATGATTTAATAGTGAAATTTATTCATTGCCAAATATAAAACTTTTCAAATATTCAGGGCTGTTAGTGATGAATATCTTTTAAAGGCTTCCCTAAATTTTCTCAGAGCAGGGTAGGTAGAGTTATCTTATACTTCAAGAACATATTTTATTCTAAACGCCACGCTCAAAGAACTGTGTCAAGACCTTTTTGTGGAGAGGAAGGCGATCAGGGCGAACGTAATTCGCAACGATATTGTCTCGAGCTGTAAGATGACGTAACCTGCCCTCCCCTAAAAAGTTTCAAGGGGAGTAGGTGAGTATTTTCGCTGCGTAGGCTGTCTAAGCGGCGAATGTCCGCCCCTTGACGCTGGGCCAGCATGTGGTAGTCGCGCGCGATTGGCACTGGCACCGTGCCAACTGCTGCCCTTTTCGAGTCAAAAACAGAGTTTCGACTCATTTTGGACATCGCGCGTCTTTAACCCGCCACCATTAGTGCGCAAAACTGGTCTACTGTTGAGAACCATAAAGATTCGTTTTTTAATCCCGACCCCTTAGAGATCTCGGAAGAAAAGAACTTATATGTAATGAAGAGTGGCTTCCGGCACCAAGAATGATAGGTATGCGCCGCCGACTACTCTTAAACTAATTGTTTTTGACCACATAAACAACACTCCCCATGTCCCTATTAAACGCCTTTGAAAGCAAATTATTAAAATGCCCTTGCCAATTGAAGGTTTTTATCGTCCGTCTTAACGCTACTGATTTTCGATTTCCGAAACAACGATTGAAGTTGTTAAACAAGTTAATTATTAGTTTTAGTAGCGTGTTGACCGTTACATGTGATAGAAAAATAAATTCTAGCGCACCCTCCGGACCATCGTTCTTTGGATATAGCCGCATTTGACCTGGATCCGAAAGAAATGTTTGAAGAATTATTGAAGAACTCGATCGAGGAGTCGCTTCGGCGACCTGGCTCTACTGCCGTCACAATATTCACAGATTTACTTCTGGAAAGTGGCCTAGACTCGCACAGGAAAACGGTTCTAAATTTACGAAGTTAGTCATCGTGCAATTGATCAAGCGAATTTGAATATTCTGATTATCAAATTTGAGAACCGGAAACAGGTGTTCCGGCAACGCAAATGTCCGACTGAGCCATTTTGAGCGGAACCCGATTCAATCAACTATTCCGAATGGGTGGATGCTGACAGCCATCCTCACCCAAGCGGATCCGGACGGGCCTCTTTGCGTCGTTTTGGTACAGGAGAGCCATGTTATTCCTTCAGACGACCCTCCAGATTCGATGAGCAATTTTCAAGCAAAATGTGTCGGTTGCGGACGACATTTGGCTAGCTACGCCGAATTTTGCGAGCATTTCCGAATCAATCTCAATTTTCCAAAAGAACATGTTTTCCAGTACTATGGACAGATGGACTCTGATAGCATGTTGATCAGAGCAGATCTTTTGGTGAGGATTCCTTGGTCGCAAAGCCGAAGCTCGCAGTTGACCATTGCGGAATCTCCGTCACGGGGTAGCATGGGAGTGAGACCTCCAGCAGGAAACGACGTCGAACAGCAAATGCCTGATCAAATCGCGCCGATGGAATCACCGGCGGAAATTAACCCAATACAGCGTGTCATTGAAGTTCCCGAAGGTATTTTAGGCCAGGATTTTACTTGACAGCTGAATATCCATTTGATTATTTATTCTAAAACGAATGAGTATATTTGCGTCTAACAAAATTGAAATCCTCTTCAAAAGCTGGTCGACCGCGCGGCCACGTGGCTTTACTCAACTGTACGGGAAGCCAGTTAAGTTATGAAGATAGCTATGGAACCCTTCTTGAATCCAACTACCTTCAAAGCTGCTTCGATTTCTCCACAACAGCCCGTACTATTTTCACCCGCGAATGCATGATTTTCCTCACTTGTTATGAAATATGTCAACTGCAGAAAGGCTCTCTTCTTCGACAGGAGCAAATTCGGCGTACTTTCTCAAAAACAGTTCCAGAAGTTCAACGTACACTCGACAGGTAGAAAATAAGGCTTTGATTGGATTTCTATCATAAATTTAAGCGGTATTTTATTTCCGAATATGCTGATGAGTATAAGTCATATTGTTTCTGCCACTGCATCTGGGGTCAAAGGAATGGCTTTCCATACTCTTTAAAGATTAAGAAAGTTCAATCTCATAGTCTAGACTAGTAATAGTCTTATTTTATGTTGGGAACCTGTGAAAGTGATGACCTCTGAACAATCAATGTCTCATTGTGTCGAAGACGCTCTCAGACTACTTTCTTCTGTAGAAGATTCTCTCAGACCACAATTCATACTGTGCATCTATCAAGGTCCAAGAAAAGAATTTTTGGTTCTTTCTACGTCGGAGAAAATTATTACGAGTCTGGAGAATGAAGCTCCGATAGATGTTCACGAGCTTTCAACTTCTGCAGAGATTCTTGCTCTAAAAAGCGAAATTCATTCCTTACTTCCTCAAGTGTCTGATGCACCGAAAGCAGTTTTACCTAAACTTGAACCAGGAGCGGAACAAGTCATCCTCGAAGTAATGGATTCCTCCTCACGAGAAGCATTCGATGGCGAAATGGTAGCCAAGACCTGTGAATTATTTGCCGAGTCTTTCAATCGATGCTACGGAACCGATCTAGAGAGATTCAAATGCTTCCATGGCATGTTTATTGTCCCAGATGATCAGCACGTGACGAAAATGCAAGAGATATCGCCAACCCAAAGCCCAGAAGTTTTGAGCATTTCAGTTTTCGAAAGAGCATTTTCTGGTATCGTTGAGTACATCGACAAACATCCAACAACTTTGTTCAATTTCTTTATATTGGGCGTCAACTCAGAGGTAATATTTTAAATAATGCTAGCTAGGCATCTGTGTTTAGGACTACAACTTCGAAGTTTTCAAACGCCTAGATTTACTTTCTCAACGCGCACAAGTTATGGTTACATACTTCGGTATTCGACCGTATGAACTATTTGCGAAGGGCTCTCCAGTTCCATCAAATAACGTCATTGTCCCTCCGCTGACTGATGGTCTTTCTACTGCCTCATACGATTTTAGAAGCCACTTAAAGTCGCTGTCGACTGACACTCCCACTGTTTCTGCGTCTCCAGAATTCGAAAATCTATATAGTTAAAGGATTGAACTCTTCCTTGATTTCAATAGAAAGCTTACTTGTTGATTACTAATTTTGAGTTAATAACGATACATTATTGACAATAATTTATTGTTAATCCTTTTTGAAGTCTTTATCTGAAGACTACATCCGCGAATGCTGACTTCGTCCGTATGGTGGTGCTCCTCGACTTGTGCTATATTTCCGCTCTCCTCAGCATTGAGCATAGTGGACTCTATGAAAGTGTTGATCCTCGTTCACTTGAGCTTCTTCGTCAAGTTGTCTACCAAAAACGTCCAGTTTTGCTCAGAGTGAGAGACATCAACTTTGCCACTACCGCCTACGACACTCTCAATGCAGCGCTTTCTAGACAAAATTTCCAAGGAAGGTTTTCACCATCATACACAAAACAAAACTTGCCCATTCAATAAAACTCAGATATATGAAAAACTTTACGAAGTCGCGAAAGTGGGTGTTGCTATTTGGGATAAAAGTGGTATTCAAATGAACGACGCATCGAAAAAAGCAATTGGATTCTCACAAAGTTATCAATGTCGCGACATCATAGAACTTGCCAATAAACCAATCATTATCGTTCATTATGACACGATAAGTGGAATGACTCCTACTAGGTAAAAGTAAAACTACGACTGTTAATGACAAAAATATAGAGTGCCATTATTTGCCTACGTCGACTGCCGCCTTATGCTCACGGGCTTTTTCACAAGAAAGGAAATTGAAGATGAATTCCATTTTGCAACCTGTTTCATGAAGAAAAATCAAGCAGAACTCGTGACGAACTTATGGCGATTGCCGGATTGGGAATGATCAAGCGCTCAGGGGACTCAATGTCTTCTGACGACGAATGTTCACCTGAAAAACGTCTAAAAGTAGATGACTCCGATTATATGATCGACTTTGAATCAATACGAAAGCCTCCACGCGTACTCTTGTCCAGTGAATCTTTTGACGTCTTCCGTGGAAAACGTGGCTTCGATTTCCAGAATCTAACCCCTTCGGAGAGATGTGCCAGAATGCCGGAGACGCTTTCTTTGGAACCAGAAAGGATCGAAATGGACTATCTCTACAAATACTATTATTCAACGTGTATCCACAAAGAAGAATTGGAGAAAAGAGAAAATAATTTTCTGCTGGTGACACCTGTTGGTTTCAATCAGATCACGTGCGCCTTTGAGCTAGGTTGGATATTTTACTCGTCCTTTATTGAACCATATATTTTTAGCATCGACCCTCAATCATCAGATTCAATCGCAGTTCTCTATCAACATCATAGATGATCCTGAACTTAATCTCAATATCACGGGTCCAAATTTCGCATTACTGAGAAAGCAAGATTTTGGGCTTAGTCCAATCATGAACACACTAAACGATGATCATGCGTTAGAATACATCAATCGAAGAACAGAGCTTGAAATGGAAGAATCGAAAAAAGCAACAATCGAACTTGGTGAAGTTTCGATAAGCGGAAGCTCGTCGCGAATAGAAAATGTGGAGCCAATAGTTCCTTGGCCAATTGAACTGAATATTCCTCAGCTAGGACCGAATGCAGTGACGGTAAAAGTTAATAATTGTGCTCATTATCATTTTAATTAGGTTGAGATCGTCATCCCGAATGACAAACGAAGACGTTTCGAGTTTGGTGGAATGAATGATGCAAATGGACTAAAAGCAGTGAGACTTGCAGTTGCTTCTTCTCGTACACAATCCCCTTCGCCTAAAACAATCGTCGTTAGTTTTGGCGTTTCTGGTGCTCAAAATGGACTATACGATCTCAAGAAGACGATGAAAATGAGCGATTCCGAATTCACTCATCTCATAGTTGTGAAGCATAACGATGTGCAAAAATATCGAGGTTAGTTCTATATGATATAGACTATATCCTTTGTATTTTGTATTTATTCGCACATAGAATACTGGCCTAACTCCTGTCTTCTCGTCATGGGCGCAGAGTTTAACAGGCATGGAATCGGCTGCATGAAACTCTTCGCTCTGCGTCTTTTACAGCACTCCTGGGCTCTCTCGCCCCCAGACTGTTGGCCGTTTGTTTTCTTTCTCTCCGACCAGGTGGCGCAATTTCGCTCGTGGAGCAGCGAATCACGCTCCTGGGATCCTATCCCGCTGCACGATGTTTTGCTCGACTTAGAATCAATGATCTCCAATTCCGAGACGGAAGTGGCGATGCTAGGGCTTAAACCTTGGACCACTGCTGATGGTCAGCCACCAGATGATCGTCAATTTTCAAATCGACTCGTTCAAGGCTGCTACATGCTCAACCTAAAGTACAATAATATTTCTATGGATCATAGTAAATATGAAGGCGAAGATATTGATTTCTGGAATGTATCAAAAAGATATTTAGAGTTCTTTCAAAAACTATTAGTCGAAATTCTCTCTGAGATTTTTCACATTATTGATACAAATAAAGTCTTCGTCAAGTCGCTGCCGGAAACAGCTGCATTGTCCTTGAAAACTATGGCTATATCGAGAAACATAATCACAAAGCTCCAGTTCCCCCGTTCGAGATTTCAGTGCCCGTCTCGAAGTATGTCACCACAGAAGAAGACTCTGAAAACATAAACGGTAAGCACCAAATAATTTTCGGGGATATCAATAATTAATTCAGCGCCCGGATTCTATCTGCTGAATCAGTATTTCAAGCATGAAGGCAGAAGTATCTTCACGGATGCGAGCGCAACACGCCCTGTTCTCATCTCCGGGAAATACATAAATTTCGGAGCTCAAGTTCCCGTACAAATTCTTGGCGTGACCCCTTGCCAAAGTCGACAATATTCTGGTCTTGTGATTTGTGAGCTCCAACCGGCCGCCAGTTCGGTTCCAACTCTTCAGGAGCTTTCTGCACTAACCTTCGTCCCACAAGCAAAGATTGTCGTGGTAGCCGCGGACTCAGGACGTTTGCGTCAGAGTATTCGCAAGTTTGGCCTCGACAAAGAATGGGAGTTCTCGTTGTTACACGAATTTGCCACTGCTAATGAAAACGCTAAACTGTATTTTATAACTGGAATGCGAAGACCATAGTTAAAATCCTTAGTGCATTGTCTCCCTCATTTAATGTTGAAAATCAACCTGTTTTGAATGAGCACTTATCTTCTTGACATGAATTTCAACAATTACCCATATGTTTGTAAACTGTACACTATTATCGCGGGTAGGTTTGTGCTCAACAATGCAGTGGCTATTCGCCTAGTTCTGTTACAAAGTGGCAGGTGCAGAGTTTTTCGTAATTAACAATTTCATGCACCTTCCACTTTCATTTTTAATGACGACAGACTAGGACTCGCATTTTAATTATTCCGTCAACGTATTGCCCTCTGTCTGATTTTGTTTGACTTGCAATAACGGACTCCTAACCTTTAACCTCAACCTACGCGCATTCACTCACCTCCATGCCCTCATTCTGACCTCAACTAAACCCAAAGCCTCAACAAAAATTCAGAAATATCAATAACAAAAATACCATGATAGAATCCCGGACAAGCGACTGATATTATAATATTATCTTGATATGCCGAATAGAATGTATGACCCTCAAAAAACTTTTCAAAAGCAAAATAAATATATATTTTCGGAGAACAAAAGACAAATAAACTTTTCATGTGATTCGCTTTGATCCTCATTGTTAAGGTTCTCAATGTGCTACCTCTTCTGCAACAACCTCCAAATAAATGAAAAATAAAAATCCAAGTTATAAACATATTGAGATTTCACCAAAAATCATGTATTCATGAGGTCTATGTACAGGAAGAAATACTGCAGGAGACAAAAAGCAGGGCTAGATTCACGCGTTGGGTGCAACCTCAAGACACTTATTGAAGGCTTGACGCGTGTTCTTCATTATGGCCCCGATTCGTCGCAGCCAAGAAGAGCTTTTTGGGCACTTAATTCGTTATCATTAGAGTTGCTAGTGAAGTGGCAAACCTTATCTGCGAACTCTTTAACAATGGAGTAGGCAGTTTTTCTTGTAGTTTTGATTGCTTTGGAGACCATTGTCACTCGTTTTTGATTGTCGCTGCTGATTGAGGTCAACGGGGAGACCATCGACCTGGCCGACTTCGAAAAGGTCGGCTTCGGCAATACAGGAGTCACGTCAACATAATCAGCAATAAAAAGATCAAAGAGAACATCGTCGACTTCCTCGTCCATTTTCTTGTAGCCCTCAGCGTCGAACTCCTCGTAGTCAAAAACTAACTTACCTTTACCCTTACCCTTAGCTTGTTTCTTGTCAAAGTAGAAAAAGTCTCCATCTGGAAGGTCAGAAACACTTCGACGGGAGCGCTTTATGGGGTTGGTATTGAACGAGGGTTTACAAATTTCACAAGCTTTTGAACCGAGCCTTGTTGTTGCAGTTGTTCTTTACATGCCAAGTAACGTCAAGAACAGTCTTTCGGAAGCGAAAGATGAACTTTGGTCGCCGCTTGTTCATCATGTTACAGTAAAGCGCCTTCTTTGCAACTTCGCGATAAAGAACAATTGCTTTCTCAGCTCTTACAACAGAATCTTCCCAACTACGTGTTTGGAGATCGGTGTTGTTTTCCTGAACATAGTTATCAGTCCAGTTCGAGTGATGATCTCTCTTATGAAACTCTTGAAACTAATGAAAAACTTACTTGAGCAACACATAGAGCAATGAAAAAGGAAATCAACTTCATCTTTCAGAAAGGTAAGATAGATTAGTGATAATAGCTGATCGCTAATGATCGCCGATTATATATGCGATTGATATGCACCACCATTGAAAGGCTCTCGCGCGCCTCAGAAGAAGCTTTTAATATTTCTCATAAACTGAAACCGATTAGCTATGGAAATTATTTATCCTTGGATCAGGTTCAAACTTTTTCATAACTATTAAAGCTTGTGAAAAGCTTCTTTTCCAAGGATAAATTATTATTAAAGATATATGATAAAACATGTTTTCAATGAGAACTTCTCGGTATAATTAAATCTTAGTGTGACAAACCTATCGTCAGTTTAGACACAGTTTAGGCACTTTCCGGATCTTTATTTCCGATAAATGAAAATCATCTCGGGTCTGGATTCCAGAGTGTTCCAAGCGATTATGTCCAGCGCGGCCCACTGCGCGGGGTTTCCGTTGATCCTGATTCATCACTTATTTTTTTTCATCTTCAAAGGTTTTTATCCAGTCACATCCAAAGATACGTTGCGCAGGTGACATCGAATTTGACTTGTTGAAGAAAGAGATCCGCTACAAGTTTAGAGCAGTAAGCAAAAACCATAACTTTTAAATAACAGCACCATCCTTTCAGATGGAGAGTCTCAATCAAGAGTGTCTTGCAAGTGAGCTGGGAAATGCGATCAAGGATCACGTCGAATTTTTCGGTGAACAAAAACTTTTTGATCACGGATGAAATTAGTTATAGAGGGGAAAGCGGAGAAATTTGAGTACCTGCGACTTCCTGCCGATCTAGAACGTTTTGTTTCAAAGACCAGAGCTTTAAAGCAGAAGAAAATTTTCACCTGGTGGAAAAAGGAATGCAAGCGCAAGGACGGCAAAGCGCGTACCGATGCATACATTCTCTCGAAGACTGAGGAACTACGCGAAAGCCAGAAGAAGTTTATTCAAGGTAATTAAGTAAAACGATACTTCCAGTTACCGGCAAAATGTACATAAACTCAGTGAACTGGAACTAAATTTTGATAACCTAGCCGAAGGCGATGGCCTAAGCGCTCGCGAATACCTCGAGCTCTGCGACGCAATCCCAGAAATTTTTGACTGCGAGAAGAATTTCGACTTCGAGCCGAACGATCCCTGGTGGGATGAGAAAGAAGAGATCATTCAACTTGCCAGCCGTACTCCGGGAACAGCTAAGAGGTAAATTCACGGACATACCCTATTATAGGCTATAATTTATAGCCTTTGATATATGTATCAAAGATACGCTAATATTTCGTAATGATAATTGAAATAAAAATCGAACGATAGAATGATCCACGACAAGAAAATTCCTCCCGCAGCGGATGCCGGCAAGATGGCGAAGGTCTGCGAAAGCCAGAAGGCTAGAAAGCTCCTCAAGTTTTTGGGAATTCTTCCACCAGAAGGCAACAATGATCCTGATCGAAACGGCTGGGAGACATACATGGCATACATGTAATTTTACTGTCACAGACTGTAAAGATTATAGTTCCGAACGCTCCCCAAAGAATAAAATACCTAAACTAACTAAAGCAGAGTCACTTTATATTCAATAGACATTGACTGTCGCATTTGCAGTTGACTGAAAATTAGCCGAGTTTTAGAAATTGTGTTAAAACTGGAGCATCAGTGGAGACCCGTTTGTCGAACTCTGACATAATGATGACTTGGAATCGGCTGCGACTTGGCTGTTTCTGATAAATTCATCACGATTAGGGAACAACTCAAACGACAAGCTATTTTTCCAGGTTAAAATCTAAGAGTTAAATTTCTGTGGGAAAAAGATGTCAACTTTTCATATTGTCTTAAAAAACTAAAAAAGGTCGACATCAGCACCTGACTTTGGCTTTTCGGGACTGAGATGGAGAGTGGGAAAAGTGGGTTATCTAAGCGTGTAACGAATCCTGTGCAAAGCCACTGAGGAATCGCCACTTTTATATCTCACTCGCCTGGGGCAAAGTCCGCGCGATTGGACAGTGGCTGTGTTTTATCTCTAAACCTTTTTGAATACACTAGTGACCAGTGGCGAGGCACTCAATAGAGAGAGATAGGCAAGAAGCTCAACCGAGAGATTTCGCCGCAGATTCGAAAGAAACCAGATTCATGAAAAAGATGATGAGTGCAAATGGGGTCCATTACCCTTCCCCGCCAAGGTCCGGATCAACAGTTTTATTTAACATAAATACTAAATGATATTTCTCTACTTACTTTTCATTTGCGATCTTATTCGAACTTTCATCAATTGTTTCGGTCAGAATGCTAAGTCAAATTAAAGGTTACCGTCGAGAAATCCTTGATTGTCAATCCAAAATTTATAAAAAGTATATTTTTTCGGAATTATGAATACTACTAGTATTATACTAGTGTGAAAAAGGGATCATCGAGTTTCTTTTGGTCGAAATCTCAGGGCGACAAGAAGAACATTAGACTGCCATTCTTCTCGATGAGGAGAGTCATTAGAAGCAGGACGCCTGAGCATTAGTGGCATGTCAGATTTAGCTCGAAGTCAAATGCGTTTTCTATCGTTAAAGGTGTATTTTTTTCATCAATTAAAATCATTCCAGGGAGACTTTGGACTGGCCGGGGGATTACTTGGACTCATTTCACAACTTTTTACAGTAGCTCGCGTACATAAAAATCGCAATTAACAGAAGTGGACAGCCACTTACTTTATTCGTATTGATTTCGAGCTTTTGATAAATTGTAAAGTTAATGCATAAGTTTCTAAATACTGCTTTCCTCCTGGTAAAATTACGCGTAGCAAATCATGATACATTAAGGTGACCGGAATATAACCTCTAATGAGAGTTAATGCTCTATTGAAAGACCAAATTGCAAATAACTCGGAAGAAAACGAATTTTAAGCGAGATTTAATAGAACTGGATCGCTTTGGTCCTTCAAATGCAGAATTTCGTGGTGAATTTCGCATTTCCTTTCGCATTTTCTGAACTTGAAAGTTGTCACCACGCATTTCTGCGGCGTGTTCTTGCGTGAGCGCTTCTTGCTGATTTCTTGTTATTTTTGCGTCTAAGAGGAAAATCTCTGATTTTCATGGTATCGCGCTTTCTTGAACAAAACGCTTCCGCCGACACATCGCGCGAGATCCATAGCTAGATCCGGAAATGCCCCCCCTCTATGGCTAGGGTGAACGCAGAAAAAATCAAATTCAGTTCTAGTGGGAGTAAAGGGCTGATTTTTGGAGGATATGTTCTTTATACACTCTAAAAAACATTTTTGGTCAAAAAAATTATTTTATAAAGCCCCGGGCGATTCTAGAGGCCACCGAAAAGTCCGAAAAATCTATTTTTCGAGCGAAGTAAGCTCAAGAGTCGTGAGTAGGCTTAATCGACGCGCCGTGTCGAGCTGATTATTTTCCAGCCAAAAAATTTAGTAACGGAGTCCCGGTTGGCCCGCAATCATCATTTTAAAACATTTTTTTTGTTTTTTACTAGGAATTAGGTCCTCCGGAGGACTTTTTGCTGGAAGAATGAGAGATCTTGTGGATCAATCATTCTAATTCATAGAATCTAATGTGCATTGACCAAATTGAAATTATTTTAAAAACTAACGATAAGAACCATAACAAGACTTTGAACATGAAAAATATATATTTTTACATCGGATGGAGGTGGGAGGGGTTGGGGACGGAACTGAGACTGATCAACTCAGGTTTCCCGGCCTTTGTCAAGCCCCTTAAATTAAAAAATCAAGGAACGGGGCTGAGACGGCCCGAAGGGCCGTCAAGCCCCTTAAATTAAAAATCAAGGAACGGGGCTGAGACGGCCCGAAGGGCCGTCAAGCCCTTAAATTAAAAATCAAGGAACGGGGCTGAGACGGCCCGAAGGGCCGTCAAGCCCTTAAATTAAAAATCAAGGAACGGGGCTGAGACGGCCCGAAGGGCCGTCAAGCCCCTTAAATTAAAAATCAAGGAACGGGGCTGAGACGGCCCGAAGGGCCGTCAAGCCCCTTAAATTAAAAATCAAGGAACGGGGCTGAGACGGCCCGAAGGGCCGTCAAGCCCTTAAATTAAAAATCAAGGAACGGGGCTGAGACGGCCCGAAGGGCCGTCAAGCCCTTAAATTAAAAATCAAGGAACGGGGCTGAGACGGCCCGAAGGGCCGTCAAGCCCCTTAAATTAAAAATCAAGGAACGGGGCTGAGACGGCCCGAAGGGCCGTCAAGCCCTTAAATTAAAAATCAAGGAACGGGGCTGAGACGGCCCGAAGGGCCGTCAAGCCCCTTAAATTAAAAATCAAGGAACGGGGCTGAGACGGCCCGAAGGGCCGTCAAGCCCCTTAAATTAAAAATCAAGGAACGGGGCTGAGACGGCCCGAAGGGCCGTCAAGCCCCTTAAATTAAAAATCAAGGAACGGGGCTGAGACGGCCCGAAGGGCCGTCAAGCCCTTAAATTAAAAATCAAGGAACGGGGCTGAGACGGCCCGAAGGGCCGTCAAGCCCCTTAAATTAAAAATCAAGGAACGGGGCTGAGACGGCCCGAAGGGCCGTCAAGCCCTTAAATTAAAATCAAGGAACGGGGCTGAGACGGCCCGAAGGGCCGTCAAGCCCTTAAATTAAAAATCAAGGAACGGGGCTGAGACGGCCCGAAGGGCCGTCAAGCCCTTAAATTAAAAAATCAAGGAACGGGGCTGAGACGGCCCGAAGGGCCGTCAAGCCCTTAAATTAAAAATCAAGGAACGGGGCTGAGACGGCCCGAAGGGCCGTCAAGCCCCTTAAATTAAAAATCAAGGAACGGGGCTGAGACGGCCCGAAGGGCCGTCAAGCCCCTTAAATTAAAAATCAAGGAACGGGGCTGAGACGGCCCGAAGGGCCGTCAAGCCCCTTAAATTAAAAATCAAGGAACGGGGCTGAGACGGCCCGAAGGGCCGTCAAGCCCCTTAAATTAAAAATCAAGGAACGGGGCTGAGACGGCCCGAAGGGCCGTCAAGCCCCTTAAATTAAAAATCAAGGAACGGGGCTGAGACGGCCCGAAGGGCCGTCAAGCCCTTAAATTAAAAATCAAGGAACGGGGCTGAGACGGCCCGAAGGGCCGTCAAGCCCCTTAAATTAAAAATCAAGGAACGGGGCTGAGACGGCCCGAAGGGCCGTCAAGCCCCTTAAATTAAAAATCAAGGAACGGGGCTGAGACGGCCCGAAGGGCCGTCAAGCCCCTTAAATTAAAAATCAAGGAACGGGGCTGAGACGGCCCGAAGGGCCGTCAAGCCCCTTAAATTAAAAATCAAGGAACGGGGCTGAGACGGCCCGAAGGGCCGTCAAGCCCCTTAAATTAAAAATCAAGGAACGGGGCTGAGACGGCCCGAAGGGCCGTCAAGCCCTTAAATTAAAAATCAAGGAACGGGGCTGAGACGGCCCGAAGGGCCGTCAAGCCCCTTAAATTAAAAATCAAGGAACGGGGCTGAGACGGCCCGAAGGGCCGTCAAGCCCTTAAATTAAAAATCAAGGAACGGGGCTGAGACGGCCCGCTCAGCTCATTCCTGCTCAGCTTAACCCTGCTTGAAGCTCAACTCAGCTTAGCTCAACTCAGCAAAAAAAATATTTTTCTTCCAGCAGGAAATTTCCTCCAGCTTCCGAGGTCCTCCGAGGTCCTCCAAAGGACCACGTGATTAAATTTTATATCAATTTATTATAAATGTAAATAAATGTTTTCAAAGAGCTTAATTGATTTGTCTTCCGACAGTTCAAAGTCCTCCGGAGGACTTCTACATTGATAAAAACAAACAAATTTTGAATTATAAATGTAAATTTCAAGTGATCCCGTTAGAGTTTTTTCTTCGTTACTAATTTTTTAGATGTAAAAAGGGCCAAGGAATAAGCCTAAATTGATTTTAACTTATCAACCCTTTTTTTCTGGCTTCGCTAGTCAATTTTATCTTTTGACAGCCAAAAAAGGTTGAAAACATGGAGAAAATTCCTTGAAAAAAAAATTTAATTAAGAACTTTTGCATGATCTTTTATCATGCCAAGTTTCAATTCTACCGACATTGCAGAAAAAAGTTGATTTTTGTGCGTTCACCCTATCTATGGCAAAGGAATCTTTGTCGGCTGATTTTTCCGATGACGTCTGCTTAACTTCTCGATTTGTTCAGTTGTTGAGGAACAGAGTGATGGCCTGATAAAGTTAAGGTTTATTGCAAAAGGCGGTTCACTCAATATTTAAATTGACGGGGCCGTGATGACGGTCCAAAATCATTCCCTGTCACGATTAGAATAGAACTGATGTCCACATCCGGGTCGGGCCATGGCCTACCCCACTAAATCTCAATGTCTAACGCTTTTCATGACATTTTAGACCTTGTTGCGCACGTTCCATTTGCATTTACAGTCGGTCAGTCTTCCTGGAAGTCTTACATTACAATTTCTTTATAATAATTTAAATACTAAGTCTAACAGACTGCCGGCTTTTCGATCGGTGAAAAGACATTTTACTTTGATAAAACTTATGTCTAGAGCTTTCGTTTATTGATAAATTATCATAAATCATTATGGGCCGTCCATAGTCTATGGAATACTGACAGCTAAATTGATTTTGTTCTTTCTGTCTTAAAATCTTAGAATGCTTGAGCTATTTAGTTTTTAATGAACTTTGATTGAGGGTCGATCGACAGTCGTGTCTTTATGTAATTTGGGCCACATTAACACAAAGAAACGTATGATTCGTCTTGCACATTGACTCCTACATTCTGGACATGGCAAATTAGCGACTAATCGCTTTTGATGAGAAGAAATTTCATTTGTAAAAACATGGCCAAGTCATGAGGTGATAATCAAATTATGTTCACGATATGCTCAAAGCGTCGCCGAGAACGAGGCGCATTTAGAAGTTGTCCGACAAATGTTTCTGGTTTCTTACGCAAATCGTTTGCTGCTCACATTTCCGAATTAAGAAAATTCTCATAATCAAATTTCCCAAAATCATTTCCACGACGGGTCTATATAATAGGACGCTTGTTTCCGGAAAGAAACGGACCGACACTGCTAACGTGTCAATGGAAAAACTAATTCAATTGTTCAGATTTTCATAAAATTATGCATAATTACGCCCTTTGAAATTGATAATTATCCTCTTTTGAGGGTGCGCGGGTGTGAAAGTGGCCTCTGCTGACGACAGCCTTCCGTTTGCGGCCAGAGTTCGATAACCGAATGTCGAGAGGCAGTCGTTTGTGGCCTATTCCAAATTCATTATCAATCGACAGACTTAGAAAATATTCAAATGCATCTCTTTGCAGCTACGGATGCGATGAAATCCGTTACGCTCAAGTTCATGGATTGCGCTGATCATGCACTTATTATTTTCCTGGAAAGGACTTGTCACATCTTACGCATGACTGTCTTATTTTGATGATTTCTCTAAAACAGCGCATCCTCTCTATTCCCAAATACGATCGAGAAGAGTAAATTATTATGACACGTGAGAGAAAAGGCTCTTCAGGAGTGGACAGTTCAAGCATCAAGAATAACTTCTCGTCCATCTTGAGCTCTTTCCGTTCGTGGCTCCCAGGCCAGTCTTATCAGACTCCAGAAAAAGTAGAGAATATGGTTAAACAAAAGTTATTTGCTCATTATTGATATGATTGTTATTTAGCAACCGTAATGCGTATATAACCATATCAGAAGCCACCTGATGATTTCGAAGAAGAAGAATCAAAAGAAGATGTCTTGCTACAGAAAAAAGAGAGCTTTATCCAGCGCAGATTGAGCAAGAAGCGAAAGTCTCAGAGGTCAAAGAAAACAGCCGTCGACGACGTAGAAACAAGCAAGGAAGATACAAACTTGCGACTTTCAATACCAACAAAAATCAACGAGATCACTGAGAATGGCGATTTAGATCTAAAATGCGCGGCGAAAGAAAGTGTGTCGGCAAAAGTTGAGCACAAACGAATGATTTCTTTAAAGAACGATGACATAATTGATGAGACGACGAGAAAACGAAAGATCTCTGCCTCAAAAGCAGGAAGCAAGAAACTTCCTTGTACACCTGATGGAAAATCGTCTAACCCGCAGTCTCCTTTATCGAAATCACTCCCCGAAAACTCGAATGAGTCTTTCACCCCGGCCACTCCAAGTCTCCCACCATTTTTCGGACCAACAGACAAACTCAAGTCTCCTTTGAGCAGTCCGAGTTCATCAGCTGTTGTGTACCCCAGCCTTCTATCGAAAATGTTGAAGATTGAAAATAAGTCCAATGTTGCAATCACTTCGAGCTTGAGCATGGAAATATCAGAACTAGATGCATCGAAAAACGCGTCTTCTGATGATGAAAATATTTCAATCAAGTCTTTGGAAGTTGAGATAGTAGATGATCCTCCAGCAGCACGATCTAAAATTGAACACGCCCCAGACGTCCCTGAAACGGCTTTTAACTATTTTTATATTTTTTATAAAGATATATTTTGAAGCCTTTTGTCTGCGAAGGACAAAATAGACCCCAGTCGCATACGTGCGTGTTCAAACTCTGCAAAGATTAGCAGTAAAGTGCTATCATCAAAAAGAGCTACTCGACCAACAAGTCTTCCAGCAGTGATTAACCAACAGGGATTCAATTCAGTGCCAAGAAACTGGCTGAAAAAAATGAATCAAAATAAAATTAATTTGGAATGGATTTCAACCAGTGAAAGAAAGTTCGATTCGCTAAGTTCAATAAATAGCGCTGCAGATATTGACCTTGGGCTCTCTTGCCTTGATCATAAAAATTTGATGAACAGGTCAGGCAGCGAAGTTTTTCAGGATAAAAGTAAAAATGTTGATCCGCAAAAACGTTTGACTGAAGACTCTGGCGTGGCGACAAATAACGACTCGGCAACCGAGAGGACCAGGAAGGGATGAGAAAGGAAACACGCAGACAATCAACTCTGAACGTTCATTAGGCTTAAAATTATAAAAATGACCAAATAAGGACAAAAGTCTTATCAGCGATGAGCTGGTTGGGTCACTCGATGGATTAGCTCCTGATAGCGTCTGTTGTCCTTTTTCAGCCTTTTCTAGTCGCAAACGCTCAGCGAGAGAGATCGCCAATCTCTATGAGCAGCTCAAAAGACAAGGACTCATCACTCACACTCACTTAAATATCTTTCACTTCGAATGTCGAAAACATATTTTTAAATCAGTTTAAGTTCAACACTCATCGCCAGGATACTAATTAGAGTATGGAATGGCTTCAGCGGAAGAGGTTCAGCATAAGAGACTTTTTCAGCGGAACAGACAACTCAGAGCCAGGTAAGCCCATGCTTATTAGCAAGTCAATCGGATGCGCATTTATGTTTTTAATAAGCGAAAAGCGGAGTTCTAAATTGTCATTATATGATGATTCCGACCAAAACATCTCCTCGTGGTTGACGGATGTAGATATTTTCCCCGAAGCCGCCGCGCTGTGGACTTGTTTTGTCATTGAGTGACCACACTTATGGTGGCGAGGAAAAATTCAATTAGAACTTGAATTCTGCCAAAACTTGACCTTCTTGTGAAAATATCTTTTATTCGCAAACATTTCTAACTTTTCTTAGAGTGATCGAATTTTCTTACCAACAAAGTATAGCATTTTTCGCTTAGATATTTTTTCTCACTCAAACGTTAAACGACCGCTAACAACGCATTTGGCGCCTCCGTTTTGAATAAATTGCGTATTTGCGTTTTAATCAACGGACAGTTATCGAGTTGAGCAGTTCAATTTGGAAATGGCGTTAGTTGTTTCCGAGAAGTAACATTTTGGAAAGTTTTCAAAGTCAGATTGTTTCATCATTACAACGTCCGTGTCAATTATCAGCTTCATCAAATCGGTTATCTAGCCGCATAATTTTTCTTTCCGGTTTTTACTCGGTGAAATGATCATTTTAATGGATAATTTTAGAGGCCCAAAATCGCCCTATTTCGTCGAGAAGACGCCGCACGAAATCAGGAGGTTCACGTATATCTGCTGGACTGTTGAGTGGGGACGAGACCGGCTCAGAAGCGTATGCGACTGAATACGAAGTAATTGTTGACGCTGCGGAAGAGAGCATTCGCGCTATTCGAGAGCGGGTCCGCCGCCAGCGCGAAGAGAAAGAACATGAGCGCAAAGAAAGAGTGAAAATTCTAGCAAGGGAACAGGATTGTCAGCTGCTGGAAGAAAGAACTAAATGGTTCGACAATGAAGAAAACCAAGCCGAGAAAACAGAAAGGGAGGGGCGATCGCAACAACGAGAGAGCAGTAGGAGTCGATCATCAAAACCTGCTTCAAGATCTTCGAAATCTCTTCCGCCTGTTCCAAGGCATGACTTAGATCGGTCGCCAACGCCTCCACGCCTTTCGGCAAAAGGAATGGATACTTCAAGAGGAAAAATTGAAAGGGTTTATAAATAATAGTTATCCTGTAGAAAGACACTATCAAGAAGTTCGAGCTTGGATCATCCGAGGACACTAAAAGCCATGTAGGACGAAAGAAAAAACAGCGTGCATTAAAGTTGCGTCCTGAGGAAGCACTTAACCAGAGCGTTGAGACAGACACGGAAACTGCCGCAGCTTTGAATTTCCGCCTTTTCCCTGACATTTATATTTATGAAGCAGAAGTGCTCGTCAAAGTGCTGATTCCTCCACCAATTCCTACACGTCGACAATCGAGATTGAGGAAACGGGCGGTCGATAAAAGGAAAAGTTCTGTACTTAGTGTCAAAATTTGTCAGTTAACAGAACGTTGATGATGAGTTTTCCTCCAAATTCGAACTCATTTGAAGCTCATTAGATGCCGAGCCCCAGTCGGAATCGAACTCGGAGACGTCTTCTCTTCCGCAACCGAAACCACGGCGGAAATCGAGACCGCGGTCACGGCCTCGCTCCAGGTCCCTTTCAGCGGAGCGAGTCAGAGCTTTCGAAAAGGGGGAAGCAAAGGTGGAGGAAATGTGATAAACTGCATTATGCCAGATTCAGATATTTGAAACTCAGCGACGGATGTCTCTCCCCCAAATATCGCGTCCACTTCCTGCAATACCGGAATTTCCATCGACTGAGAATGTCAAAGTGCTTGACAAACAGCGAATTGATGATATCCAGCCAATGATCGATACGATTGGCCTGCTTTTAGGAAAGGAGAATTTTTGTGAAAGTGAGAAACCCAATATTGATAATTGGGAGAGTGATGATGAGCCCTGCTGTAGCAAACATATTCAACGTAAGCGAGAATGGCAGCATGAGCGAGAAATTCTTCTTGCGCGATGCAAAGCTACCGAAAACTCTCAGCAAGTGCTGCGAAACGTTCGTGGCATTTTAGAGCAGCTAAGGAAACGTTATAAAACACCTACAATGACCTTAAAATAGTTATCAGCTAGCATTGAAATATGTTATCTTAAAACGCGCCTAAAACGCTTCGAAAGAGCAGAATTGAAGCGCGAAGAAGCGAAGCGAAATGAACTGGAGAAAGAGTTTATACAGCAACGTACACTATGGATGGCTGGTTTGTCCTTGGAATTAAATTTTTAGGCTCATCATTTTGTTCAGAAATGAAGCAATTGCATGAGACGATATACGAGTTCCAGAGAACAGAGAAAATGTGGATAGAAGACGGGGGAACGGTCGATTCGAGGTAGTCGATAACAATCGTGTATCGGTATTATCTCTTCTTTTTAGAGTTTCAATGCTTCACAAGAAGGTACAGGAGCTGCGTCACGAGAAATGCCAAATGGCTAAGGCCGCAGAGCGAGAACGTCTCAACTACGAGGAGCAGAAGAATCAGTTATTGCAGCAAATCCACTTGGTAAGATTTTAGTTGAATATATCGTTAAATGCAGAGACATACGGACACATATTTATAAAAGAAACCTGAATTAGGAGAATTAATTTTTGAGTGGACACTGGGCGAAAGGATGTTTGAGTTATCAATAGCAAATTAGGACTGCTATTGATACATGTGACTACACTTCCTTATACAGCAAAACCTGATTTTCCTTGTCAATCATACGCCCTGGTTTGGGACGGTCGGGCCATTTAAAGATCAAAGGCGCACGCCTGGGGGGTCCTTTTTAATATGAAAGTGGCGCCAGAGGCGAGAGCGAAAATAATCCTGGTTTGGGACGCTTTGGCTGATTAAGACCGTCCCAGACCAGGCGTATTTTCTGCAATTTCGTCAGAAAACTTATTTACTTTCAGCTAAACCAAGGAAAGTTCCTCTCAACTCCTAAGTCAAACTCGGCCGAGTTGAATTCCCGCTTGGACAACGCTCTTGAACAAATCGAAACTGTTTCAAGGCAGCTCTGCTCCACAAATCCTGATCAGCAAAATACGCTGCAAATGGTACGATATTTATCTAAGATTTCATTTTTTTCGATTATTTTTAGACGAAAAATATTTTCAAAAAAATCGTCAAATATCCGCAAAAAATTATTCGCCCAAATAAACTGGTAAAAGCACCAATTTAGCTACGCTCTCACTTGATTCACAGTAGTGTTTATTTTTGCACCAGTTAATTTTCTGCTAATTTATATAAACTCTCGATTTCTTTTTTAGTCACGTCAGATTTCAAGCTCCACATCTCGTTTGGACGAGTTGACTTCGGTTCGGCCAAAGTCTTCGTTTGACTTGGTTCGACGCGAGCGATCTAAAGAGTTCTCACGAGATATTCTTTCTGACGCCGCCGACTTGACAACTGACGATGAAAACAAAGTCTTGCCTGGACTTCACCAGGAACTGACGATCAAACCTTTTGACAAATCGGTATATTTTGATACGCATATTTCTCCATCATTTCTCATTTCTTTGTAATGTTTTTCATTAACGCCTTCATCAATCATTTTTTTCTATTTTTGATTGTGCTTTTTAAAATTATTCATCGCCAAACTTAGTCTCTTCTTTTTGGATCGCGAGGACTCAGCGCATCGAGGTAATTCTAATAAGATGAATTCTGATTTTACTGTGCCCAGGAACGTACCTGGCCTAAACGGCCCGATTCCATGGGGTCAGAGTGGAGCAACTGCCTCTGGATTTGCTGTAAATGGCACTTCATCCGCTTTTGGGCCATCTCCTATTTCTCAAATCAACGGGCAAGCTCCCTCGCCGACTGTTCCCCCGCAGACACAATCGATTCAAATGCAAAATTTGCGAAACATGTCGAATCTTTCCCTGCAAGGAAGCTTCAATCCATCGCCTAAACAAGTTGCAACTCCAAAAACTCCAATCGATAACAGCAAAAACGGTACTATTGTCTAACTCGCAAAGCATTTTTATTTTTTGAAATCATGGAAGACAATTTTTTCTTGGCTGCATTCTAACTCAGTAGCTTAGTGTGATCTGTGCTTACAAAGACACTTGCCCCAGCACACTTATTTTGGTGGCGTGCACCTAGCGCGATCCAAGTGTCTTTTAAAATATTCATAGTCCTTGAATTTTTCTGCGTCGCTAAATAAAGCTGGAAAGAAAGTTCTCCTGCTCACTTTTCAGAATTTAAGAGCGTCGCATTTTGCTCTCAGATGAGGCTTTACAGTATCACAGAGTTTAAAGAGAATGTCGGACCAAGAAAAGTCAACGAAAAACAAGAATTGACCAATGATTCAGTGCGATTTGGCGAAAATAAGCAAGGGCCTTCTGTTAAATTAGAGGCACGACAAGGACATGAACGCGCGTTTGATTCGGACGATGGCGAGGCAAGACGACGCAGAGAAATGCGAATGAAGAGATTTAAACAGCTTGAGGTACTGTCATAATTGACAATGGTTAGTTGTGACCTTGAGACAATTAATTTATTTTGATCTGCAATACGGCATAACTCATAACATATTATAATAGGCAAAACGAAATGCTCATGCTGGAGAAACAACCGATGACGGAGGACATGAAGAAGAACCCGTTCCAAAAACAAGAAGATCGCGGAAGTACGCACGGTCGAAGACCGATACTTCAGCATCTGAAATGCGTGCCTTCGCCAGCAAGTAAGTGTTATCAGAGTAGTCAGTTAGTAATAAACTTTAGATCGAGAGGAGGAGATTTAATGGGCTTCGACAAGCCCAAAGTTTTGCAGCAGTTCGAACGAAAGGTATATTTTGTGGGAGATACGCCGACCCTAGCGTTTTAGCGCGAATTTAACCTGTAATTCATTCACCATCGCAAAAATTTACTTTTTGCGTGATGATAACCTGACATTTAGTTCAATAAATCCAGTAAAAGTTCAGGTGACGTGATTGAATTGCAGGCTTTATTCGAATCAATTTGAAAGTCACTTTCTATCATATGATATGGTTCTTCATATCGTTCGCAATTAAGCATGATATCAAATTGAGTGTACCTGGGCAAAGCAAGTCTTAACAGTTTGCCTAGCTTATGGAAAACGAGCATCGGCAGACTTCCCGAGATTCTAATCCTGGATTGATCGAGCGTGATCTTGTCGGCTCTCAAATCTCTAATCGAACTCAAACAGCCCAGCCAAGACGCCAGTCTAATCCGACATTACAAAATAATAGCCACGGACAGTCCGCCACTGCCAACAACATTGCGACGCAACCTAAGCCCGTCCAAAGCAACGGCATACCAAAGAGTAAGAGTGTAACTATAACCTACCGCCTGGATGAAATATTTATGAAGGTAAAGGGCTGGCTATTGATCGTGTTTCAGGTGAATCGGCCGCAAACTTAGGGCGAAGTGCTCAGCAGCAGCAACCCAAGCAGTCTGTCGGCTCGAAGCTGTCCACTCTCCAGCGTCTTAGTCGTTTCTCTGGATCCACCCCGAACCTAACTCAAACTCAGGAGCAAGAGATTCAGAGAGGATTTGATTGTTCTGTCGCTGAGCGAACTCGTCAACTCCGTCAACTAAGAGGTATTTTTTAATTTTATACCACAATCAAGTGCTTCGCTTCAGAGAAAACTGAGAAAGACAATCTCAAACGTGCGGACAGTCTTCGAGACCGAATCTCAATCTTCGAATCGAGCCGGGATTCACGAGTTCAGCTCCTTCGAAATTCTAACGGACCGATGAACTCGCCGGCGACGGCAACTGCGAACGCTATCAATCAGAGAAGCCCAGGTGCTCAAGTTAAAGGTGAAAAAATTGTTGAATCGGACAATTTTTCATGCCTTTCTATCAGCAGAAAAAATATAGATGGTTGTCTATATTTCTGTGGAAAAACACAACTTAGTGTTCTGCGATTTCATCAATAAAGATTTTAAGGTTCTGTTGCGCGCTCACAGAGCTTAAAAATGGCCCCTACTTTTTTGCGAAACAAAGCTGAGAGCAATGATCGTAAGTAACTGTAAGTTTCGCAGAATATAATGTGTCTCTTTTTTAGGAAAGAGTTCGATTTCGGATAGTTTGGCCGAACGTAGGAGCATGGTTGCAGGAATTCTTTCAGCCGGACCTCCATCAAAAGATAGAAAATACCGACGAGCGGATACACAGCCGATCGAGTCCACTTCCACCTCACAGACAGCGGCACAAGTATCTTCACAGGTAAATTAACATGGTGACTCTTGTTAACGTTACTGCGAAGCCGTCTATCTCAAGACCCTCCGGACCAGCGAATCGTAGAAGACCGACTAGATGGCGAGGAGAGGGAAGCGAATCAACAGCAGTGTCTAACTCGGCTGAGCTCGACGACTTCAACACTATTGATTAATTTCATGCCATATCATTATTGAACCATCTGAAATTGGACTCTGTGGCACTTTGTAAATATAAAAACATCATTTAGTATGGAATTCTTCCTCTTCAACTCAATTATATGGTTATCTACCAGTCGCATTCTCCTTGACCTTCTAGGCGGCTTTCAACAGAAAAAGAAAATTTATTTTCTCACCTCTTAACTCTTTTAGGGTTTGCTAAGTTTTAGCGTTAATGATTATCTACACCTTTTAGACGAGCGCAGAATTTTGCGACTCTATAAAAATAGACTAGAACATCACAAGAGAAAACTTAGAAAAGAGAGAAGCCGCAATATGTCAAATCGGAAAAAGTTAGCGCAGAGTAATTATTTGGTCTTAAGCTTTTTTAAGCACGAAGGTGTCAGCTTCCACAGGAAAGAATAGCCAAAAATTTACTTCTCAATAAGTAAAATTTGCTTTTCAATAAGATCTTCTAACAGTGACTTCTGTGATACTGACGGGTAAGGATCGACAACTCGACCGGCGGGCGCTATTAGAAGAAATGAAAGGTTTTAAAGAGAAATTCTTCGGAAAGCAGAATGATGAAAACGATTCGAAAATGAAAACTTCCACAGCGTAGGAAGAAAAATCATCTGCAAGAGATGGAAAGTTCTTGTTTAGTGATTCGCTGCTGGAGAAATTGGCAGGAGTAAAAGGAAGAATGGAAGAAGATAGAAAACAACGATCAAATGTAAAAATTCTTTAAAGCCAGAATGAATTAAAGACGAATATTATTAGCCGTGTACTCCAAAATTGCCAAGGCGAAACTGTTCTCGAGAAGGAATTTCTGAAAGTCCACTGGCAACTCCGAGATCTCGAAGGAAAAGGATAAAATTTTATTCAAGCAAAAATGGTTTCATTTTTTACTCCTCTTTTTTATTCCCTGAAAAAGAAGAATTTTGCCTGAAATCGAGATTAAACCGGGCACTCCAGACAATGATTTGAGACAATCGGAGAATAGTCTTGTACCGCCCTCAGATGAAGTCAAGAAAGTAGAAGAGCTGACGACGGAGGTTTTACCAAGAAGAAGCCGCGAGGAAAAAGTGTTGGAGATCATCGAGTCGGGCGAATTCATTGAAAAGATCTCACCGCAAGTGAGACGGAAGTTTGCGACCCCGGAAGGTTCGGGATTTTTTTTTATTTTTGGCGCAATATTGAATTAGCCATTATGAAATAAATAATAATGATTATTTAGATTGGATTGGAAACAAGGCGTCTACAGTCGCAAAATGGATTCGGGAATCAGACGAGTCGAAATCACTGGACATTAGGGAGAGACAGAAAGTCAAAAAAATGCTCACGTCTTTAGATAGTATCGAATAAACATTCAAAATGAATAAATGATTATTTAATGATGTTATTTGCTATAACTCTTTTTTTTTTGAGTGGAATTAAATTGAATTGCTAATGCGTATGAGCGGTCAATCAATTACAGTATTTCAATGGAAACTATTCACTTGAAGATATTCCTTATCTAGTTGCAAAAGAGAAGGTTGAGCTGTCGTTAGCAGACTTAGCCCTTTGTGTCAAAAGTTGCATCCACGGAATGTACATAAGAGAACTGCTGATAATCTGCGGAGCCAGCTCTTGTTTTCAAATGAAATTAATATTTCTCGGTATGAAAGTGCGCTTTCAAATTATCAAATTCAAGAAGTCGCAGCTTATCTAACGTTCAGTTTTGTGCTTTTCGCCTCTCTCCGCTGGCATCATAAGAGAACGAAGAAGCTTTTATGTAGGTTATATATATATATTATATACAAAAATGAGCCACTGTTGAAGTACTAATCAAACTCATTTATAGTTTTACCAAGATCTAGGAAATGTTCTTGGTAAATTGAGATCTCTCGAAGTGAAAGAAAAGGAAAAGTTTTAGAAAGACTCTATCTGATAGAATATGTTTTTGGAGGTCTCAACAATAATATTTATAAAAAAAACTTTAAGAAAAGAAGAACTGATCAAATGACCTCCCATATAGCTTCTTCCTACAGGAAAGAAGCTTCCAAAAGAAGGACCGAATTTTTTTTCTTAAATTTGTGAAGTAGCTCGTCCTCGCTTATGCACTGATTCTATAAAGTGAAGGCAACCTCAAAGGGCGTATCGAAGAGACGAGACGAAATCCGCGAAGCGAAAGCAGGGAGCTCTATCTTTAAAAGTGCGATCTTTCTTTATGTAATAAACAGTTGCGTAAACATTTTCACTCTTGCGTCGTTCCGTGGGATCGGTTGCGCGCGCAGGAGTCGGAATCGGGGTAGCCTACGCTGCCTGGCTCCACCTCCGCCGTTTCGCACCGCAGCTACGCTCTCCGCCACCCTCCGTTCGCCAGAACTTTACGCTTGAACTAGCCCACGCAACAACTCTCCCCGCCGCTCGCCAGGTTCAATTGTAATTAAAAAACAATATTGACCAAAAACAATTATATAAAATTTGCCCTCCGAAACTCGCATATTTCCGATTCACCTGTCCAAGATCGTTTTAATTAAACGCAGTCGCTAGTAAATTAACTATTTTAAACTTCTAACTTGAACATTTTTTGTACATTTGCCTCGGCAACAAAGTTCACATTTATATGATAATGGCTCTCATATAGCCTAAATTTGGCTGCCTAACTCTAATAATAACCCTTTAAATATTTCAACGATTGGCTTTTTATATCAAAGTCTTTCATAACGGTGAATAATCTAGAATTCTGCTATAATGTTTATATCGTCAACTCGGTCTGTCAACTAATAAATTTATTGCCTTGTAACCCCAATTTCGCAATGTTTTTTGTATCATCAATCTCCTATTGTCACGAAAAACATCAGTTTCACTTGGAAAATAAAATTAGATTTCCCGTTTATTAAAATATACCCTCTTCATGTTATCTTTGATGATTTTTTTTTTCACGATACAAGGAATTATACCTCATCATCAAGGTATCCAAATAACCTTTGGTGATTCTAACACTTATCAAACTCGTAATACTTAAATTATTCGTTTAAAAATAAAATTCCCAACGTGGGAGCAAAGATATTTATGATTTTTATGTAGTCCTGTGTGTCATAAATATATATTGAAGAGATTGTAAGCACTTAAAAAATCTACTTACTGTAAAAAGGTTACAGTTTTAGAGCAAAAGTTGAAAGAGAGCCAGGTTAAAATAAATAGAGCAATTAAAATCCATTTTGCCATTTTTGTTGCTTATTGTTACATTTATAAACGTTCCCGTGTGGTGAAAAAAAATCTGGTGAAAATGCTGTCTAATGTGTTATGTGATTTACAATAGTTATTACGGGGTGAACGGCGGTTCCCTGGTCCGGTCGTTCAATGGAATTGGCGTGGGCGGCGCGTATTCCTAGTTCCTCCGCGGCGCCAAAGAGTGAAGCGCGATGAAAGCGCTCTCTCTGTTTAGACGCTCAAAACGAGGAGATCTCTTCTCTTAGACAGATATTACAAAACCAGTTGAGAGAAAAACCTAGCTGGGAAATTCTCTTCCGATGAGAACTGGACTTTTTTTTCGTCCACCCCTGAACCAGTAACAAAAGAGAGCTCTCTACACTGTAGAGTCGACAAACAAACTTCTAAATGAAGACCCATGGACGTGGAATAGATATTGTCGGATGGGTACAGGCCTCCGAGCCACCTTCCATGCACCTGCCAAGGAAAGAGAATCCCCGTCGACCTTCAGAATCTGGCAACTGCTCGGTAAGTGTCTTTTTAACGAGAATTTGAACTTGGCCGTGCGCCATTAGCGTTGGTAACTCGCCAAAAAGGATTTCCCGTGTTAAGCATTCATGATCGCATCGAATATTAAGTTTTCCACGAGGTTGCATTGATAATTTAGCATTCTTTGACGTCAAAAAAGGAAGCGAGACTTCCTAGCGCACTCGACTCTAGCGTCTAAAATTAATATTCAGATGGCTGATACTTTGTCGCATTTTAGAACATTATCAGAGCCAGACCAATTCGAGTAACTGAGACTTTTAGGTTCGCTCTGCTTATTGCTCCCGCGGAATCGGACGCGAGCCCAACATCCGCCTCGCCAACTCTTGCGGAAGTCTAGCGAAGTTAGATGAGCTCGACAAAGTCAAGACCCACTTGGACAACTTCAAAGATCGAGAAAAAGAGCGACACAAAGCTGAAAAGCGACGCAAGCGCCAAGAACAACGCGTAGTCGATCTACTCACTGTAAAAGGTTTCGTACTGGAGGGTTTTTGCGAATCGTTGAGTTTAGTTAAAGTTAGTCTCTCTTGCGACGTGTGGGTTTTACTAGGAGACGAGCCCGTCGGCCACACTGGACGATTCCGGTTAGTGCGCTGTTCTAGAGGTTTCATCCCTTTTCCCTAAATCTACCGTTGTACTATGAGAAAATTCGGAAACTAACACCACCCGACAAACACTTTTGAATTTTCGTTGAACGTGTGTTAACCCTCCATATAGCTGCTTTGTCCGTGCTTCGTGAGACTTGCTGGTACTGGGGCGCGATAACTGGATCAAGGGCGGCCGAGTTGCTTTCAAAATGTTCACCCGGCACCTTCCTGCTCCGAGACTCATCAGATAGAAGGTGAGAAAATAGCGGAGAACCCCTAAACCACCCTGGCAGACTACAAACCATGGCGAACATTTTCGTCCCATTCTGCCAAAAATCCGATTTGCGACCTCGCGAGGCGTCCGCGTCAGACAGAGAAAGAGCCCGATTCTATAGTTCACGAGCTCCCGGACATTTCCGAGATGCCATCCTCGTCGAAAGAATCCGCGGTGGAAAACAAACTGTCGTAGTCGGGCGCCCACGTCCAGTCGGCCTAGAAAATCTAGCCCAAAAGGCAATTGCGCCAAATTTGGGACTCTATCTTGAACTTTAAGTTGCTATTTTCTCAGGTACCTCTTCTCCCTGTCGATTATGACTGTGCAAGGGCCAACATCCGTGAGACTTCTGTTTTCGAAGGGTTGCTTTCGACTGGAGTCCTCTGGTGTAGTCTCGCCCCGCTCGCCGTGCATCGTATCTCTCATCATTCGAATGGCGTACCTTGCTCGAAACACCAGCTACTCCAAGAAACCCATCTCCGAAGAGCAATCAACTGCAGACATTTTCGCTTCCATGACCATTGGAATGCCTCAGAAAAGCAACACGCCTTCACTCCTAGAGAAGCCCCTATTCGTCAAAGTTCCGAGTCTCGCTCATCTGTCTCGTCTTGCTGTAAATCGCTTCAACTTGCGGCAGTTCTGTGATCAGAAGAGTCTGGAATATGTGAAGCAATATCCTTATTCTGTATAAACAACTACCTCATTAATGCTATCTTAATTATCAAAGCGTCTTTATTGCGTTAATACCAGACCTGCCTCCTAATAAATTGCAATTCAATTTCATGTATCCAAATAACTTGTTCGTTCTATTTCTCGAGTTGATAAATTCAGATTCAATTGCAAACATTGCGGTGGGCAATTATAGACAAAGAAATGGTTAGAATTAGCGCATATTGAGAGTAGCTGCCCGATTCCATCATATTTGAACATTTTTTTGGTCTGAATCGTGAGGTTTAGTCTGCATGCAAGTAAAACAGTTAGTAAAACAGTTATTCGCTTATGGAAGGTGCCGCCTCAACTGGTGATACGACCTCTGATAATGAAGGATCACAAGCATTTTATTCGATATATACAAAGGCACAAAGGGCAACGACAATGAGAGCTTCATTTTCATATTTCACACTGAAGTGATTGTCGGTCTGATAGAGCTTCTAACTTTTTAAACTATTTTCTTTTGGAAGTTTTTCTGTTTTGTGGTATAACGCTATCAATTAAATTCGATTAAGAAGCACTCCCTTTTTGTCCCAAAGGAAAGAAGATGCAACGGCTATTCCCTGGCCACACTTTTCAAAAACGTATGTTTGTATCGTAAATCTATATCGGCCGGGTATACATTGCTTCAAGTTGATATTCAGATTCCTTGTTATCTGCAGTGTCATCCCATTCGTGCTTGGGAACGATGACGACCATCGGCTACCAATGTCTATTGATCTTTATATTAATGCTACTTTCTAACTCTAACCCTAACTCCCGTATGAGACTCTGTGAGCTCATAAAATTAGCAAGAAAGGATTAAAACTAGCGCAGGACTCGTGTAGGAAAAAATAAAGGAATTTACCGGAGATGGTTTTCTTCATCACGTTCCTAATCGTTTCCGCGTCTGGCTTCGAGTCTGGGCTCAATCTCAATATAGTTATGTTTTATTTATAAAAAATGTTTTTAGAGTACCTGAACGAATTTTCAAAAACAGGCTGACGATGATGAGGAATATCTGTCGACAGACCGAATGAGGATTGCCCGAATGAAGTTGCTATGAATATTTTGCCATCAACATTCGAAAATAAATCATACTTCTATTTCGTGAAGGACGAGTCGTTAATCGCGCCGCATAGTAGCCATTATCAGCTTTTTTTGATATACACACATAGAAATGGTTATTCCGTAGCCTTACCACAGAAGCTGCAATAAAATATATTATTCGGATGTGGCTTTCAATCAGTTCCCTATGGTTTGGCGTGACATTTTAAAATTTGTTATTTTTCGTTTTGACGAGTATCTCGTACTTTCTCGTACTGTCCAGCGTTTTTCAACCTTCGTGATTTCCTCCTCCTAAAAATAAGAAATTCAGGAAAAAACGCCTTAGAGCCTGTTTCGTGAAAGTCGAAAGTGCTCCGAATATTTGAGCAACGGCTGATACTAGTGATAAGCCACGATCATGTCAGAATCTGACTTTGTAAGGTCATGGACGTAGTTTCCTCTCGTAATGGTTCCTCATAAAATCAGAAGAACATATTCAGCAGGATTCTTTTCAAAACAGAATTTTCAATTTTGGAAGTCTCGTCTTCGAAAATATAGGTAAAATGAAAAATTTCGAATATCACCAGGAAAATTCGGCTATTTTATATTGGCCTGCGTTTATTTATAATATGACCTATCTTTTATATGATAACCAACTTACATCAGGTTCAACGGTTAGAAAACCGCCTTTCATCGTTTTATTTCTTCCACGCTCGCCTCAACTAACGCCCTTTCTTCTTTTCAAATCTCGGGAGAAATATTACTATGAGTCGTTCTGTGGTTTCGCCGTGCTCTGGAATCGGCGATAGGCACTTGAGTTTGCGAGTGACGGAGCTTTCGCTATAAATTCGCGCTCGCCAAATAGCACAAGGAACATCTGCGGAACAAACTGTTTTCGCGTAATTTTTTGCGAGTTCCTTTCATCTATCCCGAAATACTAGTTTTCGTTTCCGTCTTTACGTAGACGCAACTCAGCTACTAACGAGCATGTGTTGCTCGCAACTTTGACGTGATAAGCACAATCAAATTTATATTATAGAATCTGAAGATTTATTTATAAAAGTATGCTGAACAGAAAACAAAAAGAGTGATGAAATATCCACCAAGAACGGAAAACTTAAGGATCTTTCGAAAGGTACATATAATAATCCTAACCCTAACCCTAACATTTTGCTACCTTCAATTTTCTATTTTTCGTGACGCTATCAAAAAATATTTGTTGATATCATGGCAAATAGGTGAAAATTCTACCATAAAATCGTATTTTCATGTGTGGAAATGAAGAATCATGAATTCGAATGAGCAGTGTATTTATTCATCAATCTTCCGTTTATTATCTGACAACAGACCGTGAAAGATAAATTTTGGGCTTAATTTCATTCGAAAGATTCTCGAGCAGAGGAGAAGAGATGCGAGAATTTACGGTATACTTTTTAGACATAGATATTTTAAGATTTTAGATAAATTTGCATCCAAATCAAAGAGAGGAAGTCATTGTTCATGCCGGATGGGTAGTCGATGGATTAAAGTTTGGAAATGAGAAGTATGTTTTTTCACTCTTGGCATATAAATAAAGTGTATTTTAAAGAAATCAGGGACCGAAACAGTCTATTGGAGGAAACGGAGGCACTCGGAGAGTTTTCCATCTTGGACCAAAAGAATCAATCGGAAGAGTTTGGGGCAATCGAATCATGTTTGAAGGGCATAAGGGTAAACAGTACTTGCGCTTCTCTTTCGTAAATTATTGCTAGTGATCGGGCAGATCACTTTTCAAACGACAAATGGTACAGTACATGGGCCTTTCGGATCCAATGGAAATCCACGAGGCGACCCGATCGGAATCATTGAGGCTTGTTTCTACCTTATTACAACATTATTTCTACATTATTTCAATCATTGGCTCGCGATTTTTTTATTGAGAAACACAAATCAGACATTCGATTTCTGTTCTTCGCCTGGACAAGCGATGACAGCTCAGGTTGGATCTAGAGCTGGACCAGGCCTCAAGAAAATCACTGGCTCCTGCTCAAATAAATTCATCTTTGCGATGAACTTCCACTTCCAAGAATAAAAATTATCTCTCTCTCTGAAAATTGCTTTTTATGATGATGTGCAACTAGTAGTGATTCTAGCAGACTATGTACCCGTCCGTAAGATGTCCATAAAGATGCCATAAATACGCTTGAAGCCACCACAAATAGCCAGAAAACGAAATGAAAAATTGGCAGAGGCGTAGCCACATAATCTAAAAGAATGTCATACTTGATAAGCGCGCTGGTTGCTTGGAACAAACCCTCGAAGGTCATGTGATTTTTGGTGTAGCTGGATATTTTCGGTGATGTGCCTGACATTGCAACAAGATTTCTCTGACTTATGATGCAACTTTTCGGGCGATCGCAGTCAACTCCTTCTTTTGTCTCCCCTAGGAATAGATGAATCGCCTCCGTCATTATTATTTATGAGGGAATAAGAAACCGAATCTAATTTTTTTAACGCTCTTCTCCTCTTTGAAATCATCTTTCTCTACATGAACAGCTTCGAGTACACACACCTGACTAGTCAAGGTCATTTTTTATTCTGAAAATCAAGCTTAATTTCTTCTGGCTCCAAGACGGCATTAGTAATCGTATAATTTAATCATTTTATTGTTACACCACCCAATACGCCACCTATTGATCTATCATCATCAACGCAAAAATTAGACAAAACGAGTTACGAGACATAACTTCTCACTTAACGATTAACGGAAGTGCGGAAAATTCTCCGAAAGTTCCCAAAAGCAAATGTCATTGAATTTGCGAATCTTTTGCGATAAAATTTAATAATTATCATCTCAGTAATTATAAAATGAAAATTGCCGAAGGATTCAATTTTCTCCCCTCATTTTCGGAAAATCACTTGATTTTTTCATCCAAAGAGTTTCAGTCACCAGGAGAGATTCTTGTGGATGCGTTTTCAAGAGATCTCGATATTTTCTTATGCCATGACTTGAAGACAATGCCAGGAGAGCTTTTCCTGCAGAATGAAACTTACATCTGCGATGACCGAATCATGTTACAGGTAAAGAATGAATGGTAAGCAAAGTAGAACTTTTCAGAGTTTGAAAGATGACCCTGCATCTAACGAGTGCTGCACTTGGTCAGATCACCAGATCGAATGCGGCCAGTGCACGGGCGCAATGAAGTATCTAGGACTCACAAAGGGAAAATGCAGCTGGGATAGAACATTTGGAGACATATACGAGTTCCCTTCAAATGATGGCAAAAAGTACGACACGAGCTTTTGCAACATCAAGACTGACTTTGATGAAGCGTCTCAGATCTGCTCCTTACTTGGGGGAAGACTTTTCAATGAGGAGGTTTTAGCGTGGAATGATGGGTCTTCCATGATTTCTGAAATTAACGGATGCAGTTAAGGTTTCGAAAATGCTCATTCAATTTTTGTTAAACAATACGGAACCATGCTAACAGTACAATATTGGACTATTACAGTAAAGCGCATGGGCGACTTTACCAGCTCAAGGGTAGTTTCGGGAGTCAATACCGTGGCTCCTTGATAACTGGATATCGCGCGCGCTCAGACCTCAGTGGGTGGTGCTACTGGAACGGTACTTACTGTATAGATACACTTGAAAACGTCCCTTTTGGGTTGAGCATAAATCCGACTCTTGGTTGGGCCGAAGGAACAGAGTTCGAAAGAAAATCACTTTTCGTGAATGTTTAACGACAGAAGCGTCTAATCTGCGAACTCTGCCAAGAAAATGATATTGACTGTTCTTCAAACGCTATTGCATACGCTCTCAATATGGCCTTGGCCAAGTTTACAAAAAATATTCCACTAAAGGAGTGGCTTTAGTAACTAGAGATTCACAAAAAAACGTGCTATAATCCACCAAAAGCCTTCTAATAAAGATATGGCGATCGCATTCGATTACGGCGCGAATCTTTTCAAAACTGTTCAGCTAGAGGATATTACTTCAGAGACCGATGGATTTATCTGTGAGAGGCCTGAATGGAGCTGCCAGTACGCAGGATGCTCTCATATTTGCAACGATGACGGATTTTGCGAATGCCCTACTGGATACTATCTTGAAGATCGGACCACTTGCCGGCAAGAGGGAGCTGTTGAACGGGTAAATTGATTTCATTATAATCATCGATCAATTGTAAATAAGGTTGAATGCTTTAACTCCCACATGGTGGCTTGGTTTAAATCAGAATCAGTCAGTTTTGAGACTGTAGTTGCCCTCAATGATCCAAACTGTGGAGACAAAATTAGACAAGTTGGGAATATGCTCCGGGTCGATGTTCCTCTCGACGGTTGCGGGACAACTCTTGAATACGACGAGGAAAGCAATTACCTTATTTTCACGAACACCCTGAAAGCCGTTGTTGATGATTCCAAATCGGTATCGATAATGTCCCAAATCGATAAAACCTTTTCTTGTTCCTACGAAACAGTCTCGACTATCGATGAGAACTCTCTCAATTTCAGGAAAGGCTGATTTTCATAAAAACAGATATTTTCAATTAGGCCTGTAGTTTTGCAGCCTTTGAGTTCCGCATCAAAGTCCCTCGATGGAACTAAAGCAGGATCATTTGACTTCAAAATAACGACTTATTCAACCAGTTCTTTCCAAGAGATGGACGCTGCCGCGCTGAATCGAGTGGGAGAGACTTTGTATTTCGCAGTGGAGCCGATAAGTGCTCTATCAAACCTTGTTTATACAGTCAATCAGTGTGAAGTCTTCAGCGAGGCTGGGCTCAGGTATAACTATCGTATTACGTTAGAATTAATATGAACTCTAGCTATGAATTGTTCAATATCAGCGAACAACGCGCGGACGATTACGTGAAATTGAGGCGATTTCCTTTCTACTTCTCAGATTCGCACGGTCCAACATGTGCTGTTTCGTTGCAGGATCGCTGGTCGTATACAGTTTTTCAGTTTTATGACCTTTCAAATCCACTTAGTTCTGATTTGCAGCAGCAATTTCTGAAATGCTCGGTAATTGTTTGCAAGAAAGAGGAAGACATGTCATCAGGACCATGCAGCTCAGAACATTGTCAGTTTTTGTCCCCCAATTTCATCAACTAACTTGTTCCTTCTTTCTGCTAATCAACTACCTCACTGAATAAACTTTTTCGTCGCGCATTTCCCAATGAAAACAATTGAAATAGCACTTCAATTCGAGCTTAGTGGAAAGAAATACTTTCCGTCGATTAAACTTTGGGAATCCTATTTTTGGTGAAGTCCGGCTCCACTGTGTAATAATTAGTTAATGGGCTGGCGAGTATGTGCTACGATTTGTCTGTACGGCGTATAGAGGACCCAGAAGAAAGAACCGAATTTTGGTTTGTGAAAGAGCACCCATAGCGCTCCTGTGGCGACGGCTTAAAAACCACACTCATCACGGCGTTTGCGTTTTCACTCAACGTCTATTAGTTCGAGATCCAGAGATCATCAATGTCCTCCTAGAATTAGGCGTACACTTAGAGAGAGTTCGGACGTGGAATTGAATAAGAACCATAATCTCTATTGATCCTGGAGTTTGAAAAAGGAATCTTCGATGATTTTCGGAAAGGGACGAGCTTGCACTTGACTTCGAACGCGACTTCTTCACTTTGATAATAAGGTAGCTAAATTTAAGATAACATTTTTAATGGGTCAATATGATATTGACAATATCTATTAGGGAGTCACGAACCTTGACTATGAATAAAATATCCTTTCAACGGGCTTAAAATTTTTAAGTTCGAGATATTCAGTTTCGGATGAATTATAAATTATTAAAATATTCAATTCATTTAGGAGTCCTTTATTGGCGGCCACAAATGTATAAAAAGGAATGTTACGTGATGTTGGAATTAATCCCTTGATAGCATTCTGTGATGAATGAAAATGTCATTCTCGGGATCAAATCCTGACCCCCTTGTTTCTAGTGCTTATCTGAAAGCCCATTATCTAAGGAGTCGAATGGTATATAACTAAGGGTCTTAGTCATAGATAATGACGTCATTTTGGTCGAAATAAGGGCCTTATGGGGGAAACCTATGTAGTGCCATAACTTTTTATTGGACTTATTTAGTTACTTTGATTTTGGGCTCATTCGATAGAGGAACTCGAGATCTAGGTCGGGAGCTATAAACCGAGGTTAACCGGCCGGTTTCAAAATTTTGACCGCGTGGTTTACCGGGTGGTTGACCGCGATTTTCCCCTCCCGACCTAGATCTCGAGCTGCTCTTTCTAATGAGCCCAAGATAAATATACTTTTATAAGCTCATTTAAAAATTATAGCACTACATAGGTTTTGACCAAAATAGGTAGCCCTATGACGTCATAGTTGATGACTAACACCCCTTACCTATACCATTTGACTCCCCAGATCACGGGCTTTAAGATAAGCACAAGAAACATGGGGGTCAGGTTTTTGTCCCGAGAATGTCATTTTCATTTATCCTGTTTCCTTTGAGTGATACTGGATTTTTGCATCTAACTGTCTTGAGTTTGAAAGAGAATAAATATTTTAAGCAGGAAATTATCCACAGCGGGCTACGACCTCGAACCATTTTATAAATCAGTTTATCCTGATTCGTCTGTCTCTGACAATATATGCTCCATTTCGGATCCACGGCGAAATGGATTTTACAACTTCTAATTTAATAGTTGCTATTGATCATGGGCTATTCAGTCTGATAGTAGCTTCACAAACAAATTTACTTTGACAGCTTTCAGGTTGAGCTCTGATTTCCTCGTCTGTGGAGAAAATAAATCAAATAAGATTAAGAGAGCTTATATTTTAGATTATCTCCCCAGAAGAAAATGGACAATATTTCAATTAGCGTGAATCAGTCGCATTTCTTGTAAGTTGATTTAATTTTAACGAGAAGATCTCTAAAAAAATTCAGCGATTCTCCTAGTCAGTCCGAATTGATGGGTGCTCCCTTAAATTACGATTTATCAAACGATTACTACGAAGATTATTCCCTAGAGCAGATGTTCTGTACATTTTACCCAATGGAGCTTGATGATAGCAGGAATTTCTCTAAGTTTGTTCTTTATGTCATCATCAAGAGAAAATTATTTTTAGGATCTGTTTTCCAAACACCAACAGCAGCATCATGGACAATACGTGCCTCGAAGATGAAACCAGGCGCAACAAAGAGCTTTTTCGGAATAAGCTGATACAGAATATCGTTAGGTTTGAGAATATTAAGGATGGTCGCAAAAAAAAATGAGCTTTTGATGAAATCTGTGGACGTTATACATCAAAAGTTAGTTTTTTTGCGACCACCTTAAGGATATTTTAATTAATAGTGGTACTTATATTATAGAATTCTCCTCGGTGTCATTGGAACATTTCTGATTAGGTTTCAATGCCAATAAAAGAGATTGCCTTTCAATAAGCATTGAGCACTCATTTGACAACCAAAAGTAGAACACGAAGCTTATACACTCGATACTGACTTCAAGAAGCTCATTTACTAAATCTGGTGAGCTCTGGTGAAACCTTAATTGTTTCTATCAGTCTGACGTTAAGCTCACAAAATCTATGTCCTGCAGATTGGTATCACCGATGGATTGAGCTCATTCCTTCGCGCCTTTATAGGAACGTTGCTTATATTTACTTTAATTTCTTATTTTACTACATTTTCATATTAGCAAACGCACAATAGCTAGTAAAAATATTATTGTATTTCTATCACCATCTTATACTAGTCTACGAGGTAAACCACGATGAAGTTGAAGATGTCCAAGGAACCTATTACGACAAGGTGGCCATGGGACAGCGATTCCTCCGCGAATACAATTATATGGCGAACATTTTGTTTGTTACTTTACTCTCAGTTACGGGTCACACATATTGTGATAAAAAGCCTCTTAGGGCGAGACGAACAAAGGAAAACCCTTGCGATTGATAATTCAGATTATCTTAAAGCGTGTACCCATGATTTTAGCCGAGCGATATTTTGGAATAAGCTCTGCAATGGCACTAAGACCGCGCACGACATCAAAAATAAAATCCGCCTCACTAAGGTTTTCAAGCGCAAGGACAGTAATTTGAATTTATTTTTAAAGCTTAGGAGCGTGGACGCTATCTTTTATAGTTGTTCTTCCGCTCTTGTTTGTCTATCAACATGCGAATCACACTAACGAAAATAAAATATCGGAGCGATACTCAACTATACAAACCTTATCGCTGGTATGACTAGAATTATAAGTGCACATCAGATGAATTTCTAGTGTTATGAAATATACTACACTATGGAAGCCGAAAACTTTACTTACTACCCGACAATGAACCAAGAATGTCTTGTTCCACTATTAGGATCGTTTAACCTTATCTCTGTATTTTTATTTATAATTCGATAAACGTTGCCAGAATATATCAATAATGCTAATTCATCGGAAGAAATTTGCGCAAGAGGGAAATCTCTTTTTAACAATGTTTCTCTGGAGAAGCTCAGCCCAGAAACTCTTTTAAATCAAGGTCTGATAAAAAGTTATTTCCAGCTTAATTGTGAATTTCAGAATTCAAATTGCAAGTTCTCGAATCTGTTCGGGCGATGAGTTCATGCAAATGCTCTCAGGACATGGTTCAAAGAATCCACAGTCTTAATTTTTCTTTATTTTTAGATGATAGTTTCAGTCGAAGGCTCTGCAGTGGTTTCTTCTCGATATACGGACATGTGAATGCCGTCGTCGATCGACAACAACGAAAACGCTCGGAGCAATGTTGGAGAGTCTCCACCACCGGAGTCGCCGGTGGTAGCGCCTCCTGATGAGACACCTCCATCAGTAGACGCGTATGAGCAGTTTAAATGCTGACAAGAAAGCGAAGTGTTCGACATCTTCTTTAGTGGACAAGGGTTGAACAGTTCCTCATCCTCATCGAGTCGTGTTGTTGAGCAACGCTAAATCAATTATATTAACAAGTAAGTTTATTCCTTTCGTACTTTTTTTGCGAATTTGCTTATCGCCAAGGAGAGCTCATTCTTTCGTAAAATTTTGAGTTTTGTTGTGCTCGTCCTCGTGACTAGCTTTCGCGCTGGTGATTTTCCGTCGACTGATGACGAGATCGCCGCTGGGATGTCGCCGAGCGTTCTCGCGAATTTGAACATTCCTAAATCAAATTGAGCTTCTGTTACTCAAAGGGTCATTACCCGTAGAGGGACGACTGCGACCAAGAGTCATCGCTTCATTTGACTCTTTACTAACGACTGAGTCAACCGATCTGCTTCTTTTTCGCGCATTTTTTATCCGCTCTAAAGTAGAGTAGCCCGTCGCTTCGAGCTTCTGGTGGAGCTCCTTGCTTTTTTTCCTCAATGTCGTCGCTATTTCGGGAGACTCGGTTAGCGCCTCTTCCTCGTTGTCCTCAAACTGTACTTTCGCGCGCTTCCTACTCTTCGGCAACCGAAAAAATCGACTCTCTGATCTCTTAGACAGTTTCTTCGTGTCCTTTCCAGGATCATAGTCCACTTCTTAAAATGAGTCTCAAACCGCGCTAGACTTTGGCTTTACCTTGCTTCTTTTTTGAAAACAAACGCAAGGTTTTCACTGCTGAAAGGGCATCCAAAAACTGTCTTTGCTCTTATTCCAAAAATGTGACATTTCTAGGAGTGAGAATGGACTGGTGCTCTCCGCCGCTCTCAAAAAATCTTGACTCGAAGAAAACCGCTCCCGGGCCAAGTGACGATCGCATCTCAAAAATAACGGTAAACTTGCTTCAATTCAAATTCTGAAAAATGTGAACGAACCATTGAAAGTCAAACATAATTCTGGACTGTGCTTCGGAAAGTGGCGCAAATGGAGACTCTCTTGGTCGCAGCATCCAACTAGTCACGTGCATTTTCTTCGTTGTTGGACCTCTAGTACTCATTTCCGTCTTCTACCTGAAGCTTAGCTGCATGGTGGCAGGCCACACAACGAGAATGATGCAGTCTATTCGAAATGAACGATCTGCGTCTCTGCTCAGCGGAAAAAGCATCTCAGTAAGCAACTACTATTCTTTCAATAATAAAAGTCTTTGAAGGAGTTTGTCCGTAACCTTCCGAAGAAATCGAAAAAGAAGACATCCTTTGAAACATCGATGAATAGGTTTTCAAAGGCTAAGTCTAGTGTCTACAGAAGTACCGTTTGGTACGTCGTGGCTCTACTTCTTTGAAAGGGATTCGCTTTTATAACGATTAATAATTTAAAAGATTCTTAAAGTAATCCCGGAAACAGCTACATACCCGATAGAATTACTCAATTTTTCTCCTTGATATCAATCCCCCTCTTTGAAGATTCTGTTAAGTGTAGCAACTGGCGACACATGACGAAGTTTCTCGTTCTCCTTTACAACTGTATTAATCCAATTGTCTATTTTTCCTACAATGCTAGAAGAAAACGAACGAACAATGGTGCACCTTCTACTTCAAATACCAACAATTTTTAAAATGCCTTTATTACTTAATAAATGCCAACCAGGGTGGCTATTTTGGATTTGGGGGTTAGTTGGAATTGGATTGGATCCAATCCAATAAGGTTTGGATGGAATTTGGATGGCCAGGGTACCGGATTTTGTTGGGGAAAATTGGGCAATTGGGGGAAATTGGGGGAATCGGATCCAATAAAAAATATATCTCCAAACTATGCAAAGGAGGGTCATTTTATGATAAAAATGAACAATCTCAGATAAAAAAATCATTGTTTTGGCTCTGTTGATCCTCCTTTCGGATAAAAACTTACTGTTTCCTTTCTTTTCAAAGTACTAGAGGCCTTGGAAAAATTGGAAACCCAATTGGATCCAATTGGAATTGGGGATTATTGGGAAATTGGGTAAAATTGGATTGGATTGGATTTTGGATGGATAGCCTGGACTCAAAATTTATTGGATGGAAATTGGATGGCCAGACCCCGAAATTTTGTCCAAAATAGCCACCCTGATGCCAACCTTACAAAAAATATTAACTCATATCAAGAAGAAGATAAATGCTTTTAATCTTTTTCTTATTGATACGTTTTTGGCAGTAATATTTTATTGACAGTCTTCTGATTTCAAAAGGAATGTTTGAGGAGGCAGTAAGAAAAACTTAGGAAAGAGCAATGGGAGTTGCGCTAACGATATAAATGAAACATGGAATGACAAAAGTAATTGAAGAATATGCAGGAAAAACTCTTGCTTTTACACCTTATGTTCTTTTTGATCGATAAATGTATAACTTAATAAATTAGGACCAGCCTAAATAATAACGAATTGTCAGAAAACCTAGGTAAAATGGATAATCCCTCGTTCAGCAAGCAAAAAAAGCA